CCCGCCGACCTAGCACCCGCCGACCTAGCACCTGCCGACCTAGCACCCGCCGACCTAGCACCCGCCGACCTAGCACCCGCCGACCTAGCACCCGCCGAATTAACACCCGCCGACTAAGCAGCCGCCGACCTAGCACCCGCCGACCTAGCACCCGCCGACCTAGCACCCGCCGACCTAGCACCCGCCGACCTAGCACCCGCCAACCTAGCACTCGCCGACCTAGCACCCGCCAACCTAGCACCGGCCGACCCAGCACCCGCCGACCAAGCACCCACCGACCTAGCACCCGCCGACCTAGCACCCGCCGACATCGCACCCACCGACCTAGCACCCGCCGACCTAGCCCCCGCCGACCTAGCCCCCGCCGACCTAGCACCCGCCGACCTAGCACCCGCCGACCTAGCACCCGCCGACCTAGCACCCGCCGACCTAGCACCCGCCGACCTAGCACCCACCGACCTAGCACCCGCCGCCGACCTAGCACCCGCCGACCTAGCACCCGCCGACCTAGCACCCGCCGACCTAGCACCCACCGACCTAGCACTCACTGACCTAGCACCCACCGACCTAGCACCCGCCGACCTAGCACCCCTCGACCTAGCACCTGCCGAATTAACACCCGCCGACCTAGCACCCGCCGACCTAGCACCCGCCGACCTAGCACCCGCCGACCTAGCACCCGCCGACCTAGCACCCGCCGACCTAGCACCCGCCGACCTAGCACCCGCCGACCTAGCACCCGCCGACCTAGCACCCGCCGACCTAGCACCCACCGACCTAGCACCCGCCGCCGACCTAGCACCCGCCGACCTAGCACCCGCCGACCTAGCACCCGCCGACCTAGCACCCACCGACCTAGTACTCACCGACCTAGCACCCACCGACCTAGCACCCAACGACCTAGCACCCGTCGACGGTGCTAGGTCGGCGGGCGCCAGGTCGGCGGGTGCTAGGTCGGCGGGTGCTAGGTCGGTGGGTGCCAGTTCGGCGGGTGCTAGGTCGGCGGGTGCTAGGTCGGCCGGTGCGAAGACGGTTGGTGCCAGGTCGGCGGTTGCCAGGTCGATGGGTGCTAGGTCGGCGGGTGCTAGATCGGCGGGTGCAAGGTCGGCGGGTGCTAAGTCGGTGGGTGCTAGGTCGGCGGGTGCTAGGTTGGTGGCTGCTAGGTCGGTGGCTGCTAGGTCAGCGGGTGCTAGGTCGGCGGGTGCAAGGTCGATGGGTGCTAGGTCGGCGGGTGCTAGGTCGGCGGGTGCTAGGTCGGCGGGTGCTAGGTCGGCGGTTGCAAGGTCGGTGGCTGCTAGGTCGGTGGGTGCTAAGTCGGCGGGTGCCAGGTCGGCGGGCGCCAGGTCGGCGGCTGCTAGGTCAGTGGGTGCTAGGTCGGTGGGTGCTAGTTCGGCGGGCGTCAGGTCGGTGGGTGCTAGGTCGGCGGGTGCCAGGTCGGCGGGTGCTAGGTCGGCGGATGCTAGGTCGGTGGGTGCTAGGTCGGTGGGTGCTAAGTCGGCGGGTGCCAGGTCGGCGGGTGCTAGGTCGGCGGGTGCTAGGTCGGAGGATGCCAGGTCGGTGGGTGCTAGGTCGGCGGGTGCTAGTTCGGCGGGTGCTAGGTCGGTGGGTGCTAGGTCGGTGGGTGCTAGGTCGGCGGGTGCTAGGTCGGCGGGTGCTAGGTCGGCGGGTGCCAGGTCGGCGGGTGCTAGGTCGGCGGGTGCCAGGTCGGCGGGTGCTAGGTCGGCGGGTGCTAGGTCGGCGGGTGCTAGGTCGGCCGGTGCGAAGACGGTTGGTGCCAGGTCGGCGGGTGCTAGGTCGGCGGGTGCTAGGTCGGTGGGTGCTAGGTCAGTGGGTGCTAGGTCGGCGGGTGCTAGGTCGGTGGGTGCTAGGTCGGCGATGCTAGGTCGGCGTGGTGCTAGGTCGGCGTGGTGCTAGGTCGGCGGGTGCAAGGTCGGTGGGTGCTAGGTCGATGGGTGCTAGGTCAACGGGTGCTAGGTCGGCGGGCGCCTGGTCGGCGGGTGCTAGGTCAGCGGGTGCTAGGTCGGTGGGTGCTAGGTCGGTGGGTGCTAGGTCGGCGGGTGCTAGGTCGGCGGTTGCAAGGTCGGTGGCTGCTAGGTCGGTGGGTGCTAAGTCGGCGGGTGCCAGGTCGGCGGGCGCCAGGTCGGCGGCTGCTAGGTCAGTGGGTGCTAGGTCGGTGGGTGCTTGGTCGGCGGGTGCTAGGTCGGCGGGTGCTAGGTTGGCGGGAGCTAGGTCGGTGGGTGCTAGGTCGGCGGGTGCCAGGTCGGTGGGTGCTAGGTCGACGGGTGCTAGATCGGCGGGTGCAAGGTCGGCGGGTGCTAAGTCGGTGGGTGCTAGGTCGGCGGGTGCTAGGTTGGTGGCTGCTAGGTCGGTGGCTGCTAGGTCAGCGGGTGCTAGGTCGGCGGGTGCAAGGTCGATGGGTGCTAGGTCGGCGGGTGCTAGGTCGGCGGGTGCTAGGTCGGCGGGTGCTAGGTCGGCGGTTGCAAGGTCGGTGGCTGCTAGGTCGGTGGGTGCTAAGTCGGCGGGTGCCAGGTCGGCGGGCGCCAGGTCGGCGGCTGCTAGGTCAGTGGGTGCTAGGTCGGTGGGTGCTAGTTCGGCGGGCGTCAGGTCGGTGGGTGCTAGGTCGGCGGGTGCCAGGTCGGCGGGTGCTAGGTCGGCGGATGCTAGGTCGGTGGGTGCTAGGTCGGTGGGTGCTAAGTCGGCGGGTGCCAGGTCGGCGGGTGCTAGGTCGGCGGGTGCTAGGTCGGAGGATGCCAGGTCGGTGGGTGCTAGGTCGGCGGGTGCTAGGTCGGCGGGTGCTAGGTCGGTGGGTGCTAGGTCGGTGGGTGCTAGGTCGGCGGGTGCTAGGTCGGCGGGTGCTAGGTCGGCGGGTGCCAGGTCGGCGGGTGCTAGGTCGGCGGGTGCCAGGTCGGCGGGTGCTAGGTCGGCGGGTGCTAGGTCGGCGGGTGCTAGGTCGGCCGGTGCGAAGACGGTTGGTGCCAGGTCGGCGGGTGCTAGGTCGGCGGGTGCTAGGTCGGTGGGTGCTAGGTCAGTGGGTGCTAGGTCGGCGGGTGCTAGGTCGGTGGGTGCTAGGTCGGCGATGCTAGGTCGGCGTGGTGCTAGGTCGGCGTGGTGCTAGGTCGGCGGGTGCAAGGTCGGTGGGTGCTAGGTCGATGGGTGCTAGGTCAACGGGTGCTAGGTCGGCGGGCGCCTGGTCGGCGGGTGCTAGGTCAGCGGGTGCTAGGTCGGTGGGTGCTAGGTCGGTGGGTGCTAGGTCGGCGGGTGCTAGGTCGGCGGGCGCCTGGTCGGCGGGTGCTAGGTCAGCGGGTGCTATGTCGGTGGGTGCTAGGTCGGTGGGTGCTAGGTCGGCGGGTGCTAGGTCGGCGGGTGCGAAGACGGTTGGTGCCAGGTCGGCGGTTGCTAGGTCGGCGGGTGCTAGGTCGGCGGTTGCCAGGTCGATGGGTGCTAGGTCGGCGGGTGCTAGGTCGGCGGGTGCAAGGTTTGCGGGTGCTAAGTCGGTGGGAGCTAGGTCGGCGGGTGATAGGTCGGCGGGTGCTAGGTCGGCGGGTGCTAGGTCGGTGGGTGCTAGGTCGGCGGGTGCCAGGTCGGCGGGTGCTAGGTCGGCCGGTGCGAAGACGGTGGGTGCCAGGTCGGCGGGTGCTAGGTCGGCCGGTGCTAGGTCGGCCGGTGCGAAGACGGTTGGTGCCAGGTCGGCGGGTGCTAGGTCGGCGGGTGCTAGGTCGGCGGGTGCTAGGTCGGTGGGTGCTAGGTCGGCTGTTTCTAGGTCGGCGGGTGCTAGGTCGGTGGGTGCTAGGTCGGCGGGTGCTTTGTCGGCGTGGTGCTAGGTCGGCGCGGTGCTAGGTCGGCGTGGTGCTAGGTCGGTGAGTGCTAGGTCGGCGGGTGCCAGGTCGGCGGGTGCTAGGTCGGCGGGTGCTAGGTCGGCGGGTGCTAGGTCGGCGGCGGGTGCTAGGTCGGTGGGTGCTAGGTCGGCGGGTGCTAGGTCGGCGGGTGCTAGGTCGGCGGGTGCCAGGTCGGTGGGTGCTAGGTCGGCGGGTGCTAGGTCGGCGGGTGCTAGGTCGGCGGGTGCTAGGTCGGCGGGTGCCAGGTCGGTGGGTGCTAGGTCGGCGGGTGCTAGGTCGGCGGGTGCTAGGTCGGCGGGTGCTAGGTCGGCGGGTGCTAGGTCGGCGGCGGGTGCTAGGTCGGCGGGTGTTAATTCGGTGGGTGTTAGGTCGGCGGGTGCTAGTTCGGCGGGTGCTAGGTCGGCGGGTGCTAGGTCGGCGGGTGCTAGGTCGGCGGCGGGTGCAAGGTCGGCGGGTGCTAGGTCGGCGGGTGCTAGGTCGGCGGGTGCTAGGTCGGTGGGTGCTAGGTCGGTGGGTGCTTGGTCGGCGGGTGCTAGGTCGGCGGGTGCTAGGTTGGCGGGAGCTAGGTCGGTGGGTGCTAGGTCGGCGGGTGCCAGGTCGGTGGGTGCTAGGTCGACGGGTGCTAGGTCGGCGGGTGCTAGGTCGGTGGGTGCTAGGTCGGCGGGTGTTAAATCGGTGCGTGGGTGCTAGGTCGGCGGGTGCTAGTTCGCCGGGTGCTAGGTCGGTGGGTGCTAGGTCGGCGGGTGCTAGGTCGGTGGGTGCTAGGCGAGCGTGCACCCATATTGTAGGTGCACCCATGTTGACGTGCTAGGTCGGCGGGTGCTAGGCGAGCGTGCGTGTGCGCGCAAAAAATTGTCTGCAGTACTGCGAGGAAGCTGCCGCGAAGTTCTTTTCCCGACTTTTTAGGCGCACCCCTTTCAAATTTGTACAAAACTTGGCAGCATTCAGTTGGAATGTTTAACCGTAAATAAATAGTGCAGTAAATCCGTAAATATGTATTTCCATAATAAGTTTACAACAAGTTTATAAAAGTGTTAAAATTTATTTTCATTTTGTATTTTTTGTATTATGTTTTTTTGCTTAACTTGGCTGACTTGATAACTTGCTCTTTTAACCAATTTAATATTAAGCATTAATAGATGGGACGGGAAGACATGAATGGCTGGCTAACTGTTACAGACTTTCAGTAATTCCCAAGACACAACACAACACTGCAAGAGAAGCGGAGACCAAGTATCATGTTGATGTTGTGCCTGCTACCACGCACAAAGTCACTCCTTATAATCCATCCTGTATATGGTCCCAAATGAGCATAGTGTGTTTCACGATTGTGCAACGAATCCTGAACAGTTAGGTGCTCCTTGGCAACCTTTTACGTGTTAGGCGCACACCCAGAGTGCACCTGTTCGTACGGCACATCTGCCGTGCCGCTATACGGGCCTCCTGCCGTACGGGCTACAGCAAGGAAACGCTAATGAGCTGTAGCAGCCTTCCTGCTGTAAAAACATCCACCGCCTTTTCATGCCCCCAAAAGCAGCAGACCCCGCCTTAAATCCACATGACCCGGATAATCACAGGACCCATGACCACTCAAACAGCCAAACTCAGCAAATAACTGACAGCAGTATCGCACACGCCATCGTCGTAAGGGTGGTGGTGTCGATTACGCAATTGCGTAATAATCTGCTCCACGACCGAACCTCGGACGTGTTGAAGGTCGTCGGCTGACGGCATTGTTGAGATATCGGCAGGACAAAAGGAGGTCTGCCGTACACATTGCAAGTCAGATCAAAACTGCGTCAAACGTCATGGAAAGTTGCATGTGAGCAAGAAAAGGACTGGATATACCTGCCAAAGCACAACAAGAGCACCAGGGTACCACGCCTGTCAACAGAGAGAACACAAGGCGAGCAGTAATTGCCAGCAGACACAAGTAATGCACTGCGCTTCTCACACAAAACAGTTTATGGCATGGCCTGCGACGAACGCAGGTAAGGGCGCACCTGCCCAACACGCGCATTATCTGACAGTTGAAATCGACATCCAATTTTCTCGGAAACAGTTCAGGAATAGAGCCTACAGACAACTGCCGGTTAGGAATCTTCAAATAACATCTTAGAGCATGGCCAGGCAAGCACACAGGATCACCGTGAAAAGGCGTAGAAAGGCAGCCTGCCCCCGCCGAAGGACAAACGACCGTCATGGACCCAGCGCCATAAATTGACTGAAGAACTCAAGGCTCATAAATATACAGGTGGACTGCTCTGGCCGTCCCCATTCCACATCAGCAATACGACTTCGCCGCCAACAGCCAACCAACCTACACAGCTGCCAGCCATCTATCCGCAATTTGGGACAATTATGCTTAACTTACTTTAACTTCATTTCATCACAAGGTTATTGAAGGGCTGCTTGCAGCAGCAACATCACGCTACTTTGTCTCTTTATCAACACCAAAGGGCACAAACCCGACCCGGCATGCGTTCCGCGGTAATCATGGATAGTTCTGAATTGCCATGGGCTTCAGGAGTTGTTATTAGTGTTGTCCCCTCCAGCCATCGTTGTCGTTCTTACTTGCCATTACTGTTGTCTTGCCACTTGCTAACCTTACTGGAAGCCTCCTTGCTGTCTTCACTCGTCGTTGTTCTAGTTGCCGGTGCTACACTGCCATCATATAGCTTTGCTGTTCTTGATAGATATCATTGTCGTTGTTATTGTTTCCGCCGTACCAGTACGACAAGCAGGTTCCCGCCGTACCAGTTGTACGACAAGCAGGTTCCCGCCGTACCAGTTGTACGACAATCAATCCCTAGTAGCAGAGTTCATGCATGGCGGGAGGTGATGGTGTCACTGTTGGGGGCTCGGGCCAGCGGCTGATGCTGGCGACGCTGCATGAGGCAGCATGGGGTGGAGCAGTAGGGGGTCCAGGGTTAACACTGCTAATCAGCCGAAGAGCAAGCAGGGGGGCTACCGGTATCGATCTAAGCCTGCTGAGGGGCCGTGCGTGTAAGGGTTATGTTACCCAACTGCGCAAAAAAGGGGCGTGAAGGCTTTCCAACTGAGCAATGAGCAGGGGCTGGGGCAGGGCCCCGGAACAGCAGCAGCACCAAGTGCTCAATTCAGCCAGCTTTGGCTGACAAACTGACTTCAGCGGCCCAGCTGATGTAACACACGTACACACCTGCCCCGCTGCCCGCCTCAGCCACGGGTGTTGCAGCAGCTGCTGCGCCGTGGGTCGGTCCTCGGGCCTCTCCGCCAGCGCCCGGCGGATGAAGTCTCGCGCGGCGGACGAGGTGGAGGCGGGGAAGCTCAGGCTCTTGCACGTCGCGTTGGCGGCTAGGAAGGAGGCGGCTGCTGCTGCAGTGCCGGCCTGGGGGTGGTGGTGGTGGTGCGCCGCTGCTGCGGCTGCCGCAGTGGCGGTTGCCGCTGGGTCCGCCACGAAGGGCGGGAAGCCCACCAGCAGCTCGTATGCCAGCACACCCACCGCCCACACGTCCTAGGGAGGCGGGAGAAGGAGGGGGGAAACAAATGAAAAGTGAAGCAGCTAGAGTCCCAATTCCGTATACCGGGGGATTAGATAAACTGAGCCGCGGAAACACTGACCCTGACGTAGGTTACCGGATATTGATTGATGGAGGAGGAAGGAGGAAGGGGGAGGGGGAAGTAGGAGAAGCTGGTACCATTTTGTAGTGAGGAGGCAACGGGAGGGAGGGGTAGTACCGTGCATGCATGCATGTACGGCAGTTCATGTACGGCAGTGAGATTATGACGTACCGCGGCAGTTGTGTACGACAGGCTCGGGTCGTCCTTGTTGTCCTGCGGTTGGGCCTTAAGCGGGCAGCGCTCTACCTCGGGTGCCTGGGTGCGCGTGCGTGTGTGTATAGGGGGTCGAGGGGGGTGTTTGAGCCGTTGTGTAGGGGCGAGGCGGGGCTGGGTGAGTGGGGTGCGTGCACACAGCCTGCTGTTCTTGGTGTGTTCACAAAACTGGCCGGGATTCGGAGCGTGCTGTGGTAACTGTTGGTGCGTGCGTGCGTGTGTCAAGGCAACGACAGGCAATGACAACCCTAGGCCACGAAGAAACGAGCGCAGGGCCCTAAACCAAGTGAGCAAACGCGCGCGCCACAGTCCGGGCTTGTCCATGTCCCCTAGGCTCCTGCCCACCATGTAATCCACTGTGCAGGGGATGGAGGAGCGGGCGGGGGATCGGCGGTGATGCGGTCCAGGGCGGCAGGGTCCGGCCAGCGCAGCAGGAGCACCACCGCACGTCACGTGTAGGACGCGTTGCACATGCGCGCGCGTTCGGTGCCGGGTGGTGCGTTAGGAGTTTAGTGGTGTTTAGGTGCGTACGTTGTGGTTGTAGCCGGCGCGCCGGTGGTAGGATGGGAGCGAGACGGTAGCAGATATGGGAGGAAGGGAAGGAGGAAGAGAGGGGGTAAGGAAACGCAGAGGGGCATCAGCAATGTGACAGGGGGGAGCAGACATCATGGCTGCGAGGGGGTGTTGCGGGGACTTGCAGGGAGGGCCCGGCACAGCAGATGTGCAGGAGGAATACAAGGCGGGTTACAGGCGTAAGCAGCTTGCCCATTAGCGACAGCAGCGGCAGCAGCTCTCATCACCCTGCCTTGTGCAACTGCCGTGATCAACTACCAAGACGTACGACAAACCTGTACGACACATTATATGCGAAATACGACACAACACGCATGCATCCATGTACCGGTGTTTATGTTGTTTATGTTTATGTTGTTACCGGACGGACTATAGACCTAGTCCGGTCTATGCATGATTTGTATATCTATTGGTTGCATGACAGCATCTTACGTGTGCCGGCACGGGTGACTGCGCGTTCCTGATGCAGGTCGATGCTGACTCCGAAATCCGCCAGCTTCAGCCTCCAGTCCGAAGTGAACAGGATGTTCTCGGGCTGAAGACATGCAGGTAATGTTGGACGAATGGCGAATTTTGACGAGTTAGCAGGGCAAGCATCAGACGGTTTCGGAGGTCCTGTAGGCGTGGGCTGTGGTACGAGCGAGAGGATTCCAAATAAAGGCGACGCATCTACATGCACTATTACATACACTGGACCCACCAAACCAACACCCCATGACGCCATGAGGTTTGGACCCACCATCCATCACTGCACATGACCCCATGCATGCGCATGCCCCTTGCCTGCTGCCCACCTTGATATCCCGGTGGCAGATGCCGCGGGAGTGCAGGTACGACAGCGCCTCCAGGAAGGGGCCCATCACCAGATCTTGGACCTGCACAGCACCGTACAGCAGCACACAGCGCAGCCCGGCATGTCAGCACGCATGATGACAGTAGCTAGGCACAGCACGCATGATGTCATTAGGCACATTGTATGGAATCCACAAGTGAGGGGAAAGCTACAGGCAGAAGAGAGGGGCACGGCGATACCAGGCATGAGGAGGAAGCGACGCAGGAAACAAGACGGCACATGCATGCCGGTACTCGGCAGGGTGTCGGGCTGTCGGGAACGTATCAGCGGGGCTCTACCATACCTGATCCTCGCTCATGCGGCCTCCCAGGGCCCGATGCACGCCGAACAGGTCCCCGCGGGTCGCGAGCTCCTGCACCATCACCAGCCGCCCTTCCTCCTGCCGGGCCAATACCGGTATAGGACGCATGGGGCGACATGGGGTGAGAAGCGAGTGAACTACTTTTGAATGTCTCATCATCTCAGTCCATCGCATGATCATGGCTCAATCGACATATGCGATATATCGTAGCTAGGGTGGAGCAGGGGCGGGGTAAAACGAGAGAGGAGGGAAACACCGCAGGATTGAAAAATTGCGCAGGGACGGAACGAAGGCGACTGCTTTGAGAGGTAAATACCTAACGCATATGATATTTTAGATGTTTTACGCACAGGAAATTTACGCAAACCTGGTGTGCCGTACCTCGAAAACGCCGTACAACTTGATAATGTTGCTGTGCGCCAGGTCAGCATGAATCTGTTCATGGTAGGTGGTGTGAGGAAGGGCGGGGGAGAGCGAGCAGGGAGGGCAGATCATTAGGGGTGGGAAAGTGTCTGAGATGGCTGAGCAGGGAGGAGGCGTACTTCGCATGCTCACTGCTGCTAGCGTTGATGGGTTTTGGGGCAACAATGGACTAGCGCGGAGGGTGGTGTGGGGCACGGACGCACCTTGACCTCCCGAGCAATCATGTGGAACGAATTGAAGGGAATTCTGCAGGAAAGCGGCAGGTTGTGTACTGCAATCGTATTGTACGGATAGCAACGTGCCTAAACGTTTAGTGGTACATACCCAGGACATTACAGGATGAATACATTATGTGTGAAGAACAAAGGGCGCTTTGTTGCCCTAGCTGCAACAGGCAGCTGGTTGCTATCTACCCGTGCGGATTCGCATGCACGGCACGTCATTACGTGCGTTATTAAGACGTGCGACAGGCTACCGGTAAGCGGTATGCACGGGTACTTCAAGTCTTACACTGCTGAAGGACGTCACATGCCTGAAATAAAGCGAACTGAGGGACTTACCTGGAAAGGAAGTAGACCTTGAGGACGACTGTTGTACCAGAGCATTTACATGTGGCCTGCGTAAGTTCAACGTCAGGGGAAACGCACCAGCGGATAGCAGGGCAAGGCAACAAGGTAAACGCGTGCGCGATATACTGATGAAGGAACACCTTCTATTAACAAGAACGCGGACTACGTACCTGATAGATGGAAGAGCCGGCCCCCTTGTAAAGCCTTTTAGTAATGCTGTAGTCCTGTCAGCAGAAACCGAGCGCTTAGAATGCGAACAGCGGTGCATGTCTGGGGAGACAGCTATGTTCAAATAGTTACCGGTATCTACCAATAAATCTACCGGTAAACGGCAAACGGTAGCAAGAACGACGAACTTATCAATGCCCCATCCTTACCGCCAAAGACCAGAAAGGGCGTTGCATTTCTGGTGGGGCTCCAGCCGATGACAGAAGCAGCGTAGGACGATGCTGGGGAACTGCTGGAAACGCTTCTTGTCGGATTTTCCCCGGTGATGCCGACTCGCGGCTGGCACCTTGCCAAGAAAAAGACGAGTTGGTGCTGCTACTCATCCTACCTCCGGTGGCATCTTTCCTTGAAAAGCCACATAAAGCCGTGGGTACCGCCGAGTTCGGCTGTTGGAGCGTGGATTGGGTTTTGGAGTTGGCCTCGAAGTCGACGCTGATGCCTCTAACAAGGTTGCTGTTTAAGGGACCAGGCGCTGCCTGGAATCTTCTGTGTAAGGCGTGCTCAGAGGCAGCGGCAAGACGAGCCCGGAGTTGAATGTCCCTATGTCCTTGTGGTAAAGAAGGTAGCGGCGCCGCGCGAGGTGACGTACTAAGAATCTCGTTAGAGGACATGCGCACTGAGCGGTCTTCGAAGGCCGGCGCTTTCACGTTTGACCCTGAGTGCGACGGAGTACCAGTTGGCCATGCGACTGGCGAGTCTACCGTCTGAGACGAGCTTTCAGCCTCCCGACGACTAGAATTGCCAAAATGAAACAGCCTTCCGAGCCGCTTGAAAAGCCTCGGCTTGGGCCCAGAGATGTCAGGGAGCGTAGTCATGTCGTTGAAGCTATAGAGCGGCAACGGCTTAGGGTGGCGTCACTTGTAGGTGTAGGCTAGGAAACGCCAAACTGCTCCGAATGCTTAGTACTGAAAACCAGATAAATGCACCGAATGTAACCCGTCGCCCTAACATTTACGACAACGGGATGTCGTATGGGTTGTGGCTTCCTGGATGATGAGGGCTTCTTGGTAGCTGTCATAGGTCTTCATAACCTGCTTTAATGGTTATCTTGTCAACCTTTGCAATGCTAACCACATATTGAGAACGATAGGCTTGATGTACTACTTTTTTGTTAAACTGAACCGACACGCAGTCCGTGCGCAGGTAGCCCAAGTATTCTTGAACAGGTAAGATGGTGTGTTTTATATGTATTATATGAATACTATGTCAAGACGACGAAATGGCGTCAGCATGCACGTGCCAAGGTATAACGTATAAGGTGAACTGCGGTACAGCACCACACAATAGCTGGCTTCAACGGCATTACTTCTATTAAATGCCAACGTAATACCTAAAAAACGTTTCCCCCCTACGATTTATCGGGCCATGTTTAGGTCTCTCTCCCGTGGCCGTATACGGAGTAAACCCGGTAGTCGTCAGGGATGTTTGACAGAAAGCCGTTGCAAAGCCACCTATAGATTATAGCCTTAAGAAATTAAAGATACTTTTGGCAGTAACTTGTACATAGGCGGGCGGAGGTCCTTTCCGACTTGGTACCCATAACGTCGCAGCATCCATTTGTACTGAATCCTATGTGCTGTCTACCAGCATTGTTTGCCTGCCAGCTGGACTACAGTGCTAAATGAATTGATGTTCAGGGATGGTGCTGGCTTACGCCTGACAGCCTTTTGTCACGCGTGACGACCTGTCAATGACCGGCACTACCACCACATACAAATGATGAATGGTCATGTGATCGCGAGCCCCTGCAGCTTTAGTCACGCCATCCTCAAATCGTGTTGGATAAACCTGGAAACCCGCAGGGAAGCGTCACGTTATGCCTAAACATTCGGCACATCGTTTCTTCCGAGCGCTTTTATGTGAAGAGCATAATGAGGGCAGAGTGCGTCCGTCGTCATTTGGGACTGAACGGGACACTGAAGTGGGGCAAAACACATGGGGACGCATCCTTGTGGTTGCTCGTGGAGAATGTTTCCAATCCTTGCTGCAACGCCCCCACCACACGGCGCCTGCGATGCCTCGCAGCCCGCATCAGCACCTAATGCTGGGGCACCAGCGGTCTTCAATTGTCAGTAGCCCCACAAAGAGAAGGCTGCTGCCTAAGCTAATAAACCGCAAAACCGCCACGAAAATGTCTTACCGGAACCAGGGGGGGGGTAAGAAATTTTCTTATAAACCCCAACCCGAAATTTCCAAAGAGAAGGCCTCGGAGCCACCCACCCACCGCCAAGCGTGTCGTACAACCTGTAAACTATGCCAAAACGCCGGGGAAAAAAGCGTCTAGGTTCCTCTGCGCAAGCTCTATTAAATGCAGTCGAAAAACCCCAAACCCCCTGGGAAGTTAATGTCACAGCGTTGCACTATGGACGGCTAAGGTAACCATGTTCTTGGCCCCAGCTTGACTGATGTTATGTATTTGGCGCCTAGGAAGCACCACGGCCCTTCCATTTGCGCCATACCACCGCAGTTCTGTTTTCGCCAACCGAGACATCGGCGCCACCACGTTCCAGGTCCCTGCTCCTGCCTCTTCTTCCCCCTGTGGCACTGGGCCCTGGACCATAGCCCCTGGTACCAATTCCCACGCCTTCTTGTTTCTGTGCTCAGCATCCCCACCCCATTCGTGGTCACTGTAAGTGCTTTCTCGCAGCTCAGTCTGTCTACTCCAACCCCGCATCCTCAGTCGTGCTCCACATCCATGGGGACACGCGACATGCTGCTATGCTAGGCCTTTACAAAGGGCCGACTAGCCGCGTTCGCAATATATGTTTTCTACATAAGTTGTTTCTTGTACGTTTGGGGATTGGGCAGTCCCGTTCGGCTACCGTGGTTCAGAGGTGAAGTGTCATTGCAACATCGGAAGCCGAGAAGTGACCATTTTGTTGATAGAACTAATTCTGTGTATAAGAAACGAAGAAAGGATGGCACTACAGCTTTCAAAACACTAACATGAGGCCTGGAAAAAATTTTCCGGAGGTTCATGTAAAAAAGTCGTTGGGGCCTTGAACCCACCCACCCACCCCTGCCGTACCACCAACTTTGCAAGCCCATAACTGTTTCCGTACAACTCTAAACAGAAATCTGAAAACAGATTCGGAATCCCCACGCAAAACTCCTTCGATTTGAGGGTTGGGGTCTATTTTTGCGGTTCTTACCCCCCCCCCCCTGCCGGAACGACAAGACACAGCTCGATATGCTACCGTACCAAGTGGGCCCCTAACGCCGCTGATTCAGTTGACCCTAACGCTCCGTACACCATCCCCTATAAACTGAACAGTCGGCCCGCATAAGACACCCAATTCAATCCCTAACGTACGTGGTTCCAATGCACGGCCGGACCAGAAAGCCCCGGCAGAGCTACCACCCCACATGCGAAGGACCGTTTTAATAGGATTGGCAGCAGCTTGGCTCAAACACGTGTGGGGTTGCACGTAATAACACATAAGGACATGACAAACAACAACAGGAGCTAGCAGCAACAAAAGCAGCAGCACTCACGGAAAACGCTGTAAGGCACATACGGCCCGCACTACAAGCAACAAGTCGTGAACAAACATAGACGCGTGTCCTTGGCCACCCTGGCTCGTACGGACACACTGTGCACGCGTACAGACTGTAACTGTAACTGTAGACGTGTGCGGCTCGCCTCAATAACAAGCTTGCGACGCAATAACAGCTCCGAGCTGCTGTGCAAAAGATCTGTAACCTTTCTGCATACAAGCAATTCCATTGCCACATGTTTATAGCCCTAACTAGGAAGTTGCTAAAGGTACACATACAACCTAAACACAATCCACGTGCAGAAGCTCGCTGCAGCACGCAACGGACAACGAATACCGTTGCCTGCTGCTGTTGCCTGATGTTCGTTCTCAACCCAACAATCCAACACGCGCCGGGAAACCCCCCAGCCCAGGCCCAAGCTGGCAGTCAGGCCCCTACGCAGCACATGATTGCTGCATCCGAACCTCAATCGGAACACAGTCTATCTGCCCCAAACAGCACATACAGCGCACCAACAGGAACAACGACAGCAATATCCAGACGCCAAATTACGAATCTTTCCAGGCCAGCCCGTCGCATGTGTTTGGCCCCGAATGCCAGGACAAAACACAGCAGCTACACCGTGCTTGGCGAAAGATCGTTCAGAGCGGCTGCAGCAGCTACATACAGAGGTCGGATCGAATTTTGCTGGGATGCGCCCTTCAAGCTTGACAAGATACGTACCCCCCCCCCCCCATGTGCCACCTCCGTCCACTCTTGCCTGTAAGCTCCCATCGTCTACCAACCCCGAAGCTGGTCCTTGTAAGCGTTTGCAAACCATTTAGTTCAATCGCAGTTGAAGCAGGAGCGCGTATGATGAGATATGACTTGCAGCAGCAGCAACCCTAGCCAAGCGAACGCCGGGCACTGCCTTCCTCAGTCCTCCGTCCTCACCATGCTAGGGTCGAGGGCAGCAGCCCCAGTTTCGTACACGCTCAAAACGAGCAATACATGTACGACACCTCTCGCAGCGGAAACCCCACCCAACACATACAACCCACCACCACCACCGCCACTCACCGCTGACCAACATGAGCTAAACACACGCGCCACCTCACGCATGCTCAACACACACAACTATCCATTGGTTGGCGCCACACCACACGTGTGTTTCCCAACACGCCGCCCCCATGCCCACAACAACAACAACAGAGCAACAGCGGCGGCAACACGCCTCGCTTGGTCTCCCCACGGTCCCCCCCTGCAGCCCTTAGCGAGCCACCGCCACCGTCCCGACGTAGCGCATTGCCAACTTCCATCTCATCGGCCCCCCGCCCGCTCATGTAGATAGCGCACCCACGGACCCACTACTGGCCACCACTGCGCTGCCGTCTCTCAGCGCTCCTGTCGGCCATGCATGCAGGAGCACTGCCGCGCGAGCTGTGCGGGTGGCTGGAGGTCTGCTTCATCACCCGCTTCACACGCTTTACACACTGGCGCGGGACATTTCATCGTTCAAATCATCTTGGAAAGCATACCTATACCGCTGTAACCGCCTGTGACAGCCATTCGTTCCTTCATCACCAGAGGCCCAGAGCGAGCACCGCTTGCACTCGGCCGTCCTCCGTACATGCCCTCTGCACCAGCAGGCCCCAGATCGCCTCATATTCTTCTGCACGCGTGCCATACAACTACACCTAGCTTCATCATGCCATGCAAGGAATTAACATGTTACGGTAAAAGGGGCTTGGGAATCTTGACAACACGAAAGGGCATCTTTGGGGATCATCATGCCCACCGTCTTCACCCACATGCACCACCTTCCGCTCGTTCCACGCACAACAGCCGCAGAGGACGCAACAGCAGCAGCGGCAGAAACACAAGAGCGACAGAAGAGGCAATGTGCGCCATTCCATGTTCCTTGTTGCTGCCGCTCGCTGCTCCGCCGTCCGTCAGGTTTGGCTTCTAAGGAGTTGGTCTTCATGAGGGGACCCTTTCGACCCTTTCCGTGATTGGGGCGCCCTTAATACGCCCCAATCACGGACCCCACGAGGGAAGAAGACTTTGCTCACTTCCCATGGTTCGTTGACGCACCGCTAAGCCCCATGGAGCCACCATCAGCTACGGAATCCCACAACCCACCGCAGTTCACAGTTCGCAGCGCCGTGCAAATGCAATGGGAACCTTCACTTGTCCCCCACGGCTCAGCTAGTAAGCAGCCTAACCAGCAACCCCTGCCCCTTCTGAATGCGGTGGAGCTGAGCACAACGCCCCCTACTACCGCCGCTACAAGGTCACCTACCAACCAGGCTATTATACGGTACTCATCTATGGTTGTGTCCATGTCCCCCGCTCGCCTTATGAGCCCCGTGTTGTCCGCCCTTCTCAGGCGCTCCCTTAGCCCTCCCACCTCCACCACCAACACCCCCACCGCCGCCGCTGTCTCCTCCCCCAACCCCGCTGCTGCCCCCGGCAACCCCACCCGCACCGCTGCTCGGGCCCACACCGTTTTCATCGGGCGAGTTGCTCCCCGAGTCACTGCCGTTCTTGCCGTTGCCGCCGCTGTGGTGATGATCACCCATGACGCCGCCCTCACGGTCCCGTGGGTTGCGATGCTGCTGCTGCGGCTGCTGCTGCGACTGGGGCTGCTGCGGGTAATGGTGGTGATGGTGGTGGCCCATGCTGCCATGTACGACGTTCCTAGGACCGCCGCCAGCAGCAGAGGGGGGTCCGTGAGACCCGCCTGCCAGCTGATGCTGGTGCTGCTGCTGGGAGGCTTGGTGCTGGGAGGGAGCTGCAGCCTGGTGGGTTGGCTGGGGCGGCTGCTGGGAGTCGTCATGGGGCAGCAGTGCAAGGGGCTGCTGCTGCTGCTGTAACTGCTGCTGCAAGTGGTGGGCTGGCTGGTGGGCGGTTTGCTGCCCTGGCTGGGCCGTTTGTCCCATGGAGAGTTGCTGCTGCTGTTGCTGCTGCTGCTGTTGCTGGTGGCTGTGGGAGTGGCCATGACTGTGACCATGACTGTGGCTGTGACTGTTCGTGTGGCTGTGGCCGCGGCTGTGCGCGCGTTCACGTGACAGCGAGCCCTGACTGCCCACAGAGCGAGAGGAGCGGGTTTCCTGCGAGGAGGGGGGCCGCAAAGAGGTGGCAGATTGGGTAAAAGAAGAGAGCAGTGGCGGGTTAGCGGGGTAACTTACACAGGAAACGCACTGAAGGTGAGACCCGTGGTGAGACTGGTGAGAGAGAGAGTAGTAAGTTGCTCTAGACGGGGAAAAGAACAAGCACAACCATTCCATCACTCTCGATTAGGTCTGCTGGGGCCCGGAGGTGCTTTGTTCTCACCTTTCGCAGCGGCAGCGGAGCAACGTCGGCGTCCGCCGCCATGGGTCGGCACTGCGCGTGGACGATAAGACGCGATGAGAAACACGATGTTCGTTTAAAGCATCAGAATACAGCGGAATACACACATAAGCGCAATATGCACGGCATGCAATGTACGGCAATTCATTAGGTGCCATTACCGTACGCAATTTACCGACGTTGGCACCACGGGGGACAGACAGCTTGGAACATGCTGGATGTAACATAAACGAGGCTATCACAAGCACACGCACATGCATCGTTCATTTTACACACCAACAAGGACAGTTTGCGGCCGCTTATCTCAACACTAGCACACGCCCGCACGCACCCTGGCCAGCATCGCTGCGTCTCGGAGGCCCATCAAGCTGCGGACCACCGCAGCAGTGGCAGCTGCATCTTCCTCATCTCCTCCCCCTCCTCCTCCTCCTCCGCCACGAGGCATTCCCCCCGAGCCTCGTAACCCGGCCGCCGCGGCGGCTGTAGCTGCCAGAACGCCGCCGCCGCCACCATTGACGGTTACAGCCAGGGGAAGGCCCTCGGCGCCGCCGCCGCTGACGTCACCGCTGCGGTTAACGGCCGCCGCCACCGCTGCCGCCGTCGCTAGCCCGTTGACGTTGTCTAGATCCATCATGCCGTCCGTACCACCACCCACTTGCTGCTGCGGTTGCTGCTGCTGCTGGTCTTGCTGGACGTCCATGGGGTCATCGGGTTCCGCCTCCGTCTCGTCTTCCTCCGCCTCCTCAGCATCGTAGTCGTCCTCCTGAACAGCGCATGATGCAGTGCAACGGTGATGAGCGGGAAAACGGCACCCGGGGCCCGCTCCCGGTTACCGGTGCTAACCGGTAGCGCTCCCGGTTACCGATAGCGCAACGATACCACTGCTCAAAAATCCTACAAACTTGCGAATCTTCGGTGCTAACGAGCCCCGGTTCATGATGTCATAACGTCATACCACCATTGCTCGCCTGCATGCTCCCATACCACCCTCTCCCCAAACAAACCACACACACGCCCCCGCACGCCCCCACCTCATAGTAACCCCGGTTGTCCGTCCCAACCTCCTCCTCGCCGCCCCCGTCATCTCCCGCGACGTCGCCGGCGCCGCCGGTGCCGCTCTTGGCGCCGTTACTGACCGTAGGCGCGCCGTCGTCCATCGCATCGCCGCCGTCGCCGCCGCCGCCGGTGCTGCCGCCAGCGCCGCCGCCGGCGCCGCCTCCGTCATGCTTTATGAACTGTCCCCGAACGCGGGGCCGTTGTTGTGCGAGCTGCTTGCGAGCCTCGTAACGAATGGTCTTGGAAAAGCGGAGGTTCTGAAAGGAGGGTGACACCTCATCGGCATTTGGGTTACAAGGCTGTGTGGCTCACAAAGCAGTGAAGCAGTGACTAGGTGCGCGGCAGATGGGGCATGATTATGGAAAGCCGGAGCGACAGAGGAATACCTTATTTCATCTTTCCTCTTCTCCAGAACTCCACAAAATTCACGCCAAGCAAGTACAAACTGAGCACCTAAAACTACTGAAACCAACGCAATTGCCCCCACCTTGCGTTTTTTACGGTACTTGTCAAGCGCCAGCGCACGACGGCGCTTGGGCTCCAAGACGCCCCCCGGCAGCATCAGCCCCCGCCCCAACCGCCCGTCAGCCTCCAACATATCCATCGACAGCATCACAGCCGCCGCCGCCGCGGCGCCACCGCTGCCGGCATTTCCGCCCCCGGCGACAGCGCCGCCGCCGCCGCCGCCTGACGTCAGCACATGACCGCCCGGCGGCTGCGCCGTCAGCGCCCCGGGAAAGGGCCCGAGCACCCCAGCGGCTGCCGCCGCGGCGGCGGCGATAGACGCCGCGGGCGTGAAGGGCGGTGCGCGCCAGGCAGCCGCAGCGGTGGCTGCTGCGGCCACTGCTGCGGCGGCGGCGGCCGCTTGTTGCTGTTGGTGGTGTGGGTGGAGGTGCGGGTGCAGGGAGGCGGAGGAGGGATGAGGCAGGCCGCGAGAGCCCGGGGGGGCAGCGGGATGGGACAGGGACTGCGGTTGCGGGAGGAAGGAGAGCAAGGAGGCGCAGGGGAGGGAGGGCAAAACTCAATTTGTGAAACGGTAGTGGGAGGGACGGATGGAAAGAGACGGCACAGGGCACATACGGCAGAAGGTGGTGGTGGTGGGGCGCGGCATAATGAAGAACGGTAGCTATGGATGCGTGGGTTCATGGGCCCTCCCTCCTCCTCCCCCTCACCGGCTGCCCCAGAAATGCCTGCAGCGGCACTCCCCCCGCCAGCAGCTGGTTCAGGAACATGGCATTCAGGTTGGTGGCGCCGCTGGTGGGAGGGCCCGCCGGGGGAGCTGGCGGCGGCGGCGGCAGGGGTGCGCCCAGCGCTGACGTCGGCGGCGCCCCTGCCGCTGCTGCTGCTGCAGCGGCGGCGGCAGCAGTCGAGGATGGGTGTGCACCTGCGGGTTGAGCAGCGGCTGCGGCCTCTCCGGTGTGTGGGGATTGCTGCTGCTGTTGCTGTGCTAGTGCGCTGAGGAGGAGGCTGTGGGGAGGAGGCGGGTGGCCGTGTTGGGGAGCGACGGCGCGGGCGGCCTGGTAGGGGTGGAGGAGGGAGGTGCCGGCGGTACAGGTTGCGAGTGGGGGGGTCAAAGACCATATCAAACCATAGGAAACCACAGGTTAGGGCAAGCAGTGGGGATAGGGGGGGCGGGGTGCGTGAAATGCATGGGAGCTGTCAAGAGGGCACATCGGCAAGCATAAGCTTGGCACAGGGCGCGTCGCGACGCGATGGGCCCTGTAAGACCATGCCCGCCTGCACATGCTAATAACTTACAGAAATCTTACAGACATGGTACACACCCCTGCATGGGCCCCCCTAGTCGTACCTCGGACGCCGCCGCCAGCGCAGCCAGCGCATCGTTTGGCGGGAAAGGAAACACCGACTTGACGTACGTGGTGGAGAGGAAGCGGGAGAGGGAGAGGGAGCGGGAGAGGGTGGTCGCAGCGAGGAACGCGAGCGCGCAAACAAACACAGAAGGAGGGAGGGGAAAGAGGACGTGGGTTAATTGAAAGGAGTAGAAGCGGTGTACTGTCCCACGGGCATTCCCTGCCCCTGCAGTACAATTGATCTCTCCATCACCCCCATCGCCCCCATCCTGCCCACCCATCATATTCCTCTTACCTGCAGCCCAGGCGGATGGTGTGCCTCAACCTGACCCACACCTCCCGGATTTCCACCGCCCCCACCAGCAGCAGCAGCAGCCGCAGCCGCCGCTGCAGCAGCAGCAGCAGCGGGGCCGAAACGAAGCGCCGGATGCGCCATGCGGGAAAGAAGTTGACCGGCCGGCAAACCAAACGGCGAGGGCGCGAACACGCCTGGAAACCCCGCCGGGGCCGCAGCCGCGGGCGGCAGACCCACCAAGGCTTGGTGGGCATGCGGATGCGTTGGGGGGTGGTGGGCATGCGCATGCGCGTGCGGGGCGTGATGCTGTGCCGCTGCGATGCCTGCTAGCCAAGCGGCGGCAGCAGCACTGCCGGGCTGGTGCTGCTGCTGCTGCGGATGCAGTGCAAGATGCTGCTGCTGTAGCTGCTGAGATAGCGGCTGTTGCAGGTGTTGGTGTTGGTGCTGGACCGCGGCCGCGGCTCCGGAACGGCTGCCACCACCGCCGCCACCGCCGTTGCCTCCGGCGGTAACGCCCCCCGCGCTACCCGAGCCGGTTGTGTGCAGCGACACGTAACGGCTGTTGGGGGATATTCCCTGTGAACCCGGCGGGTCGCTAGAGGGTGTTGGTTGCTTTGCGTAGGTGTGGTGGTGGTAGGAGGAGCCGGCGTGGTTGGGGGTGCTACCGCTGATGAGACCGCCGCCGCCGCCGTTGCTGCCGCCGCCGCCACCGCCGTTTAGAGTGGTGCCGCCACCACCCGTACCGCCGCCTAGGGCGCCGCCGCCGCCGCCGCCTCCGGCGGCGCTGCCGCCAGCGGCGGTGACGCGATCCGCGGCAAGGGGGTGGAAGGTGCCGTCTGAAGCGCCGTGCGTGTGCGTGTGTGTATGGCCGCTGCCGTTAGAGCCCCGGAGCTGAGGGAAAGAGGCGGGTGGCGGGCGAATGTTGGTACGCCAGTCGGATAGCGGAGGGGATCTTAGCCGGGTAGCGGAAGGTTTCGGAGTGCGGACTAGGACCCGCGCCCGCACGTCACCGCCAACGCAGCACCACAGACCGCACTTAACATTGGAGAGTGGCCTTCACCCGCTATCCTTAAATATAACCCATAACCCCGCATAATCCAATGCACACATCTGCTTGCTAACTGCTTGCTCTTGTTCTACTCAACCACACACTATCTCCAGCCTATCCCGCTCACCGCTGCTGCTGCCGCCCTGTCTCGAGGCATGCCCCCCGCCTTGGACCTGCTCCCGGGCGTGCCTCCGCTGCCACCTCCACCGCCTCCACCCGCACCCCCGCCCCCTGTACCCGTGCCCTCGGTCCCGGTCATCTGACCCATGCCCCCGCACGTGCCATTACCCTCCTCTTGCGTTGCAGCCGTTGCGGGTTTGCTGCGATCGCGCTCTCGGTCTCGATCGCGATCTCGATCTCGGCCGCCACCTGAGGGCTGAGCCGCTGCGTCTGACGTGGCGCCGCGCTTGCGGCTGCTGCTGCTGGGCCCTGTGTACTGCGCGAAGGCTGAGGAGCGACCCATGGTTCCGCCCATGGCAAGGCCCTTCAGGAAGGAAGCAGGGGAATCAGGAGGATCCCGGAGGTGGAGCTGGGCAAATCAGCAGAAGTTGTGGTGGCGGACCCGGGTGTGCTAGATTCATACCCGGTAGTCCTTATCGCGCTAGGCGGGTAATACCGGGTAATGTGAGTGGGGCTTATGCAAAGCGGTTGTGCATGCATGTACGGAGCAAAGCGGCGGCGATTGTACGGCAATGTAACGGTATGTCGTACCTGCAATCCATCGTGATTGGGCACTAGCAGATTGGCCGGCATCTTGCCCTCAGCTGTGTTGACCAGCGCCTGGTAGTGCCGATCAACCGCCAGGGTCGTACTGGCGCCGTTACCGTTAGAACCGTGACCGTTGCCATCGCCCTTGGTAGCGGAATTGCCGTTGCCGCCGTTTTTGTTGTCTGAGGAGCCATTGGAACCGTTGCCGTTGGACCCATGGCCGTTACCGTTGTTGGATCCATGACCGTTGCCGTTGGAGCCGTGTCCGGTATCTTTGATGTCGCAGTGCGGTTTGTCATCCACCCTGGGGATGAAAGGTAATAATTCAGCAAACGTGAAGATGAGCAGATGAGTGCATTATGCGTGGTGGCGTGTACCGTAGTTGAGTAGGACAAGAGCAAGCAATTGAGAGAAATTCGCATGTGAACCGCGAGTACAGGCAAAACAGAGGTGACCAAACCTGCACCGTAATTCAAAAAATCTGTTGCTGGATGTAAGAAGAATGGCGGGTGACGAATGACGACGCATGTGTATTTGTGTGCAAGGAACGTGGCTTTCAGGCATAAGGCTTTACGTAGGAGGTGGGTTCTCGCCGAGTTGCTGGGTCACGTCATGCGCCCTGAACCCTTACGTTCCCTGGTCTACTTGCATGGGGGACTTCTGGCGCAACGCTGTCACTCAAAAGCACGTCAGTTTCACTCCTAAGACATGGGACAGTGTGAAAGAAAGACCCCCACGATGAGCTCTATTTGTTGTCGACTTAGGGGGATTGCGATCAATAATGCCAGCCCGACGCACCGACTGGTTCCGTTGCCCTCCTTGCTTCCATTGCTTCCATTGCCCTTGCTGCCGTTACCGTTGCTCCCGTTACCGTTGCCGTTATCGGGTGCGCTGCCCTCCTTGGACGTGGGCTCTTCCTCCTCTTGACTGTGCGCGTCACATACGGAGCAGGTTATGGAATCATAATTAGCACACGCCTATATTTATTGCGATTCGATTGACCAAATATGCAATTGCGGTTGGTGCGCGTGCGGTGGGCATGCGGGTAAGCAGATGAAATTGGGACAAGTGGTAGCCTGTGGGCAAGCGTAACGGGCTGGGTATGGCTACGCCGTACTCCACGCTCTGCGCAAGTGGGTCAAGTAGCGAGCTATACGGTAACCCACCATTTAGTTTGCTTGGAGTCACTAGAGGTCGCCTCGTACTGGCGGTTTGCGCTGCCTGGTCCGCGGAATGTGTAATGGCGAGGTGCATGCGCAGCGGGTTCTCCCGCGTGCTGGCCTTGGCTCTGCAAACGTTGTTGGCAGTACAGTACTTTGTGTCAAGCACAAGGCAAGCACAAGACAAGAGCAAAGCTTCTGCTTTCCGAATTTCCAGTACACAAGCGATTCACCTTCTGCCACCACCAAACGCGTGTCCAGATGTGACGGAGCTCGTTCTGGCGAAGCGGCTTTATAAGGTAGTCGATTGCTCCAAGAGACAGGCAAGACATCACTGTTTCTCTGTCCCTATTTGTTGAAGTCACTGCGGAAAGATATTTATACATAGATACGATAAGGTGGCGGTTGCGAGAACTATCAGATTGAAGAGTTCCGTGCACTCCGTATGGTAGATTGCGTATCAGATGTCTCACCAACAACAGGTGTGCCGGTGAGGTTCTCAGTTTTCGCCATGCGCTTGAGAAGGCGGCACGCGTTTGCGCCTGGAGGCTCATGCTCCTTGAGCACCAAGTCAAAGCCACCTCCATGCTCCGCTTCTAAGAGCAGCTGAAGTCCCTCGCGCGCAGTTTTCACTGCGGTCACCTGCAGTCCCGCCGGCAAAATCCTTGTCACACGCCAATGTAGGACGCTTAAACCAAAGGAATTTTTATTTTCGGACAAAGTAAGAACACTGTCTAACTAATCGCGTGATACCTTCCCATTCCGTAAGCACCTGATATGAGCACTCCCTCAAGAGCTGCGTAGTGCTCTGACGAGACGCAGCCTTGCTGTCTATAACTAAGATACGCAGATTCTTTGGGTCGGAAGACAGTATCTGTTGGGCGCTAGCATGCTGGGCGCCCTGCATACTGGGCTTGTGCCGGCCCACGAAGGGGCCCGGCACCCTCTCCGTCCTCTGGGTGTCAAACTAATCCAAACTCTAGTCTCCCTCATACGATGAGCCTCGGAACTTCTATGGCTATGTTCAATCGCTATTACCTACGTTAACTGTTTGGGTTGTGATTTGCAACTACTCGGACCAAATTTTGTGCGTACGAGCAAATCGGCAGATATTGCTGGGACGAGCAAAAGATACGCCATACCACAACCGACGGCAGTTGCCATTCTATGTCGGCCGGAAAAGGCCAAAAGGTATGCAGTTTGTTATGCTTTCCTTCCACACAAATACTCCATTAGCGTCCCAGAAATTGTCCGCTCGGTATGCGTGTGTGCGCGTGCAGAGTAGGATGACCACAAGCGCGGTAGAAGGAATGTAATGCGCATAGTAACCACAGTTTTTTCGTTTGGACTCGCCAAACGAGCGGAGCCTGGCGTCCACCTAGACTGTATCACCTGCCTTCTAAGTGTAGTGAACAGGTGGAAAAGATACTTGTGTGCTATGTCGGGCGCAGGACGCCGCGGCTTATGTTGGGCGAGCGGTGACATGCTATGCGACAGGTGCGGCGGTGTGGGCCAGGTTAGGAGACCGGCAATGACGGGCATGGTCGGTACGGGCTGGGTTCTCACTAGTCCACACCAGCCCTGCCATTTCCGGCTCTTTGACACCAGGGTTTAGTGCGCGTGATGCACAACGGCAGGGGCCTCATGAGACCCTCATCCTTCACCTTGGCACACAGTAACCCCGTATGCTCGAATCGAAAACATATCCGGTATTTGCGACATGCGCGGCCTGAAGTCATGTGCGGGGGCTTCTCCTCATCGACAATGTACGATACACGAGGTTGGCCCTGACTGCGATGCACCTGTGAGGCACCCTTCTTGCCGAAGTTGGCTCTCACCATTACAGCCCTTAGGGCCGTGAAAGGAACTGGGTAAGGAAGATGAGCGCGGCGGTAAGGGTGGGAGGCTAAACTGCTAGGCAATGGTTTGTCGAAGGGCGTCTTGCAATCATTTCTTCCAGGATACTAGCATGCCGCCCAAGGCCCTTGCAGGCGACTCGGTATGAACCGTGTGATGCCAGGTACGGTCTGCCAAACCCGCTCCAACTACGAGCACGCAGTTCGCAGCACGGCTCTGTGGGTGTGGACTTGCCGGGCACTGGTGGTCGGAGAGCAAGGTACGGCAAGAGAGACAGTGCAATGCAGGACCTGAGGGTGCGCTAAGGCTGGGGACATTCGGACCCGCACTATGGTACTGGTATACAGCTAAGAATATGCCAGAGAGCACGCATTCATAGACGTCGTGTCCGCATGTCTTTAATTTGCTGTGCTGTGGTGCTGGTAAGTGGTAACATGGTGTGGTCCCGAAGCCTGCTCCGGATCCACGTACGACATGTTGCAGTTAATGGAGCACTGGCCAGGATAGCCACAGCTTGCAGTAGTTGTACGCATTGCTACCTACATTTTCTTGCACAGCCTTCGAGCAATTCTTTTTCTTGGCTCTTGCCTTAGTTGTCACAACATTCGCAAAAATTTCGCGCCACGCAGCACAGCCGACTATGGCAAGCATTATGTCAGATAAACACGAGCGTGTGCGCGCTCGTGTGCGTGAGGCTTTTGTACTCTTTGAACACAAGGAAGGGAGCAGATTGGTAGACTTTAAAGACGTCCCAGTTGCAGTTCGCGCATGCGGTGTTAACCCAACATCGGTTCAACTGAACCTAATCTTGGACCAGTTAGCTGCGCTCAACGCGGAATCAGAAGCGACGGGCCTGGTTGGCTTGGAGAACTTTGAGCTGGTCGTCTCAAACTTCTTGATACAGCAGGAGGCGAGTCTCTTCAGGGACGATTACCACACCTTGCTGCGCGCGTTCCGCGCTTTCGACCCGGAGGGCCGCGGCTACATCGAGGCGGAGACGCTGCGGCAGCTTCTAAGCGGACGCGGCGAAGTCATGTCAGAGGACGAAATGAACAAGATGATGACGGTGGCTGTGGACGAGCAGGGGCGCATATGTTACGAGGACTACGCGCAGGTGGGTATGGTCGGGCATGGATGGGCGGGCAATCGCAGCCCTGGGACATGCGGGACTGGGAGTGCGACACCGGGCAGCCCCTAGCTGTTAGGTGCAGTTTGTTTAGGTTACAGTGCGTTGGAATGAGCTCGCAGCGTTACCGTGTGCAGATGGTCCCATGAGGAAGGGGCGGGAATGTCCAGGCGGAAATGCCCAGGTCAAATGCCAAGCCCCCTGCTCGTCAGGCAGGAGCCCTACGGGGCCTTACCTCGTTTGGACCCTCCCACGCCCCCTCCTCACATACCCCGCGTCTCGAAATTCCTCTCCACCTTTCTTCCCCCCAGCGGCTCGCCAATGACGGGCGACGCATCTGATGTAGCACTGCAGCAGCAGCAGCAGGATGTACGAGCAGGTGGCACATGGGGCCATAGAGCGGCGTGTCACCCCTACTGCGCAGCGCTCGGCGTGACGTGAGCCCCGGTTGGCGTCCTCATCCGCCGTAGCGCGTGTTGGGAGGTACAGGAGGTACTGCTGCAGGGAGAGCAAGGGGAGCAGGTCGTCGGTTATCTCTGCTCACAGATGGGGATGCCTGTCCCAATGCCTTGCAGCAAATGGATAGTCAGCCAATGCAGTCCCGCGGGTAGGGATGTAGTCTAGGAGATGGCGCCTCTTGCAGGGCCGAGTGGGGCCAGGAGGGCGGGGGAGTTGGTGCAGGATTGACGGCTGCAGGGCTGGCATGGCAGGGAGTGGACGGGTTGCAAGGGGGGTGGGTGAGGTTGCATTCGCAGCTAGTCACATTCGCACCGTGCGTCTACGCCTTCTGCCTCGGGGTGGTCCCGCGTGGGGGTCTCAAGGATTCTGGGACCTGTGGTAGGGCCGCAGTTGCAATGTGGGGGTACTCAAGCACCCGAGCACTGTTACCGGTAGTTAGAGGCGGCTGATTCGGTGTGGGCGCGTGCGAGCTCCCGGGCTGCATGGCTGGGGTGCTGCTGCTGGTGCTGGTGCTGCATGGGGGCGCTGAGATGGATGCGTCGTATGCGGCCGCTAGGGCTGGTTCACCTTCCCTTGCAGTGCTCTTTATGATGAAGAGCAAGGGGGAAGACGTACTGTGTGTCTTCCCCTCTCACCTTCAATTAGTACGGTATAGAGCAGCATTCACTATTTGTGATGTTGCAGTGATGTTGCAGAGGGAGTAGCAGGAGGGGATGCGCTTGGGGTGCGGCATACATGGGGTGACAGGTTCAGGCCGAGAGGTGGTCGCATGAGAAAGGGCCGCAAGGGTTGGGTTGTCATGGTGGGGTGGTTAGGTTATTAGGGGTTTAGGTGCAAGCAAGCTTACTGGGCTTACTACTTTTTGTAGGACAGACAAGATGGTCGCTAGGCAGCGTCCCAGACGTGCATGGGAGCAAGCCACGTGTTTCTCTCCCTGTAGGTTTTACCCAACTCGCAAGGATTGGCATGGATGTCGGCATAACTTTTTACGGCAGTTGCGGTTAATAGCAGTGTAGGAATTAGGCACCCCTACTAACGAGGATTACTGTATTGACGTGCCGCGCGCGCGGAGGGCTTTTAACTCCGTTTTGCATGCATGTATGTTGTTGGGTGTGCATCACTCCCGGGATGAGGGTGGTAGAAGCGAGAGATGCGGCTTGAGGATGAAGAGGCTTGTACTGCTGCGTATGGCTGCCGGCACTTCTCTCACCTTCACTGCATCAGGCATGGCACACAAGCCGTCGCATGTCCTACGGTATGTTACATCCTTTTCAGTAGCAGTTGCTTGCAAAGCAAGCCACCAAGATGTTTCAATTGCATTCTTCGCTTGACGATCCCCGAACCGTGTACAGCACTGCGGGTTATACGATCCAACGACTTGCGTGCGGCGAGGAATGCTGCTGACGTTGATCGTACGCATGAAAACATGCATGATGCGCAACACGGTACAACACCTTCATCAGTTGGGAAAGTATACCGGGAGAAAACGCACAACACGAACATACGAGGAACGACAACAAAAAACTGCATACGCAGAGTAACAGAATGCATAACATTCAACCCAACGCGTACGAATATACGTACGAACAAACAGTTGCAATGTGCTTGCGGCTCGCTACACATGCATGATGCATGTGTCCCAGCTCACATACCCCCTGTACGAGCACGTACGGGTTCTCGATGTGCGTACGGGACATGTACGACATGTGCTTTCACATACGCACACGTGCGCTGCTTGCTGCCCGCCCCTTAGCTACCTTCTATCTACAACTTAAGCCCCGCCTGTCCGGGCCTGAACACCATTGGGACGTACCCAACGCAATACGTGCCCAGTCGCAAGCAGTACACACCACCAGTACGTTCCTACTCGCGGCCAGTTCTCTTAACACCCCGCCTGGCCGACCGCTTCCCCTCAGCAGACCAACCAAGACACACATCCAAAACCGCGGTCCCGGAACATGACATCAACATGGTGAGTATTTCTCCATTCCCAGTGAGGTTTGGAAACAATGAGGTTGAACTTCAGCCGCGGCTCCTCCCGCGCGTCCCCCCCCTGCTGCTTCCGCTTTACCCCCACTACCTCACCGCCTCATAGCCTACAGCCCCCGGATTCCAGCCGTTCCAGTCCATCAGATACCCACGTGTGATACCTTCCACCAGGGTATCAGGCGGTGTTGCCAAGGAACCTGCACACCAGTCCTTGAAAGTGTATTCCACACAGATGCAGACAGTGACGAATACCGTGCATCCTTGCCTAGTTCATCACCCGCCTCCAATGAACAATCCCACATCTTCTCCAACCCCACCGCTGCCTCCTTTCCATGTCCTTCTACTTCCCCCCACCCTTCGCTGCAAAATTAGGCTTCTTATTTTTTTGCCTCGTTCACCCACGTCAGTGCGCATTAGGGCCTCCTAGGCAGCACCAACCCCTTGGCCTCCATGCCCCCAATGTACGGCACCGAGTTGTTGACGTACGTCATCATCGTACGATTTAAAAAGCGCACAAGCTCAGCTTGCTGGATCACCTGTACGGCCCGGGTGACCTTATCGCTCCCGGGGGCCGCGGCGGCTTGCAGCCAGGCGGCGTCCGCTGCCAGGGCGGTGGCGAGGGCGGCGCTGCTGCCGCTGGAGGTGTTGCCCCATGTGGCAGGGTCGGAACGGGCGGCGGTGATGGTGCGGCTCAGCAGCAAGTCGATCCTGTTTGTGGAAGTGGGGAGGACGTAGTCAGGAGGCAAACTAAGACAGTTTGTGGGCGAGTACCGATGGGTGGTGATGAGTAATGAGAGTCGAGCGGGGGGATGAGGATGCGGCGAGTCAGCCGGAGCCTCTGGGTGAGATAGCAACAAACCGGAGAAAGGAGGGCTGCGGGTGCCTGTCTCTCTTCAAGCCTCCCATGTCCTCCTCATCAAGTTCCCAACCCAACCCCGCCCTCCCACACGCGCCCTCCCCCCCCCTACCTGCCCGACACCTCCACGATCGCCTGCTGGTAGCGCCGTACCTCCCGCGCCTGCACCACACTGGGTGCATACGCGCCCGCCGCAAACAGCCCCGCCGACAGCAGGCCGCTGAGCACCAGCGTCACCACCCAGCCAGCCAGGAAGTGGGTGGCCAGGCGCCAGTGCAGGCCGCGGGAGCCCTCCATGAGGCCCATGCCGGCCGTGGCGCCGACCTGCGGAGGGAGAGGAGGGAGAAAGGAGGAAGAGGAAGATGGAAGGTGAAAGAGAAAGGGGTGTCTTGCCCTAGGATGATGAACTGATGCTGACACGCACATGCAGGTGGTGTGCCCTGCATGCATGCATGCTGGTACAACACTGGCGGGCGGTACATACGGCAGGCGGCGTGGCGTGACGCGTAGCGGTATATAGACACACATACGCATCCGCAGCAGCAGCAGCAGCACCCAGCCAGCCAGCCTGCTTGTCATCATCCCGTACGTTGGGTGCCGTACGTGCCTGGCAGTGTGTTGTTGAGATGGGCAGTCCGTACTTGGAGGCCAGCACCACCACCAGCGCGGTGGAGAGCTCGATGCAGAAGCCGCGGGAGGGCGTGATGACGGATAGGCGCACCCCGATGGCGCGGATGATGTTGTAGCCTGGAGGGAGGTGGGTGGGGGTGGTGGGAGGTGGGTGGGTGGGCTGTAACCTGGAGATTGAGGGGTGGGAGCGAGGAAGGTGGTGGAGAGGGAGGAGGCATGGGGTCAAAGAGGGACCAAACGTTAGGAACGTTCCTTGTCTTTCCCCTGCACCTCCCTGCACTCCCCCGCCCTACCGTATGTTGCCAGCCCCACCACGATGCCCGCCCCGCCCAGCAGCAGGACCCACACCGGCAGGTCGGATAGGTAGTCAACCTTGGGGGGGGGGAGAAGGGTGGCGGGGCGGGGATAGAAAGGAAATACTGACGAGCTGTAGGACGAGGCTTCAGCATGGGTTGCTAGATTGGACCCGGCCCATCCCACCCCACCAGACTTAGCCAAGCCAAACCGACGGCCCCCCCCTCATTATATATTTTTTACCCCCCGCCCGCCGGCTCACTCGCTGGTGGCGGTAGATGTGCCAGATGGCCGCCAGCGGCCCCACCGAGTTGGCCACGTCATTGGCGCCATGGCTGAAGGAGTCGCACATGGCGGTGACAACCTGGGGTTGCGTGGGGTGAAGAGGGGGTGGGGGGATGGGGGGATGTGTGGGTGGGAGAATACGGCTGCTTTTTTTCCCGATGTGGACTGTTACAGAGGAAGGACAGGAAGACAACCAAAAATACCACCCACGTATCCCCTATTCCGAGACCCTCTACACGCCAGGGCGGGGGGGGAGGCATGGAGGCAGCAAAGCAAGGCGGGGGGTGCGGCCTACGTCGCAATCCAACACCGCTACAAATAGCAGTTAGCGGTTGGCAGCTACAAAGTGTGAAGAGTGACAGTCGCAGCTTATAAATAACAGTTACACAGTTATGAAAAAGACGTGTGGCTGTATGTGCATTTCGCCCACAATCTTGGCAATCTCAGGACAACCTGAGGTAACTAATAAGTACCATCACCGCTACCGGCACCGCCACCTGCAGGTATTTGAACACGTGCTCGCTGGCGGGGTCGAACACCTCCGCGTGTGTGTGTATGCGGCGCACGGCGGTGTCCGTCAGCGCGGCCGCATGCACGTCCACTCGGGTGCCGTGAAGCACAACGGCCTGCGGGCGGCGGGCAGTGCGGGGCCGGGAGATGTGCGGGCGGGGAGTGTGCAGGCGGGGAGTGTGCAGGCGGGGTGGGTTGTGATGGTTATTGGCAGTTGTTAACTTGTGATAGTTGGGGTAGTTGTGAGCATGTGTGAGAGTATCCTAGGGAGGCGCGATTGGGTTGGTAGAGCATGGAATAAAGCTGCTGGGATGCAGAAGGATGGAGAAGGACAACAACGAGCAAGACGCGCACAGACGCCAACCTTTCCGTACCTTCAACTGGTCGAATGTGTTTTGCCAGTGCGCATGCCCACGTTGGCCAGTGTCCCTGTCGCCCGCGTCGCCATCGACGGAGACAACCGAGGAGCTGCGATCACCCCCACATCCTCCACCTCCACCACCCCTGCCACCATCACTACCATCAAACGACGGTCCTGAACCCCCGTCGTACAACACACCAGCGCCGTACACACCCGCTGCTGCCGCATTGTCGTACGGATCTGATCTATCGAAAGGACTTCTTTCCGTACAACCTGCTTCCGTTGCTGCTGCTGCTGCTGGCCAGCTGCTGTGGGCCCCATCACGCGCCTCGGCAACCGGTCCAGCGGGCAGTCTTGTTTGCAAGGGAGACCGCTGCGAGGGCTGCTGATACCGCTGTTGCCATGCGTGCTGCTGTTGCTGCTGTTGGTGCTGAGGGTGCAGATAGGTGCCTGCTGGCCCTTGCTGCCAGCGCTGGTGTTGGTACTGTTGCTGGTGTTGCTGGTGTTGTAGCGGGTAGCTTGACGACGATGTGGGTCCTGCTGCCGGCCAACAATGCACGCTGTTGTTGTCCACCTGCCGTACATCCACATGCCAGGATTGCCCGTACTGTTGTAGCAGTTCTGGCTGCTGCTGCTGCTGCTGCAGCTGTGAGTGAAACCACGCTTGCTGCTGTTGCTGCTGCTGCTGCAGTTGTGAGTGAAACCACGCTTGCTGCTGTTGCTGCTGCTGCTGTTGCTGCTGTTGTTCCAGCGCCATTCCCAACTGCTGTTGCGGCGCCCATTGCAGCAGCTGGTGCTGTAAGTTCTGCTGCTGCTGCCATTGTTGCTGCTGCTGCTGCTGGCCCCAAATCTGCTCCCCCTCCACGGTTTCAGGTGCTGTTGCAGCGGCGTCAGTCGCGGGCGGTGGCGGCAGTAGCGCCACCGCCGACGCCGTCGAGGATGACCCGACTGCTCCCACCGCCGCCACCCCACCCGCCGCCTCTGCTGCTGCATATCCATGAGCCGCATCCTCCTCAACGGGGGCTGCTGTGCAAGATGACAATGCTGGGGGTGGGTGCGGAGGGGGCGGATACTTCGCACTGGGCTGATGCTTTGGTAGCGGGTGCTGAAGGGCTTCTGCTGGGGCTGCGGTGGCAGAGTGTTCGCCGGTGGGGGAGGCATCCTGTGGGCCACCCTCTTCCTCTTCCTCTTCCTGCCGAGGTGGTGATGTTGTTGCTGCTGCTGCAGCTGCCGCTTGTAAGGAAGCTGCATCATGACCCGCTGAGGGCATGCTGCTGCTGTCACTGCTGCTGCTGCTAACAGCAGCAGCAGCAGCACTGGGGCCAAAGGACAGCGACCCACGGGTCACCATAACGCCCTGGTGGCTCGGCTGCAGCAACCCCTGCTGGGACCACTGCTGTTGTTGCTGCTGGGGACACTGCTGCCGCTGTTGCTGCTGTCTCATTCCCATGCCTCCCGCCGCACCAGCCTCCTCAGCGCCCGCACCAACGCCCGCAGCAACAGCAGCGGCACTGCTGCCTGCCCCAACTGCTGCTGTAGCTGCTGCAGCTGCATGAGCAACACATGTGCTGCTGGCTCTGCCTTGCGGGAGGTGCTGGTCGACGCCTCCGCCACCACCACCAGCCCACCCACCAGCTACCTTCCCTGAGACCCCAGCAGTACCGCACGGTGCCTCTTGTGTCCTCCCGTGAGGAGCCGCCGTGTCATGGCATGGGTGGGCGGTGGGGTGGCGGCGGGTGCAGCGGTCATCATCAGCTGCCACCACAGGAGCCTCGTCGGTAGACAGCTGCTGCTGTAGCCTGGGCTCGGGATGAGGATGGGGATACAAACAGGTATGAAAAAAAAGGTGATGGCAAGTGAACCATGGGTCATCATCACGCGGACAAGCGGCGAAAGCCATGAGTGATAAAAACCCACGCTCACTCACACATTCACCCACCCACCCACCCACCCACCCAGCCTAGTCCAGCCCAGCCCAACCCAAAGCCCACCTTGCGGCCTCCTGCAGCTCCCGCTGCACGTGTCCCCGCACCAGAGGCAGCCCCACCAACGCCGTCAGCAGCGCGCAGCCGCCCGCCACGCACGCGCTCACCCATGCGCACCGAGCGGAGGCCCACTGCAGCTTCCTGCTGGCACCCTGCAGGGGCAGCGTAGCGGGCCGGGGCGGGCAGAAAAACATTGCCTCTTCCTCGCAGGTTGGGAAGAGTGGGTTTCGGGGGGCCAGCAGGGCTCCGGAGGATGGGTTTCGTTCGAGAGGGAGTTTGGGTGGGAGTTTGGAGAGCGGAGCCGAGGCATGGACGGGGCATGGACGGGGCACGGGAGATTGTGTCATGGCAGTGTCTTTGGTTTGGTTCGTGGTGCTTTGGTTTGGACTGGGTTGGAGCCCGCAGCAGCAGAGCCCGCTGGCGGTAGGACGGCCGCTGTCCCTAGGAACGAACCCCAAGACAGCCTGTTGTTGCGTTGTCACGTTTGTCGCCATGTCACGATCAACACACCAAGGTCAGTACCTCAGTAGCAGCTTTGCGGCCAGGTGTTTTAAAAGTAATAATGACCCCCATGATCCCCCGTTTAACACGCCGTACACCGATCTTACAAACCCCGCGCGATTGGGGGTTTAATGATGCGCATGGCTTACGTTGTACAGCACGAAGTAGCAGTTGATGAAGACGGTGAGCAGCACCAGCAGCGGCAGCGCCTGCGCGAGGGGCGGGAAACGATGCCAGGGAATCATTGCCAGGGATGCATCGGTTAGCTACTAAAGTCCTTGACAATGTAAGGACAAAGTGCGCACAAACCAACGAAAACTACGGCCACAGCCCCCTGGTATAATCTAACCTAGCCCCCCTGGTCGCATCTAATGCAGGGCCCCCCCTCGGTCGCTACCCCCCCCCCCACCCCACCCATGCATGCAAGTCGCACGCAAGTCGCACCCAAAGTGCCAGCTGCAGGCTGTTGGCTCGGCGCAGGATGGCGGCACGCAGCAGGAAGAACAGCGCAGCGGTGGCTAGACCGGAGACGAGTGGCGAGACGAACCACGACAACGCGATAGGCACCTGCGGGGGGCAGGCAGGCAGCACCAGTGCTCATTCACGTCCCTTAGCGGGAACCGTTGTAGCGGTCATTCAACTACCCAGTCAGCCAGCTTAAGGAACCCGCCATGGCACCAACCCAGCACCCACCATTCCCTTCATGTACGGAAAGGCCTCCATCGGCTGCAGCCACACTACGGCACCCGGGCCGCCGTACACGAATGCGAAGCCCATGACAGCTCCCACTGCGGGCCGGGTCGGGTCGGACAACGGGGGTCGGGTGGGGCCGGCATGCATGCATGCATGCCAGAGGGGACAGTGCGGGATGGGTGAAGTAAGGGAATGAACTGCCGTACAAAAGGCCTGGAAAGGCAATGGAGGTGGACCCGTCATCATTAGGGCTGTGGGGAGCACCAGGGGAAGCATGAAGACAACGGTGCGGGGCACATGCGAGGTTGCAGCAGGCGGCTGCTGCGCGCCAACAGTTGCCTGTTTGGGCAACGAACGCGTAGTGGGAGTGATTGGAGAGGTGGGAAAGTGTGGGGTGGAATTGAGCAGAAGGGATAGGAGAAAGGTAGCAACTCCGGCACAACAGCGGTGTAAACAGCAGCCCAAATCAGGCTGGCTACATTTGTATCAAGCGGCTCCGGCTTTGCTGGCTTCGTTTTTATGCGGCTCGGCAGCAGCGACGTCAGCGGCGGTGCCGAAACCACCGGGATACAGCGGCGCCCAGCAGCGGACCCAGCAGTCCAGCAACGGCGAAACGGTGACCGCCGATATGTAATATTCGCATTGTGTGCTCTTACCGATGGAGTGGGTTGTGGAGACAGGTAACTCCAGGTACGTAGCCAGGATGAGCCAGGTGCCAGAGGACACCAGCGCACACAACATGCCGTACATGTAGATTTCCGGATCTTGTTCAAAAACAACCTGGGGTGTCGTACAAGCATGCAGGCAGAACAGGGCAGATAGATGAGTGAATGAATGACCGTTGCACTGGTTATTCACGAGGATTTATCCGGGTCAGTAATCGTACATGATTCAATTCGCCATAGCAAACAGCAACTGCCCACATTGTCTGCGCCACGCACCAGCTTTGCAATGCCGCCCGCTACCGTCCGCGTCACCTCGCCCCCTAGCAGCACACTGCCCCCGAACTCGCAAACGGAGGCGATTAGTAGCGCCTGGCGCATTGTAAGGGTTCGCGCTGCGACGCTGCTGCCGAACGCATTGGCAACATCATTGGCACCTGCGGCCAATATCAGACTTGCTTCTTAATAATTTATAGCCAACTAGGGCAAAGCCGAGTGATGGGCCGCTTGTGAAGCTGCAGCGGCCATGAACGGCACAAACAGCGATGGACTATTTGTCGGAAGTTCAGGCGAACGGTGAGTTGCTTTGATGCGCTGCAAGCGCCGTTTATGTGCAGTGCTTACCAATGCCGTAGGCCTGCGAAATGACAATGCGAGCAAGGAGTCAGTTCCCATGTGGCATGGTTGAAGGCATTAAACATGTTGCTCTTTTACCGTGAAAAACGAAGCGAGACATCCGGTCACTACGATCCATGTATATTCGTGCCAATACGCCATGTTCACGCCTCTATTCCTTTGGCATACGTGGATACGATGCAGTTGCGGTAACAACGGAAGATACCGCTAGAGATGCTGGGAAGGATGAGCAACACCAAAGATGAGGTCAGCGGGCCATCTAAAGCAGCAGTTGCTATGGTTGTTCGGGTTGGAGCAGTTTTCGGATTGGTAGGCATCCTAACATCGTATGCAGCCTTCCTTAAAAAGAAGCTGTAACAATAAGACCTTGGAATATTTATGAGCCTGCGTTCTGGAGTCAATTGCTGTGCACACTGGCATGCTTTTGGCATCCGACGGGTATCGGCGCGTACGGCGATACCCTTATCCTAACTTGGCGCATTGCAAGGAAATGACTGCTGGTCTTGCTGTTAGTTGATAAGGCTCTGCTAAGCTTGCGGGTCTTGATACCAACATGTGGGGCGGGTACCGGTAAGCTATGTTGTGTCGTCGAGCAGATTAAGCAGACCCCTTCGACACTAATTATGACAGTTTCATGACTGAGACTTAGACGTGTAGCTCCTGAGCTATACGAAATGTCTCCAGTCATTTAGTTAGGCAGTTGGCGCCGTGTAGCGGTTGATTAGTGACTCAGGCAAAGCCCGACCCCAACCAATCTATGGAGGCGAATACGTGAATTGCATTTACTTCCATTTAACACCCAGAAGTCTTACTTAGCTGATCAATTATGATCTACGCAGGACGATATTCATGCGACTATACACCGCCGCTCTAATGCATTCCAGTAGACTAATAATAGAAGCACTTCGATGCTTTTATTAAGCAACGTTTGCTAGGACTATCCTACCGTTAGACACCTAGGTTTGGACACGCTTGCGGGCAGCCTAGCTAGCTTCGGAGCTTATCGAATTAGCATTAGCAATTCGCAGAGGAGAAAACTATGCGCACATGGTGACTGTGACAGCGCTTGAGTTTATGTACCCGCACCGCTTATTGAGCTCTAGGACTCGGTCCGGCTAACAAGGCTGAAATGAAGTTATTATTTTCATAGAAACGTAGTACTCCTGTTTGGACTTCCAAAAGTCAATACGACTTTCCCGCAATGGATCTGTTTGGGATTGGAATAGCAGCCCTCAGCTTCCTCGCGTGCTTCTGCGTGGGCTGGTGGTTTCTTAATAGAAGCCTTTATAACCATCTTGAGGAGAGAGACTACCAGGTCCAGGTAAGTGAGCAATTTGCGGGCCTGTCATGGACCCTTCTTCAAAAACGGAGCCTCAGCGCACCTACTTCCTGGCAGGCGTTATGGTCAATCGTGTTCGCCCTGTCATGCAATTTCATCATCCTCGTCCTTTTCGAGATAGTGGACGTCATGGACCCCGGGTGCGTACTCACCCATCCTCCAAGCTCCGCTACATTCCCACTCCTCCTCAGCCCTGCTCTTCGCCCACACATTCCCTCCAATAGTCTCCTCCCTCCAAGCGCTATGCATTCCAGCTTTCCTTCCTACGCATTCCGCCCTTGCGTCCCCGGCTTCACATCAGCCATTCTATTGCGGCTATCAATTCTCTCCTCCCGCGCCCCGCCCCACCCTGCCCCGCCCCGCCCCTCCCTCCTCTGCTCCTCAGGCTGCTTCAGGCCTGCTGGCACCTGAACGTGTGGGGCATGCTGGTGCTGCTGCTGGGGGTGCTGCCGTACTGCCACAGCCACCGCCTGCTGGCCAGCGCAGGTAAGGGGGCAGAGGGCAGGGATGCGGCTACCTCTGGTGGGCAGTCAGCAAGGAGTTACCGGTATAATGCGGCTAGGTCAGAATAGCAACACCAGAAGCAACAGCTAGGTCAGGATAGCAACACCAGAAGCAACAGCCGTACTGAAGCCGACAACAACGGACACCGGAGTCCACTGAGACCCCCCTCCCTCCCTCCCTCTATCCCCATTGCTTTGCCCTAACCAAAGCATTTTTTGATATATGTGAATATGTCGTACCGTCCCTCCGGCGTATGCATGCCTGTACCCGCATTCCCATCCCCGCATGCAGGCAGTCTCCGCCCGGGTCAGGTGTCCGCGGGCGCCTGCCTGTGCTGGCTGCTCTTCCTGTACGGCTTCTGGCAGCTGGGCGGCAGGCTCCCGGGAGTCGTGCCCCCCCTCACCCCCGGGGGGGGAGCAGGGGGAGGGGGAGGTGGTTGGGTTACCATGCGGCAGGCCATCAGCCGGGTGGGGGTGATGGGCACCTGGATGATCGCCGTACTGTCGGGGTATGCGGCGGTTAGCTTTCCGTACTCGTACTTATCGTTGTTCGTACGGCCGGTGGAGGTGTTTGAGATCGTGGCGATGGAGGAGCAGTGTCGCCAGGTGGGGAGGGGGCTGGGGTGGGGGGTCAGAGATATACCAGAACCACGGGTTAGTGCAAAGCATTGGGGACAGGGGGAAGCAATTTGTCAAGAAACCTAGGGGTTAAGGGAGGACATAATACTCCGCTCCAGTAATGCACACGAGGCGTCCCTCTGGGCTCCTCCTCGCCCCTGTAACCCCGTCCCCCGCGTCCCTCCCTCCCTGCATCCCTCCCTCCCTCCCCGCCCCCTTGTCCACCTTCTCCTCCCCCTGACCTCCCCTCAGGCCCAGTCTCAGTGCGACGAGAAGCGGCACCGCATCCAACTAGCGCGGCAGGAGCTCAGCCGCATGGGGGGAGGAGGAGGGGGTGGCGGAGGAGCGGGAGGGGCGGGATGCGGAGCGGGAGGGGCAGGGGGCGGGGGCGGCCTGCTGGGAAGTCTAGGGCTGGGAGGAGGCGGGGGCGGAGGCGATGAGGCGGGGGGGAAGCGGGGTGGGGGTGGGGGTGGTGGTTGGGGCGGGATTCGGTTGGGTGGATTGTTGTGTTGGGGTCCTCCCACCACCCCGGCGGACACCATTCGGGTGCTGGAGGCGGAGGTGGCGAGCCTGGAGAGCCTGCACAAGTGAGGAGGGGGCAGCGGGGGGGGGTGAGGAGGAGGTAACGGGCTCGGGCTGGGCGAGGTGACGGGGATGTGGGGCGGTGCAACAGCGGTCTTGTAGTACCTGTATCGAATTACCGGTGCGAAGAAGAAGAAGACGAGGAAGTACATCACAGGTGGCTAGGACTGTGCCTGATTGGCTCCCTCCAGCTGTTCCCAGCGCCGTCCTGCCCCCTGCCCCCTGCCCCCCCCCTGCTTCACTCCCACTGTAAATTGGCCTCCCCCCTCCCGCCTCCCCCCTCCCGCCTCCCCCCTCCCGCCTCCCCCGTCCCGCCTCCCCCCTCCCGCCTCCCCCCTCCCGCCTCCCCCCTCCCGCCTCCCCCCTCTCGCCTCCCCCCTCCCGCCTCCCCCCCATCTGCCCCCCCCCAGGACCCTAGCGGTGGAGCTCTCCGAGCTGCGTGCCGAGCGGGCCCGCGCGCTGGTCAGCCGCACTCTGGCCGGGCACTGCCGTAACGCCCTGGGGTATGCCACCTCGGCGTACTGCGTGTACAAGTGAGGGGGGGGAGGAGAGGGAGGTTGGAGCGCAGGGCGAGCGGGCGGATGTTTGCACCCCATATGGTGAAGCCTACATGCCTTCCTCTTTCCCACGCCAAATGCCCGTTCCATACCCTGTCGACACCCCGCCTCTCTCCCGTCCCAGGGGAGGTATATGCAGTCCAATAATTCAGCCAAATGCGGACTATGTGTCCCTGTTACCCCCCCCCCCAGGATGTACACCAGCCTGAAGGCGCTGCTGGTGGGCGAGGAGGACCTGCGCGGCGACACGGTGGGGCGGGCACTGGGCTGCCTGCTGCGGCGGGTGACCCACGGGTCGCTGCACCCCGACGAGGCGCTGCTGAGCCAGTACGTGAGCCTGGCGTTCATCGGCGGCATCAGCGCCATGTCGCTGCGGGGCTTCCTGAAGAACCTGAGGAAGGTGGGCGGGGCGGGAGGGGGAGGCTGAGGACGGGAGGTAGGTGGGCGGTTCGAAAACCCACAACAACAACCCAACAACACCCGCACCCCTGCCATTCCCTCCTTTAGTGTAACCCCCCCATCCCCTCCCCTCTCCCCCCCCCCCAGCTCTTCTCGCTGCGTCTGGTCCGCGGCGCCGGCACCGCCAGCGGCCTGGTGTTGCTGCTGAGCGAGGTGACGGGGTGCTACGCCGTGAGCAGCCTGCTGCTGGTGCGCAGGAACGTGCCGGCGGGGTACCGGGGGCACATGGACGCGGCCATGGGGGGGCAGCTGGATTTCCAGTTCTTCCACAGGTGGGGCGAGGGAGGGGGCGGGGGTGGCGGGGAGGGGGGGGGGGAGAATGGGGTGGGGAAGTAAAATGTATGGGGGGAAGAAGTAAGGACTTGGGAGTCCTGTGAGCGGCATGCCTTGATGTTACACACGCTCACATGCACTCACTCGCACATGCAGCAGGGGTGGGGTCATATCTTCCGACAATCCAGTACGTTCCAACTACTCGCAGCATGTTTTCTTGACACCTCCCCAACCCCACCCACACACACACCTGCATGTGTCGGGATATGGGATCGGGGCTCCAGTGTAGCTGCACTTCTCATTTATCCCCACCCCCCACCCCCAACCCCCCGCCCCCACCCCCAGGTGGTTCAACGGCCTCTTCCTGGCCAGCGCGCTGCTCACCCTGCTGCTGCTGTACGGCCAGTATCAGGCGCACCGGTACGACCCGCTGCAGCTGCTGCCCGTACACACCAGCAGCGGCGGAGGCGGAGGGGGCGGTGGTGGCAGTACGGCAGGGCTACTAGCCAGAGCGGCATCGCTATCCTCCTTGGGAGCAGCAGCAGCAGGGACAGGGGCGGCGTCTAACGGGCATCATCAACTGCACCATGCTAATCTGCATCTAGGGACAGGCGGTGACGGCAGCAGCAGCAGCAAGGCGAACGGCGAGCGCCGCAGCGCTTCTTCCTCGTCTTCGTCCTCGTCCACGTTTGGGTGGCGCTCCGCGTTTTCCACATCAGCTGCTTACTTCAAGGGAACGCGGGGGCGTAGTGGCAACACGGGGAAATGAGGGGAAGGGGATGTGAGGAGGGGGGGTATTGAAAGGGATCAGCCAACTGGGCTGAGCCAGGGGATTAATAGGGATACATATTCCGCATTAGGCTGGATTTTGGGATTGAGGAAGGGGAGGAGGATGGAGGGGCTATGTAGGTTATGGGAGCGCGGGTGAGCATTGCAGTAGCAGCAAGAGAGAGAGAGATTGAGAGAGAAATGACAACCCCCACGCGCGCGCATTTACTTGTGTTTGTGGAGCGACTGTATCCTTGTCTCGGTGTATAGTGGGAGGAAGGGCGGGAAGAGCGAAATGACGGTGGTTGTTTGGCTTCGGGAGGTGGCACTCCTGTTTGCTTAATGCAGTTTGGTTACCCCATGCGTGGGTGAAGGCCTTTTGAGAAGCCATTGCTGCGGGTTGTGTTACTAACCTGACACGCATACCTAGTGCACGTGACAGTAGATGTGAACTTGCAGACTTGACAGGAGGCAAGCCTGTCAGCATTGCTTGTGGCAGCGATGGATACCTCAAGAGGGGGTTGGCTCACGGATGGTACAGTTACCGTCTGCACGCTTGGGGCTGCGGACATGCGCAGATGCGCGACTGCGTGCAGGGAGGCACCCTGTGCCATTGTAAGCTGGATTCGATTTACTTTTGGTGTAGGCAGGCGCCTGCGCTAACTTGGCCTGCACATGCCCGCGCAAGCCGTTCCATTTGGTTCATATAGCCTAGTTGCAGCTCTCGAGCGTCACTTATACGCGCATCCTAGTGCCGCATGAAATTGTAATGGCATGCCCTCCTAAATTCGTTAGCTGCGGCTTGGGACTTTTGGGGGCGACATGCCGAACAAAACATCACTGGATGTTTGCACACAATGTGAACGTCTGGGGTGAACTCCATGAGGCCGACCAGCGGCTGGATTGTGGCTTTACTCTGCACACGTTCTGAGAGAAGGACAGATGTTTCTTCGTGGCAACGGTACTGTCGTTGGACCGTTACTGGCTTCAGAGCCAGCCCTGGAAGCTCGCCTGCGATCGCCCACGGAAGGGTAAAGCAATTTTAAGGCATACTATGATCGAAGTTTACAAAACTGCCTTGCCTTGCCTTCTCTATTGCATTTGTTTGTGACTTTCGCCAAGCGACACTCGGACGAAGACTAGCGGTCACTAAACAGAAATCCATGCAAACACGCCCGGTTTCAGCAACCCTTCTTTTTATAACTGCTATTTTCATTTTTTGCTCACCTAATGCCTGCGGAGAGGTGCTGGCGACTGGCAAGTTGGAGAAGTGCGTAGCCGATGGGACCACCGAAGTGAGCGCCCGACGCATTGATGGTGCGTAAGAGTTGCTACAAAACTACTGACTGGTAATCTTACACATAAAAACGCAGGACCTACAATGTTCAAACAAGCTGGTCGTAACCCTGACAGTTGGGAACGGCCAAACTCTCAGGACTGAGGACCTTCAGTTCTCACTCTCCTGCATAAACAGGTAGAGCGCTCCCGGGACTTCACAACACCAGTGCGTATTTTATCCTGCGCTATCTTTCAACCCTTCATCTCTACCTTTCCCCTCCGCCTGTGTCACGAATATCCAGATCCCCTCGATACCTCCTCCTCCAGCACAAGCCATGCAAAGCCTTAGTCTTGACCCTCCCGTGTGCACCCCCCGTGCGTCCCAACACCTCCTTCCTCTTTCCAACCGTTTTCAACCATGTCCAGTTCATCCGACAGAAGCCAACACCACCTATGCCACCAGCCAAAATCCGACGAAAACCCAAAACTAAAACCAACCTAAAACCCTCCTACACGTCGCAGCGCCGACGGCCAGTGTCCCTGCTCCTGCAACGCCGCCACCGACGCCGCCTGCACCTGTCGCGACCTGGCGGCCCCGCTGCGCGTCTCCCTCACCAAGTCACCGCTGTGGGCTTCCTACCCGCTGCAGTACCTGCAGACCTTCAACTGGAAGCCCTACGAGGTCGTCCTGCGACCCAGCGACAAAGTATGCAAGGTAGGTGCTGCTGCTGCTGCCGTTGGTCGGGGCAAGGTGGGTGTTGCTGCTACTGCGGTTGGTGGTGGCGTGGTGCACTCCGACACCTCTTTACTCCCCAACTGGCTTCGGGCATGGGGGTTGAACTTTACTTCCCTGTCTTTCCTAACTCCTTTCTTCCATTCAATTCCTCCCTACTGCCTCGCCGCACCACTGCCCTTATTTTCTCCCCTCTTCCTGCCCGCTGTCCCCCCGCCCCTTTTCCCTACACCCTACCGCAGGACGGGGAGTACGAGGAGTCCCCCACCTGCGGCTGGTTCCTACAGTCCGGGCAGCGGCTGGCGGACAGCCAGGGATTCTGCTGCGCCTGCGACTCGGGACAGATCTGGGATGAGACATTCGGGGGCAGCAAGGAACGCACGTGAGGAGGGGCACTGGAGGGAGCAGGATGGAGGAGGGGGCGGTGTCACATGCCCCAACGGTGAAACGTGCCTAACCGCGACATGGAGTGAGACCTCGTATCACAACTTGCACACGACAGAGGCGTGATGATGAGGGGATCGGGAGGGTAAAGAGGTAAACCGCCCAGCCAGGTTTAGCCAAGCCTCCCTCCCGCCCTCCCACCCTCCCCGCAGTCGTGCCAACCTGGACTGCGACTTCTGGTCGGACCCGCTGGACATCCTGCTGGGCAAGGTGCCCGTGTCAGCGCACTGCCTGCAGTTCAACACCAGCTGGTACAGCGTGAGTGGCGGGGGGGGGTGCATGGGGGGGAGCAGGGGGGGGGTACAAATAAGGAAACTGACGAACTGGATGACGAGGCTTTAGCATGGGTTGCTAGTTGAACCCAGACCATGGGGGGACGGGCGCAGGGGGGGACGGGCGCAAGGGGGGGGGTGAAAGGAGGGACAGCCAACATTGTGATCATGTGTCAACTTATCACGGAGTGGAAAGTTCACTTATTGCGCAAGCTACCGATCAGCGTGTAAGCGATGTAGTACATTTCAGTGGTCGGTGGCTTTCTCGCAGAGGCTGTGCCTGGTTTCTTAACTTGCCACAGTACCACTTCATAGGCAAGAGGTGCCGTCCTTCTGCCAGGACGGGCCCCATGTAAGCTAGTGTGGGGGGCTGGGGCAAGCCGGTTGGGGGGAAGGGGCAGCGGGCAGGGCGGAGGCAGGGTGAATCACGGCTCTCGCCTCCCGTGTTACCGCGCGAAGACGGGACACTCTGCACAGTGGCGATCCCGCAAGCCAAGTGGCACGTGACAGCGCAATGCTGGACACTAGTAAACCAGAATGCCAATGTGTTTGCATGCCGGTATGCCTCCCGCAGGGCTACGTCCTGGGCGCTGCTTCGCTGCAGTTCTCCATCTCCATCTCCGTGGACGTCCCAACCGCCTCCACAACCACCACTACAAGGGCAACAACAACCAACTCGTCAACCACCACCTCCAACGGCACTAGCACCACCAGCACCAGCACCCCCTCTGCTAGCACGGCACTTTCCGTAACCACGCGTCAGGAGGTGCTGGCCCTGAGTCCCTCCGTGCCGCTGGCCACCAGCAGCGGCCGGCTGGTGTCAGCGAGGCTGGTGGGCGATCTGGCGATGTACACACAGCTGCCCGCTATCAGGTTTGAGTGGGGGGCGGGGTGTGGGGGGGCGCGTAAGATACCATATAAACCGAGCCATTAGGCGAGAAATGCTCCTCTGACGGTGACAATGCTACCAGCTACCCTGAGAGTGACCATGCTACTCTGTGAGTTACCATGAAGGATCGGTCGGGTGTTTTTGCGGATGGAGTTTGGTGAGGTTGGCCCGTAATGCAATGGGCTGTGCCCACATGGGGTACGTGACCACATGACCACATGACCACATACCGGTATGTGTCCATCCCCTTTCAATTGCCCCCCGGCCCCTCTACCGTTCCCCCGCCGCCGCAGCAACCAAGTGCTCATGATCCCACAGCCCCCGCCCTCCAGCTCCTCCTCCCCGCTGGACGACATCCTCGCTGTCAACCGCTCCGCCTGGATGCTGCTGGACAGAACACTGATCAGTCTGGATGGTGGGTGGGTGGGTGGGTGGGTGGGTGGGTGGGTGGGTGGGTGGGTGGGTGGGTGGGTGGGTGGGTGGGTGGGTGGGTGGGTGGGTGGGTGGGTGGGTGGGTGGGTGGGTGGGTGGGTGGGTGGGTGGGTGGGTGGGTGGGTGGGTGGGTGGGTGGGTGGGTGGGTGGGTGGGTGGGAGGGTGCGGTGTTGGGGTGGCGGGATGGCAGCGGGATGTTGCGGCATCACAACCGCAACAGGCTAGCTTGCTACCAATACTGCTGCTGCTTTTTAGGGTTTTTACCGCACCTTACTACTTCACAGGTACGGAATGCAACAAGGTCGGCACCAGCTTCGCCGCCTTCCGCTACCAGACCAACGCATGCGGCCGAGCTCCCCAGGTGCGTGGGAGGCTGAGAGGCCCCGTTGCTGCTGCTTGTGAAGGTGCCGCTGGTGCTGGTACCGGATACCGGTTGGTAGTGGCTGTGCTTGTAACCCAAGCTCCCCGCTTCTCATGTTGCCCCCTCTCTCTCCCATTGCGCGCTGGGAACTTTTGTCTTCCTGCCCCTTCTTCTTGCCAATGCGCGAGTTGAGCCATGGAATTTGGGGATTGCAGTGCTTAACTGTGTCATTCATGTGTCCTTTGCCCGCCACCTCCACTTCCCACTCCGCCTCCTGTCAACCGTCTAGCTATCCGGGCAGCTGTCAGCTCGACCTCCTCTGTCGTTGCCCTCTGACCCTCCCTCGGAACGTGGGAACAGGACTTCGTTGCTTCACTTTTCATTTATCTTTCTCCCCTCCCTCGGGCCCCCACTCCCCCCTCCTTCCCGCCCCCTTACCCGCCCCTTACCAGACCTGCCTATCCGGCCAGCTGGCGGACTTGTGGCAGGCTGACCAGGGCCGCATCTCGCAGGGCCGGGTGCCGCAGTACATGGTGACGCAGTTCACCGGGGGCAGCGACACAACGGTGGGGGGGCCTGGGGGCTGGGGGACGGGAGGGGGGGCTGGGTGTTGGTGGGAAGGGCTGGGTCCGGAAGGAGGGGCTGGGTGGTGGTGGGAGGGCTGAAGAAGAAAGAGAAGGAGTTACGTTTGGGTGGGGCTGCTGGGGGCACGGAAGGGGGTGGTGGTGAGGAAATGTGTGAGCGGGGTTGAAAAAGCAAGGGGTTGAGGAAAGGCGCCTAGTGTATGTACCGGTAGCCTTTGCCGCCGCATGGCTACAGCCTCTGTGTCTTCAATCCACCCACCCACCGGTAACGCCCACCTCAGCTCCGTCACCACCACCTCCATACCTCTCGGACATGCAGTTACCCAAACCAACCCCCCCCCCCTCGCATGCCCCCACACAATGACTTCCCTGACCCTGTACAGGAAGGCTAGGTTTCTCTCTGACCCATTCACCCTCCCCCTCCCACATGCCTTATCACACGGTCAGTTAGATGTTTCCTCTTTACCCTCCCACATCTTCCTCCCCGCCAGCTGCAAAGCTTCTCCGGCGGCCCACTGTCATTCGCACTCCCCGTGAGCAGCCAGTCGCAGTCGCTGGTGACGCTGTCGGTGGCGGCGGACGGAGTGAGACTGGTCACAAACAGGAGCCCGGGGAAGGTACGATCCAGGGAAGGGCAGCGGTAAGGCAGAGAAGGATGGGCGCTGAAAGTCCTGAGAGTCCGGAGCACACGCAGCACCTAATGGACCTTACCGTACCCCGGATAGCCCTACCCCGGAAATCCATTCCGTGTTCATCCCGCCTGAACTGTGCCGGTATGCTCTGTCATGACCTGCTGAGTATCGGTTGGCTTACCACTTTACCTTGACGGAGCTCTAATACAAGCTGGTGTTGTGAAACCCCCCACAACCCCACCAACCCGGCACAGATTACCTCCGCCCGGGTATGTCGCTTCGCCTCGACCTCCTGCGGCGGTTTTGAGGCAGCTGGCAGTCGAGGCTACATCCAAGTTAGCTTGGCAAACACCGGACGACTGGATGCGGATTACACGCTAACGGTTAGCAACTGCTCTGCAAACATAAGGCCCATCGAGGCGCGTGCGGTTGCGCTAACGGCCAACAGCACGGCAGCCGTTACACCACCGTTGGAGCTGTACGTGGAGGATACGGCAGCTGCGGCCAACCGCTCGTGTTGGTTGACGCTGTACGACTCTGTTGGAGGCGTTACGGATACATATGTGCTGAGCTTTTACACCAATGCAACGAGTATCAATGCAACGCCAACCGGTGGATATAACGGTACAGGAGACGGCGTAGGGACGGTCAAACAAGCGACGAACTGCAGCGAGGTACGGAACCGAAAACCGCCTAAGCGGGTTCATGCTTAACCTTGCACGTGTTGCTTGCTCGGTACGACAACAACAACAACACCAACTGCAAAAGCAATGACTGGGGGTGGCGCAATGGGTTCACAACCCCTCCATGCAGTCCCTGCTGTGTTTCGCCACCCCGCATATACTGGTGACAACTCCTCAAACACCCAGCGACCCATGGGTCATGACAGCAGCACCCGACTCCACACCCACCACCCCACCAAACTCACACAGGTCTGCCACAACCCGGTGGACGTGCTGTGCTTCGTGACACACCGCTGCTGGTCCAAGATGGGCCGCGTGTTGGGGGTCTTGGGGGGAGCTCTGGTCGGAGTGGGGCTGCTGGCCGCGGCGGTCAAGTTCGGCTGGCTGTCCTCGCTGCTACCCGCATGCTTCGGAGGCAGCGGAGGAGGAGGAGGAGGCCTGCCGTGCTGTGGGGGTGCTGCTGGCGACGGTGGCAGAGGAGGAGGAGGCTGCTTTGGTGGACCGCAAGGCCCGCAAATGCAGAGCCAACAACAACAACCGCCCCAGTTGCGCCAATACCATCACCATCAACCTGCAGCCCCTGGGGATGCTGCTATTCCAGCCGGAGCAGCGGCAGCAGGAGGAAGGGGAACAACAGCGCCCACGGCAACAGCGGCGGTGGTGTTGCAGCCGGGAGGCCGGAGCTCTGCCCTCGCCGCCGCTGCTGCTGCTACCGCCCCCTCTAAACGCCGATTGGGGAAAGGGGAAATCGGCAAACTGCCGTACGGCAAGGACCCCAACCGACAACCCCACGACTGGGCAGACGGCAACGGTACCGGTAATCCCAGGGGGCCTTATCCAGAGCCGCCTGGAAACGAACCCTGGCGACGTGAGAGGCTACGTGAACCCCCTCAGGTGGCAGCGACTTGGCAGGAGCATGCTGGTACGACAGGATCCGGATACGAATTGTACGACAATCACCATCATGACGGTTATGCGGGCGCTCCTAATGCCCCGGCCGCTGCTGCGCATGATCGGTATGCATTGTACGGCACGGCAAGTAGTGGCGGCCAGCCGCGTCATGGCCATCAGGACAGGAGTGTCGTACGGCATCATCCGGCAGATCCAAACGAGTACGGCAGGCCGTACAACGATGAAGAGCGTTACTACCGAGACGCGCGGGAAAGGCTGGGTGTAAATGGCAGAGTCCTAGCTGTAATGGAGGCGGCGGCAGCGGCGGCGGCGTCAGTGACGCAGGCGCCGCCGCCACCGCAGCCATCCCCTCCAATGTACGACTACGGGTATGGAAGCCAGGACGGCGCCGCTGGTGGCGACGGCAGGGGTAGAGGTGGCGGCGGCAACAGAGGTAGAGATGCGGTTCAGGGCGACATGAGAGATGGCAGAGGACGAAACGGCGGAGGAGGAGGAGAGAGGGGCCCTGCTGGACGGCATGCCGGGGGGCGGTCAGGTGGTGCATGGCGGGGGGGCCAGCCGCCTCCCCCAACAAGGGCAGCAGAGGGAGAGGCAGGGGCGGGTGAGGAGGTCCGCTGGCGCAATCCGATGTATCAGGAACGGCAGGAGTGGTACGACTAGCTACAGGTGTTAGCAGGAGCAGGGGATAGCAGTGCCGTTCGACTGTCCGTGCGTCGGCGGGTTTTGCGCATGCGAGGCGGTATCCAGTATCCTAGGCAGCGGTGCTGGTGCTGAGCCGGCGTGATGTGGTTTTGGTATTGGCTTCGGAAGCATGGGAGCGATTACAGCAGAACCACAACTTGCAGCGGCGCCGGCATGCAGTCGATGCAGGGCCCACACAATGCCCCATGTGTGTACTCTCGCGGCAGGCATGTCGGTGATGTCACTACACAACTTATGGTACAATCGAAGTGTGAGTTGGATAAGCAGTTTAATGGGCTCCTGTTGTCTTGCTTCCGTCACCGATCTATAGGAATGCATTGTAAGAATCACACAAGGTTCCTCCCAGCCCAATTAAACATCGCCGAAGCAGTCCTAGGCATAATAACATGAGCCAGCAGCCCCAGTGTGTCGCAACACCGGGACGACGTCAGCAGGCAGCAGGTCGTAGTATATGTTCACGGCGTCAACCAGCACATGCCGAAACTGACACGGTGCTACCCAATACATACACATGTCAAACACTCCGGCGGTCCGGTGGGTAAACATTGGAACCACAACGGGTACGCAAGGTGCCGCCAGCGCAAGGTGCCATCAGCGCAAGGTGCCGTCAGCGCAAGGTGCCGTCACCGCAAGGTGCCAGCATCCTCACAGCTCCTCCGCCTGCCATGGGTTGTCGGAGGGGTTCTGCAGCCGACCTGTCTGGTAGTCGCGGAACGCCTGACGATATAAGGGTGCGTGAGGGGAGGGGAGGGGAGGGGGGAGGACGAGGATTAGTTACAAACGGCCTGCCTCAACGAGCATTACCCAACGTACAGGCGGTAGCGGGGCCGAAGAAGGCCGACGAAGACATCAAGTAGGAGGAAGTGTAGTCAAAGCGTAAGGGCTAGGTTGCGAAGCGGGAAAGCTTCACGTAAAGTGAAGCGCACACACGGTCCCCACCCTGCTGCCCAGCTCCCCACCATTCACTCCACACCCGCTCCCTCCACCCCCACCTCGTAGATCTCCTGTTCCGTGTTCATCACGAAGGGCCCGTGCTGCACAATGGGCTCGCCGATGGGCTGCCCCGCAATCAGCAGGAAGCGCAGTCCACTGCCGCCCGTGCTGCTGCTGCTGTTGCCGCCGGCCCCAGCAGCAGCAGCAGCAGCAGCAGCGGGTGCCGAGGCGACAACATGGTCACCCGGACCCAACACCAGTGCCTGAGGGGGTGAGTAACGAGGAAACAACTAACTGACCGTGGGGGAGGGAGATGCCGGGTTGGTGTGGGTTGTTGGGTACGGCAGCGGGGTGCGGCCGAGTACGGCAGCGGGGTGTGGCCGGGGTGATTAAGGAGGTCACCAGCCCATCCGCTGATGTGACCCAGATGGAGGGAGACTCGCAGCGGTGGGGCTGTGAACGTGATCACATTCCCCGCAAGCGTCACTGCTGCAGCAGTTGATGATGACATTCCCCGTGTTCCTTCCTGCCGGCGGCTTCTCCCTCCTTTGCGCACCCTCTCTCCCCCGCCCCACCCCCCACTCATCCCTCCCTCCCTCCCCACGGTTCTGCAGCACCCACATGCTCGGGTTGCGCCCGGCTGCCGCAGATGAGCCCCTCGCCGTCGTACACGTAGGCGAAGCCGTTCCAGCCCTGCGGGGGGGGAAAGAAGCATACCCATTGTGTTAAGAAAACTGGTGTGTGTATGCATGGGAGGGGGGGTGACAGCAGGAGCAGCCGGCGGCGCTGGAGGAGCATGAAACGCATGCGAGTAGCAGGAGCGGCATGGATTGCATGATAGCGTGCGGAGAGGGATGGGTGGACTTCTTTCCCTCCCCCCATTGCGACACCGCCTCCGAACACCTTTCGCTACCCTCCCTCCCACCCCCCCTCCCAGCAGCATGCCAGCATGCCACCAGCATCCAACCCATGGTTCTCCTTCTCCCCCTCCCCCTTCTCCCCTTGCTCCTCCTCCTCCTCCCCACCCTCCTCCTCCCTCTCCTCCCACCTGCGGCACCTCCTGCACAAAGCTGCCCCCCGGCCCCAGCCGCACGTCCATCAGCAGCCCCGGATTGCGCATGCGGATGGGCCCCTCCACGCCGCCGTGCCGCCCCGCCATCACGCGCACGCTGCATCCGCTGTCGGGCGCCCCCACCACCGGGATGTCCGACTTCTGGTAGTCCTGATACCTGACCACGTGACCAGGCAGCGGGAACCGTAGCAACTGTTGGTAATGTTACCACTCATATGAAAGAAGAAGCAAGGAGGGTCATGAGGTACAGGCGTGCGTGCCTCTTTCTTTTTGTTACATCACCAGCTCGCAAGTCGCAAGTCGCAACGCCCCCCTCCTTTCATCCAATCGCCAGTCTCTCCTTTGTCTCCTTCCTTCCTCTGCATAGGCATTCCTACCTACCCCCCCTGCCCTTTCCCTCCTCCTGCCCCTATCCATTGCCCTCATGCCCTCATGCATCTCGCAACCCCACGCACCTGGGCTTGCACATCTTGTCCTTGCGAGGCAGGTTGATCCACAGCTGGAAGCCCCACAGCATGCCGTCCGTGCCACGCGGCATCTCGCTGTGGATGATGCCGCGGCCCGCGGTCATCCACTGCACGCCGCCGGGCCCGATGATACCCTGTTCGACGACCCGCGGAAGGGAAGGGGAGCGGAAGGAGGAGGGGAGAGGAGGAGAACGGCAAGAGCAGGAGGGGTGGTGGGGTATGAACGGGGTGTGATAGGGTGGCAGGCGGGTCGTCTAGATTGCGTGAGTAATGCCTCCGTATGCGCGCTCTGCAGGTGTGGGATTATGGGATTGGGACTCCAGTTGCTGCACTTGTCATTTTAATTATGTTTTCCACCCGCGGTGTCGCACATGGTTGCCCTGCGAGTCGCGGTGCTCCATCTGTCCCTCCAACATGATGGAGCAGGTCTCGAAGCCGCGGTGCGGGTGGTCGGGGAAGCCGGCGAAGGCAGCCTTGGCGGGCAGCTTCAGCTCGTCGCTGACGGGAGCAGGGGGGAAGAAGAGGGGGGAAGTGAGGGGTGTGTGTGTATTTGTATGTGGAGTCGTGGGTGATGAGGTGGGTGATGGGGTGGGTGAGGCAGACGCGGGCCGTCAGGCGTGTCAGGAGTGTAGTAAAGCGGTATGCTTGACGGGTTGCATGACGAGAGGAAGGCAGGCAGACTGTGGTTGCGGGGTTCAACGGATCATGTTGCGGGTATGACTACGTGTCTGCAGATGCTTACAGCATGAGGTAGGGGTCCATGTTGCGCAACGCGCCGGTGCCGACCTGCGACAAAAACGTAGTCGTTAGAAATAGAAGTTTACGGGTACATGTGGTAAGCGGGCAGCTGCATGGGTTGACCTGGCCGGCAAGCAACGAGCACGAGCGACCCGTCGACGCATGGGTGGGCAACATTTGGCTCACCGTGCGGCAGATCATCACGCCAGCACCTTCTTTCATCTTCTGACCCTTGACGACCTGGAGCAAAAGGAGGAATACTGATTAGCAGGCGTCCGACGCGCAGACGGTTACATAGCCATGTGCCAGCACTTTGCTGACGGGGAGCCCTACCCTAGCGATTGAGCGCAGGTTTGTTAGGTTCGCAGCTGCCATCGTGGTATACTGTAAGATGAGGACAGCGAAGACAAGTAACTGTTTCTGAGGAAGAGAAGATTCCTTATTACGGTTTGTTATATTGGTTTGGGCTTCGCTTGCATGTCTGGAGTCTTTAAAGTGTTTCATAGTACGTGTAAAAACAGAGTTACACTCGCGGTCATATGGTTACCAAGAGGAACTGGATGGATTACTCGCCCTCCGTACAGGATTTAGTGTTGCGTTTGTCAGACGAACGCCAAGGTTGAAAGTACCGGCTTCCTCCATGTTATCCCGTGCGCATAAAATAATGTTGAGAGGTCTCGTTTTGACATATGCGAACCATCTGCAACAGTCATGCATGCCTTTTCCCTTGACACGGAGTAAACCTGAAAAAGTCAACCTTTCTTTAACCCATGCCTAAGAACGGTCACTTGTTGCAGTTACCGGGTTCCCAGTTGTAACACACCGCTGCAATGGGCCACTTTTGCCCAAGACCCCATGAGCACTCCATCCAGTGTAATCTATAACAATTGCATACAGGATTCTGGTGGCGTGTAGTTGGAATAAACACAAAGAGCACAAAATATGTAAATATCTCAGTCAACAACAACGGTCGTACGCCAAGTCAAAGTTAACGAGTGTAGGCGTTCTACGCACGAAAGTTCGATAATTGCGACAAACAAGCCAAAATCTGTATAAATCTACAGGTACGAGTCGATTTATATTTACACGCGAGTGTTGAGCGCCCAACACGAACCGACCTTCCCATGACCACGCCGGGCAGACAAGCTGCCGCGGGCAGGCTCGTGGTTATTAGTTACAATGGACGCTGCCGTCGCTTTGACCTAGATTCAGAAGGAAGGCTAAGCTTTGCCCACGTGGCGCGCGTATTCCGCGTTCAGCTTGCGCGACCCGACGTTTGCGACGCATGGACCCTGGACGACACCTCGCTCCGCCTCGACAAGTCCGATCCTTCAGCGCTGCTAACAATCAGCGCCCTTCGCGACCTATTTCCGCTCCCTGCCGGCACAGCCGAACAACCACTCATCCTCCACACAGATGATGCCGACAGCCCAGACCGCCCCGGCCCGCGACCCACCACAGAACTCAGCCAGCACCCAGGCAGAGCCGCGTCAGGCCGGGGCACCCCGGGAAGGCTCAGCCACCTCAGCCGCCGCTCGCCAGCCCTATCTCCCGCGGCACGAGGCAGCCCAATGACACGTGCCGCTGCTGCTGCGGCCGCGGCCGCTGCGGCATCGCATGCCAGCCCGCAGAGGCCTGCAACCCTCGCTGTGACACCACCGCGGCTAAACCTGGGCCTTGCGGCTGTGGCTCATCGGCTGGGGCCGGAGTATGAGACACCCAGGGGTGCTTCGCCGCTGAGGGGAGCCCGCACGCCGCTGCTGGGCATGCTTGTGTCGGCCACTCCTCGAGGTGAGGTGGGGCAAAAGTGGTGATGGTGGTTCCGCTGTATCTGGAAGGTCCGCATTCTCCTTCAAGGTAATCTCCATTACCACCCTTGTCTCACGGGACCCAAGCAACACTGTTTTTTAATTATTGGGCTGAGGTTTTGAATGTGCTTCCTTCCTTCCCTCTTTCCTCCCTCCTCTCCCCAAGGTTTCCTGGAATTGGAGCTGCCCAAACCCCTGGCGCCCGACAGCGACCTGCTGCGACACCCCAAGGGGCCGGGTACGAAGCCTACCGAGTGCCGTACTTCCGTACACGTGCATTGCCTATCGTATGTGTCGCACATGTGCCGTGCAGTGGGTGCCGTGTACGTGCCGTACTCTCAGCTCTGCCACGACTGGCGGGCTGAGCTCCCCGGGTGAAAGGATGGATGGGGAATGGAGAAGGGGGGAGGTGGAGTGCGATTGGCTGCGGAGGGTGGTGGCCGGGTTGGCTGGTTGAGGTGTGATGGGTGTGCCACCGGGTCGCATGCAAACACGCTCTGGAGGCTGTCGTTCACACTCCTGATCGAGCAGAGCTGTGCCTCGAAACTTTACCTCCAATGCCTTCACCTCGTGGATTGGAAAGAGCACGGTAAGCAGCGAATGGGTTAGTTTCAAGGTAAGGACAGGCACGGAATCAGACCGCCGCATTCCTTACCCACTGCCGCAATGCACGCACACCCTCCCCTCCCGCGCACCACTCACGCACCCAACATGCCTTCCCACCCGCCTCCTCTCCTGCCCCCGCTTCCAGGTACCTTCTTCTCCTTCCCTCCCGCCGCCGCGCGCCACCTGCCGGTGCTCATGGCCTGCCACCTGCCGCCCCCGCTGCAGCGCCTGCTGCGCGCCTTCAGCCTGCCCGCGCAGGCAGCCATCACAGCGAGGGCCATGGCGCTTCATGCGGCCACATCGGACGAGGAGTACTTCAGAGATCAGAGGTAACGTACAGGCCGTACTCATTCGGGAACGTATATCGGCACCGTACATTGTCGTATATGTCGTGTGCTAGCACCCACTGCATCCCTCCTCGGATATTTCTCGTCTGGTCGTGCTCCCCCTGCTTCTTCCCCTCACTTTTCTCTCCTGTTTTTTTTGTCTTCACCTGCTTCCCATCCGTTCAGGAAGTACTCTTCCCCAACTCCGTTCCCGCAAGCCACGTCACGTGACGCCTCCTTTCACCCCTCCCGCCCCTCCTCTTCGCAGGCTGGAAGCCGCCCTCACCACGGCCCGCAGCTGCAACCCGCCGCAAGACCGCTACAGTTCCTACACGCAGACCCCGCGCCTCACGGGACGCAAACGCAAGCCCACCGCCGCGCCCCAGCTCCCGCAGCAGCACACCCCAGGAGCTGGCTCCTCCACGCCATCACACAACGGCGGATCTCGGACACCAACCGCCGCCGCAACCGCCAACGGTAACGCCGCAACCGCCAACGGCAGCGCTGATGTGGACATGGACGCCGGCGGTTGGGCGTTTGCGGGTAACGGTACCGTACACTGCCCTGGAGGCGTCGCCTGCCGCAAGCCAGGCCGCCATGAGAACTGGCTCTTTTCAGACGCCGCCAACAAACACATCACCTACCTGCCGGTCATATACGACACAGCCGAGAACAGTGCCGTACTGCTGCCGCTGGCTGACCCACGGGTCGGTCCCACGGCGGGAGGCGGCACTGGAGGAGGAGGAGGAAGCGGGGGAGGGCCCTCATCGCACTTGGAGGGCGCGGTGGTGTGGTTTCGGTATGAGTACGAGAGCAGGGCGGGCCGGCGGGGACACAACTTTTGGGATTACGGGTTGCCCAAGAATTTGGAGCAAGCGGTTCGCGACGTCGCCGGGGAGGATGCGCTGCGCTTGGCGTTGGGGTGCGTGTGAGAAGGCCCTGGTGGAGGATTAGTTAAACTGAGCCGCCGAAACGCTTACCCTGGTGGCGGACGCGCCGGCGTGGCTTTCTGCGCATTGAGAGGAGAGTGAGAGGAGGCATGTGGGGGAGTGGGTGTTGCCGTGATCTTGTCATCTGTGAGGCATGGTTCGCTGTACATTAGGGGGGTAGTGTCGTTGTGTCGAGTGCCCCTGCATTACCTGAGGGCGGGTTGAGGGTCATGCATGCTGCATTGAAGCGATCCACGTCATATACCGGTGGTGCATATTGTTTCGGGCTTCAAGGGGCGCGTGGAGGAGATGGCATGCCGGTAGTATCTGGGAGGGTGCTGCGACATTGGCACTACCACTGCTCTAGTACTGGGACTCATACCTTGTTGTGGTCGTGCATGCAAGCTTAGGTTGCTACTAGGTACATACTTGAATATAAGCGCATTGTGTATACACATCTGTACATAGGGTCTTAGTACATGTGAGGGGGTCTTGACACTAGCTGGCAATCAGCATGCATGCAGCGCGCCTGCACGCAGGGGTGCCGGGGGGGGGGGGGGGGCAGGCCAGCCTACCGTACGGGCCTTCAAGCGTTGCGGCTACTGCCCATATGGTCCAACAAAGTGGGCGTCCAGGAGCGGTGTAGTTGCTACCCTTGCATGCCGTTTGTTGCATACACAATGTGCGGAACCAAAGGAAATGGTTCGAGGTGAGGCCAAAGTCCGTCGCACATGCTGAGGGATGCAGTTGCTAGTATTGCTAAAAAGGAGCTGACTGACGAGGCGCTGTACGCGGGTGATTTGGGGGGCTCCACGACAAAGTGCAAATCGTACTGTAAACCAGGGTGCTGGGACTGGTGGTCGCAAGCTTCAGTGCAATCCATGCGCCCGACTGGCATGCATTCCGGCAAGGTAATCCGAGCTCAAACCGAGTAACACAGCAGCTGTCATCCCCACGTCCATAACACCGCTGGCCCAATCCGAGGGAAAGGAGTCCGGAGTAAGGAAGGAACGCCTTATACGCCTTGGCATAGCAACAGTGCCGCGAGCGCAACCATAAACCTGCCCATCTACGGTTGCTACACAACGCCCAGGCCCCCCGCGCTTTCACCTAACAAGCGGACCCCATGCGTGCCGTCAACAGCGCACGACATCTGCCCGCGACACAGCTGTTGACGACACAGCCATGTCTAGCATCCCCTCCCGACAGCCACAACCACCTCAACCACTCCGCCAATCACTTCCTACCCCTCCCTCGGCACCACCACCCATGACCACCTTCCGCCTCCCCTATACCTCCAACTTTACCCTCCCACCTGCTCCCACCATCTCTCTGCTCGCCCTCCACCTCTCCTTCCCGCTCTCCACTACTTCATCAGCCCCTTCTGCCCCACCCACTTCAGCACCTCCCCCGCCAGCTCCCGAGGCGCCTTCTCACCCCCCTCCGTCCCCTCCGCCGGCAGCTGCCCCTGCACCTGCCGCAGCAGCTGCCCCAGGGTGCGCCAAGTGGCCGGCTGCGTATGGCCCGCCAGCATCAGACCGTACGACACGTCCAACACAGCCTGGGGGAGGATGAAGGCGTGAGGGTGACAGGAGTTGGGAAAAAGATATTCCAGGAGTTGGGGGGGGGAGGATGGAAGGGGTGTGGTGGGGAACAGACAACAGAGTTGGGGGGAGTGGGGTTGAAAGAGAGTGGTGGGGGATGCGGCGGGAAGTGGCATGACAGCGACGTGAGAGAACATCGCAGCTCGGGAAGGGCAAGCAGCGACCGGTGCGTCGAAGGCACCTGCTGTGAGGGACGTTCCCCTGCTTCGCATGGGGTCTCGCGGCCTCTTCCCGCGGCTTCCCCCCTTGCTTTCCGCCTTCCCCAACAACACCCCAAACTCTCCTCAAACGCCCCGCCTCGGCTGTTCTCCCTGCCCGAGTTTGCACCCATGCACATTCTGTCCTCCCCTGGCTCTCACGCCAACCCCCAACCCTTCCCCCTGGGGTGTCACACACCTCTCTCTCACACACACCACCTGGCACTATCCACAGTACGTTCCGACTCGCGGTCAATCCTCAAACACACAAGAACACCCAGACACACCCGCACCTGGGGTCCCGCCTGCTGCAGCTCCCGCCCCTCCGCGTCCAACAACACTTCCAGGCTCCGCTCCACAAGCCCCCGCTCCCCACCCGCAGCCGGCTGTCCTCCCTGCCCCTGCCCCTGCAGCAGCCCGCTCTCACAGCTGGCGCGCACACAGGCCGCCAGGTGCTCGGCCGGGAAAAGGTGCAGCAGCGCGTCCCAGCTGACTCGGATCTCGCGGAGCAGCCGATAAGCGCCCGGAGGGAGGGAGGACTGGGGCTGAGGCTGGGACTCTGCGCCGGATGGTTGGGGCTGGGGCTGCTGCGGTTGGGACTGGGAGGCAGCTGAGTTGCGCAGGAGCTGCGCGAGGCGTGTGAATTTGGCGGCGGCGATGTGGGGAGGCAGGTGCGCGGGGGTGCGGCGGTAGACATTGTGGAGCTCGAGAGGGGTGGCGGCCTGAGAGGGGAGAGGGGGATGTGATCATGGGATGTGGAATGGAGGATGGGAGGACGGTGACGACAAGTTCATGAGCAGGAGGAGGATTGAGGCATGGTATGGGCTACGCCGGAAGAAGGGCTTGTATTTAGCTCTGGTCAGGAACCTCCGATGGTTCCGATGAACTAAAGCTGTACGTCGAAGGACCTACCTGCCGTATGCTCGACAGAAGCTCCTGCAATGTAGGTTGTGGTTTGGCGTTTAGGGACTTTGGGCTATGTGAAGGTGGCTCCCATGGCCGTGGCTGCCCTGCGCTCGGTGATGCTGTCGGCCCACTAGCCCCGGGTGCTGCTGCGAGCCCTCGCCGAACGTCATGCAACGCAAAAGCAGCCGCATCAACGCTACATGCTGAAATACCAAGTGCGCGTGTTAGCCACGTCGCGCAAAAGGGAGTCGCGCCCAAAACGACAGGCGCCACGGTTGACAGCCGCCTGCAGATGAAAACAAAGCGTGCGAAAGGAATTTAATAAGCTACATGTTGTGGCTCTGTCTTTCGACAAACTAGTTAGGCTTCACGTGTAAATGCCCAGCGTAAATGGTTATTATACCTGCTCATATTGGACAAATAGGTTAAATGAGCGTCCTTCTGGTCACTTTCAGCTCGGCATAGATAGACTCTTAGCAAGTCAGCAGTATCTCTGCTTTGTTCGTTACAGCTCCGATGCCATGTACGGCAATGCGCAAAAGGTTCTGACGCAATTCAGTTTTAGTGAAGTTAGGAACCTGCATGTACACGTACATAATGAAAAAACTTCTTGAGGCTCAAGCTATGCTTAAGTTCTTTCTGGGCGATACTCTACTCGTCTACTGCACCTTATTGGCCACACGTCATTCTCACGCTTAACGGAGACGCAAAGCTTTGATACATTAGAACTTAGTAGGATGCAATTACCCACTTGAGCACCCTAGGTACGCGCCGTGCTTTTCCTAACGCGGTAATGCGACGCGACCCGGGGGCCAGTCACGTCGCCAGTATGCAGCAGGCCACTCACACGCGTTTGGGACATGCGTTAACGCTACTAGTGCGCGTGCAGGCTTGACAATGCCCACTAAGCCCTCCGGCGCAAGCTATCATCGTCGACATGCGTCGACAAAACATGTCGTCGCCCATCATAAGGCGTACTCTCTATCTACAATCTTTTTCTTCTTCTACATCATAACAATGCACATCTTCCCGACAACCAGTCGGATGCTTGCGGGCCATAGCCATGCAACCGTCGGCGACATGGGCAAGCTCATTGTCGATAATGCTTCAGCAGCCCAGCACGCCCCGTTCGACAGTGACCGCGCCAACAATCATTCAGATCTCTCTACACTACATAACGATACAGTTATTTCTCAATCTAATTCTCTTTTTTCGGCAGCTGGCGCCACAAGTATGAGCTCCACTGCAGGTCCCAAAGCCGCCCATCGCACCCACCTTCGAGGCCTGAGCTCCTCCGGCGTTCTGCCAGCGGACCCCTCCCTGCTGGGCGCCGTACTGTACCTCAACTCCCAGTGCCCAACGGGCTTCGCGCCTCTCACGCTGTCAACCTGCGTCACGCCAGCCACACTTGAGCCGTGCCCGGGGCTCCCGCCAACTCACACCATTAAGTGAGTACGCTGCAATACGCGTGCGGCTCATTTGGCAAAATAGCGCGTAGCGCGCATTCAGCTCACAGAACTAGTACAGTTTTGTTGCCTGGGGGGTCTTACCTGCTAAACGTATCCTTGCCTGTACTGGCCAAGGTCACCTTGCCCTTTCATGCCTCCTTCGGACAGTCCTCTCATGTAGACCCATGTGTCCCCGCTTTGACACTGTCAACGTGACAAGCCACTCCTCGCTGCCCCTTGTGCGAGCCTTGCGCTTCCCAGGTACTGCATTCCCGCGCCAAACATAATCGTCGATGCCACCACCACCACCAGCACCAGCAGCAGCAGTGGCGGTTCCGCCAAGCTGGATTTCTCCTGGAGCTGGCGGCTGAGCGACCTGCCCTCGCCCTTCGCCACGGCCGGCTTCAATGCAACCTTGCAACGGTGAGGGCGGCAGAGGGGGGAAGGGTGGCAGAGGGGGCAGGAGCTGTGGGGTGCCGCTATGTTTAGGCACGGACGCTTCGCGCTGATGCAATGAAGCCAGCCGGGATCTTCTATGATTGGTTGTAGCGCTTTCAATACGTCTTCAATAGAGTCATGTCACACGGTGAATGTGGGTAGTCAAGGCGAAGGGGCCAGCAGCGCAGGGCAGGTTGCCGTACAGGCTCTGGCGCTGCTGGGCAGGGCCATTACAGCGGCTGCGGACTTGCGGACTTGCAACTGCCTTCGCTTTCCTGATCTATCTCCAAGGCGGCCCTTCTCTCGACTCTCGACTCTCGACTCTCGACTCTCGGCTCTTCTAGCTGTCCCCTTCACCGAATCCGCCTGCTCCGCTCCCCCGCAGCCATAACGTCAGTCATCTGCCGCCTGGCTGCTACTCCCTCCAGCTAAGCCACGGCCCAGCTGTTGCAGTGACGGTTCGTCTGGGCTTCGGCAACCCGCCCTCACCACCCCCGCCTCCGTGTAACAGCAGTGCCGCCACTGTTGCTGCTACCGCTGCTACTACTGCTGCTACTGCTGCCTCTGCTGGTTTCCTTCAGTTCGTTTCCGGTAGCACGAGAGCTGACGTCAGTGGTGGTTGGCCGGCGGTTGATGTGACCGCCGCTGCTGCCGGCGGCGGAGGCGCGTACCTGGGTGTGCCTGCCCCGCAAGGCGCTGGCTGGATGACCATCACATACCAGGTAGGCATGAAGTTGTCGGCGCCCAAGAACCGGTTACAGTTACAGTCTGTACGCGTGTACAGTGTGTCCGCAAGAGCCAAGGGAGCCAAGGTTGCTGTGAGGAAAAACGTTTCTCGTGCGTTTTGTATGTTATGATGACAAGCTGTCGTACAGGGCTGCCGTACGGCATGCGGCGTGCTACGGTACACACGAACCGTAGCACGCCGCATGCCGTACGGCGGCACGGAGTTGCCGCAACACGGGGGAGTAGTGGGGGATTCCATGCCATGCTCGCACGCTGTCAGGAGTCCTGCCACGCTACCAACACATCACCCCGGCGTCCGTGTTGGCTCACACCGCTGTCAGCAGTCGCGTCCCTTCACCTTGCACCTCCCCTTGCCTACCACGTACCATTCAATCGCATCCATGTGTGATACGGGTGACTGTCTGTACGGATGTCCCCTGGTACGGTACAGGTGCCCCCAGCCAGCCAGCGAGAGTCCGCCTCCGTCGTACTCACTGCCGTATCTGCATCACCGTACTCATCGCCTTGTAACCAAATCACGCCACCGCCACCGCCACCGCCGCCGCTGCCTCCGAGACCACCTTCGCAGTCTCCCGCGCCGCCACCGCTACCCACGCCGTCGCCACCACCCACGCCACTTCCTCCAACGCCTCCATCTCGATCCCCACCGCCACCATCCCCACGTCCGCCTTTACCTCCCTCGCCACCACCACCGCCGCAACCGCCATCTCCACCCTCACCTCAGCCTCCGTCACCGCCCTCTCCTCAACCTCAGCCCCCACCTTCCCCTCCCCCTCAGCCCCCGCCTTCCCCTCCCCCTCTGCCCCCGCCCTCCTCTCCACCTCAGCCCCCGCCTTCCCCTCTCCCTTCACCACCGCCTCCAAACCCATCTCCTCCATCACCTTCCCCTCCACCCCCTCCTCCTCGACCCCCTTCCCCTTCCCCTCCACCCCCACCCCCACCACTCCCACCACCCCCCTCCTCCACTCCTCCTTCTCCACCTCAACTGCCCACATGTCCCACGGGTCGCACACGCGTGCTGCTGTCCGACTGCTTCGACCCCTGGGGCCGCCAGCGCTGCGGCGCGCTGGCACTCACCTGCGCCTCCAGTCCGGATGTACGACTGGATGAGGGACTTGTGGATTGGTCCTTCGGCTGGGGTGACGCCGGCTTCAATGCCACGCTGTGGAGGTGGGTGCTTGGTTGCATGGGTGCTTGGTTGACGAGCCGGCTGGCTTCGTTGGATCATTACATTAAGAGCATTAGAGCTGTTGTCATGCCCAAACGCTGGCTTGGCCGTGTAGCTACACTGGGGTGCGGAAAGGGGCTGGGCTGCGAGCGCAATCCCTGCAACCAGATAAGCCGTACAAGCAGTGTACAGCGTACGAATCACACCCAAAGCACAAAGCCACAACTCCAATACACGAACACGTGCACAAGCCCAGAACAATCGTATTGTCCGCGAAGTGCACGAGCCATCAGATCACGTGCTTAACCTGCTACCTACCATGAACGACAAGGACCGGTAGATAACGATCCAAGCGGCTCTTTTGCCTTTCGGCCTTGTCCCCACCTGCACCCCTTCCCGACGCCTCATCAGGTATCCCCTGGGCAGCCTCCGCCCCGCCGTGTACCAACTGGACCTGCTAAACAGCTTGGAAGTGCGACCCACGGTTCTGCTCACGACCCATGGGTCAGCCGAGGCGCTGACGGCGACACGCAGCGGCATGCTTCTGGTTCCACCGCCGCCGCCGGCAGCGGGAGCGTCGGCTGTACCGTTCTTCGAGCTTACCTTCAACCTGGCGGCGCCGGCGGAGGCGAGGGGTCAGTCGGCTGCTCTGAGGCTGACGCCCCTTCAATTCCTGGACCGGCCAGGGCCGCCGGCGGCGATTGATGCGACCGCATGGCCACCACAGCCGCCACCACAGCCGCCGACGCCACAGTCAACTCCTGCTCCGCCGCCGCCACCGCCGCCGCCGTCGCCGCCGTTGCCTCTACCACCGTCTCCACGACCGCCACCACCGCTGCCGCCGTCGCCTCCTCCGCTGCCGCCGTCGCCCCCTCCGCTGCCGCCGTCGCCTCCTCCGCTGCCGCCGTCACCCTCCCCGCTGCCGCCGTCGCCTCCTCCGCTGCCGCCGTCACCCCCTCCGCTGCCGCCGTCACCCTCCCCACTGCCGCCGTCACCCCCTTCGCTGCCGCCGTCGCCTCCTCCACTGCCGCCGTGGCCCCCTCCGCTATCGCCGTCACCCTACCCACTGCCGCCGTCGCCCTCCCCGCTGCCGCCGTCGCCTCCTCCACTGCCGCCGTCGCCTCCTCTACTCCCGCCGTCGCCCTCCCCGCTGCCGCCGTCGCCTCCTCCGCTGCCGCCGTTGCCCCCTCCGCTGCCGCCGTCACCCTCCCCGCTGCCGCCGTCGCCCCCTCCGCTATCGCCGTCGCCCCCTCCGCTATCGCCGTCACCCTCCCCACTGCCGCCGTCGCCCCCTCCGCTGCCGCCGTCGCCCTCCCCGCTGCCGCCGTCGCCTCCTCCGCTGCCGCCGCCGTCTCCACAACCGCCGGCACCGTTGCCCAATCCCTCCCCCACACCTCCCCTCCCTCCACCTCCCTCTCCGCCCGGCATTTGCCCCCCGGGCTCTACTCAAGTCCTCCTGAGCCCATGCGCCCCAACCCAGCAGCTTCCAAATGCCACCTTGGACCAAACCCCTGGCTGCTCCCCTATCGTGCAGTGTACGACTGGTAAGTGTGCTATAGGTGTTCGGCTGTCTGGAGTCGGCGCAAACGCCTTAGATGTCCAAGCCTAGCCTGTCACGCCATCCGAAGTCCCTGCATCTTTGGCCTCTTCCACAACCCCTTTCCTCGCAAGTTTGACTGTACGCAACCAGCAATCCAGCCTTATGCGGAATTCGTATCTCGATTAACCTCCCCCCTTGCCGCCAGAACCCTGGTACGACACCGACTCGACCTCCCTGGGCTTCAGTCTGCGACTGCCGGACAGCCTGCCCGCTGGCTGGGGTACGACAACTTGCCCGGGACAGGACAGGTGCGCTGTACGGCAGCATACCTCCTTACCCAACCTCTCTTCCCAACGTGTGTCGTGTGCGCTCGTCACGTCATCAGCCCTTCCTTGCTCGCTTACCTCAACCGACCCATGGGTCCCTCCGCAGCAGGCTCTACATGGTCGTCCCGGCCGCATCCATCTCCTCCCTCATGCCCGCTGGCACCTTCACCCTCGTCCTCAGCCTGCCCGCCCCCACGGCCGTCGCCAGTCTCATCCTCCTCCATGCCAACGGCACCCGGTTTGGGCCTTATACTGGTACCGCGCCCTCCCTGAACCTGCCGTACGGACTGGTTTCCATGCAGCTGGTGCTGAGCGTCCCATGGGTTCCTGTGGGTCAGGGCGGGGTGCTGACCGCGGTGCTGGTCAACACGGGGCCTCCATGGGCGCCGTACATGGCCACACTCACGATCATGACTACGGATCGGCCGCTGACTGTACTGCAAGACTGCCGTACGGTGGGCATTGTGTGGGATGCCTTGGTTGCCTAATGTGCATGGTTTTTCGCAAGGTTGCTGGGTGATGGGTGTCCCCCGGGGCATGCCGTAATTCCGTACCGTTGGCTGAAGTATACCGTATGCTTATGCCCCTTTTGTATCATTGTTGATTGGCAGCTTCAAACGTTTCCAAAGGAGAGGTAAATGGAGAGCAAAAGGGCAGCAACATGCTGCCGTACATGCAACCTCTGAGCTGCCTCCACTACCATCCCTCCACAGGTTGACACGCAGTTGCAGCCGTATTACTACCGCAAAGCATCGCGGGTGGGTGCCGTACGATATACTACTCGCATGCCGTACAATCCTCGACCCGTGTAATGTCCAAGCCGTATGCCCTATTATGTTCGGTGACGACTCACGAGTCGTGAATACCATTGTGCTGCCGTGTCTTGACCACCCCCTTTCTCCACTCCCTCCTCTTCCCCCATCCGCTGCTCCCTCCCTGCTGCCCGACCCCCAGGTGACCTGCGTCACATACACCGCCAACCTCACGACCTCCAACTCCTCCTCGGGCCCCCCAGCCACCGCCCTTCAACCCCCGACCCCACTCTCACTTCCACCATCCCCTCAGCCATCGCCACCACAGCCACCGCCACCGCCACTCAGCCCTCCACCACCACCCGGCTCCGTACTGCTACCTGTCGTACCCGCCCGGCCCGAATTACTTTCCGTACTCACTCTACGAGTGGAATACACCTCCCAAATTGCCGCGGACTCCGTTTTCCTGCACCTCTCCTGGGCTGCTGACTCTCTGTGGGCTGCCCTAGCTCAGGGTCTGGCCGCATGCAGTGTGGAGGGGCTGCTGGAGTATAACACGGCGCCGGCTGTAGCAGCTAGCAGTGGGATCAGCAGCGGTGCCAGCGGTAGCAGTACGGCAGTTGCTGTGGGCAGTACGGGCAGTACGGGAAGTACGGGAAGTAGCAGCGGTACGGTGGTGGATCCCTCGGGTACGGCGTATGTGGCTGGAGGGAGTATCCTTGCGTGTGCAGCTGGAAGCAGTGGGTTGGTGTCGCCGGGGACAACGTGTCAGTACGGCAGCTTGGGTACGAATTGTACGGCACTGCGAGCGTGAGCGAGGGGATGTGACGCTAAGTTGAGTTTGGTTTATGGTTAGGGTACACAAGGCAGGAGTGTACAGTCGGGGACAGATGTAGCAGCGCGAAAAGGCTCATTAGAGTTGGCAGGAGCCCCTTAGGTTTTGAATATACTCTTTAGGGTACTTGGGCTGGGGCGGGTGTGCGCTACTACACCCTCCCATACTCAGAAAATCGTCTGAATATGATTCTGGGGTTCTTGGGATCTGGGAAGCTCCGGGGTTAGGGGTACCACCACGGGGAGTCGCCACAACCCAACAGGGTTGTTTACTCTCTCGGAACATTTTGCCTGATGCTTAGGATCGCCTGACGCCCATTGTACGACAGCTGTTCTGCAGGGACCTGTGCGATATGTCGTGCGGCACGTGTCATATCCGTTATACCGCGCTGTATACCAGAGGTGGGATTTCGGAATTACCGGCTGATATGCCGCTAATGCGAATGCCCACTACGGAGTTCGGATTGGAAACCGGCAGGGTGTGGCGCCTGTGAAGGGACTGGGGGGGGGGTGTGCTTCCGATGGAGGCGGAATGACAACTATACGCATTCACAGAACACGCGTCAGGAGTGCGTGGGGAACCTCATGAAAGTAACTACGCGGTTTCTGGGGCCCTTCTGTTCGTCATTGTGGAGCAACTACTGGCAACCAACTTATGTACGTGATCGCCTTTCTGTTCGTTAGTGTACCGGTACTGGAACCAACATGAGTACGCGATTGTGATCGCGACGCAATAGCAGTCGTGTAGCACTGCAGTAACCTCATTTTTCTTCTGTTAGGTCTTTGCTTTTTCTAAATGCGCTGAGCGCTGCAGAGGATTGCAGTCCTAATTGCAGTTTCTCGTATAGCCGAGCTTCATAACTTTTTCTATGGATGCATTAATTTACCATAACCGTTTGACTACATAGGACCTGTCATGAGGAGATAGCGCAGACAATAGTTGTCCATTCCCCGAGATGCTGCAAGTAGCTCTGCCATGGCCAGCTATCCAAAACTGCCCCACGAGTACGAAGAAGACGAGCTCCAAGATGGTCGTCATCCGCCTTTACCCAGCAAGGAGCAGCGCGTGCTGAAGGGCCATGAGGGCGCAGTGCTAGCGGTTCGCTTTAATCCTCAAGGATCTTACTGCCTTTCATGCGGCAAGGTAGGTGGTTGCTTCGCCGCTCTTCCAGGTGAAATGGGTGTTGCAGAGCCCCCAACGGTGTTGCATCCAGGACCGGACTCTTCGACTGTGGAACCCGCATAGCGGCGTCCTGGTCAAAACCTACGCGGGGCACGGATATGAAGTTCGTGACGCAGCTGTTGCGCGTGACAACAGCAAATTTGCATCTTGCGGTGGCGATAAGCAGGTTTTCCTGTGGGATGTGGCCTCGGGCAACTTTATCCGCAAGCTGCGCGGCCACGACAGCACCGTCAACGCCGTTTGCTTTGGCGCGGAGGACAACTTGCTCCTGACCGCCGGCTATGATCAGTGCGTCAAGGTCGGTTCCCTTGCATCACTCCGTTGACGCTCTTTACTGCTATCCTACAGACCTCCTAAGCCCATGGCCAGCATGCATACTTCAACCTCATAAAAGGCTCACCTTTCCCTGTCACTCCTTCTATTACCCGCCTCGGCCTTCCGGTGCCGTACAACAGGTGTGGGACATGAAGTCTCGCAGCATCGACCCCATTCAGGTCATCAAGGGCTTCCAGGTGCGCCCCGAAGAGGCGAGGCTGAGGTCCCGGGATGTCCTTGCATGCCAATAGCATGTGTTCGACTTCCCATCTCTGTAAACCTTTTATTCGCTGCTGGGCTGCACGCACACGTGATCTTGACCCATACGCATTCCCCGCCTCCCAGGTGCCCCTGTCCAAACCTCGATTAACTCATTGCTTCATTGGGTATATACTTCTTTTCCTAACCCCATCACCTTTCCTCTCACCCTCTTACACCACTACAGGACAGCGTCACCTGCGTGGCCGTCTCCGGCACCTCCGTCTTCGCCGGCTCCGTGGACGGCTCCCTCCGCCGCTTCGACGTGCGCGCCGGCCGCGCCACCACCGACCAGCTGCACCACCCCGTCACCGCCCTAGCACTCACCCGCGACGGACTGTGCTGCCTGGCTGCCTGCACCGACTCCGCGCTCAGGTGGGTATCCTCGGCATCGGTAGATAAGCTGATAAGGTATCGGTAGATAAAGAAAGGAGAAGGAGAAAGAGAACCCTGAGCCGCCCGACCCGACCCCACTGTCTCCTTACGGCTCAGTCCTAAGCCTCCTTCACACAACCGACGACCCAAATATCTTGTTTGTAGGTTGGTGGATGTGGCGGGCGGTCAGCTGCTGGCGACCTACACCGGGCACGTGCATGAGTCGGTGAAGATGGACTGCTGCCTGACGCCCAGCGATGCCTACGTGGTGGGCAGCTCCGAAACCGGTGGGTGACTGTTTGAGCATGGACAGGTGGCTTGGGACAGGCATGGGGTTTGGACTTCCTTGATACGTTATAGGTCCAGGATGCTCGGTAAGGAGTTCCGGCGGGTTGGGGCTACAAGGGCGGTTGGCGTTTCTGGCATGCTTAAGAGGATGTGGCGCCTGGTGCTTCCCTTTTTCTATCTTCCAATGTACAGGCGAGGTGCTTTACTGGGACCTGGTGGAGGCTGAAACCGTGGAGCGATTCAAGGCACACGGCGGTGTGGTCACCAGCATGGCAATGCATCCTGACGGGGCCCTGCTCTTGACCAGCTCAGTCGATGGTTGCGTCAAAGTTTGGGGTAAATGATAAGTTGTTTTCACTGTTTGACCTGTCAAACTGTCAGGCTAGCGGATATTGTGTTGCAGTAGATCCCGTGCATTTTGCTGTACGCTAGAATTGAAGTCGGCGAAATCTAAGGCCGGTTACCAGTTATATAGCTAGGTCATTACAGGTCGACGTTTAGGACAGAACCTATACACTAGTTAATGTTAATGGTGCCGAACCAAGACTTTGTGACGAAGCGTTCGGTTGCTTGGATTTTTCAAATATCCCCGGTTTTTGCTTCGCTGGTTCGGTAAACTTTCATATGCCCTGGCATGCTTTTGCCATGTCATCGCGGTTACGCAGAGCGGAACTTTAAATTATACTCGGCAGGGGTATATGCGCGAACGTGAAAGTGACAGTGGCTTCTGCTCCAACGGCGCACATTATAGATATTATATTGGCGCACTTCTTAAGCTGGTGCCATGCTTCATAGCGGTATGGCGTTACCGCAATCCACTGTAAGAAGTGACTGCCTGTCTGCTTGCCAAACTCTTATCGGAGTCTCATCATAATGAAGCCGCCAACTACTTTTGTTATGCAGCATAATTGACAGCGGAAGGGTTCAAAAGGCTGACATGCGGGAGCGTCATGGAAGGGAAGCGCGAAATACTTCGCCAAAGTCCAACACATGAGTCTTCTAGCTACTATGAAGCCGCATCGTATGCGACACATGTTCAACGAGGTCGACGCGCATTAACCAACGACTCCCCGGGACCTGGCGCTTCTACTTCCCCCCGACGTCGTCCTTCAACCATGGCCTTCACAAGCCCCTCGACCGCGACCAGCCTTCTAGAGCGCTTCGGTATCGCCCATTTGACGCGAAGTCCCGGTGCTACTGGATCCACGCCTTCAGCGTTGGCAGGATCACCACATAGCAAGTCTCGCATGCCGGCTTCCCCCCGTTCTGGAGCAGAGGCGCCTGAACCTCCAGGAGGCCCAAACAGGTACGGCGGGACGTGAATTCTGCGATAGGATGGAATGTGATACCCTACTGTACCACGGCCACTTGACCTGGTACGCAAATGCATAAGCGAAACTTTCCTATACACTCCCAAGACCTCGTACCTCCATTTACACCACTCAACTGCTCCCATTGTTTGTACCCAACATTCCACGCCCGGCCCTTCCCGCTCCCTTTCTCCTTCTCTGCTCTGCACCGCAGCCCGAGCAGCAAGCAGCAAGCCGCCCCCTACGTGCGACTCATGCACAACCCCCTCTTCGCCGAGCCCGCGTCCTCTCACCCCGCCGCTCAGCCCCGCCGCTCTCCAGCCGGTACCCCCACCACCGCTGCCGCCGCCGTTACCACCGGCCATGCTGCATGGAGGTCAGGGGGCGTCAAAGGGCCCTACGCAGCTCCCCCTCCCGCGGCCTCCGCCCCAGCCGTCTCCCCAAGGGCTGCGGCGGCAGTAGGCAGCTATGCCACCCGGGCAGCTGCCGCTAGGGCTCGAGCAATGAGCCGAGTGACGGCGACGGCGGTAGCTGCTACTTCCGGGGTGACGGCAGGTGTGACGGGCAGCAGCAGCGCGGGCGAGGCTGATGTCGAGGGGCAGCCGCCGTCCGCAAGCCCGGTGACGTCACCATCTGGGTCACCGTCATCTCTGGTTGAGAATGCTGACGTGGATGCTGAAGGAGGTGACGTCAGCTGCCGGAACGGTGGCGATTACGCTGCTGGTGACGAGGGAGGTACCGCCGCCTCGCCCTTCCCGACGGCAAGAGCGCCCATGACGATTTCAGCTCCGGCAGCTGCTGGTGGTGTGGTTGCAACGGGAATACCTGCCGGGGTGGTACGGCCTCGAGGCGCCGTCAACCCCGTCGTCACCGGAATCAAGCCAGCGGTCGTCACCAAGATCCCAACCGCCTCGGCCGCTGGTGCTGCTGCCGTCTCGCCGCGAGCTGGCGCCCCGCGATCACCTTCATCCCCAACCTCGAGAAGCCCTCTGAGGCAGCAACAACAGCCACACCAACAGTCACACCAACAGTCACACCACCCACAGCAGCAGCCTGGCGGCAGCCCAGCTGGAGGGGCAAATCGTACCTTGTCGTACACAGACTGGGTCGAGGCACGGCAACGGCAGCAACAGCAGCAGCAGCCGTTAAACCAACGACCGCCCTGGCGCAAACCCAACGACAAGAAACCACCCTCTGCTGCCCCTGTCCCGGCCCCCGCATCGACCGCACCTACCGCCCAAGCCCCTGCAAGTACGACCAACACCGCCGCCGCCGCCACTCCCATTCCGGCTCCCATGCCGCGCAGGCGACAGCAGTCGCAGTACATAAGGTTAGACTCCGGAAGCGGCGGTGGCGGTGGAGCCCCCCGCAGCGGGGAGCTGTTCCCGCATACGCCGCCGGCCCACAAGCCTGCCACCGCTCGAGCCAGCGCCGGTTCAGGATCCGCACTGGGAGGAGGCGGAGGAGGAGGGCCGGCTGCAGGGTCCGGTAGCTACGGGATTGGAGGGATGAGGGGCAGCTTAAGGTCTGGTTCCGGCCACTCAGAAACTGGCGGGTGCATGGGTAACGGGATATTGGTGACTAGGCTGGGAGGGCCCCTGCGGGAGTCCTCCTCCTCGACTTTTGGCGCTGGCGGCGCCGGCAGCGGCAGCAACCTCGGGAGCAGCGCTGATCGAAGCAGTGGTGAGACGCTGGGTATAGGGCCCATGCCTAGCCTGCCAAGTATCACCACTCTGGCGACTGAGGGGCTGTATGCCGCCGTTGTGGGTCCGCGACCGGAGGCGAGGTCGCGGCTTGGAAACCCCACGGCGACGGCGGTGGCGACTGGCTTCTGCGATGACGATGGGTTTGATGTGGAGGACGATGGCGGCGATCGTCGTGGTGATTGCGGCGGCGTGGAGGGAAGGCAAGGTGGTGAGGGATTCACGCCGTCGGCAGCGGCAGGAGCGGCGGCGGCTCCAGCTGCGCTTAATGGTGGTGGTTGTTTTCTGTGGCCCAGCACCGGAACCGCGGCGGCGGCGTCCGCTTCGAGTGGCGATTACTTCGAGATGTATGGTTTCGGTCGTCGCGGCGGTGCCTTCAGCGCGCTACAGCAAGGTGAAGAAGGAGGTGAAGAGCGAAAGAAATACACGGCGAAGCATGAGGAATTGGACGCTGAAGAAGGAGGCGAAGATGAAGAATTTGAAGAAGCCGACCGCTTTTCCGTCCTGTACGATGACCTGGTGCGCCAAGACAGCTTGACGCGCCGCGCTAGTTTTGCTTCCAACAACAGCAGCATGCCACCACAGTCCGCGCGCGCCACTGCCACCGGCGTAATTCCGGACAACAATCCCACCGTACGCCGACGGAGCATGGGATCTCGTCCCACCAAGCCGCCAGCGACGCTGATGCGGAGCGCCTCTGCTCGCAGCCCTGCCACTGCTGCTGCTACCGCTACCGCGGCTTTTTGCCATGCGGGTTTGGAGCACGAGGCCTCGCAGTACCAGCAGCAGCGCGCTGGGAACTGCGCAGACCGCGGTGTCGCTGCTGCTGGTACTGCTACTGCCGGAGGAGTTGCCCGGGGCGTAGCTGTTAGAGTGTGCGAGCATTGCAGGACCGTGGGTGGTGCGGGTGCGGGTATGGCAGCAACAACGGTGTCACAACAGGGTCGCGGGGTGGCTAGTCCGCCCAGGCTGCTGCGCACCGCTAGTCCGCGGGTTATGGGTCGAGGTTACGGCCGGTCAGCGAGGATGGCAACGATGGCTGCGTCGGAGGACGGCTTGGATAGCGACGAACAGGAGCAGCTCGCTGTAGCTGCTGCTGCCGACGCAGGAGCTGTCCATGCAACTCCCTCCTCGCCTCCGCTGCATTCCCGCGACGCCTCAGCAAGGGGGGAGGACAACGTGGGCTGCCTGGTGGACGGAGTGTGTGTGCTGTGTCACGAGAGCATTCCTGCGGAAGCGCGAGCCTCCATCCGGGCCGCTAAGAGCTTCTCGCCGGGCTGCACACACGGCTCCGAGATGTCTCCCGTGCCAGCTGCTGCTGCCGCTGCCGCAGCGGCCGCTCTCTTGGCAGCGGACAGCTCCCATGCTGTTGACTATGACGAGGGAGCTGGTGATCAACAACCCAACGCAACGGCCTCTCGGCGACCACGTTTGAAAGCGCTTCGCAGCTTCCGATTGCCACTTGCATCGGACTGGCTGCCGGATGAGGGAACCAGCCCACTCGCCTCCGTCGCCGCCGATTCCGCTTCTATTTCCGCCGTCGTTGTTGCGGGCACCACCGCCGGCAGCACCAGCACAGCGGGTGCCTTGGCTGAGCTGCAGACAGGGCTGTCCGCTGCTGCTACCGGCGCAGCCTCAATTCTGGCAGCGGCGGTGGGCGAGCGAGAGCAGCAACAAGAGCAGCAGCCAGAATGGCACGGCCGTGCTGACAATTACAAGAGGTCCAGGTTTAATTGTTCGGTTCAGAGCCCTTCCCTGCTGCCATCGCAATCATGGCGGCAGCAGCAGCAACCGCACGAGCAGCAGCAATCCCTAAACCGCCAAGCAACGCTGCCGCTAACCCAAAGCAATGCCACAACCCCGCCTCCGCGCCCTTCTCCTCCTGCCGTCCACAGCTCCCAAACCGGAGCAAGCATGCATCCCATGCTGCTGCAAACGCCGTCAACCCCAGCAGCAGCCACAACACCTCCGTCCTCCTCCTCGTCCCCATGCACCGAGCAATCCCCGCCCGTCGCCTGGGGCAGCGCCGACGTAACCCCCATTCAGGGCGCGCCTCCCCCTTCTCTCAGCGCCGCTGCCAGCCCCATCTCCCCGCCCTCGCCCTGTCCCGCACCCTCTTCAGCCCGCCTGCACAGCCGTCGCCACCCCGTGACGCGACAGAGCCGCTCCGCACCGCCCACGGCAGGAGCCGGCGCCGGCGCCGCTGTCCCCTCAACTGCTACCTCCTCCGCCTCACCTTTAGGCCCGTTCGGAGCATCCAACCGCGATTCCCTTCAACCCCCGACCACCAACGCTGCTGCTACTGCGGCTGCTGTCGGAGCTGCAGCCCATGCGAGGCGCGGCTCTCCCTCACTCGCCTCCGCTGCGGGTGCTGCGAGTGGGTCGCTGCGTGCCTCTGTGCTGTTGGGTCTGGCTGGCGGTGCGCTGCATGCGGCTGAGGGTGCGGCCGCCACTCCGCCGGGAGCTGCTGCTGGTGGTGGCGTTGCGATTACCCCGAGTGGGGAGACCCCTGCGGGTATGAGGGGCAGCCTGGGCTCGGTGTCGAGCTTCAGTGCGTTGTCGGGGCCGCAGGTGAGATGGGGGCGGCTGGGTCAGGGAGTACGTAACAGGGGAAAAGCAAGTAGGCAATGACTAGAGCCATGCGAGTGCTCGGGTTGTTCAATGTTGCTGGTTGCACCAGAAGCCAGGCTGCCGTTTCACGCATGCTTGTTTAGCTGTGACTGTTGCCAATGCAGACACCGCTGACCGCACTCCTAATCATTCTCTCCACCCCTTCCCATCCCACCCCACACACCCTGTCTCACCCTCCCCGCAGTCGGGCGTCCTGTATCGCTACCCCTCTCATGGCTACCTGGAGTCAATCACAGCTGAGGCAGGCGGTCGCTGGGACGCCGCCGCAGCAGCCACACTGTATGACACGTACTTGTACGACAGCGAGCAAGCACAGCTTCAAGGACTCGCCTCCGTCGAGGAGTACGCCGAGCTGTACGAAGATCCGTCGTACTCGTTGTCTTCTGTGTCGTACACGGCGGCTGCGCTTGCGGCCTCTTCTGCTGATGGCAGCGTGCCTGCCGATGATTCATATGACGCTGCGTTGCCTTCTGAGGCAACCGCAGCACCCGCGGTGGCCCCCGCAACGACAAGAGAGAGGATCGCCTCTCTTGCTTCGTCATCTTGGCAGCGAATGTCGGCGACACCCACACGCAATGCGTCATCCGTACGTGCTCCCGGCTCGCCTCGGCCGCCTCCCTCGCACACTACCTTGCATTCGCCTTACGCCCACCTTGCTGGAGGTCCCGGCCCGCTGCATGCTGCTTCCAGGTTCCAATCCGCTGTCCAGAAGCTGTCGCACCCGGATCAGGTGCACTCTGCACGGGACCCTCGCGTGGCCGCCGCCTCACCACCGCCGCCACCTCCCAGTCACAGATCGCTGTCAGTGCCTTCAGCTTCGTACACACGGCCGCCGTCAGTCGCCGCCGCCGCCGCCACCGCTGTCGCCGTCGTCGATAATCCAGGAAAGCGCCCGCATCCGTTGTCAACGCACATGCAGTACGGGGCACCGGTGCCGTACCACTTGCCGTACAGTAGCATTAGTGAGGAAGCTGAAGAGATGCCGTACCCCTCGGTATCAGTCGCCGCCGCCGCTGCAACAGCAGCAGCAGCACCGCTTCTATCGCCCGCAAGCTCTCCAACAGATAGCGCCCGAAGCCCGGGTCTGTCGCCGTTTACAGATCGTCAGTGGCTACATGCCGTACAGTCGTACATGCCGTACTCTGCGCGCTCTTACGATGCAAGGATGGCGACGGCGGTTGAAGAGCGGTCGGCACTCGCTGGCGCCGCTGATGTGAACCCGTTGGTTCCTGCATCCCGGCACCACCCCGCGGCTGCAGCGCCGCAGCTGCCCCCGCAGCCGTCCGTCTTTGAGTGGTCGCATGCTGCCGCCTCCACCGCCGCCGGCCTGACGGAGCCGGCAGGAAGTTGGATGGTCCCCCAGCCACCAACAGCGCCATGCCCACAACTTCCCCGTACGGTGGAAGCTGACGACATTGACGCCATGCTTCAGCCGCTGTCAGCTGCGGTGGCAGCAGCATACAGGGCTTCCGAAGGGACCAGCCACAGCGTACTGCCGACCGCCCGCCCGCCACCGCCTTCGCCAGCAGCAGCAGCACCGCTGCAGGCACAGCCTCAACCGCCGGGACCGGCTGCATGGCAGCAAAACCAGGAGCCCTTCCTCCCGCCACCACCCTCCTTCTCCCTCCTGTCGCCCCCGTCCTCCGGCGGTGCGCCTTCCGCCTCACATCTGCCCCACCACCAACACCCAACCCATGCCCAAGGCCGCCTTCCTACCAACTTACACGACCAAGCGCAACAGCATCCCCACCACCGGCAGCGTGTTACTTCTCAATACCGCCTCGCCGCTCCCTACCCGCCGCCTAGCCTAGAAGCCATTCAGCGACTGCTTGAGGCTGACCTGCCCACCCCGGCCATCGCAGCAGCAGTGGCCGTGCTGGCAGGCAGCCTGCCGCAGACCTGGCTTCAGCAGCCCATGCCCGTATCTCCGCAGACTGCCGCAGGTCACACTCCTGCATCCGCTGCTCCTGATGATGGCCCGTCGCAGGCTGTGGCCCGGCAGCAGAGCGGCGAGCAGCTGCCAACGACCCATGGCAGCAGCAGCGGTGGTGGTAGTCGGGGTGGTGGTAGTGATGGCGGCAGCGGCAGAGAGGACGTTGACGTTCCGTACAAGGCGGCAGCAACAGCTGGAGCCATTGGAAACGAGGGAGATTCCGCACTGCAGCAACCAGCAGCCGGAGCCACCGGAGCTGCTGCGGTGCAGGAGCAAGCAGCCAGACTTGCGCCCGCGGCGGCTTCTGGCGTTGAAGCGCACTCGCCGCCGCCATCGTCTCTGTCGCACAACGATGCAGCCGGTGGCGACACAGCAGCCTCTGCTGCTGCAACCCTAGCCACCGCTAGCACTTCAGCCGCAGCAACCCTTCGCCAATCCATCACGCCTGCACCCACGCTGCCTCCTGCATCTGCAGCCGTAACCGCAGCACGGTCGCTTGCCACGTCCACCGCAGCACCTGCCTCCTCTCCCGACGATGCATGCGGCAGCGTATGCGATGCGCGCGCGGCGGGCCCGGTGGGGTCCGCTGCCGGCCCAGCAGCTCATGCGGCCCGCCGCAGCACTCATGGGCGGGGATCGCCCGGGCTCTGCCGCTCGCAAGCCGCCCTGTTGGCGCTTGCTGGGGAGTTTGGCATGCCGCCGAAGCCCCTGCAGGAGGAGGAGGCGGGGCAGGTACAGGAGGGACTCGCATGGATGGAGAGGCTGGAGCCCCTGGGTGGTGGGAGCTGCTTGGATGGGCGGGGTGAAGGCGAGGTGTTTGGGGTCCAGGTCGTGCAGACGCCCAGATCAGGTGAGGCGCGGGGCGGGGTTAGGGTGGGATGCAAGAGTGCAGGATGGAAAGCGTTGTGCACCATTTGGCTGGTGTGCTTTGGAGAGTAGGCGTCAGGGTACGGGTAGCCTCGCATTGCATGGCTCCATGCCGTTCCATGGCGTGAAAGTACTTTGCGCCTACATGCTACCGGTATTGTTCGTATTGGCTGACAACGGGCTACTCCCTGCCGGCTTGTGTGCTGCTGCTGCTGCTACTGCAGGTTGGTCGCAGCGCAGCGAGGGACCCCTGGGTCGTGCCGTACGGCTGATCGCGCAGAGCTTGCTGGTGGTGCTGGCAGGAGCCGCGGGCGCCACAGCGGCCGCCAGCACTCTGAACGCCGTTTGGGCTCGGCCTGAAGACCTGCCGGGCGATGAGAACAGCAGCAGCATCTTCTATCCAAGATACCCTAAGAACTATCGGCCTAAGCGGTCAGCCCTTACCACCCGCTAGGCCCCTGCGTGCGTGAGCGGCGGATCTGGCAGCGATTGAGAGGCTTGGATGTAGGATCAAAACAAGTATGACTGTATGAGAGCAGGCCGATGTGGGAGTAGGGTGCTGTACCTTAAAATGCGTGTCACTGCATTGCTGCATGCCGTACTCGAGGAGGGGTTGTTAAGTGGTTGCAGCATACAAGTGCTTTGATTGAAGTCATGTGAAGATGTGAGTTGGAAGGAAGGTTGAGAATTTGATGAGACGAGAGGGGAGTTGTGATGCGTGTAAGCCCTCGTGTTGGCTCTTGGCGTGATATTCCCTGACCGATTCCCAGGAATATGCGTGATGACTGATTAGATGGTAGCAAAGCGGGGATGGCGCAACCGTTTGCAATTCATGCGGTTCTGGTGTCGGGAGGGGCCATGAAGTGTCAGTGCTCTTCAGAAGTGGTCTATTTTTTTCTCGCAGATGTCGCTAAGCGCTGATGGTTGTTTCTCTGCTGCAGTGAAGAGGGAGTGCAGTATGCAGGCTGGCGCATCCATGGGTCCGGTACCTCGTGCCATGTATTTCTAGATTGCTTTCGGAGGAAGGACTTGACGCTTTGTGTTGTGAGCGTGCTTCTCGTAACTTCGTCATCTGGGCGTGTGGAGCCTGGGTGTTCGGCGTGTGTGCAAAGCTCGTCATCTAGATTCGTGATGCAAGGTATACGAGGTAGGCGTGTAGGTTGAAGCAGGGTACATCGGTACAGCGCGTCAAATGAGACTTTACTTGCGTTTGTGGGCCAAACGGATGCCCCTAGACGGCCATATAGTCAAGAGCGGCGAAGAATCATGTCCGTCGAGAGTGCACGGCCTTGAGGAATCGTAACAGGAGTCCTGACGCTGTAACAGGTCATTATAATTACCCTCCTGCGCTCGTGCAGGCAATGTCGCATGAACGTCATCCTCACATGCAGACGACATCCTCAAATGCAGACGACAACAGCCAGTCTGGGTGCAGCCCACCCACGCAATAGACGGATATCACCAGCTTTTAACAAGAATGTTCGATATCAAGTACCGTACTGAAAGCACATCCATGGCCCTCCAGTAGGCGTGCAAGGAAAAACAATCGCTGGGCACCCCTCCTTAACTCTATGCCACCCAGCCTCCTCTAGCCAAACCCGTGACGTGTTCTCTTAAACAAACCCCAGCCTAACCATCCATGGCTGCCACATACTGCCAAACCCAGAGCAACCGGGCCACTGCTGGCCCCCGCTACGCATGTGCCGGCGTGCCCTGAACAGCCGAACGACGGTTGGGTCCATTAGTGCGCCCCAGATCCACAACTTAGCAGCCCCCAACTTGCTCGATGACGCAGTCAAGTACGTCACCATCCTCCATCCTGGGGTACGCAAGGGGGAGTAAGGGGGTGCGAGTTAGACGAGCGGTACGCAGATTTGTGCGGCGTATTCGTAGGTCTGTTGGAACAGTCTAAGGCCAAAAGGGGGCAGGACTTGGACCCAAAGGGCTGCGTCAAGGGCTTTGGAGCTGTCCTTGCATGCCGGAGCTCCGCACTCAGGACCGGACTCACCCAAGCTCGTCAGGTGTTTGGGTCCCAAGGGCGCGTGTCCCGTCGAACAGGAAGCGCACAGAGCCTGGGTCGACGCCCTTCTTGTTGCAGTAGGCGTTGAACACCTGGAAAACAGCACGTCAAGCCACATGAAAGGGGTTGCAGGCACGATGCGGCTAATTCCCTCACGTTTTGGCGCGAAGCCTGAGGACATTCAAGAATGAGCACGCAACCAATTACCTTATCGAGCTTGGTCTTCATCTTAACTTTAAAGTGCACCTCATTCCCGGCCTGGTCCTTGACGACGAGGTTGATAACGCTACCCTGAAGATGGTTTGTCCACACAGATGGCAGGATCGACCGCGCACGACACGGTTCTCTATCAGCACAGCCTCAGCTGTTTACCTCGGTCTTAACCTTCTGATTATTGTAGTCGTTCTCGCCGCCCGCCTCCGCCATAGCTATGGAAAAGGGCTGTCTTCAAAGGTAAAGAAGTTCTATTCGGGCCTGCTTTCGTATATCCTTGCAGCTTAAATATGACTTCTAGTGCTAACTACTGCGGTGGACAAGATGTTGGCTTGCAGCTTTCAGATGACAGCTATGCTGAGCCTTGCACGTCGTACGACAACGCATGTGTCCCTACTAATTTGTTGTTCGCTCCGTTTATGAGAACATGCTTTTATTTGATCTCGAAAGGTGCGGTAATGACGGCCCTACTTGCCGTATTGGTACTAGCCCGTACTCATATAGAGCTTAATTATACCGTTCGTGTGTTGAGGACAGTTAAACGTAAAGGTTATCGCCGTGTAGCATAGGCACTGCACAATACTGTGGATGTCCACTGCCACACACACATTTTAGCTGAACCACCCCACCGCACCTCCGTGCCCCCCAGGGGCCCCTTCTTCCTCCCAGCACATGATACAATTGCACAGTCTGCCTTTTCATATAAATACACCAATATTGGAGGTACGGCGAAGAGGAACTTACCAGGGCCCTGACCCAAAGTTCCCAAGCTTTTTATCAACGCCTCTTCTGCTGTTATTGTGGGATGCTAAATCGTGTCAGACCGCGTGCGAGACTAACATATGGTTGTCCGGGGTGCACTCGGTGTGACCCCACGCGCAAACACAGGAAGACAGGATGGCCAAGGGATGGCTACGGTTTACCAGGCTCATGGTAATGGATTTACGCTTGGGCCCCCAACATACTACTGTTGTGGTGAATATGTCTGTTAGCCTGCGTGAGTATGTGATGGAGAGGTGAAGGCTTTGGGGCACCTGGTCACACAGGGTGGTGGTTAGATAGCTTCACGCCAACAGACGTCCATTCGGGAAGGTCAGGAGTCGATGCCGGGACTTGCGTGCTGTAACTTAACGAAAGCAGCCTCACAGATGTTCGGCTCATAACTGAAGTGTCGCTCCGCTTGGAGTCCAAGAGTCGCGGTACTGTGTACGGCACATTCGTCTCAAAGTTCTTCCCAAGCGTATACAGTGATTCCCAAATAATCATTTAACTTTTAGCATAGTACAATCTAGTGCATATTTGTCATCCAGGGCAACACTCCACTGCAGCGTTTAGAAGTAGCTTATCAAGAGTGTTGTGAAAACGTCATTGTAAATTACACGCTTTGTCTAGCATGGATCTCTGTTAGCAGTCATTACACACTGGTTTGTGGGACTTTGCCTAAACAAATGTCTAAAATGGGCGAGGTCCCAACCGAGCGGCCACCAGCTTTCGCTTTTGACTCACCGCCGCTGGTCAAGCCACAGCCGGTATTCCTACAACCTCACTCCGCCGGTGCGGTATCCTTACTTTGCATGTTGCGCGTGCGTGTGGGTCCCGCCCCATCTCCAACCCGCGATTGCTGAAGGCTCCCGCAACTCCCTTTCCAAACATTCCACATGCAGTACGGCTCTGCATAGACGAGCCCATAATAGGGTTGCCGGACACGGGCAGACTAGCGGCGCTGTGCTTTGTGGCCGACACGCTCATAGAGCGGGTGCACAAGGTGCCCAAATCCGCAGCGGCTTTTGATGTGGGGATCCTGCAGGAGATCGAGGCGCTCTGCCACCAAGTGGCGCCCAAGAAGCATGCACAGGTGAGGCGCATGTGCGCGCCGGAGGCCTCTTCCTTCCTGAAGTGCTCGTACTGCAGTGCTGCCACGCTGGAGCTTGCCGAGTTGCTGACCCCCCGGGAAGTTGCACTCCGAAAAGCTCCAACCCTTGATGCTCTGCGGACCGCTGTGCAGCAGCAGCCTTACCCTTTGTCACCTGCTTAACCCGCTTACCCTCGTACTCGCCCTGCTGTAGCCTTCTCCTTCTTCTCAAGCTGCCGCACCCCATCCCCTATCCTCCATTTCTGCACCCCCACACCTCTGTTGCCAACCATGATGACGCCTTACCACACGGTGCGTTAGTTGTTCCCCCTTCTTACCCCCTGTTTCCTCCCTCCCTCACTCCTGCCCCCCCCCCCTGCAGACCACCATGCAGGAGCTCGGGCTGCTGGACCTGTTCCCCTACCTGGCCATGGGCCTCAGCGGGGAGAAGCTGGACACAGTGCAGCACAACCCAGGTGGGGAAAAAAGAAATTCCAAAGTGTGGTGTGATAACCCAGGTGGGGGGGGGGGCGGGGTAGAAGGGAAGTAAAGAGGGGGGCGGGGAAGAAGGGAAGTAAACCCCGACCCAGGCCTGCAGGAGGAACGTGAGAAACACCGGGGTAGCATCATGCATGCTACCTGGACTGCCGTCTCCTCACCTTTCCTTTCCTCTCCCCTTCCCTCCCGCTCCCCTCCCCCCATCCCCATGTTGACGCCTTATCCCTCAGTCAGTTAGTTGTTTCCTCTTTACCCCATCCCCTCTCCCTCCCCCTTCCCCCCATCTCATTATATTCTTTTACCCCTCCCCCCCCCAGGCTCCGCCTACCTGCACTACATCTCCCTGCTCAACCAGGTGGTCATGATGGGCACGCAGCTCTACCACGACGCGTGCATGCCGCAACACCACAAGTACGCGGCGCACCAGATCGCACTGCTTTACGTGAGTGTACGACAACAGCTGCTGCTGTACGGCAGCAGCTGCTGCTGCCGTGGGGGCGTGGCAGGGGCAGGGGCGGTTTGGGGGGAGCCCTGGGGAGCTGCGGGGGCTTAGCCCGCTAGGGTGGGAGAAGTAAGATAGGAAGAGAGAGAAGGCGGTGTCTGGCTTGCTAGCTGGCTGGGAGCTGTGAGCGTCGTCCTTTGTCCTGGCGCAACTATAAAGCCGTATCTGCGGCAATGCGGGTATACAAGCGCCCCTCCTATGACCTCCTTGGGTATCTCTTCTTTCCTCTTCCTTCCTAAAGACCCGAATACGTCCTATGACTCCCCTCCCGCTCATAGAAATTGGAATTTCTCTTTTTCCCGCTCTTCCTCCCTCCCTCCCTCCCTCCCTCCCTCGCAGCAATGCCTCAACATGCTGCAGGGCGAGACCAAGCCCATCCGTCGCATCGTGGAGGCGCGCTTCGACGAGATCAAGACCATCACCGAGTCCAAGGAGCCCTACCTGCCCGTGGAGCTGTCAGCGTGGTGAGGGGGAGGTGGGGGAGGGAGGGGGGAAACTGACGTAGAGCTGTATGACGAGGTTTCACATTGGGTTGCTGCAATGGACCCGGCTGAGGGTGGGGTGGTGGGGTAAGTGAGCCGCCATGACGCAAACACACCACTCGCAGCAAGTTTTCTTAACACACAAACACACTGCGGCGGTTCTGTGGGGACTTCATCTTCCGACAATCACAGTATGTTCCTACTCGCGGCCAGTTTTCTTAACACACACACCCAGGCCAGTTATTTTAACATACACACCCCAATCCCCCCCTCCCCCTCCCCCCCCCGCAGGATCCAGGAGGTCACGTGGTTGTGTCGCGAGGAGGTGCACTCCTGCCCCGCCTACCTGCACAAGCGGTTGGACGCCGTGATGCGGGCGGCGCGGGGGGAGGCCGGCGCAGCGGGCAGCGGAGGGGGGTGAGGGCGGACAGAAGGGGGCCAAAGACCATACCGAACCGGGCACAGGGGGAAAGGGTCAAAGCAGGGAGGGGCACAGGTAGAAGGGCGCGGACCGGGAGGCACTGGAGGGAAGAGGATGGTGACCCGTGGGTCCTGGGCGTGGGAGCGCGGACATGCGGACGCGGGTAGGTTCCTTTTGTTGCATGTTACGCAGAACTGTGGCCGTGGAAGGATGTGTGTTGAGTTTGCAGGAAAACGTACGGGACTTTAGGGGGGGTGGGAGGCGAGATGAGGGTCCAGGAAACGTCGCGATCAGTCATCGGGGATCTAGTGCTGCTAGTGGATGTAGGCTGTGGGTAGTGGGTGTCAGTGAGGAGGGAGGGTGTGCAGCTGTGCACCCAAGCAAGTATGGCAGGTCAAAGCAGGTCAAAGCGGCAAGAGACGTGTATATGGATGTGCATGGATGATGAGTAAGCAGAGGAAACTGCCGAGCTGTATGACGAGGCTTTACCATAGGGGGGGCGTGGAGGCCTGTGCGGTGTACTACTCAAGCGGGCCATACGGTACGCGGTGTTTGCCTGCGGGGCACTATGATTCCGGTACTGTTGAGGCTGCCGCCGGCATTTGGACATTCGGGCACGTAAGCTTGGAAATTCTGGACCCGGACGAATGGATTCGGGGACGCGGATCGGGCCGACAGCGCCGGTGCGAGCAGTTTTTTGCCTTTGTTCACGGACACGGCGAATATGCAGACTGTGCGTTGCAACCGGCAACGGTGCCGTACGCAAGAGGCAACTGAGGAACTGACATCGCTTGCACAGCTCCTACCTGAGCTGTTCAGAGCAAACAAGAAACCATATTTGTACTGTTACTCGCATTACGGCTATAGCTTAGTTACTGCTCACTCCTTGCTAGCTCCGAGCCCTGTACTAGTTGGACCCTAGGGACACTTGGAACTTTGAATTTGTTTTGGCTGGAGTAGGGCGATCGTGTGCTTACCATTAGCCACTAGCTTACCGGAATCTAGGAGACGCAACTCAACCATTATGGCGGCAAAGGTGCGTCGCCTTCTTACGAGAGCCGTCGCAGGGCTGTATTGATCATTTGTATGCTTTTTAGGCGCAAGGACCTCACATCGAGGTGCTCAGCGAGGACCAGCAGCGTATCAACATGTTCAGCCGCCTGCACACTAAAATGCACGAGCTGGAGCGCTTGCTAAAGCAGCATAAGGTACGTTTGTTACTGCCGGCTCACGCACAGCGGCCTAACGCGCTCGGTTGCCACTTTTCGGTGTCGATCGCATGCGCATTTGCCCTATGCGATAGGCATACGGGGTTCTGGGAGACATGGTTGGGATCATGTAAGCTTTCCTGGACACGGTAAGTAGAACAGTACATACCACGCCTCATTGCAGAACGCTCTTGAGGAGTTGGAGGACGCGGGGAATGAGCTAATGCTGTCGGACGATGACAACGTGCGGTTCGTCATCGGGGAGTGCCTTGTACACTTTGACAAGGATGCGGCGGAGGGTCGGCTCGAGCAGGTAACTTGTGGGCAATCACAGGGGGGTCGACTAGACATTCGACCATGGTTGGTTAGAATGGGTGGCCTCTGCTGGTATGGGGGCCAAAAGCCCACACAGCTTCACCCAGCCCGGTGCCCCCGCACACCCCCACGGCTCAGCGCAGGAGCGCTGGAGCCCACCTCTCCTGCCGCACGCCAACCTCTCCTCCCCTGCCGCCTTCTTTCTTCTCCCTTTCTCTTCCCTTTGGTCTATCTTTGGACTCTCCCTCCCTCCCTCCGCCAGTTTCCTCTTTTTACCCTCCTCCTGCCTGCCTCCCCCTGCCTTCCTGCCTCCTGCTCAGGTGACTGCCGACGTTCACAAGGAGGTCGACAAGACCACTGCCGAGCTGGAAGAGGTGCGCAGGCAGCTGGCGGCGCTCAAGAGCACGTTGTACGCCAAGTTCGGCAAGCAGATCAACCTGGAGGAGGATGCGTGAGGGAGGAGGATGCGTGAGGAGAAGGGGAGGGAGGACGCATAAAGAGGGTTGAGAGCCGTTAATGCTTGGCCCAGTAGGATGGCAAAATGATATGGCTTGAGGGGAGCCGGGCCCCGCATGCGGAGAATGGAGGAGGAAAAGCAGCCATGACCCAGCCCCTTGGATGGAGCGCCTTTGGTTGGAGGAGGAGCCATGAGGGGCGAGCAGGTCCCCTTCCTAGTGGGGAGGACGCGGGAGAGCTCTTGGGATGGAGCGGAAAGGGCCTGTAGGGAGTTGCGCTGGACGTACAAAACGTACCGGTGTAGTTCCGTGCTTGGATACCTGAGGAGTTGAGCCAGGTTTGGTCGCATACGCGGCACATTTGCTTGGTTGCGGCGGATAGAGGTGTTCCGTGTGCATTGCGGTAGGCGGGTAATGGAGAGGAGTGTAGCTAGCTGGGTAAAGGTGAGGCGTTGGGGAAGCGGGACAGTGGATGCATGGCAGTTGGGTGCCGTTGGGTACCGGCAGTACGGCATGCTCGATAGGCCTGGATCAGGAGATACCGGATTCGGGAGATACCGGTAACATGCACGCTGAACTGATCTCTAACCTAACCCGATCCGTTAGTTTCAGAGTGTGCCCCAAAACGATGCGTACTAGCGCGGGGTTTGACGAGGTTAGCTCCTCTGAGCGATGCTTACCTGCCTGTTTAGGCGTTGTATGCGCGTGCGACATGCGTGCCGCGGCAGTGTGGGCGGAATGGAGCACACACTGTTGAATTGGGGTTTGCTTTTAGGGGTGTCAGGATTGCGGGGGGGTGCATGTCGAATGGAATGATGGATCCAAGCACGATCTGGGCATTTCAGTGTGGCAGGATTTGTTGCCGTTCCTTCCCCGTCCTACAACGTTATTTTTTTAGTCAGATGCTGTTGCACCTCGAGAAAGTTGGGAGGCGGGTAAGAGACCTAGTGTTGCGTTCCCGCCTAAACGGAGAGTGCTGATGGCACGATGGCACCCTGAGGTACCTGAAATGTTTGCGGCGTCGCACTTCAGCAAGGGGGAGTGGTCGTGAATATAGGTGAAATGAGCGCTGAAAGTGTTGGTGTTCGGCACTACATGTACGGATTTTCCAGATGGATCAAGGTACTCTGCCCACTCAACTGCCCCAAACTATGAATCATAGCAACGTCTCAATTAGCACAGCTTGCTTGTAAGCAGTGCACAAGTTTCCTGACCTTTTCGGCTTTTGTGTTCAGCCGTTTTAACCAGGACCTCACGCTTGTGACCTGCCAACAGACTTGTCGCTATCAATAGTTTGAATGGCGTTGTCTAACAAGGTGTTAAAGAAGCAAACAGTTTGCCGCGCCTACCCTTCGCGACCCATTGGCCGACTCGTCCTGTGCAAGGCTCGTGTAATAGATAAGCCGCAGACGCAAACTTTCCAAGCTAGCCAGGGTTTTTCGGACTCATCAGAAGAAGATGGGCCCAGTTCTTCAGGCAACAGCTTGGACGCTTCCAAAGTCCTCTTTGACGAGCAGCACATTGCGACATGGCGACCGGACCTAATTCTGTATGCGCCCTTCGGCATACTGCTAGCGGCCTTACGCTCGGCGCTGTGGCTTCTGGGTATTGCTCTGGACCAACCATGGTTTAGGCGTCAAGGAGTGGTTCAGGCGTACCTGAAACTCTTGGGCGTAACAGTAACATGGCGACATGCCGAGCGGTGAGCCCATCGGGCCTCGGGTGTACAATTGCAAGCTAAGGCAATCTGTTCTCGTGCTGCCTTTGCGCTTGTGCTTAACCTTGCACTCTCCCCTTCACATTTCCCCATGCGCTCTCCCCGCCTCCATGTCTCCGTAGCATACCCGCTGGTCGCCACATCCTGGTCAGCAACCACTGTGAGTTGGGTCGTGCGCGGTACCCCGTAGCCCGGGCTAGCCTAGGGGGCAACGATAACGGACTAACGGATAAACGGCAACCCAATGCGTGACGGTAGTTCCGGCTGAGGTAGGAGAGACTATATAAGCGACTTAGCTCTGAAGAAGTTGCTTGCCGGATGTACCACACGTGTGCGCTAAGAAAACTGGCCGCGAGTCGGAACGTACTGTGATTGCCTTGTGAAGTGTGTGGGTCGCATGCGTGACTTATCCTAGGTTCCATATCCAAGGGTCCTAAACTCGTCCTACCTTTCCTTTGCTCGTCTCGCAGGCAGCGTAGGCGACCTGATGGCCCTGTTCAGTCACCCCGCCCTGCCGCGTCGCTACATCCACCTTGTCACGAGCTCCCTGCCTCCCCGCGTGACGCAAGCGCGAAACCTGCCAGTTATCATGCGGCCTGCCTCGCCAGCGGTGTACGACCAACTAGCTAAATCCGGCAGCAGCAGCAGCGGGGCAGGCGGAGGGGGTGAGGAAGGGCAAGGAGACGAGCTGGGCGGCTCGGTGCACTTGTTTCCCGAGGGTGGCATGACTAATGGTCGCGGCATGCTGCGCTTCTCGCGCGGGTTCACGCGAATCATGCAGCAGCAGCAACAACGGCAGCAGCAACAACAGCTACGGGAACAACAACAACCGCAGCCTCTGCAGCGGCAGCAGCAGTGGGAGAGCGACTCACTGACCTCAGCCTCACAGGACGACCCCTCCTCCTCCCCTCCCGCCACCACCATCAACCCCACCACCCACCACAGCAGCACCAGCACCAGCACCAACAGCTACCAAGCCAGCGCTACCAGCACGGAACCAAGTCACAGCTCCACCGCCACCCCCAACCCCAGCAGCAGCAGCTGCAGCACCCCCCCTCCAGGCCCCCTGCCCGTGGTCCCGGTCGCCCTGCGTGTGCGTCCCAGCCTGTCCGGTGTTTGCTCCCACACCCTCACCAGCTCCTTCCTAGCTAACCTCTTTTGGTTCAGCTTCAGCCCCGAAACCCGCCTAGAAGCCACGGTGCTGCCGGCCATGAGCCCGCAGGAGGGGGAGTCACGTGGGGCTTTCGTACGGCGGGTGCAGGAGGCCATAGCGGGGGAGCTGGGGGTGACGGTGTTCGACATGAGCATCCAGCAGAAGCGGCAGCTGGTGGGGAAGCGGGCTGGGCGGTAGGAGGAGAAGGAGACGAAGATGTGGAGGGGTTGTGGGTTGGACGGATGGAGGAGAGGAGGAGAGCAGGAGAGCAGGAGGAGGTAAACTTTTTGTGTGGCGAGCGGGCACCTGGGACGCATGTACACTAGACAGGAAACATGGAGGTCTATGGGGCGAGAAGGGCATGAGACGGATGTAGGTTGCAGCCTGTAACGGTATGTTGAGCGGGGCGCGCTACATGCGATGTCCATGTACCACCCGAGAACGTCAATGGGGTGTAAACCAAGGCTTTAGCAGATGCATTCATCTGCCCAAGATATAAATTTTTGTGGTTCAGTGCCCTTATGTTTGTTTTTGTACTCATTCAAGGCAATGCAGAGTGCGTGCATTAGCCCATGTGGGCGCCATGTAACTTCGCAAGGATCGTTGTAATATGGCCGATGCATTTGCATATGCTTCCAATCGGCGCTACTTGTCTACCTTTCCATCGAGTGGTCCGGCTTGCAGATGCAAGGGATGCCTAGGGTTGAGGGCGAAGCAAAGGCCGTGAGAGCAATACAGCATATAGGTGTCTTATATAGATGGATAATTGACATCACGGTTCCAAGCAATTATGGGCGTTCGGCTTTGAAGCTCCACACGAGGACAGTACGACCGGATCGCAGAGCATCAGGAAAAGCGTGCATAGTATGATTAAGCAAAGTCGTCAAGCGACTGCCTAGCAATTCGATCTTGCACAAATTACTTCGAATAACTTTTATTCGTTCTTGGTTCATTGCCTCAGCGCTGCAAGGGATAGGCTGTGTCGGGACCGGCATTCGTGACGACCGCCACAACAACAAAATGGCAACCCAGGGAATATGCAGCGAAATGAAACTGCAGACAACCAAGCGGTGTGTATCTCACCACGGCTATCGTGTTTTTGCTCGCTGCCGTTCAACCCTCCTTCGGCTCGCAGGCCAGCCAATGCCCTAGTCCATCGTCGAGTATTCAGCCCCAAACCCTTCACAAGTTTCCCATCTTCATCTTCGGGGACGCCTGCAGCAATTCGCTTGCCCAAAGCAGGCACAGCCCCTAGACGGCATGGCTTCACGCTCTGCAATGCCGCCGCGGTCGTGGACCCTCCAGCTGCCGCCCCAACGCCCTCGCTAGCCGAACTTCCCATCTGCTCCATCATCAACACCCAGGTCAGTAACAACACCCCTGGTGCCCCCGCTTAGCCTTTGCCGCAAACCCCATCGCTTTCCAACATGCCTCTTGCGGGGTCATGCCGTACCCTCATAGATCGCTCCTCCCCACCCCCTCCCCACGCGCCAAGGAAACCATCCGTCAACCCTCGCAACCCACCCCTCTCAATCCGACCTCGCACCCCGCCCCAACCCACTCACCCCCATGCAGGGCATGGTGCTCCCCGACGTGCCCGACGGCATGCGCGGCTCCACCTACGCCATCTATGATGAAAAACAAAAGCTGCAGTACGTGGGTACGACACCCGACCTGCGGAACGCGCTGCGTACGGCACTTGGTCGCCGCCCGGAGAAGGCCTACTACTACAAGTAGGACTGCAGGAGGGGGGACTGCAGGAGGGGGGACTGCAGGAGGGGGGAGGGGGCAAAACAACAAGAAGAAAAGACAAAGTTCCCAACGGCCCGGGAAATAGGGATCCGCCCGATTTGTAGTGAGGGCTTACTAGGTCACTAGCCCGGTGCGGACGCTCCACTCCACCTCCTACCTACCCACCCACCCCCACCCCCGCCATCATCAAGGGGTCTTCCTATGGTCATGGTCAGTGTTTCCTCACTGCGGCTCAGTTTCCCTAATCCCCCCCCCTCAACCTCACCCCATGTTGACGCCTTATCCCTCAGTCAGTTAGTTGTTTCCTCTTCACCCCCCACCCACCCCCTGCAGGGCCGTGTCGCTGCCCACCAGCGAGCCCTCCGCGCTGCAAGCGGTGCGGGACGCCTGGTTCGCCGAGTGCGGGGGACAGCCCAACGGCAACCGACGTGAGTGCGTCTGCAGCGGCTGCTGCTGCCACCCGGCTGCTGCCACCACCACCACCACCACCACCACCACCCCAGTTGCTTCGACCTATCTTGTGTTTCCTTCATCCGACTTGGTCCCTCACTGACCCCCCCCTCCCCTCCCCTCCCCAGTTGCCATGGAGCGCTCCCTGTGGCAGCAGCCGGTGGACGCGGGCGCCATCAGCGAGCGGGGGCGGCTGGGGGCGGCGGAGGAGCGCTGCCGGCAGCTGCAGACCAGCCTGCGGGAGCGGGGCTGTGTGGAGGAGTTCACACCCAACCCCACACTGCTGCAGGAGGGGCAGGTGGGGGGGGGAAGGGAGGGGCAGGGAAGGAGGGATGTATGAGCTGATGTTGCAAGGCGGGATGCGGTGTTTGGGGATGCTAGCTCACACTTCCTTCCGTGCCTCTTACCTCTTCCTCTCCCTCCCTCACCTCCCCCCCCTCACCTCCTCCCTCCCTCACCTCCCCCCCTCACCTCCTCCCCCCCTCCCTACCCCCCCAGGTAGACTTCCTGCCCGCCCGCTCCCTCACCGACACCGAGCTGGCCGCGGAGCGGGAAGCCGAGGCCGCCCGCATGCGCGGCCGCCGCTCCTGCAGCTGTCTGGTGGACGGGCAGGAGCGGGTGTTCCACACGCGCTACCCGCTGCTGTTCCCAACCAACGGGGGGGTGCTGGCGGATGTGAGTGTGCTGTTCGATGGGCGGGAGACGCACCACCGGGTCATTGTGGGTGAGTGGGGGGTGGGGGCGGGCGGGGGGTAAAAAGAGGAAAGTGACGGGCGGACGGGCGGGTGGGGGGTAGGGGATCGTGCGGGGGATGGGTGGGTTGGGGTTGGAAGGCGCAAGTTTAACTGGGCCGTGGGAGAGCGCTGATCGTGACCCTAGGTGGGAGTGGGGATGGACAGGGGCGGAGGGGGTGTTGCGAGCTTGGATGAAGTCTCCGCCCCCCCTCCATCACGGCTAGGACTCATTCAACCTTATTCCCATCCTCCCATCTCCTCCTCCTTCTCCTCCGCTGCCCCCCCCCCCCTCCCCAACCTCCCCCCGCCCCTGGCCCCCCCCACCACCACAGGCAAGCAGTACTACGAGCCGTACGGCATACCCCCCGAGGCGGCGGTGGAGGCGGGCCTGGCGCTGCTGCTGAGGGCCAAGGTGGGAATGTGGACTGGGGTGGGGGTGGTGGGTCTCTCAGCGATCTGTTCTACCGTACGGAGCTTATGCTTTTACCACATCGGCCCTTACCATCACAGCCTGCCCATCTTTCCCTCAACCTCCCTCTTCTATGGTCACGGTCAACTTGTTTCCTCGCTGCTCAGTTACAGCACCAACATCCCTTCCCCCTCCATTTCGTGAAGCCTTGTCACACAGCTCGTTAGTTGCCTCATTAGTTTCCTTATTTTTGCACTTATCTGTAGCTTTCCCCCCTCTTTGACCCCCCTGTCCCCTCCCCCGCAGGTGGCCCGCTCCACGGACGGGCTGCTGCTGAGCAGTCAGTTCCCGGTCAACTACTTTGCGCTGGGGCAGGTGGAGCAGTGGTACGGACAGGAGTTCAGACACGAGTTCGAGAGGGTCACAGGTGCGGACGGGGGGAGGGGGAGAAGGAGGGGCAGGGGGAGAGATGGAGAGTGGAAGAGAGCAGGGAAGGACGGTGTGGCGCGGATGGGAGGCGGGGGCGCTCTTAGCTCTTGCCGGCTGTTGCAGCCGGTATCTGTCATGGTCAGCTGCCAGCTGCCAGCCGCCACCCGCTTGAGTTGCTGGCATGGCTTACAAGGCACATAGGGTTGTGTTGCACTTGAGTCGTTCTGACTCCCCTGTAATAATCGCACACACCCTGACCTGTGTGTGTTTAGCCAAATCAGCCACGTAACCTAGCTGCGTGTGTGTGTTCAGTAGGACTGGCCGCGAGTCGGAACGTACTGGTTTGTCGTCGAAAAATGACATGCCCACCCTAAACACTGCATGTGTACGTATGTGGCTGCCATGACGTGCTTCAACAGGCGGTGTGAAGCTGCAAACGGATGAGTCAGACGCCTGGCGCTTCAACCGACTGTACGACTACGGACCGTTGCGTAACGAAACCGCCGAGCAGTTGGCAACTGCCATGGGCGGCGAGGTCCGTACGGAGGTGGCGGCGGCGGTGGAGGCGGCGTGCGAGGAGGGAGAGCTGGGCAGCGGGAGGGGAGGTGCGGGTGAGGAGGAGGAGGAGGTGGAGGAGGAGTTGCCGAGCGGGCAGGGCATTCTGGATGCATTCTTTTGAGGATGAGGGGGAGGAGAAGGAGTAGCAGGTGAATAGCCGGTGGAGATAAGGGTAATGGTGAGCGAATGGGGGCGGAGAGTTCGAGGAAATGTGCATGGGGATGATGGCGTGGCAAGCATAGTGCAACGGCTAGGTGGTTGGGTGGGTCGGTAGGGTTGGAAGAGAAGTGGAGATGGTTAGAGGTCAGGGGCGGCCCTGGCGGAGCATATGGCAAGAGGCGGGATGGCAGGACGCAGGAGGATGGTTGGTCGGGATTTGGCGGGTGCCTTTGAACGGGCGTTCCTAGCAAGCATGGCAAATGAGCACTACGGGAAGCATCTTGTAACCACTACGGGTTGAACATACCAACTTACCATACAGATATGCCAGAGCAGCCAGACGGTAGGACGAGAAGGCTGAAGGCAGCATGCGCCGCACGTGCCGTACAGTTTGTTGCGAGCCCAGGTACACCCGGACGCCGTTCTTCCACGAATATTACAATTCAGGATCTGTGTGACCTTAGACAGGTTGGAACTTTTGCATTTGTTTGATCGCACTCTGATGGGACAAGGATCGTCGGCGGGCTTTTTGTAATGCTCTTCAACCCGCCGGATTGGGCTTCGCAACCTTGCCGTGTTGCCACTCTTGAGGTAAGACTCATGTGCATCGTTCTTAGATCTGGTGTTCGGCGCCCGCTGACTAGCCATTTGCCTTGGTTCCTTCCTTGCTAGGCTTTCTCTGGCGGACAACGTATCCTTTCTCTACCGATTGATACTGAACCATATTATACACTAGGCCGGGCTGCTGATCAGGTGTCGATAGGCCTTGACCACCAGAGCTGCTCGAGGGTGCACGCTGCGATTGTCCACCATTCGGACGGGCGAATCTTCTTGATCGATCTTCAGTCGGTACGCGTTGGGTCCCAAGGGAAGGTTCTTCGGTCAGTTGTCGTATCGGAAGGCTTCCGCACATTGCGGACCCCATTTGCGTTGTCGCAGTACTGGTCCTGGCCTTCGCTGGCCTGACCTACCTACTCTGTGTTGCCCTGGAGTCTTCAGTCTCCAGCGCTGCTACGTAGTTTGTCACAGTATCGTACCCTGATTCATGCCTCCTACCATTCCCGCCAATGCCCAATTCAGACTCAGGGCACCTTTGTTGACGGTCGTCGCATCCCCCCAAACAAGCCGGTGGTGCTCAAGGACCAGACGCGCATCCGCTTCGGCGAGCTAGAGTCCGAGTACGTGCTGCGGTGCGAGTCCGCAGGTAAGGTTTTTTCCCAGCGGGCCGGGCCCCTGGATTCCCAAGCTGATACCGAGTTCCTTTCCACGCTGACCAGCTAACCACACTTCTTTGCATGTCACCGAGCTTGCTGCCTCTTCCCTTGTGCTGTCTGCTCTCCCCATGACAAGTTCATCACCGTTGTTAGCGGTACTTCCTTGCCCCTGATTCCCCTTGCTTCCCCCCTTCTTCCCCTCCCTGCATGAGTCGGGGTATGGGAACGGGACTCTAGTTGTTTCACCCTTCAAATTTTCCCGCCTTCCTTCCTCCCCCCCATGCACAGCCGAGAAGCGCGCCGGCGAGGCTCCCTCCGAGGCCCCCGACAGCAAGCGACCCGCCACCATGGCCGACGGAGGTCGCGTGCGCGCCTCGCACCTGCTGGTCAAACACAAGGATGTACGGCGGCCGAGCTCCTGGAAGGTACGGCAGGAATACGGCAAGCATGCAGTTTGGTACGGCAATGAGGGGAGTCCCGATAGGCCTTTGTCGGAGCTGCATACGAACGCACATATCGCATGGGGTTAGTTTGAGCAGAATGGGCACATTGTCGCCCCCAACGTCGCTTCCCTTGTTTTTGTCATTAAACATATTGGCCTAGGCCGAGCGCTGGGGCGTTAAGCAATCGCCTTCAGGCAAGGGATATCCTCCACGGCCGGATAGCAAGCCCTTTCGGGCGCGAGCGTTCAACTAGCCCATGTGGCGGCTGAGTAAGGCCCGCGTGGTTAGTCCCGCACGTAAAGTTAATTCCATGTCTCCATGACTCTGCAACACAACACGCCACAGAAGGGACCCTCACTTTCAGCACGCCTAGCGCCTTTCCTCTGCCCACCCTCGCGCAAGTCCCTCTTATGAGAGTTATGACACCCTCCTTATTGTGGCACCCTGCCGCTTCCTCCGCCCAATTGTTCTGCCCTAACCTGTGGTTTCCTATGGTTTGCTATGCATGGTCTATGCCCCCCCCCCGCCCCCCCAGGAGCCGGTGGTGACCCGCACTCGGGATGAGGCGCTGGCCATGATCCAGGTAGAGGGGGGGCAGGAGGGGTGGAGGGGTGGGGAAGATGAGGGGCTGGAGGGGGTGCCGGTTTATGTGTGAAGGGGTGGGAGCTCTTTGTTGGTGGCACGAAACTGATGCCCATACACCGGCATGGGCCCTCATCCCACCCGGCCGCTTCCTCCTTGCCATCCTCCACGACCTCCTCCCGCGCTCCTCGCACTCCTTCCCCTCCGTGTCATGCAGCATGTTAGTTCCCTCTTTATCCCCCTTCCTCTCTGTTTCCCATCCTCCCATGACCAACTCCTCTTGACACTGCCGCATCCCATTTCCATTCCTATGGCTCGTTATGGTCTTTGACCCCACTCCCCCCCCACTCCCCTGCCACGCACAGCGCTTCCACGAGCAGCTGGTTCGCGGCGAGGTGGACTTCGCCAGCCTGGCCTCGCGGGAGAGCCACTGCAGCAGCGCCAAGCGGGGGGGAGACCTGGGGGAGTTCGGGTGGGTGGAGGCTGGAGGGAAGGAGGGAGGGTTTTAGAGCAATGTACGGTTTGTGTCTGTCGCTGTTGGTACTCTGCTTCGGTTCAACAACTAAGTCCAAGGCTTCCAGCCCGCTGCGAGTGACCCACACACATCAACATTACCCCCCCCTGTTCCTGTTTACCACTATCACACCACACATTGGCGTTTCTTTTTACCCCCCTGTTCCATCCACCTCCCCCCCCTACCGGTGTCGCAGTCGCGGTGACATGCAGAAGCCCTTCGAGGACGCCACCTACGCGCTCAAGGTGGGCGAGCTCAGCGGCCCGGTCTTCTCCGACTCGGGGGTGCACCTCATCCTGCGCACCGGGTAGCGTGCTGGTGGGGCCGCCGCCGCCGCTGCTGCTGCTCTGCTGCTGTGGGGAGTGGGCGCATCTGCTGCTGGTGGGGAAGGGGGCGTGTGCTAAGAAAGTACTAGTCGCGAGTCGGAAGGTAGTAGGAATGCAACGGTGCACAGGTGGTGCGTGTGAACCATGCATGCTCTACCTTACTGTGGAGTATCGGTGTGGCAGGTCTTGGCAGCGGCGTGCTGGCATATGACGCTTGAGCAGAGCTGGGTGCGCATGCGTGAGGCGCAGAATGCAGGGTTCGCGGATGCGAGATTGGATTGGAAGGAGGAGTATGGGAGGGATTGCAAAGGGTCGCAGGAGGGTTTAGTCGTTGCATTGGGAGAATTGTCTCCGGCTGGGTTGTATTTGTAAGGCTTGCGAGGGCGGAGCTGCAGTGGGGCGGCACTAGCACAGGGGAAAGCAGGCTGCATGTTGCTTTGAAGAGGCCGTGTGGATGAAAGAAGAAGAAGAATTATTACATGCTTAGTATGGGAGTGTGGGAGTAATAAGCGCTCCTTTTGAGGAAGCTGCTCATGTGGGTTGCTGTGTATTCTTGTATAGCGAATCCTCTAGTCCCCGAGTGGCACCGCACGGCGGGTGACATGCGGATACGTGAGAAGGGCGACAGAACGAGGGCTACTACGCCCCGCGAACGTGTTACCTCTCCTCTGCGGTTTTTCAACGCGAAGAGGATTGCTTGAATGCGCTAGACTCTTACGCAGATGCGTCATCATTCCATGTCTCTTTCGTTTCGGTCATACGCAACCATAGCCGAGACCGTGCCTAAACCGTGCCTAAAAACCCAGCGACGGCATCGCCCAGTCCCGGATCCCACAACTTCAACACGGCACAACGGTCCCACCACAACATGGAGGACAGCTACTAGGCCCGGCAGGTCGATCTCGCCTGCTTCCACATACCTAGCTAGCAGACGTATCCTAGCCCAGCATCGACCTCATGCTTCCGTGCACGTAGAGATGGACTATGTCATCAAACACACTTTGTGCCAGGGTTTCAACTCCCCTCCGCGCAACAGGTGGACCAACAACAGGTGGTTCTCTTCACTCCCTCCAGAAACGAGGCCACCCCTCAACAGTCTCACACAACTCTTCTGCCGTCCTCTGCTACTTTCTCCCCGGTCAACAAGCTTAACATCCCACTAACCAACCCCTTCCCTCGCAGCATCCTTCATTACACCTATGGTAACCAAACCGATCTATACTCCTCCTCCTCCACTGTCGCCACCGCCGCCGCCCCTGTCATCCCCGCTTGCACCCTCATGCACCCGCGCCACCAACCGAGTCACTGACAGCACCGTCCCCACCGCCGACACCGCCACCGCCACCCCCGTCAGCACCCAGCACGCCACTCGCTCCCCCCGCGCCAGTGGCAGCAGCCGCAAGGCACACAGGCAGGGGATCGCGAGCACCAGCGCCAGATCTCCAACCGACGCAACCACCGCAACCACCTCTGAGAAGTACGGCAGGAGAAATCCGGCGGCGTAGCCGTAGCACGCCGCACATGACGTCAGCAGCAGCCACAGCAGCTGCTTGGAACCCGCATCGAGGGTGGGGGCGGGTGCAGTGCCGCCGCCGCCAGCGCCGCCACCATGGCGGCGGCGGCGCTTTTCCTCCAGGTAGTGTCTGTAGGCTGCCGTACCGTGGGTTCCTAGCAGCAGGGGCTGACCGAGGTCGGCACCCTCCTCGCTGCCGGCGGCGGCACCGGCGGCGCCGTCAGCTTCTTCGTCTTCTTCCTCTTCCTCTTGCTCCTCCTCCTGAGCCGCCGCCGCCGCTGCCGCGGCCATCTCCGGAGCACTCTGCGATCGCCGCGCCAGCGCCGCCGCCACCTCCTCCTTGCCCTCGCCGCCACCAATGACCCTTTCTCCTGTTCCAGCCTGTGTTGTGCCGTACAGAACCGCCGCCGCCGCCTCCACTTGCGCAACCGCCGCCGCCGCCACAGCCGCCACCTCCGCACCGGCGGGTGATAAGGCCCGCTCTGCAGCCGCCGCCGACGGCAGCGGCACCGCCAGCACTCGTCCCTCCACCACCGCCGCTTGCAGCAGCTTCCCCTTCCCCTTCCACTTCCTCCCTCCTCCTCCCGCCACAGCTCCCCCAAACCCGCCCACACCCGCTCTACCCTCCTCCTCATCCCCACCACCACCACCACCCTCCTCCTCACCCCCACCCCCGCCTCCCTCCTCCCCCCGCATAGCCCGCGGACCCCACAGTCCCAGCACCAGTCGCGTCCACACATTCAGGTTGATCTGGTAGGAGATCAAAACCGACAAAAGGACACAACCGTTAACCGCCAACGACCAACCGTCGCGACGGAGCTCACTGGTCACGGGTCGCGAGGGATCGAGTGCGTCGCCCCGCGCCGCGTAACCCGCCGCCCCCAGCAGTGCCAGCAGGGGGGTAAGCACGGCAGTGGAGGCGGCCACGGAGACCGTAAAGTGGTTGCTGTGGGGGGGTGCCGGAGCGGGGGGAGATGGGGTTAGATGGGGTGAGATGCGGGGAGGAGATGGGGTGAGATGGGGTGAGGAGATGGTGGAGTTGTCAAATGATGGCAGCGAGAATCTGCCCAATCCCCACAGATACCAGAGATCCCAAGAGATCCGCCAATGCATGCAAGTCACATGTCGGATCCTCTCGTATGAAGTACTTCCTACCTACCCGTGTCGCATTCCGTTGATGAAGCGGATCCAGTTCTCCTGGCCGCCGTACGCAAACATCAGATCCATAACGCCCACCTGACGGGAGGAGGGAAGCATGGGGGGGGGGCAGTGGCGGAGGGAGGGGGCAGGGGGCAGGGGACTGATATGCCTGATTGCCTACATTGCCTACATGCCAGCAGCTACAGCTACAAGTCCATCATCACCCATCGACAGTCACTCGAGGAGGATGCACGCACCCCCAGAAACCCCCCTCCCGCCCCCCAACCCCTAACCCACCATGGCATCTCCGAAGCTGCTGTGCCCAAACAGCTGCGTGTGCGGCCGCCAGCCGCCTCCCTCTCCGCCTGCCTCGCCGCCGCCCCCCGCCATGACACCGCCACCACCCGCAGCACCCAGCAGCAACCGACCGCCCCCATCTCCACCACCTCCGCCTCCTCGTCCTCCTCCCCCCTCCTCCGGCGGCGGTTCCACCAGCAGCTTGACGGTGGTGATGGCCAGGGCGGCCGTCATGGCCACACTGCCCAGCAGGGAGGTCCAACCCAACTGGGGGTTGGGGAGTGTGGAGCAGGAGTGGAGGAGTGGGGGAGGCATGAGGGAGGCCATGAAAGGGGAAACGAAGTATACCATGTGGGAGGAGCGAAGGTGGGGTGAGTGGAAGAGGAGGGGGGTAGGACTTGTCAGGACGTCACGGACGAAGGGAAGGACTGAGGAGGACTGAAAGGAAGGCACAGTAGAACGTGCACGTGCCATTATGTGTATGTGCCTGTATGTACGGCCACATGTACAGCCAACCCCCAACCCCCAACCCCCAACCCCCAACCGCCCCACCTGTGTGAGGCTCTGCAGCTGCGCGAGTGCCACCGCCACCACCAGCACCGCCAGACCCAGCAGCAGGGGAGGGGGGCCGTCGGAGGGACTGAACAGCTGCGCAGCGGGGTGAAGCGGGGGAAGCGGTAAGGGGAGAGGGGCGAGACGGTGGGGTAAGGTGGTGGGCCAATCCGGGTGATGGATTAATTCCCTTCCCCCATGCAAACCCACCCCGCCTCCGATCTCCCTGCCACCGTCCTCCCTGCCACCGTCCTCCCTCCCACCTGCCCCAGCGCCTCCACCGCCGTGATGTGGAAGACGGCGGGCATCAGCAGGATGGTGGCGTAGGCCGTACAACACGCCGCCACCTGCCCCGGCCGCCCCAGCGCCTCCCGAGCTAGAGTGTGAAGCAACACCGTGCGTGGGGGGTGGCGGCTGCTGCTGCCACTGCGACCTCCTGCATGTCCTTCTCCTCCTCCTCCTCCTCCTCCACCGCTACCACCTCTTCCATTACCAGCAACAGCAGTACCGCTACCACTGCCAATGCCACCGCCACCGCCACTGCCACTACCACTACCACCGCCACTGCTGCCGTCCTGCTGCCCGCTGCCCGCATGGAGATGACCTCCCAGCCCGCCGCCGCGGTGTCTCCAACCGCTGCTGGACGGGTCAGGGTGGTGGGTACCGCGGTCCCGGGTGCGGGTGCGGGTGCGGGTGTGCGGCTGTGTGAGCAGGCGCGTGTACAGCGAACCCGAGTACACCACCGCGGCCGCCATGGCCAGCAGCGCGGCGAATGCGGGCAGCCAGCCCAGCCGCGCGAACACACCGGGTAGCCCCAACACGCCCACCCCCAGAGCGGTCTTGAGGACGACGCAGGAGGTGAGGGGCCAGCTAGCGCCGCGACCTGGGAGGGCGGTGTTTGTAGGGGTGTTGGAAATGGTGATGGAGGAGGTGTTGTTCGCGACACTAAGCGTGTGTGGACTTCATTGTCGCCATCCAGGAAAGCCTCGCGGAGTGTGCGAGAGCGGAAAAGCATTGCGCGAAGAATTCGGAATCCTCCTTAAAGCTTTATATTTTTAGTTAAGCGAGCGGATTCACTAAGGCGGCCACATCTGTCAATTTGTCATTTTGGCAAGATGTTACGTAAGAAAGTACATACGTGAAGCCGCACTGCTCTAACCTTCGCTGTAACCGGCCCCATCCCCTCCACCTCCAGCGCGACCAGAAGCGCCGCCGCCGCTGCCGCCTGCAGCAGCAGCACCAGATCCTCCATCCGGCGAAATAAACATTAGCGCCTGGCCTCTACTGGACCTTGATGGGCTGGTCTTGGGAGGCAAGGTGATTGAAGCAATGCCCGGGGAGCCCTGACGCCTCAGCGCGGCGGCCCGGGCTGAGACGCGGCGGCCGAGGATGGGTGACCCGTGGGTCCGAGTGGTCGTGGGTGACGACAGCGGATGATGATCTGAGGTCTGGGAAGGATGTTCTGCGGAGGACGTTTCAGCAGCAGGACTGTATCCTACATTGGAAGGCTCGGCTGCTGTGCTGGAGGTCGTTGGAGAAGCCATTTTGGGGGTCGGGCTTGCGGTGGCTCAGGGGTGCAGGTGCTTCAAAGCCATGTGCAGGCCTCAGGTTTAGAAAAGTCTCCCTACCCCAGCTGATGCAGAGTATAAGGCTGTATGCTCTTTGAGCTTGTTAGGGGCCAAGGCCAAAAATGGTATATATGGTGACAATGGTTTGCACAACGCCTGCGCAACCTCTCTAGCTTTAACACTTAACCACTTGCAGCGGATACGGCGGTATGCAAGCCGAGCCCTAGTCACACAGCCACTTTCGTATTTCCAATGTTTGAAGTGAGCTGACATATTTATTTCATGGCACCTCTTTTAATCATGCGGTCACGTGACTTTACGAAAGGCCGTTTAGTTCGAGAGCGCGCTGGGTGCACTTTGCTCAGGTTGACCACTGCTTTGGCCCTAGATGGGGTTCCAGTCCGGCCCAGCCCTGAGCCTTGAGCTGAAGGGAACATCAAGCGGCAAGCAGGGCCGTTGCACCAAATACAGGGCTTTAACAGAGCAGACAGAAAGTGCGCTGTTGCATGTCATATGTCATACAACCAGCAGGCTTGCCCAACTGAAGGGCAGGATCAACTGAATAAGCCAAGCCTCCGGACAAAACAACATTGTGCCAGCTGCACCATCTAGCTCAAGCCGCAGTAGATGTTGTTGCTCTTCAGAGCAGGAGTTACAAATTACGGTATCCAGGCCTTTGGCAGCCCATCAGCGCCAAATCAGCCCGTCAGCACCAAAGGCCAGCCAGCAGCCTCGCCGAACATGCCTCGTCGAGAATGCACACATGGCCATCCTAACGCACGGTTGCTGCCGAGCAAGTTCAATGCAAGCATGGTTAGTCATGAAAGTGTCGAGTCGACCCTGAGGGGTTGTTGTCACCCCGCAGCGCCGCGTCGTGGGGGGCCGTTCCCACGAGGCCCCCCATCTGCACCTGCAGCATGCATGCATGCAGCCTTGATCGTACATTTCATTCGTAATCTTAAGTCGAGATAACGGTACGTCCTATATCTAGGCCGCAGACGTGCAGCGCCTACCTATCCAAGTGCCTACCAGCGTCCTGAATGCAGAGCAGCGCTTGGGCCCGACCTCGGTAACATGCAAATTAGGATGCTACCGCCCATTCCTGAGATCGGACGACGAAGTGCAAACCTCACATGAAGTCTAATGCGTAAATGTACGACAGTGCACTCCCGGCCCACCTAACCGCCAATGGTACACGGTAGCCTTCGAGAACCTATACATGAGAGTCAGCTCAAAGTCATTACCTGTCACATTTAACAAAAGCTCCAAACTCTAAACTACCGTGGTTGACCCCAACCGTTAACCACTCCCCCACCCGTTGCCTCCCGCCCAGCCCCCGCCTTGGTATCCCTGCTGGGGGGCCCCCGCCGCCGCCCCGTAGGGACCGTAACCCCCACCCCCATACACCCCTGCACCCGCCCCCACACCCCGCCCCGCAAACCCAGCGGCCCTAGCAGCAGCGTAGGCAGCCGCAGCCGCCACTTCCGCCCGTGCAGCGCGCTCCGCTACCTTCCACATCCTCCTCTCCCTCAGCGCCTCAATCCAGGAAAACAACGAGGCCTCCCGTGTAGGCCTCCAGGGAACCGCCGCCCCACCTCCTCCGGCTGCAGCACCTCCTCCTCCAAAACCCGCGTCAGCTGCTCCGGCTGCTGCTGCTCCTGTTGTTCCGCCTGTGTCGCCCAGCTGCTGCTGCTGAGTGTGCTGCTGCTGCTGCTGCAGGTGCTGCTGCAGGTGCTGGTGCGTGGACATGTTGCGGAGGCGCAACAGCACCTCGGCCTCGCAGCCCAGCGGGGGCCGGTCGGAGGCAGGGGCGCCCGGCCATGCGTGGTAGTAGGGATCGCTGTGGGGCGGGGCGAGGAGTGAAGGGGGCAGCAGGGTGAAGGGGGCAGCGAGGTGAGGGGGCAGCGGGGTGAGGGGGGAGGGAGGTGAGGGGGCAGCGGGGGGCGGGGCGGAGGTAAGGATGGTGTGCAGGAAGAGGAGCGCTTCACATAAAGCAGGTGAGGCGGGCTGATGTGGGGTTGTATTTACAAACATGGCAAGGGAAGGTAGGGTGGAACCGATAGTGTGGATCTCCCCTTATTGCGCACGAACGCAGAGCTGCCGCACAGCCGCCGTCTCCCACACCGCTCCAAACCGCACCCGCGCACCTGAGCGGTTCAACCGGTCGGTCCGCTTTGCCCAGCCGTGACCGACGCGCCTGTCTGGGCGTCCCCGGCCTGCCACTCCCGCCGCCGCCGTCTCCGCCTCCGCCATCACCCTCGCCCAGGAGGTCCCCGAGGGACGTGGTAGCCGACGCCTGCCGCTGCAGGCGCTTCGGTGACCCATGGGTCGCGCCCGCTCCGCCGTCCAGCCCTGCTGCTGACATCCGCCGCCGCTTGGCCGCGGCCGCCCCGCCGCCGCTGTTGTCAGCTGCCGTACGCCCGCCCTTGCCGTGCGCTGCCGTACCGCCACCAACACGCCGGGGTGATAACGATGCAGACGGGATGCCCGGGCCTGGGACGTCAACTGCATCGCCGAGCGGCTCTGGCGTCGGACCATCCATGATATCGTCCACGTCAGCAACACCGGCGACCGAGATTCCTGTACCTGCTGCCGCCGCTGTCGCCGCAGCTGCTGCCCCTCCGGCGCTCGCCACAGCAGCACCCGCGGGAGGTGGCGGCGGCGGCGGCGGAGGTGGCGGAAGCCGCCCGCTGCCTGTCCGACGCGGAGCTGCACCCGCGTTGCCCTCCCCCGTGTCGGCACGCCCCGCTGACGGCTGCCGCTGTAGCGCCCCAGCCCCGCTGCGGCCTTGCTCCCTAGCCACAGCCTCAGCCCGGCTCCTATCCTCCTTGCTGGGCGCCTTGGCACGGCCCCCCTCACGTCCTCGCTCCCGCTCCCTATCTCGGTCTTTGTCGCGATCCCGTTCACGGTCCTTGTCCCTCGGCCGCTCTCGCTCCCTCTCCCGCTCCCTTTCACGGACCCGCTCTCGCCCACGATCCCCCTCCAAGTCACGTTCCCTCCTGCGATCCTTGTCCCGCTCCCGCTCCCGCTCCTTGTCTCTCTCCCGCTCTCGTGATGTCGACCGGCGCCGCTTGTGTGCTGAATCCGGGGCTGCCTCACGGCCCCTGCTGTCGCCCACACCAGGGGCCCTACCGCGCTCCCGCTCCCGGTCCCGCTCCCTCTCCTTCTTACGGTCCTTGACTCGGTCGCTGCGGTCTGCTCGATCCCGGGAGCCCTCCTTCCCGCGCTCCCGCTCACGCCCCTCGCGCTCCTGCCCTCCACCCTCATCCCGCTGCTTCGCCCTCGGCGTCCCCACGTCCGTCGCCCCCGCCGCCACAGCCGTCCTCCTCACCTCCTCCTCCTGCCCCTCCACCCTCGCCCCGGCCGACAGCTGCTGCATGCCGCCCCCACCCTCCCCTCCCTCCACCACCCCCACCTGCGCACCCTCTGCACCCTCAACACCCTCTGCCCCCTCCCCCGCTGCTGCTGCTGCTGCTGCCGCTAGCTCCGCCTCCACCCCTCCCTCCCCATGCAGCATGCCGCCCGCCTCCAGCCCGTCCCCCACCGCCAGCTCCGCGATGTTGGCCATCTCCTGCCACCAGCCGCCGCCGTAGTCAACCAGCAGCTGCTCGCCGGGCGCCAGTCGCCGCAGCGCCACCACCACCGGCAGCACCACGCCGCACACGGCAACCGGGATGACCTGCAGCAGCAGGGGCAGGGGCGTGGGGCAGGGGTGGTGTTTGGAAGGGGCGTGAAAGAGGCCAGAGCCGTTACGTAGCAATCACGGGGGCCCGGGCAGGGCCATACCGGCCGAGCCGGTACAGTCATGTGCACCAGCCATGCACCCCTCTTGCTGCACCTTCTCAACACAGCTGTCACGCTGTCACTCATCACTCTGTGCACCTCCGCCCACCCACCCTACTGGTCTCCCTACCCACCCACGCATCCAGGCACCCAATCGCCTCACCACGCAGTTGGGCTGCCCAGCCGGCAGCTCCTCCCCGCCCGCCAGCTGCTCCAGGCCCACCCCCTGCCGCCCGTCGTTCAGCAGCGACAACACGCTGCCGTACCCCAACATACACAGCACATGCGACACGTTGCTGCTGCTGCTGCTGCTGCCGGCCTGGGCCGGCGGCTGTCCCTCGCTGCGGCCACCGGCATTGCCACCACCGGCGTTGCCACCGCCGCCACCACCGCCGCCACCACCGCCGCTAACGCCGTCGCAGGTGCCGTCATTGCGGTACCTCTGCGCCGCCTCCGTCAGCTCCCCAGGGTACGGCATCTGGTACGACAACGCAAGGAACGTCCACGCGGTGTCGGAGTGATCGCCGCCGCCACGCCGACGGAGCTCCTCCCGTGCAGCGTCCGCCTCGGGTATCTCCTTGTAACCACTGCTGGCGTATAGCATCGCATCGGAAGAACCACCACCGGCGCCGAAGCCTGCGGCATTAACATCAGCACCCGCTTCCTCCTCCTCCTCCTCGCCGACCCATGGGTCACTGCGGCGCCCCTGCAGCACGTACCCAGCCAGAACTCCCACCGGCTCGCCTCCGGGGATCTTCTCTGTCGTACACACGCCCAGTCCGCCCCGCGCCTCATCCCGACAGGGCCTCAGGCAGGGCAGCCGAACCGCCCCACTCGGCAGCACCGCCTCTACCTCCACATCCTGCTGCTGCTGCTGCTGCCCGTGCTGCTGCTGCTGCCCGTGCTGCTGTTGTGGTCCGCTGTGGTCCTGACCCAGCCCCATCATCCTGCACAGCCCCCGCCGGATGGTAGCCACACGCAGCCGCTGCTGCGCCGCCCCCGCCGGCTGCGGCCCGAACAGCGCGTGCCAGCCCCGCCGCCGCCAGCCCGGCAGCGCGCAGCCGCACTCGTCCAGCCCAGGAACCTCACACAGCGGAACCGCGGCGGCGCCATGGCGGCGGCGGCGAGCCCGCCAAGCCGCCTCGCACACGCGCGCGGCGTCAGCGGGAGTGCCGCGTCCGAGGACTACCCCGCAGAGACGGTACTCGCCAGAAGCACCGCCTTCATGGGGGTGGTGGTATTGGGTGGTAGCGCAGGTTGGCGTGGCAGGAGCGGTGCCGTGCGGTGTGCCCAGGTGGGGGTCGCAGCAGGGGCCTCGCAGCCGGTCGCGTGTGAGACTGGCGGCGGGCACACGCCAGGGTTCCAGTGGAGGGGCCGGCGGTGGAGGGGGCTGTGGTGGAGGCGGCTGAGAAGGGGGATGGGAAGCGGGACGCGGAGGCGGCGGTGGAGGGGGCTGTGGTGGTGGAGGGGTCTGGGAAGGGCGGTGCGGTGGAGGCCCTGCACCGGCGCTTGGAGGAGGAGGCGGGGATGCGGGGTGCGGCGGTGCGGTGGGGCCGGGCTGGCCCTCCGGCTCCGGATCGGGCTTGATGGGCGGCTGCGGCGGGGGTTGCAGTTGGGAGGGCTGGGGCTGTGATGGGGGCTGGGGCGCCTGAGGTTGCGGTTCAGGTTGGGGTCGCTGGGGTTGCGGCCGAGGCGGATGCTGCGGCGGCGGATTGACGAACGTGCCGGCCGGCATGAACCGAACGCGGAAGCACGGGGGCTTGCACCGGGGCTGGCCGGCTGCCTCAGCTGCTGCCGCCTCCTCCGTCTCCTCCTGCTCGAAGGGCCGGAAGTCCAGCGCGTCGCCTTCCTTCGCGCCCAGGTCCCTAACGACAGCTGTCATGGCGCCCAGCTCGACCCTGTTCGGTTGTTGATGCACCTTTGCCTGCATCCAGGCGGGCAAAAGCCGGCAAGGCGGGCCCAGGTCACCCATCCAAGCAGGGACCGCATGCGCCTCCAACTTTCCAACGAGCCTTTCAACTTTTTCGCTCTTAACCCACATCAGCAAGTCCTAGCAGTCTTACAGGACAAACGACCGGCAACATGCCAGCGTTTTACGGCACGGCGGGTGACCGCCTTTACAGCCACATCCCCGGGCGTACCCCATGCGCCACCCCCTTACCTCCCACGCCCTCCCGCCGCCCACTTCCTGCAGCCTTACGGGACCCAGTACGCCATGAAACACACCGCCCGGCTGAGTCATGCTGACCGGCAGCCGGACCTTGCCACTCTTCTTCTTCTTGTTGGCGTCAGGGCTGGAGGGTGCCGGTACCGCACAGGCGGTTAGGATCTTGGCAAAGCGTGGATCCAGCACGCCCTTATCCTCTGCCCTCGGCAGTCCTGCCGTGGATGGGTTTCCGTGACCCGCGGTTCGGTCTACGGTGGTCCCAGCATTTGCCTTACTGCTCCCTGGCAGTACCTCAGCACTGCCTGCGCTGCGACTGGGTGCAACAGCAGCAGGAGCAGCAGCAGCAGCGGCGGCAGCGGCGGCGGAGACTGGTTGAGCCACCGCCTCAGCCCCAGACCTGCAGGTCCTGGCTGCGGTTGCTGCTGCTGCTGCTGGTGATGGTGGTGCTGGGACTGAAGGTGCTGGCGGCTGCTGCGGTCCGGCACTTGCATGCTGCTCCGCAGGACGAGGGCGCTTGCGGGGATGGGCGCCCTTCCGTGCAGTTGCACGCCCGGACGACTCCTGCTGCGGCGAGCTGGTGCCGGCAGCCGGACCAGAGTCTCTGACTGCAATGGCCGCTGTTGCTGCTGCTGCTGTGGGTGGCGTGGTGCGGCCGGCTGGGGCGACTGCAACCGTACCACCTTCGACCCGCGCTACATGAGAAGCCTCCCTATCAGCTGCAGCCGCGCCGGCACCAGCAGGACCGCCGCCGCCGCCTCCGCTGATCGCGTAATCGCTCCCGCTGCGGGCTAGGCTCGCTGCCCGTGCCTTCCCTCCACCTCCGCGCCCTCCCTCCTGGTCCGCAGCCGCACCCTCCGCCGCTCCTCCAGCGCTCTCCACCGCCGAGCCCGCCCCCGCCGTCTCCCCGCTTCCTAGCTCACTGGGAACCACTGCTCCCGGCCCGTTGCTAGCAACCTCCGCCGCCGCGCCTCCGCAGCTGCTGCCAGGAGCGAGTCCGGAGGCTTTCCGTCCCACGCCGTCACCACCAGCCGCCTCCCGCTGCTCCAGCCGGTAGCGTCCCTCCTTGTCCCGTTTGTAAGCCTGCTTGCTGCCCGTCCGGATCCCAGCCCGCTCCAGCCAGCCCTTCATGCCTTTCAGCCCCACCGCGTCCAGCTTATCGTACGACTTGATGAGGCACTTTTCAGTGCGGTTGGCGTGTTCGAACCACACGTCAAACGGAGGCTGCTTGTCAGAGGGCTGCCCTGATTCAATCCGGTACTCCGGCCGTAGGTCCTCGGGCCCTGCCAGTTTGGCGCGCGTCAGCAGTGGCTTCCGTATGTAGAGCACGCCGTCTTTTATCATCTTCTCTGTGACGTTAATGACAAAAGCGAATGGCCGTGCAGGCAGCATCGTCGGGCCGCCGGCTGCAAGTGCGCCAGGCAGGGTGCCGCCCGCGCCGGCCTCCTCATTCGGTCCGACGGAGGCTGCGCGGCTGCAGTGCCCGGCACCGTGGTTGCCGCCGTGTTGCTGTACCTGTGGCGCAGTACCTGTGGCCCCAGCTGCGGCAGCGCTGCCCGCCTGCAGCTGCCGGGACTCAGCAGGTGGCGCATCAGCCATGCATACCGGTACGCCTCCAGGTTGTGCGGTGTCGGTTTCAGCTTGCCGGTGCCGATGCTGCTGCTCGCTTGCGGGTGGTGCCAGCGCTTTGCCCCCGGGATCTTGGATCGTGGAGGTCCCGCCCGGAGCTTCAGCTGCTGGAGCGGCCGCAGCAGCTTCGGGTACCAGAGCTGCTGGCGTGGGCGACGCAGGTGGGCGTTCGGACTGTGGTTGCGGGTCCTGTTGCTGCGCTGGCTGGGGACTGGGTTGAGGTGGGGCAGGCGGCGGGGGCTCGGAGCCGGCGGGTAGGGACGGACGAAGCTCAACCGGCTGGGCACGGGTCTGCTCGGCCATGGTTGATGTTGGTCGGTCGATGTTGGCATTGTCAAGTGAAGCGGCCGTCCACGGTGGGCTTGTTGTTAATGTGGGAGCAAGTTTTGATTTCTTGCTGAGTAGACGTTTCTTAATGGTATTAGAAGAGAACCCAGCACCTGCTTTTCTCGTCCACCCTACAACATGGGGAGACCGAGCGCCGTCCTGTTTATGGCCTGCCGTGTCGTGTACCATGTCTTGTCTTATAGAGTGTGAGGCCGTGCGTGTGATACAGGAAATGATGGCCCAGCTTGCCTAATAAGCAAATCGCAGGCACAGCGCGTATCGCACGCGAATCACAGCACATGATTTTTTATCAAGGAGACGCCAGCCATTATGCCTCATAATTAAGTTTTCCAAATGCCTTCCTCAAACAAACCTTACCTGCAGAAGGCTCGTGCATCGACAATTCCAGTGGCCCGGCACCACCATCGCTCGTATGCGCCATGCCAACAATTGGAATTGCAAGGATTCAGTTGTTGTTACTGTACAGAGACCTGTGTTTCTTGCTACGCCATATAGAAGACAGGTTGTCTTGCACCCTTCCCTGCCTCTCTCCTCAACAGCATGCGGCTTTAGATCATGTCCCCAGAAGTTGTCATACGATAGGAAAGTTGCCTAGTCACATTTGGTCCAGTAGGCATAAAGCCCTTTCAAGGTCATGTCGTTCCCATGGCACTGTTCCAATTTAATAAAAGCACTGGAGAACAATGTCGGCAACACCGTTAACCTGCACTCGTGTCTTAACTGGCAGTTGGCACAGCTGTCACCATAAACGTACTACGCCTAGCATCGCACCGTACATCTGCTGTACATTTGCGCGACGATCGGGCAGACGGGCACTCCACAACGCCAGGCGTCTGCTAACATGTTGCTGCCCTTACAACCGTAGCTTGTAGATAAGGCCTGCGTGCCAGCGTATCAGTGTACAAGGCAAGGGGGCAAGGACCACCCTCAAAAATCTTCTCCAGGCAATGATAGGGATGGCATGAAAGCAAGCCCCCTGATTTTCAGCTGTACGGCTACAGTTGCTGCCGTAATTCTCTAAGTCCAGAGAAAGGTTTTGCAGCGCTTTGCAGTGCCCTCCCAGGGTACCAGCACACCCTCGAAGGCGAGGCAAAAGTGATACCGGAAACGTACAAACTTAACTGGAAGTAGCTCTCATACCGCCATGTTACAGACATGATACGGCAGAAGCACGGGTTCGGTTGTCCGGTACAGGGCGGGTTAGCCTTGCAAGGCCTTACGTTACAAGGCAAGCAGGTGCCTGGCGCACTAAGCCAGTAACACATACGCGCGCTCACACCCCAAACACGCAACAGACACGCTGATCCGACATCATGCTGTTTACACCTAACCCTGATTCCTCCTACCGGCGCCAATACAAGCTTACAGGAATCTAAACCACAGCGCGGAAACCCAAGACGCCCCTGTCTGCCGTGCAATGCGGAATACTAAGAAACAACCTCTCTCGTACCATGTATAACTTACAACAGCTCGCGCGGGCGGCAGCGGGGTGCTGGTTAAATCCACGCAGTCCTCACTCGGCTCGTCCTTCTCTCAAAGCTCTCACACCAATCCATTGCTGCCTACCAAAAACCAGCCCATCCAGGGCGGACACGTACCCTTCCCCGCCCCTGTGCCTTTCCAGCTTGCCCCTCAACATCGTGCGTGTAAATGTATAGCGCCCCTTATCCTCCTCCTCCCTGCCTAATAGCCCTCTTCTTCCGGCACCACACATACACCGACACCAGCAAGTACAGCCCCCAACCAACACACCAGCTACCCCTTGGGCCCCTTGTCCCCATGCATCCATGCATGCACGCGGCGCGATGTGCCCACCCGACCGCAACCACACGGTTTACCCCGCCGAACCCCGAGCTCGTAAGGATCACACCAGCCATATGGCCCTGCTGACTGCCACCATCCATCCAGAGTGCTCTGCCGCGGCGACACATCACTTCCTTTACATTCGAAAAGGTACCGTGAGCACCAGCCCCAGCGAAAGGCCTTTCCCAACCTCATCTAAGCCCATGGCCTCCCAACCTTAGCCCCGAGCCCACCTCAGTAAACCTCCCCGTCCGTAACCCTCCGCGCCAAGCAATACAACAACGGCCACTGCTGCTGCTGCTGCCTCCGCGGCAGCTGCGCGCCTCGGCTGCCTTCCCCAGCTGCTGCTCCCCTGCCCCAACAAGCTGCTGCTGCTGCTCCGCGCTGCCCGCTCGCAGCCCGCCCCCCCTATAATCACTCACTGGCCCCTTCCGCAAGCCTCCCAGCCCCCTACCCCCCCCCCCGCAGCCCCCATGCCCCCTCCCTTCCACACATCCCGCATCATGTCATACCCCGCGCTCCCCCACCCCGCCTCCCGCCCTCCCTTCCCACACATCCCTCACAGCTGCTGCAGCGCCTCTATGAGCTTGTCCGTGTGCTCGGGGCGCCCCACGCTGACCCGGATGAATCCCGACAGCTCCTTCTTGGCGTAGTGGCGCACCATGATGCCGTGACGCGAGGCCAGCGCGTCCTTCACCGCCTTGGCGTCACGACCGCCCGTGACCTGTAGGAGGCGGAGGAGGGGAGGGGGGGGGCCAGGGGAGACGGGGAGGTCAGGGGGAGGGGACGGTAGTAGTGTGGCGGTGACGACCCTGTCGGTACTGCGAGGTGACGATGCTGCCGGGATTGAAATGACGATCCTGCCCAGGGTACCAGCTCCAGTACGTACGGCACAAGCGCTGGCTGCAAGTAGCGGTACATTACCGGCCACCGCCGGCTCCTCGTGGCTACCTTGACCGTGGACCCCTCACCCTCCCTGCCTGGCCGTTAGGGTGGGAATGTTTTCCTCTGCGCCCCGCCTGCCCGTGGCGGTGTTCCTACCGTGGTGTTGTGTTCCTGGGCCCCCCTCACCTTTGCCAGGATGAAGTTGGCGTGCGAGGGGTAGGGCTCCAGGAAGGGGATCTCCTGCAGCCGGGAGAACAGCCGCTCGCGCTCCGATACCAGAGCGTTGCGGACCTGCGGGTGATGATGGGGGGGGGTATGTGGCAGGGGGTGTGCAGAGGAAGGGCGGGTCGGAGGTGCATGAACAAGCAGCACCGCCTCTGTCCCTTCCGACCCTGCTCCCGCACCCTGCTGCAGCACACCACCCCCTAGGTGGTCCCCTCCTCTGTACGCTAAGGCGTACCGGTGTAACTGCAGGTGTTGGATTGCGAGTACATCCTCCTTATCCTCTTTCCCCCGCTTGCCTTCCTAGCCGCCAACCCTCCCCTCCTCCCCGTCTCCCCCACCCCCTTGGGTATTCTTTTTCTTCCCCCCCAACCTGGCCCCTCCCCCACCCTGCCGTGCCCTGTGGTTTTGGTATACCTCTGCCCCCCCCCCCCAGCCTGGCCCCCCCTGCCCCCCCTCCACCCTGCCCTCACCGTCTCCAGATAGGGCATGTTGGTGAGTGCCGCGCACGCCGCCACCTCCGCCGCCACGGACACGTTGTACGGCTGCTTGGCGCGCCACAGGAACTCCATCATGTCGCGGGGGAAGGCGCCGTAGCCCACCCGAAGACCCGCCAGAGCTGGAGGGGGGGCAGGGAGGGGGGTGACAGACAGGGCGCATGGGGCAGAGGGGAAGAGGCATGCGTAAGACACAGGGTGACAGAAAGGGCGGCATGTGTGAACGGGACATGGGTGCGCGCGGTTACCGCTCGGAAACGTGTGGTAATGCAAGACCCCCTCCCCCTCCCTCTCTTGAGTTGCGTGTGCCTAGGATAGTGTCTCTGTATGCGCGAAGTCCGGATACCGAACTGGGACTCCAGTTGTTTCACTTTTCATTCATCTACCCCCACAATCATCGTATCCCCCTTCCCCTCCCCCCCACCCGCGCTCTTGCTGAACGTCCGCAGCACCACCAGGTTGTGTCGCTGCGTCACCCAGTGCATGCGGCTGGGCTCGGAGCTGAACTCGATGTACGCCTCGTCCAGCACCACCAGCACCGGCAGCTCAAGCAGGGACAGCAGGTCGGACTGGGGCCGGGAGGGAGAAGGGGGAGGGGCGGGGGCGGTGGGAGGTCGAAGGGGTTTATTGGGTCCAGCGAGCCCCGCCATACACCTGGGGGCCAGGAGGGGCCCCTCGCTCGTCTCACCATCGCCTGCCTCGTCTCACCATCGCCTGCCTCGTCTCATTCCCCCTCCCTCGCATGTCTCTCTCCTTCTTCTCCGTCTGTTCCCTCCCCCCTCACCCCCTCTCCCGCCCCTCATCCCCTCTCCCGCCCCCCTCCCGCCCCTCTGCCGCCCCCCTCACCTCGCTGATCATGGAGCCATCCGGGTTGTTGGGCGAGGTCAGGAACACCACCTTGGGCCGGTGCTCCAGGACAGCACGCCTGGGGTGGGGGAGCGGGGGAGAGGGAGGGGAGGGTGAGGAGGCGGCGCGGGGAAGATGAATAAGCCGCCGCGTGATGGGCCGCTAGTTGAGTATCTTACTCTGCCCCCAGGAGTCCCCTGCTGACCAGCCACACAGACCGTCGCCAGGGCGCCTGCCTCCTCCGTCCCAGGCACGCCTTCCTCATTTGCCCCCCCACCCCCCAAACAGGCGACCCAGATGCCCCGGCGCCTTCCCCCTCCCCGGACCCCCATTCAGGCCGGCAGCCCCCCACCTCCTCAGCGGTCAGTGTTCCCTTGCGGCTTCCCTTGCAGCTTCCCATGCCCAGTTTACCCTCAGTCTGGCGGCCCCTCCGCCACTGCGCCTCCTCCCACACCTCTGGCACCACCCGCCATCCCTTACGTGCGCCAGGGCTGCCGGTTATGCTGCGTTGCTGCCCCACCTAAGGCCTAAGGCGGATTACGTCTCCAAATTAATCCCCACCCACTGATGCGGCAAGTTCGGCTCGACTAACCCGGTTCCATTCACCAGGAGCTCGTCGGCTTGCTTGCCAGCCTCATTCAACACATTGGGGATGCTTCATTCACCCACCTGATGCCCTCCACATCCAGTCGGAAGCCCTCCAGTCGCGGCACGGTGACCACACGCGCATCGTTCACGTCCGCATCGAAGACGTACATGGTGAAGGTGGGCGGGCAGTCCACGATTTTGTCACCCGGCTCCAGCACGCAACGCATGAGCAGGTCGATGAGCTCGTCAGCACCGCAGCCGACCTGTGGAGGTTGGGGAGGGGTTGGAGACATGGGAAGGGAATGTTCTTGTGATGGGTGTTGGACAGAGCGAGTGAAAGGCATGGCAAGGGGGCGGAGTATAGCGACATGGATGGGCGCTGATGGGTCCGGGTATGTCCCGGCAGCACGGCATATTGTGGAATCAGCAAAGGTTTGCTGTCTCCCTTCAAGTTGGTGCAGCTCTCTCCCTCTAGATAATAGCAACAAGCAAGCCAGTGACATTCATGTGGGCAGCAGTTGGCATGGTAAGAAACACCAGACCTCCCACAACTAAAAAGCAAACCATATACTCTTTATGCTGCTAAGGACTACAAAGTTGAAGTCGCGAAGCCGGTAAAATTTTGCGCAAACGGTCGGCGGCGCAAAAGGGCCGTTCATCCGGTCAAAAATAAGTAAATGACATAAGCTTACATTGTAACAAGCATGTGCAATGTCAATGAACCAGAAACATGACGTCCTAACTCACAGGAGCCAATTCGTGCAATTTTATCCCGTCCTTCTGGCTAATGCGGCCCCTTACCAGCAAATTCTCCACGGGGATATCGTGCATTTTAGCGAGCGCTTGCCGCAGAGCGCGCGTCTCTGGGTCTGGGTAGATGTGAGGGAAGGACATACTCCCAAGCGCCTGGCGAACTTCGGGCGGCGGCCCGTAGGGGTTTTCATTTGCATCAAGCTTAACAATGTCCTCCGGCTTCCTTCCGTAACGCGCTGAAAGCACCTCGAACGGCTCAATCGGTGTGTATGGGGCCAACTTCAGGATGTGCTTGCGCAGAAACTGGGCCGAGCTAGGAGCCGCAGGCTCAGAAGTGGAAGGCTCCATGGTAGCTGTGGCCCTTGGAATAACCGCAACTGGTCGCCTACGCGCTAAGCAGCGAGCTGTCGCCCGGCTTTGGGACGTGCAAGGGCCCTGAAGGGCGGTGGTGCGCATGGTGAAAAGAGTAGATTAAATCAGTGCAACGCTGGTACAAAGTAGAACGAAAGCGATAAAACAGATAGCCTTACGGCGTTGGGTTAATTTGCTCCGCATCCATCCGTACGCCGAGCGCCAAAACGGCGCGACCGACATCCTTACCCAATTCTGGCAGTTTCCCGCAGGCCACTTTTTCACTCACGAGCCAGTATTGTTGGCTTTGGTTTCTTTACAATTCGGGTTGTAAGCATGAAGCTGCGGGCGCTGCGGACGCGCAATACGACGTCAGGCCATGGTGACCCAGACAACGCAGCGCAACCATCCCAGCCCGATAGCAACCCAAATGACGACGGTCGCCCGAAACCACAGGGTCTTCCGGGTTAGTACAGCTAGCTAAAGCTCGCTTAGGGTGATGGTGGCCACCTGCTCATAGTTTCCAATGTGCATGCCTCTGATGTTGCCGCGTATTCGCTTGGAATTGCAGACCTTAGGTCATAAGGGTATCTCTTAATACGTCCGTACCCTTCTTTGCGTAAAGAATGCAGCTGAACTTGTATGCTGCCATGTGTTTTTCTGCGATGTGTCATCATGCTCCAACATCGCAGCACACATGCTTAACAGACGACCGCCCCTTCCCTGGCAGAATTGCCGCCACGTGCGCCCCGCGAGAGGCCACGACGCAAACCCAGCCCAAGTCCTAACCTGAACCCTGTCGAACCCGCCGCGCCAAGCATTGGTGGGTGCTTATTTCTTCTGGCCAATGTCCCCTTGTCCATACCCAGCCGAGTACCGTAACACCAGCTGAAACTGGATCCCTCCATGCAGGGAGGAATGACACGGCGGCGACAGAAGCAATTAAGGAAGGGGCAACTGCCGCTGCTCCTCCAGGCGCGCCCGCGGATGCTGCCCCTCGCGGACCTCCCCCCGGGGTCCCCGGCCTGGCTCGCGCCTCACCCCCCCTGGGCGACCTGCAAACCATGAAGTTCCAGCTCTTCACCGGGTCCGGTAAGGCACCGACCGTATGACCGTATGACCATTCGAACAGCGGCAGGACCCTACAGACAGTCGCGACGCCTTCCGGAACGCCAGCTCCCCGTTGCTTAGCCTGATGGTAATCCATTAGCCTGGCTAAGTACTTCACGCCATGCCCCGCCGGTACGCTCCTAATCGCTACCGCGCCTACGGCACCTAGCCACCCCTCCCCACCTCCTGCTCCTCACTCCTAGCCTTCTACCTTTTACAAGTCTCCAGAAACCCGCATCGCAAATTCGCAATGCTTTTGGTATCACTAATGCTTCATGGCGCCTGCTGCCTGCTCCTCCCTGCTGCCCGCCTGCCGCAGGCCGGCCGCTGCCGCCCTGCAGTCGGGCACAGCTGCAGGCGGCAGCTCAGCTGCTAGAGGCGGCGGAGGCGGGGGCGGCGGAGGCGATGGAGATGTCGCAGCAGCCGCCGCCGCAGCAGCAGCAGGTGCCCATGTCGCAGGACCCCATGGAGTTGTCGCAGCAGCCGCAGGTGGGGGCAGTGCAGGGTGTGCATGGGGTAGGTTCTGGTGCAGCCAGCTGAGGGTGTTTCGGGTGTGCTTAGGTCCCGACGGAAGCTGTCCGGGTGGTTCGTGAACACCCTGCCGTACATGCAGTGCATTGCTATATACATTCGCATGCCCGGTGTAAGCGCTTGCTTGGTGCCGTGCGTGAGCTTAGCAACCGGTAAAACCATCATCCCGCCCGCAGCCCATGAGCCAGTCCACCAGCGTGGCGGCCGACGGGGGCGGCGGGAACGGAGGAGACGACATGCTGCCCTCGTCCCAGCCGCCCTCATCGCAGCAACCAGCGACCATGCTGCTTCCAGAGTACGCCTCCTGGCCCGTGTTGAGGTGAGGGGGAGGGGGAAAAGAAATTCCAATGTGTGGTGTGAGAAGAATGGAGGGGGAGGGGGAGGGGGAGTGAGAAGAATGGCTGGGTGGCTGGCTGTGGCTCCTCGCTCCCTCTCCTGCTGTTGGGTTGCTTGAGTGCGCCCCACCAACGCCACCCTGCTCCAGGTTGCAAACGCTGGACGGGCCGAAAACCGCATTCGTGGCGCCATCCATGGTCGACAAGGTGCGCGAGATTAAGAGCAGCCCGGGGAAAGGAGGAGCCTGGAAAGCGTTGCACCGACCCGCGGGTCGTTCTTCTGTTGTTGTCCCTGCCAACAAAGACGTCCGGCGACTAGGCCGTCCCCTGGGTATAGCATAACGGTCCCGGTCCTCCGTCAGTCGTTCATCATTCGACTTCATTGCCAGAATGTGTTAAAAGGACATCTAACCGTTAAAGAACACTTCGCATATTTACGTTCATTCTCGTACGTGGGTTGCTACGACGGGTTGCTGCCGCTGTAGGTTGTGCGCGAGCACGGACTGGCCGCTGCGGCACCCAAGCGGCGCGGCGCCACCACCACCAGTAGCAGCGGCGGCAGCGGCGGCGGCGCCGTCGAGTCTGGCGGCGCAAGCGGCGGCGGCGGGGACGACGAAGCCCGGTCGGCAGCACGGGGCAAGCAGGCGCGGGAGGGCGCGGGTGGCTGGGGCAGGCGGGGCTGCGGTTCCTCGGGTTAGATGCGTGCACGGCGGAGGGCTTAGCATGTGCAGGTGCCATTGAGTGTGGATGTGGGTCAGTGTTTGCGGAGATGAGCTGACATCGATGCCGGTGATTGGTAGCGGAATGGGTGTACAGACATGGCAGCAGCATGGGCCTTACGAGGTGTCAGGAGACGTATGAAGATGAGGAGATGGAGCCCGTAGTCTGGCACTGCTCTGGTCAAAGGGTATTGCAACGATGCAGACCTTCGTATTTGAGGGAAGGCAGTTTGAGAAGGGAGCTCCGCCGTTAGCTAGCAAGGGTAGCAACAGACCACGTATGTACGAGGCGCCGTACAGGAGATTCCTGACGCTTGCCGTTGTGCTGCTTATGTCGTAATGAAGGAGCCAACAACCGCATAAGCAAGAACGTCGTCATGTGATGAGAACTAAGATCCGAACGCTGGGTCAACCATGTGGGAAGTATCCGTCGGAGTCCCCTTGGCCGCCGCAGGGTGCTGGTGGGTAGTACGCATTGGATTATGCGCGTAGCCAAGAAGTTCATGCTCCTCCTATTGCTAGACATGGAGCAAATAAAGCACCCCAGCGGCCTTGCTAAAGTTAGTTGATTACTACTGCGCGTACGACAATTTAAGCACATGCATTGCACTCTGCGGCAGTAAAGATACCGTTTCCTTGTTTCATATCGCTGCAACTTGAGTTCCTTGGCATGCATTAACAAGAAAAAAGAATTTGCTTCCTAACGAAAGACCGTGACCTGTTGTGTAAGCCTCTTGCCTCTTGTGATCAACATGCTTAAACACGCCTTAGCGTGTATACAATAGGTTTTGGGTAGTAGATCATGGTATCACGATAACTTCGGCAATAAAAGCTTTGCAATGGGCGGACATCTGTGCGGACGCGCCAGGATAATACTGGCTTTCTTCTACAGCAGCGCCGCAATTGTATTGTCGGAGGTGAGGCCTTACTCGACTCAAATGTCCGGTCTTGGAGTAACACATGCCCCTCAGGGGCGCACCACGCCGTACCATAGTGCAAGCCCAACCCTCCCGCTTCCACCTTCCCGTCATTCTCCCCCTCCAGGCACCCTTACCTCACGTCAACGACTGCTTCCTGTGCATGAAATGCCACACCGGAAAGCCAGCTGGCCGGCAGCTCCTGCAAGCGCATCTCGACTTAGACGGCAGCTCCCCATCAGCCTCCCTAGCAGCGGCAACAGCCGCGTCCGATGCACGGCTGGGTGCATTACCAACGGACCTCGCCAACCAAGCCCTGGGCGGTGACCCAGCGCTCGGCGAGCAGCTGGCAGGCAGCAACTCAGGCGAGCACACCCGAACGCTAACCAGCGCCCACAACCTACGGGAGGAAATGTACACGCCGCCGGATTTTAAGTTCCAAATCGCGCCGGGCGCAGAAGAGTTGGCAGCCAAGTCACGAAAGCCCAACTGTACGGAGTGCTACGGCTGTGACACGCAGATCGAGCCGTTGCAGCCGGTTGTGACCCAGATGATGGGTCAAAACGTGCGGGTGGAGGTGGGCGCTTCACCGGAGTGGCTCTTCTTCGCAGGTACGGCAAAAGGAGCTAGCTGATAAAGGAGCTACCGTAGCACGCAGCAGCGCGACCCGGCCTCCGTACGCATATCGTTGCGGGCTCGTGGCTGCCGCCGCTAAGAGTAGTATGCGCACTTTGAGTCGTTGACGTCACGTCACCATCTGGGCCGCTTTCTGCTCCTCCTCCTCCTCCTGCTCCCCCTCGCAGACCTTCCGGACACCCCCCAGACGGGTAAGAAGGCGGTGCTCAAGGTGTGGTGCATGCCGCTTCACAAGGTGCACCACACCTTCTCCTGGCGCTGCGGCAACACGGCGGAGGGCGCCAAGGCGGTGCAGTTCCTGATGGCGCAGCAGAAGGTGATGCAGGAGTGCGGGCTGCTGGATGTGACGATCAAGGTGAGGCGGGCGGGGGCCGCAGGGTGGACAGGAGGGGAAAAGAAGGATATCCATTGTGTGGTGTGATAGTGGACAGGTTGGGGTTCAAAGGCCATATCGAACCATAGGAAACCACAGGTTGGGGCAAAGCAATGGGGATAGGAAGCGGCAGGGTGAGGGCGGGGGTTTGGGACTGTGCGGTAGGTGTGGGTGGGGCGGGCTGCGTGGTAGACTGGGCTAAGGCCCCATCGTTGAGTTATATGATAGCTGGTGAAGGGCTGAGGGCATGGGTGAAGAGGAAGAAAGGAACTAACCGGATGAGGGCGTGAGTGCGGCTGTCCCTGGTAAGTGTGCATGCGAGTACGCGTGGGCATGAGGCCTGTCTCGCCCTACCTTTCAGGGCCGAGGGGTTTGTAGTCCAGGGGTTGGTGACGAGTCCTGGGCCGGGATGCATGTGCCCCGCGCGCTGGTTGCATCTGAAACACAGGCCTTGTGGCATGGGGGTGATGTGGGTTAGACAACTACGAGCCCCATGGGCCGTTCCATGTGAATGCGAAACCCAGATGCCGCTACCTCAATGACGCCCACGGAGTTTAGTACTTTCACATTCATACCCGTATGTCACCACAGGTATGGCCCGGCCGCGTGAATGCGGTGGTGCCCGGCCACGGTCTTCACGTATGGTGGGACGGGCTATGGATGGAGCGCGCCGAGGGCTTCTCCCTCAACCACCTGTCGTACAAAGCCAACCGGCAGTTCATAACGAGCATCCTGCAGAACCTGATGGGCGAGCGCCTGAACAAGACACACGTCGTCCGAGCGGCGCTGTACGACCTGCTCAGCAGCCAGTGCGACCGGCACTCGCAGAACGTGTTTCTGTCGGAGTCGGGCGAGCTGACGCTGATTGACAACCTGCAGGCGATGCAGTACAGCTGGGTGAACTGCGCCATGGACTCCATCTTCCTGCCCGGCACGCAGAAAAACATGATTCTGCGGTGAGGGGCGAGATGACCATGGGGGGGGGCGCGCATGAGTATCTGGGGCCAGGGCTCAGGGGTCGGACCTGACCTGGCCTGGTGTTGGGAGCTTGCTTTGGACCTTACGGTGCGGGCAAAGCACGCTAAGCACCGCCATTGATGTTGGTTGAAATGGAGGACTCCAAGCACCCATCTTGTCACACCCATCAGCACCCACATGCAGCGTGGCGGTTTACCGACCCGTATCGCTGCATGCGTGTCCGTATCCGTAATCCATCTGCATCGGGGAGCACTCGTAGCGGCCCCATGATTCCCTTACGTTTAGCCGATTCCATGCAGTGAAGTCCACACCCCAAGTATCGCACGCGGGCTGCACACGAAGCAACACATGCCTGGCTGTACCATGTGCAAGCCATATGCCGCTGCGTCTACTCATCTACTACCTCCCCTGCCGGCCTCCCACGCTACCGGTTCTTCCCTCGGCCCGGCAGGTGGGGAGGCAATGTGGTGTCCAAAGTCCGAGGTGCCAAGATGCGGCGGAGCGTCAACCCGATGGTCGTGCTGGACTACCGCTGCTACGTGGAGGGCGGCAAGATCGGCACTAACTACGACCCGCAGCTGCGCCAGTGCCTAACCAAGCTGAGCAAGATGACGCCCAAGGAGGTGCAGTTAGAGTACGGCTTTCCGTACAGCTCGAGTGCTGCCGTACTGCAGCAGCGTGCCACAGGTGGGTGGGGATCAGCTGGTAACGTGTGAGTGGTTACATGGGTGTAGCATGGAGTGCTGCGAGGTGGTGGTGCGAGGCCAGAAAGCAAGGTAGTAATGGGCGATTGCGGTGTGTGACATGGGAGGACGGAAACACGACCTGCTTTCGTTGGTGTCATTGTTTGTAGCCACCGATAAATTCTACTTCGCTGCACTTTGGCCCCTGCAGACATGCTGAACAAGGGCTTTGAGTGGACGCTTCGCTACGGCCAGCCGCGCAACTTCAAGCCCAAGTCCCTGCGGCAACACCCTCCGTGTTGCAGCCTGGGGATGTCGAGCAAGAACACAATGGAGTGTGGGCATCCCTGGAATAACACGGTTGAGCTGCCCTTTGGCGACCCAATGAACGGCGGCGAGTGGCGTCGGCCGTACCCTGACCCCGGGACATACGAGGGTGGCACCTACTTGGATGCACCCTTTGAGACTTAGGTGTCGACGGTGGATATCCCTTTTGTTAGTGGTTGTTGCAAACCCGTCCCTTTTATTGCGCTCTCGTGTGAAAGAGTGTAGAGGAGTACACGTATGGAACTGCTTGACCAGTTCCACGCACGCACGGATGAGAGGCTTTGGGATGTAAGCGGTATCGGGATGCATGAGGACACCCGGAAATGGACGGTTTAGGAGGTTTCGCAGCCTGGGGACCCAGAGCCAAGTCACGTCGTCACGCCGACAACAGCACCACAGTCGCAGCAAGGGAAATGTATTGAATCATTGAGCGGCGTAACTGTACTTGTGACTACAGCCGTTGAACGAGAAGAGATGTGTGTGTACAGACCCGTGGTACAACTGTATGGTCAGTGTAGGGTTGGGCTGTGCTGCACATCGTTAGTTCGTCTATGAGCTTTTTATCATGTGTAGGACGATGCCCAAGTTTCAGTCAGGCAGCATTCCGCAAAGACGTGGGGTAGCTGAAGGGACGTTAAAGCGTTAATCCCTAGCTTGCCGACGGCAATTGTTCTCCCTGGCTTTATGACAGCAATTCGTCTTCCTGATCACATAACAGCATTATTGCTAACGCTTCCCCCATGCGCGGCGGACTTGGCCCAAACTGCCCAAGAATCCTGTCCCAAGTGCGCATCGCCCTAGAGGGCGTTCAGACAATGAAGCATGACCCAACCCAAAAGCGTTACGATCATAAACATGATACTACCTGTGGGGCTAGTCCTGTCTCGTGATGTGTGTGTGGAAGAGCAGCTTGCAACTTGCTACTTTATGGATGCGTTAACGCCAGCACATATATTGCCACCAGGCTGGCATGTGCAAGCAATTAACCGGTCTACACGGAAAAGAATTAGCATTGAAGGACCCTAAGCACCTGCCTATCGCACGGCAGTGTACGGCTATAAAATCCATAATGGACTTCCGCAAAGTGACTACGGTGCTTTGCAGGAAAAAAGTTAGGATGCTCTGATAAGACGTCAAGATTTTATTTCTGTTTGCTGCTATCGTTTGATCCTTATTCAAGATGTATTCAAGCTGCTGACAGCTTGAAGTTACAACCGTGACTTTACCCTGGACTTGATTACTTGTACAGCCAATTTTAGGAAACGGTGGCAACGGCTTAGGAAGCCTCCTTCGGGGTCGTGTACTCTGCGCATTCCAAATCGACGGCAACCATGGCTGACGCAACCATCGCAAAGGCTGCCCCCGCAGCAGGCGAAAATGAAGGGGTTAACGTGCAGGTGTTGCTGAGATGCAGGTAAGCCAACATCGGCAAAGCCATCTTGCTTCGGTGCCGCTGGTTAACTTGGCTCCTGCTGGCGCAGGCCTATGAGCGATAAGGAAATTGCAGAGAGAACACCTCAAGTCATCTCCTGCAACGAGGTGCTGCGTGAAGCTACACTCTATCAAAACGTCGGCGGAAAGCAGATGAGCCGGACATTCCGATTTGACAAGGCGAGCTTCGCAGTCGGTTTCAATTGGGTATTCTTTCTGCCCTCTAAGCAATCCAGTCCATGGGAGTATGACTGAACACGTCTTTCATGTCGCAGGTGTTCAGCAGCGAGGCCTCGCAAGAGAAGCTTTTTAAGCAGGCGATTGTGCCGATTGTCCAGGAGGTCATGGAAGGGTTCAATTGCACCATCTTCGCCTATGGCCAAACCGGCACCGGCAAGACGTACACTATGGAGGGTGGGCCACGACGGAGCGACGACGGGAAAAGCTTGTCAGCTGAGGCTGGCGTGATTCCGCGCTCCATCAAGCAGATCTTTGACACCATCGAGGCGAACAACGCCGATTCTACGGTAAAGGTGACCTTCCTAGAGCTGTACAACGAGGAGCTGACAGACCTGTTGTCATTCGACGACGTCAAGGACGACAGCAAGCGGCTGCGGCTCCTGGAAGACCGCAATGGGGTGGTCGTGCAGGGCCTCGAGGAGGTTGTAGTCAAGAGTGCAACGGAGATCTACCAGGTAAGGCTTGTGGCTTCGTTACTGTTGCGTCGGTGTCGCCCACTGCATAGGGCACTAGAGGCTCTTGCCTTTAGGTAAAGCATGCAGACATGACCCAGATCCCTCCAACCACTTTTGCATGCACTCGTTGCCCTCCCACGCCTTACATGCACTGCCACGTTGGTACCGGATATCCTCCCTGCAGGTGCTGGACCGGGGCACTGCCAAGCGCCGCACCGCGGAGACGCTGCTGAACAAGCGGTCCAGCCGCAGCCACTCGGTCTTCTCCATCACCATCCACATGCGCGAGAGCAGCGCTGACGGCGAGGATGTGGTGAAGGTCAGTAGCGCATCTTGTGGCTTGGGATAACCATGCATGCTGCAAAGCGACCAACTTCACACTTCTTGGATACAGGTGGGGAAGCTGAACCTGGTGGATCTTGCTGGTAGCGAGAACATTTCGCGCTCGGGCGCGAAGGACGGCCGCGCACGCGAGGCAGGTTCCATCAACCAGTCTCTTCTGACGCTTGGCCGTGTCATTACGGCGCTGGTGGAGCACTCTGGTCACGTGCCGTACCGGGACTCTAAGCTAACACGCCTACTGCGTGAGTCCCTTGGCGGCAAGACCAAGACCTGCATCATTGCCACGATCGCCCCAACGGTGCAGTGCCAAGAAGAAACCATCAGCACGCTTGATTACGCGCACAGGTGTGCTGGGCGCTACCTGAGGGGGGCAATCCATGCCTGCTCAGGGTGATCATTGCCCCCTTCTACTACGTGCAGGGCCAAAAACATTCGCAACCGACCGGAGGTAAACCAAAAGATCTCCAAGACCGCCATGATCCGGGAGATGAGCACAGAAATGGAGAAGCTACGCATGGAACTTGTGGCCCAGCGCGAGAAGAATGGTGTATACGTGCCCGTCGAGAAGCACCAGCAGGTAAGGTGACACGGGCGCAGGTGCCGCCGACCATGCATCGGGAGGGGACGGGTTTACACAGTAAAGATAAATGGCGCTACAGTACTGGTCATTGAGACATGACTCCCTCCATGCAGGATGAGGTGGAGCGCATGCAGCTCCGTGACACCGTCAAGGCGTTGCGAGAGGAGTTAAAGGCGGAGCAGGAGGAGTTTGCGCAAACGCTTGAGCAGCAGAAGACCGAGGCCGAGAAGAACATCAGCCGTTTGGAGGTACGCTTGTCATAGATGGGTATCCTGCACGGCAAATGCCTGGGTAATTGTAAGGGCAAAGGTTTGTAGCGGCTATGAAAACGCGGTTTTCTATGCCCGGACATCTGCCGCAATGGCACCGTACGGATGCTTATTGCTTTTGTTCGCCCCTGACCCACCTTTCACGCTGCTGACCTGCAGACGGAGCTGGCCACGGCCCGGACCAACCTGCAACGCATGGATGCCACGGTACAAGCCGCCACCCGCACCATCCACGAGCGCCAGTACTTGATAGCAGCGCAGCGCCAGGCGGAGCAGGACATCGTGGACCATGCTGAGGCCATGCGGATGGACCTTGCTGCTGCCGTACGTGATGTTGGCGAGCTGTTCGCCTCGCTAGACGAGCTGACCAGCGTGAACGATGGAGACCGCGACGCATTTAAGCACATCCAGGCACTTATCAAGGTGGGTAGGCCGCTAGTTCAGGCGATGCGGTCAATTGCTATTAACGCCCCTGCGTATTCTGCTGCTAAGAGGCCAATATGCCGCATGTGGGGACACGGTTTGAAGGTAGGGCAGCCCCGGCGCCCATGTCCGGCATATCCTCTTGGTAAACAGCCTAGGGGCGGCTACGACGGTTTTCATACGCCCCCACCGGGCAGCGTTGAGCTGTAGCCACATATTTAGCAACCTCGGTCTTCCGCCCTTGCCCTCACAGGCCCGCATTGAAGACATCGGAGCGTCGCTGTCAGCAGCAGTCGACCGGCAGCAGCAGCAGCTCAGTGCCATGAACGAGGCGCTGCGGGCATTCAAGCAGCAAAAGCAACAGGAACTGCAGCAGCTCGCGGCAAACGTTGCCACCGTGCAGTCGACTGTGACCTCCATGCGTGAGTCAGTGGAGCGCCGCGGCGCGGAGGCGGAGGCCGGCGCAACTGCTGCTCTCAGCTGCGCCGGCGAAGCCGCTGCAGCGCATGCCGCGGCGGCCGTATCAGCTGCTGAGAAGCTGGAGGCGGCATCACGGGGCGCAGTCGATGCGCTAGTGCAGTCCATTGAGAAGCAAGTGGACCAGCTGACGGCCTTTGCTAAGCAGCAGGCATCTTCGGCAGACAGCTTCTGTGAGTCGTTGCGCAACTCTATGACGCGGCTTACCGGAAACCTCGGCAACCTTCAAGATGCCGCGGCGCAGGCGCAGACTTCTGTCGAGCAGCAAACTGCGGCGCTAAGCGGGGGCCTTGGAGGGCTTGCTGTCCGCATCCAGGAGGATGCCTCCCGGCGGCAGGCGGCTTTGATGGCGCAGATTGCTGCGTTGGTCCAGAGCTTCACGGACGAGAGCTCAGCCGAGGTTGCCAAGGGTGTGCGGGCGCTGCAGCAGCAAGCTGAAGAAGGCAGCGAAGCTGTCCGCGGCCGCCTGGTGCAGGTGTCTCAGACGGCAACAACGGCGATCGGAGAAGTCAAGGTACGATGTAACAAAGGCTGCCCTCGTTGTATGTTCACACGCTAAATACATTCGCGTGCTTGATTACACACTTGGCGAATCCTGCAGGAGGTTACGGCTGCAATCACCGGAGGCGTGCAGGAGGACCAGCAGCGGGTGGGCAGCCACACCACCGACATGACTGCCTCCTTGAAGCGCATCGGCGAGGACGCGCGGGGCATCCATGTGGAGGTGGCGGCACAGCTGAAGTGCAGCGCCGAGTCTGCTGTAACGTACCGTCACGTAAGTGCCACAGGGCCTGTTTTCTGAGGTTACCATTCGTCCGGTTGCCCCGTGTCATCAGCCGCATCGTCACACGCTCGACCATATTATCTTCACGCAGGAAGCAGAGCAGCACTGCAGCCGCAGCACGGCGGCTGTCCACGAGGCCATCCGCTCATGCATTGCGACAGCCAGCGAGGACGCAGCATCAACACAGCGCATGCTTGACGGAGTCAAGGATACCGTCGAGGCGGCGACTGGACGGGACGACAAGGTGGCAGATGAGTGGGCGTCGTCATGCTCAACTGCCGCCGCGGACATTGCAGGTAAGTCGTATATCCATTGTCAGATTTGTCACCTACCCTGCACGTTATCGTTGCCATGGAGAACGGTGACGTATGTTTTCATCCTTACGGCTCGTTTGGTGCTATACTGTCACGTCACCACTGGCGAAGCCTAAGCCCACAAGCCTGACCTACTGCAGGCTTCCGGGAGCAGCACCTGCGGAGCTTGTCGGTGCTTGACGGCGAGGTTGACGCCGTGCTTCAGAAGCGGATGTTTGTTGAGCGGCAGGTGATGCCTCCGGCACGGCGGGAGCTCGACATCCCCCCTGCCTCTTCTCTCCAAGACCTGCGCTGCCCCCCAGAGGAGGTGCTGGTGGAGCGATGCCATGCCGAGTGCCCGCAGATTTTCGCAGTCCCATTGGTGAGAGCACTCTGTTGTCCAGCAGTGATGTGGGAAACGCTTCTAACAACGCTGGTTGATAACACTTGCTTGGGGCATGGCAGCATCCCATCGCAAAGGCAATCCCGCGGCGTGGCGCTTGTATTGAGGTTAAGACCCATGTCCTCGCAGGTGCAGTCGGGTTCACTGTCCGGGTCCCTCAGCCCACGGACAAGCCTTGCCCTGTCAACCAGCGGCCTTGCGCGCGAGAACGAGACGCCGCTACGCTCGCAGCCCTCAGTGCTCGTGCCTGCTGGTGCGCAGCTGGCGGCCACCAGCAGCGGCTTGCAGTCTCCGCGCTCCACTGCTGGACTCCGCAGCCGCATCCCGTCCAAGCCAAGCCTCATGGGCGCCTCGCCAAGCGTCAAGGACCTGACCGCGAACGTTACCACTCGGCCACTGCTTGCCGACAAGACAAACAGCAAGTCCAGCATCCTCACTGACTGGGCCGCATAGTGACCAGTCAACGGGCGACACGATTCCTATCGTGCCTCCGCCGTACATGGTGGATTCGCGAACTATGGCCAGTAGCTGACAATGTGGTGCGGGACGATTACCCTGCTAACAATGTACTGCTGACATTCGTGGCCTTGACCGGCATAGACGAAGCAGTCATTTGGTTAGCTGTAACCACGTATCGTCTGACGTGTTACAAGACTGTCATGACCGAAGCAGACATTGTGCCACTGTTTGGTTCAAATGACCCACGGGTCCCCAGAATCTAGTTGTCGTAACAAGAAACGGCATTGCAACAATGGCATTGCGCAATCAGCAAAACAGTGCTACTTTGTTTTCGAAATCATGCAAAGTATGCAAGCTAATGAGTGTCGACATGTACCTGGAATAGCAATCACAGCAGCAGTAACCTTGGCATTAACTTAAATTGCACGGCGCATGACCAACAGTAATGAAAGCATCCCTATACGCAGGCAAATTCATTGTAACGGACATGCACATGCAGGATTCGAATCCACAAATGTCAGCTTCGGCAGCCCTTCATTCAACGCACGCCATCGCCTCTAGGTTAAACTATCCACGGACCCTTCACCCTAGGTACCAAATCTCATTACGTGGATGTCGCTTGGGCTGATATCCCAAGAGATGTCGCTTCAGCGCTGCCGCTGGTTGCATCTGTCTCTTCACCACTCGCCAATGCTTCATCCCTAATGGACAGCTGTACGTCGGTTGTCGCCATGCCAACCTTGCTAGCAAGCACTGCAGCCAGCAGCTGTCCTACATCTGTCGTCGTAAGCGCCGCCGAAATGGCAACTGCCAGATCGTTGTTTGCCGCCGTAACCGTCAAGGGGACGACGGCTGTAGCCGGTAAGGTACTGCGGGAACGTATGGTAGGAGGGAAGGGGAGCCTGTCTGCTTAGGACAATGAAGCGACTGTTTATATCGCCACTGTGGCGAATACAACTGACCGCAGTAGCAAACTGCAAGCACCGAGCCCCGCAGATTAAGGGGTCCCCCGACTGACCTGTTGCAAATGGGTGCCTCCACTTCCACGACAGCCTCGCTCGCCCCAAGACTCCGTAAGGCCGACTGCAACGCGTTCTGGAGGGAAAGGGCGCAAGATAGGTAGGGCAACCCGTCACGACCATGCTGTGCTGACCATGCCATGCAATTGTCAGATGTCCCAGGACGAAACCCCACTGTAGCCCATGGTTGCAAATTGGCACTCTGAGCATTGAAGAAACCCGGGTTTCTACATCCGTACATCAAGCCGGCGACGGGAACCCCAAATACTCACCTGCACAGCGACTCGCAAGATAGGAGACCCGGGCCCTACGCATGCCCATGCTAACTCGGTAGCAGCAGTTTGCAGAGTCTGGTTTGATGACGCCTGCGTGGTGCCGTAGAAGCGTTGACTCGACTTGCTCACTACACAAAAGGTTTGCAATATACAGCCGACAAGGCCACGACACACCATTACAGTGTTCTCCTACGGGCGGACATAACTGAAATTTCTTACCGTAATCGTTGCTGTTAGGTTTAGGATCCCAGTGCCAGCATGTGTGATGTTGCCCGCCTCCTGCACTTGAATTACCTGCAGGGCAAAGAAGGGCTGCACGTCATAAGAAGCAACCCTTTACGGCATGATGCAGTAGCAAGGGCTACTGGTCTTATGTGCAGGGCCTATTCTGTGCTTGCAGTCTGCCCCAGTTCAACCAGCCGCCCATTACCCGGAACTAGGGTAAAGGTAATGTACGCCCCAAGCAGTCGCTGACCCTAACTCATCAGGGGTAAGTATACGAAGGGTATTCGACGGTCATTGGTTGTAACTTACCGGGGAGGCCTTGCCACGGGTTAAGAGGCAAAGCGGCGTCGCGACAGCTGCTGCTATCACCGCGCACGTGAGTACCGCTGCAATGACGCCCAGCAACCGGCACCTGGGATTCGCATCCGTCTCTTGCAAGTTTGACTTCTCGTCACCCTGTATAATACAACAAAAGGATATCCTAAAATATGATGAAATCGGTTGGGGCTTGACCACGGATTCGTATTCCCCTGCAACATCATAGCCTTCGCACCTTCTTTTCGCACGTCAAAGACACCCGAACTTCTGCGGTTGAGCTAAACGATGCGTCGTCCCAAATATATATGGGCACTGCCGAAGGTCGCACAGGCAAGCTGTCCGAGGGGCTGAGCCCCGAGTTGGAACCCTTCATAATAGCATGACTACCGTAGGAACCGAGTGTCGATCCTGTCGCCTAATGTTTCAAGCGCTGTTCCCGGCCAGTGCGCTTCGAAGGGGAAATGCGACCCTGTCTTGATTCTAGCGACTGCCTTAAGATAGGCTACCTGGCCAAACTAAATAAAAAGAATTATGTCAAGTTATGTACATATATTATCTCCGTCTTGCTTTGGTTTGGATTCCTTGGAAGGTAGGAAGGCATGGGGGGAGCATGACTGGTGTCGTACGACGGGACCGGTATTTAAAACACGCTTGAAGCCCCATCGAACCACAGCGAACGCCGATATGTAGCAGTCATATAGCTTTCAAGTTCAGGCCAGTGATCAGGGATCCCCCTTAATGGTCTGGCGAAGCAAGCATGCAAGCAGACACGCTACCGACATCTCTTGTGCTATAGACGGTTGCCACTAGCCCGGCTACAAAATGCCCAAGCGCACAATAACAACCAAATAGCTAACCAAAGGAATGCTACTTCTTGATAACAACAATGGTTGCCTACGTCTTTTCTACCCTACATCGGTGCTAACCTGCTAACCGAGGAACGCTCAGGTCGTGTCCTCTTCCTTACGAATGAAAACCGAATTGTCCTTAACTGCAAAAAACAACTTGCATAATAGCAGCTTGGGGTCACCGGGTGTTAAATTGAAACGCCTGCGGCTCAAGGCAAGGCTCAAGCAGGCACAGGGTCGGTGGTGCCATTACTGGCAACAGCCACTGTCGGCTCTGGTGAAGGTGGCGGAGAATCCAGCAACATAGCTAGCGTAATTGGTTGTGGTGGTGGGGGCGGCGTAGCAGGCGCAGGTGACGTGGGAGGGGGCTGTACAGCAGGTGACGACGGCGATTCAGGTGCAGGCGATGGCGGTACGCTAGGCGAAGGGGGCGAGGATGGAGGCGGCACAGGCGGTTGTAACGGGGGTGGTAAGGGATTAAGAGGTGAGGGAGGCGAGGGTGACGCTGGTACGGCAGGTGACGGAGATGAAGGCGGTGGTGGCAATGCGGGCGAAGGAAGCGGGGGCTGAGGAAGCGAGGGGGAAGGAGGCGGAAGGGGGCTAGCAGGTGGCTCCGTGACAGGTGAAGGAGGGCTGGGGGGTGCCACCATCGGCGGGTCGACCGCGGTAAAGCCCGCCGGTGGGGAGGGCGAGGGTGGGGAGGGAGCCGCAGGCGGTGCAGCTGCTGGGGTGGGCGCGGGGACCGTTGGCGGTTGCGGCAGCGGTGGTGAGGGCAGTGGGGCTGGCGGCGTAGGCAGCGGCGGCGGGGGCAGCGAGGGCGAGGGCGGGGGCAGCGGCGGTGAGGGCGGTAGCGGCGAAGGCAGCGGCGGTGAGGGCGGTAGAGGCGAAGGCAGCGGCGGCGAGGGCGGTAGCGGCGGTGACAGCGATGGCGAGGGCGGTAGCGGCGAAGGCAGTGGCGGCGAGGGCTGTAGCGGCGAAGGCAGCGGCGGCGAGGGCGGTAGCAGCGGTGGCGAGGGCGGTAGCGGTGAGGGCAGCGATGGTGAGGGCGGGGGAGACGGTGGCAACATGGCCGGAACAGGGCTGGGAGGTTGCAGGTATGGTGTGTGAGGTTGAGGCGGCGGCGCCATAAAAGGCGCAGGGGTTGGCGGCACCGGCGGGTTTTGAGGAGGCGAGGGCTGTGGCGGCTGAGGAGGCGACAACGGCGGGGAGGGCGAAGGCGCCGAGGGAGCTGAGTTCACCGGTGGCGTTGCTGGCAGGGGCGGTGCTGGCAGGGGCGGTGGGGCACTCAAGGGTGATGGAGGTAGAGGCAATGGGAGTGGTGCCGGCATCTGCGGGGCTGTGGGAGGGCTGGGCGGCGGGGGTGGAGAAGGCGACGCCATGACCTGAGATGGCTGCTGTGTGGGAGGCGAAGCAGGCTTTGCGGGAGGCTGCAAGGGCGGGCTGGCGGCTGTTGCCGCTAGCTGCCGTACCTCAAGCGTCGCTGCACTGCCTAACAAGGGTTGTAGGTTGGCCTGGAAGCCGCGTTGTAGCGCCCCACGCCCTGCGTCGCCAAGGACAGCTTCTTGAAGAGCCTGAGACAGGCCTGGGCTGCTGCCAGCCGTATCCACTTCGAACCCGACTGTCAGCAAAACGGCACCATCACCGCTGCTACCCTGATCCGCTAGCAGGAACCGAAGCCGCCTAGTTAGAGCCCCTGTGGATGCTGTAGCAGGAGCAGCGGGCGAAGCTGCTGCTGTTGTCGCTGCCGCAAATCCGCTGGTACCGTTATCCGAGCATGTTAGCTTTGAGACCCGAACTACTGGGCTAGCGGCTCCAAGCTCTCGCAGCGCTACCTGCACCGCTGCGGCAGCACGGCTCCGAAGGTCCGTTTGCTGTGGTGCAGCTGATATCGTCGCAGCACCCAACAGGCCGGTGCAAGTCCGGGCCCCATCGAGCGAGGCAGCAGCTCCGTTTGATTCAATGCTGCTGGAGGGTGATTGCGGCGGCCACATGATCTGTACGACAGCATGGGGCCATGATCCAGTGTCAGTTACCGGTAGTCTGTTACATGCATGTGAGCATGCAGCCAGCAGACTGTCCGGTGCTCGTGAGCTTGTTCATGCTTGTTCATCCCCTCACACGCTGCTCCTCGAAAACTACAGGCCCCAGCTGAACACTTCATGTCACCGTACCAACCGGACTGCGACACGGTTTCCCCGGACCCAGGCTCGGGGATCAGGCCGTGCTATGCGGTCCATAACGGTGTCCCAGGGGTGGTTGCCTACCTGTAGTGTGGTATCAAAGGCTAATACCGAGGAGGTATATGTATTTGTTGAGGCAGGCTGCACCCCTGCTGCTGACTGCTTGATGCGAACACGGGAGGGGAGGACGAAAGGAGCTGCCGTCATGTACACGTTTGAAGCCAGGGAGTGAGATTTGCGGGTTGCGGACGCCCAGCAGCTTCTGAGCCCCGGGTGTACTGCCGTACAATGATGCGATAACGTTCATGCCGTACCTTTTTTGACACTCCGCAATGAAGCACGGAGCACGCAGGTGCCACCACAACTGCCACTGTGGCAATAGCCAGGATTGTGACGACGATTGCAAGGCCAGGCCGCGGCCAGTTGCACCTGAGCCCCTGTCGTGTCAGACACAATACGCCAGGTGTTAGCATTCTGCGCTTCTTTCAGGTGCACCTGATCCTAGATACAGCAGTCACAGTGCATCGCTTTTGGTGGTATGCGGCGAACCCAAACGCCAAGGGATTTAGTGTGCTTGCGAGCTGCAGCGTCGGTTGGTTGTTCGAGCTCAGCAACTCACCTTACGAGCACTCGGCTCAGGAGCTCGCGTCCAAGTAATAACCATAGATCCAAATGTGTCGCGGAAGGACGAGCAACCTAGAGAGAAACCAGGGGCTTGTCGTCCCTCGTCGCCATTGATTGTCGTCGGAATCTCTGGTAGCGGTTCGGCTAAGTTGGCTAAGCTGCCGCGCGTTAGATATGAAGTCGCCATGATTGAATCTTTAAAACGGTGTAGAGGTAGCTGTAATTTGGATCGCGCGGAGGACGCCTATGCGACTAAGCAAGCTTAGCTTATTTTATTACTTGGGCCACTGGGTCGCTTGTAAGCAAGAACGGTACCATCAGCATTAAAAAGCATAGATTAAAAGAGCTTATATAATTATAGCATGAGTAACATCATGAAGCACCGCAAGGTTCCTGTCGCTTCACCAATCGCCGCCGGCGTGTCACGTCATGGTCATATCGTAAACCCGAGGCACAGTATAATCACCCAATGTAAGCAGTTCTATTACACGCTAATAATCGAGGCGCAGGCACCGTCGGACAAACCAATCGGCCGCAAGCATACCGGTACAGCATTATCTATCTAACCACCATCCACGGTTGGAGCAAAGCAAAGCTGCAGGCAGTAATGACAGCAGCAAATCATTGGCGGTAGTGATGGAGAACACTGTGGAAACCCTGCATGCCTTGCTGTCAGTTAAGATGGTCGTTCCGAACACATCCGAGACCGAACCGCGGGAGAGAAGCCGGCCTGCACAGCGGAACGCCGACACCGGGGCGTATGTACCGTCAATGTTAGTATAGACTGGTGCCGTAGGCATAATGGGCATGGCAAGGGCGGGAGTGTACAAGCGCCATGCAGCCACGTGCGCAAACATGGTAGAGCCGATGCAGCCTAGGCATGCCACCCAAGCCAACGCATTCACTGGTGCCTATGTACCGCATGCCACGCACCCTGCTACCCCAAACCACCACAAGAGAGGATCAGTAAGGAACCAGCTAGCCACAGCTACAACCCCTCCCAGCCACGGTAGGCACCTGCAATCGGGTCATAAGCCGCAGCGGTGCCAAGAGCTCCGATGCAAGCTGCGCGTCCTGCTCAAGCAAGCCCAGCGCGCGAGCCGTTGCCTCGTAGGTTGTCACAAAGCCCGCCTGTGGACCGCACCAGACAAGGATGGAAGAAAAAAGCCGCGCGCGTTGCTACAAGCAGCCATCCGAAGAGCACAGGAACAGCAAACTGTGTCATTAATTGGGCCACATGGTCACTAGCAGCAATCAACACCGTACGATACGAGGACGTCGTACATCGTGCACCATACAAGGGCCTTTTACCCTCGCCGTACACCCACCACTGGCTCCTTGCGAATCAAGCATGGCATGTTTGGGTCATAGTCAAGTGGTGCTGCTGCTGTTGTTGCGTCGTCGCGTTCATCGACCCGTGGGTCAGATAGTGGTGAGGAGGTGCCGTCAGGCTGCGGTTGGGCTGTTGCCTTCCCATCATTCGCTGTTTTGTCGCCCGCTGTCACCTCTGTGCTGGGGCAGCGCTGGCTGCATGCGTGCTGCTTGCAGCTCGCGTCGCTTGCGGGTGTGCAAGTCACCGTTGTCGGACTTGCATCATGGACTTGCCCCTCCCATCCAGGCAGTCCATCCTGGCTGCTTCCGGTGACGGGCTGTGACGAGAGTACTGCGGGCGGAAGGATGTCTGCAGGCCCCAACGCGACCTACGAAGTCATGTGCCATTAGCTGCCTTTAACAAGCAAAGAAGGCTTCAGGAAAGACGTGAAAGGATCAGTTGTCATCAACAACCGATTGCCACCTGCCATACGCATAGCGCCCGACTCCTATAACCCCACAACCGCCTGTGTACGCCTTTACCAGGCACGACGGCAACAGGCGGGCTTGTTACGACAGGTCGCCGACACTCAGCATATCAATTCACATTCAGAGCCTAGAAGGTCAGTGTTCTGCCTTTACAGTGCCCGAAACCCATGTAACATCAGTACATCACATGTTCACATACCTGCACACCCGGTCCGGACGGCAGTAGGCAGCGATGCGACACCGCCTGACGACACGACGACATGAGGAGGCGTGGGGGCGACAAGGGCAGCAGGGTAAGGGGAAACGACCTTAGCCAGATGCAAAGGCGGGGCTTGGGTAACCCTATCACTAACACGAATATGTCTGCCCTCCACCCAGCCAACCCAGACTCACCCGAAACATCTCCCGGGCTTGCCGCCAAGTGCCGTCGATAACCACCAGCAAGTAGGATGGAGGCGTGAGGCAGCTGCAGCTGCTGCTGCTTCCACCGGCACCGCCGCTGCAGGTGCAACTGCAACCGCCTCCGCTGCTGCTGCTGTCGACGGATTGGTCTATGGAGGCCGAGCGCTGGTCGCAGACCCTCAATGCATGCCGATCTAGGCTGCCATGGGGATGCTCCGGAACCCCCTGCTGCCGGCTACAGCTGGTTTCCGCATCCGTGGAAGCTGCAGACGCCGCCTCTGAAGCGTGGGTCCCCGCAAGAGTCCCTTGCTGGTTGCCTTGTTGCCTTGCAACCTGAGGTTCGTGTGGGGACTGGCACAGCTCTCGCCCCGCAGCGGACTCGCAACACGGTCCTTGCTGCAGTTGCTGCTGCTGTTGCATAGGATGCTGCTGCTGCTCCTGGCATTGTCTTTGGTCTTGTTGTTGTTGTTGCTGCTGCTCAGGAAATTCCGGTTGTTGGTCGTGGTGGTACTCTGGTAGTTGCTCTTGTTGCCGGTTTCGGGGCGCCGATACGTAGCTCCCCACGACTGCCTCCGTAGCTGTGTTTGCGGCAGGCGCTGGCATCCGCAAGCGGGCCGCAGCACGTTCAAGCGCCGCGGTGTGGGCTTCCCGCTCGGAAAGCTCCCGCAGGTCCTGGGCAGCTGCATGGATCAGAGAGAAACCAACCCATTTCGGAGGAAACCACAAGCGACAGGACAGATGTGCAGGACAGAAGAGGGCTGGCCACGGCTCGGCAGTCGGCACAGCAGTCGGGGCTTCCAAGCGTCTCACATTCTCGTCCTCCTCATCTTCCTCACTTAACAACCCGAGCAGGACCCATAACGAACGGATTTGTTATGCGAGTGTGTGACCAGGTTGGGCTATCCAGGCCTCTGCGCTAGCGCAAGATCGCAAGAGCGGAGCACCATTGCACCAGGTACGGCCAGGTGGGGTCAGGTGAGGACAGACAGGCGTTGAGGGGCCCTACCTGCCCCCGGGAACAGCACGTACAGCGGGTAGCTGCCCGCGGACGCCCCGGCCAGCAACGCATCAGTCGTGGCATCCAACCCGGGTTGCTGTGGGGGGGGCGACATGCAGCAAGGGTCGTCAGCAGGCAAGGGTGGGTGAAGATTAAGGGTTAAAAGGAGCAAAAGGAGGAACATCAAGAAAGGCTTTACATGCTGTACTCCGCAGGGCGCCCGGTGGGTGTGGATCTGGAGGGAGGAGTTAATAATGAGACACGCATGCAGGAGTCAAGGACTGAGGGCTGCGACACGGAGTCCTGATCGACCTGTGGGTGCTGTGCTGGCTGGGGTTTACCTCCCCCCATGCAACCCATGCACATGCCACGATGGCTAACCCAAACCCAACATCTATCCCCGGCAGCCTAAACGTGCCTGGAGCTTGCGTCCCGTAACCACGTGCAGGGAAGCCTCATCCAGGCAGCACCGCAGCAGCGGCACAGTGGCCAAGCGCTTCCTGCGTTACGACACCAGGAGCAGGAACAGGCAGGAGCAAGGAATCGCCAGATGCGCCTGTCACTAATGGGCAATAGGCTTTCCTCCGCAACCTTGCAGAGCCGGTACTGGTGCGCACTGGGTTCTGATAGAGCATAATTGGAAAAGTGGTCGGGAAAGCAGGCCGGGAAAACAGTACGCTGCATCGCTGCAACAGTTTACAAGCCCAGTGTGCACTGTGGAGTACGTAGGGATGGTTTAGACAGCACGTACTTCAGCTCGTGTGGGTGTTGGAGGATCAGGACTTGGCCTCGCAGCCGCAGTGGGGAAGTGGGCAGGGCCTCGCATACACAGACGCGCCGTGGACGCCTGTTGCGAGCCGAAGCGGTCAGCCAGGAAGCACGACGGGCCCGTGAAGCAGCAAATTATGACTTACAGACAGCGTCGGCACTCCTCTCGCCGGCTGGCTGCTTGCCCATCCACATTGCTTGCTGAATTGTCGCAAGCCGCCATAGCCACAATAGCTGCCGTAAAGCGCAAACACAAGCAGCTTATACGAATTCAACATGCATAATTACAATCAGGGTTATGCTCAACTTTCTTTGACTATATATGCAGCCACTTCCAAACCGTTCACTACAATCGCAATGGCGCCCAAGATGTCAATGTGATTAAAAACTATAGCCTCTATGATAACAGTCGCCAACAACAATTATCTGCCGTAGTTTTACGCCCGTACAAGCGGGACCTGTACATCCTATATTGCTTCCGTCCATCACGCGTCCGCTTAGGTACACAACATCTCCCTCTTGCAAGCGTGGCATCTCTGCAAAAGTACCTTGCAGTCACTTCGCGGGTAAGGGCGACAAGGACTCTTCATTAGTCACATGTAACGCACGTGGTTACTAGTACGGCACATACTCGACTAGCCAGTGTTCTCCAGTATAATCCTAGCCTCCTAGCCAGTCTGCAAGTGGGGCGTTCAAACACTCCACACATCCAATCCATGCCGCCAGGCAAGGCACAGCCAGCCCTGTGCTAAAAAATGTGGACCTATCTTGGCCGCCGCCCACACTCGGGCATTCCACGCGGCGACATGGTCATCCTTACACAGCTCAAACACACATGTTCATTCTTCGCAGGCAGCCGCGCTTTCCCAAGTTCGGTAATACACAGGTCCGCTATCCTATGTCGCCATCCAGCTCCTCACCCGCCTCACCCGTAGAGGGGCTGGAAGGGGTAGCTAGGCTCGCGCTGCAACCTGCCGAGCCAGGAGAGAGGGGAGCAGAGGGGATGCATTAGGAAACGTGACGTGCGGAGCTTCGAACCAACAGCGAGGGTGACTGTCATCACACGCCCTGTCTTGCATGCCACCAGCTGCACCCCCTGCCATGCCACCAGCTGCAACTATTCTGAATGCCCAGCCTCCCGCTCCCGCTTCTCGCATGTTACAACCGCTGTTGTAACCACCTAGGCGGCACATTCCGCCTCTCCAGCCGCACCATTATCCACTCCGCGCCTCAAAAACGTTCCCCAACCCAACCCCTCCATGCCTCTTCCCTCCCCCCCCTCCTCCTCACCAGTTGTCCGGCGACCACTGCACGCCCTCCGCCCCCTCCACCAGGTGCATGGCGTACGAGTGCCGTGACACGGGGCTGGTGTTCTCCGCCGAGTAGTGCACGTTCTCACCCTGCAGCAGCACCAGCGTACCCGCGGGACACTCCAGCGGCACGAACGCGCCCATGTCGTAGGCCGGCTGCGGCGCGTCGAAGGAGACGCTGTCGTCGGGTCCCAGCAGGAAGCGCCGCTTGAGGCCCTCCTTGTGGATGCCTGCGGCGGCGGCGGTGGGTGAGGAGGGAAGGTGTGAGGAGGGGGAGCAGGAGGAAAGGGAGGAGCTGGAGGAGCGGAGGAGGGCAGCGTGTGTGTATGGCACTGCAAAGCGCGGTAGGAGTGGTGGTGGGAGGTGAACAGTTGGGGATACCTGTTCTCCGGTAGGCAGGAAAGGATTAATGCGCCAAGGAGTTCCAAGGGCTTAGCGGGAGCACTGCAGATGTGGGTACCAGCGGAAGTTCGTTCGGGTATGCGGTCAAGGAAGTCCCTCCCTGCTGCAAACGCCCGCACCCCACCTGGGATGGCCCACAGGCAGCCGTTGTCCTTTGTGGCGTCCTCCAGCGCCCACCACAGGCCCACGCAGCTGAGCGGGGAGGTGTGGATGAAGGAGGAGTCCTGGTGCGGAATCACCTCGCCGCCGATGGAGGGCTGCTTGAAGATGTACATGGACTGCGGGGGGGGGGGGGAGCAGGGGATGCACCGCGGAGGTGTGGGGGCAGGCCGCCGGCAACTACTAACTTTCAGGAGTAAGAGTGAAGTAAGTAAAGGTATTGCATGGCTTCATGGTTGGAGATACCGGTAAACATTCGGGCGCACTGACCATCATGTCATTTCTTCGCTGGGCGCTCTTGGTTGCCCTAAAAAAACACAAACGGGCAGAAACCATGTGGGGCTGACTTGTACTATCTTTGCGAAGAACGAAGCTGTTGTCCTCCCCCGTCACGCCGCTTCACGCCTACCTGCACGGGAAGCGGCCGCTTGTATCCCAGGCTGCGCAGCACGTTGCAGACCGCGGGCGAGCGGGAGAACTCGCGGAAGACCGGATCCAGGTCGTGAAGGGCTGGACATGCGGGGTGAGGGCGAGGAGAAGGTGAGGAGAGAGCAGGGGGCATGGAAGAGTGATGGGGTGCCGTTCAGAGGACCCACGTGCGGAGCTCATGTCCCAGAATATGGGACGGGGTACGCAACAGCAGCAGCATCGCCCTCACCGTGCCCGACTTTGTTTATGCTGAGCTCCTTGGGTTGCCGCAGCCCGCCTGTTTCGTCAAAAGCTTTGTCCTCAAAGAAGAAGCCGATGTCGCTCGCGCTCCGTAGAAAATAGTTGTCGGTCTTCTTTGTCTGAAAGATGGCACAGGGAACAGCCGACGTGGGGGGTCGGTGGTTGACATTATGGACGGCGAGGTGGGGAAGCAGGCCGCCACGTGTGTGCACGCAACATAACCAAACCCGGTTACCCCAGTCGACGTTTTGTAATGCCCCATGCAGGTGGTGACGCACCTGATTCCTGGTGGAAAAGATAGAAATGGTCTTTGGGTCGAACTCATGAAGGAGTGCCTCCATCCGCTTCCGTAGCCGAGCGCAATCCGCAGGGCTAGCGAACCGCTCCAGTACAAGAAAACCTGAAGATAAGACCTAAAGCTAAGGACTGCGTCCCTGAAGGACGAAAAGCGTCACATTCTCACATAACAAACGCGTACCATCTTTATGGAACCGCTCGACCTGCTCCTGCGATAGCACTCCTGGCGAGACAGGAGCGGACGTGTGCGTTGATGCTACCCGTGTCCGACTGGTAGGCATGCAACGAGGGGCGCGTGTTGGCCCAGATGTTAGGCATGCTGGTTTGTTGTGCACCGTGTGCTTCATACTCCTACTGTGTAATTTTGATACCGAAACGGTTCTTGGCCTAGCTAAGTCAGGAACAGCAAGGCAGAAGCCTGTAACGTAAGCAGGCAAACCCTTGTGCTCAACGCGAATGGGGCTGCTTGCGTGGTGGCCTGCGTGCTATTGCAGTATTATGAAGTATGTTGTTTCACGCCTTTCATCTGCCGGGGCGACGATGCCGGATGGATGGGATCGCCCAGCGCAGCATGCCGTGAATCCGGAACCCAGCATGCCGTGCCAAACTCGTTGAATAGTATCTGGTCAAGCAAAGCCGTCTTGTGATTCTACCTTATTTATCCTAATGCATAATATCATTTTGGGCAAAGCGCTGCGGTGATATAGCTTAGCTGCTGGCAAAGGGACAGCTCGCCCAAATCGCTGAAAGCGCATGCACGGGCACACACGTCGAGTACTAAGCCGCTAATCACTATGACTCATGTGGGTAGCCAGCATTTGCCCGATGAGGCGACACTCCTGCGCTGCTTGCGCGAACATTTTGGGCTTCCAGGCTTTCGGCCAGGGCAACTAGAAGCGGTGACGGCAACCTTGTCAGGCCAGGATTCCCTTATTATCTTGCCGACTGGCGGCGGCAAATCCGTTTGCTTCCAGTTGCCATGCCATGCCAGGTATGTGGGTAGCTTGCCTGCCGACTTCAACGTCAACACGATTGGGCTGTACCTATCCCCTTGAGTATCAAAAGAGATCCTTAAACGTCAACGCCTTGGGCCTCTGCCTCTTCCTGTCCTGCCTTGCCTTGCTGGCTTCTTTGTGGGCCAAAGCTCCCTTCGTCGGCACCCTGAATTCAACTAAACCAGTTAAAGCTTTCCTGTACCCAGCACGTATCCAGCACAGATAGCCAAGCTATCAGGTTGCCGGCCTAACTCCACCGTAACCTTGTAGGGACTATGGCTTCACGGTCGTCATCTGCCCGCTGATCGCGCTCGCAAAGGACCAAGTGGACAAATGCGACGAACGGGGCATCTATGCCGAGGTGCGACCTCTACACGGCCCATGTGTTGATCCCAGCCTAATTGCGAAGCTTCTGCCTTCTGTCCCCTAACGTACATGCAGAGGTGGAACTGCGAAGTGCCTGAGGTGCGCAAGGCAAGCATTGCCAAGGACATTGTCAGCGATGAGCCCAGTCTCCGATTGCTGTACACCACGCCTGAGAGCTTACGACAGCCAAAGCTCATGGAAAGCCTCAAGGTGGGTGGGAACAAGCTTTGTGGTCCCGCCATGAGTGCCTCCGCTAAGCGTCTTCCAACCTCCGCTTTTACACCTTCTGGTCATTGTAGGAGGCCTGCGCCAAGGGCACGCTGGTGTCTTTTGCCGTGGACGAGGCGCATACGGTATGTGAGCACGGTTCCTGGATGCCTCCCTTAGCGCAGCGCTACCTAACATCGCCTTGCCATCTTACTTTGGTGTGTGCCACGTGCGCAGGTCTCAGAATGGGGTCATGACTTCCGGTATGTTGAAGCGAGGTTGCATACAATCCTTCAGGCGTGCCGTACGGCGCCTCCTAGTGAACGATCTGGGTTCCACTGCACGCACGGCCAGCACGACGCCCAAAGGCGCAAAGAGTAACCTGATACTGCATGTGGTGCCTGCAGACCAGCTTACCTGGAGCTGTCATACATTAAGCAAGAGTTCCCGTCCGTGCCGGTGGCGGCGCTGACGGTAAGGGGTTGGCGTCATACAAGCGTCACGGATCTCAGGACACATACCGTGCATGCCTGGGCACTCGCTTTCGATTAGCCCGACCCAAATGCGCTAAGCACCAAACACTGGGATTGGCTCCCAAGTGAAGCGAATCCTGACCTGCCGGACACGCAGGTCAGGGTTCAGGAGCATTTCACGTTTGAGCATGCTTTAGCAAGGCCTTTAAAGGCCGTAGATCATGCTGCTACCCTTGGCATATCCAGTACTTAGCGAATACGTCATGGGTGTTGTTCGCAGGCCAGCTGCACGCCTAAAGTGAGTGACGACATCATCGCAGTCCTGCGTCTGCGCTCGCCACGGGTCGTCAAGGGCTCTTTCAACAGGCCCAACATCTGCTACCAGGTGCGCCGGGTGTCTACGCTGCAGCGGTTAGCATGCCGAACAACCTCTACTCGTCGTACACTTCCGCATGGCGGTCATCGTAGGTACGGCACAAGGAGCTAATCGGTGACGGCAGCGACCAAGCGGCGCTCGAGGTGAGTCGGCTATCTGGGTTTGGGGGCTTCTGGCGCCTTGATTGCTGACTTGGCGTCGCTGCCTGCGTAGGATCTCATCCGCTTCATCCAGGACAGGCCCGACCAGTGCGGCATCATCTATGCGCGGCTGCGGTAAGGGCAGTACCAACCATGAGAACCCTAGTCACACTGCAAGTGCTCCCCATACCTCAGCTGGAGGCCCATTATAGACCCATACGTATTGCATGTCGTCCCATGTTGTGCCCATGCATTAGCCCATGTGCACCGCATTCCACAACCGCAACCCCCAAACAGCACCACCTGTGACTGGCTGGCATCTGCCCTGGCGGCCCGCGATGTGGAGGTGGGTTGCTACCACGCCGGCAAGGGCACGGACGCCCGGTCGCGCGTCCAGCGGGACTGGAGTGGCGGCGGCCTCAACGTCGTAGTGGCCACCATTGCGTTTGGCATGGGCATCGATCGTGCAGACGTGAGGTGAGCGGCGAAGTTGAACGGGATTACAGCAGAACTGCCAGGAGCTGTGTTGCGAGCTTTCAGTGTTTGCAGCGGTGCTATGCTGCATGTGATAGTCGGGCCGGCATGAGTAAACGCCTGGCACGCTTGCTGATTTGGGTCGGCCAGGATACATCGCGCATAGCGGGCCAAAGCGTGCCCTACGGTGGTTCATTGCCTCGGTTGTCCATCCGTCCCTTTACTCGCCGCTGTCACGCTGCGTTGCGCCCCCTTGCGACACGTGTGTCATGCGCGCGCCAGGTGGGTTGTCCACTGGAACGCGCCGTCCAGCATGGAGGGCTTCTACCAGGAGAGCGGCCGTGCGGGCCGAGACGGGCAGCCCAGCCTCTCCGTCGTGTACGCCAGTCGCACCGACCTGGAGTCCAACCACAAGATGGAGCGCGGGACCCGCTCGGGAGCTGTGGCCGAGGTGGCGGGCTACGCGCACGGTGCTGGCTGCCGCCGCAAGCACGTGCTGAAGTTCTTTGGAGAAAACAGGCAAGGACTTCCTGAGGGTGTCAACGCCCTGACGGAGGGCATGGTACTTGGCTAGCGGGTCTTCGGGGACAGTGCGTCAGTTCCCGTAGCTGGATACGCCCCCAAACGTTGTGGTTGCTATGCGATACGCTAAACTGGGCGCGGTGCTTGTCATCATGCAGGGGCCCGTGCGACCCGGCTTGCGACCAGGTGTGCGACTTCTGCACCGACCCACGGGCCGTGCAGCGGGCGCTGTCGCAGCTGGAGCAGAGGGCGTCGGAGCACGGCAGCAAGGCTGCTGTCATACGTGCCCGCATGATGGGCATCCGTGTGGTGGCTGGCGGTGACGGCAGCCAGGAAGATGGCGCAGATCCCAGCCAAGAAGGTAAGGCGGCCTGGGGACATGGAAAAGGCAAAGATATGGGGCGTCCCTGCTATCTGTCGCCACGTAGGGATCGCTCCGTTAGCCGTGTGCATTGCGCCCCGAGCCCCCGACTCTGCAATCCAATCGGCCATTAACGCCCTCCATGGTACGGAACAGTATTAGGGAGCGTGGCGGATAAAGACTGCAACTGCCCCGATGCTTGCACAGGGAACTCGCCTCCCAAGCCGCGGGCAGGCGCCCTGTGGTCTCGAGCCACCGCCTACGGTACGGCAGCCGGCAATGCTCATGACGGAGCTGACGCTGCTTCAGGTGGAGGCGAGCCGGAGCTAAGCTCCGCAGGAGCGACAACAGCAACAGCAGTTAGCGGCACACAGGCCAGCAAGCCGTCTATTGCCAGACGGTCGCCCGCCATCAAGCGGGCGCTGCCCCCGACAATTCCGTCTTCAGAGGCGACCGCGGTTACCGCTGGAGCCATTTCCACCTGCATGCCTGCAGATCCCAATAGCATCGCAGCCTCGAGCGAGCATGAGTCTACCCACCCGGCCATCACCGCAGCCTGCGTCAGCAGCATGATGACGGAGGACGCTAGTGCGCTGCAAGGAAGTGCCGCTATGCAGCCGCCGTACCCCGGTGCCGGACCGCTGTCAACCCGGCAGCCGCAGCTAAAGCGCCCCAAGCCCAGCGTCATGCAGCCCTTCAAGGCTCCCTTGCGTAACGTCCTGTCACAGGCTGCTGGGGCATGCCCCTTGGGCGCAGGAGGGGAGCCGGTTGGCCCAGCTGTACAGGAGCCGCTGAAGGCGGCCGGCCAGGAGCAACTGCCGCCAATGTCCTCAGAACAGCAGCAAGCTGGAGAGGCGTGCTTCGGTGTGGGGTCGTCCGCGGCAGCGGGAGGTGTGAGCTCGCAGCAGCAAGGGCACGGCGGTGGCAACTGCACGACGGGCGTGACGGTTAGCGGCCGTGCCGCTGCCCCTGTTGCGCCGTTGCCGATTAAGCGTCGGCAGGCGTTCAAGCCGCCCGTACGAGTCTCTCAGGTTTAGTGCTGTGCTTGTGGATGCGTGGTGGGGCTGGGAACCGTATTCATATCGCAAAGCGTGATAGCACGGATGGCGAGGTGCAAGTACGCAGGGGGGCAAGTTCAGCCAGCTGTCTTAGGCTGCACGTCGCAGGTTGTGCGGGATTGCGAAGACGCCGCAAAGGCATGAGCACGGAAAGTCCAACTTAATACCCATGCATGGTGTGATACCGGTATATACAGATGGGGCATACAGAGAGGCTTGGTTGGGCCCAGACGCCGTTAAGGACAGCTGAATAGTCTGGTGCGGCTGGTCTTCACCATGACGCAGACAATGTCTTACGTGGTACCGTTCCTGTCATCAGACGTAGCGCCTATGAGACTTCGTAGGCTGTTTTAAAAACGGCCAACAGTACCTCTCGGAATTAGCCATGACGATCCCAAGTGCCGACTGCACACATCGAGTGAACCACAAACCCAGCGTCCTTACGCGAGGTGCGCCTCAACAGCGCCTGTAATTGTTTGCAAGTTCGATTGGGACTGTTTTCCCTGTCAAGTATCAACTCCTTTGCCTTCCACAATGTCCATGACCTACTCCACCCCCAATTGCAAAGATCACTCATATAATGAGGGCATCTTGTTTATTCAGTAAACTACAACAAGTCCCTGGATCTCCAACGTTTGCATCCTCCACTTAAAACACTACATCTCGGGTACGTGGAATCAGCGGAGGGCTGTTCCGAGTGCCTTGTACACTCCATGTGCCGAGTAACTTGTGAAACTACACCTTTTGCGAGGGTATACCAGCTCCATGGGAGGGAAGCCCTTCGCCGTAGTGTATGGGAACGCCCGTGGGCACTGCATTTGTGGAACGGGGGAGGCCGAAGACGGGCTTGTAGGCGGTGTTGGATCCCTATACGTCAATGGCCCCAAGGGTGCCGGAACCCCCACAACCCTTCGTCCGGAGCCCCAAGACCTTAGCAAATAACGTGCTCTACGAGACAATACCATAACAACTTCAAACGCTCTCGACTTACCGGGGGCACCGACGGCCATGACCCGTGGGTCCACGTCCACTTGCGCCCAGTAAGACCCATGGACGTGGCCGATGCTGAGCCCTGCCCCACCCGCCGCAAAGGCTGTCCTGTGGCGGTCCAGCGTCGCCTCTAGCTGCGCCAGCCAGGGACCGTACTTGCCGCCATCACCCTCGAAGCATCCGAAACCGATGCACAGCACTACATGCGGGGCGACGTGGGAAGTCCCACCCATCACTAGTACTACAGGGCTGCTTGTTACTCCAGGAGCCTCCAACGACTCCAACGCCAGCTTCCTGTGTGCGGACTTCAACGTACAACACGAGGAAAGCCAGGTTTTCTGACCCAGCTAGCATCCTGACGGAACCTTCCGGCAAAGAACCGGCCCCATTTAACGCTGATCCCCATAAAGTAACCACTTACGGGAAATCATGCCTCCCAGCCACCCGAACCAGTACCCAGCGGAGGGCCGCTGCAGGTACGGATGGTTCAGCGCCAGTTGGCTTAGGTCGGTCACGAAGGCCGCCCAAGCCTGCATGCAAACCCCTTGTCATGCACTCGCATCAAGTCCCACGGCCTTCCATGCGGACGTACGCGTCTCTCACACATACCTCTGGAGATACTCGCCCGTGCAGCTGCGGCGGCAGAACATCGGCTCGGTGCGTCATGCTGATTTCGCGTCTCATGCCGCTGCCTGCCTTCTTGAACTGTGACAGAAGGGACACGAGCAACTCGGGAAACGCATTCCTGAATTACACATCACCACATTCCTGTGATACCGCACCTCCACTACGACCCGAAATTGGGTCTCTTGCCAAGGCGCGACCATTTTGGACCTTGCGGACTGTGCAGGAAGTTAGGAAACTGCGACGCCCCAGCACCCGCGTCTAGCTTATGAACGATCAAAATTGATTGCTGCTTCACAAAGCAGCCCCACGACACTGAACTCTAGATGGCAAACCGAAACGATGTACAATCGCTCTTCTGGATAGAGTCATAAAACGTACAGTATAAATCTCTTAGCTAAAAAGCGCACCCACCTGCAACATATAAAGCGCAACGCCAACGTCTTGCCCGTATAAGATCGTGACGGTTGAAAACCTATGCTGCCTATCTCTTAGCACTATAGACACCCCAAATTATCATTAACAGCAAGCGTTATTGCGCGCCTTGGGATGAAAGCGTTAGCAACCTGCGTCACGTCTAACTGTCAACCACGATGATGATTACCCAACCCGGCCCGGTGGAGGAGAACCAATACACAATAGTTTCCTGCCGCAAGCATACAATTTACGCAGCCATTACGGATTCCGCCAGCTCCTTCAGCTTCTCCTGCTGGTCCGCGGATATCATTGCCTGAAGCGAGTCCTCCAAGTCGCCTTCCATAATGCTGTTCAAGTCGAAATTTTGCTTGATACGGTGGTCTGATACACGGCTGTCCTTGTAGTTGTAGGTCTTAATCTTCTCCGAGCGGTCGCCAGTTCCGACCTGGATCTTGCGTGCGGCGTAAATCTCAGCCTGCTGCCGCTGGATCTCCAGTTCGTAAAGCTTCGCGCGCAGAATCTGGAAAGCGCGCTCCTTGTTCTGCGCCTGCGTACGCTCCTCCTGGCAGAAAACCCGGATGCCCGTGGGTTTGTGCATCAAGTCCACCGCCGTCTCCACTTTGTTGACATTCTGCAAGGTCGTATGACGGTAGGGGAGGAGAAGACATGTGGGTCAGTTTGGGGGCTTCAAGGACACACTTCCCATGTTGTGACGGGAGGAATTGGCAACCCAGGCCTCAAAGAAGGGCCGGCATGAACAGCTAGCCAACAACAACACGTAGCCGCTTGCTTAGCATACGACTGATGCCTAGCCGTCTTGCCAGCGCAGGCAACTCACGTTGCCCTATTCTCCCGCAAGGCAGGAGACACATGGATTTAGGGTCATCCGCCCTGAGGGCCCCATGAGGGCCGCGACCTACGTGGCTGTCGTTGCTCCCTTGTTTTACACAAGCACACGTGCATCGACCAAAACCAGGTGCGCTATGCCTGCTCCCATACAGCTCCATCCCAACCCAACCCAGGTTGATACACCTTAACGCCGATACCGCCCTTGACCAACTAGGGTAACCGTGGCACACCTCGCCTTCACAGCCCTCTCTACTTGGCTCACCTGCCCTCCTGCGCCGCTGGCTCGCGCAAACTTGACGTCAATGTCGTTGGGGTTGATTTGCACGTCCACTTCCTGCACCTCGGGCATAATGGCAATCGTGGCTGTGGAGGTGTGCACCCGGCCAGCAGCCTCGGTGGCTGGCACACGCTGCACCCGGTGCACTCCCGCCTCCCACTTGAGCTTGGAGTATACGTTGGTGCCGGAGATCTCCAGAATGACTTCTTTATAGCCCCCGGACTCGCCCTGCGTGCAGCTGACCAGCGCCGCCTTCCAGCCCTGCTTGTTGGCGTAGCGCTGGTACATGCGCATCATGTCGCCCGCCCAGATGGAAGCCTCATCACCGCCCGCTCCGGCACGGATTTCAAGCATGATGTTGCGGTCATCCAGGGGGTCCCGCGGTACCAGGTGCAACCGGAGCTTGTCCTCCAGACGTGTCAGCGATGACTCCAACTCAACCACCTCCTCGCGGGCAAACTCCGCCATCTCCGGGTCGTCAGCTATTGCTTCCTTGAGGTATTTCTGCGCTTCCACTAGCTGCTGCTCGGTGTCCTTGTAGGCGCGGAAAGTGTTAACCGTTTCTTCTAGGTCTGCTGCCGCCTTGGCCACCTTCTGAAACTCCCCTGCGTTAGCAGCGACTTCAGGATCCGCCATTTTCATTTGTAGTTCCTTGAATGTAGATTCGGCCGCACGCAGCTTCTCCACCATATACCTCTCCATGGCTTTGCAGGAGACCAAGCCCCGTGCTGGCCGATCGACTGAAACCCGCTGTGTGAGCCGAATGGATCGGAATGGGATGCAAGGACGGCATGACCTAAAAGGTTGAGGTGAGGATATGCGCATAGTTTGTGGCCGCATGGCGCTAAGCAATGGCCGAGGACTAAAAACGTTTCAGCAAAAATCAGCAACGCTCGACAATTCGCCAAAACAAATCGTAAAAGTTTACCCTAACGTGTTATTTGGGTCATTTGCTTAGCCTGCATCACAAGCAAGTAAAGTTGAAGGTGTAAATAGTGATCAGCTTGGAGCACAAATACATTTCATGAGTTTCGTGTGCTAATGAGATGCACTAGCAAAAGCTAGCTGAGATGCTGTTTGCTTGGTTCCGGAGCATGGGTGCAATGGAAACTTTCTGGAAAGCTTCTTGTGAAGCATTGTTCACCCCTGCTGTAGGCCTTCGCATTTACCAGCTGTTCGCGTCCTTATACAGTAACAGACACCATACACAAAAATGGCTCTTGCTATCGCTCCATTTAAGTGCTCGGCTCGCTCAGCTGTGCGACCATGCGCAGGCAAGGGAAATATGTGCACGTATGTTTCTTGACATGCTAGTTCGATGCTGGCGTTGATACAGAGCTTGCGGCTGCGGCGTGCTTTGCAGGCCGGAGGAGCGCTGTGCGCGTCGTTGCAAGCGTAACTGCGGAAAAGGCATCACTTGATATCACCAAGGTAACTTTGCAGTCAATTGGGCTTGGCTGCTTCTTAGAATTCGGTACGTGCCGAACCATGACACACGTGGACGCGACCCCTGCAGATGACGCCGATTCACGACCGCGTGCTCGTCCGCCCAATTGAAGAGGAGAAGGTTGGTCTCGTACATGGCCCTCTGCCCATGGCCCTTGCCTAAAGACGTCACACGCTCACATCTTCTTCCCCGCCTTCCTTCCCACCTTCTTCACTACGTCGCAGCGGACAGCAGGCGGCATTTTGTTGCCCAAGGCCCCGCCGAAGGCCAACTCGGATGCCCACATCGGCGAGGTGGGATAGGCCTTTGCCCCTATGTTGTCTGTTTTATTATACCCGCTCTTTGCTGAGGATGCGGTCACTTCTTTTTTTAACGCAGTCCTCTCCGGCTCACCACGCTCTGCTCTTTGCTAAAGTATTGTCCCTGCCTGCACCCTTGCCCTGCGCTCCAATGGATCCTCCCGATGGCTGTACGGCACCTTCCCGTACATCAGGTGTTGGCGGTGGGCAGCGACGTATCTCTGGAGCTGGCCAAGGGAGATGTGGTGGTGTTCCAAAAGTACGCCATGGCTGAGGTGGAGGTCAAGGAGGGTCAAATCCTCTTCGTGGCGGAGAAGAGCATCATGGGCAAGCTCGAATGAGGGGCTCCCTCCTAGGGAGGTGGTCGTACACGCAGCACCCGGTTTTGCTTGGGGCTTAGTTCTGCATGGGGTTTCAGCTCTTAGAACCTGAGAGGTTTGGTGGCTTTTTGGCAGTGCTTTGCTGGATGTTAGGGGAGTGCAGGGGTAGCGCTTTGATGTGGACGTGCATTATGGTGCTGGGGCATAGGCCGAGCGGTTGGGTCGTGAGCAGGGCTGTGCAACTGGGGACGGAATGAAATGGTCAGGGAGCACTAGCAGCCCTGAAACACTGTAAAATACCTGAACGGTTCGAGGCACGAGCTGGGGGCATCATGACCCTGCAATTGGGGCATGACGGTTCGTGTCCATCATGCTGTACTTTCCGTATCGGGGTCATACTTCGATGGATTCTATTCGTAGCATGCGTGTCTACCGTAGGTTGCCTAGTGGGTATTACCCTACAGCCAAGCTAAGTTGGGTCTGCCTCCTGGGCCGGGCCGCTTCGGTTAGCTTCAAGCTTCTACCTTGAAGTGCTCCGAAGCGCTTGTTCGAGTCGGTTATGGCTAGCATCGTTGCCCCTTATGCGTACTGAAACCAAATAAATAAGTAGGTAGGCGATAGCACCTTGGTCGGCAACCTCCTCCAATGGGGGTCATTGTCCTGCTCGCACTTCTGGCCGTCTTAGGGCAGCTTGCCAATGCGGAGAGGCGCTTGTTTATCAGGTTAGCAAGATTCGCTTTTCTGAGCCTCCTTGTTGTGAAAAAACAGTGTTGGACCTTGGGACGTTGGTCGATGTGCGCAGGGACTTGCCCGACAAGGCTCAAAGATGCCGTAATACGGTTCAAGGACTGTAAGTGTATAATTACCTACAGCCGCATAAGGAAATGAGCTGAAGTTGTCGACAAACTCGCTTGCTCGCGTTGCAATCCACAGACACATAATAGCTGATGACCGCGGCGTCGTATGCAAGCGTAGCGAGCTAAACTACGCTACGGGCTGCTGCACCATCGGACAGCAACACGACTGTAGCTTGTAAGTTGGGCCGACGCCCATGGGTCGCAAGAAGGTGCCTTCAGGGGCGTTAGCCGCGTTACCTGCACAAACATATCCGGAATTCATAATTTTACGCCAAGTACTTCGCATCTCCAGCGAAGAGCTAATCCTCTTGACATCTATACACAGGTGCAATGCCAACGACCGTTGCTGCTCAGAGTACGAAGCCTGCGTGTCGTGCTGTCTCTCCCCGCAGTACGATGCGGTCAACCTAGCGAAGCAGGTCCTCAGGTGCGCTGGACTCCCAGAAAGGGATAGAGGTCATCCGTGCTGCTGCGGCAAGGATTGAGACAGCCGCGCATGAGTGTACACCCACACCCCCAAGTATCTTGGCGGACGCATACCGTACCACTGCCCCCTGAAACCTCCCCACCATGTTCGATGTTCCTGCTACCGCTCTCCCCACCGTGTTTCCTGATACTGGCCATAATGCTGCTTGTCCTCTCATATTTTGCCTCTCGGATGCTTTCCGAGGGTTGTTTGGAATTGCAGTATTGGTCTCCCGGAATTTAGCCCGCCTGCTGCTGACCAGCTACCGGTATTTGCGTCCTCCCCCTGTCGCTTGTCTGCAGGTCTCCCCGCCACAAGGATAGCGGCTTCTGGGGCGATGCTTTCGAGTACTGCAAAGGCATCTGCCGTACCCACAGCCGAAGCACGGCGCATGAAAACGCCTACATCAGCCCCCGTCACCACTGCTTCAGCCAGCTGGGCCGGCCAATGGTAAAAGACGCACACTTGGGGTCCAACACTTGCAAAGATAGCCGCGCGGGGGTCACGTTAACAGACTAAACCTCCCTCACCATCGTCCTCCTCTCCCCTCACCCCGTATCCTTTCCCTCGCTACCCTGCTCTCGCGACACAGCTCTCCGACCCGCTGCCGCCCGGCGCGCTGGAGGGAGTGGAGGTGGCGACGGGCGACAACAACGAAACCTGTGATACGGTCTGTGCGGCGCGCCGGAAGCTCTGCAGCGCGGAGCACCTGCGCTGGCTCAACAGCTGTGACCGGCTGCGAGAGCACTTTGACTGTGAGGCGGGTTGCGAGGCGGTGTCGGGGCTGGGGCCCTCCTATGTGGACGCGAGCGCGCCCAAGCCGGAACGGCCTGCCATGTGCTTTGCGCAACCGGCGGGTGCCGCGCAGTTGAGTTGCGGTGCGCGGGAGGCAAATCATAAGATGTTGTGTCCTTGTGTGTAAGGCAGGTGTCTGGTTGGTTAGTGGGGATGGGGGCGCGAGGATGTAGGGATGGGGTAGCAAGGTCATTCCATTGGGGTTGCGGGGGAGGCATCTGAAGAAACAATGGAGATGGGATGCGCTAAGGTATCCTAGTTTTAAACGCGTCATGTGGTCGAGGAAACGTATGAGAATCACGAGCAATGAGCATGTGAGGAGTGAGTTTGCTAACGGTAACTGGTTTCGGAGGTATTGCTTTTCTTTCGACTGTTCCGAGGCATCTGTCGACGCTTGCTTGACTCTCTTGGAACGCTTAGTTTACGTTGACATTGCATAATGCTTTCGGTTGAGCGCCGCTGCGCGGCCGGGCACATAAAATGCAAGTGGCTGGGATTGTCGATTCAGCGTCACGCTCGACGAGTAAACGCACTTGCATCCTACGACGGCTGTTCATCAAGGAGAGTTATTTCGGATAGTATAGCTGCGCTGCCGAAGCAAAGATGCATGACCTGGCCGAGAAGCCGAGTCCTCTGTGCATGCGAAAGCCGGCCCGTTGCCACTGAAGGTAACACAAGGAGTTAAAATTCAATCAATCAGCTTTATGCTGACCCAAATATCGTTGGACCTATTCTGCTCAGATGACATTGTACGCTATGCCTCCGTTGGCGACATCGTTACCATCAATTTCGTCATGCGAGACGAGGACGGCAAGGTGCGTCTGACATTCTCGCTATAAGCACGATTGACCCACACCCGCAGCACGAACCGTCGTTGCTACAACCATAATGCGTACGGGGTTACCAACCTCCACGAGTTGGCTGACGCTTGCCTGACTGTTGCAGGTGGTTCAGTCTTCATCAGACCTCGGGGCACCGCTCTTCTTCGAAGGTACCAAATGGGACTCTGTGACGGGGAAGCACGGATCAGGAATGCGCATGTCATGGCTTGTACTGCAGGAGGCTTCAGCCGCAAGCACAAGCGCAGCGGAGTGCCGGGGCTGCACGCCAGGCCAGCATTGAACGGATGAACGCTGAATGTAATCAGTTGGGACTGGATAGGGTTGAGCGCGGCAGCGGTGTAAGTGCACTGGGCCCAGTAGGAGGGCTTTCCCGGCGTCTGGGTCCAAGAAACGCGCACCCCATTACCGTACTCCAGTCAACTGCCTCCTGTGTCCTGCTTTGCCCTCCCTCACCGCAGTTGGTGCGGGTGACCTGATGGGAAACCGCCTCTTCCAGGTGCGCGCGGCTGGCTCCCAGCCCGGGGCTCTTGGCTCCCTTGGTGGTGTAGCGCAGGTGTAGCCAGCTTTGGCGGGTCGGGTAGAGCGGCACACGAGGGGGCGACCCATCCTGCCGACGTGCCGAGAGACGCACCCGGCAGACGTACATGCCTACATGCTACATGCCACATGCGACCGCCTGTTATGACCCCTAAGCTTGAAAACTATACGCCAACCGCTTCGCTGCAGGGCTTTGACGAGGCCGTACGGGGCATGGCGGTTGGGCAAACCACCGTCTTGGAAGTGAGTACGCGAGGGAGGAGCTTCATTCCGGGTGTTGTAGCTTGGGTTGTCATCAGCTTGTCACTTGACACCATCCTCTGGTGCGCCGTGTGCCGTACGGTGCCGTATGGTGCTCTGTCGTACCCCAGGCGTCCGGCGGCGAGTGGAAGCGCGAGCTGCTGTTTACCGTGGAGCGGCAGCACCCGGAGATCCAGCGCCTGGAGGGGCGCTACAAGAAGTGAGTGCCGGAGACCGCTGGTGTGTGACCTGCCGAGAACACCTATGTAGTTGGAAGGGACAAGCGCTGCTGCGATGCTGCGGAATCCGCTGCTGACTGCCTGATATGATCACACATGCCTGCATGCACCCGCATGCACTGCTACTCCCCAAGCCGCTGTAGCACCGTGTACGACGGCGTACTGCGCCGCCGTACTGCCGTTCGCACCTTTCAGTTCCTATCCTGGCTTCCTGCACTTCATGCGCTCCACCGCTCCACGGAGAGCATCAACCTCGTACCTCGCCCGTAGGCTTACAACTAGATTCTTGTTTCCCCTGCCTGCCTGCCTCCCTGCCTGCCTGCCTCCCTGCCTGCCTGCCTCCCTGCCTGCCTGCCTCCCTGCCTGCCTGCCTGCCTGCCTGCCTGCCTGCCTGCCTGCCTGCCCCCAGCCATGGCGGTCTGGCTGCCGGACTGGTGGTGGAGCTGGCCAACGGGGCCATGGCGGTGATCCTGGAGGTGCGGGCGGGGGGGAGGGGGCTGATGGGGACTGGGAGGTGGGAGCGCCGGCGCAACTGCCCGGGGCGGCAGCGGAGCACCTTAATGCATGGAGCCAGAGGCACGGCCCCTCTGATGGTCCCTCTGGTGGTGTCCTTCTGTTGGTCCCTCTTGTGGTGTCCCACTGGCAGTCCTGTCCTGCTGTTGCTGTTGCTGTTGCTGCTAGAGCTGTTGCTGCTAGTGCTGTTGATACCGGGGAGCCATGCAGCCGAGCCCGCTGCATAGGGTACACTGCAAGCATCATGGTAAGGGCGCCCCCAATAAAGAGCTGTGCATGTGTGTGGCTGTGTGTTGCTTTGGTTGTGGCTGCCGTACGTGCATGCGCAGGTGACGGACGCGGAGGTGAAGCTTGACGCGAACAACATGTTGGCAGGCAAGACCTTCACGATTGAGCTGGAGCTTGTATCCATTGACAGTGCGCCGCCTACCGGTGAGGGATCCCCTTCGAGCCAGCAGCCGGTGCCAGAGGCATGAGGGTGTAACCGGTAACATCAGTCTCGGAAGGGGGTGCGCCACCAACTGGTGAGTCGCGTTACTAGGAGGGAGGTGTAAGCGCGGCTTAGCTTGGAAGCCCCGTTGAAAAGGCGCTTCGGTTGTGATGGGAGATAATCTCATGGTTCGCACGCATAACGGTGTCAATTAGGGTTGATGGCACAAGCACGGATGGCTTAGGGTTGATGGCACAAGCACGGATGGCAGAAACAGTGCTGTTGGCCCCCGCCAAGGAGTGCCTGATAGGATCTCATGAGCAGGTGTGTGCATCATACAGCAGAGTATGATGACGCTAGGAAAAACGCAGGTTACCATTTTCCAACATATGTTCGGCATATCATGCCTGACGGAGTGGTATACTTGATTCCCGCTGTTTGGACAATAACGTTGTAAGGGTAACTGGATGGACCCCAGCGTTTGCATACGGTATGGGCGTATGGCTCGCCATCGGTTTCACAGGAGGGTTTCGCAGGAACGACAGTTTCCCTGCCTCAACAAACGACAATTTGTACTCATGGTATGCACAAATTTCAGCATCGCCAATTTTTACTTTGCGTCATACATCCAGAATGGCCGCGTGCGGCATCGCGGATGCCTGGCACGTGCGAATGTCCGTGCACGGATGCTTGTCGTGTTTGATATAACATGTGCTTGCCGTATTCGTCACTCATAACAACGCGTAAACATCGCATGAAATTAAACAATGAGCTTCCGTTGAGTACCGGCCCGGTTATCCCTACCCTGTCCAGTTAACTTCCCAACCCTTTTTTCACGTGAAATAACAGTAAGCAATTTGATATATGCTGCCTGTGAAAGTTTAGATCGGTTCCTCGTGAGACTGTGACGCCCCGCCCCAAGAAAGGGAACCCTTCGCGCAGTGGCGGGCGTTCGCCTCACGCCTTTCAACTAAAGGCTGTAACCGTCTGTGTATAATAAGCTTTGCCCAATCGGTGTGCGTTTACACGCATCCAAATGGGATGCAAGAGTGCTCGTACCCCCTAAGGGAGTCTGAGGTCGTACAGGGCCTCCTGGCAGCGTGCTGTGCTCGCTGTGCTCAGAAGCGTGCTATGAAACATCTTAGAAAGAATGCAATTATATATGCCACATATTTCTATCTAAGTGCAGCCCATGTGGTATTCACCTCGCAATCGACCCAGCACAAGGCTTAACATAAACAGTTGTCCTTAACCTTATGCATTAACATGTAACTAAACATGAGTGATTCAGGTGTTAGTGTAGGTCTCCTAGTAGCTGAACACTCCGACAATGAAGCCGAAGCATTCCTTCGCGCTGCTCTCGGGTCAGATGGCAGCGGCGGTTATGAATCTGGGCATGGTAAAAACACCCTCGTTCTTGTCTTAAAGAGTACTTCCCAAATATGTGCTTACCTGAAATCACGATTCCGGGCCCCCCTCCCACACATGCCTCTAGCCCTACCCTTGAGCCCCCTCCAAGTGCATACCCGATTTTTCCGTCGCGTGTAGCATCACAACCCGAATGAACCTGGGCATGGTAAAAACACCCTCGTTCTTATCTTAAAGAGTACTTCCCAAATATGTGCTTACCTGAAATCACGATTCCGGGCCCCCCTCCCACACATGCCTCTAGCCCTACCCTTGAGCCCCCTCCAAGTGCATACCCGATTTTTCCGTCGCGTGTAGCGTCACAACCCGAATGAACCTGGGCATGATAAAAACATCCCCGTTCTTGTCTTATAGAGTACTTCCCAAATATGTGCTGACCTGAAATCACGATTCCGGACCCCCCTCCCACACATGCCTCTAGCCCTACCCTTGAGCCCCCTCCAAGTGCACACCGCCATCTGCTACAGCGGCGGGCGGTGCAGCACCCAGCTCTCAGCTGCCGCCAGCACCTTGTGTGCAACTTTCAAGCAGAGGGGGCAGGAGACGTGCAATGAAGCCAGGGCCACGGCAAAACCCAGGGCATCAGGCAGCAGCCGAGCAGGACTTACCAACAGGTGCATACGCTGTGCCTGCATCCGACCCAGCCCCATCCTACTCATCAGAGGCGTTCATATTCAAGTCCTTGACTTCATGCGAGGATGTTTTGTCAGCAGCCATGCAGTTGGTGCCTGAAACTCAGAAACGTAAACTTAATCCGTGCCCAGTACGCGCTGTTGTCTCCATCCGTGCTGGAGTGTTCAGCAGCACTTGCCATATGTTTGTGGCACATAACGCCTGCGTGCACTCTGTTGCGGCAGACGTATACAAGCAGTGGCATGGTACCTCAACCCCAACGTCCGACAGCTTGCAAGGCAAGGGTATGGAGCCAATAGAGACAGGGCTCTAGCCAAACAGCAGCTGAAAGCAGGCCTGTGGAGGAGGTGGTTCGAGAGGTTGCCTCTCGCCTATCAGTTGATTCGCTCAAGGCTACCATCCGCAGAGCATTCGCAGCAGGCCGGAGGCCACCCACGGAACGTATGTCAGCCACGCTTGCTGCTGGACGGAGGGAGGCTGAAGCCTTGCGGTCTCTTGTCGAGTCCAAAGACCGCTACAGAGGGCCGGCGGCTTTGCGTATGCCAGCTGCGTCTCCTGCTGCATCATAAAAACATTGAGGTGCTGGCTTTGGCTGGTATCGTTTCGACGCCGCTCGTGATCATCCACGCAGCACTATCGGGGGCTAGCAACCTATCAGCTGAAGATGTAAAGGCAGTTGTTAATGCTATGTCTGCGTGGGCAGCTTGGGTTACCCAGCGCAGCGCTGCTGCTGCAGGAGGTGAAGCCCGCTCTGATGCAGCAGCTGCGGGGCCAAGTGGTCAGGGAGCGGGCACAGCAGGGGCTAATGTGGCGCAAGACACAGCACAGCAGCAGGGTGTTACGTATGTAAATATGCATGAGGAGCTTGTTCCAGCTGACGCGGTACGCACGCAAGGTGTAAGTAACGAACGATGTACCCATGCTAAACGCGTGTATAGAAGGAACGCTGCGATTGGTGTCAAGCGGAGGCGTCAAGGGGATTCTAGTGATAGGCAGGACGGGACTGACGGTGGTGTTGGGGTTCGTAATATCTATATCCCTGCAGACGCTTTAGTCCTAGTACCGGCAAGAAAGGGGAAGGGAACGGGAGGATCGTTGCCTATGGATACACGTGGCAAGCACAAGAGGTCAGCACATATTGCTAGTGTGCACAGATGCACAGATGTGAGACAGCAAGTACACAGGGCATCGCAAACAGCTTAATACTATCAATTAACTTCAGGACAACGTGGCACGAAACATACCTTGGGCGACTCAGCTCCTGTGGCTGCTGCTGCCGAAGAGCCGTCGCATCCACTGCTGCCATCGCCCTTCATTTTCGCACAACCATCAAGACTTTACCGCCTGTGGCACAAGCCATAAGTAGCGTTATCAAATTAGAACTAAAGTAGATCAACAAATCAAGCTTGCTACATTTTCTGTAGGTTGACACTGTAATGCACAGAAAGTCCCTGACGCTTACATTTAAAGGGATATTGGAATTCCCAGAGTAAAAGGGTGATACCAAGAACTTGTTTTGAGTTAAAAGATAGAGAATGGAAGCGCAGCACGCTGCCAGGGAGCCCTGTACGACCTCAGACTCCCTTAGGGGGTAGGGGCGCTGTACCAAATGGGATCGTAAAGCGTTCATAAGTACGACGCGCGGCGAACAAAAGGGAGTATATGCTTAGGTCGTCGGCATACTAGTTGTATACAGAATCACGGTCTAGATAAACAAGTTGTTTTGGATTTCTTGGGCGCGCTGGGAAGCTGGAGGGCTGAAGGAGGGTCTTCCTGACAGCCGCCGAGTGCATTACTACGCCATTGACTGAATACTAATGCCGGTTTGAGCAAATGAGTATACGACGGCTTCACTCGTTATCACTGGTGGACGGAGACGTTAACCCTCATCAACTAGTTGCCTCGGGCACGTCTGAAAGCCCCAGCACACATGCTGGGAAACTCCCGTCGCTATGGAAAAGCTTTAAAGCAAAGCTTGGCTCGCTGACAACAAGCAGGAGTTCCACAAGCTTGTCGACCATGGCAACGGATGACCCTTCGCGCCCCGCGTCCCCGGGCGCTTCGCCGCCTGTACAAGCACTTGACTCCAGCGTACACAGCAATTCAGGTCTCAGCATAACCTCTCGTCGCTTTTTTGCGAAAGTCAGCCACAACCAACCGTCGCCAGGGGAGTTGAATACATGCAGGTCCGTCCCGGCGGTTACAGGCTCCAGCGCGCTGCCAATTCGCAGCCCACGTGCACCTAGTCCAGGCTGCGAAGTTGGCAACTCCTTACAAATGCCAGCGTCGCCTAACGCACAACCTTCTGCAACTGTCATGCCGTCTGCTGCGAGCGGTACGGTGCAACAACCGCCACCCCAGCAGCAGCAGCAGCCTATCGCGGTCGCAGTGGAGCCGTCAGAGACCACTAACGGCAGCAGTACCACCGGCGCTGGTGGTGGTGGTGGTGGCGGCGGTAGCATGCTCCTGTCTGTGTCATCGGCCCTACCTGCAGCCATGCGACGGCCTGTGTGGTCCCTCGAGGACTATGCTGTCTCCAAGCGTCTATACAAAGGCGGCTCCTCCGCCGTTTACAAGGTACGTGGCGAGGAGAACTGCGCGGTAAGGGTAGGCTGCTTGACCGCGGAGGGGCCCAATGCAAGCGGAGGCCTCAGGGATGGACCGCTAAATATCACTGTCTGGGAAAGCGGGTGCCCGCAGCATTCCTGGCCTGGGGCTTGGCAGTACGGACAGGCAGGGTTTGCGAATCAGGGCACAATGCAGCAAGCACAGCAGCTGTGTCGTGTCCAGCTGTGATTGCGCCTGAACGGCAGCTCTCTCTGTACGTACGGCAGCAATGGTTGGTGTGTTACGTTTATCAGGTGCTTATCCCACAAACGTTCTGCTGAATCCATGCATTCTGCTGGTGCCGTGTTACGTTGCACCGCAGGCGACATGTCGGCGCTCTGGGATAGCAGTCGCACTCAAGGTCAGTCCGGGGGGCTGCCTCCCAATTGGGGCAAGCACGCCGGTAGCTTGGATGGGGTCTTGCCACACGCTTGGATGGGGCACACAACTTAGTGGTGGAGGTCGGCCGTCTGCTGGAGTAGTTACTGAGCTGCGGTAGCAACCGCCATGCAACCTGTGTTCCTATCTTCCTGCTTTTGTTGTCGTTGGCTAACGGCAAGGGTGCCTTAGTACCCGACACGCACATGTGTATGTCGGGAGTTCTGCCGTGCACCTGAAACGTCGTGAATCCGTGAAGCTGGCCTATTGTGGCCGATCCATTCGTGCCCCTCCCAACGTCCCTTGCCCGCCCCAACGACAGGTGTACTTCCTATCACGGGTTCCAGTCAACGTAGTTCACATGTAAGCGCAGGCTGTCATGCACTCATGCTATACGATGGAACACCCTAGTGTGCTGTGTCAACACTTGGTTGGGGCAGCTTGTGCTAGCTCAGTAACGGGGGATGGTTACGAAAACCCATGACTCGCACGCTATACCGGACAAACATTCATTAAAAATGGTTGACTGTGCGATGTACGGTCTACGGCGCAGGCTTAAACGAGAAATCGAGATCCACGCGCAGCTGGTCCACAAGCACATCGCCCGGTTGTACGGCGCCTTCATGGTACGACGGGATCCGCGCCACGTGGGCTTTGCTGACCTTTGTTGCAAGGATAGAATCCGGGTCCATAAACCAATACCGGTACCGCCGTGCCTCCCTGCCTGCCTGCCTGCTGCCCGCACCCCAACATTCCGGTCCCCGTCGCCGCTGTCCGCACCCCTCATCTCAGTCCCGGTCGCTGCTGTCCGCCGCAGGACGGCAACGAGCGCGTGGTGCTAGTGCAAGAGTTCGCTGCGCAGGGGGATCTGTTCGGTATCATGCAGCGACTGGGGGGTCGCATGCAGGCAGAGCAGGTGGGCGCGGCAGGCGGCTTGGGGGGGAGTGGGTGGGATGGGGGTACCGGTTCTGGTAGGGTTCAGCCTTTCCGCTGATGCCTGTCTGCCCCCAAGGTAACGACGATGAAGCGGTTAGCGTTCTCTCCAGCATCGTACCTTCATGAACCCAGCATCGTACCTTCATGAACCCGAGTAGCACTTACTGCAGCATTGATGTGCCTTCTTCTTCTTCCCCATGTGGCCCCCCACTCCCTGTGTCTGGGCACCACAGGCTGCGGGAGCCGTCATTCTGCCCTTCCTAGACGCGCTGAACTACCTGCACTCCAAGGGCGTGTGCCACCGGGATATCAAGGTAGGCAGGGATGGTGCTACCCGCATGCATGCTTGCCCGCATACATCGCATGGATGCGTGCATGCGTGCAACATGCACGGGTTTAAGTTAACGCCAGCCTGCAGCTAGATGCCGCCCGTCGGTTGTATGTGTGCCTGCGTGGGTTGTGTTGGGCGGTTTTCGGTTGCTGGTAAGTCCAGAGGACTTGCTGGTCTTCACGACGACCTTGTGGGCTCGCGTCCGCACCGGACACGCGGAAAGCCCATGGGCGTTGTGCCGTACACTCACAATGTCGCTCACGCATGTCGTAAGTCACCTCCTTTTTTCCTCCCCAGCTGATGCAAACCACCTCCTTTTCTTCCCCCCGCCCCCGCTGCAGCCTGAGAACATCCTGTTTACCACCAACTGGCGGCTGCTGCTGGCGGACTTCGGCGTGTCCATCAACCTGGGTCAGGAGCGAGCTGTCACACGCGCAGGCACGGAGGGCTACATGGCCCCGGAGGTGGAGCGCTGCCCGCTCAAATCCGACCCAGCGGAGAACAAGGACAACCCACACTACGCCTACTCCACCGCTGTGGTGCGTGCTTCAGTTTTCTTTCTGGGGTTGGTTGGGGCTGTCCTGTGATCAACATGCCGGTCATCTTCCTTTCGACCTCGGGCTCACTAACGTACCACATGCACGATGTACATCCTTCCTCGTACACCATTTGGCCCCGGAGCCACCCCGCAACTGCTGTAACTACACACTCTCAGTACTGGTACTCCCGCTCAGCCCGTCCGCACTACCTCTTTCACGTACTACTACACCTGCTTATACGCAATCGGTTTACTCCAGTCCCATGCATAATACCCATCTCCTCTTGTATACTCCCTCTTACAGGACATCTGGGCTGTCGGTGTGCTAGCCTACGAGCTGCTGGTGGGCTTCCCGCCCGTCGTCGCCATGCCCCACGCTCCCAAACAAGGCACCAACGCCTCCGCCGCCGACACCGTGATGAACGACTTTGTCCAAAACGAGATGACCGCAGCGGCACTGCACTTCCCCGCTTCCGTACCGCCGGCCGCGCGCTCCTTCGTGCTGTCAGCCCTGGCGACTGACCCCCGTGAACGTCCCACGGCCGCGCAGCTCATGCAACATCCCTGGCTGCAGGCCGCGGCGGCGGAAGCGGCGCCGACACCGCCACGGACGCCGGCGGCGGAGCAGGCGGAGGCGGGGCCGACTGATGTGCGGGTGAACGCGTTGTGCAGGGTACAGCAGCAGCCGGCGGTGGAGGCAGCGGCAGCGACAGCGGCTGCAAAGGGGCAGAGGCAGCAGCGGGAGGATGAGTAGGCGGTGCGAAGCAGGGTTTGGGTGTGGGTGAGCCGCGCGTTGCCCGTACCTGTGGATACGGGAGTGACTTGAGAATGTTCAGAACACTCTCAAGCTGCTGCCGAGCAGGGCGGGTGTTTTGCTGGCGGAGCTGCAGGGATCAGGGGTGCTTCGTTGGGTTGCGGAAGGAAAGTTGTGTTTGGGTGTGTTTATTTATCTGGTGTCCTTCTATGCGCCTTCAGCATGTGATGCGGTTGCGATGCGGCTGCTATGCGGCTGCACGGTATTGGCTACTTCATACTGTCGGTACTTGTTACTCATGTCCGTATGTGTGTCCGATACGCCCCGAGAATTAGCGTGTGTGCAGTAGCAATGAAGTCACTGTTACCTTGCGCGTTTCTGACACCCTTATCTGATCAAAACTGTCTTAACTTGTAGTGTTGTAGCTGCCGTGTTGGTTTCCAAGGTGCACTTGCACGAGACCGGGCGCTCTCTGCATGGCTGCTTCGAACTTGTTGTATTGGTCGCGAACAATTAGAAAACTATATGTTGCGCGACGAGAGATGTTTTGCAGGTGCGGCATCAGGCCACGCGAATTGTTGGGATGGCTTCCGACGGCCGATGTCAATGGGTGGCATTACATTCGTCAATAAAAACGAATTATGTGACGTCGCTGGTTTTTGCGCTGCATTATTTCGAAAGACGCTGCGGTTCCAGGCAGGTTGCGCGATTCACTTGTTGCTTGGCACAGTTTTATGCATAGTTGTATGCATGTCGTTGAATCTGGTCCGCAATTGGGATCGGGACGGCATAGAAGAGGATGGAGATGCGCTTTGGCGATGTCCGTCGTTGGTTTTGGATCACTGGGTTCTGCTTACGTTGTACGGCGGTCGTTGGGGGTTGGAGACGAACCAGGGCATGTGTTGCATGTGGTGTATGTATGTGCAGGTGCGAGGTTAAGAAAGGCATCTGTACGGCACGTGAATGCTTTGGGGTTAATGTTTTAGTGTATGTGCGGTTAGCGCACGTCGCGAGTGAGGGAAACACAGTCAGTGGCAGGCCGGTGCGATGAATTGAGCAGGTGAGTACCCATCCTGCTTTCCAACCTGCTCATGCTGTCTATTTGCTGTTGGTTGAGTCGTTCTGGCTCTCCTGCAATAATCGCATGCTGGTTGCGGACGGCGGCAAGGCCCAAGAGCGCGGCACAACGATGCATGCATGCATCGGGCCGGCGGCCGGGGCGTGTCATGAGGCCTGTTTTACTGCCGTATCATAGCGGTAGCATGCTTTCCCTTGGCTTTCCCGTACTAAATATAAGGTTGCTGTGCTGGCCTCATGGAGTGAGGCCCCGTTGTTTGGTTGTAGGTGTACGATTGGGGCCCGTTGATGTTGCCTGTGCAATTGCTTTTGCTCGACGTGAGGTTAAGGGCACGGCCTAGCACTGGGAAAATGCCTCGGGGTTTGAGCTGCAGCAATCTGGAAGCAGTCTCGGGGTCTCTGCGCTTGCAGAAGTCTACACAAGTCCGGTATGAGGCATGTTGTTGATGTTGATGATGTGAAACTATTGAGCCTCTGATCACTGGAGGAATGCACAAAGATGAGTTATGGTGGTTGAGCCGGGCCGAAATCCTTGGTCGCCATTCAAGAAGATGCACCGTAAGTAGCAATGCACGCAAAAGCATGTAACACTTGAATGAGGGCTTGCGCCTGTTAATTGAACTCCTCCTGCTTGCCGGGTACCCTGTTCCGAATGACACCGGATTCTATCTGACCAGGATACTAACATGCCACTCAACTAGCAGCAACAGCAGGTAGGCGCCGGTACCCCACCACGTCCGCATGAGGCATCACACCCCATTCACGCCACCGCTGAAATCCATCAACCAGAGAGCCGCCAAAGCAAAGTACATACACAGTTTGAGACCACAGCACCGAGCCCTAATGGCGCCCGGCCCCAAACATCATTCCCCACAACGCACACACCTCCACCAAATCCCAAAACACCAATGATGACCTGCCAAAGAAGCCCCCAGGGGCTGCGCAATGAGAGCCAAGCAGCCAGCGGCCCTCACTGTGCCCGCGTTCCACTGCGCCGTCCCCCACCGTCACCGCCCCCCTCAGTGCGCCACGCCTCCACTGGCCTCGGGTGGCAGCAACCCCAGCTGTGCCTTGAAGCGAGCCTCCAGCTTCAGGTACTCCTGCTCCGCCTTCTCGTCGAACTCCGGGTATAGCGATCCCTTGCGCTCCTTGCGCTCGGAGGGCGAGGGCGGCATGCCTGCTGCGGCGGCGGCGGCCGCATCCTTGGCAGCGGCTTCCTTGGCAGCGGCCTCGGCCTGCGCTGCCGCCTCGGCCTCCTTCTTACGCTCCTGCAAGCATTGCGGAGGACACATGGAGGTAAACGTCACATCCAGCGTTCGCGCGTCGTAAGCACGAATTATGATTCATAGTCTCGCAGCAACAGCAGCAGCAGTGTGCCAGCAATGTCAGTGTGTGACACCTGGTGGTGCCCACGGTGCCCTCACGCACGCACCTCCGCCTCCTTTCGTGCAGCAGCGCGTGTGGGCTGCCTCGCCCCCACGTCCGCAAGACGGGACTGTTGCCGCTCCAGCCACGCGCCCATCAGCCTCTTCTCGTTGTGCACGGGCCGCCGCAGGTTGCGTGGCAGCTCCAAAATGCGCAGCACGCCTGCATCGGGTTTGCGTTTGGCGGATGGCAAGGAAACAGCGTTGGACCCGTGATCTAGGAGGAGAAACGGGCGAATCGAGCATGTCTTCCCACTGGCAGCCCTTAGCAGCAGTTCCAAGAGTAATGATGGAACTATGCAGCAGGGGAGCAAGTGGAAGCATGACTCTGTCGGCGGGGAAGAGGACGTCACGGGTGCTTACCCTCACCCCCTGTGGCCACACCTCACCAACCCACAAGCCACTGCAGCAAGAGCAACGCCCTGTCGCGCTTACCCGTCGCATCTCCCACCGCCAGCAGCTGCATCGCCGCCTGCTGCGCCGCCGATGCCGCCGGCGGCATGGGGTTGAATGCCAGCGACATGATGGGTGTGGCCGCCAGCGTGACGCGGATGGAGGGCTCGTGCGAGCGGTCCAGCAAGTCCCACACCTCCAGGCTGCCCGACTGGTCGGCCAGGTACAGCACCGCGGGCCGGGTGGGGCTCCAGCAGGCTGCCACACGCACGCAGGGGAGGAGGGGGGAGAAGGAGAGGGGATTAACAGGAATGCGTATTCCGCATTAGGCTGGATAGGAGGGGAGCGGAGGAGATGGCAGCATCATATCGGTACGGTATTTCAACGGCATACGGTATCTACGGTACCGTATGCTAGATTTGTGCAAAGCTGTGATACACCCCTCACATTATCCATGCCAAACAGGTATCGCCGCCGGAGGTCGTTTGATGCACAATGACAGCCAACAGGAGCAATGTCACAAGGCTACGTGCGCCCTTGTCCATGTACGGCAGCTAACCAACAAGCGCTCCGAACCCACATGCCGTACTTCCACGCCCCCGCCCCCTGCTGTGCACCCCAGTGCCCGCAACTGCCCCCCGCTCACCCGCCGTGTAGTAGTCCGCCGCGTAGCCCGACTGGAACAGCGGAGTGGCCTGCCCCTCCTGCCACACCTGCCACTGCCAGTCGCCGCACGTGAGCAGGATGTCGTCGAAGAAGGGCGACCGCTCCAACGCGATCACAGGGCCCACGTGTGCCTGCCAGGATACGGTAGAAGGAGGGGGGGAAGGTCAATGAACAGTGAAGCAACGGAGTCCCAATAGAAGGAGGAGGAGGACACAGCCAGCGTGAACAGTGAAGCGGAGGATGAATTTCCGCTACATAACGCAAAATCACCCAGATGCATGCCATGTTAGCATCGCATCCTTCGCATGGAGTAGCGTAAAGTGAAACTGACTGCCACTGTCCAGGCGTCAGGTGTATCATAGGAAGGTCAAGGGAAGCCCAACAGCCCCCTACCACCTCCCCCATACAGGAGGCGGCAGCCTGCCGTACCTGCAAACAGCTCTTGGCGTAGTCCGGATTCTCCTCGCCCTCCGGCTTGACAAAGTCCGCATACACCAGCTCGCCGTCAAAGGAGCCCGCGTAAAACATACCCTGCTCCAGGCGCCGGAAGTCAAAGGCCAGTCGCGTCCCGCCCAGGTCCATGCCTGGCGGGTGGGGGCGCCATGGCAGGTTGGGTACACAGGGTAACAGAGGAAAGGAAGACCGCTCGGCGGCCATAACCGGCTGTCAGAGGAAGACAGAGCCTTCTCCGCCCCGACGGAGACAGGGCAAGGGCACGCAGCAATCACAAGCGCATCCCACAAGCATACCACCCATTCTGAATTCCTAATGAGTTCCTGATGCAGGAGGGAAGGTGTGGCTGTCTGCTGCGTACCCCCCACCGACCGCGCGACTCACCGATGAGGCTGATGAGGTGCACGCTGTGTATGGGCTTCCACACCAGGTCCAGCAGGTCGTCCGCCTTCTTGCCCTTCTTCAACAGCCTCTCCACACGCACGTCCCAGAACAGCACCTGTAGCATGGGCAGGAGGTGGTGTAACGGGCAATGCGCAGGGCTGCTAGGCTGGGGCTAAGGAAAGGAGCAGAGAGGCGGTGGGGAGGCACGCTGCCTCAGCGACAGCGACTCTTCAAGGGCTAGGGGTATAGGACGGCAATAGCAAAGCAACAGCACCGCACAGGGTTCGCGTTGGTCTTGGCAGCGGCAAAGCCGCAACCGCAACTGCGGCGCCACGTACCCTGCCGTCAGCCGCGACGGTTGCGAAGAAGTTGCACTCCTTGGAGCCCTCGCCCAGCTTGGTGACCTTGCCTCGGTGGCTGATCTCCACACCCGGCAGCCACTGCAGGTCCGTGATAACCTGCATGCCAGCGAGCGAGGGAGAGGGTGGGGGTACCGGTAACAAAACCGCGGGGGAGATGTGAGGCCGTATGCATGCGAGGGTGGCAAAGCCGCAACACCGGCGAGTAACGTTACTGTGGGTGTGATATGCGCCGCCGTGTGGATCCGTAGTGAGGTTCAGCTACACAGCGTGGCAACGCAGGAGGCGGGTTGCTGAGCGTTTAGTCAGGCCCATGGATTTGGAAGGTGCAACGGTACATGGGCGATTGACTAACAAGCCATGTGTTCAGAAACCAGGCGCCGCATGCCTTTCTAATTCACATAGTGCGCCGTAATTGCAAGCCGCCCTGTGTATTGATTATCCAATCCAACCCGCAGCAAGCAGCAGCTCCCGGCTCTCCCGCACCTGGTGGTGGCTGAACTGCGTGTCCGTCATGAAGCGGTGCTTCACCACCGGGATTTGCGCGTCACCATCCGTCGCTGAGGCCCCCGAAGCATCCGCACCCCCACCGGCCGCTCCGCCTGGCATGGCAGTGGGCGGCGGCGTCAGGTCCGTGGCCTTGCTGGGGGTCCCGTCCGTGCTCTTGGCGGCTCCCCCGGCCACGCCCGCACCCGCCGTCCGGCGACCCAGCCTGTCCGCCTCGCTGCTGAGATCCCAGAGCACCACCTGGCCGTTGTAGCAGCCGCCTGTGAGCAGGTCGGGCTGCAGGGGGTTGAACTGGAAGGCAAAGACCTCCCAGGGGCTCTGCAGCACCAGCTCCGGGTGGATGGGGTCTCGGAAGTTCCACAGCAGGATGTGCGCCGGCGCGGTTCGGCCCATGCGTCCGACACGCTCCGCATGGGACTGGGCCTCCGTGCAGGCCACTGCCACCACTCCCTTGCGGTGCGGCAGCCACTGGATTGCAGATACCACCTGAGCGGGGATGGTGGTGGTGGGTGGTGGGGCGATGGGGTGCGGGCGGTGGTCGCAACGGGGAGGCAGTGGCTCGGGGGAAAAGGTCAGTCAGGCAATGTGCCCGCCGCATGAGCAGGGGAGCATGCGGTGATGTCAAGGGCAGACGTGGGGTAAGGCATTGCAGGTTTGCAGCACAGCTGAAGACGGGTACCTTGTTCTTGGAGTATGTCAGGTGCGTGAAGGACTGAGCCTCTGATATGAGCGTCTCCTTGCGGCTGCCGCCGCCGCCACCGTCCGCCTCGTCGTTCAGAGCCGCCAGGTCATCTCGGAAGATGTTGGTGATCTCGTTTTGCACCAGTGCCACCTCACACCTGCCCCATGCAAACGAGGAACCGGGAGGTATCATGCACCGCGTCTTGCCGAACACCATGACCAGAACACCAGATACCGGTATGCATATGCCGCCCAGCAGAGAGTCACGGTGCGAGGGTACAGCGGTCCCATAGCCACGGGAAGTTCAAAAGCATGCCTGTCTATCATTGTACGCATTGTGCTGCCCCACTTCACCCCAACCCGCCGGAAACACAACCCCGCGCAGACTCACAGGTCCCGCACTCGTTCAAGGAAGTCCGCCACGCTGCCCTGCGCGCTCCGCGGCCGCTGCAGCAGCTCCTGTTTCTGCTCTGCCGTCATGTCCAGCGCGGCGGTCTGCGTAGTGGCGGGCCGCGGGGGCACCGGCCCGCTGGAGTGCGTGCCGACGTCCCGCAGCGGCGCCACCGCCTGCACCGCCGCGTCCTGCTCCATGCGACGCATGTCGAAGTTGGGATCCTGTGGAAGAAACGGGAAGAAGGATTGCATCGGTATGAGCAAAGCGGCAGCTGGAAATGACATGGGGCTAAGCACAGCTCATGTCAAGCATGGCATTCTCCAGCAAATGACAAGGCCCTAGACGGCTCCCAAGGCCTAGCAAGCCCATAGCGTATCACCCAGAACTCCATCAAACTAGAAGCCACCACACCGTGACACCGACCTTGAAGGGCCTGCACTCCATTTGGCTGCTGTTCCACAGCTCGTGCGCGTCCTTGTCGGCCAGCTTGATGGAAGGCTGGTGGAACTCTCGCCGCCGGCGCTGCACCACCAGGCGAATGGGGTCACGGCGGGAGCGCACCGCCGCCTCCTCGATGTCCACCTGCCACACGCAAGCAAGCAGCCAGGGACGATCCAGGAGGTTTAACAGTCAGGCGCAAGCAGGTGTTGGAAGGAGCACCGGCCGTTAAAGTTTACGGAGGTACAAGGGGAAAAGGGCAACGATGCGGTGGATAGAAACTTGGCGTGCTGGAACTGCGGAGACTGCTTGAAGGACCCATGTGACCGCAGGACTGGTAAGGCTATGTCAACGGGGTCGACATGCTAGGACAGAGGTTGGAGCCGCACTCCGGCAATTGCACACGCCCTGCCCGACTTGTTTGTACTTTGGCATCGTGACACGTGCCCTACCTCGCTCCCCATGCTCTGCCAGGGTTTGACTTTCCGTGTCCGCTTAGAGCGCGGCTTGGCCCGCTCCGCTGCTGCATGCGCTGCTTCCAGCTCCAGTAGCCGCGCACGCCGCGCCGTCTCCTCCCGGATGCCCTTCCACACGTCCGCCGCCTCCTTGGTCAGTGCAATCTCGTAGTTGTTGCCATCGCCGTACACGTCCTCCTCGTTAAAGCGTATGAGGAAGGGGTCGTAATCTGAGGGATGCAAGGTGACAACGCAGGAGGGATTCCAGAGTTCCTCGGCTCGGGGAGACGGGGGGTCGGCTGTTAGCAGGGCTGTTCTGGGCTGTGGCCAAGCCCTGCCAGCGGTGTCTGTGGCTTCTGGTGGTACCCGGTATCCGAGGGCAACCGTTCAACCCAGCCAGCCACGCTCTCCTTACCTGCCGCCTGGATCCTGGCTTTGAGCGAGTGGAAGTCGCTGATGGCGCCTCGGAACTGGATGTCGTTCAACAGCACCTCCCGAGTCACCTCGCCCGTCAGGTTTCCCGGGCCCAGCGCCGAGATGCCAACAATCTCCACCGTCGTTCCTGCGTCACCGGGATCCGCCTTGCGGTTAACCGGCGCCATGAGCATGGACAGCGCAAAAGAAATAGCGTGGCGGGACGAACGCATGATGAGGAATTGGAGACCGAGCAAGTCTCATTGGTTAGTGCACGATCCTGGACGCGGGTAGGCATAAGGGTAGGTTGCCAGACGGGGGTATGCCCAAGCGTTGCCAAAGGCATCGCTTGGACGCATACCCGCATCTGGCAACCTCCCCAAACGGCATGCAGCCACTCTACGTCCTGCAGTGTGCGAAGATGGGCAGCCGCCGATTGCGTATCCACCCCTACACACTGCCCATCAGAGTACGTTTCCACTCGCGGCCAGTTTGCTTAACGCACTGTCCGAGCCTAGCTTCCTGGCTCCAAAGCACACCTGTGAGGAACAGTGACTCCACACCAGGCAGGGGAACGGGCTTGCCATCCTCATTGCGGTTGAAGGGCTCCGGAATGGGAGGCAAGTCCCGCACTGGAACGTAATCCTCTGGCAGCGGTTCAAGCTCCACAACAGGCGGTGGCGCCGGGATCGAATCCGTGGCTGCTTCTCCCTCCGCAAGGTTAGCTGAAGCTGCTGCATAGCTATCAACCTCGTCAGGGCCCAGCTGCTGCTCCTTAGCTTCCTCTGCGGCGTCCCCCTCGCCCCCTGTGTCGGTGGCCGGCACGTCACCTTCTGCCCCGTCTACTGCTGGTGCTTCCGCACCAACGTCAGGGCCCTGCTGCCCATCCTCGGCTGTCGCCGGTGTGGCAGGGATCTCCCCATCCTCCACCTGCAGCATTCCGTTTTATCACTGTGAGTACGAGAGCGTGATCACCGTCACGTAAGCGCAAGTAGACCAAGCTTAGACATGGTTAGCCATGTTGAACAAAGAACCTTACGCGACGCGCAACCCGAGAGCCCTTAACACCGTGTGAGTCGCAACATGTCTTACAGGAGGAGGCACCGTTGATGCTTCGTCTCCCATATGCCAAGCTTCCACAGTCTAGCAGCTCCTGCTGCCGCGCTTTAAGTAGGAGCTCCCATACTATAAATAGTAAGGTATATTATTCACTACATGCAAAAGGTGAAAATGTTTGTGTAACTTGGGTAAAAGCAGTTAAGGCAAAGATGGCGCGTCAAGAGCGTTAATCCTCAGCTGTTTAGGGCTCTGGAACGTATTTTATGCCATGACGGAAGGAACGTAAGACATTTTTACCCGCTACCTGACTCCGCAGCGTCGCAGGGTTGCTCTAAGCCGTGTACGGCCCCGCAGGATTGCGACTTTGAAATCCACAGGACAGTTATGCACCAGGTGACCAGAACACATTGGTATTTGCATGTTACGATTAACATCACTCTTAATACAGTTTGGGTCCATGTCGCGTTATACCAACGTTTCTCCTTGATAGAAGCTAGCAGGACAGTGGTTCGCCATATCGCCGGCACACACAAACCAAAACTTTCATGGGCATGTAATCCAGACAAGTTAGGCGGTTAGGTATTTTGGATGCGATATGGCTGACAGCTCGGTCCCAAGCTCCTTTACTATCCTTGCGACGGGCCAAATCGAGTGTGCAGAGGTGTGGCCGCTTGAAATGTTACTGCTAGACATAAATGGGCACGGTAGGTATAATGGGCTGCTTCCAAACAGATACCCAACTGCACGAACGCGTACCTCAAGTTCCAATTCGTCGCTGGTGAGGACTGGCAGCTTTTGGACGGCCTTGAGGAGGGCATCACGCAGGCCGCGCGCGTCCCAGAGGGTTAGTGGTTTTCGCCAAATGCTCTGCTCTGCTTACAAGTGCCTGCGCTGGTAACGCATCCATCCATGCATCTTGGGTTACACATCCCCGCACACATCGGGAGCTATCCGTCTGACCACTATGCTAGCGCTGGGAAATAAATAATGACAGCACGACACTTCACCTCGGAAAACACATGTAATAGCATCACCCTTGGGTCCTGCCCTGGCGCTTCCAGGGCGTGACGGTGTGCTGGTATGGAACTTCCCCATTGACATCACCTACAAGACGACCAATGCCTTCGGCTGGCCGCAGCTCGTTGTTGCCGTTTACGGACTTGACACCTTCGGTCGTGACGTCATCAAAGGATATGGCTGCATGCATCTCCCCATGTGTGCCGGCAGGTGAGCCAGAGCGCCCTCCACGCGCGCAAGGATCACCCGCTTTTGCAGTCCTGCCAAATGCCAGCCACCTTTCCCGGGATTCCATCTTACCAATGGCACTGCATTTGCGGCTGCAGGTATAACCTGACGCTGCGGCTGTTCAAGCCGCGCTCCGCCTCGATGTTGCAGTCGCTTACATCATGGCTGACCGGCATGCCAGCTGAGTTTTCGGACCCCAAGTTTCCGAGCTACGGGGAGGGCCGAGAGGGTGAGTCCAGTTTTCCTGATTACTAACAGTTCCCCAGTAGTTGAATGGTCGTGTCCAAGGGAGCGCTGTTGGACCCTTTCGGACAGCAGGCTGTTTGGCAAAGCGCTAAGGTCGTCCCTAGGGGCCCGATATGGATCGACATCGCCCAGTCACCTATTTACTATGCAGTGGCGTCCGAGCTGGCTATTGAGTCCACGCTTCATGCCTATCTTTGGCTGCACCTCGCGTGGATGCAAGCCTGGTTATCCGCCCATCTTCCCTTTTCTTCACGCACCTGCAGTGACACGTGTGCAGTCGGGCGGCCACGTCAAGGTGCAGGTCAACCTCATGACAAAGGCAAGTGGCGCGTTCAGGGACCCACACGGTGACGTCCATGTTCTGTACCTGGGCAGGCCGCTGGGGCAAGTTGCTTCCAGTGCGAAGGCGGTCATTGTATCGGGCGCCGGTAGCCTTCATGCCTGGCGTGCTTTGCCCGGAAGCTGTGGGCGAGGGCGTTCTGAGTTGCCCTGCCCCGCCCTCTTCTCACCCGATGTGCAGGACATGGACGTGTTTGGGTACGTTGACGGCAGCGGACGGGACCCCAGCGCTAACAGCATCACCCGCATGTGAGCGCCTGTGATCGGAGCTGCTAACAGCCGGCAAGGCGGCGAACGAATGGGCTTTCCTGGAGCTTGCTATTGTAGCCAGGACGGACCCCGGCAGTGTTATTATAGTAGCAAGTCGGAATGGGTTAGTGTATGAGAAGCAAGAGGACGCCACCTTCAGGGGGTAGCCAATGCAACGCCTGAAACTTTCAGGCTGAAAGGCTATTGCGGCTCGGGTGAGGGGTCACTAGGGTCTGCTGCATTTCAGCGCATATGAAAACTCACATGGGAATGCCAAAGCACTCATGATGACGTTTCTCATTGGTAGGACGGAATTTACCGCGGTGCGAACATGGTCAGGAGCTAATACTTAGCTTGCCGAACCGGTATGGGAATTGTTCGGTGTACGGAGCAATGGGCATAGGCACTGGTCGTGCTTACAATATGGCCTTGCATAAGGTCGGGACAGCTAGTCCATATATAATTTAAACTATGGGCGCCCCCACCTTGGATATTATCTCGTCACAGGTCACCCTTGCTGCATTCAAGCCACTACACGTCACCCTTGCAACACCCTTAGTGACGGTGGTTCCCGCAAGATCCATCGCCCTTGCACTTGTGGCCCGGCTCGTGCTTGTGAGCGCCTCCGCAGCCCCCATGCCCGTGCTTGTGCTCTCCGCCACAACCACCGTGCTCGTGCTTGTGCTCTCCGCCACAACCACCGTGCTCGTGCTTGTGCGCACTTCCGCAGCCCCCATGCTCGTGCTTGTGCTCTCCACCGCAGCCACCCTGCTTGTGCGCGCCGCCGCAGCAGCCTTGTCCGTGCTTGTGGCCCCCGCCAACCGCATGGTTGATGCAGAAGGCAAGGTAGTTGGGCTTCTGCTCGCTGTCCAGCAGCCGCCAGTCGGAGGCCACAAGAACCGCCAGGTGCCATCCGTGAGCCTGCATGACGGGCACCGTAGCACAGGGGCGGTGTTGTCGCCTCCGTGCGATACGAGAAGCTCCATGACGGCAAAAGCATGACAACTAATCCCGAGCAATGCAGAATTTAGGGGTGCCTATTCCTAGAAGCCCACTATGCCTCACAACATGCGGTCCCTGATTTCCCAGCCAGCAGCTCACGGCTTGGTGCGTTCACGCCACGTTAGCTCCACACCTCCCCCCACCTGTAGCATCGTGTGCGTGGTGCGCAACTGGGCGTAGGACTTGGAGTCCGCTTCCGAGGGGCGGTTCTCCTCCATTTGCAGCGCCACCTGTACGACAAAGTGCCAACGCTTGGGGGTGAAAGATCTGCCACATACCATGCAATGGTGGCCAAAGGGAAGCCAGCCCCTTTATGTTGGCGCATGGATTGTTCGCATGGGGCAAGGCTGCGCGGCCTGGAGCAGTTCAGGTAAGTGTTCCAAACGCCCGCTGCATGTATCCATCCTACGTGGCACCTAAGCGCTGGCCGGCACCCACACCATGCCATGCCGGTAGCGTAATGATGCCTTTTTGAAGACGTTGCGGTACACCATGTTACGCAGGCGGCACATGTCAGGGCCAGCCCAGCTCCTCAACCTTACCTTTACTCCCTGCAGGTAAAGCCCCACGTCCACTACGGCAACCCCATCTCCAACAACGCAGTTACGGCCCGGCTGGAGTCCCATGTCCTGAGGTTGAACGGTGAAGAGCGGCAAGGGCCAGGCAAAAAGAAAAGGCATTGGGATAAGGAACAGCTGGTGGGGTCTTGCTGGACCTTTCTAAAGGCCGTATCCATACGGACAAACGAGGGGAGAAGGAACGCCCGTCCAGGCGTGAGCAGCCCCCAAAAGTGAGAGGAGGTAGACCAGCAGAGGCCACGTGGAAGGCAAAGGTTCAACGTTAAGGAGGCCGAGTCTTCTACACCAGGGCGCCGGTAACGACCATGCGGGCTCATTCAGTTCCCAGCGCGGCGGTGTCCACGCGTTACCTATAGCCCCATACGGCCGTTAGCGCACCTCGAGAGTCTTGACCACCTCATCCATCTCTGGTAGAACCCCACTCCGAGTCGTTGTCACGTGACCATCTGAGGCCTCGGCAGCTGCCGATTCAACCTGCCGTGGGACGATGCAGCTTTGTCAGCAACAACGAGTGATTATTGCGGGACGTTGCGCTGTCTCTGACAGACCTCCGCGGCAATGCTGTTGACCGGCACCGCGCTACCCCGCTTGCTCGATAAAAGCGACTCATGCCTTCCCCGCAACCCCTAAACTTCCCCGGGTTTAGCAATGCTCGTGCACGGTCCGCTTCACCCTATTGATGAATCTTCCCATTTGCCTGCTCTCGTATAAATCGCGCATCCCCCAGCTGTCAAAGATTCGTAACGACGTCCATGCCGGCGTCTAGACCCACCTGGCCAGGACGCCAAGCTTGACGTGTCTCCTCAGCTGACACCGTCGAGGATGGAGTTGCTGGCGAAGCCTTGATGCAAGCAGAAGTGACGAACGAGTGCAAGCCCATTTCCCGCTGAATAAGGGAAGCAGCGTTAACTGTAATCCCGGAGGTTGCATCGCAGGCTACTGTTAACAGTGTTAAAGCCGGACTTGAGGCCTGCCATTTGGAGCGCGTGAGCGTGGAAAGCCGGCCAAGGACTGAAGCGGCAGCGAACGCACGCGACATTTCCGCCTATTTTTAGCAAGTTTGGCAAAGTATAAACCGGCGTTAAGCACTAACGAAGGATTGGGGTTCTGTTCCGCCGTACAAAAGAAGAAGTTAAGGGGTCAGCGTCATGGAGATCGGGTCACTGGCGCTGCTTTCAGACAAAACAAGGGATAAGCGGATAACCACACGTGATAACCATAGGAAACCTCATCGCAGACGCTCCTTTCCTACCAGACGCACTTGTTCACGAGTATGGCAGTATCTGGCCTCACCGCTGTTGTATTGGGTGCCACCGGGGCTATAGGCAGTGAGCTCGTTCAACAGTTAGTGAATAACCCTGGCTTTAAAAAGGTCGTCACTGTAGGACGTCGAGCTTTGGATGGCGCGCCCACGGGACCCGTCGAGCTTGTTCAGAGGACAGTAAACATGGATGCGCTAGAGACGGAGGCTAAAGATGCTTTCACTGGGGCTGATGTCGTGTTCTGTGCTCTTGGAACCACACGGAAGGTATGAGTGCCGAGGGTTCACGTCATGGGCCACGCGGCAAGCACGGCCGTGCAATTGTTCGCGCCCGCACCAGGTAGTGTTAACCATTTGCAAATGTTAACGAAGCGCAAAACTATGCAGGAGTTGGTCTGGTTAGGGCCCACACGTTGGGCACGAAACGTGACCTCATGGATGCAGTTCCATTCCCTTTTCAGCAACCCCCAAGCATGCGCCAACTCAGACTATGACAATGGACACCGGTAACCCCAACAGACTGCTGGAAGCGCTGATGCCTTTAAGAAAGTGGACTTTGAGTATGTGGACAAGTCAGCACGCCTGGCCCACGCATGCGGCGTCCGCCACTACTCCCTCGTGTCGGCACAAGGCGCCAACCACAAGTGCCCTGCGAACGACCTAGGCCTCTTCCACGGGCTACTGTACAAGAAAACCAAGGGCATGGTGCGCTCGCTGTAATTGCTATCTCGCTCCTCGCAATTTTGCCCGTTGCGTGCCAAACGGGATGGCTTTGACCTTATTAGGGCTCTGCTGCATGGGTCGTTATCTGCAGCTGTCCCTGCGCATGTAAGACAGGGCATTGCCCACGGGTGGGTACCCAAGCAAGCCAGCAGGGCAGACAGTGTATACTCACATCCCCGCCCGTCTTGCAGCGGCCTCCTTGCCACAGCGGCTCCCATGTTGCCCTTCCTTACGCTGCAGGCAGAGCAGTCGGTGCTGCAGCAGGGCTTCCAGCGCGCCTCCATTTTCCGTCCGGGGCTTCTGAACCGCGGAGATAAGGCGCGAGCAATGGAGAAGCTGGCGGCGCACGTCTTCTCCAGCATTCAAGTGAAGGTACGGCACGCTTGTGGGTGGTGATACGGAGCTCCTGATTGTTAAGTTCTGATGTGGGGGTTCCGCTCATCGCGTTTTGCGGGGCGATTTACTTATTGGTATCACTGTAGTACATTGCTGCTGGCTATAAATCCCATGGACCTGCCGTACGCAGGATGTCGCACGACTCATGATCCTGGACGCCCTGCGCGACCCGGCTACGGCCCAGCCGGCAGCGGTGTTTGAGATGGGGGAGCTGCTGAAGGCCTGCCAGACCGCTGGCCAGCCACCCGCACCGTCAAAGTAACGCCAGGAAGCCAGCAGAACGGTTGTCATGGGGTGCTGTAGATAAGAGCAGACACGGGAGGTGTTGAAAGTTGCATGTTGAGCGTACGGTATGTGGGAGAGGACGGTGGTGAGGGCGGCTTGGAGATTGCTATGTTACTGAGGCTGTGCTACCTAGCCCGGGGACCGCTAGTCTGCGTGTCGGTGGCGATGTGCATTCCCAAGATATGTCGCAGACGTCTCTCGAGGGTTTGGAATCATTTTCACGCCTAGATGTGTAAAGTTGGGCCCAGGAAGCGGCACCGGTCATGCTGGGCTGCAAAATGGCTCTCATGGTGAGGCGAGTTGAGAGCAGATGCTTTCCCAGTTGTTGCAAGGAAAGGAGTTTCATAGTTCGTATGCCGGGACGATGGCTTTATGGAGCTATACACGTATGTCGCTGCGTGTTTCGGAGCCTTGGCAATGCGAAGGTATTTACGTTAGCTGTAGCCGTCTCAGGGTGGATTGGCCACGCCCTCTTACTACCCGTCGAGCATGTCTTACTGTTTTCGGTTTGCGCAGCCGGTACACGTCGTCTTGTCTCATGGCGACGCAGCCGAGTGGCCATATGGTTTGCATCAATTACTCTCCCAACAAAAACTAACAAAATAAATTGACATTACCGCATGCTGTGAAGAACTGGGTTATTCGTATAGCGAGCCAGTCTCGCGAGCCTGACAATCAAGCGTCATCTCACATGTACGATGTTGGTCTTATCGAACACTTACTACGCTCCGCCGTATCTTAATGTTAGGTTGACTCGCCAAAATAAGTAGACCTAGCACACTCGTTTGAATGGACCATCTGTAACACTGTAGACAGCCGTGTAAGCTGTCGCATACCCGCCAAATCGCGACAAATTCTGCTATGGGCCATATGCCACGACAATTGTTCTTTTTATTCGCGTTGTGCGAAATAGTGCTTCTCTTTGTGCATCCTACGCACGCGTTGGGACCTTACGCATGGTTCAGGTAAATCCCAACGGCGACGGCGCTCCGCTTCTCACAGTTCTGCCATCCCCTTCGTCATAAAGCGAAGTCCCTCACCGGTTTCCGTTTGAAACGGCGTGCATACAGTCGAGGATGGAGCCAACGAACAGGACCTGATGGGGTTCGCCTGGGGCGTCATCTTCTGCAAGCGGCGAATTCCAGCCTATGCGCGAAATCTTGGCTTGGATATCAATGCACAAAGCTGGTGAGGCGAACTGGACAGCTGCCCATAGCGTGATCGCCGCACAGTTGGTGTGACGAGGGTGTTGTGGGGGCATGGCGCAAGTGGGGCGTTCACATGGCATGGGTTGGCTTGTGGGGTGGGTTCGCCCGCCCGCAACCAGTGCTGCCAACAGCAGAAGAGGGGAAAATGCAGAGCCCGGGAACCTGCCGCTGCCCAACAATCCGTACCCGCACGCATGCAGACCTTTGAGGGTACAATCATCCTCGTTCTGACTGTGCCCCTCTCCTATTTGCTTGCCCCTGCACCCCAAGGTATGCGGCCGCATTCGGATGCACTGGAGCCTGGGGGGCCCTCCACCGTCCGGTGCCGGCTGCTTCTACAACGGCAGCCAGGTGAGAGATGACTAATGCCGCTGCTGTTAGCCTCAACCCAAACTGCATGCTGCTGCTCGCCATGCTTCTGCTCTTCCATGCTCCTGCTCCCCATGCTCTGTTGCGCCCCTTCTGCAGGTCAGCTCGCCCCCCGACTCCTCCTCCCAGCTTCTGCACATCGCGCTTCAGACGGACGCCCTGGGCTACGTAGCAGTGGCCTGGCCCAAGAAACGGGGTGTCATGGTGCCGGCGGATTCGGTGATTGGCGGTTTTGACAGCAGCGGCAACGCTGGTGTGCTGGCGTACGGCATCTCGGTGGGTGGGCACGTACGCTCACGACTTTGATGCGTCGTACCCTGTTAGCCGCAGGTGAAGCATCACCCGCACTGTTGAGATTGCACGAACGTCCTGGCGAGGCCATCTACGGCTCCATGTTTTAGTTCTTATTGTACAACGGATATAATAAGTCCGTATATGAAGTCCCTCATGGATACTCTCAATGCTCTCCACACAGGGCAAAAGGCCATCAGACGTCTCACCGGACCCAAGTGTCGTCCTTACGAACACCAAGGTCGAGAGAAACGCAACGTCGCTGTCTGTTTGCTTCACAAGGAACATCTCGCAAATAGCTCAGGTAACGCCACCGTACGCGTCTAAGTTGGGGCATGTTGTTGCAGGTATACCGGTAGTGGGTTGCCAGCAGGATAAACAAGTGGCGCCGAAACCACTGTTCCAAACCGCCGCCATGATGCAAACCCAGGCCAGCAGGGATCCTTGGCCATGAGGTTTGGCGCTAAGCATACCTCCGTTCGCTTTCATGCCCGAGGCTGTTCGACCCCTTCCTGAGTGCCGCCTCTGCTGCTCTCTTCGCCCGCCAGGTCGCCCAGAAGTCGGGCATCACGTTGAGCGCCGCAGAGGCTGCCTACTTGAACGTTGTGGGTGAGTGGACCGCACCACATGCACCACACCACACGGGAGTCACGACTGTGACAGAAACAATACATGTTTCGTTCCTAAACGCTGGATCCACGCGAAATAATTCGTACCGCTCGTCCTTCCCTTCGTCGCCTCATGCACGTTACTGCCAAAAGCTCACACCACTAACCGCAGCAACGGCCGCCTTCCCGTCCCCCGTCCTTCTCTCCTCCCCCGTCCTCCTACTTCTCTTCTTCTTCCTCCCCACAGCGTCCGCCGTGCCCATCAGTCAGCCGCACCTGCACGGCACCAACTACCAGTGCGCCACCTCGCTGGCCCTCCTCCAGCCCACCGGGGGGCCTGACGACGGCCTCTGGCGCCCCACCAACGCCACCGCCGACCCCGGCCTGATGCTGGCGAGCGAGCTGGGCTACATGAGGTCCCACGGCGCGCTCATGTTCACTGGCTGGGTGGTGCTGGTGCCGGCGGGGGTGCTGGCGGCTCGTCACCGCTGGCTGTTCACGCGGTTCGGCGTCAAGGGCATGTGGTTCCACGTGCACCGGACGGTGCAGGTGCGGGAAAGGGGGTGTGTCTCTCGGGTCCAGGGCTTGACCCAGATGGGTCAGGGGCTCAGGGTACTCGTCCACCGCCACCTTACGGCCTCATATAATCCCCCCCCCGACCCCCCAGATGCTGGCCGTCACGCTGGTCGTCATCGGCTTCATCCTTCCCTGGACCACCTTCGACTCGGCAGACACCGAGGAGGCTGAGGGCGCGGAGCATGAAGCCCACATGGAGGGAGACCCGCTGCTGCAGGCGCACCAGCTCCTCGCCTTCACCCTCATAGCGGTCCTGGGGCTGCATCTGGTGCTTGCGGCGGCACGACCCAAGCCGGATGCGCCCATGCGGGCCCGATGGAACCTGTTACACTGGTGGGCTGGACGGGTGTTGGCGGTGCTGGCAGGTGTGAATGTTGCCATTGGGATTGCGTTGTGGCGGGAGAACAGCGGGGGCAGCGGCGCGGATTTCGTTGTGCCGCTGGTGTTGTTTGGGGTGGGGTGGGTGGGGCTGGCAGTGTGGTTGGAGCGGCGGGCACCGCCGGGGCGGGGGGTGGAGGGGGGCGCGGCGGGTGTGACGTTGGTGGGCGGGTATGAAACGGTGTCGTCGTCTGGCGTGGGGGTCCCGGCTGGTGAGGTGCGGTTGTCGGCGCTGGGGCAAGCGGCGGGGGGTAACGGGTATGGGGGCATGTCGTTTACTAGGATGTAAGCAGATGGAACAAATGAGGAGGCTGGAGGGGACATGCAGGATGTTCGAATGCGGGCGGGGTTCTTGAGAAGCCTGCACCCCTGAGGAGCACTGAATTGCGCGCTGTGTAGGTTGGCAGCCTGGGCGGGGAAGTACGTGGGAGGGCGAACCAGGGGACCCCTTCGACATGCCGGCACTTGGATTAGACCTCGATGAGACCCTGGATCTGGTTGCAGCTTAGTTTGGTTCTGGCTGCAGCAGTTACACCGCGAGCGTCCAAGCATTCAGGTATGTTGAGATAACTGGCCGCGAGCGCTGCTTACAAGCACCGGTCGTGTTTGCTTACCCTGCTGACAACGTAAGTGTGACGAGGGGGAATACCGCTTGGACACGTGTGGAGAGTTATTAGTTCGCGAGAATTGCACTGGAGGACCAACCAGTAAGAGAGTAGAGTTATTAGGCGTTATTTACAGTCTGCGCGCATGTACTATGTGTACGTACGAGCCAGGGGGGCCAAGTATACTAGGTTACTTGTGCAAGGCCTAAAAAAGAGGCGTACTGATACCTTGTCCCAGCAAAGGAGAAACAAGCTTGTGTTTTGGTCTGGGTGTGGGGAATGCCGACCGCAAGGAGGGCTAGTGGGGCGCGTGGTTTATGTTGGGGAGTGCTACTGCTGTGATGGCGCTGCTGCTGTGTTGTGCTTTCTAAGCTGCAGGATCGACACTGATGCTGCTTCTGGAGGAAACGCGGTCACTTGGAATAGGTCATGAGTCATCGCTTTACGGGTTTACCGGTATTAGCTGCTGTGTCGTGTTCCTAAGCTCAGCTTCAGCATGGCGCCATGCCGCTAGTGACCAGGCGTGTTTGCTCCCCTGTGTGCAATGTGGCCAACGGGTGTTTCGGCGCACGTCAACCCATTTACAACGAAAAGTACTTTCCTGCATTTTCGCCCTAGGCGGATTTGCAGCATTGCTTCCAGCAAGCTCACACTGGCCAACACGGTTGGCCAGGTCGTTCTGTGCGACAGCGCTAGTCTGGATGTATTACTGGGCGTAAGGCACGGGCGCAATGCTTGTCCATGACCAAGTCGGGCTAACTCAGTACATGCCGCTAAGGCGCCTCACAGAGAAGCAATGGCGCATTGGCACAATGGCGTTCAGGACTTACAGCTATTGTCGTAATGTCATATCTACCTGCCTCGGCCGTACCAAAAACGACTGAAAGGTGACATATGATAGCCTGCCATCAAAGCTTATCCTCGTTATGCTGCGTTAACCATTTTGCTTGTATGTTTTTAACTGCCTACACCGCCTTTGTATGACAGACTAGCGGTTACAAAGTTGAGACCCTTTCGACTTACAGTAACAATTGATCGGGAACCTAGCATACCTGCCATTTGACCCAACTTGGAAGGCTTTTGTGCTACGAGACTCTGCTAGACAGCTGACGCCGGGCCATAGCGTCCAGATCACTAGTGCATTGAGACCGAGTTCCCTGCAGAATGCGTGCTCTCATCCTTGTGGGCGGCTATGGCACCCGGTTGCGGCCATTGACGCTGAGCTGCCCAAAGCCACTCGTTGAGTTCGCGAACAAGCCCATGATTATCCACCAAATCGAGGTATGCATCATTCGTAATTCTGCTGCCCGACTTGTGAGAATGGCATTCGCCTTCAATTATGTAGCATACGAGACAGTGGTGTCCATCACCAGGCGCTGAAGCAAGCTGGGTGCACGGAAGTCGTCCTTGCCATCAATTACCAGCCTGAGGTGCGACGTTGGCTTCAGGGTTGGGTACGGGAACGGGGGGACACGGCTTCACTTCAAAAGTCTCTTTATCTGCCCCGCACCTGCGCGCCTTTGGCTTAACGACTTCCGTTCCTTACTCATCCCATCATCCTGAACAGGTGATGATGGGCTTCATCGAGGAGTGGCAGGAGAAGCTCGATGTCAAGATTGTCTGCTCCCAGGTGCGACAAGCGTTGTGCTAATTACCCGCGACTCGCGTTGTTGGTCCTGTCAGCATCGTCGTTGACTGTTTACTGTTTTCTGTTTTCGGTTACAACGGCCACCACAGGAGAAGGAGCCCATGGGTACTGCCGGGCCCCTGGCTCTGGCTCGCGAGACACTTGACGACGGAAAGGGCACTCCTTTCTTCGTCCTGAACAGGCGAGTAGGAGTAGCTACGATGCTAGTAGCTCATGCAACCATGCATGCAGCTCCCTACCTATAGCCTATTACCTATCTTACTGCAAGCCGACCCAGATGGCCAACTTCTCCTCCGGGCTCCAGCCAGGTGATCTAGAGTAGCCTGCCGTGCCCGCTCAGCTGCGCTGGCGCCGTGCAAGCTGCACCCCCCGCGTCCTCGACCCATCATATCCTGAAAAGTCTACACTTGCCTCTTCAAATCTCACAGCTACCTTTATTGCCACCCTGCCCACTGCCGTTATAGTAGTCACCTGTAAAGGCTGTAATACCACCCGTTACCGTTACCCTGCCCGTTACTGCTGCGCAGTGACGTCATCTGCGACTACCCGCTGAAGGACATGCTGGACTTCCACAAGGCCCGCGGGGCGGAGGCAACCATCCTGGTGACCAAGGTACGACAAGGGGGCTGATGGGGCCGGGTCGTGGGCTAAACAATAATGCGACACTGCCGATGCAACTGACGAGCTGTATGGCATGTAGGCTTCACCATGGGGTGGTGGGCGGGTGGTTTGGGTGTTAATGTACACATCTGGAGGGCGGGGCAGAAGAGTGCAAAGGAGCCCTGAGGGGGCTACAGTTCAGGCGATACTGCGGGCTGTGTGCTGTCTCGCGGGCCTCCGTTCGGGCGAAAGGGAATGGGGCTGCCAGGGAATGAGACCAGGGTTGCTTAGGGGGTTCCTGCTTACCACTTAGCACGGGCTAACTCCTGCCCACGTTGCATTACCGTGTAAGGCCGTGTGTTAAAATAACTGGCCGCGAGGCGAAACGTACGGCCGTGTGTGTGTATGGGCTGCCGTTCACCCCAGGTGGATGACCCGACCAAGTACGGCGTGGTGGTGATGGACGAGTACGGCCAGGTGCAGCGCTTCGTGGAGAAGCCCAAGGTATGTCAGGGCTCCTGTGTACGTCAGTGTGCGGCCCGGCCCCTGGCCTGGCTGAGAACGGAAGGCGTTGTGAGGGTTTCCTGGGGCCTTCAGGCTGCTGCGTGGCCTGTGCTGAGAGCCGGGCTGTGTGTGATGTGGGTTGGGATCAACCCCCGTGGGTGAGCGCTTCTGGTAGGGGCTTCTTTGCGCTGTCTTAGCCACGACACAGGTCACGTGGGATTAATTCCTGCTGCCGTATTGCATATCATGTGCGATACAATGATTCACCGATACGCCATGCACGACGTCCTTACCCCACTTTCGCTAACCACAACGTTCCCGCCCCCATGCGATCCACCTCCCGCACCCAACCGCCACCAACCGCCATGCCTCGCACCAACCGACCATGCTGACTGGTGCGACCTCCTGCGCCGCCGGCTCGCATACCCCACTATGATACCCCATCTCGTTTGCGGCCGCCGACGCAATATCATCATCAACATCCACACATCGGCTGGTCTGCTCATACCCCTCCACACGTCCACCGGCCGTCTTCCCACTTCATACATACCATCCGCCGATACCGCAGCCCGACGAACTTGTACGTACCCAGCTCCCAACTTCCGAGCCTAATTGGGCTCAATCCTCCTTACGATGGAACCCTAATGGAACACTAACACCGCTCGTCGCTAACAGACAAGCATGCATACGCAGCATACCTCCTGGTTGCAATCCTACTTGGATCTCTTCATCAGCATTGCTTCCGAGTCATGCAGCGTGGCAGCCGACTGGACAGTACGGCACCGCCTTCACGTCACGTGATGCTACTCCCGCAACTTTGGGCGGCCGTCGTCGAATGGGTTCCACTACCATCCCACAACCAATTCCGCATACCTCCTATGCGCCCCTGTAGTGAGGGCGGCACACGCGGAAGCATAATGGCATGGCACCCTGTAGCAGGAATCCACCTGACCACTCCGCCACAAACCTGAGCATCCACCATGCGCCATGTCTGTCCGTCCCTCTGCATGCCGTACTGCTCATACCCTTCATTTCTCGATGCCTCCTGCAACTCTCCTCCCGTCATATCACGTCATCCCCACTCGCGCGCACAAAACGCAGGAGTTTGTGGGCGACAAGATCAACGCCGGCATCTACGTGTGCAGCCCCTCCATCCTCAAGCGCATCGAGCTGCGCCCCACCTCCATTGAGCGCGAGGTGTTCCCCCATGTGGCCGCGGACAACAAGCTGTACGCCCACACACTGAACGGCTACTGGATGGATGTGGGTCAGCCCAAGGACTACCTGAAAGGTGCGTTTCACCGGGGTAACGCGTAACAGGCTTGGTGCTGATTTGCAAAAATACAAACAAATTAGTTAAATAGTGGATTACTTTAATTCTAATATTAAGGATTATAAAGCTGCTGCTGTTCTGTGTGTGCTTTCTGCCTAGCTGGTAACCCCACTTAGCAGCTGGTGACGAGCCGCAGCCGCGTTTGGGAGATGGTAGCCGCAGCCGCTAGCAGCCCGGCAGGCTCTTGAGGCCATGCAGGCACAGTTGTAGCGGGGTAGGACGCATATGCGCGCGACCCATTTGCCACCCATGGCCGTTTCGTCATCCCCAGCATTACATTACACGGCTCTGCAACCCTCCTCATACGGGCATACTCCCTTCCCTTTCCCCTTTCTCCACCGCCGCCCCCCAGGCCTGCACCTGTACCTGGACTCCATGTCCATCCGCCAGTCGCCGCTGCTGGCGCGCGGCCCCGGCATTACGGGTAATGTGCTGGTGGACCCCAGCGCCAAGATCGGGGAGGGGTGCCTCATCGGGTGAGTGCAGTGGTAGCATCCGCGTGCGGCTCTGTACAAGCGGTATAACATGGGTGCTGCATGCATGCATGCGTGCTTGCAGTGCACGCCCTGCGCCTATACCAACCGCCAGAATTAGAGACGCTCGCACGTTTTGCAAGCGCCGGGGGTGGTTGGACATCTCAAAAGCGTTCCAAGGAGGAGATCGACACTCCCGCATGTGACCTTCTGTCCTCCCAGGAACGGTTTGCTCTCTCTCTCCGACCTCCTCTTCTAACGCTCCTCTTCGCAACGCCCCCTCGTGCGGTGCTCGCAGGCCCGATGTGTCCATCAGCGCAGGTTGCGTCATCGGCAACGGAGTGCGGTTGAGCCACTGTGTGGTCATGAAGGGCGTGCACATCAAGGACCACAGCAAGGTGGGTGCGTGCATGCGCATGCGAGGGCGGCAGGCAGGAGGGCAGGCAGCCGGGTGTTTACCGGGTGCCCCCATGGCTGAGAAGCGCAGGAAACAATACCCTGTGTGTGTAGTTGAGTAGAACAAGAGCAAGCAGTTGGGATAGGTTCGCATGTGAACCGCGAGTACAGGCAAAACAGAGGGAAAACAGAGGTAAACAAACCTGAAACGTAACTCAATAACTGCTTAAATCGCTGGTGCTGGATGTAAGAAGAGTGGCTGGTTGACGACGCATGTGTGTGTGTTAAAGCAGCAGTGTTCGTTGGCTGTGATTCATCTTGGCGTTTGGCGCTTGCGGTAGCACCTGAAGCAAACGCTTGACGCTTACGCTTCCGGCAAATTGCCAAGTTGTTTATACTCGCGGCCAGTTTTCTTATCACCCCGGCACACGCCCCGCCTCAGGTGGACCTGTGCATCATCGGCTGGGACAGCCGCGTGGGCGCGTGGAGCCGGCTGGAGAACCACTGTGTGCTGGGAGAGGACGTGCAGTGCAAGGTGAGCGGGGTGCTGCTACTGCGCGGCTTCATGGGGGGGAACATGCCGGGCATGGCGCTGTACCCTGGCTAAACCCATGTTTGTTAAGACAACTGGCCGCAAGTAGGCTCGATGGTCCCCACCACGTGTGTGTTAAAATAACTGGTCGCGAGGCGAAACGTACTGTGATTGCCGAAAGATGAAGTCCTCCCGCGCGGGTGTGTATGCATGCGCGCACTGCAGGACGAGCTGTACCTGAACGGCGCCATCGTGCTGCCACACAAGGAGATCAAGGACTCCGTTCCAAGCCCCGCCATCATCCTCTAAGCACGCTGCTGCATGGCTGCATGCCACCTTTTAGGGGCACAGCTGCATTGCTGCCTCTACCGTCCCCTAGGGGAACGTGTGGAGAAACGCGCATGTGCAGGTGCATGTGTTTTGCTAGCAAGCGTTTGCCGGCCGTGCATCCCAGGCATGTTGTTTGTGTCGGGATTAAACCGTTTAAGTGTGTGGAGGTAAGAGACCCTTTATAAGGGGGTTATGGTGTGTGGCATCGGTGGCTACCCAGTTCCGTTGGGCTTGTATATACCCCAGCCAAAGCAGACAACGCAAATAATGGGCGGTCATCACGGGAGGGCTCCTGTAGCAGTTACCACAATCTGCAACATACATGAGAATGGCTCTTTGTTCATGGCGCAGTCCGGTCCTCTTTACTTTGGGTGGCAGGTATAGTTTGGCGCCTATTATGGGTAGATAGGACGTAAGAGAGACTAGACTGTACTAGTAAGACCTCATCGTAACCGCGACAAAGTGTTCTCGCGAACTGATGCAAACTAGGTTGTAGGAGCCTAGGGCAGAGCCTCTCGTACATGTAATTGTGCAAAACTATTATAAGCCAAGCACCGGCACCGGTGGGTATGCTGGATTGTCGCCCAGCACACCATAGCGGCAGCGCAGGAGGCGCGGCAGGAGGGAAGGGAGCGGGAGGAGGGGGCACCGGGAGCAGGAGCAGGGGGCGTTAGGCTCGTGAACCATGGGTCGTTCACGTATTGTGGTTGCATCCTTGTCTACTACATATCCGGAATGTACACTGGTGATGTCACTGGCGTGCCTTAAGAGGCAGTCTACAAATGTACACAAGTTGCCAGCACATGCGGCGATTTGGTCTACCTGGGTATTGGACCTATTGACACACACGCAACACAGTGCTCCTTAAGATGAACCACTAAGGACTAAGGAAAATTAGTGATACCTTACAGACAAACAAAGTAACTTGTATCGTCCGGGTCCTCTGTGACCAACCTCCAAGCAACAGCGGAGAAATCATGTATACATGGTATATGTATACATGGTACTTGTCACATATTGTTTCAGGTGCTGTCTTGAGTTAAGCGCACCCTTCATGTCCGCTATCGGAGGACCGGAAACGTTGACCAAAGCTCCCCGCAAACCCACTAGCGGTACCGACTGCCCACATGGTTAATCGTTATGTCCTGTGCTCTTACAGGGAATTAAGCCTTTCCTTCCAAAGTACGCCGACCGTGTACGGCATACGCGCTTGGGGATACATGCGCGTGATACACTAAAAATCAGCATTCACCCGGCTTCCTCTGGACTCAGTGTCCAGCCATCTTCATTCGCAACATCCACCCTTGCTGCGGTCCCTTTGTCTTTCGAGGATGAGCGAGACCGAGGTGCGTCGATAGCGCAGGACTTGTTGGCCAAGGTTGTTACTTACGCACGATTCGTGTAGGTGGAGAACCAGTCGGGCCCAGTTGAGGTCCCCGATATTGACAAGTATGTGACCGGTAAGCAGGCTTTGGTTGCAGCGTATTTGGCATCCAATCTGACCTATTGGGTTACCTATTCTGCAGGCTCGGCCTCTGGGGATCTTCCGACCGGAACTCAGCAAGTTGTAGCTAAGCTTCTGGTGTCGAACTCGATTGCGGGTTCGGTTATTGGGAAGGCAAGCACACCCTGTAAATGGCCCTGCACCTGGGAGGGGCTCACAGCGTCAATTATTGTCATGGGTGCAGGCCGGAGCAAACATTGAGCAGCTTCAGCGGTCCTCTGGTGCTCGCGTTCAGCTTTCGCGGGCGGGCGAGTTTTACCCAGGTGGGCGATGATGATCTAAGAACTTGCTCTTGTATGGTACGCGTACTTGCGTAGAACAAGCAGCAACAGACACGAATTCTACCTTTATATAACATCAATTAATTTTTTTTGCAGGAACTTCGGACCGCGTGTTGCTGTTGTCTGGCTCGCTCCATGCTGTGCTCACCGCCATTTTCCTGATTCTTGAGAAGATTTCTCGGGATGCGAGCGCCAGCGCAGCTGCCAATGGTGCTAAGCGGGTCGTCAAGAAGCCTGAGGAAGCGGTGCGCAGGGTCTGCTGGGACGCTTTGACTTCTTCCGACGTTAGCCCAAGTAGTAGCCCAGCAACCTTTTGCTGTCCTTTATTCCTATTCCTCCTCCCCACAGGGCCAGGCGCAGGTCAAGCTTGCCCTGTCTCGGCGCCTCTGCGGCCTGCTTATCGGCCACAAGGGCCAAACCGTCCGCGACTTCATCGTGGACTCTGGCTCCACCATCCGCGTGCAGTCGCTGAACGAGCTGACCCCCAGCGACCCCGAGCGCACCATCACGGTGTCGGGCGCCCGGGACCAGGTCCTCCGCGCCGTGGCGCTGATCCTCAACACGGTGAGTAGGCCGAGCAGTACGGGGTAGCTTCAGGGTGTGTGTCCCGGAACGGACTATATCGGCATGGCCATGCGCTTTTCCCATGCATGCCTGATTCGCCAACCAAATCAACTCCCAAGCCTAAACAGCGCATGCCCGCTGCCTGTCATTGCATCATACTGACTCTCTCGCCGGTCACAATTGACGCCCCTTGTGCCCCTGCGTCTGCACCACCACGCCGCCCGCGCAGCTCTCCATGCACGAGGGCTACTCCTCCTACATGGAGACCACGCTGCAGCTGGCGACCAACCAGGGCGTCGTGCTGCCGCCTCGCGCCTCCTCCTCCAAGAACGTGCTGGCCAACGTGCGCACCCAGCTGACCCTCTTCATGCCCGACGACGACGTCGGCGCCATCCTGGGCAAGAAGGGGCAGAACCTGGTGGAGGTGCAGCAGGTGAGACCCCATCCGTACAGCTGCTGTCGTACAACCAACTTGTGCAATGTGCATGGAGGATAAAAAAAATGTCGTACGCAATGATCAGGGTTACAGGGAGCGCGCTGGGAAGAGGTATAACGATTGGCTCACCAACACACCTCACGGATTGGCATTGTGCTTTTGCGGTGCAGAGCTCCCGGGTCACGATCAAGATCTCGGACCGCGCCAAGATGGATCCCACCACCAACGAGCGGGAGGTCACCATCAGCGGCGTGTACAGCGCTGTCAAGCTGGCCGAGGCCATGATTGCGGAGAAGCTGTCGGTGGCCCGCAGCCAGGCGCGCAGCCGGGAGGGCGCCGCAAGCGAAGATGCATGAGCATGACACCTAGTAGTTGCCCGGCAGTTGTTTGAAAGTGCGGATTTGATTGTGTAAGTGCCCATGACCGGTGTATACACGTGAGTAGCTAAGGGTTGCTGGGACCGGTCAAGGTCGACATTGCCTGGGAAATGGGGACGTGGGAGGCTTGCGTGCACTTGGCCCGTGCTTGTCTGTGGGAAGGAAGTTGTTTCCGGACCGTTAAGTTTAGCGCTGTATAGGCGTGTGCCTTTGGCGGGGTATTGGCGAATGTCATTGACTCATTGTGCTGGGGCTAACTTGGGGGACTGTGCATGTGTTCTTGGTTGTTTCACTTGAACCCCCAAGCCGCCGTGTGTATACAGCGATAAACGTAATTGTATGGTGCTAAGTTGTGAAAGTACACTTAACCTGGTAACAAACATTCAGAGTCATGCCCCCGTGCCTTCTCCCCTGTCTTGCACTAGCCGAGAAGTAGCATCCCATACAGCAAGTCACGTCCAAACCTACACCGCACCACACAGTTGGCCAGCAGTGGGACGAAGATCGTAGGTACCTGCCGACCTACGAGTAATCGCGTTGGGTGACATCTTGCGGACAAGCAAAGCAGGTGTCTTGTTTCGCAGCCTCAGTCGCTCAAGCGAGCTGACACCTTCGCACAGCTTCCTGTCGTATACGGGTGACAACTGAAAACAGTATGCAAGTATCACCATTGAGCACATGCAGCCGCTGGGCAGTTTGCGTAGTATAAATGCAGGCAGGGCAAAGGCGGATCCTGGCTAAAGTCGCAAGAAGGCTAATTGTACTGCATTGTCACAGCTAGCGATCAGCAGCTCCACTCATGACAGCAGGTAGTCACCAGCCCCTTCCCCCACCAAGATGCATAGGGTGCCAGAGGAGACAAGAGCTCCACAGACGGTTCCACCCTAGTTGCAAGAGAGTTTTGGGATATGCAAGACCACTTATACGAGGCCGTCCTCACCATGCATGCGGACATACGTGCACTGAGCCGTTAGTTTCCAGCATTGCGTCTGACGTACCGGGTACCGGGTACCGGGTGGGGAAGGTCCACCGAGTAACATGCACCAGGAACCTCGTATTATGGTAAGGTGCGATGTTACAGACGTGGCAGATGTTACAGACACGCGATCTGACCTAAGTTACGCAACCGCGTTCCTTACACACTTCTCACAGAACAATACGATCGTACCCAGTCGCTTTGCTGTCCGACCGCGGGAATTGCGGAAACCGTTTAGTTCTTACTGGTAAAGGGCTCAAGCTAAAAATGATGGCGTACGGCCAGCATGATTACGCCGGCACGCACCCACACCCTACCCAAGTTGTGACCATTTTGTTTGCTTCTGTGTTGCTGTCTACCTACTGACGTGGTCCTCACGGTGCTTCTGTATCGAAAGCTTCCTGTGCTGTTGTGTCAGTTTAGGCCGGGGAAAGAGTTAAGTTGGACAGCTGCCAAGGGCCCTCAGGCATCTAGTGACGCCAGGATGAAGCTCTACTGAGTGAGGGCAGAATGCTTGAACGAAGATCACGACGCATACTCAAGGACGTAGGACTACCACGCGGATCCAGGTCGTACGACAGTTGCACAGAACGCTCCTACGCTCCTTCGTATCTAAGTCAGATATATTGCCATACATCATTCCGTTTATGGCAGTGCGGTGGTGCTTTCGTGGCCGGGTGTTCAAAGGCAAGGTGTTACAAGAGAGCCTCAGCCCGAGGTTTGCATTGTTCATGCAGAGGCGCAAACCGCTCTAAAAGAATGTCACTCGTAAAAATTGAAGGCACTCTGCGTGCTTTTAGGCTGCTCCATACGAGCGGCGTGCGCGTAATAAACACACCAAAACCGTGGCAGCAACCCAAGCACTCCCTCCAAACCTCAACGACCTAAGCTCACGCACTTGTTGGGCCATGCAATGATCGATGATACAGGCACCGAGTTCGCTCAGCTGACCCCTCAAAGAAGACACAAGCTGCCTCAGAAATACAACGGGACACCTTTTGGCTCCCGTCCAGTCACGGACGTGTCCAGAAAACCAGTTGGTCAAAACGGGTACCGTCAAGAGTATGTTAGGTGCTCCTCACTGTCATAACGCTGGGCACAAGCGCCCTGTTGCTAGCCACTCCACTCCGTGTGCGCAACCGCTCAAGTGAAGGAAACTTTGTTGGCAACCGGTAGAGGCCGCAAGACGACAGCGATCAGTCCAAGCCAGTTAATCGTAAGGTTCAATGCTCTTGTCACGAGCTTCCATAAGGATATCATAAGCCAGGGTAATGCACATGGTCAGCCACGAAGTCCACTACGGCGGTTCGCTTACAGGCCCAGGGGCTTCTGCAGCTTGGGCAGCATGTCCACGAAGACCAGCGTGAAGACCACGTGGGGCGCAATACGGATGCAGTACGTGGGGAAGCCTGCGAGGAGAACACAGCCATGAGCCATCATCCCATTAGCCCAAGAGTCCGGAGCTTATCTGCTTATCACCGCAAGTTATGCACGTGAAGCTGAACGTTGATTGCATGCGAGCATTCGCAGTATCGCTACACGCAAACGCTTACCAGTGTAGAACTTAAGCGGGCCCTCGTTCTTGAGCGTCTGCACGGCGCAGTCGATGGGGCCCTTGTAGGGCAGGGTGCCGTCGGGGTTCGGCGTCATCTTCTGCATACGCGTCTTGATGAAGTCGAACGGCAGGCTGAAGGCGGAGGCAAGGAAGCCAGCAATGAAGGCGCCGCCCAGCACAGCAGCGCTGCCGCCCTTCTCAAAGCCAGCGGCCTCGATCATCTCCTTAGCCTGTAAAGCAATGAGCCGGCAAAGAGTCAGTACACGACTCAACACCAGCCTTGTCGACCCCAAGGGCGATGCAGACAGCAATCACCCGCACGCCAATAAGGAGATCCTCTTTGCAGACTAGTCCTCAGCCAGAGCCTAACCTACGTACCTGGTCGTTGGAGGCGAGCATACCCATGTTCAAGGACATGGCACGGACCACGGTGGGCGTGGCACCGCGGAACAGACCGCCAGCACCATCCTCGCGGACAATCCTGTAAAAGGAAACACAGTTTTGGGGTTACTAAGATTGCACACCTCGCAGCCCGCGTAACTCTCAAAGCGACAAGTTCCGTCCAGTTGTGCTCGGCAATAGTTTACCTGAGGAACGCATCGCCGACGCCCTTGTAGTTGCGGCGCTGCTCAACTGGCAGGGTCGAATCCGCCTGAAAGAAGGAAAAGGTTAAGTAACTATAAGGGCGCTCTGGAGCCTCAAAGAGAATACTATGCTGGTGGCAACCACATACCTGCATGCGGATGAGGGTCAGATCAGCTGGCGAGCCAACCAAGGCACCGATGCCACCGGCCGTAAGGCCAGCCACGGCCTTCTGCCACAGAGGCAGGTTCTGCAAGAGGGTTTGCGGGTTTGTGGGGGGTTAGTGGGGGGTTAAGTGAGAGATAGAAAACAGGAAAGGGGGTCAGGTGGCATCCCCAGAACGATAATGAGGAAGGCAAACGGTAACAGATCCTCAGGGGAAGAGATGCTACCTGGGTTGTAAAACAAATTAGGATTACCCTACCTGTCCGTTGTTGCGAGCCTTCAGCTCCTCGGAAAGAACGTTGAAGACACCCAGGCGGGTGGTGGTGTAGGTGGCCTGGCGCAGCAGACCAGCGCTCAGGCCCCTGTACAGAGCGCCGAAGCCCTCCTTCTTCGCGATCTCCGCGCCCACAGCGAGCTGCGTAGCAAAGAATAAGGAAGATTCAAATCAGCTACATGTATGCTGACGCATACAAACAGCACCGCCGTAGAGTGCCAGGGTTAAGGACTTGGAAAGGCAAAGGTCGCGACCCACATGCACAAAGTTGCGCATTTTTAATATTTTATGGACGTTAACAAGGTATACATAGAGCTCTTGCAACATCCAACTCACCGGGCTTCCCTTGGCGCCGAGCTGGATGCGGACCTTGATCATGTCAATGGGCTGGATGATGCAGGTAGCAGCCATGCCCGACAGACCACCGTTCACGAACGGCTTGGCCGCCTTCCAAGCAGCAGGTGGCTGGCTCTGGCTAGACATCTGCATTTGGGGAGATGACCAGAGTTAGAGGCTTGCATTGCTGCACAGCAAACGCCAGGGCTTCCCATATCTGAGATCCACCATGATGGACGCCAAACCAATGGTCTTTAATGGACAAGGCGCAGCCCAAGAAGAGGCTAGGCGAAGAACAAGATGCAAGTGCGCAACCCTACCCTCCGACTGTTGCGTATTGATATCAGAAACGGACAGAACCTGCTAGGCAAGACTCTGCGACCTAAAACGGATAGCTATTTGGGACAGCGTCTAGCCCAAATACAAGGACATCCCTCTCAGCAACCATCAAGGGCGGCTCGCGTGGCTCCTAGCAAGCTGTGAGGCGCTCTTTGTAGCTGACAATTAATACATCAAATCATGCTTGATAGGGACCTTAACGGCCGTCTCACCTTTGCTGGTTGTTGAAGATAAGTGCCGCACGCCAAGACTCAAAGCGTTGAGAGCTGCTGAAGGGCGGAGACCGTCTGTACTCAAACAAACTACTCAAGCTGAAAGGGACTAACTCTGTGTTGCGCGTCCAGTAAAGTACTGGAATGGCCGTAAGGCCCAAAGTTCGTTTGGTAAATTTCTGGATCATAACCACGTAGTTAACAGACGTCTTCCTTTGAAAACCGCAACTTCCATCTGTAGCAACCTCAACGCTTTCACTTCTTGCCTTAAAACTCAACCTTCCTTCGATTGACCCTACGGATGGCAGGGAAACATATGATTTGAGCCCTGCCTTGCTTGATATAGACACCTGGTTAATATTATAAGCTACTGGAATTGATAGCTAACATCAAGATTGCGGGGAGGCTGCATCCATTGCACAATGGACGCCCAGAACAAGCCGCAAATCTTAGAGCACCTTCATAAAAGCTTGACGGTCACCCTCTACGATTGCAAGTCAGTAAACAACAAGGGTTTTTTGTTTCTCCCTCCTCCCTCCTTCCCTAACCCTACCATGACAGTCTTTTTCCCATTGTCGTGCGTTTGATCCCCCATTATGGAAGCCTGGCAACGTGTCTGTTTTGCGCACTTGTAAAGAACTGTCGCGTAGTGCTAGTGCACGGTCACCTGGTAGTTGCAGCAGCTCGTGCCCTCCCTCTCACCCTGCCTCCCTGACCACCTGGGTTTAGGGCACAGCAATCCCCGGTGGCGCATCCCGACACACACACGGCTTCCCACCATTTCAACACGCCAGGTTCATTCATCCTAACGACACAAAACCCATGTTTCCACTTGCCACGAAACGCTAGGTGGATACCGGGGAGCGCCAAGTTTGTAACGTTGGGCTCTTACGCAAGGAATACAGGTTGCCTCCAGGTAAGGCTAACATCTTCAGAAACCTTTACCATGCCATGAGGCGGGTGCTGCTGCGGCATGTTGCACACCACCACATCCCCACCGGGTTAGCATTCTGCCTTGCAACCCGGTCACGCCATCTCATCTGGCACTCATCCGGCTGCTTACGAGAGCCACCTGTTGCGGCTTGTAAGCACGCAACTCCATGTCTTCTTGGAACGCATCCTGCCATGCTTCCTGGTGCCATGAGGCGTCCTCCTGCGTCTGCTGCGGACACCTGCCCACCCCACGCCACGCCCGCCCTTGCCCGGAACAAGCAGATGCTATGACCTTCACCTCACCGACGTTCAACCACGCTTGATGTCCTGTACCCTGGCCTGGTGCTGTCTCCATCCCTACATGCAGGTCTACGAACTCGACGGTCCAGAGCTTAAATGCGTGAAGGAGACCGAGAAGAAGCAATCCTTCAAGTGCGGCACCTTTGGTGCTTCCTCCCTGGCCGAGCGGCGCCTAGCTACGGGCAACTTTGGCGGAGAGCTGCAGATTTGGGACCTGGAAAACACGACACAGCCGGTGTTTTCCGCACAAGCGCATGCGTCTATAGTGAACGCTGTCGACGGGTGCGGTGGACAGGTGGGCGGGCTTTGGTATGCAAAGACTGCACGCGTGGGGCCGGCCTTTGGGGGCAGAGGTATACTTCGAAGCGTGCAGGATCAGAGGGCCACCTCCGAATGACCTATAGTGTTGAGGCAGCAAAACCCAGATCGCCAAAGAAAACCCAGGACGGCTGTCGCACTGTTTAAAGGAAGGCCCCCACCCGCCCCCCACTGCCACCCTGTTGCTGTAGGCTAAGGGGTACGGCGCCCCCGAGCTCGTCACGTGCGGGAGAGACGGCTGCGTGCGGGTATGGGACGTACGGCAACAGGATGCGCCTGTGGCTGCCTTCGAGCCCGCCGACCCAAACAACATCAGGTGCGGCCCTTCCCTCCATACTTACAGCTAGTTGGCCCAGTAGTCCAGACGCACCAGCAAAATCCCCACCCTACAATCTGTTTACGCGCTGCGGAAAGCTAGCACTGTCCACACGCGGTACCTTCCTGCGCATGTGCCGTCCTTTTGTTGGCCATCACGGATTGGGTCTGATTGCAGCAGCCACGTGGCAAAGGAAACCACCCGTTCCTGACCTGCACCGCGCGCCCTCACATCCTCACCACTCGCAGGGACTGCTGGTGCGTTTCCTTTGGCAACTCCTACAATGATGAGGAGCGCTGCGTGCTGGCGGGCTACGACAATGGCGATGTCAAGATGTTCGATCTGCGCATGAACAAGGTGCGGTCGCCCCGTGTGCTGTGCTGCGCTGCGTGTGGGTCGAAAAACGCCGGGAATGAGTTAGGAATGGTGATGTGAGGAAAAGCCGTGATGGCACGAAAGGAAGGGCATGCAGGAGATCCGGCCCAGGCTCCCATGCGAGCGGGAACACAGGGAGCAGTGCCTGCCCTGTTTGTGGTTTGTGGATTGTGGGGGCTGGAGTTGCATGCTTCCTAACCGCTCTGCTCGCACCTGTCTAGTCCAGTGGGCCTGTAAAGTCTGCATGCAGCTGCCGAAGCCTCACCTTCATCTCACTCGCTCCCATGCGTCCCCCACCGCGTGAGTTTGGCTTGATACCCTGCTGTGATCTGCCTCACTTCTGCCCCACAGGTGCGGTGGGAGACGAACGTGAAGAACGGCGTGTGCGGAGTGCAGTTCGACCGCAAAGACATCGCAATGAACAAGTTCGTGGTGACATGCTTGGAGGCGCAATTCCACGTCTTTGACGCGCGCACGCAGCACCCCAAAAAGGCAGGTGGCGGCGGGCGAAATGGAGGGTCGTGCTAGCGGCGGTGTCAGGGGCCGGGAAGGTGGAGCGGGCAGAGCGGACAAGGGTGCCAGTATTTTCCCGACGCGAGGCATATGGATTCCCGTCTTTTGGTTTTACTCCTGGGAAAGAGCAGTCGACTAAAGCTGTTTCACTTGCAGGTGCAGAAAGCTGATTCACACAGCTGAATCTACACACGAGCTCAACTGCGACCCTAGCCTTTGCTTACCCTACGGTGTCCGGCTCCCCCACACGCCCGTGTCGTATAGCCCCGCGCGTTCCTTCCCTCACTCCACGCCTATGTGGTCTCCATCCTCATCTGCGGCCCCCGCGGCCCCCGCGTCGCGCAGGGCTTTGCGAGCGTGTCGGAGAAGATCAGCGCGGGCGCCACCGTGTGGGGCTGCCACCACCTGCCGCAGAACCGCGAGGTGTGCATGGTGGCGGCGGGAGACGGCAACCTCTACCTCTACAAGTACCACTACCCGGACCAGCGGAAGGTCAAGGTGGGGAGCGGGGGAGCAGCGGTGGGAAGCGGCCGGTGGTGGGGTGCAAGTGCAAGCACGCTATTGGGAGCTAGCGGGGGCCGCTGGGTGGCGGACATTGAGGCAGGACTTACGGTTTTGCTTTTACCGGTAAGGCATCCCCTGCTTACCGGTTTGCTGTGTGGCTTGTGTCATCTTCCCGTGTTCGCAGGACCACGACGGCCATGAGCTGGGCGTTGCGGGATCCATCGAGATGCTCAACTACAAGAACCTCAGCACGCAACCCGTGTCGGGATTCGACTGGAGCCCGGACAAGGAGGGCTTGTTCGTGTGCGTGGCGTTCGACCAGTGCGTGCGCGTGGGAATCACCACCAAGCTCAACAAGGTCTAGAACTCCCAAAGATCTCCCCTCCCTCGAAGCGAGAGGCCTGACAGCAGCTCGTGTCTTGCGGGCAGTCGTACGGCATGGGGGTGTAAGGGCTGGTACTTGATGGGAAGAATAGGGCTGCTTGTTCTTCGGGAATGCGTGCTTCGGGTTTGATGGTTGTGTGGGTAGCATAAGTGCGTTCCGCTCTTTGCGTTTGCCCCTGTCGCACAGTTGCATTCACTGTGTGATTGGGGCATGTGCAGTTGCAGGAAAAGAGGAGACGTTGCATGGGCTGCTTGGGCCCTCCCGCCCCCCAGGAGGCATATGGCTGTGTGACACACACTCCTGAAGAACCATATAACGCGGTCGGCGTGCGGCGGGGGAACTGTGAAACTGATTACAAGTTGTCCGCGGCGATTAGTGGATGACAAGGTGATGTCCGATGTGCATATATGTGTGTTAAAATAACTGGATGCAGCACTCTTCGCAGTTGGGGCGCGTGACCACCGAATGCCGTACTTATTTGCTTATGATGCCAAGCCTTCCAAGCGTCGTCGCATTCCCCTAACAGCCGAGGATGTGGCGCCTTGGTCTCATCCCGCCCGCACGCACAAGGCAGCCAGCACGGCAGCCAGCCTACGCGCACAATCGGCACACGTGATTGAGTTTATGGCCGCCTCCTCCCCTTCGCAGCATGCACATGCAGCGGGGCCCTGTTCGGCTCCCCTGCATGCTTCCAAAGCACGCTCCGCACGGGCGACGTACGCACGCATGCACTGCGCGTGTGGACACCCATGTACGACATAAGGAATAGGGCCCAGAGCTCGGCACGAAATAGACGGGGCATTTCGCAAAAAGATTCTTGCGCTATAGCATCCTATCCGCCCTGTTCCGTTACCCCCTGAAAAGCGCGCCTCGTGAGACCCGAGTATATGCTGTTGTAATGGGGACACGTGTACCTACACCTAGCCCACTCTCGACTGCCGCAATGCCTGTTCCCAATCCTAGCTCAGCCCACAAACCCTCACCCAGCAGCCTTGTGTGGGAGCCCCCGCACGCACGCACGCCTAGACCTCCTAGACCCATCCACATCGGGCCCGGCGCTAAGCCATCCTCTCACGTTGGGTACCGGTGAAACCTCCACACAGCGAGGTAATGGTCCTCCGTTACCAACTGTCCGGTCCGACCCAGATCGCGTCCACTCACGCCCACCCGGCCGCAAACGCCACAACGACCCCTTGACCCCACACCCCCAAACAGGCCACCCTACTGCTGCTGCTGCTTGTGTTTGGGTAAGCGAGGGCTGCGAGGGGGCGCTGCATGCGGCCCAGACGGTTGCGTGCTGCAGGCGCTGCATGGCTCAGACCTTGGGTTTGAGCGCCGGCGGCTTGGCCTTCGCGGCGGCACTGATGACCGACGCCATGCCGTCCTTCTTGCGGCCCTGGCGGGGGGGAAGAGTGGAGTAAAGCGGGGGTCAAGATGACGAAAGGTAGGTGGAGAGGGAGAGGGAGTCAAGAGGAAAAACGGTAGAGGGAGGATAAACGGGAAAGGAAAGGGGAGGAAGGGAAGGGGGAGAGGGGCCCTGCGGTAGGCACAGCCATAGGAGATAAAGAGGCGCCGTTGAATATGAGAGGCCAACAGCCAGCCTCCAGCAACTGCCAGCCTGCCTCCTGCCGCCGGTCACCCACCATGGAGTCCTGCGACTGCAGCAGCCCCCCCGCCGCCCCGCCCGCGGAGGGCGGCTGCAGCGGGCGCTCGAAATGCGACTGCGGCACGTTGGCCTGGTGCACGTAGTCAGGCACCTTGTACAGTTGCAGCCGCGGTAGCAGCTCGGAGGACATGGACAGGTTGATGAGGGTCTGGGGGGGAGGGGGCGGGGGGGGGAGGAGGGAGGGGGGCAGGAGGGAGGGAGGGAGAGGGAGGGGCGGCAGAGAGTTGGGATTGGGGAGGGAGAGGGTGCATGATGGGCGTTTGGGCGGGGTTTTTGTGTTGCCGCAAGCGGGTAGCATGGATGGCTGAGGGATGCTGCATGAGCCGAGGGCGGGAGGGGCTGGCGTGGCAACACAGCTTCTCATACAGCCAGTCATGGCGGGCCGAGCTGTGTCTTCCTCCTCCTTACCACCACGCCCCTCATCCCTGCCAGAAGTACCCTCCATGCCAGCTCAATTCCAACATTCCCTTCCCCCCCTCCCCCCTCCCACCCTGTTGACGCCTTATCCCTCAGTCAGTTAGTTGTTTCCTCTTTACCCCTCCCACCTGTCGTGCGTTCCACCTTGCCGCCGCGTTCTTGACCTCCAGCAGCGGCACCAGGTAGCGCAGCGCGCCCGCCTCCACCAGCGCCCCCCGCTGCTCCTCAGCCAGGCTCACCAGCCGCAACACGGCGCTGGCGTAGGCCTGAGCCTCCAGCGTGCCTGGAGGCAGGGAGGGGGGAAAGGGAACAAATTAAATATGTGAAACAACGAGTCCCGATCCCATATCCCGACTCATGCAGAGGAAGGAAGAGGAAGGAAGGAAGAGGTTGATGAGGTGAACGAGGACGGGTGCAGGGAAGATGGAGGGAGGAGGGGGGAGGAGAACCCCACAACTATGAGTCGACAACAACCCAAAAGGCGTGTGTTTCCAGCCCCCCTTCCTCTTGCTGTCCGCCGTGTGCTGCGGTCAGGGTCAGATTTTCCGCGGCTCAGTTTATCTAACCCCCCTTGTGCTGTCCGCCGTGTTCAGCGCTGCGCCGGCGCCGCGCTGCCACACCTGGTTCCATCTTGACCTTCTTCCCCTTCTTGCCCTTCTTCTTCTTTTTCTTCTTCGTGGGCTCCTCCACGGGGGGAGCACCCTCGTCGCGGAGGGCCTGAGCGCCAGGGGAGGGGGGTCGAGGGGATGCGATGGGATTAGATAAACTGAGCCGCGGAAACACTGACCCTGACACTGATGCGATGGGAGGGAAAAAAGAAATTCCAAAGTGTGGTATAATAATGATACAAGTTGCTGACAATCCCTGGTGGAATCAACCGATGGGAGGGAGGTTGCAAGATGGGCAGGCAGGGTGCGGCGGACCGTGGGCAGCGTTGGTGGCAGCCTTGGCGGGGCGCCATGATGGTGATGGGGCTATGGACGTAAGCATTGCCGCGCAACTAGCGAGGAGGGGCTAGCGTCGCGCCCGCCAGCGCTCCCACCTTTACCGGCACCCCGGCCCCCCTCACCTCCAGGTCCGGCAGCGGCCCCTCCGGCCCCGCACACAGCCCCACCAGCGAGCGCAGCACCCCCTCCAGCGCTGCCACCCGCCGGGCGCGAGTGACCACCTGGGGGGAAAGGAAGTTCCAATGTGTGGTGTGATAGTGAGAGGGGAGGGGTGACAGCAACAGCAACATGGACGACATGCGGGGTCGCCTACGGAGCGCTTAAGGACGGGCGCCAACAAGACGTACTGCGAGGTAAGGCGGTAACGCCAGGCGGGAAGCTGCCCTGCCCATGCGTAGAAGCGCGCGCCCCCCATTCCACCACACGCCCCGACGACCCCGCCCCCCATCCCCCACTCGCCCACACCTGCTCTCGCGTCTCATCATCCAACAAGTCCACATTGGGCACCTCGATGCCCCCCGCACCGCCCAGTGTCAGCTCCGCCCCCAGCCCACCACCCATGCCGCCCGCACTCTCCAGCCCGCGGTTGGCGGCAGCCTGGGCAGCCGCAGCGGCAGCGGAGGGGCCGGCGCCGCCGCCGCTGCCGGCTGCAGCCTCGCCGCCTGCGGCGGCGGCAGCGGCGGCGGCCCCTCCGCCGCTGGGTGCGGCAGTCCCCGGCGGGGCTGGTGCCCCGCCGGGCCCCCCGGCGGTGCCTGGCGGGGTGAGGATCTCGCCTCCCTCCCCCAGGGCTGCTGCCGAAGGGGGGGGAGGCCCCGCTGCTGCTGCCTTGGCGGCCGCCGCGGAGGCGCGCCACAGGCTGTCTGGCATCACGTAGCGCAGCAGGCAGGCTGGGGGGGGGAGGGGTAGGGGAGGGGAGAGCAAGGGGAGCCGGACGGAGGCAGGTTACAAGAGGTTACGGCAATGCAACCCCAACCCCAGCTTCCCCACTACTCCCCTTCTCCCGCCGCCCCCGCCCCCGCCCCCCCCCACACCTGCCGCATATGCCTTGTACAGCAGCGGTATGACGGGGTGTCCGAACACCGCCGCCAGCGGCTCCAGCGCGCCCAGCCCCAGCGCCACCTCCTCGCATGCGGCGGGGCTGCTGCGGCGGAGCAGCTGGTTGAGCACTGCCACGCAGGCGGCCTTGGCCATGGGGTGCGCGGTGCGGGTGCGCAGGACCTGGGGGGGGGGGAGTAGGGGGGGGGGGGAGTAGGGGAGGTGGGTGGAAGAGGAGGTGCGGGGAGGGGAGCGGGCACGGAGAGACCTGGACCTGGGGGGGGGGATTAAATAAGTGAAACAACGAATCCCAATCCCATATCCCGACTCATGTAGTGAGCGCATTCGGAGGCTCTAAGAACACGCATCTCAAATTACTTACCGAATCGTTGCTTACCGTAAACCGAGAGGGCTTGAGGAAGAAGCCGCCGTTCGTGATAACACTATGGAGACATGTGCCGCGCCGCCGGTCACGAAGTGCAAGGCAACACGCATGTTGGGTATACGAGCATACAAGTAACCGAGACGCGTTATGGGAAACTTACCTGGAGAGGGAAAGCCATTGGCCATGGTCCGATGGATGGGAGGCGCAGACCAACAGAGCCGCACCAGGGTCGTGTCCAGTGTCCAGTAGGAAGAGGTTGTCAATATGCGGAAAAATAGGGAAGAAAGGGAGGCAGGGCGCGTTAATGAGGTGAGGTGGAGGTGGGAGGTGGGAGAGGAGAGAAGGTGCGGGGAGAGTGCGCGCGGGGAGATGCGCCCAGAGGGGTTGTCGTGAGCTGGTGACCAGGAGGCACAAAACAAGGCAGTCAAGTCGCCCCATGTCTTGCGGCCCTGCATTCCTCGCCCCCCCACCCCATGCAGCACCTCCCCCTATGCTCCCCCCTTATGCTGCACTCCGCCCCAAACCTGCACCCCCCCATGCTGCCCCCCCCCACCTTGACCATGTGTGCCGGCGCCCCGGCTGCCATGAGCGCCGCACACGCCCCGTTGGCGATGTCCTGCTCGGGGGCGCAGCACAGCGCCTCCAGTGCGGCAGCGGCGTCGTAGCAGGCGGAGCGGCCGCCCAGCTGGCTCATCTCCTGGGGGGGAGGGCGCGGGTGGTGGGTAAAAAATAAAAAGACGGGGGGATGGTTGAGGGGCGGGGAGATTTACGGGTTGGCTGCTTTCCCTTCCCCCACCACTTCATGGCCCTCCTCTCTTCAGTTGGTTGTTCCCTCCCCTCTACCTCCCACCCCCAGCGCCCCCCCCAGGCCCCACCGTGAGGTCCAGGCAGCCCACCAGCGGGCTCCAGTCCCACTCTGACCGCATCAGCCGCCACAGCCGCGGCCGCGAGTCGGCCTCACGAGCCACCACTCGGAGCAGCGCTGGCAGGGGGGCGGGCGGACACAGGAGGAGGAGGGGGCCAGGGAGGGCGGCAGCACGTGAGGGGTGCGTTAACGACAGGGGGCTGGTAGGTACCGGCACGGTAGGTACCGGCACACATCACGCATGCCAACACCTCCCTCCCTCCCTCCCCTCCCCCTCACCGCACGCCACCGCACGCAGACTGGCGCTCTCGTCCGCCAGCGCCGCCAGCAGGTGCGGCAGCGGCGCGGGCTTGGCGTCCAGCATGGCGGCGCGCTGCAGCGAGTTGTCGGCGGTCATGGCAACCAGGATGCCCAGCGCGGGGGTCATGTCGGGCGCCTTGCCGCTGGCCAGGATCTTGACGGAGGTCTTTGGGAGGGGGGGAGGAGAGGGGAAGGAAGGAATGAGACCCAGATGAGTTGGAGAGGGGAGGAAAGGAAAGGGGAAACAGAAGAAGACGAAGACCCATGCGAGGGGAAGGAGGCGGGGAGGGAGGAGGAGTGTGCGGGGTATGGGCTGCGGTGGCCGTGTCCTAGGGCTGGCAGGGGTGTACCGTACCTCTACGATGCCGTACTTGACGGCCTCCTCGCGCTTCTGCTTGCCCGCCTTGTTGATGGGGAAGAGCAGCTGCCAGATGAACATGCCAGCCTGCGGGGAGAGCGGGAGGTGAGGGAGCAGGGGGTCAGGGCAAACGATGTTGCGGACTGGCGCATGTCGCGGCCCAGTCACACATGTCAACCAAGTTGACTTCCGAAGGCACAAGAAGGTAACCAGAATCATAAATGAGCGGTGGACCGAATGAGTATGTCGTCTTAACAACACCCAGCACAGCGTCTACTGAGCCATGACCCACTTGAGTCCGAGTAATGTTTGGTGGTGGTGCCTGTCCCTCCTTCAATTTCGTCTCTTTGATGTCTCCACTGTAGAACTCAGAAAGCTGCAGAGAGCAACGGTTGGCAGGCAACGCCACGGTGCTTTAGCCTTCGTAAGGCTCCTACCATTCGTCAACCCAATAGATCACCTTCGGAAGGTTTTGGCTAAGCTCCCATAAACCGTCTGACATCCATGCTGGCTTCGCTCCTTTTTTCTTTTTGCCTCCTCCTTTTTTCTTGCCATCCTTCTTAGGAGGCATCCCTGCTCTGCTTTGCGCAAGTGCTTCTCTGTTGCAACAATGAAAATACGAGTTCTATATATGCTGATCGAGTAAGTTCGGCTTTGTAGTGAATAGGATATGGAATAGGCCCAAATGGCAAACGTAGGCCCGATCAATTCCAAAACCATACTAAATGTCCTAACCCTACAGCACGGTACTGGCAAGCAATGAAACATACTGTATGGTTCGATGTCTTGGTGTGGCATGCCGTACCCAACCGCCCCTGGCGAGCGACCCAGAACAACGGTTTTTGCCCAATTGCTTCCACTTCTTGTGGCTGCTTGTATTAGGAGTATAAGCGCTTGTCAGAGTTAAAGGAATGCATGTCGCGTAACACGTAACCAGCGCAACTCGTAGCCTGCATCTAATGGTTGGTATCATACTCTGTGCGGCTGGTGGTTTGGCGTAGCTCGATGTTGCACTTGGGAAGCTGGTTTGGCTGTGGTCCTGCCACCTGACCTCCCTGGGTGTATGGGCACATTCTCGAGGGCGACGACAATGTACTTGCACATGTGCGTATAGTACGCAAGAATCCAGCCCGGCAACGTTTTTGCTGTGCTTATAGTCTGGTTACGGAGCTCTAGCGCATTCAGGTAGATGACATGACCAAGGGATCAAACATGGGCTAGCAGCAGGGCTAGCTGGGGAGGATGATGGATAAGAGTGATGGCAAAGCATCTACCTTTCACACCATGTGAGGTATTCCTTCATATAGACCGCTTCATTGGTAGCTTCTCACCTCTTGTCTGCCTCGTATGTATGTATGTATGTTACAAGCTTCGTACCGAGCTCGTAAGATCCGTCCGAGCCAGAAGGCTCATGGATCGCGAGCACAAAACGCGAAAACAACCAAAAGAAGAAAAGTAAACAAAAGAGACAACAAACAGAACGCTAATCATATGATAAACCCTGTCTGCGCAATCCTGCGACTTCGCATGCTAGTGATTACGCTAGCAAGCAATGCCTGATTCTCCATGCCCATGACAGCAATCATATCAGCATCCCGTGGGACACCACTTTCCCATATCTTATCACGCAAATCATCGTAAGCGGGACATTCAATGAGGATGTGTTTCTCATCTTCCACTCTCCCCGGCGACCCCTGCACGGCACACATAGGACAGACACGCGCTACTCGTTGCCTACCCCTAGGGCGATTGGCTTCAATGCCCCACACACACAGCCGAAAACGCATCAGGTTCACATGCTGCCGCTGAGTAATGTACCCCCTGTCAACCGGGTCACCCATCCAATTTTTGTACCTGCACATCTTAACTCCAACCCCTGGTACGGGGTCTACTGGGTTGAAAAGCCGCGGGTCATCTTCCAAACTCCTATCCTCCCAATCCGCATCCATTCTATCAGCAAACTTTTTAGTGAGAGCAGACACATTTAGCTCCGTGCCAGCAATACGTTCCACACGCGCATTCAAGTCCAATTCACCCCCCAAGGCCGTCAAATCCGTCCCTAACATTTTCAGAATCTTCAGCACCTTAGAACCCCAGCCATCATAATGCTCAGTACTGAGAGCCGAACGAATTTCACCTCGCAACGTCTGGTGGTAGACCGTGTCCTTCTGCTTGACCAGGTCATTCCAAAACCTCAGAAACAGTTCCAGCCAGAAGACATGCAAGGGACGCTGGTTAAACTCCTTAAACAGCAACTTATCAGGCGAGACTTTCACACCCGCAATCTCCCGAAGAAATTCCCTTTGTAACTGCACCATTGGGTCCCGCAAGGATCTGTCAAAGTACCTCGCGGAATTCTCGCAGTCCGTCATTAGCTTCAGCACCACATCAGGCCCCCACACCTGGACACCGTACGACAAGATGGAGCGGACTTGCACGTCGAAGCACTTAACTGCAACAGCAGGGACCAAAAGACCTAGGCGTTTTAATTTACGCTGAAGAGAAAACATAGCACGTCGGCCAGAGGTCAACAGTTCCTCTGTGCAGGAAACAAACGGTGTGCCAGGACCAAAGTGCAAACCAAGGTAACGGGCTCGTTGTACCCAAGGAATAACCATAGGTACTCGCGCATTTCCCTCAATAGAAGTCCACACCACGGGGCAAAGGGCAGCAAAAGCCTCGCGGATATTGGCACGAGGGTGGAAAACCATCAATTCACATTTACGAACATTCACCCGCATCCCAAAGGCCTCACACCACTCTCTCAAATCAGCAAGCAACACAATCAGCCGTCTGTGCGTCGTAGCGAAAAGGCTGAGGTCGTCGGCATACAGTTCCAACGGGATACGCCGGCCATCCGCATGGGGAGTCTGCTGCTTAGCGCGCATAGCATCAGGGAGCCACTTATCCTTAGCGTCAACATAGTCAGCAAACCCCTCGCCAAAAATCCCGTAAAGCGTAGGGCTGAGAGGGCATCCTTGCTTGACTCCCTGCGAAGATTCAAAAGGATCCCCCGTCACTCCGTCTACCCTGACACGCATCATGACCTTGTTGTAACAAGTCTTGAGAGCCTCCAGCATAGCGCCATGCACACCCCGTTCCTCCAACCTTAACCACAAGAGATCACGTGGCACCTTGTCAAACGCTTTCTCAAAGTCAATCTGACAAACGAACAGGGGGTCAACTGCATCTCGCCCCCCCTTATGTTTGTCCGTCAGATGTCGCAACAAAAACAGGTTGTGGCAGGTACCCCGCTTGCGTCGGAAACCTCCCTGATACGGCGACCTAGCTCCCACCAGCTCGCCCCAACGAGACAGCCTGTGCTCCAACAAAAACGCATAAAGCTTAGACAAAACACCACCCACTGCTAAACCCCTATAGTTACCCTTCTCCATCACATCGCCTTTTTTGTGGATGGGCGTGAGCGCAGAGACCTCAAACTGCACAGGATAATCCCCCGTGCTGCGGATATGCTCTAGTAGCTTGAGCAGGTAAGGGGCTAAAACAAACATCCTTCTACCCTCAACCTCTCTCGTCGCACACTTGAAACATTCAGCCGGTACTCTGTCCAAACCCCCAGACTTGTTATTACGCAAAGACTTCAGCGCAGCAATGACTTCCGCCAAGGTGAACGGAACATTGAGCGCAGCAGCAGCGGTGACTCGTGCTACCCGATCGCCTGTCGCCCTTACCCATCCTCTTCCCCTCCCATGTGGCACACCGTTGATGGTACTAAGGATGGTGTCCGCGGAAACTTCGTTAAACGCATTGACTTCCCCATTAAACAGCGCATTAAAGTAGGCTCCCCAACTGTTGACATCCGTGATAGGGCACCCCTGACTAAATCTGCCATTCAGCCGACCCCACAGCGCCCGTGGATCCCCCCGACATTCTTCGATAACTCCTTCAAAATGCATGACCCGGAACTTGTCCTTAGCCTCCCTGCGTAGACGTTGATACTTCGTGCGCAACCGACTGAACTCAGCTCTGGCATCCTGATCCCCCAGCAGACCGTTAGCACGCATGAGCGCCTTTTGAGCAAACATGGCCTCACGGGCTTCCGCACACTCATGTGTCCACCAAGGCGCATCCTTGTCCGTCCTGCCTGCACTAGGAATGGACCCTTGCCCCCTCTCAAGACGAAACGTGGCGTCAATAGCCTTCTTAAGAGCCCGACAGATCACTGTAACAACCTCCGTACTGTTAAGACCATGGCCCAGTTGGCTAACAGCCTCGTCAATCTTCTGTACGACAGCAGCATCTTCTACCTCAAATAGGCGCGTGTACCGCTCCCACTCACGTTTCCCCAGGCGAGAGGAACCCGTGTTGCCACCCCTTCGCGTTCCTCCTAATCCAACGTCCAGAGTGAGTGACACCGGGCAGTGATCGCTGAGCCTCGATCCCACTTTAGGCCCCTCTATAGCAATGGGGATGCCAAGCACTTGCAAATGCGACGCCCGCGAGAACAAAGCAGGCGTGCAGACAAAAAGATCAATCATACTGCAGGCAAGGCCGTGGGCGTGGTAGAACGTGAACTCACCCTCCATGTCACCGGGCACACGACCATTCATGATAATCAGTTCAGTTTCGCGGCACAGCTCGACCAAACCTTGCCCAAATGGGTTGCTGGATGGGTCCTTACTGCGCCTGCTCGGCATGCCTTGAATGAGCCCATTACCTCCGATCGACACACCTGCCGCCGCCTCCAGTTCAGCATCAGCCTGGAGATCTGGTATATCACTCAAGCTGGCTACTCGCGCATTGAGGTCCCCCAAAATGAGGATTTCATCGCATGGACGCACATATCTTCGCAACAAGGCACGGAGTCGACCAAAAACACGATCCACGGTGTCAGTACGCCTTCTACCCGCATGGTCATTGTACTGAACAGAACCTTGGGGTGCTGCATAACAGGCTGCTATCAGCAAACTACGCCCCCCCATATTAAGAGCATGCCCTTTCACCCTTAACCAGATACTCTCCATGCCCTTAGGAACCTTAGACACACCAAGGAGCTGCACATCCCTAGCTAACATACGATTTACCCAGACAGCTACCCCACCTCTGTTGGGCGTGCCATCTACTGTGAACAGGAGCGTACCCGACGGTAGCATCTCCTTCACTACCGTATCTCCCACTAAATGCGTTTCCGTAATCACCACAATGTCATAACTACCCGCTATACCCCGTAACTCATTGTTATCAAGTTTCCAGTCCTTAAGCCCGCGAATATTCCATTGTACTACTTTCAACGCACCAGCCCTCTGGCTCGGACTCCTCTAGGTGTCCTCCATGGTGTCCGCTCCTGCCGGGGCCCCGTAGGGCCCGGTGTAGGGCACCAATCTCCCATCTGCTCCCACTATCTTGATCTCCGCTCCGCAGTCCCAGCGGGGCTGTTTGCCCTCGGCCTTGAGGCGCGCGTACGTGGACTGGCGTCTCGTCTTCGCGTCCACCCCGGCCTTGGTCAGGCAGTCCTGGACGTTGATGCCGTAGCGCTCCCGGAGTGGCTTGCCCAGTGCCGCCGCGACCGTCTTGCGTGCGTCCTCGTGCACCAGCAGGTCTACCCGCGTCATGGGTGCCTGCTGCCGGCCACCCTGCGCCGGGGCTGCGGCAGCCGCGGCATCTGCTGCGGCGCCTCTCGCTCCCAGCTTCGGCGGCACGGTGATGAGCTGCACTCCGATGACATCGTGCGGGCGTACCTCCTTGAGGATGCTGGGAACAATGGTGTGCAGTTCCGACACGTGCTGTGGCGGCACACGCAGGATCAGCTTGCGGGGCTGCACGTACTGCTTGGTGCTGCTTGCTTCCACCGCCTCCAGCCTCCCCTCCAGGGTATCCATTCGCGACTGCACCTTGGCCAGACCAGTGCACATCTCATCATGCCTAGTCTCGATCTTCTCAAGCCGCTTGTCCAGCCGGTTCTCTAAGTTTTGAATCGCCGCCATGAGATCAGAGAGGCTCGGCTGCGGGTTGCTGCCCGCAGGCCCCGATCCATTGCGGCTGCCGGACATTCCAGCCGCCGCCGCTTCTATCGCGTCTCTGGCTTCTTTAGCTCTTTCAACTAGTTGTGGAAGTGTTATTGTCTGCCTCTTGTCTTGATTTATTGGCTTGCATCCGTACCAACCACTGTTCACAGTAGATTATGCACTTATATTACGCACCTGCCAGCTGCCAGCTGGTTTCCATCTGAAGCCTGCGCCTCGTCAGATAGCTTGGACGGGTATAAGGTGTCACAAACTCAAACTCGCAGTGCCTCACACGCTTCTGCTTTAACTTCCAAACTCGCATCGAAGGCAGCTCTGTGGCAAGTGGCCCTATCGCGCTTGACGTAGCCTCACAACGAAAATATCTTACTGTTACACGTAAGCTCTTGTCAGCACAACAGATCTCTAGCTATCATATCATGGGTGGTAAGCAGAAGCTCCCGGAGCTGGTTTCCCTGAGCATCTCGGCTTGGAGTCTCAAGGTGTGCGGCTACATTCACGATATATGTCACCACCATGCCCTTAAATACTCTATCGGGACTCTTTAAAACGTTGGTCGGCGCTCGCTTATTCTCGGCGTTCGGCATCCGTCAACTTGCACGCGCATTGAAGGCTTACGTGCAACCTAGTCGGCTACTCATCATGGTTATTTAGATCCTACATATTGTTTTATGCTACTCGCTCTATGTGTACCAGTATTACAATAAGCCATTGCGCATGCCAAAGCCGTCCACCCCTGGGCCAGTTCCCAGTCCGTCGAGCCGAAAGGACCTGCATCGTACCGCATCCCGCTCGCAACTTCTTAACCAACAAGTGCCGGATAGCGGCTCCTCTGCAGAAATCCCCTTCCCGACCCTTCATTCCCTTCCCGACTTCTCTCTTAACCATGCCATACACCCATTCACACCAGCCAGTTTTATGAGCACACCGCTCCGAAACCACCGCACCCCTTCCTCAGGCACGTTTCGCGCTGAAACACCATGGCATCAAGTACCGCACCACTCCCTACACGCCCCTCGCTGGGGAGCTCTGGTTGCGGCTGCGGCTGTGTGAGTGGCGGCGCAAGCTCACCGTCCCCGTCATGTTCACCCCCCAAGGCGGCGTGCTGATGCAATCGTACGACATCGCTCGTTGGGCGGACGAGCACAGCGCTCGGCCCGGCGCGGAGAAGCTATTTCCGGAGGGTCGGGAGGAGGAGGTCAGCAGGCAAGTGGGTGGGTGTGTGTGTGGGGGGGGTGGTAAGCATGCAGGCACAGGGAGCACGCGAAGGGGCTGCTTTTTGGGAGACCATGCCCACGACGCCCTTGATACTCGCATGTACTGTACCCCACATACGAACCCCACGAATTGCTCTCCAACCTTCCCGCCCTTCTCTCCCATCCCCCGCCCCTGCCGCCTCCCTGGCAATACCAAACTCCCCCAAACCCCCCTCCCCGCCCCAGTTGGAACGCCAAGAGCGACACGGTGCTGTTCTTCGGTCGGCAGGCGCTGGTACGGCAGCTCAAGGTGGACCCGGTGAGGGGGTGGGGAGGGAGGGTGGGTGAGGGGGGTGGGGAAAAAGATTAAACCACTAATTAGGGCAAAACAATGTTGGAACGAGGCGGAAGGGAGGGAGCGGTTGGGGCAGGGTGGAGGAAAGGGGGGTGAACAGGAGGCCATGCACCGGGGTAGTGGCTCTGTGGCTGTTGTAGCAGATGGAGTAGGCTCCAGCGCACCTGTTAGGGTACCGTGTTGCGCCGAATAGCGGTAGGGGGGCGGAATCAGCGTACCGGGCTCATTGTGTCTCCACCCGTCCTTCCCTGTCCCACATAACCGTTTCCAACCATCTCTTCCAAGCTTTATCGTTGTTCGCACCGCGTCTTACGCCATTGCCGCTTTGCTTCGTGCCCCCCCGCCCTCCTCCTCCTCGCCGTGTAGTCCCCTGCCGTACCCCCCGGTCTGACCTGGCTTGGACCCGTGGGTCGGTCGCTGGTGCGGCTGATCGCCGGGCGCCTGGGCAGCAAATACCGGGCGGAGGGCGACACCACGTCGCTGGAGAAGGTGGGGGGTGGGTGGCTGGGTAAAAAGAAGAAGGTGGGTGGGTGGATGCGTGTTTTCAGCTAGATTGAAGCTCAATTGTTGCGTGTGTTAAGAAAACTGGTTGCATGTGTATGTATTTTTGTGAGTGGATGGGGGTACAGTAAATGGCTTAATCCGATGTTTTGTCTCCCTTCCTGACCTTCCCCTCACCCTCACCCGCACCCGCACCCGCACCCCCCCTCAGGCTCTAGCTGTGTTGCGTGAGGCCCAGGCGGCGCTGCGGACAGCGCCCACGGCTCCCCCCGCCACCTCCCCCACCTCCCCCACCTCCCCCTCCGGTCCCTCCCCTGCTGGCCCGCTGCGCCACCTGGTGGCGGGCCGCCTGACGTACGCGGACATCGCCATTGCGGTGGCGACCATGGTGGGGGCTGAGGGGGGCTGGGTGTTGTGGGTTGGGGGATGGGTAGGGGTAAGTAGGGATAGTACATAATTCGCGCTAGACTGGACTACCGGTGTGGACTACTGTGTGGGGTTGCAGTAGAACGTGTTGGGAAGCGCGCTTCCAGCTAGTGGCAACCAGTCCCGCCTCCTCCTCCTCCTGTTGCTGCCCCTTGCTGCCCCACCCACCCTCCTGCCTGCAGACGTTGAAGCCGCTGGGCCCTCCCTTCAGCAACACCCCCCGGGGGGCGGTGCGGGAGCTGCAGGTAGGTGGGGGGGTCGATTATGTGGGGAGGGAGGACTAGATGGTATGGGCACATGGTGCATGTCCGGGAGTGGAGGGAAGGGGAAGCAGGCTTGTAAAGAGGGTTGCATGTACATACACAACCTCCAACCTCCCTTGCGTTCCACGATCACCGACATCACCCTCTCCACCGCCTCTCCCCACTCCACCCCCCCATCCCACCCCGGCCCGCCCTCCCCTCCCCCAGCCCCACTTGTCTGAGTTTGCTGACCTGCTCGCCTGGCGGGACGCCCTCTTCGCCGCGCACTACCCTACCACCACCACTTCCTCCTCCTCCTCCGCTGCTGCCTAGACCGCTGCCTGGGGTGCGAGCGTTGCATACAACAACCGAAGCTCTCGCGCAGTAGGGATTGTGGTTCGGTGCCGTACAATACGGTGCAGCACGGTGTACGACAAAGGCTGCGCGATCCATTCTCGAGAGCATTTACATGAGCATGTATTGGTTTTACAGTTAGGTCAGCTAGACAGCAATATATACACCGTACATGTACAAGTCGCTTCGCATCTGGGAATATGCCGGGATGTGTTTATTGGCGTGGCCTGGAGGGCCGCTTGCAGACTGTTGCCGCTTTGATGGATTCCTGCGACCCATGGGTCATTTATTCATGTTTCCTGACACTTTACTACTGCCGTATTCCGACACATTGCTGGACGTGAGTTTGCGCTGAGTCTCGAGTCATTTGGTCTCGAATCACGAACCCTGGTTGCATGCGCGCTGTCATATAGTCCCTGCTTGGCGGCCCCACTTAGATGCTGACAGGATGCAGTGCCGCTTTTGACGTACAGTGCACGAAGGCCGGTGCCGTGTGTGTTGTTAGTGGAGGAAGCGTTGCCGTACATACGGCATCAGATTCGCCGGGTGGTTGGAACCCAGTGCGCCTGTCGTCTACGGCACTGCCGGGGGCTGTACGTCTATACCCTGTTAACACCCTCAGCACCAAGGCCTCCTAGGCTGCCGGTGTCTTGGCGTGGGCTCAAGAGCATATGCCGCCGGTGTCTTGATTGGCATGCGATGAGAACCTGCCATACCGGGCTTCCGTAATCATGTAAAACGAGGTATCAACTCCTGTAAACGCCTTTTACACGCGCCCTGAAAGTACCGGTATGCGCCGGGGTTGCTGACCCGCGGCAACCCATCAGCAGCAGCCCATCTAGTTGACGCACGCTACTGCTTCGCTTGCAGCTTAACATAACTGATTCACGCAGCTGAATCCTACACACAAGCTCAACTGCGACCCTACCCTTCGCTCACACTAAGGACCCCCGCCCCACCCGTTTCGGTTGATGGGGTTCTCCAATCTTTTGTCCCGCGCGCTCCTTCCCTCACCCCACGGCCTCTCACACCCCGCCTGTTCTGCCTTGTGGTTCTCTTCCTCTCCCCTGCCCCCCCCACGCGGAGCTTTGCGAGCGTGTCGGAGAAGATCAGCGCGGGCGCCACCGTGTGGGGCTGCCACCACCTGCCGCAGAACCGTACCGTCTGGGCCTTACGAGGCGTAGAGCTCGTGATAACTATATCTTACTCAACAACAAGCTAGCATGATGTCTTATAGCCAGCCGTTAAGTTACTCATGTTAGGGGCTTTGTAGCCTACGTAGGGGTCTACCGATAGCTGAAGAGGTATCAGTTCCAGTAGTCTTGCAAAATGAAGAAGGCGCAAGTTTAGTAACTATATGTCAAGATAAGGTCATAATTGTGATAAGCCTATAACTTTGCTGACAGCCATAGGGTGCCTTGTGTGGTCTCGAGCCATTGAATAAGGGTTCTTGGGAGCACGTGTAGCCCAAATAGGGTTTATAAGATACCTTTCACAAATTTGACGTCATCTTGAAATAGCTTGTCGCCTCGCGCAGAGGCACGACCGCGCACCTGCGCTCCATCGCGACATCTGATTCCTGCCAGCATAAGGAGGCCTCAGAATGCAGCCCGAGGATCCCTCGCCTTCATGTGGACACGCTAGCGGGCTTGCCATAACCGAGGCCAGCGGCTTCGCACCAACTGCAACAACTCGACGAGCCCTCATCACTGGAGGCAGCGGCTTCCTAGGCTTCCGCCTAGGTACCGCTCTCGCAAAAGACGGCATCCAAGTCTTCCTCCTCGATCTGGCTCCGCCCCGTCAGTCGCTACCGCCAAACACGACCTTCATCCGTGGCAGTGTTGCCAACGCCGCGGACGTTGACGCTGCCTTCTCCACTGCTGCTGCCGCGGCTGCCAGCAGCGCCACCAGCAGCAGCAGCACCGGCTGCTGCGGAGGGTTCTTAGATGCCGTATTCCACGTGGCCTCGTACGGCATGTCCGGCCGCGAGCTCCGAGACCTTGCGCGCATTACCGCGGTCAACGTGGGCGGCACGCAGCATGTGCTGGACGCATGCGTGCGGTACGGCGTGCCGCGGCTGGTGTACGTATCCACGTGCAACGTTATTTTCGTGGGCAAGTAAGAGAGGAGGATGAGAAGAAGGAAAGGAAGGAGGGACTGTGCTTAACAAGGCTGGCCGCGTATGTGCGGTAATCCAACTGAGCCGCGTGTGCATGCATATACCTGGATATGCCGTACAGCCCCCGGGATTGGGGGCTAGCTAGGGGCTTGTATGCCTCACACACATGTGCGCCGTGCATCCGGAAGGGTAAGCTGCACCCTCCCCTCCCCTCACCCGCGACGCCTTATCACACGGTCAGTTAGATGTTTCCTCTTTACCTCCCCTCCCCTCCCCTCCCGCTCCCAGGCCCATCTCCTGTGGCACCGAGGCCGCCCCCTACCCGCCCCCCGCCGCCTACAAGGACGCCTACTCCGCCACCAAGGCAGCAGCCGAGCGCCTGGTGCTGGCGGCCAATGGCAGCAGAAACAGCAGCAGCCTGAGCGGAAGAGCAGGTGGCGACGGCAGTGGGGGCGGTGCGGAGCATGGGGAGGCGGGAGCGGGGAAGTCCTCCTGGAGCCGGCGACAGGCGGCAGTGGGCGCCAGGCCGGAGCAGGAGCAGCCCCCACAGCCCCCCCATGTGCTGTACACCTGCGCGGTGCGGTCTACGGGCATCTGGGGTCCGGGCGAGACGCGGCACCAGCCCCGGGTGATCCGCATGGTCCGGGCGGGGCTGTTCGGAGCCACCTTCGGGGACCTCAGCAGCCTCAGCGACTGGTGGGGTGTTGGGGAAGGGGAGAGGGAGGGGGAGGGGAGCAGGCAAGGGTAAGGGAGGGCCGGAGCGGGCAGGGATGGCAGCGGCGGGATGGAGGGGTAGCTGAAGGATGTTGGGCTGGACTGACTTCCCCCCCTCTCCTCTTCCTATGGTTCGGTATGGTCTTTGACCCCTCCTCTCCTCTCCTCCCCTCCTCTCCTCCTCCGGATCCAGGATCCACGTGGACAACCTGGTGCAGCTGCTGGCGCGGGCGGAGCGAGCTCTCAGACACCACACCGCCGGTCCGGACGGCAACAATAGCACAGCTGCGGGGGCTGCAGGCGGGGGTGCTGCTGCGCCCCCGGTGGCGGCCGGCCAGGTGTACTACGCGTCGGATGGCGCCCCCATCAACAACTTCCTGCATGTGAGTCCGCACGGACTGCCGCTCTGGCTTCTGTCGGGACTTCCCCGCCCCCGCCCCGGCTGGGACTTGTCGGACGCGGGACGTCTTTACACATAGCGTAGTGTCATCAGTGTGCGGAGGATGGGATACTTCGGTGGCACAGTACGGCACTGCATGGACGTTCCCCGGTTGCCGTACTGCATGTTGCCCTGTTCCCTGTGCCTAACGCGGAATGTGCACCCCTATCATCCCCCTGCTTCCGCCGCAGTTCAAGCCCTTCATCGTGGGCCTAGGCTACCGCTACCCCTCCCTCAACGTGCCGTACTGGCTGGTGTACGGCATAGCGGCTCTTATCGAGTACGTCTGGCCCGTACTGCAGTACATTGTGGCGGATCCGCCCCTCACGCGTATGGAGGTGGACAAGTGCTGCGTGTCGCACTGGTTCGATATCAGCAAGGCGCGAAGGGAGCTGGGGTACCGCCCCGTGTCTTACGACAGGGGTGAAGTCGTGTCGTACATGCGAGCGGAGGGGTGGGGGAATCCGGCGGTTGGAAAGGCGGGGGTGGCGACGTTGCATGGGCGGTCAGGGTTGATGTTGGGCGGTGGTACGTTTGGGCCTGCGCGGGTGCGCGGCCGGGTTACGGTGCTGGGGCTGCTGGTGGCGGTGCTGGTGGGGTTGGCGGTAGCATACGGGGGGAGGCTAGGGGGGCAGCTAGGGGTGAGCGGATGGTGAGGGAGGCGCGGGTGGTCCGGACGTTGTGTACGCTGCCACAACGTACACAGCTAGGGGTGTAGGTACCGCCGCCGCAAAGGTGGTATTCGTGTTCGCGTCCTTGTTACTTTCCCAGGGTTTTTGACAGGCGATTACGGCAGAAGGGAGGGGGCGATGAGGTGTGCGAGAGGGAGAGGAGGCGGGTATGGTTAGCGATATATTATGGTTACAGCTACAGAGGACTGCAGCGGACTATGAAGACGTCAGAGCGTGCATGAGCGCAGCATGTAACGTATACATACTTAGCACCTATATGCCCTGTTACAGGGCGCCTCCTCACGAGGTCGATGTAAACTAGCTTTTGCCATACCTCGCTTTGCGCATTACCACGTTGCGATCCGACCTCCCGATCGTCTCGCAAACACGCCCAGTCGCCATCCGTGGCCGCACCTCCGCAACCTGCTCCCTCAAAAGGGGCACATCCCGCATACGGCATACCACGCTAACACAGCTATACGCCGCTTCAAACAAACCCAAAGCTCCAAGGCTGACCTAGAACCCGTCTGGACCTAGCAAGGCTGCTGATCACTGCCCCAGTTGCCCTTCCAAACATCCAACCGACACCCTAGCACGTCAACCCGAGAGTCTGACATAAAAGTTGGCATCAAGTACATTGTTCCCAACTGTTTGCAGCGGACAGCTCCACCCATACTCCGCAAGTCACACCTGCACTGTCAATATCCGCGCAATATCACAACACCCTGCTGTGGCCCAGAGCTTCCCTCCTGAGGCCGACCATTTACAACCCCAGCCTGAACCCCGGTATCCAGCTTCCTATATCCCTCCTTTCTTTCCCTTCTTCTCATGGCCATTTTCCAAACTACGCGGCAGCCACAGCCTCCTTTGCCGCAGCAACCGCCTGCGACCGCTCCTCCAGGAACTTCTCCGCCACCGCCATGTCATCCGGCGTCGTCACCTTGATGTTGGTGTACGACCCCGGCGTGATCTTCACGGGTCTGCCCATCGCTTCAATGATGGACACGTCATCCGTGACCTCCAGGTTCTGAGATTTGACCAGGTCAAAGCCCGCGCGCAACAGCTCTGGCCGGATGCACTGCGGCGTCTGTACCTCCCAAAGCTTTGACCGCTGCAGCGTTTTGATTACCATAAGGTCCTTATCGACCTCCTTGATGGTGGGCTTGACCTGCACGCCCAGCACAGCCGCGCCCACCGAGAGACCATCAGCCATGCATTTGGCCGCATCCTCGGGCGTCACCAGCGGCCGCGCGGAATCGTGGACCGCTACCATCGCAGCTGCTGCGTCCACTTGCTGCAAGCCGTTAAACACTGAGTCCTGGCGCTCGGGCCCGGGCAGCGCCCACTTGAATTTGATGTGGGATGGCAACCCGGGGAAGCGCTTCTCAAAGACATCCCGCCATGAAGGGTCGCACACCACGACAATTTCGCCGACTTCCGGCATGCGCGCAAACGTCTCCAGCGAGTAGGTTGCAATGGGCTGGCCACGCAGCTCAAGGTACTGCTTCGGGATTGCTGCACCCATGCGCTTGCCGACTCCGCCCGCTAGTAGGACGACAGAGACCGATCCTTTCTGCAGCTCCGTCTGGGCGGCTGCACTGGCTCTAGCGACGAGAGCGGTTCTACCGGTGCGAGCAAGTCCCGCGCGATTTGCACGTCGAGCCGTTATGCAAGCTGGTCGCGCGCACATATTGGGTGCCGCAAACCTATATTCAATACAATTTAAGCTTTGAACTACGCATGGCGTCTGCTGGTTGCGAGCAGCTTGACAGCGCTGCGAAGCGCGGTGAGCTTGCAACATTATCCTTACTCGCCTATCAGTATTGATACAAGTTGCCTACAAAATCTTTATGATGATGGCATGTGTTACGTTTGTTGGTAGCTTGACCCTCGACAGCGTTACATCGTACGGTCGTATGGATCAGCATCGTGCAAGTTGCAGCTGGCATCCTGGGGAACATTCCTCCGAGCAAGTTACCCGCAAACTCATCTTGAATTGATAATACCAATTCATAGCACGCATCAAGCGCCAAGGAGGGCGATGCCTGATGATGCTTACATGTTTTGCGTAGATACCGGATTGCCGGAGAAAGGCGGGGGAAAGCTATAGGTGTGTTTCTGGGGCACTGCCGACTCGGGAAACTGGCATGTACGGTATCCGCACTGGGACACATCTCGAAGGCCGATCCTTTACAAGCACGTCCGTAATGCTTTTACCCCGTGCGGACATAGCTCGAAACCCGCGAGGGCGTTCAGCCCTAGTATACAACCTGCATAAAGCATAATATAGACCGCGTACAATCATGCATTAGATGATCAGGACTGTCCCGAAACCACACACGATTGTAATGACATGCATGGATGCACATGGAGCCTGAATACTTTAAAGTCCTGCTACACTACAACACAGCTTTCACGACACAGTCATGCCTGCCCAAGACGTACGATAATACCTGCAATGACCTAATGCACTGACTAACGACACCTGACGCAGTGATGTGCTTGGGGAAAATGATGTACATGATTCCCCATGCAACAAACCTACTGTGCTAATGCCAGGATCACGGCAGAACAAACGATAGCATCCTCTATATCTACATCCAAGCGACGTACTTTGCAAAGGCGACTGTAAAGTCCGAGTATCTGACAACAGCAACCCAAGCTAAGAAGAAGCCAAAAAGGGCCATGCGCTCGTGCCCCTAGGTAATTAGGCACGCGTACTGGTGTTGTTCACGCCTTGTTCATGCGGCCCGTTCGTCCAGCAAGGTAAGTAAGCGTGCAAGTTGAACAACTCAGCCCTGGACACCGCGGCAATCGGCATCCGCATTTCACCAACACTCGCAGCATTCAAAACATGCGCCCTTATTTGGGACACGTGTGCGAACAAGTGCACGGCATGAACGCCCCCTTCCAACCCACCGCTTTCCGGGCCATCATCCCAGCCGCACAGCCCTCCCACAACCTACGCTACCACACCTATTCTACAACCTGCCCTCTCCCCAAACACCACCACCTCGCCTTCCTCACTCACTCTACCTCCTGCCCCACCCACGCCTCCTCACAGAATCCGCGCCGCCAAGTCACGTTGCCCCCCATCCCCCCGCACCGGCCGCCTCCACGACTCATCATCATCCTCACCCCCCGCGCCGCGCCTCTCCCCGCCCCCGCCCGCTCCCCCCGGGCCGCCCCCCAGCAGCGCCCGCGACTGGCTGGCGCTGATGGAGGCCCACCGCAGGACGCGTTGCTCGGGCCGCAGCGGCTGCTTGGGCCGGTAGCCGGGCACCCAGATGTACAGGCGCACCTCGTCGTCGCGGGCGGCGGTGGCGATGGCGGTGCAGTCGCGACTGAAGGCCACACAGCTCACCTGGAGGGATGGGAGGGGGGAGGGGTATGGGAGGGGTATGAGGAAGGGGCGCAGGAGGCACTACTGGCAGACCCGGTTATGCGGTATGCGGTGCTGCGTCTCATGGCGGCGCTGCGTCAGGCACAAGAGTGTCCTCGGCACACCCAAACGTCCTGATCAGGACGGGGAGCATTCGGAAAGATAACGCAGTGTTGTGCGACAGAGCATCACTCGCAAGCCGCCCCATGCCGCCCCCGTGCGCGCATCGCCAAGCAACCAGGTAGCACTGTGCTGCTCCCTCGTAGGGGCCCGTCCATGGCAACTAATACCGGCACTCCCACATGCTATGCCATAATGCCAAGCAAGGTTTGACCCTCCTTACGGCCCCCGGTTGCCCCAGTTTGAACACTGGGAAACTGGTCCCCATGATGGCTGCGCAGTTCCCGTGACGACGTGTTGTTTGCGTCAGGCACAAAGGTATGTCCGCCACGCCGGACCCACGGGTCGTGAGAGACCCATGGGTCAGTCTCGGAAAGATAACGCAGAATTGGGTCTTCACATCATTCGCAAAGAAAGTTCCCACCTCCTCCCATCTCCGCCCTTCCTTCACCTACCCATCTATCCTAGATGCACTCCACCCCTCACCTCACCCTTATCCACACCCTTCCCTCACCTCACCCTTACCCACACCCTTCCCTCACCATTCCTTCACCACACCCTGACATCCGCACCCCACACCCACCATGTGTCGGTGCCCTGTCAACGTCGCCAGCGGCAGCCCGCTCTTCGCATCCCACAGCTTGGCAAGGTTGTCGTACCCGCCCGACATGATGGTGGAGCCGTCGGGGCTCACGGCGGCGCTCAGCACGCCGTACGCGCCCCCATGCGCCGGCAGCGCCGCCAGCTCGTTTCCATTGACCAGGTCCCAGAAGCGCAGCTGCTTGTCGAACCCGCCGGTGACGACCCACTGGCCGTCGGGGGCGACTGCGATGCAGTTGACGGGGCCGCGGTGACCCTGGCAGGAGGGAGGAGGGGGGGGAAGGTAAGAGGTGGGAGGGGGGAGGGGGAAACGGGTAAAAGGAGGGTAGTACGGTGCTACCACAACAGATGGGTGCCCAGAGGGAGGGATGTCTTGGGGTATCTTGGGCCTGTTACGGTACATCCATGCGACCCCGCAGTAACGGTATCTTTCCCTCCCGTGCGTGTGTGTGTTAAGGGAACTGGCTGCGTGCGTGCGTGTCATGTCAACGGAGCCGGTGTGTTGTTACTCTACAACTGGCTCCTCCCCTCCGTTTCCCACCACCCCCCTACCTTGAGCACCCGGCGGCTCTCCCCGGTCGCGAAGTCCCACACCACAACGTGGTGGTCGGTGCCGCCGCTGAGGATGCGGCGGCCGTTGGGCGTCAGCGCCACACACGTCACTGCATGCGGGGTGGGAGGGGTGGTAAAGAGTGCCGCCGTGAGGAATCAACAAAGTGACCTAAGGGTGGTAAGGCGTCGTCATGGTCGTCACTGCATGCGGGGGGCCGCACAAAAAAACATTGGAACACAGTCATGCGGGGGCGGGGAGGAGAGGGTAAGGGGTGTTGCAGGAAGCAGAAAGGTGCGGAGGGGCTAGGAAGTGGAGCCCTGTAGGGAACCCCGGTGTACGGTACGAGCGTACGACAAAGGTGCGGCTTACCTTCCCCGCTGTGGCCCCGCAAGGTAAGCATGCAGTAGCCGGTGCAGACGTCCCACACGCGCACGGTCTTGTCCGCGGAGCCCGTTACTAGGTACTTGGAGTCGGGCGTCGTGGCCAGCGACAAGATGGGCTTGTGGTGCCGCTGCAGGACCCGCTGTACAACGCGGCTCATAGGATCGAATATTAAACTGTTTGCTAATGATAAAGCGCCATCACCGACAGCTGCGAGCGCCGCGATGACGCTGCTAGGCGTCCCGCCATTCAAACTTCGCGAGGAGGCGCTGTGCGCTTTAAGCAGGGATTGTGATGGATGTTCTGTATTTGTTGGAAGGTTGCTGGAACTGGGTCCTCCAGGAGGCGTGAGCACCGGTACGCTGCCAGGGACGCACATCGCGAGGCAATTCTCGAGGGACCAGACCAGCGCTGTGCAGTCATCGCTGCCTGAGCACAGCAGGCGGCCATCGGGTGTGAAAGAGAGGCAGCGCACCAAGCCGCCATGCCCATCCAGGATAACACGTAGGCGACCGGATGTGACATCATAGAGGCGGATGTCCTTGGAGGCGGTAGCTAGGATGTCGCCTTTAGGGTTAAAGGCGACTGACGTGACAGGGTAGTTGTGGCCCTGGTGTAGGCGGTGCTTCAGTGTGGCCTGCAGAGAACGGGATGGGCCGCAAGGATAACGGGTCTGTCGCAGCAGCAGATTTCGGTCTGCCAACATTGCATGGCGAATGCAAAGCGCGGAATATGTGCTATGCGTCCTAATCATCACAAAATAGTGCGCTGAGCGCTCCAATCAAAGAGCCGTCACCCACCAAGGTAAGCGCCTCAGGCGTCTGAGGCTGATGGTGATCTTGCCCCTGTCTGAGAGGCGCTCTGGAGGCAAGCCAGCGCTGCGAAGCATAACGTCGGGTGCAGGGGGTTGGTGGAGAATGCCCATGGAATTGTGACAGCAACAACCAAAAACCATTTATGAGCTTCAAAAGCTGGTGCTCTCAATACAATGTCTGTTTAAGATGTTGGAAGCAGAGACATTATGCGAAATGGTGCATTGAAAACGCCGGCCAATGGAGCCAGGGACGAGCACACACTTTTCGCTGCTTGGATAACATGCACATGTCTTCATCATGGACAGTGTAATGCAGCCCTACGTTCTCGTACCTGTGTCGCCTGCTCCTGTGTAGTTCGCCTCCTGGTTTTTTCATTCGCGCTACTAGACGAAGCCTCGGCATTGCTGCGTAAGCGCGATGCCTGCATTCTATCTATATGGTTGGACTGGGGCATTTATGCCGGCCCCTTTCCGGCTAAGTGCTGCGTATTATGGTCCGGCAAGGGCTAGATGCGCAAACCTGCTTGGTGCTAACACGATATGCAAGAAAAGTTACAGCTAACCATGTCTACTGTAAGCCGTATGTGAAAACGTGCCTTCTGGGAGTTATTCGTGTCTTAAAATGTACAGTTGCCGCACGTCCTTGTATCTGCCGTCCATCCCATGACAAAGGACTATGAATTAACCCACCGCGCCCTCTCGAAGGAACATATCTTGCGTTATATTATTTGTCACCTTTATACTCTCGCCTACATCACGTACTCTGCTTGACGGGGGGTGTTACAGAGCCTCCATGCAACACGCAGCGCAACTTACGTCCCGTCCCAGACATGGGAATCGACGTATTATGTCTATTATGCTTCCTGTAGGTGCTAGAATGTACTCATCGGAGCGAAGTCATTTGACCCAAGGGTCGCACGAATGTCGCACGTCCGAGGCGTTTCATGCGACCCTTTTCCTGCCGCATCCAAAAGAAAACATCGATGACCTAAGAGCTGTCAGGCGCTGCATGAAGCTCCGTCGCCCGGCGATTCCGGCCTTCCTGCTACTTCGCAACAGCCTCTCCCGCCGACTCTACATTCCACACATTCGCTGCCATATACTTTTGACCTGACGCCATATACACAGCTCACCGTCGCCAGACAGCACAAACAATTAGGTACCTGTTTAATCCTCCGCGTCAAAACGATTTGCAGCAATATGGCTTCCTCGGTCCTGGTTAGGCGCTTGGGTGCCCGAGCGGCAACGCTGACGTGCACGCTGCTAGTGCTAGGTAGGTTCCGCGAGGTCTACAGCGCAGCAGCGAAGGAATGCGCCAGTAAACCATGGCCGGCCATCTTGAGCATAAGGATAGCTCCTTGGGTTGAGCACGGAGCCTACAAGGCTTGCGTCACATAAGCCTCCATCGCATAAGATTGCACTGCTCTATGCGCTGCCAGCTGCCAGCTGCATACAGCAGCAGCTGCAAACGCACACCCCCTCGCTGGCCTCACGTTTTGCCGACGACCCCAAGAACTGGGTGCATCCAAGGATGCGCTCTTCCGGCAGCTGCAACAGCAACAGCCACAGCAGCACGCAGCCACAGTAGCAACAGCAGCATTCTGCCTTGACATACGGCTGCAAGCAACCTTGCTACCGAGCTGCTGACTCCTCCGCGATCCGGCCGCCCGCGCCCGCTACAGCCCGCGCCGCTCAGCATCACCGCACTCTTACTTTGCCTCTGGACAGCCGGCTGTCACTTCTGCCATTCCTCACGTCAAAACATCACGTCAGAACGTCGTAACCAAGCCCGATGCCCACTAGCCTGCTTTTTCCACCCCGGCCAATGCACCACGCATACCGGCCTGCCGATCTCCTGCCCTGCCCCCGCCCCTGCCGCTGCCACCCCGCCACCCCAAGCAGGCTTCCTTTTGCCCACCACCGGCGCCGCTGGATTGGATCGCAGGGCCAGCCGCCGAGCGCTGTTGCAAGTGGTGAGTGTAATGAGGTGCTATCTAACCGGGAGCTCAAGTACAGCTTATAAACCATATTGCGCGATGTTGGTAGTTCCTTCGGTGTATGCTGCCGTCAGGCCGGTTTCTACTGCCCGCCGCTGTCTTCGCACTCCGGCATCCCTTCCACACAACTTCCTAATAAGATCTAAAACCCTTCCCGCCCGCCCGCCCGCACACCCACCCGCAGCCCGCTGCCGTCACCGGCCCACCGCCCGGCGCTCCCAACGCGGTGAGTGTGTACGGCATGTGCTTCCCGCCCCCCGCGCGCATGCGCATAAACACGTCTACATGTTGTTACTTTTTTCTTTGTTTGTTTGTGTGTGCGGTCCATGAGCCTCCTGGCTCGTCTGGGCCCTACGAGCCGTAGAGCTTGTAACAACTCAACTCACTCACATGTTGTTAGAGACGCATGCTGCTGACTGCCCCACGCCCCACGCCCCGCTACCTTGCTGTCTTGCTGCTCGCCACCTCCAATTCCTCCTCGCTCCGCCCCCGCAGACGGACCTAGCGGTGGAGTCCCTCAACTCCACCGGCACGCAGGCCGCCCTCGCCGCCAACCGCACCGCCCTCGCAACCATCTTTGCGCCCACGGTGAGGCCAGGGAGGCCGCTGTCGTCTTGGTGAAGCATCCCACCTTGCCGCGCACTATTCCGATCTCCGCCGCCGCCTGCAACCCCACCCCCTCCTCTGTTGTTTCCAGGACGCTGCCTTCGCCGCGCTCGCCACCTCCCTCAACCTGAGCTCCCCGCTTGACCTCTTCAACGCCACCTACAACGCCACCGCCGCCAACATCACCGCGCTGCACGTGATTCCAGGTGGGGTCGGCAGCTGCGCGCCGTATCGACAGGGCAGTATGTGTGCATGTCCGCTTGCTGGACATGTGCGGCGCTGCATGCATGCGAGTACTCCTCCGCGAGGAAACCCATGCAACCGACGGGCTTCTGTTCTTGGTGTGCGCGCTGTGGTGGGCCATTTGTTCCTCCTCCTCCCCATCATCCCATGATTTGTGGCTTTTGTGGTTCCTCTTCCTCGCCATCATCCCATGCATCCGCCAGGCGAGGCCCTCACCTCCGCCAACCTAACCGCCGGCGCCAACATCACTGCGCCCTCGCTGCTGGGCTACAACCTCACCGTCGCCAAGCTGCTGTGAGTGTCATGGGGCTGCGTGCATGGGGCCGTTCTCACTTATGTTAAATGCTGCTTGTTGCCCACTGCGTGGTTCCCTGCTGCCCACGTACGCCTACTTCGCTAGCTCCCTGCCTCCACCTACCTACCGCTCACCTCCCGGCCCCTCTTCGCTGCCGCTTCCACAGCAACGGCACCGTGACAGTTACTGTGCCCGGCAGCGCCATCGTGGGAACCGTTCTGACGCCGGACGTGCCGTACAATGGAGTAAGTCCCCTTTGCCCGTACATACACACATACACACCGGCCAGTTTCCTTAACACACACACACACACAGTCACACACATCGTGCGTGTGTCCACCAGCGCCTCCACCTGCTAGGAAACCAGTGTGACGGTGTACCCTTGTACCGACTGGCAGCAGGGGGTTGCGGGCATCCGTATATCATTTCATAGCATGCGCACGCGACCGCAACTGCATCAATCTTCACCTGCTTGTGTTATCCCCTTCACCTCCTTATGGGTGGGGCCTCTGTGTATTAGAGAGGCACAGAAGCTAGGTCACAACATGCCGTTACCTGCCATCCAGGGCATCCCCTTCTCTCGCACTAGACCTCCCTGGAGCCCGGTCGGCTATTCCTCTTTAGAATTCCCGCTTATAACTCCCGCCCGCTCCTGCTGCTGCTGCCCCTTCTACGTTCCTGCGACGCCGCAGAGCATCGTCCACATCATCGACAAGGTGCTGCTGCCGCCCGCCAACGAGACCACCTCCTGGGCGATTCCGCTGACGGCGGCTCCATCTGCACCCTGAGGAATGGCAGGCACCGCCTCCCTCCCTAGCGGAGCAAGAGCCTGCAGGCGGAGCGAAGAGTAAGAGGAAGGGGCGGCATGATGGTGGGCTAAGGGGTTGCTGCCAGTTGCCACGTACACGCAAGATCTCTGCCGGGTTGCTGAAGGGAGGAAAGGCGCTGAATGCGCGGCTGTCGTGGCGGCAGGTGCATGCAGGGCGTGCGGCCGTTGCACCAGGTGTGCCTGAGTGTGGTTAACTGCTGCTGGTATGTGTTGAGCTGGCAGGCTGCTGCCGGGCGTCGTCCTCAACAGTTCCGGTGTTGATGCAGATGGTGTCCAGTTGTCATGGTTGGTTTGCGGGGTTGGTTTGCTGCTGTCGTAGTCGTTGACACTTGTTGTGGGTAATATCAAATCCGAGTGTTGGCTGGATCCCCGCTGTCGAGTTTAGTAATTGATGTCGTGCACTGTTGTCGTACTTTTGTGCATGCTGGTTGATCACCGTATGCTGTTGTTGCAGTGTAGCTGATAATAACGGTTGTTTTCAATGGAAGTTGTGCTGGTATATTGAAATGAGGGCGATAGGAACGCTTATCGCAGCGTTGGGGGCAGAAGGCGTCAGATGACCCATGGGTCGCGCCGCAGCCAGCAGCAGGGCGGTCCGGCGGGCGGGCCAACGCAGCTCTTCATTGATGGGGCGCTGTTACGGTGCAGCAGGTGTGTTGACTGGCGTGCTAGCATATGCGAGCTTGCATGTTCACGCTTTGTGTGCGTTAGTTGCAGTTGATGAGGAAAGCAACTGCGAGCTGTGCATTTTGGCTATCCGCTAGGGTCAACTGCCGGGCTAGGGTCACGCCTCGCGTCTTTCGGGGCTTGCTCTGCCCTGCCTGGTTTGTTTGGACTGGCTGTGATTGGATTGAGCTGCGACGGGGATTGATGTGTCGGGCCTAACGAGTGCCCAATGAATGTGCCCTGTGTGTCGCTGGCTGTCGGAGCCGTTGATTTGGCCTGTTGCCGGCTCGCGTCCCCGTCCGGACGTCGTCGAATGCCACCGCGACGCCGCTCGTCGAGCCTCATCTGGCAACACCGCAGATCGACCGGTCCCAATCCATTCCCTAACGCTGCCGCAGTACTATAATGGTAATGAGGAGTTTGCTTTGAAGGCTGTTAGTACCAATTGTAACATGAATGCGTGCTGCGGAACGTGATTACAACTTGCCGCGATCCGGGCCCTGAGGAACAGGAAGAACAGGTGCAGTTACCCCCGAAGGCAACAACAAATTTGAAACCGTTATTTTACAAAAGAGTCTGAAGTTGCGTTTTATGCAGGGAAGACGGCTTCAAAGGAACCGGGGGTCATTCAATCGGCAGTTACTGTGCCCAACGCATATAATAATAGCACAGGCTCCGAAGGAATTGCCTCGCATCATCAAGCGCGGATCCTTGCATTAGGACTCCCAATTTATCGTACATTGTTAGTCAACCGCTCGTCGTTGTTGCTATTGCGCCATCACATTGGATGGATCCCGAAGATTCCTGCTAGCACCGAACATACGCCCTATACGAAGGAGTTGCGGGAATCCAGCCCGACACTCTACCCCGTTGGAACGCCGAAAGCGTCGACAAGGCAAGCGCCGCAGACACCAGACGGAACATCGGCAGCAGGGCTTACACAGCCGTTTGCCAGGAACTAGAAATTAGCAAGATGATGATCACGACAACTGCAAAGCGCATTGCCGTGGCGCTACTGTTCGCAGGCAAGTCGTCGTTTGCGGCGGGACATCGCATGCTGCGCTGCTGACCACGCACATGCGCTGCCGCCTAGCCTTGAGCTCGTGCTTTTGTTGCAACTGCAGCTACTCTTGCTGCTCATGCTGATCGTCACAAGCGCCTGAATCTCTGACCTTGTCAGTCCAAAGCTTGCCTGCCTGCCTGCCCTTCTCCTCCGTTCCGGGCCTTGGTCGCATGCGCTTCATCACATCATCTCTCTTCTCCGCCCGCAGCGCTTGCGGCCGATGCTGCCACAACGCACAACCGCGGCCTGCTGCAGCAGCCGCCGCTGCTTGCCAAGTCTACGGCCGCGGCGGCGAAGCCGGTCATTGAGGCGGGAGGCCGGGTGGAGCCCGGAAACATCACTGGCCTGACCACCGCTGCCAAGCCTGGGGGAGCTGCTGGGGCGGGCGGACCGGCGGGCGGTCCGGCGGGGGCTGCGGGCGGTGGCCCGGCGGAGACTGCGGGCGGCCCGATGGGCCCGGCAGCAATAGCGATGCCAGCCAAGACGGCCAAACCTGGCAAGCCCGGCAAGCCCGCGCAGCCCGCTCCCAGTGTGAGTCGGTCCTGCTGGGGTTGTTAGGGTGGTAATGGCGCAGGGGACATGCATGCATGCAGGCCGCTTGTTTCGTTGCGCCCTACCCATCCCAGCGTTGTTGCATGCATACCTGCCACGGCATCTGCCTCAGCGGCTGCTGCCCCCCCCCCCCATGCATGCAACACGGCTACCACGCTCACCCCCGAAACAGCCCGCGCATGCATACACACCCCTGCCGCCTCCTATTCCCCCATTGCTTTGCCCGAACTCTTGGTTTCCCATGGTTCGGTATGCGGTCTTTGTCCCGTTGACCCCCCGCAGGTCAACATGGCGATTGAGGCGCTCAACATCACCGGAGTGAACCGCCTGCTGACCAACCAAACGGTGGCCACCATCTTCGCGCCCAGCGACGCGTAAGTGGCACGGCACCGGGTTTCATAGCCCTTTTACGGCCGGCAATGCTGTACTTGGCAGCAGCATAGCCCTTTTGCGGACGTTCGTTTCCTTGGCTGTGACAGGCCTTCTGGACGCTGCGGCGCCCCATCCCCAGGTGGCTCCTCGAATAGTTCTTTTGCCTTCCCACGCTGGCCTGCTGCCCCGCGGCCCTCCTCTCCCTCCCCCTCACCCAAATAGTGCCTTCGTCAGCCTGGCTCGCCGCCAAAACATCACCAGTCGCTACGAGCTGTTTGTGAACCCGCTGGCGACCAACGTCACCGAGCTGCACATCGTGCCCGGTGAGCCGTCTGGGGGTTGCAGGGATGCTGCTTGTCGGTTGGGGGAAGAAGCGTCGTTGGAGGGCATCACTTGAGGAGGGAAAAGCTCCCGCCCATGTCGTGGTCTCTCGTTACCTGTGCAGAGGGCAGCAACAAAGACTGCACCTTACAGGCTACGGTCCCCTTCACTCGTATTGTGCATGCCGCCTCTTGTTGTGCATGCCGCCTGTGCATGCTGCGCTGATTCCCGCCAGGTGTTGCTCTTCGCCTGGAGGACATCCCGCTGGACACTACGGTGAACGCCACGTCGCTGCTGGGACCCACGCTGCTGCTCCGACGCACCGGGTGAGCCGAGGACAGACGACACGGGGTTGGGGTCATGGGAGGGGTGCTGCTGTGGGATATACACCAACTGCGACGGCGGGCTAGGTGCAGTACGTCCTTCAAACGGGCAAAGGACTGGTATTTGTAGGGGTGCGCGCGCGCGCATGGACGCATGTGGTAGCCATGGACGGCTTTTTGTTAGCCACACCACAGCGCATTGGCTGATCTGTCGTACCGATCCGCCCCGTATGATGTCGTACATTCGCCTCGCAGCCGCGGTCTGCGGGTTTCTGTGGCGGGTACCAACAGCTCGGCCGAGGTCATCCGACCCAACGTCCCCTACAACAAGGCGAGTGCTGCGACCGGGGGGATCTCAATCCTGCACGAGTGATCTGCCGGTATATGCAGCTGCCGTACTTTGCTTCCGCCACCCTCATGTTGCCCTTAAATGATGGACCCAGGATGGGGTGGCAAGGTTTACATTGTGTCGGTGTCCGGTGTACCTGGTTCGTTAGGTCTTGGATCGTTACTTTAAAACGCAGTGCACTTTACGACCAACAAGCAAAAGCCCCGCCTTTCGCGTCGCTGCCTCCCCCGCAGGCCATCGTCCATGTGATCAACAGGGTGCTGCTGCCGGCGCTGACGCCCGTCTGAGCACGCAGCTCAGCAGCTGCAATGCATACATATGTCAGTAATGGGCAAATGTTGTCACATGGCGGATGTCACCTTCCAATTTTGCAGATACCGTACGTGGTGGGCGTGTGGGCCAATGAACGGTCCCTGGTTATCAGTTAGCCGCCAGTTTGCAGGCTTGTTGAACCCTTTGTTGTTAAGGTTTAGTTCGTTGGGTGTGTGGGTGCCATTACCCTCGTCAGATGGTGGCTCAATGGAGCTCTAGCAGCTAGCGTGGACATGTATGACGTGGTCACTGGTCAGGCCACGCGTCCTCGCGCTCGCGAGGCCGTACGCACGTCGCTACAGATGCCAAGCTGTCAACCCAACGGGGATGTAAACATGTAATGTTGCTAGCAGCAGGCGTTGCTCGCGCCACGCCTCTCAGGCTAAGCCCACGTAACCGACGAACATCATGTACTGTGTCATACCGCTACACGCTATACCCCACGCCCTTCGCCCTCTAATGAGGGAATAGAAACAGCCTTAGGCCATTCTCACAGCCAACAGCTCCACCGGTCATCCTAACACACCGACACTCTGCAAAGCAGCCGCCAGCCCACCCTCAGCGCGCTGCGCCTCCGCTTGCGCCTCCTCCACCAGCGCTTGCAACGTCCGAATGTCCCACGGGTCGGCAGGAGCCGCAGCAGGCCCCATGCCAGACGCCCGTCGCGCTGTTGCTGCCCTGGAAGCATCCGGGCCCTGCGTCTGGCTCCTCCCGGAGCGGCTGCTGCGGCTGCTCAGCACCGCTGCGGCGGCTGCAGCGGGGTCTGCGGCTGCTGCCACCGCAGCTAGCAGCTGGTCTCGGAGCAGCTCTCCGTCGGCTGAGGAGACGTCATCTGGGAAGCCTCCGGTGTGGTCCTGCAAGGTAGTTCCCGCCGGAAGTTGCAGGGTGGTGTCAGGAGATCAGGATCAGTTTTAGGGTTAGGATCAGTTAATTGCACGCTGTTTTAGTCTGAAGATGTTGAGACGTGCTTTGGCTACCATGCATACGCAAAGGAATTGCTTACCGGTCACCTATCCAACGAAAGCACGGCCGGATGAAAGTGAAACTGTACAGCAACAACAACTTCGCGTGTCCAAGCGCACGTTCCCCAAAGCCTGCCCCACGCACCTGTCCCAAGGGGACCGCCATGTCGGCCGCCGCTGCCAGCGACACCTCAATCACTGACAGCAGGTCGCCCACCCGCTGAGCCGCCTCCAGCGACGCAGCCACCGCTGCACCGCCACCCGTAGCCCCATGGGACAGCGGGTAGTAACCGCCCCGCGACCCCGGCGCATCCTCGGGTCCCAGCAGATGCCGTACATCCTCAATCGAAAGGCTCGTCAGCTGCGAAATGTCATGCGCTGACATGATGCCGCCACCGCCACCGCCACCGGCACCAGAGCCCCGCTGGGCTGCTCCGCTGCTGCCGCCGCCAGCACCTGCCGCCGCCGCAGCAGCAGCAGCAGCAGCAGCACCGACTGGCCGTCTCGCGCCGGCGCCCGGCGTCGGCACGCAGCCAGCCCGGTGCAGGCGCTCCGATGCGACATCCATGGCGGCCACGGCCTGCAGCAGCACCCGGGAGAGGGCGCGCAGGGCCTCCAGCAGCTCACGTGCGCGACCCCGCAGCACCGCCGCGGCGGAGCTCGCCTGGCGCCGTAGCGCCGTCTCGCGCCGCGTGACGTCCTCCAGCTGCTTGACGGTGCCGGACAGGATCGTGCGCTCCTGTGCAGCAGCAGGAAAGCAGGGTGTTGTAAGGAACGCGTGTGATGTTCCATCGCTCAACCAGTTCAAATAAACTTCACCGCACAACATGGGTCCATGACTACTGCGCGAGACCATGATTTCCACACCATCCGTCCATCCCCACCTTCTCCAAGTCATTCAGCGCCGCATGGATCGTCACATCACGCTTCGCCAGCTCCGTCCTCAGTCGCGCGCTGGCTCGCTTCGCCGCGTCCAGCTCCTCGCTGCTCCTCGCCTCCGCGGCGGCGCTGCTCGCACTGACACTCGCCTGCACCGCCTCCAGACGCTCCCGCAGCTCCTTCACCAGCGCCTCCTTGCGGGTCAGAGTGGCGGTCAGGGAGCGCAGACGCGACTCCGCGGCGGCATCCTCGCTGGCTGCAGAGGTACGGCGCTGCAGGGCCGCGCTGAGGTCGTCCACTCGCCGCTTCAGGTCCCTGAATAAGGAATGAAGGAGGGGAAGGAACGAATAAGAGGAGGGTGAGTGCTGACCGGTGATGTTTGCAAGGAAACAGCGCATGCGGTCTTTTTCTTAATCGGTTCATGTGGAAGCTTTTTTCAGGTTCAAGTGCCGAAGTAAAGCAACACAAGGAGCAAAGCACACCCGTTTCGGCAGGAGGAAACAGGATGCACAACAGCAGGCCGCCTACTTTGCCAGCGCCGTCTTCCGCTCCAGAGCCGACTTGGCTTCCCGCAGCTTCCCCTCCACCGCCTCCCGTGCGGCTCGTTCCGCCTCCAGCGCAGCCGCTGTGGCACGAGCACCCGCAGCCGCCGCCTCCAACGCCGCCGGCAAGGGGTCGTCGTCGCGGCCGGCTGCAAACCTGCCAGGAGCCCCATGCATGTCCGCACCGTCATACGGGGAACCCATCATGCCGCCTGCATGTGGCGGGGCAAGGGGGGGCCTGCCGGGTGCTGCTGAGCCCGCTGCGGCTGCGGATCCCGGCCTGTTGACGCGGCCACGCATGGCAGCGGCGCTGTCGTGGGGATCAAAGGCGGCGCCTGACGGGCCGATTGCCATGCCCTGGTTGGATGTCGTGGATGCATACATGCAGGGAAGGGGAGGCAAGAGGGCGTGGTCGGCAACGACAGACGGACTACAATTCGTTGATGGCGAAGGATGCGAAAGGCAGTGAATTGGGCGGCGGAAGCTCCCTCCGTAGGAACCAAGCAGCGTCAAGACGCGTACCTGCAGCACCTGCAGTGCCTTCTGACGCCGCGCGCTCTCCGCGCGACAGCTCTTGAGCTGCTCCCTGCATGCGGACAGCTCAGCCTGCAGCTGCCGGTGCTCCTCCTGCACGGCACCAGCAGCAGCAGCAGCAGCAGCGCCGACAGGAGCCACATGGGTGGGTTAGCGCCATGCAGCACGGTAGCACCTAGGAGAGCAGAGGAGCAAACCAACAACAACAACGAAAACCAGTGCAGCTTCCCACCCATGTGAAGCTTAATGTGAAATTCCAGAGTCTTCAGTACTGGTAAAAGCTCCGTAGCCCCCAACCCCCGCTCACTCACCGGTGGTACGGCGCTCGCGCGCGCCGCGTCCAGCTGGTCAGACACCGCCTTCAATTTGCCCCTCACTCGGGCCAGCGCGCCGCGCAGCAGCCCCACCTGCGCCTCCACCCGCCCCCGCAGCGACCGCTCGAACGCCACCTCCCGCTGCGCCGCCTCCAGCGCCTCCGAGCCGCGGGCCAGGGCCACAAGCTGCGAGGGAGTCAACTGAACGGCGCCCGGACCGCCCGAACCGCCAGGGCCCCCGGCAGCACGAGGGTTGGTAGCCCCGTCGCTGGCGGGTTGGGTTGGCAGGGGCGGGAAGAGAGTGGGTACGAAGGTGCAGGTGGGCTGCGGTGCAGCTGCAGCTCCCGGGCAGGCGCCTTTCCGGCGGCGTGCGGCTCTGCTGCCGGAGCAGGCGTGCTGGCGGCGCAGGGACTTGCAGTTCCGCAGGTTGCCGCCGCCGTGTGGGCGGTGGCAGGCGGCCTCGGAGGAGCCGGGTGAGGGGCAGTCGGGCGCATGATCGCCGCAGCTGGCGGCGGCTCGGCGCACGGGGCAGACGCCGACGGCGCCCGTCTCGATGCAGCCGCGGAGCCGCTGCTCCAAACTGGATACCTCGGCCGCCTTCTGGGTCTGATACTGGCTGCGAGCAGGGAGGAACGCAAGAAGAGGCAGCATTGCGTGAGACTCATTGCGTGAGGCAGCACCCAATGTTATACCGCACTGGAGTATACACGATGCCTCCTGACCCAAACCCCGCGCTGACTGCCCCCAGCCTTCCTCCCTGAATGTCGTCCTAGACCTCAACTCCTCCAAGCCTGCTCTGCTCTCTCTCTCTGCCCGCTCACCTGAACTGTGCCTGCATCATCTGTATCTCCTGCGCAAGCGCCGCCCGGTCCGCCTCCAGCTGCTCCAGCCGCTGTCCGTACTCCGCCTCCAGAGCCGCCAGCCGCGAGGCCGCAACCGCCTCGGCCGCGTTCTGGCTGGCAGCCGCCGCCGCCTCCGCCCTGGCTGCAGCCTCGGTGGCCATGGCCTGCCGCTCCTGCTCGATACGTTCTTGCATGTCCTGAGGTAACGAGGTATGCGAGGGGGAGATGGGGAGCGTGGGAGGGATACAAGGTGGAATCAACGAGAGGTATCTGTGGGAGAGATGGCGCCGATACAAGCCCTTCTGTCCCGCCACATGCCAATCGTGGCACTGGGACCCTCTTTGCGTGAGGCTGGTAACTCCTTCCCCAAGGTGTGGGACGCCCCAACAGCGGCAACAGCGGCAAGCCAGCCCAGCACAGCTCAGTCCCGAATGCGTCCCACACCTTGATGTGAGTCACATGCCGCGCCGCGAGCTGCTGCCGCTCCATCTCCCCCGCCACCTGCAGCTCAGACATCTGCCGCTGCAGCCCCTCCAGCTCGGCAGCCAGCGCCTCGGCGCGGCGAGCGGCGTCGTGGGCAGTTGCCTGCGGGGTGTGTGGGGCGGTTTCCCCCGGGGGCAGTGAGGGAGATACCGTACATAAACGTGGGACATACGTGGGGCATGCTGAGGTGACGGACTGTCCGCATACGCAGCAGAAATCCTGAACATGCCGCCAATCACACGAGCGCTTCTCCTATGATGCCGCAGACGTGGCCGGCAAGCATATGCACCGAGTAGCTGCACGCACCTGTAGGACTGCCTTCTCTCGCTCCCATTCCGCCTGCCGAGCTTCCAAGTCGGCCTGCAGAAGGGGATACAGTCGACGCCCTTCAACCGTCGACGCCCTTAAACCCCTGCCTAAAGATAGCGAGCTACACAATAACAAAAAATACAACCAGCACGCCCCCATCATCGACTACACCGTACCGGTGCAGATCCTAACGTGTATCCTCAGCTCTCCCAACTCACCTGCAGCTGCTTGAGCGCCGACTGGTAGCGCACCAGGCGCGTGAGGGAGCTCCAGCGGCTGGCCTGCACGCTGCTCTGCGCGGACCGCAGCGCCGCCTCCACACTGCTCTGAGCCGACTGGCGGGCGGCCTCCAAGCGGGACTGCGGAGCGGGGGAGGACAGGCAAGGACAGCAGTACAGCTCACATAAAGGAATACACGTATACATTGATACATGCGCCCTTCAATAATCCTTGCAACGCATCCGCACTCTGGGCGTCCCGTCCCTTGGGTCCCTGACGTTGAAAACCCCTCCAAAGGACACCTATCCGGTGCCATGCTTCTTTCGTGTTTCTTCTCCGTTAAGAGTACCCGGCAACGAGGTGCGCACTGCAACATGCTGTGATGCCGCTGCTGGCAGCTCCTTCAAGTGTGTGCAAACAGTGACGCAGGGACATTGCGGTTTCCACAACGCCGCACAACAACGCCGCACCAGCATGTCTGCGAGCTGTCCCTCCAGCTCCCGCAGTCTCGCCTCCGCCCGGGCAGGCGCCGCAGCGGACTCCGCCTGCGCCTCCGCCAGCTTGGCGGCCAGCTCCTCAATCCGCGCAGCCGCCGCCTCCCCCGACTCGGCGGCTCGTCGCTCCACCCCTTCCAGACGAGACTCCAGGGACTCCAAGCTCTCTAGCAGCTGTGCACGCGCCTGATGGATGCAGCAGCGCGCATGGAAAAGGGCAGGACCGGTTAGAAGGATTAAAGAAAGCTCATTATGCAAGGATCATTCAAGCAAGGATTATCACGTGACCCATGGGTCACTGTGAGGCTTCAGTCCATGGCACAGTGGTTGCTGCTTCTGATAATGCCCATTACCTGCTCCATTTGCTGTAGCCGCTGACGAAGCGTGTTAGCCTCCTCACGCCATGCCAGCGCCCGCTCCTCGGCTCGCTCTGCTGTCGCTCGGGCTGCTGCCGCCGCGGAGTGGGCCTGCAGGAGGCCGCAACCCCCATAAGGCGAGTCGGGTTCAGTGAGACAGGTTACCAGTATCTTTTTGGTAGTGGCCCCATGTACAGAACATCACTGCAAGTAAGTGGCCCGCACCGGCAATCGCAATCTAGGTGAAGCGGTGGCGTTGCTAGCATTTGGGCCTTTGCGTACCTCCAGCATATCGTTGCGAAGTCGAGCTTCGGTGTCACCCGCCTGTGAGCAGGTGACAAGTGATTGGAATTTATCTTTCAAGTGGTTTGGTACTATTGGCAGCATGGCATGATACACAAGGTGCCGTGCACGGGTACGAAGCGGCTTAGCAGAGATGCACGTGACTGCTGCATGGACCAGTTACCCTAGAGCCCGTGCATCGCCTTGCTGCTCGTACCGTACCTGCTGCGCCTGACTGTGGCTCTCCCGCAACGACACCAGCAGCCGAGCCCGCTCCCCCTTCTCCTGAGCCACGGCAGCCTGCAAAGCAGACACACACCACCATATGCGGAGGGGCTAGCTCAGTACGGCAGGCACCGTTTCTCTGGCATGACGGAAGCAACCAAGGCCATGCAAGGCGAGGGCCAGGCACGCCAAGGTGTGCCTGGAGGGCGCTACCTCCGCCCCGGAAAGCTACCGTATCCCCGGATACCCCGGACGCACAACGGTACCTTGAGCGCCGCAACCTCCTCCTGATGTGACGCGGCTGCAGCAGCCGCCTGCGCCCGCTCCGTCTCCAGCTGCCGCTGCAGCGTCGCTGCCCTCGCCAGCGCCTCCGCCGCGCGGGCGTTGTTGGCTCGTGCCTCGCTGCTCCCGCTGCTCTGAACCGCCTCTAGCTCCCGACGGGCTGCCTCGGCTCCTGAAAGCGCCGCCTGCAACCTACACAGCAACGGAGCGGTATGGGTGCAAGCTTTGGGCAACAAGAGTAGCTACGGACACAGCCCTTGCCCTTTAGCTCCCGATACGTACGGACGTACGAGCCATCCATGTTGGGCAGCATTATTCAAGGCTTATACGTTGCAGCCCGTGGCTGATAGGGTAAAGCCCGTCCTTGGGACCAACCAACCCGTCCATGGGACCAACCTTGCTGCTTCAGCCTTGCATTTCCGGAGTTCCTCCTCAATGTGAAGCCCCGAAGCCACCAGCCGCTCCGAAACCGCCGCCTCGCGTGCCGCCGTTGACGCGTTCAGCAGCGACAACTGCGCCCCCAGCTCCTTGCTGCGCCGCTTCCACTTCTCGGCGCGCGCCTTCTGCTGGGCAGTCGCAGTTGCCAGCGTGGCCGCGTGGGCCCGGGCCACAGCTGAGCGGGCGGGGTGGGCAGGGGCGCAAGAATTGTGAAACCAGGGGCTGGGACGGGGAGTGGGCGATAAAAGGACGGTGGGTTGCATGTGTTATGTTGCATGCATGCGGTTTACCAACTGGCAGCTGACTCGGCACGCCCAAGCGAGCTTCTTACCGAGGGCTGCCGCATGATCGGTCGGGCGGGCTGCCTCCTCCTGCCCTTGCCGCTGGCCCACGCTGCTGTCAGCGCTCCTGCTGCTGCCGGTTGCCTCTGCCTGACCACGAGCGTCGCGGCTTGCAGAGGCGCCACTTCCGCCCGTTTGGTCGCCGCCAGCACGGAGACCTTCGGGGCGCGGTTGGCTTGCATGGGCCTGCTGAGCCGTGGAGGGGCTTGCCAAGTCGGGGCCGAGCGCGTACACAGACAAGTCCTGTAGAGGAAAGGGGTTCGTGCGGTGACGGGAGAGGTGCGTTTAGTACGGCTGGCGTCAGTGCTGGACTTTAGGTTCCGGTACGGCTAGCTCTGGTAAGGGTGCGGTGATTGCAGGGACCGCAAAGTGGCAATACCGGTACCTGAACTGCCTTGGAGAGCTGCATCTTGAGGACGCCAACCGTCGTGTCCAGGGTCGCCAGCTCCGAGCTGAGGCCAGCCACCGCCTGCAACGTGCAAAGCGGGGAAACGCTTTGTTTGATCTACAGCGCATAGAGTGTGTTTTAAGGGGCAATTCATTCCATGTAAATGGGAAACATAATAATGGCAACCATGCGAGGTAGGTGGCGGTGCTACGGCGCTGCCACGAGCAGCGCTGCCGAGCTGCCGAGCAGGAGGGCAGCAGCGGATTGCTCCCACCTGCTGCATGCTGCCGCTGGCGCCCGCAGCGCCCGAGGCCGGGTCCACAGCTGCCTGCACAGAGTCGCAGAGCTGGTGCAGCGCGGCGACGCTGTGCTCGAGCAGTTTGGCAACCTGCGTGGCGCCCTGCAGCTTGGACACCTGTGGACCCGGCGTACAGACCAGGCCAAGTTATTGCAAAAACACAGGTAGGGCAGCAAGCACACGAATGCCGGTAGTGAGCTGCAACCATCCCTGGACCGCTAGCCCCTGGTCTGTCAAATCCCACCCATGTCTGCATTTGCAGTGAGGGCCATAACCACAGCCAACCAGCCTCGCACCTGCCCTCCTCGCTCCTCCGGTGCACCGGCAGCAGCACAAGCAGACCCCTCCGCAGCCGACCGAAGCAGCTCCTGCACAAGCGAACGGCACCGCTGCACCTCGCCCTCGGAGCGGCTGCAGCGGGACAGCACCTCGTCGCGTTGGCGCTCCAGCGCGGCGTAGTCCTGCTTGAGCCGGCTGAGCTCGTCAAGGAGGAGGAGGAGGTCGGACGCGTGGGGCTGCTGCCGGGGGTTGTGGCCTGCCTCGTCCTCGTTGGCAGACGAGGTGGGAGCCGAAGAGCCGCCGTCGCTGCTACGCGCTTCGGACGACCTGCTGGGTCCTGTGGTTTGTGCAACTGGGTGTAAATGAAACGCGCATGTGCAAGGCGCGTGGGTGAGCGTCAGGCATGGGATTGGTTGGCGTTGGATTCGTTTCCAAGCTGTAATGGTGGCGTCTAACGTGGCTGAGTTGACACAAGACCGGACGTTACATGTACGCATGCACCCAGATGGTGGCGTTTGCGTTACCACATACCTGCCGGCACAGCAGCCACCGCTTTCGTCCTTGACTTGGCTTCATGTAGCGCCGTCTGCAGCGCATGCGCCAGCTGCTGCATCACCCCGGCCAGCGTCCCCGGCGCCAGCTGCCCGTCCTGCGGCACGATTCCCAACGCAGCTGTGCCCATCGCAGCGGCCGCGGATGGCGGTCTGGCCGGACTGCCGGCCCGCTTGGGCGCCGCCGCCCCGACTGCAGCGACGGATCCGCCGGCCTCCGGGACGAACTGGCTGAGGCGGCTCAGCAGCGAGTTGGCGGTGCTGATCGCGGTGGCGATCTCGGCGTTGGCCGAAGCGAGTTGATCCTGTGCCAAGTAAGGGGAGCAGCAGTGGTTACACGGTTGTACGGCTTGGGTGGTGTAGACGGCACCGGGCGGTATGGGTGTGAGGTGTGGGAGGTTTGAAGAAAGGTGATGGTTACCCGGGCAGGCCTGCAGCTACTGGTACCTTCAGGCGGTCCATGGCCGCGTTGCTTGGTTGTCCGCTGGGCTTGGCGGCAGCAGCGGGGGGCGGTCGAGGGGCTTCTGTCCGCACAGCAGCCGCAGCGTTGGCTTCGGCTAGGGCACCTGGGAGACACACGGGCCGTAATAGACACGATCAGAGCCGCTACAAAGCAATGCATGTCTTGTGTTCATCTATTGCGAAGGTATTACAAAAGACAATGTACGGAGCATCATAGGCCGTCGCAGGCGACAGGTGCGGCAGCGAGATTCCAGGGACACCGCACAGCGCGTACCCTGCAGCCGCTCCACCTCCGCCTGCTTCTTCGCTAGTTCCACCCGCAGCTTCGCAACCTGCCCCGACAAGTGCTCCACATCAGCAGCGTCCGCCAGCGCACGCAGCTCGGCAGGAGAGGGGCCGGCGGAGGGTCGCCGCGACAGGGCTGCGGGCGCGGGGGCCGGGGCAGTCCCGGGACGCGCTCCGCCGGAACCACTTGGCCCGGCCTGCACGAAGCAGTACGGCATGACGTGAAGAAGGGGCAACAGGAGTGCATGCAGCGCAACCCTGTATGCAGCCTCAGCTACTGTCCTCCAGTGTAACTTCCGCTTCCTAAAGAGCGCACATGTGTTGGCAACAAGGAACGTATCATGCTTGGCGTTTGACCGCTGGACGCCGGACGGAGCCTATTACCGGTATGTAAGAATGCATAACGCTGGGACAAGGACCCCTACTAGCAGTGAGCCAGTACCGCACCCTGACAGGTGAAGGTGAGCGGCTGCGCAGGGCTGGCCTCGGGCTCGGTCCGCAGCCTGCCGCGCTGGGTAGCCCCCTGACCGCCTGCTCCTGCGGGTAGGCCCGGCGGCGCAGCTCCTCCAGGGCGCGCGTCCGGGCCGCCAGCTCCTCTTTGAGCTCCGAGATGCGCTCGTCGCGCTGCAGCAGCGTCTGCCGGAGGTCCACCTCGCTCCTGCACAGCACCACCACACAGACAACACCAAGCAGGTTCAGCTTTGTAGTGGCTGTGGGGAGACGGCGTCAACTCGATGAGAGGAGACTGTGTCGTTGCTACATGCACGTGCACCACAGTCCCCACACGCTCAGGCCAGGCACAGCTGCTACACCAAGACCTAATGCAGCAGCCGCCACGCCCATGCGCATGTCGTACACGGGGCCATGTATGCCGCTCACCTCGCGGCAGCGCGCATCTTGCGCACCGCCTCCGCCTCCGACATCTTCGCCCGCACGAGCTCGCGAGACAGCGAAGCAAGACCCTGCACATGCTGCCCGCCTGACTGGCCGCCGTCCTCTCCGGGTTGGCCCCTGCAACCAGCAGCCCAGCAGATAGTTGCATTCCGTTGGAAAGGCAGCACATTGAAACACGGTGAACGCCGCATCTGGTTCAGGCACAGCCATTCCGCAGCGCAACATATGCATCCTGGCATCCCGAGTCGCAGGGAACACTCATAAACTCGAGCTCGTATGGGGTCTGTTAGCTCATGCTTCAGATGCTCGTTTGGACCTGCAATCCTCACCCCATAGACACCGTCCTGCGCGATGCACTAGAGGACGCGCCGCTTGCACGGCTGGCACCGCCAGCCGCCCCCGAGGCCGCTGCCTTCTCAATGCGCGCGAGTGTGGCCTCCAGCGACGCCACCGCTGCCCCAGTCACGTCCCGCACGTCTTCAAGGTCCGCAATCTGGGCCTGGGAGGCCGTCAGGGCTGCCTGCAATGACAAGCAAAGCACCCTCGATTACAGGTAATCTCGTGTGTTGCAACTTGCAAGGCGCCGTGCAATTCCTGCCAGCAGGCAATGCACCGCGCACACGCACCTGCAGTGCTTCCAGCTGCGTCTCCAAATGGGAGACCTTGCGTTCCGCCAGCACTGCCCGCGTCTCCACCTCGTGCAGCTGGGCGGCATCCACCTGCAGGGCACAGGGAGCTTGAAAAGGCCGTCCTTGCGGTCCTTGCTCACGATGCAGGTTACACGATGCGAGCAGCCCTGTGAGCCGCACCTGGCCGGCCGTGGCAGCTGAAACCCTCTTCTCGATCTCGGCGTTGGCAGCCGTTGAAATCTCGTTGACGCGCTGCTCTGCAAGCTCCACATCTGCATGCACATGGGCATCAGGCCTGGCTGTGTTACCACTCAGGATTTTTGACCGGGGAGTGTTTGGGTACATGGCAGTTGTTGGCCCCTCCCATGTCCTCTCCTATGTCCGCTCCCATGTCCCTCCCATGACCAAAAGTCTTGGCAGGCAGGGTAAACGCGTCAACCCCGTGGTCCCCACTTTACCTCTGGACGCCAGGTCCCGTGTTGCAGCGAGGCGAGCCTACACGGTTTAAGAGGCAAGCTCAATAAGTGCAACCAGCGTAAATTCATACCAGGCCACACCTGCCGCACCGCCGCAAGTCCTCTGACAAGTCAGCCGGTAAAGCCCAGTGCACACCCGCTTACTTGCAACTCCCGAATCTCCCGCATCAGCAGCTGTCGGTCCTGCTCATGCGCCTCCCCAAGCTGCTCCTTGAGCGCCAGCAGAGCAGCGGAGTTTTCAGCCTTGACGTGGGACAAGAGCAACTCTGACGCCGCCACCTGAGCCTGCTCAGTGTTTGGAAACCAACAGTTGTCAGGAGTGTTTGTGTAGCAAGAATTGTCAGGAGGAGAAACAACAGACGGGAAGCAGTGTTCCCTCGGCACCTATCGGCATACACGTGGTAAGCCATGTCAAGGAATGCTGCACTGACGGTTGAGGATTTGGTTGCAACTATGGAACTACGGCCATGCAGCAAGGCAGCCATGTCCCGGTTGACATACCTGCAGCTCTTGCAAGTCGGTCTCGCGTCGTTCGTAAGCCTGTCGGCAGCGACCCATGGGTCGGTCACGGTGGTCAGCTCACCTCGTGATCCACCACCGCAAGCGGACCATGCAAGGAACCAACCCACCTGCTTAGAACGCAGTGCTGCCTCCTGCAACCGGAACACCTCATGCGATTGCGCGACAAGCTGCGCCGACAGTTGTGCCACCTCAACCGCCAAGCTCCCAGCTCCACCATTCGCAAGGGGCTGCGGGGCCGGGACATCACCACTTGCGCCGCCGTCTGAAGCAGCCCCCGACACCACCTGCAGCGGCAAAACCAAAAAACATATACCGTTTCGCTTTTTTATGACTCTTGTTTGACAGAACGCCGTGACAGGAAGCGATGATGTAGCAGCAGGAGAAGCAGGTGGGAGCGACGGCAGTGTACAGTAGCGCCCAAAGACCTCGACCTCACCCGCTCTGCCACCTCTTCAGATGCCCGCAGCGCTGCAGTGAGCGAGGCAATCAGCTGGGCAGCCGCGTCACCGCGGTGCCTGGAGGCAGCCAGCGCCGCCTGCAGCTGAGACTCCGACAACTTGAGGGCGCACACCTGCATTGCGGTTTGTCAAGAAAAGAAGAGTAGACAGCAGAGATGGGGCAGAGTGGCAGAACTGCCTCACATGGTGGAGTCACGGTGCCAGGGAGCAAACAGCGCCGGTTATCCCTTCGAAAGCAACCGGCATCGATTTCCCTTTCAGGAAGCAACCGCCGTCGACTCCCCTTACCTCCCGAGCCAGCGTCATGACCTTGTCCCGCACATCCGGCTTGGCGACCAGGGTGGCCAGCTGCTCGTCCAGGTACTGCCGGATGGACACGTCGCGCTGCGCCAACGCGGCCTCCGCACCCAGGTGCAGCACCTGCATGGACCGCACATCAAAGTGGACCGCATGTTGTGAACCTTATGATGCTGATCGAGGGCCGTGGAAGAAAAAGACCGCTTAGCCACATGGTGAACAGCAGAGTGCGAGTTAGCCATGATGTCCGCATGCAGGAAAGGCATGCAGCCTTGCGGGGTTGCCCCCCACCTCAGGCTCGCACGGCCTCTTGCCCTACCTCTGAGGAGCCCGCTGTCTCCATGTCCGCTGCGGCCAGTCGCGCCAGGAGCTCTCTCCGCTCCGCTGCTGCCACCGCCAGCTGCCGCTGCAGCGCTGCTAGCGTGGCACGCGCAGCGGTCAGGGAGGCCTCCGCCCCAGCGGCCTAGCAGGGATGGCAACGTGCAGCAGAGTGGATATGGTTACGCGTTCGTAAAAAAGAGGCGCGGAACAGGAAGAAGAGCACAGGGGTTTGGCTTGTGCTTACCTGCGACGTAGCTACCACCAACTTGGTCGTTGTCGCCTGCAGAGGGTAAACGAAAGAACAGCGCTGAGCATGGGAAATGCGGACGGCCTTGGACAACTGTTACTGTCATCCAAGCCCTGAGAGGTTGACCGCCAAACGGCGTACACCCCACCTGCAGTCGCTCCTGCAGTGCAGACAGCTGCTTATCCTGCAGTGCAACCTGCTCCAAAGCATGGATGGCGGCTTCCTCGCTGCGCCGAGCCACGGTCCGCTCCAGCTGCTGCACACGAGCCTGCAACACAAGCACAAACCAGGTTAAAATGTTCATTCCCGTACATGGGCGGCACTCAAGGCGCAATACCATGCCGAGGTGGCATGCAATCACGCGGCGGAAACGATTGCATGCCACCACAGCATGGCATGACCCACGGGTCAGTGCTTCGGCCCAAGCATGGAGCATTCAGCACTAGCCACCGGCCTTCCAGGCCTCCTCCGTCGCAGTCCTACCTCGGCCACCTGCCACTCGCTGGTCCGCTGCTCCAAGGCAATCTGCAGCCTCTGCACGCGCGCCCAGGCCCAGCGGCTCTCGATGCGGTACGTGCGGGCCTCCGCACCTGCAGCCAAGTACTCCCGCTCCGACTCCAATGCAAGCCCCTGCATGCGATTGGTTTGTACCATGTTGGCATCAACAGAATGGTTGTTACCGTTAGGAGGTATTTGTACCGGCAAAAAGTACGGTGCTTAGGACATTACTGGTCCATGGGGTGCAACACATGTGGAAGCATGGAAGCAAGGAAGCGGTGGCGTGCCGTACCTTCAGACGCTCTAGGGTGGCAATGAGCCAGCTTCCAGTGGGGATCAGGGCGCCCATGGCCTGATTCACAGCGGCCGGAGGTGCGCCCCCAGCAGCACAGTCAGCAGGCGCCGGAGGCTGCTGCTGGGCGCGTGCCTCGATCCATGCAACCAGCTCGTCAAGGGAGGCCTGCGAACACGCCAGAATGAGAGAATGATTGAGCCTGAACGAGCATGGCATTAGTAGAAGTGGCTATGACGGCAGGACTCCTCAGCAGACGAGGTTGAGGGCTTTGGGTGGTGCACTGATGCTGTGTGTGTATATGTTACCTGGAACCGGTCCAGGCGGGCAGCTTGAGACGCCGCAGCTGCTGCCTTGCTGCTCTCGGCTCGGGCTTGACGCACCGCAGTCGCCGACTCCTCACGCTCCCTGCCATCCACCACCACAGCCACCACAGAACGGGTCAGGATTCTGCCACGGAGGTGTTGCATCACGGTGATGCGACACCGCCCGAAAAAAGTAGGACCCGTTACCCAACCGCAGCCTGACACCTCACGGCAAAACCGGTAACACTTCCCGGCACCCGCAGCACCCATCACATGCCCATGCCCCCACCTGGCCAGTAGGTCAGCATGGCGCCCCTGGCTCTCGTTCAACACACGCCGCAGCGCCTCCACCTCGCCCTCAAAGGAGGCCAGCCGCTGCTCGCGGTCGTCCAGCTCCCGGGCGGCCCGCAAGGCAGCGGCGTCCCTGCACAGCACGGAACAACATGCTCGTTACAACAGGCCGAGAGCTTTGCAGGGCTTGGCGGTTTTGCTTGTAGCAGCCTAGGCTAAGGAAGGGCTGTAGCTGAGGAAGACTGCCCTGACCCTGGCATGCGTACTCCTGCCGTACCCCGTACCTGCTCCTGACGTCGGACCGCACGGCCGCCAGCTCCCCCTCGAGCATCATGCGGTTGGACACGCAGGTTGCCAGCTGCTGCTCCAGTCGGGCCACCTGCTGCTTCAGCTCCGAGACCTCTGACTCAAGCTGCTGGGCGCGGAAGGTGCTCGCCTCGGCATCAGCCTACAGTGCACAGACGGCCAATGTGCGGCAGGTTGAACAACGGTGATCCAGTTACGCCAGTTGCGAGTGGCGCTGACACACTGCGAGCCAAGCAGCTGGCAGCAGATTGTGCTTTGGAACGCCGACACATGACGCCATGCTTGTACACAAGGGCTAGGGAGGCAGGCTGGTACCCGAAGGTTGAGGGGAGGCTTGCCACCGGTTTCCTTGTTGCGGTGGCATCGCTTACCAGAAGTCCTTGCGCGCGCTGCTCCGCTGAACTCTCCCGGCTTGTTGCTGCTGAGAGCTGAGCCGTAAGCGACACGATGCGTTGCTCGCGCTCTCCTGGATTGCCGGCCTGCGTTCACATCGTAGCAACAACATGCAAGGTGGAGAGGAACGGCGTTGGAATGATGTTTGGGGATCTCCATCCGTTGTCACTGGCTGGTGGTTTGGTGCTTGGCGTGCTTAATAGTTTCAGCACACCCACCCTGACCCACCTGCAGCACTTCGATTGTTTCCATGAGCACCGCCAACTGAGAGCGCCGCTCCTCTGCCTCCTGCTTCGCAACATCCGCGGACCTACAGACCAATGCATGTATTTTATCAAAACCAAGCCATATGCTTCAGCGATTGCTGCCGACGGTGGCACCTCGCAACCGCAGCAGCTGATCCGTACCAAGCTGTACGATGAATACCAGACAGCAAAAGCACTTAGGTACCTTCTTCCTTACCGTTTGGCCTGGCGAAGTGCGTCCTCAATCGCTCGCTTCTCCTCTTTGGACTTCAGCCTGACCTGACGTAGCTCGCCTGTCTGGGCATCTAGCTCGGCCTGCATGAAAAAGAGTGGCCACGCCGTCAACTAGCATCCTCCACAAACGCAGGCGGCAAGCATGTAACGATGCAACGCCCGGCGCAGTCTGCATGGCACACGTCAGCGCTTGCCAAGGGCCCTACGCACCCGCGCTTGGGCAAGCTCGGTTCGCAGGCTGCCAAGTTGCGTGTCGAGCTCGCGCGCCTTTGCCTCCGCCTCGTCCGCTGCCCGCTGTGTCTCAGCGCAGCGACGGCTCAACAGCGCCACCTCCTTGCTCATCGCACCTCGCACCTGAACAAGGCAAGGACAGCCAGCCGAACGCGTTTTAGCAGACACGGGGGCTAGGGAGGGGCGTACAACCACCCGCCTAACCATGGCGTCCTGCCAGTTTGGCATTCCGCCCTTTGCTACTGCGGCCGGTTCGGTGGCAGACGACCGCATGAAATCGCCAGGACGGCTACATCTTCAAAAGCAGCACGCACCTCGACAGCCTTTCGAGCAGCAGCGTCTTCCTTGGCTGCGATGTCCCTCTCGCAGGCGGCTAGCCGCTCGGTTGCCGTGTCAAGCTCCTTTGACCGCTCCGCCAGTTGCTGAGCGACACGGGCGACCTCGAGCTCACATGCCGACTTTGCATCCCTGGAGTCACAAAGGGACGTCCAAGCAAAAGCGTTGGGATTGCGTTTAGACTCGAAAACTATATGACCAGCGTCCCGGAAAACGACCCATGGGTCATGCGAAGACGCCACGGCTACCCCTCACCTGCATGTGCGCAGCTCAGCTTCAGTGGCACCCAGGCGATGCTGGAGCTCCGCGTACTGATGCTGCAGCGGCTGGTTTGGATCTGGCATCGCCTGCGGCGGTATTAGACGTTGGGGTGAGCACGGTCACAGTTGACTCGGTTGGACATACAAGTGTGCATTAGGCGGCAGGGACCGGAGGCACCAAGGTACCTGTTGCAATGCGTGAAGTTCGGCCTGGGTAGCCGCCGCCTCCGCTTGCGCTTGCTCCGCGATGTCCACCAGCCTTGCAATGACCTGCTCCACCAAAACGTTGCGCGGTTGAACATGTACATTCCTTTTGGTGGAAGCACACCGCGCAGCAGCAAGTGCCCAAGGCCCCCTTCCACACCTGCTGCCGTCTCGCCAGCTGCTCCGCTTGCTGCCGTAGCTTGGCTTCCAGTTGCGCGTCAATGACATGGAAGCGAACCGCCGCACCTGCGCCGCCGGCGCTCGCTTCAGCAGCACCTCCAGCGGGGGTGTTGGGACGAGGGCCCGGCACGGTTGGCGGCCGCCCAGGGAACGGCGCGTTCGCCCCCGCTGCTGCGCCCGGCGTGCTGGCCCCTCTTGGCGACGGTCTGGCTGCACCGGAAGCCTGTGAGGTTGCTGTAGCAGCGGCAGCAGCAGCCGCTCCGGATGAAGCGTTTGCGGCCTCGTCCGTACCAGCTGTCGCAACCTCATGCAGGAACGCCAAGAGACCGCCGTACACTTGAGCCTCCCGTAACGCCTGCTCGCAGTCCCGCAACTGCAACCTGCGCATGGGGGCCAACCAACGGTAACCGGCGTGCTAAGCTGCATGGTAACCATGCCTCCTCCTAACCCAACCTAACCCGGCATGCATGCACGGCGGCTGCATGTGACCTGCCTGAGCTCAGCCGCCTGCGTGTTGGCCCTCTGAGCCGCCTGCTGCGCCAACGCAAGCTCGGACCGCATGCGGTGCTCCCGTCGTACTGCGCCGTCCAGCTCCGTCACACAGCGCGCCATGGCCTGTGAGGCCTCCCCGCCCCGGGCGCCCAGCCGAGCAACCGACTCCTCAAGGGTACGGATACGGAGGGAGCCCTCCTCCCGGGCGGTGCGAACCTGCAGGAGAACAGAAAGGGAGGGGGGACTGGAAAAATGCTCTCGCAAACGCCGGTACACGCAATTGTTGTGGCCGGTTGCGGAATTATAATCGACGAGGTTGCCTCCATCAAGGCGGGCGGGGGGGTGCAAGTGCAAGCAGCACCGTACCCTCCTTTCATCGTACCTCCGCTTCCAGCCGTTCCCGCTCCCACTCCGCCTCACGGCGCACACGAGCGGCTTCCTCGCCCGCATCCGCAGCTGCCTTGAGTGCGGCCAGCAGTCGGCTTTGTAACACGGACATGGAGGTCTCAGCCGCATCTAGGGCCTTCTCCAGCTCCCTTTCACGGTTCAGTACGGAGCCATGACCAGCGGCCTCCAGGGGCGCAGCAAGCCCAGGATCTCCCCCGCACGGCACGATGCCGTTTGGCGCATGGGGTCCGTCCATGCTTTGAGAAGGGACCCGGACTTGGTGCGCTGGCGCGGGCAGGCCAGCCATGTATTCAGGGCCCAACAAGACGGGCAGAACCTGCATGAGCAAAGGCATGCGCGTCATCCAGGCTGACCCGTGGGTCTTCGTAGGGGTCAAAACCTGGTAGCAGGCGCACCTACACGACATGTCTTACCTCGGGTTGCGTGGCTGCCAGGTGCTCCACGACGCAACGCATGCGCTGTTGCAGCGCAGCTACCTCGCTCGAGTGCAGCTCCTGAGCGGCCGAGTGGGAAGTGTCCGGGTGCAGTTGCATGGGTGACAGTGCTACGGCACCAGTACTACCTAGCAATCATGGGATTGGCACTACTCCTAGGGATTGCTAGTTCCTCGCACCTGCAGTCGACCGAGCTTGGACTTGGCGGCCTCCACCTCAGCGCGGGCTAGCTGCGAGGTGGGAAGGGAAAATAAGCGGTACCGCGTCAAGAAGGGGCGAGACATCTCGCATGTGGATGTGGGCACCTTGTACGGCTCTCCTATGCTTCATACGACGCCCCAACATCTTCTACACATCCACAGTAATACCCACCACATGACCCATTCACTAGGACGGGACATTGCGCCGCAGTGAGCCCGCCCTCCCAGCTCACCTGCTCAGCAAGTACGAGGTCGTTGATCTTTCCGTTGAGCCGTGTGGCCGTCGCGCGGGAGCTCTCGAGCTCCTGCTGCAGCCGCTGGATCTCCAGCGTGGATCCAACCATGTTGCGGTTAGCAGCCTCCAGGTGCACCGCTCCTGCAAGGATTTTGTCAACAGGTATATATTCAAATAGCTGTCTCTTGTGAGCAGCCACAACGCCCTGACCCATGGGTCACTCACCAACCCCGACTCCACCAACAGTTGCCGTTTACCGGTAACAGCTGTTCAGGCTACCAGCGCCTTTCCAACCCACCTTTTCCGGCTGTCTCTTGCGCCACCGCAGCGCGCGCCTCCACCACCGCAAGCCGCTCTTGCACGCCGCGCAGCTCGGCTTGGCTCCTGGCAAGCTGCTTCCTGAGTGCCTCCACAACCGCATCCACCTGCTCGCCATTACCAGCCGCATCCCGCTCCGCAGACCGCGATCGGGGCCAACACCCACGTTCCCCTGACGGCTGCAGCTCACGGCCGCGATCTGGCGACCCCAGAACGCCAGAATGGTCGCGGGCACGCGAGGGCGAGGCTGAAGGCGTGGAGCATGCAGCGCCGGTGTTGCAGCAGCAGGGGCAAAGCGTCTGCCCCTGAGCCGTTGCGGCGTCCAGCCGGGCTCTCAGCACCTGCAGCTGCGAGGTGAGGTCAGCTGCCTCGAGGTCCCGCTCCGTGAGCAGGGTGCGCAGGCGGTCCAACTCCGCGAGCTCTAGTGCTCTTTCTGCACGAGTAGAAAGTGCGGGGTGTAGTGCTGGAACATGGGGCTTGCTAGGGACATCAAGCAGGTGACTCGTTGCCAACCCCATGGCTAAGCGAGAAGAGTGTTGACCACAGCCAGTCCGACAAGACCCAGGAGCTGGCGGGTTCTGGATGCTATGGCTTGCCCTGCAGCAGCCATGCCTGCCGCTACCATGCACAATTTCGTCGCAACAACTAGCGCAGCAGGGCGCCGGTATTACCTTTGGAGGACCAGGTTGATGACGTCAGCTGCTGCCGCAGCAGCTCCACCTCCGCGGCGAGCCTGGCGTTGGTGGCCGCCGCCAGGTCCCGCGGCGGGGAGGATGTGCGGTCCTTGGCGCCGCCGTCGCCGGGCCCGGAGGCCACCCGGGCGAGCTCCTGAATGAGTTCTGAGATCCGGGTTTGGAGCTCGGTAACCTGGAGCACATGGGCCGTTGGTTGCCCACAGCATGAAGAGTTGGGGCGTATGGCTGAGGATGCTGTGAGGTTCCCGTGAACATACTGTGAACAGGACAGCTTACTGCCTACCGGCATTTCAGTGCAAGCGAATGTGAAGGGGACAACGACAGAAGCAAGCAAGCCATATAATAAGGCAGCAGGTCGTTCGTTAGGAGGCACTTGCTTCCTGCTCTCACCTCCCGCTGGTGGGCATCCTCTGTGCGCCGCATGGCCTCCGCATGCTGCTCCTGCAGCGCTGAGCTCCGCAGCTGCAACTCCTGCAAGCAGCATTTGCAAGCAAAACAGGGGAACAATGCAAACACACGCAATGCATCATCACTCTGCTGGGATTGCGCTCGCCTTCAGCCAGCCGCGACAAAGCCAGTCCCGCCCAACCCAGCACCAGCGTTTCCGGCGGCTCAGCCTATCTAACCCAACCCAGCTGCACCCGCGGCCCCTTCACCACCCACCTCCGCCATCGCCTCCAGCTGGTCATCTTGCTGCTGGAGGTACTGCCCGCGCATGGCTTCAATGCTCCCCTGCACGCGCGACTCCGCCTCCGCCGCACGTGCCTCAGCTAGGGCCAGGCCCCGCTCCGCGTCCAGCGCGCGTTGCTCCGCAGCCGCTATCCGCTCCCGAGCAGCAAGCAGTTCGGAGGTAGCACTGTTGCTTAGGGCGAGGCGCCGCTCTAGATCGGCCTGCGGGAAACCCCAGGAGCGGAAGACAGGTCAGTTATCTCAGTCAGTATGGGCAAATAAGCTACGGCGGCTCCTGATTACTACGGTCTCAGCACGCATGTCACGCATGGCAGCAGCGGCGGTGGCATCTTACCACGATGCGCTCTGCTTGCCGCCGGTCCTGCTCCGCTGCCTCCACCAGCGCCTCCTTCTGCCGCAACACATCCATCACCTGCGTTTGGGTGCGGCGGCCACAGGGAAAACACGATGGGTACGGTTGCTGACATGGCCAGGGTTGAGGGTTCGGGGCAAGATCCAAACAGGACATGGCCACAGCCGTCAGCCAACGACTGCATCATGTGCTAGTCGCCAACATGGCGCCATGCCATGTTGTTTGCACATGACAAGCCCCCGCTCCCCTGCAGACCCGTCATACAACTCGTTAGTTTCTCTTTCTATCTCCCGGAGCCCCGCCCCCACCTGGCTCTCCGCCGTCTGCATGCGCTCCCGCAGCTCCGACACCAGCGAGCTCAGGCGCTCGTTGCCCCGCTGCAGTTCCGACACCTGGTCCTCCAGCTCCTGAATGCGGCCGTCCTTCTCCATCAGCAACTCCAGGGCCTGTTGTACGGTCCAGCAGGGTACACAGGAAGGGTGGGAGGGCCGTTGGTTGGTATGCGAGTCTTACACCTGGGATAATACGTGCTTGGTACGACAGCGGCAGGACACGGCCATTCGGTTGGACTGGGGTCCTCATGTATCTCACGACGTCAGGAGCATGTCCAGATGTCAGCAACTCAGCAGACCTTGCGGTTCTGCTCCTCCTGAAGTGCGTGCTCCTGCAGCAATGCCGCATCCACTGCTCGAGCCACATCGGGCTGCCGGGATTGCAGCTCCAGCTGCAGCCGCCGCAGTGCCGCGGCCTCCTGACGGCTGCTTGCCAGCGCTGCCTCCGCTTGCGCCAGGCGTGTCGTCAGGGTTGCACGTTCCTTCACCAGCGCTGACCTTTCGGAAGTCGCCGCCTCTACATCAGGATCTGCGGAACAGCAGCCCATAATGTGCCGTAAGATCGTTGTGTTTAGTTAAAGACTCAGTGTAACGCTGTGAAGCTAATCCGATCGATAGTGAACGGCAAAGGAGACCGCGCATACTTGTTCTCAAGTCGCATGATGCCAAGCACCCACCTGCCCTGGATGCTGCTCGCTCCGCAAGCTCCGTCTTGGCCCTCTGTGACGGCAGCACAGAAGAAACGTGAATCTTAACAAAGGGAGCACAGCTCATCGGCGATAGCGACGTCCACATACAGCGTACGTACCGAGTGCACCGTCCTGCATGTGTCTGCATCCCGCATGCTTGCCTGGGCTATGACCCGCGGCTACCATCCGCAAACCGCCCCTGCGAGCCCCCATGCACGGCACAGCGCTTACCTCCAGCTGCACCTGCAGCAACTGTAGCACGGACGACTTGTCCCTGATCAGCTCCTGCTGCTGCTCGATGGTGCGGCGCATGGAGACCTGCTGCCGCTCTAGAGCTCGCACCTGCAGCTGCAACTCCGCCGTGCTGCCCTCCGATTCCGAAACCCAAGCCGGCGCCTGCAAGCGAGGGAAAGGTTAGCGTGCCGGGCCTCAGCGACGTCCCAGCCGGCACAGCAGCAGCGTCTGGTACGGCCTGATCCCCTGTAAGGCAGCTCTTGCACTTGGACACTCCCCCAAAGGCACTGGCTCCTCCAAGCCACTGGTTACGTGGCATCGCCCCCTCCCTTACCTCAAGGCTGCCACCTTCCATGGCCCCTCCGCCACTCGCGCCCCGGTGGCCGCCCACAGCCAGCCCGGCAGCCGCCGGACCCGCATGCGCTGACGTGGCGTCAAACCTGTACGGCATCCGTCCAGCCGCGTCCCCGTCGCTCATCCGTCGTGCACGAGGCTGCGCTGCAGCAGGTGCTGCCTGCTCCTGCTCCTCAGTTGCTGCTGCCCCAGCCGCTGACCTGGAGCTGCGGCCCAGCTGCCGGAGCTGCTGAAACGTAGGGCCCTCAGGACCGCGGGAAACAGGGTAACGTCCCCGGGAGGAGCCACCATCCGATTGCATACGTCCCTCAGCGACGCCGCTGCCACCTGCCCCACCCTCTTGTTCCTGCCCTGCCGCTGTGCGCGGTTCAACTACAGTTGAGGACACGCGGCTGGGCGGCGGCCGCAGCAGGGCCTCGGGACTTCGGCTGCGCGCGCTGGAAGCGGCTGAAAGGCCGTACTCGTTGCAGTAACTGGGCCGTGGGGAGAGGGATTTGAGGGAGTACCGGGGCAGCGCAGGGAGCTCCGAACTGGACTGCGGCCTCAGCCCCGGGGCCGGGGCAGCCGCGTCACCGCGGATCAGGTCCGGTCTGCAGGCGCGTGCCTCAGCCTGCATGCAGCATGGGGGCGGGTGAAAGGTTCCAAGATGCCAGACAAGTAACGTGTACAAGCCTCGCCCGCACTACGATACGTGAGCTGTGGAGGCACAGCGTGCTTGTTAGCTGCTGGTGTTCCGAACCGAAGCCTACCAGGCAACCCCTACCTCCAGGAACCGCATGTTCTCCTGCTCCTCCTCCAGTCCCCCCTCCTGGCTGCGAGGTACGGGTCTCCGCTGCCATTCCGCCGCGGCCGCCCCCGCCAGCCCGCCCCCGCCACTGCTCAGGGAGCGGTACGGCACACTGTCGAGCGAGGCTCGCTGTGTTGACTCTTCAGACCTGCAGTGACACACCCATAGGTCACTTTAGCTTGGGAAGTTGAAACATTTTCATCGAGGCTTTAAGGGAGAGGGGCATTTGCACGCAAGGCAAACAGTACGTAGTACCCCTGCTTCGCATGCCGTTACACCGGCCGAGCGTGCTGACCTGGAGCTGTGCGGCATGTCGCCAGCTGCTGGGAACCCTGGAATCCCCATCCTGGTCAGGTGGGCGCGAGCCGGGCTGATGCTGCGCGATGGCTGAGACTGCGGGGCCTCTGGTCCGCTCAGCCTCATGCCATCAGCCTCATGCGTTGGGGCGGTTGCAGACCGCGGCAAGGGCTGGGCGGCGCCACCTGCGGATGTGCTGGGTGTGCTGGTGCTGGAGGCCCGTGCAGGGGGCATCCAGGCTGTTGGGGCCGCGGCAGCAGCGGCTGCCCCCATATCAGATGGCACATCCGTAGAAGACGTCTCCCTGGAATGCTGTTCCGGCGCCAAACCGAATCTAGGTGACGCTGGAAGCGAGCGTGAGGTCGCCCGAGGCAACCGGCTCACGCGCGGCTCGTCCATGCCATCAAAGCCGCCATCCCCACCACCGCCACCACAGGAGGCAGCACCTCGGAAGGCCCCAATGGGTAGGCCTAAGCGCGCCCCTGCCGTCTGCTCGTGCAGTTGCCCCATGTCAATGGAGGCGCTGACGCCGAGAGGAGCGGAGGCCGCGCCTAGGCTTAAGCGTTCGTCTGCAAATGGGTTGGCAAAAGCCAAACGATCTCGCTAACGTTCCTTGCCAAGCCCACGGGTTCGCTGACCGTCATCATGTTGGGGGGTTAGAAAGCAACCATGAACGCATGAAGCGATCAAGACGGGCAACGCTGCAAGTTTCCCTCGTAGCCTAGTAGCTATATTGGCAGGCATGTAGCCCCGCCCGTGACGGCCCCGCCCCCCCCAAGCCCCCACCTGCTGAGCCCCCACCCAACGTTGATGCCGGACCGGCTGCACCGCTGCGCCAGCCGCTGTGCGGGCTGCTCGGCTCCGCAAACGTGACGCTCTTCCTGGCCTCCTTTCGGGCACGAGGTGAGGCTCCAGGAGACCTGCGCACACACGGGTGCATGCGGCGTGAGCCATCGCCGTCGCCGTCTGGGGGCTTTTGACCCACATCATAAAACCGATGCAGGTCTCCTTGCGTGCCAACAAAACAACGTGCGTTTGCATCAACCGTGAGTCAACCATGCACCCTCATACAGCGCTCCATTACGGCTCGTCACGCGTGCCTGCTAGGGCTTGAGCCGCCGTCGGAAACACGGCCCCGCCCTGGGGCTGAGGTGCTTGCTCCTCCGGCTGATGCCGCTTTAGGCCTCCCAGGCTGCTCAGCGTCCGGCGCCAGCCAAAACGTGGCGTAGAACTTCTGGTCAAAGTGGGAGCCCTGAGGGCGAGGTAGGTAGCAGGGCGTTAGTGCTGTGTACGCAGCAGGCGCCGAGAGGGGTAGGCCAACACCCGGGAAGCGGGTGGAGAGGGCCGCGGTCGGGTGCCTAGTTCCAAAGCAATCCCAAAGAGAAATCCCGGCGCGGGCTTGTGATTACCTTGACGTGGAATACATCCCGCTGACCCTGTTCCACAGCTTTTTGCTTCTGTGCAAAGCGTAGTACCCGCAGGCGGACCTCAACGCTGCCTGTCTCTCCCCCTCTCAGCCGTAACGAGCTTGGGGCTACGGTGTAGCGCTCGCTGCTCCCAGGCTTTATCGTAAGCTCGATGGGTCCGCGCAGCGTATTGGTAACGCGGAGGGTCTGTACATAAACCTAAAGGTACACACGAGGCGGGCAACGCACGAAAAGGTTGGTCCTGGCTGCAACTTCGCTGCAATGCGCTTTGACGGATACCACATAGCAGACCTGAGAAAGCCTGACATCACGAAAATATATCTCCTCAGGTTCCAAGTTAACAAAAACAGGCGCTGCCATGCCTATCTCTGCAGACTATTGGTCGCATTCGGGACGCCCTAGGCGCCGGGGCAGTTAGCGAACATGGTAGTTTGCTGAAGAATCCACACGTGAATATATTAAACAAAGTTGCGAAGTATGCAGGTATGTCGAGGGAGAGGACAGGCTCTTCGCGGAAGAGAAGCTGCGCATTCAATTCACTCTTCCGTACAGGAGCGTTCCTGCTGGGACTGCCGCACTGCTTTTGCAGTTATTCTCTCTCTTACGGGCGTATGCTTTGCAAAAGGACCTGTGCCTCCTTTTACTACCGGTCTTCTATCGCATAAAGCCGATAAAGGTACAATCGTAATCTTGTGCGCTGTCTCAATACAAGCCAACGTTTGCGACGAACCGTCGTATACCAGTGGCGATCCTTGTGTAATTAGCAAGATATAGGCGCTTTGCTCGGTTGCCTCCGAAGCCTAGACTGTGACTTGTGACATTTCCGCGGGAGCGCTGACAATACGGGTGCAGACTGGCGCAGTGTAGGGGGATTATATGGACCATGATATGCAAAGCTATGCCGCTATAAGGCTTTGCGAGTGGTAAGGAACTTCACCGGCTGCGCACAACATCCGTCCAACTTGCCTTCTGCGCAAAGAGACACCATGGCTTGCAGCAAAGCGGCCAGTGAGCAAGTACTCACAATAACATCAAGAGCGCATTCCACTGATAACGGAGCCCCACCTCTCTTCGCCCCCGTAAATCACCATAGCCCACCCCCATCATCTTAGGTACTCCCGACATGGCAACGTAACCCCGTACGTCCCCCCAGGTGACCAATGCGTACACCAATTTCACAAGATGTTGAGTTATGAGGACCCGCCGTATACGCGGTCAATACAACACGGTAACCTAGAAATTCTGGGCACTACCGTACTGGGCTGTGCTTCTTGCATAGGAACCCCCGTCACACACAATTTGTGGGCTTGGCTCGCAAGAAGGAGCGAAGCGATTCCGCAGGGGTTGTCGGCTCACGCACTAATGAAGGACTCGGGTCACTTATTGTTTGGAGTACCCATATCTGGCAGCCCCTGCCTGGACTTTGTTGCCTATGCTGTAATAATTTAACCGGCAAACAGTCTAAAGCCGTACTACGACTCGAATCAATCGCGCCCTTGTCCGTTCCAAGCCTGCTGCCGGCGGAGCCAACGGTAGGCGGTTAGCGTTGATGCCACATGTGCCCATGATGGTCAAACTATCAGCATCGTTACGTTTCTTGGAATTTGTTCTGCAGCATGTTTTCTGAAAAACTGGTGACTTGGTGGTGGACGTGACATTTCCAAGTACGGTGATGCCTCGGCTCGTCGGTGGGCCCTCGTCGATGGGCCCAAGTCCTCGCCATCCAGAGCTTGGAGAACACGACTGGAAAACTACTACTATAGGCTTTAATCCATAGCTTTCCATCAAGGTAGTACTCGGCCTCGCATATTGGCTGTTGTCCTTGTCCTCTAGCTGTGATTTAATCAACACAACACTATATGTGCTGCGGAAATTAAAAAGGAGCATACGTTCTACATTCCTATTCGCAACATAGAGTACTTGCTGAATAGGAAAGACGTGACCAGAGTTGTCTTGAGGGGTTGAGGCGCCTGGACGGCAGTTGGACAGTTGGACGCCAGTGGCTTCATCGTTGTCAAAATGAGGTCGTTTCTCCTATGGATGCTTGTAACAACCGCTGCTGGGTGGGTCTGAATGCCACTCTTCAAGTTATTACTCAGTAATTGGCCCCTACTGATAACGTGGTTGTTATCCGGGTCAAGGGCGGCCGCCCCCAACCCCGCAGACCTGTTGAAGAAGTGTTGGAACAAGCTGTATGACCCGAACCCAAACGGTTTTCTTGACTGGCTAAATGGCAGCCCTGCCAGGTATGTTGGAAAGCAAAGGGTGGTCCCTTGCCAGCATGGGCATGGATGTAGGTGGCGGGCTCCCTTCAGGGCTTGCGTATTTCCAAGATGGGTATGTGACATCTGAAGACGGCCAAGCAGCCAACAGCCTAACCGCTAAGTCAACAGCTTAACACACTCCCTAGACTCCTCGTACAACATACACACACCACAGCGCCTGCAACCCCTTAGCCCCAACCCATGCTGTGCTTTGCATTTCCCCAATTCCTTGCAAACACTCGCATATGCATTTCCACACCCCATGCCTCAATAATAGCCGGCAATGCATCTCCCCTTCAGCATCTCAGCTGTGCTCAGTACGCCTACTCCGCTCGTCAAACCAACTAAGCACCCGCACGCACGCATGCACCGGGCCTCCCTGCACGCACCCCGCCTCTCCCAGGCTGTACCTGGCGGACGTGTGGTGGTCCAGCCGGCCCAGCAAGCTGCCGCTCACGCTGTTCACAATGGCCTCAATGGACCGGCTGCCCATGCTGGAGGCGCAGTGAGTACGGCAGTCACCCGCAGCAGCAGCCCCGGGTGCCCCCCCCCTGCTGCTTGCTCTCCTTGTGGAATGTGTAAATAAAGCATCTGTTGCGCTGCACGATGGCACTGGGGTGCGTCGTGCGTGGCTACAATCCTCACCTGCTACCGCACCCCTTCACATGCTCGTCCCTACCCTACTGCCTCACTACTCATAAGCTGTGTTTCGGATAGCGTGTTTTCCTGTTAATAATGCAACCCCTATCCACCTGCATGCGGGCATGCATGCAGGTGCCAGGGCTATGCAGGACCCATCTCAGCCGCGCTGTACTTGCCCCTCAAGCCAGACGGCAGCGGCTCAGGAGACGCGGACAGCATTGCTGATAAGAAGCAAGAGGAGCAGAAGACGGCTACGGCAGCAGCAGGCGATGACGAGGAGGAATCGTCGTCACGCCGGCTGCAAGCGGGCAAAAGCCGGCAAGCTGGGAACTCCGCCGCAACTGCTGCGGCGGCGTACCACCCATCCTTACGACCGCATGCTGCAACCCTTGCCAGCGCTCGAGCATTGCTGCAGGTAGGCTTGAGCAAGCATTGCGGCAGAAAGGGGGCAGGCAGGTACCGCAATGTGGATTGCGTGGCATCGATAAGCGGTTCCTGGGCTTAATATTGGCTGTCCTAGCATGCAAATTGCTTATTCACGAGTACTGCGGTGTACGCCCTGTCATGCATGTACCCGTGTATTCCGTCATCAATAATTCCACTGCGACATGCACACGCACCACCCAAATCACTCTTTCCATTACATCCCCAACAACTGGAAACGTTAGCTACCGCTAAGTAGCAAGCTGCCATCTCCTCTCCTACCCTATCCACGATGCCGTCTCCTTAGTCCTCACCCACGCCTGCCACCATACCCGCCGGCTCTCTGTCAACTCCCAAGGCGCTCTTCGACCGCATGGAGGCCGCCCGGCGCTCCGGCGCCCCCAGCTGCGAGCTGCGGCTGCAGTTGTTCGTGGAGCGGACTGCGGACCGGCAGCTGGCCGCACTCATGCCCACCAACGCGCTTCGCAACGCAGCAATCCTGGCGGTGCAGACGCCGCTGGCTGCCATGCTGGATGCAGACCTGGGGGTCAGCGGCACGCTGAGCGATCTGGCGGATGACCCCGCATGGTGAGTGGGCGGGCGGGGGGACGGAAGTGGCTGGTGACCCATGGGTCAGTACTGCTGCTGGGTGTGTTTAGGTTCGTGCCTTTTTCGCGCATCCTCATTCCCGCACCGCACCGCTCGCTGCCTGCTCCTGCCTGCTCGCAGGATTGACGCTGTGATGGGTGAGGCCAACTCAAGCGAACCGGCCCTGTGTGTGTTGCCCGCGTGGGAAGCCAAACCTAGCCTGGATGCCGCCGAGCAGCTGAGGATAACCGATGCGGCTATAACAGGTGTGCTCAAAGGACTGGCGTCGCAGAACTACTCAACACAGGCAGCATTTCCTGGGGTACATGTGCACGTGGTCCCATGCCTCTGCCTCTGCCCGCCTGTCGCAAGTCCGTACACCATTGACCCCCTGCGCTGCTGCTGCTGCTGCCCCTTTCCTTCCTCGGCTCGTCTCTGCGGTTAGGGACCAAGGAGCAGGTAGCCGCCATGTGGAATGGAGACGAGCTGCAGGTGTTCCATGTCGACGGCTGTCGGCCCTGCCATGGACCCATCAACCACGTGCAGTGGGTGGATGCTTCCGCGCCGTATGCCGTCCGATTCAAGAAGACGTTCGAGCCCTGGGGCATCCTGTACAGGTGGGATTGCGCCTGGCGATTACTGGCGTAGTAGATGAGGGTTCCTTTGGGGGGCGCTGCTTGTTTTGGCAGCTTTGTGCTGGCTTAAGGAACCGTCTCCAACTTCTACCGTGCTGTTGCATGGGTCGGAAACCGAGTTAAGCGTGAGCGCCGGAGCCGAGTTGTGTGCATGCATGTACCGTACGACATTCCTGGTCCCGCCCATGACATGCGCATTCCCCGTTCCCTGCCTGTGCATGCCCGTGTGCATGCTGCGCCTGTGGTCCTGCTCACCCCTGTGCGTGTCGGGGCGAATACCGGTGCTCGGCCTTCTCAGGTACAACGACCCCGGCTATGATGAGGTAAGGATGGTGCTTGCTTGCTTTCCCTGCCTGCCGTGGCGCATTATTGCACATCTGCCAGCAGTGCAATAGCAGAAAGAGTATAGCAAAACCCAAGTGCGAAATCGGGCACTTGCGTTCGTTCGTTCCACACCTCCTGCCTGGGCACAGTAGCCGCCAACAGCTGCATGCTGCAATGTCCAGCACCTCCCTGTCTGCTCCATCCCACTCATCCAATTCCCTGCTGCATGGAAGCCACCTATCTGCCATACATGCGTAACTCCCGTCGTAAGAAATCCACCTCTCGTCCAACCCACCATGCTCCACTGCGCAGCGATTCCGCGGCTGGTGCTACGACAAGATTCAGCACGTGGAGTCGCTGGCCAGCCTTCGCAAGCTGCGTTTCGTGATCCTGCCTGACGCCTGGTTGGTGCACCGACCGCACAAGAAGGTGCCCATTGCTGCGCTGGCCAAGGGCACAAAGGAGGAGCGGAAGGAGCGGAGCGAGGACGCCAATGCCCTCTTGGAGGTGTGGTGTGTCAAGAACAGCCCTGATGAGCTGAACACATTGGAAGTTGCCGTAACGCTAGGTGGAGCCACCGGTACTGGGTTGTTAGCTGGCTGGCCGGATGTTGGCCGGCTGCATTCCCTGCATGCCCGGACTTGCTGTGCGCCGGTTGGGGAGCCGGTGTGGGGCTTACCGGTACTTCCATCCAACCATCCAACCACATCAGACAGTCCCCACCCACCAACCACCAATGGTACCAAAGCCACACCCTCTGCTGCCACGTCCTGCCCTGCCGTACACACAGGTTGTACGAGTGGAGGGCGGTCGTACCACCTCCGCCTACCGCCACTACCGTTCCCACGTGGACAAGCTCATGCGCACCGAGCGGGCGCTGTTCCGCAACGGCACCACCTTCCGACCGCAACGTAACCCGCAGTTCGTGCACTGCCGGGAGGAGCTGCCTTGGTGGGGCTGCGGGGAGGGAGCATGCTGACCGCGCTAGCTCTGGGGACAGGGAGGTGCAGCGGCGGGTACTGGAGGTCAGCATGCAGGAGGCGGCAACGGTGAGGGGATGCATGAGCGCCATTGGAATGGCACGGTGCAGAAGCAGCAGCAAAGCAGCAGCAGGGCAGGATGGACGGTTGACTCGCTCCTGGCATGTCCTCTCCTGGGATGTGGCTGTCAGGATGTGGCGGCGCCTCTCGTTGATAGACGGGTGACTCCTGTCGGCACCCCTGGGCGTGGGTAGCATCCCTAGTATGCATCCCGCATGTATGTGTGTCTGGCAGCAGGGTTGTTAAAGAGCATATGCCAATAGAGTTCAGTGCAAATGGAGTTGACTGATCTAATACGATTTGCATGGGGAGAGAATTCCTCGTCAGCTGCAGGTGTGCATGGCTGTAATTGGCTGCAATAATGCTGCCTGTTAGGTGCTGTTTGCTGCCGCCTTGGCTTATCATGGTAGTACCGCCAAGCTGGGATGTGGTGATGGCCAGTTGTCCGGATGTATGAGGGTTGTGACCCATGGGTCTCTACCGCCTTACCTGCGACGTGCGGCAATGCTTCCGGGACTCTGCCGCCACACGTGGCATGCTAAGTAATTGGCGACTGGTGGCATAACTGACGGCGAACAACTGACGGCGAACAAATCTATATACTACACAGGTTTCAGTACACTGCACACCCGTAGCTTAGGCCGCCTGGAGGTCATACATCTGCCTGCTGTTGCACATGCATGCGCTGTCGGTGTGAGTTGGAAGAAGGAAGGTGGGCAGCCGGTGGTGGTGCGGGGCTCATGCATCATCAGGCTTATCAAACTTGGCATCGCCGCACGTCAGCGCCAGTCAGTTGACCTGCGCACTGACTTGTACCTGTACGCAAGTAGAACAATTATTACAACATGTATTAAATTACGTGTAGTGCACGCGGGTTACCTAACGAAACGTAGTCATAGAAGCATCCAAAATACATTCCAAGGGGTTAGTATAACCGGTTTACAATTCCATTCCAGCACGTCCAGAAATGAAGAGCCAGCCAGCTGGGCCCTCCAACTCGACGCCCCACAACATCAACAACAACAACAATAACAAGCGTTGCCCAACACATCTGAACCATGATAACACCACCCTTCCAGCCATAATACGTTCTTCGCAGATGCGCAAAGCGGACAGACAAGGATAAACAAACAAACAAACAAATAGCACCAGAAAGGTCTTGCTTGAGACGGGTCTTGCACATTCGACCATACACAAGCAGACGCAGAAACGATAGGAAAGCGGGAGGTCACAGCGACACGCACGTCACATGCACGTGACGCTGCCCAACCCGCTGCCCAACCAGCATTTCACCTGCAGCTTTCTTCGTAAAAGGCACTTCAGCCTCTGCCTCAATTGTACTCTCATTGCAACCGGCTCTTAAGGCAACGCGGAATCAAGATGGAGAGACCAGCCATCCAAACATGGCGAGCAGAACAATTTGCTTTGCCCATGAACAGATGGCCCTCCTCTCGAGAGACGCAATGATCAGAGAGCATCCTGGAGCATCCAGCACTTTCCAAAACTGCAGCTTCAAAATGCCTGACAGCTACCTGTAGCCCCTTGAATTAACCACATGAACTAGGCCCGCTCGTGTCCTTATGCGTTTCCAAACAACCATAAGGACCGGCAAGCCAACATTTCTTATCCAAGTTTTCCAGTTACCAAACCCGCTGTCAGTGGTACCCCACCCATTCCAATCCCAAGAACAAATACAAGTTGCATCCCTCGTGTGCATTAACGAGCACAGTAAACTGCTGACTCACTCACCATCTTCTGCTGCTGCCCAAGCAAATCTCCCACTACCGCCTCATAAGCCCTCCGCTTGTTCTTTGGTGTGATGCACATGCATTGCATGTGCATCACTAAATTTTACCCGCATACAGAACCTACGAAACGCATCATCGTTAAACACCGGGGAAGTCGATAGCGCCAGCACATGCATGCAGCCATACGCATCCGCACAAGAAACAAAGGTGTTCTTGCTAGGACTATACTTGTCAACATCGTATGGCTTGAATGCGCAAGTATGACAAAACAATGAAAATGGTGCCAATCGCGTCTCAGCAGGTCACGTCACATTGGACCTGCAGCAGGCGTTGGACGGACTAATCCAGTAAAGCTAGCTGGAACAACAATCGGACGCATTACCCACTTTAACAAGACCCTCTCATATAAAGATATAATACCGCAAGTCACTTGAGCCGTCGCCATGCGCCATTGTATGCCCCACTTACCCATTTATACTTGATCATGTACGACAGGCCGGCAATCGTACCCCTTCACCCCACCACACCACACCACCACATATCCCATCACGCGCCTCCATCCAAAGGGTGCAGCAGCATAGACACCAAATGTCCACTGACCTGTGACATCGCATCCTCCTCCTCCTCCACCGCCGCCGCCGCCGCTGCTGCCTCCTCGCTGCTGCCTCCGACCCGCGACTCCTCACCACCATCACCCGATGACTCCGCCGCCGCCGCACCACCACCTCTCATGCCACCCAGGCCGTAGCCGAAGCCATGCGGTGTGTCCGCAAGGCGGGGGCAAGGCTTGACTGCTGCTGCTGGCGACAGCGGGCAGCCCTCCTGGGGCTCAGCCAGACCTCCTCGCTGGTCCCCGTGGTCGGGGCTGAGGTCCCGAGTGAGCTCCGCAGCGAGTGGGGGCGGGGGTGGCGGTGGCGGTGTGGCAGCGGCCGGCGCGCGCAGGATGGCTACTGCTGCCGCCGCCGCCGCTGCCTCGGCTGCGGAGACGGGAGGCGGCAGGTCTTCATCGCCGTCATCCTCTTGCAGCAGGGGTTTCCATAGGTAGGTTTGCATGAGGCCCTTGCCTGCGCAGCGGTGGGGAAGTAAGGGTGGTATTATTTTGTATTGTATTAGGGAGCAGTGGGGAGCAGGGTGGTGTAAATGTGTGTGGGGAAAGGCGAATGCGACCCATGGGTCATTGTTGGCCATGCGCATGCGAGCAGTCGCGCAATAGCAGTTACAAAAGTAGTGCAGAAGTGAATTCTCGTTGATGCGCGGAGATGGGACGAATGAGTCCCCTACCCCTGTTGTTATTGAGTGTGTTGCAGGGCTTCCCCCATTTCCCCTAGATCCCCAACCATGACTGCTGCCGTACACGCTACATACCCTTCACGTTGATGCCACCAGTGGGCACCCACGGTTCGGACCGCAGCAGCGCATGCGCCGAGTCGCTGGCATGAATGGCCCCGAACACGCCCGAGCTCTCCATGCGGCTGGTACTGCGGGCGTGTGGGCAGGCGGGCAGGCGGGCTAACTATAAGGGAGGACCATCCATGAAGGCGGCAGGACCATGTTGTTAAGAGACGCACGCCCTCCGTGCCCTCTCCCTGGCGCACCTTCCCTAACTTCCCTTTTCCTAGCGCACCTTCCCTAACTTCCCTTTTCCTGGCGCACCTTCCCTAACTTCCCTTTTCCTGGCGCACCTTCCCTAACTTCCCTTTTCCTGGCGCACCTTCCCTAACTTCCCTCAACATGTGCCCGCCGCAACCGCAACCCGAAACCCCCCCTACTCCCCAGCAGGTCGCATCAGCCCCCCCCCTACTCACGTTCCCCCTCTGTTCCGTCCTCATCCGTGGTTTCCCATGGTTTGGTCTTTCCTGACCCCCCCTCCCCACTCACGTGTTGACGGTGTCGCCGAACAGGCAGAACCGCGGCATGCGGCTGCCCGCCACGCCGCTCACCACGGGCCCGCTGTGCAGCCCGATGCGGATCTGCACCGGCTGCCCGGTGGACGGCATGCGCACCTGGCGAGCCGTTGCAAGCATGGCCTGCATGCGTGGGGCATGTCAGACGGGGTGTGCGGGGGTGCGAGGGCATCAGCCCATCAGCGGCTTACAACCACCACATCAAAGGCGACTAGCTACAAACCAACGGCGGCTGCATGCATCTGCATGCATGCATGCATGCAAGCCCCGAGTGGCCCTGCATCCCGACACATACCACATACCCCAGTTATATCCCCACCCCACAACCAGCAGCACCCAACCAGCACCTTTGCAAACATGAAGACCTTCTGCGCGTGCAGCAGGTCGCGCCTGCTGTCCCCATCCCGCACCGCCGCCATGCCGTCTTCCCCCTCCTGGATAAGTCCGCCAGCCACGAAGTAGCAATCGCCGATGGTCTCCACCTGCAACTCGCATGTAAGGAAGAGAGAGAGAGGGAGAGAGAGAGAGACCGCAGCGGGGGGCGAGGGAGCTCGTTGCTCGGGAGGGCGTCCAAGAGCCAGGTTTTACCAGTCACCCTTTGTCAACACGGAACTTGGGGTCAAATGGAGGCTAGGCTAGTGCGCCGATGCTGTTTGGAACGCGATGAAGGCAGTGCAGCAGTTGACTGTGCGAGTAACACAGCCCCATCAGCCCATGTAAAAGCGGTTGCGGAGCACGACACGATGACGTTTTTTCAGGATGCTTTATCCTCGAATGTCGCTGCTGCTTTCCTTGCTGCATCGAAGAGGCATATGCACACGGGGAGGCCCCACCTTGAATACCCCAAACGTGTCCAGCAGCGCATCGAAGCGGCTGAACAAGTCATTCAACATGGTCATCACGGCGCGCGGAGTGACCTCGTTGCACATGGGCGCAAAACCTGCATGGAGGCAATGGGCATGGGATCAGCAGCGGATATCACTAACCGGGTAAGAAAGGAAACAGGAAGGAAACACAGCAAACAGGACGGATGCAGATGGCTTCGGGCTATCGACGGCAGGTGTGTGGGCAGGAGGTGGTGCGCGGCTATGGTCCTCGCTCTTCACATGTTGCGGTCTACTTACAAGACACATAGTGCACAGCTGCATGCAGTCGATGCAGAGGACCCCAGTCGCAGTCGTGTGTCCGTTAGCCAGCTCATACTGCAGTCCGTTTTAACCCAACGCGGCATCCACAGAGTGGAAGACAATGTACCTACCTAATCGAGCACCCTTCTACGATTACCCCTCGCAAACAAGGCGCCCCACCAGTCCCCAGCTGCAGCGTACCTTTAATGTCTGCGAACAGCAACGTCACCTGCACAACCACACTCACGAGCGGTCAGTGTTGCTGCTATCCGGATGACTTTAACAAACACACTTCTACGCTTAACGCACCCTCCATCCCGCCAATCGGCTACAGGACGTCCCCCTTACGAGTGCTACCTTCCGTGTAAGCACGTACATACGCCACGCAAGCATTACACACACTCACGCGCCCCCCACACTCACGCACGCCCTTACCTCCGGGTGCCAGGTGGCCAGTGTGGTATAGTCCCGTACCGCGGGTCGCCAGCGTGGGTCGTTCATGCCGCGAGCGGACATGGAGCTGTTGGCTGGGCCCTCGGAGGGGCCGGTGCCGGTGCCGCCGGCAGCAGCAGAAGCGGCCGCGGCCGCAGCAGCAGCAAGGGAGGACGCTGCTTTGCTGCGTTCCGCTGCCTCCGCTGCCGTGCACTCCTCGGTGACGTGCTTGAGGATGTGCCGCGGGAAGATCTGCTCAAGCAGGCGGTGCTCCGCCTCCATGACGAGAGCCAGGTGGCGCTCGGCAACCACCTTGGACGTGACGTCGTGCTGCGGGGAGCAGGGGGGGGGCAGCAGCGACAGCAGCGGGGGCGCGGTGGGTTGGGCGCGTTAGTTGATGGCAGTAGGGAGGCGGAAGGGAGGAAGATGGGGGGCAGAAGGGTGAGGTTGATGGGGCTGCTACCGTAACAGGGAGGAACAAGAGCGGAAGGGCAGGGTGGATAGGGCTGTTGTGACTGACTGGACACATCATCACATGAAGGTCCGATCCATTGCAACGCGGACCCCACCACACGTGTCCCTCACCCACCCCGGCTGTCTGTGCCAGCACCCCACCTGTGCCAGCACCCCACCTGTGCCAGCACCCCACCTGTGCCAGCACCAGCACCTCCTCCCCGGTCACCGGGTCCACCGCCCTGCTGGCGCACACCTCGTGCCAGCACTCCTCCGCCCCCATGCCGTGCTCCAAGCCCTCCCCTTCGACCACCCCTCCCGCTGCGCCTCCCTCCACCAGCCCAGTCTCCGGCTGCCGCGGCTGCTGCTGCAGCTGCTGCCAGGATAGCACCCAGTGGTGGGTGTTGGTGGCTGCCCCGGTGTGCGCGGTGTCGCTGGCCGCGGGCCCCCCAGGGCTGCTGGTGCCCGTAGTGCTGATGATGTAAGCCGTGGACGTGCCGCATGCACTGCTGGTGTTGGCGCGGGGGGCAGCACCTTTACGCCCCCGGGCGTCATCCTCCTCCGACAGCAAACCCGTTCGTGCGTGTTCCGACCCGTCCTCGCAACCCAGGAGCAGCTCAGCGTTGGCCTGCAGCGAGCGGCCGTTGCCGTTAGACGGAGCGGATGATGTTTGAGGCGGGGCCAGGGTACCCTGCGCGCCGCCGGCCCCGGCTGCAGCCGCCACAGCAACCGCAGCAGCCGCTGCTGCAGTGTTGAAGGGCGAAAGAGCATCTGTGGAGAGCTTGCAGGAACCGGGGGTGGAAGCAGCACAATGCTCCGGCTCAGCTACGTCATCCGGCAAAGGCCACATGGCTACGGCAGCCGCTGCTCTTGCTGCGGCATTGGCATCCAGAAATACAGAAGCCGCGGAAAACTCTACGCTTCTGCTGCGGGTGGCGGCATTGTCACCGTGATCGACAGCGTTGACAGAGTTGGCAGCTCCGCTGACCCATGGGTCATGGAAACTCGCGCGGCGTTTGGCGACTGACACGGGGTTCACTGACGAAATGCCCTGTTGCGAGGAAGGGCGTGAACCTCGCCGACTTTCCGCCAGCACTTGTGCAACAGCAGGAGGGGCGTTACGCAGGGAAGATGCAAAGGCAAGCACACGCGAGGCTTGATTGCAGCCGGATGCACCGCTGGAGTAGGGCCGCAGGTTGTAGGAGAGGTGTTCTTGCAGTTGACTGCCTGCGCAGCCTAGAGCTATAGCTGTAGCTGCAGTTGCTGTTCCTGCTGCACTGGCGTGCTGCGGTGCGGTGGTTGGCAGGATTCCGTTGAGGTGGTTGTTGTCAGCAGTTAGTGACGTGGCTGACCCATGGGTCGATGACCCCATGTCGTACAATCGCACGGCAGCAGCCGTACCGCCGTTGTTGCTTACAGTGGGGCTGCTGCCCACAGCTGTTGTCTTCAAACTCGCTGGGGCTGCTGCTGCCGCTGTCAGTGGGAAGGGCATGTCCTGGAGCGGCGCGAAAGACAGACCAAAGGTGCTGGTTGCCAGCGGATCTCCTCCGCCGTTCATGACGTCCCAAGGGCTGCGTTTCGGAGGCACACGGCGGGCGCCGGGGTCCAGGTCAGCAGGTGGGCCTCGGGCGCAACCGTTTCGGTGGTCGTGATCGCAGGTATCGCCTGTGTCGTTGTCCTTGTTGTTGTTGTCCTTGTTGTCCTTGTTGTTGTTGTTGTTGTTGTTGCAGTCTTGCCACTCTTCATCCTCTTCCTGGATCACGGAAGCGTAGCGGGTGTAGGGAATGTGGTGCGGCACGTTCACGCCGCCCGCAGAGCGTCCGCCGGCTGCATGGCCCTTCAGGCTAAGGATGCTGCTGTCCAGGGATGCCCTGCCCGCGGGCTGTGGGGACAACCCGCATGCACTGGCCAACGTTGTTCCCGCGACCTCACAGCTGCGACGGCTATTCACCCCCCGCATGAAGCACCGCTGCTGCTGCTGCTGCTGAGCTCTCTCCGGGCCAATCTGGCAACCCCCGGATGACACGCCACGCCCTTTAACCGGCCTTGATGCCGCCGGCTGAGCTCCTCCCGGGCCCTCTGCTCCTCCCACAGCCGCTGCTGCTGCTGCTGCTGATGCTGCCGCTGCTGATGATGATGCTGATGCTGATGCCGCCTCTGCCACACCGCCTTTCATGCCCAGCCCGCCCTGTGCCGCACCGCCCTGAGTGGCATCCTGCTGGTGCACTGCGGGTGGTCTGAACTGCACCCCTGAGCTGCAGGACACAGCAGCTGCTACTGCTGCTGCTGTTGAGCCGGCGGCGGCGGCGGCGGCCTCACCAGCCCTGTTGCAGCGCTCATCTAGGAGTTGCTGCTTCTGCTTCTGCTGTTGTTGTATGCCGGACGCTAGCTGCTGCCCCTGCGCGGCCTTCGAAAGCCCTGCGCTCGCCTTCTTGCGCCGCTGCTGCTGGTCGCTGGTGGTGTGAAGGAGCTCAAGCACCGTGTCTAGAACGGCCTGGGAGGTGGTGGGGGGGTTCCCGGTGGGGTTTGGGGGGATCGCGGCCGAGATGGCATTGTTGTTTTGGTTGGTGGATTCGGTGGTGGTGTGGAAATGTGGGGACGCAAGGCTGGCTGGGACGCGGATGATACCTGCGAGGTAAATGAGGGGAGAAACATGTAGAGAAGGAGGGGTCAAGCTTTATTTTAATCGTGTAATGGGTTAGCGTTTGGCCAGAGGGAGAGGCAGGACGGGGACAGGGATTGTACTCTGTGCCCAAGGGGCTGCGGTAGCGGCTAAGGGAAGCCACTTAGCCGTGCACAAGCAGAAGCCCACCTTTCCAATGACCGCCATTTTCACGCAACACCTCCAGCTGCATGCTTTCGAGTTTATCGGGCTCCAGACAAAACATTCGAATAAGCATGCTGGCGTCGTCGTTCGCCGGATGCCCCGCATGGCTGCTCGTGTGGTCACCGAAATACAGCTTCGAGGCGGGATTCTGATGGAGAATCCTCCCTTGCAGGGTGAAGACGGTAAACGCTGATGGCACCTTGTAAAAGACAAAGGAGTCGAACGGTATGCTCTGCGGAAAGAAATTGATTGCCAGATAATTGGTTGCCAGATGTCACATCAGCGAAGGATGTCCACATTTGTACATTAGGATGGCTTCACGCACCTGCTCGGGCGCCGGAAGCTCCACCCCATGATCACTTAAATCGTTACTGCGTGTAGGCCCTGGTAGCACGCATTTGTCACCATCCTCGGGGGGGGCTGTCCTGGCGCTGGATGATAGCTCAAGCAATGCCGAGGGAGAAGGACCTAGAGTTGCAATTGCATATTCACTGTAAATGATAACGAAGGGCAATCGGTAGCTTGATAGCCGGCCTTACCGGGCTCGTCAAATGGTTCGTCTTTTGGCGCTTTCGGCGTGCCGGGACATTCCTCCTCGCTGCACGCGCTGGGCGTCGTCCTAAAGCAGCTAAGCACTGTTAATAACAACATCGCTTTGTTTACAAACACCAATGCCTCATTACTGCTTATTAAGGCACGAGTACTGTAAGCGCGTGACCGACAAGTTATATTTGCGTTATGATGTACGGCCGTTCATGCGAACCCGTATGCCTTTGAGTAGGCTACTCCAACCCAGTCATTGACTCTATTTTGCATCAAGCGGACAAGAACCCCGTGCTGCGAACGTTGATATAGTGCAGCATGCAAGCATACCCTATTGAAGGTATGCCCGCGGCGTTTTCAACCATTAAAGCATTACTGATGATATTGTTAACACTCAGGAACAGCACTAGCAGAAAAACTCTAGAGTCGGAACCAGACTCCGGCGGGGTCTGGCCGTCAGGGCTATGGATCCGGAGCCACCCTGCGCCCAGGTTCTGTTAGTTGGGGCCGATTATGCACAAAGTTAACACACCATCACGCTTTGCACTCCCAAAAGCACAATGGCCGCAGCTGCAAAACATATCGTCACCAGGGCTCGCACGTGGTCCCCCACCGTACTACTGATCTGGCCAATGGTGCTTACGTGCCCAGTGCTGATTTCACCATGGAATGAACGATTCATGTCAAATGTGTTAATTCAACCAGATTTAACCCTACATAATCGCTCAAAAGGCGGCCTTTTGTGTTATGCCCCCAGCACCTCCCAGCAGACGCTTTTTCCTTGCGCGCAGGCACCCTACATGTGTAGATGAATGAATGAAGGACCGTTACAATGGTGCCCTAAAATTGAACACGGGTGATGAACCCAACCAAAGATGTTTGGCCCAGTGTACGGAACCGAATAAGCGGCCGGCTCCGGCGTCCACCGCGCCCATCCCGCGCTGGGCACTGGAATTGCGGGTGGGAACCGCCGGCCCCCAGCCGCACAGACAATTCCTTCTTGCGCAATGCGGATAGTGTGCTTGGGCAACGTGCCCAAAAAACGCTAACTGTTTGCTGCTGCTCCGTCCGGCGCGCACCTGCCGCTTCATATCTTCTGCTTCCTGGGCCGTAACCAGTCCCCCTGTCCCTACCCGCACCCTGAGCTCTGAACTGTTCTTCACCCGCTATTGCCTACATTTCAACCCTCACCCACTACTACCGGTAGCTCGCCCTCAGAAAGCGCTATACTCATTCCGAGGTAAGGTAAGAGGGTAAGAACTGCCAAGCTTGCAACTTCCACCTCTTGAATCCGATTACATCCACGCTTTGCAGCGCTTTTTGAATCCACTTGCTATACCCGTACGACACATATTCCGTACAGCATCACCGTCCTATCCTGCCGTACGCCTTCAGCAGCGCTTCCGTCTTGGCTAGCAACCGCTTGCGCTCCAATCTGTACGACAGAGCTGCAGCCAGGCGGGGGTCAGCCTCCTGCAGCTTCTCACCGCCCCGGCTGCCGTACAACGCCTCCTCATCCGCCTCCAGAGGTGTGGTGCCTGGGGATTGGTTGGGAAGGAACAGGTTGGGAAAGAGCAGGTTGGGAAGGAGCAGGTTGGGAAGAAGCAGGTTGGGAAAGAGCAGGTTGGGAAGGAGCAGGTTGGGAAGGAGCAGGTTGGGAAGGAGCAGGTTGGGAAAGAGCAGCAGCACTAGGTTAGGGTTTATGGTCATGACTTCTGTCTAGGAGAAGTCTGCAGCGGCGTGGACGCAAGCATCGCTCTTGCATTTGGGGAAGTGAAAGCAGGCAACGTGCCCATACCAGCCCTTCCACGCACCTTCCGCTATCTGCGCCTGCACCTGCCGCAACAGCGCCTGGGCCGTTCGCATGCTGGCATCATCTCCAGTTGCCGTCCGAGCGACCCGCGGGTCACCCCCTGCGCCGCCGCCGCTGCTGCTGCTGCCATCTGCAGCGCTTTCATCCGCTAGCGGCAGGGACTTGAGCGCTGCGAAGAGGTAGGGGTCGGAGCCGCTCAGAGCGCCGAGGAAGAGACCGTCCCCCAGCAGGTCCTGAATGCGCGCCAGGTCTAGCGGGGCAGATAGCAGCCTGCGTTGTGTAACGGGGGGTAAAAATAAGGAAAACTGACGTACTGAATGACGAGGCTTCTCGTTGTGTAGCGGGGTGGGGGGGCGGGGGTCAATGACCATACTAAACCACAGGAAACCACAGGCGGGGGCGGGCGGGCGATGTCACAAAACTCACTTGACAGACCTGGTTGGTACCCCAGATACTTAGCCCCCACTAGCCCCTGGTCTCGTGTCATCGTTTAGGAAGGGCTGCTGAACTGTTCACTCAGGGTGCGGCACCCCAGCATTGAGCATACTCCCCTTTCCTTGGCTAGCGAAAAGGAAAGCAAAAAGGGCAAACACGCAAAGCAAAGGCAAAGTGCAAACACGCGCCCATCTTCCGCCGCACCTACCCAGCCATCAGACAGTCCGGACCCAACACCCTGCTCGTCACTCACTCAGGCTCCAAATCCAGTTTGACTCGATCCGCGCGGTTTCCCCCGTGCGGTACGAAACCATACTGCGCCATGAAGCGTTGGTTGGTGTGACCCGCGGGTCCGCTGTAGCAGATCGTCACCTCCTCGCCCGCGGCTATGTCCCTCAAGGCTACCAGCTCGAAAGCCTCGCCACCGGCAATGTTACTGCTGCTGCTGTTGTTGTTACTGCTGCTGCTGCTGCTGTTGTTACTGCTGCTGCTGTTGTTACTGCTGGTACCACTGCTGCTGCTGCCTGCGTTGTTGGGAGCGTGAGAGACGCGGAAGTCGGCGTTGGCAGTGGGGGCAGAGGTGGCGGAGGGGGGCGTCCGAGTGGGGGAGGGCCGGGATGAAGATGATGCGGATGTAGGTGGGGGGCTTGGGGGGGCCTCAGCGTGGTTTGCGAAGTCCAGGAAGGGAACCAACGCGAAGGCATTAGGGCCCGCCCTGAGGAGCAGTAGAAAGGGAGGCAGGGAGGCGGCAGGGAGGGATTGGCAACAGGGTGGCAAACAGATAGGGATCGGAATGGGGATAGGAACATGGGATTGGTGTGGACGAGGGGCTCGGGCAAGTAAGCTTTTGCTGCTTTTGTTTTACGCACCGCCCCGTAATCCTAAGGTAACGGCCTCCTTAACCGCTGTCGCGCGGCAGCTTGTGATTTATGAGGCGGCTGGCTGATGGAGAGGTTGTGTCACTTGTGTGTTGTTGCCGGTCTCTAAGGACCAAAGACCCACGGGTCACCGGATGCCGCTGCGCCCCAGCTCACCGGATCGCTCGGCTCCTGACGCATGCGAACGCCCACTGCAGCCAGCTGGGCACGTCTGCGGGCGCGGCGGCAGGCGCACGAAGGGGGTTGAGAGGGCGGGTGAGAGGGCAGGCGCGAGAGCAGGTGAGGGGTAGAGGAGGGCGGGGGAAAATGGAAGCCCGCTTTGGGCGGGGACGAAGCACCCACTCACCCACCCACCCACCCGTCTCCTACCTCCGCACTGCGCCCACCACTCACCCAGCCAGCCAAACAGTACACCCCACCGCTGCCATGCACTGCCCACACACGCGATCCCACCTGACCCCATCTGGGCTTAATTGCCCCCTCCCATCCATGCATGGTTGCCACCCCCCACCCCGGATGGCACCCGGGTACGCGGCTCGGTTGATAACGGTACTCGTTAATACACACCCACATGCCCCTCCGCAGCCCCCCCCAGCTCCCCCCAGCTCCCCCGCCTCCACCTGGCGCCAGGGGCTCCATCAGCTCAGGCAGCAGCCCCCTCAGCCGGTCCTGGAGGGCGGGGTGGAGGAGGGGGGGTTCGCAGGAGGGGGGGTTTGCAGGAGGGGTGGAGGAGGGGGGTTTCGCAGGAGGGGGGCAGGAGGGAGACACAGGGGGGAAGAGGCTCATGCATGAGGGTGGCAGGGGCGGAGAAGCACGACCCAAGGAAGTTCGAGACCCAGCTGGCATCGCGATAGCGGAGGCAGCCTCTAGGGGGTGTGAGAGAGGCGGGCCCGAAGGAAGGGGGCAGCAGGGCGGGGTACCGGTATCGGCGAGTGCCTGCTTCCCCTGCAGCCCACTCACCTGCTGCGCCACGGCCGCCGCCGCGATATCCGCATGCTGCAGCTGCGCTAGCCGGGCGGGCGCCCAGCACAGGGGCAGGGTGAGGCGCTCGGGGGCCGGCAGCAGCACGTCGCAGTAGGCGTGCCAGAACTCCCCGCCGTCGCCTGGGGGGCCCGGGGCCAAAGGATGCGGACTTTGTGGCTGTAGGGTGGTCCCAGCAAATGATTGGGAAACCACAGGTTAGGGCAGCAAAGCAATGGGAAGCAGGGTTCCATGACAGGGTGCCAGGAAGCAAGTGAGGGCATTATTGTCGGCTTGAGGTGCTACGGGTGCTCGAAATGCTTGCGGTGCTTGGGGTGGGGTCCCACCTGCGAGCGCGTCGATGAGGGCGAGGGCTTGTAGGATGTCCCAGGGTAGGGGATCCAGGCTGGCAGATACGCCGCCCCGCAGCCTGCGGGGTGGCGTTGGCCGGAGAGGGGAGTGCGGGGCGCTAGAAGGGGTGCCGTATTCGGGGTTGTGGTGGCGTGTGGCGCGTGACGTGTAAGGTCTGGTTTGTGTAGAAACTGGGGCGGCAGTTTACGAGATCTGCTTTGCTGTACACTGTCGTACAGTACGGCCAGGATTGGGAAAGTGTTGATACGCGCGAAAGAAAGCAAGGAGGCGCTACTGAAGGGTCCGCACGTCCGCATTGCCCAGGTGCTGGTAAGAAGCTGCTGCGTTGTATTGTGCGTAGGATGCAGGCAGGCAGGGTTGTGGTTTCGGGTCGCGGTTCGCGCGGCATACGCACCTAGGCCACCGCGCGGGAGGCATAGACAGGCCCCTTTCATAATCGAGTACAATTGCTACAGATCGTGGTACTCGCATGAGGACGTCGCCACATTTTTGGTTTGAGGATGCTACGAGGCCCAGCGATGCCATCGGGCTCCGCTGTAAGACCAACGCGGTTTCAATCCTCGCCATGGCGGCAAGGTCGTCGAACGCAGCACGTATATTAGCATCATTCGTAGAGGTCCTGCATACGGTTGACGAACGGGCCCTAACCCCGACAGACGAAGATGTGCATTTTCGCGGCACTATTAAAGATGTGCTTATACCATGAAGCATTTTGTTAAGCTGTATACCGAATTAAAAATGGATCGGCTCATGGGGCACGAATGGGCCAACCATCTTGCACGGCAAGTAAGCATAGCAAGCGAGTTTGCCACAAGCTAGCTAGACGACGCAATAGCGTGTGCTTATGTCATTTCCCTCTTGCATACGCTACTTATTCGCCTGTTCCGTAAGCAAATGTTCTATTACGAGTAGTTCTGCTTCATATCAGCGTACGCATATCTGTCCACTGGGTTTCCTGCTACCGATAGACATCGAAAGACGTGCAATCGGAAAGTGATGCTCTGTACCGGCTTAATGCCCGGTTTGCAACTTTAGGATGAGGCGGCTGTTGGAACAGGTGCTGGAGGATTGGAGGCGTTCTGAAAGATTCACATAGCATAGCTACCAGCGTGGATTTGGTTGACATCGCGGCACTGCGACCGGACAACGCTTACACCTGAAGTGTACGTGGCATGTTGACCCTGTTTGGGTTTCCTATCCTGCCGCTCATGTAGCCATCTACGTTATGCATGCACAGCGACCAAGTGTCATCAATAAGTAGCTGCCTGGTCGGTAGCCTATGCGTTTTTCCCAGCGGCAATGCTCGCCAAGTGCATATGGCCGTTTGGGAAACGCGGAGACAAGCGTTTAAGTCACTCTGGTGGAGGCTCTGAGAAGAACTCCGTCATAGAGCAAAAGGGCTTGCCCCCGTCAGCCCATCCACAACCAGCGGTAAACGACCAGGGCAATCCCAACGAGCATGCAGGCGACGACGCCCCGCCACCTACTTCATCCAAGTCCGCAGGCAGCCCTCCTCCCACTTTCCATTCTGGACAACCTGCAAACCGAGTATCCGGCGACCTTGCTGAACAGGGCGATCAGGATCCATCCGTACGACAGGCTCTGAAACCCGCTGAGGCTGTCCCAGGGCCATCATACGAAAGCGACGATGAGGGCCGCGGCGCAGTGACAGCTGAGGAGCGTTTGAATGACATCACCAGATCCGTGAAGGGCCACGCCAATGCCGCCGGGGTGGGATCCCAGGATGAGGCAGTCCGCCGGCAGGTGGAGGAAGCAGCGAAGCGGCTAGGAGCGGACCTAGGGGCCGCAGTGCTTGAGGAGTCCAACGGAAAGGCACAGGGGGCCCAGGTAGGTTACCCCGGAGTGCGTTGTTGGGTGTCCTCGATCCCCCCTCTCCCTCTCCTAGGATCAAGCACCGAAGAGGAGAAGGACGAACAGGCCCTCCCCGGTTCTCTTACCGCGACTTCCCATTCCGGCGTGTGAAAGCTGTGTGCAGCACGGCAGCCCTTCCGAACGTCAGCCCCTGCCCGGCTCCCACGCGGCACGCCACCCCCCACCCCGCGCCGCTAACACCCCCCCTAACACCCCCTAACCCATACTTGTTTTTGTGGCACCCTGCCGCTCCTATCCCCATTGTCTTGCCCCAACCTGTGGCTTCCTATGGTTCGGTATGGTCTTTGACCCCCCTAACACCCCCACTCCCCGGCGCGCGGTTGCAGGCTGCAGCGGCTGTGGCCGGGAAGGCAGCAGCAGGCCCCGCCTCCGAAGCCGCCGCCGCCGCCGCTGCTGCTGCTGCTGCTGCTCCTTTAGCAGCAGCGGAGCCGCACCCGGGAGCTCTCGTACACCCCTGTGGCGGCGGCGGCGGCAGCTCCCCCCTTACTGCGAGCGGTCCCGTGGGGCCCCTGGTTCCTCTGGTGGGGGGACCCCCGGTGGTGGACGCGGTGCAGGCGGCGGCGGCGGCAGCAGCTTCCGCCGCTGCTGCTGCTTCCGCTGAAGCCGCTGCGAAGGGTGGGGTCAGCGGGGCGGGGGGGCCAGCAGCAGCAGGAGTGGCGGGCGAGGGGGTTGGCGGTGCGGGAGGGGGCGAGGGCAGCAGCCCCGCGGACGTTGCAGAAGCGGCCGCAGCAGGGGCGGGTCAGCGGCGGGGTGCGGCGGAGATCGATCTGGACATTGACCTGGCCAAGGGGGTGCTCAAAGTGGACTACAGCACGCGGGGGCTGCTGGGGCAGGGCGGCTTTGCGGCGGTGTACAAGGGGCGTTACAAGTGGGTGGGGGGGTGGGGGGGTGGGGGGTTGCATGGATGGGTGCATGCATGGGGCTGCATGGCGGCGGAGTGCAAGTTGGGGGGTGCGTGTGTGGTGAGTCCAGCAGGGCACATGCACCCCTCCGATGCACCCTACAGGCCCCCCGCAGCAGTGGGAGTTACCCGACTATTGCCTGCTGTGCTGCTACCTGCCTGCCTGCCGGCCTGGCGCTGATGGCGGTGGTGTCCCCTCCCCCCCCCGCTGTGTTGCAGGGGGCAGCGGGTGGCGGTCAAGATGATCAAGAAGACGGCGGGCTCCAGTCTGGCGGATCTGCAGGTGGGGCACTTGGGGTTCATCCTGGCGGCAGCCGACAGCAGCAGCAGCGAGGCAGCTACAACCCCGGCAGCAGCTGTGCATGTTGCCGGGTCGGGTCGGGTCGCCCAGCCACTCACCGGTACCCTGGTCATCCGGTGCCCCCGCAGCTCCCTCCCGCTGCCCCGGCCTCACCACCCGGCCCCTCGCGCTCCCCCTTGTTTCGCCAATTTGTGGTTTCCTGTGGTTTATCCTAATTACCCCCCTTCCCGGTCTCACGCACCCTCAGGAGGACATGAACGCGCTGATGCACGAGCTGCACATCCTGCGCCAGGTGGGGGCGGGGGGGTGGGGTGGGGTGGGGGATACTGAGAAGCGCGCGGTGGGTAAGAGACGAACATAACCGTGTTGTGCAAGTGGGGGAAAAGGCGGAAGGTAAGGGATCATGGCTGCTGTGAAGCAGGGACCCCCCCCTGCCCCCCTCTCCCGCACTCACCCTGCCCCTCTCCCCGTAACGCCCCCCTCCCCACCCCCCCGGCAGGTCAACCACCCCAACATAGTGACCCTGTTCGGGGGCTGCCTCAAGCCGCCGCACATTTTCCTGGTGGAGGAGCGGATGGAGGTACGGCGGGGTAGGGGTGTACGGCAGGGCAGAGGTGTAGGGCTGAACACCCTAAAGAAACATGCGTTGCCGAATCCACGCACACTGCCCGTGCCACTGTCCCCTTTGCATTCCCTTTGCAGCTGGCAGCATTCCTTGCCCGTCCCTGCTCACGGGGCCTTCTGCCACCTCCTTTCTCCTTCCTCTCATGTTGTAACCTCCTCCCCCTCTTCCAGTGTGACCTCCCCTCACCTGCATAAGACGGCATATGGGTCTGGGACTCCGTTGCCTCAACTCTCACTTCAATTACCCCCCTTCTTCTGACGACCCCCCCCCCCCCCGGCAATTTCAGGTAACCTACGGTCAGGGTCAGTGTTTCCGCGGCTCAGTTTATCTACCCCCTCCCCCCGGCAGGGCACCCTGGACTTCTACGTCCACCACGTGCGCAAACAGGACGCGCTCAGTGTGCGCGAGGTGGTGTACTTTGCACTGGACATCGGGTGCGGACTGGCCTACCTGCACCCGCGCATCGTGCACCGCGACTTGAAGCCAGCCAACGTGCTGCTCAGTCGGGAGGGGCGCTGCAAGATATCGGATTTTGGATTGGCGCGGTAGGGGCAGGGGAAGGGGCGGTGGCGGTGGTGAGGGGCGGGGAGCAGACGAGTGCGGAAGAGTGCGGGGCACGGACGGATGAGGCGTTTGTGAAGGGTATGTCCTTCCTCTCCTCCTTCCCTTCTTACCGCACCTTTCTCCCCTTGCTTCGCCCCTCCGTCCCCATCTGCCCCTAACTGCCCCTGCTATTAACCCAAAAAAGTAGCTATACGCATTGCTAAAAGTCAGTCTAATGCGGATTATGTATCCCTATTACCCCCCTCTGCCCCCCCCTGCGCCCCCTCCCACTCCCACCCCCAACCCCTCATTCAACACGTTGGGTGTTCTTCTCCCCTCCCCCCCGCCCGCCGTGATATGGGATTGGGACTCGTTGCTACACAAGCATCCCCCCGCCTCCCCCCCGCCCCCCGCAGCACCAAGCTGAAGGAGTATCTGAGCACCAAGAACCTGGACGCGGGCACCACCGCCTACATCGCCCCCGAGTGCTTCATCTCCATGGACAACCCCGACCTGCACGACCTGAGGCGGGCCGTCACGGACAGAACCGACATTTACGCACTGGGTGGGTGGTTGGGGTGGGGGGCGGGTGGGGGTTTCGGTGCCGCCTGCATAGGTGTTTGGGTGGGTAGGTGGGTGGGTGAGGGTATAACAGCGGAGTCTTTGTAGCAGATGAGCGAGTGCTGTGGAGATGCTTTTGTTTACACACAGGTTAGGTTGGGGGTGGTTGCAGCTCGGCACCCACCTTAACGCGCACGCCCAGCCCCCAGCTGTGCAGGCGCCCCCACGCACCTGCACCAGAGCTCCTACCTGCGCGCCTCCATTGATGCACCCCACCTGCCCGCACCCCCCACCCATGCACCCCACCTGCCCTCCCTACCCCCACCCCCACCTGCCCGCTCCCCCCACCTGCCCGCTCCCCCACCTGCCCTCCCCCCCCCAGGCATCATCATGTGGGAAATGATGGCGGGCAAGCGGCCCTGGCAGGGACTTAAACCACTGCTGGTCGCATACCAGGTGAGGGGGGTGGGGGGAGGGTGCGGTGCGGGGGTGGGGGGTGCGGTGCAGGGGGGGGGTGCTTTGCGCGCCCAGCTCAGTTCAGTGCCCCCTCAAAGAGTTGCACCGTACGTCCGTACGAACGGGCCACGGCAAAAGGAACCCCAAGGAAAGGCTGCTGGTGGTGGCGCCTAGAGACTGCGGAGGCCACCACCAGGGACGACCTCATTGTTGCGCCTCCATGCGCCCCCCCCACCCCCCCAGGTGGCCTACCGCAGTCTGCGTCCGCCCGTGTTCGAGCTGGGTGCTCGCTGTCCTCCCCGGCTGCGGCAGCTCATCGAGGACTGCTGGTGCCAGGAGCCCAAACAGCGGCCCAGCAGCCAGCAGGTGGGGGGGGATGCCGGGGGGGGGGGAAGAGCGATTGGAGGAGGAGGGGTTGGAGGAGGAGGGGTTGGAGGAGGTTTGCGAATGGTGCTCGAATGGTCCCCGAACCGCTTCCCAGTCCAGTGGGTGCGGTCACGGCCGCAGTTGAGTGAGGGTGCGGTGTGTGAGTGAGCAACGCGCTGTGGAGGCCACCCGCCTTTCACGTCCTTCTTCCCTGCTCTTCCTCTTCCCTGCTCTTCCCCCTCCTTTGTTCTTCCCCTTCCCCGTTCACTTCCTTCCCTCCTGGTCGTCCTTCCTTCCCTGGGGTCAGGTGGTGGATCGACTGATGGCGGTGCTGAATGAGTTGCCGCCGGAGCAGGTACGGCGGCCGACTGGGAGCGAAGGGGAGGGCGGGGGGGGGAGGAAACAACTAACTGACTGAGTCATAAGGCATGGGGTGGGTGGGGGGCGTTGCGTGAGGTGTTGATGCCGCGATCTGCCCTGCTGCATGCTTCTCCATGGTTATACGCGGTCAAAAGAACCGGTGGCAGCGAAGTGTCGGCGGTGCAGAAATGCGTGTTGGTACTTCCACCGACGGCCGCTCATGTTGTTACCTCTCTCCTTACCACTCCTTGCCCTCCTCTTTCTCCTCCTCCTCCTCTTCCTTCATGTGTCTCCACCTTTTCTTATCCTGCGGTGTAGGACTTCGAGCCCCAACAGCCCGCTCCCGCTGTGCTGGAGCACCTGCCGGCGGCCAGCCCCGCAGCGGCAGCAGCAGCGGGAGGCGCCTCGCCGCGGGTGCAGCAGCAGCAGCACCAATAGCACACCGCCCTAGCAGCCGTGCAACCGGAGGCGCATGCAGCAGCCTGAAGGGTTGCAGCAGCAGCAGCCGTAACAGCAGCACCTTTAGGTTTGTGAGCTTGCTGGTCAACTCCTCTCTTCGTGCTGGTAATTGTGTGCGGTTAGTTCCCCTGCCCGTCCGCCCTGTAGGGTACAGCAGTCAGGGCACCGGGTCTGGTTGGGCGGGCAATGACAACCCATATGTGGCTTTGAGGGCACTGTGAGGTGCCGTATTGCATGTTCTTCCAAGCGATCTGAACCCCCAACGAAATGACGCGTGCATGTATGTTGTGTATGAACTTGTATTCGCTGGTATTAACAACAGCTGCGACCATGATATGGATGTTGCTGCCGTGCCCTGTGACAGACGCCGTGTACTGAGATGTATAGTTAGTTTTATAGAGGAAGCAAAACAGTAAAGCTGTGTTTGGCAATGAACCCGCTATCCTTTACCGTTCTGTGTTGCTGCATTGTATTCTGCTTTCCAGTACGACCGCGGACGTTCTGTTCTACACTTTTTTGCGTGGCTGTTGAGTCGATTCAAGGATGATGCACAATGATGTGCTAGGTCGCTCCGCACGGGTGCATCCAGGTGTGATGTATTGAAGGATGTCCGGATGTTTGGCTGGGACACCCGAAAGCTAGTGGTAGCAAGGCTGTCGGTGCTGCTCCTGTCGACGAGCGAAACGTGACAAGCTGCACCCTAACCAGCAGCTATGTGATTGGCAAGTGCCGTTCATCGGAGGCGCTCTCGGAGGCCTGCTGTATTTGCCCATACTCGACTTTACCGCGGCTGCAATCTGCCCGTGTGCGTGTGTATAGGACCTTGATGCTACTTGTCGTCGAATACTTTGCTGACGTGTCGACCTGTTGTTGCATCGGACGTGTACAGGGCACCGTATTGCCAGGGGAGCTGGTGGACTCCTTTTGGTTGTCAATGAACCCTTGACGGAAGATCTGCCCAGCTGCTCCACACAGGTGGATGTTCACGGCGCGTCACATACTCGACGCCTAGCAATGTCTGAACTGTTGTATCTCTTTCTGCTACCAAGCTGTAACCAATGCCCCGCCGTTCCCTTCACTGCCACCACGTGTCGCACCGCTCCTTTCACTAACTTGGAAAGGGAGGGCTTAGGCGCCCCTGATCGCATCTGCTTGCCTGAACCCCCAGAACCAACCTTGGAGAAGCATCACGGGGTGTAACCAACAAACCCCAACTATTTTTAACCCCACGTACGACCAATTTTAACCCCACGTACGACTAAAACACACCGAACCTTACCCACCCACTAGTCAGCCAGGGACACCGCCACGCCCCACAGGGAAACACACAAGGTGTACTCGTGAGACCAGCCGACCGGCCACTGACCACGCGAAACCCACCAACACCACCTCCACGCAACAATGATTAAATTGCATGCGTTTCTTTGAGACATCTGACACAAGCTGTCCTTAAACCGAGGTTCTTCTCAACAACCCCACAAACGGAATACGGCAAACCGTGAGGCGGGCCGCACACTTGAGACTCGACCACGGCCTATGGATTGTCCACACCTCCAGAAAGCTGACTACCGCTTCTTTTTAGTTTCCATACGGCCAAAATCTTTATTTGACTCCTTATAAAATTGCGGATACTTCAAACAATGGTTCCGCATACCTATCCTAGGACCGGCAAGCCCATATTAAATGTGTATCAAATGTGCTGCGCTATCAGCGCCACCGTCTCTCCTCATCAGCAAACCGGATGTGCCAGGCGCCCTGTCCCTACAATCCCCGGCCACGCAACCCCACCAATGCACGGCCATGCTAACCAGGCGTCGGCTCGCCTTCTCACCCAAACATCACCCTTAACCGGGCGCTTCGTCACATCATGACACGACACCAGCCTGCAGCCACAAAGGGGCAGCTCAGCAGATGAAGAGGCCAGCCATGACGTCTACTTGCAGCCGAAAAGGCCTCAACACCCGCCAGTACCTCGCTGCAGCACATTCACCAATGCCAAATCCAATGGAAGCGAACCGTGCTCACTTGAAACCCCAGATTAAACATTGCCAGGAGTTGCCTCTCCCGTCGTCTGAGGTTCAATCACAGCAGTTCATGTGAGCCCGGCCGCAAGCAAAAATGAGCCGGGGATTGGGAGCCGTGGCTGGAGAGAGGGGCCCGGTGTGAAACAACAGGACCAGCGAAGGCGCGTATGCCGCACCCAAGCAAGTATGCCCTACAGTGAACTCCTATCATCTTAACAGGATTTTTCAGGTACCTCACACGGACCGGGTTTACGTCCTAACAAGCCTCGTGTGGCCAGACCTCCGCGAACCAAACCAAAAGCCTCCACAACCAACTCCGGTGCAGGTTCGTGCACACAACCCCTGCAGCTGCTGTGCGCTGAGGACCGTTTAAGCAGGTACACTCCTACTAAAGCTAATACACGCAAACAGGGAGCAAGATGTTGAAGTATGCTGCTTTTGCGATGCGTTGTCAGTAAAGCTATGGCGTGCGTTGATTATGCCCAAACACCATGAGGCGTGCGTTGAATATCTCCAAGAGAATAGGGAATAGAGAGCCCAACGGGGGCGTTCCTGCGCAGCGAAGTCGTGCATGACGCTATGTTGCAATCACCATGCAAACCAAGCAACATGCCAACCAAGCAACGTGCAGATCAGAAACTAGAAGATTGGGATGATCTATCCACATTCCCCAACTCCCTAAACTCCATACGATGGTGCGTTTGCCCGGCCTCAAGAGAGAGGCAAACCGAAGCAGCATGAAAGATGACACATCGCAACTGCTAACAACGACCTCGATAACCGCCACTGAAACTGCCAACTGTGCTGATGTCACCCACAATATGACAAAAGCAACCCCCAACGCAATCACGTGTACACTTCACATCCGCTTTATTGAATTATGTTCTTTATTTGACGTTACATGCTACACAGCTAAGCGTCAATCAACCGCCTTCAACACCCACCCGCCCACAACCAACCAACACCCGCACGACAGCCGTTACGAAAACCCACACATCCCCCACCTCCCATGCAACCAGCAACTCTCACCACCACCCCACTGCCTCCACCCAGCCCACCATGCCGGTACCCACCCGCGACTGTGGTACCACCAAACCGCTCCCAACCAAAACCCGCAAACCCGCCGAAACCCGAACGCACTCGGCGGCAGCACGCATCATCACATCCGTCATGCGCCCTCCTCCCATGCCCCCGTGCCCAGGCCCGCAGCGCCGCTCGCTCCCTCACCCAGCCCATCCTCCAGGCACCCCGCCCGCGGCTCCTCTGCGGCCGCTGCAGGTCGATGCGGCTGCGTGGGCTGCCGCCTTCCCAGGCTGCCCGCAGAGTCCCTTCCCCCGACCACCATGGAGGATGATCTCATCCCGCCACCAACAACACCACCACCACCAACACCACCGCCACCACCACCGCCCCGAGCGCTGCCCCAGCCGGCCCCACTGATGGCGCTAGGCCTTGCAGGCAAGCCATCCACACCGCCACCACCACCACCACCGTTGACCGAGCCCGCAGGAGGCAGGACCATGGATGAGGAGTACGGCAGCCGAACGGAGTCCCGTACACTCAGCTGCACCGAGTGCTGTACGGACAACAGCCCCCCGCGGACGGAGGAGCACTCGGCTAGGTCAGGTGGCGGCAGTGGGGGTTGCAGGAAGGGGGGAGGTGGAGCGGCCGAGAGGAGCTGAAGGAGAGGCTGGAGGCTGGGGTGACCGGTGCTACGTCCGGGTCCTGCGCCAGTGCCCTTGGTGCCGCTGCCGCCCCTCAGGGCCCGCCCCCCATCCCTCGTGTCATGCGGCCCAGCCGCCTCCCCGTCTGCATACTCAGGATTGCAGGAGCCGCTCGGCAGCAGCAGCAGCTCCTCATTTGGCAACTCACCGAGTTCGAGTCTTCGAGGCCTCGGACGCCCCTCGGCTAGTGGCTGCGGCTGCTGCTGCTGCGAGTGCTGGCGGGCTTGAGGGTAGGTTTGACGCTGATTCTGACGTTGCCGGCTCTCCTGTCCTTCTCCTTCATGCTGCGGGTCTTGCTGCTGGTACTGTTGCTGTTGTTGCAGGAGGTGTTGAAGGTGCAGGGATGCAAGCAACCCACCTACTGGCCCCGTGACGCCAGGCGTGTAGCGGTTTGGAGCAGCAGCATACAGCGCAGACGACATCGGGGGTGAGCTGTCATCAGGCGGCCCTGTCGGCTGGTATCCCCCGCTGGACTGTGGTGGCGCACGCATGCCATGCAAAGGGGCCCCCGCATGCTGCGGCAATGACTGCTGCAGTAACGACGCAGCGGCCATTACCGTGGGGTTGTTGCTGTTGCCACTGCTGAGGAGGCTCACAAGCGCCTCAACGACCCGTGGGTCACTATAACCGTAAGACTGCTGCTGCTGTTGTTGTTGCTGCTGTTGTTGTTGTTGCCCCTGCAGCTGCTTTAGCAGCAGTCCTACGAGCTGCTGCTGCATGTCAGGCACACGCCCTAGCTGCGGTTGTAAAGGTGGCGCCGAGCTGACAGGCACGCCTTTGCTCCTCTCAGGCACCCCAGCCAACAGTGTTGCATCCTGATATGTATGCTCTTCTTCTCCACCTCCTCCTCCCCTTTCTCCACCTCCTCTTTCACTGCTTCGCTGCAGCGGCTGTGCTAGCAGCTGCCCAGTGGCGGAGCGCTTCCTGGCCTGCGGCTGCGTGGGATTGCTGGATTCGGGCGCCTGCGGGTTCTCAAGCTGTCGTTGTCGCCCTCCGTGATCATGCTGCTGCTGCTGGGGCTGCTGCTGCGACAGCAGCAGCGGAGGCGTGTTTGTCTCCTGTTGCCGCCTCTCCGTGTACTGTTGTCGTTGCTGCGACGGCGGCGGTTGTGACGGCGACAGCAGATGCTGCTGCATCAAAAAGGCGGAGCCCCGTCCATCCCACTTTTTCTGCTGCTGCTGCTGCTGCCGTGGACCCAGCTGCTGCTCCTGCTGTCCCCCTGAGCCCTCTGACGCGCCCCGCCGGAGCAGCAGCAAGTGCCCCGCAGCCTCCACAGCTTCCATGGCGTCCGCAGCAGGACCAGCAGCAGCACCAGACGCCGGAGCAGCATCAGCATCAGCAGGTGCAGGTGCCCGCGGCCCCCCTGCTGCCGCCTTTGCTGCTGCTGCTGCCACCCCTGCCGGCCCCCTTGTTGCTGGCCCCCCTGCGGCCGGCAGGGATGCGGCCTCCGCCGCACCCCCTGCTGCCGCCGCCCTCACGGCTCCCTTCATGACCGCCCCCTCAACTCCTCCTCCTTCCGCAACCGCCTTGCCACCAGCAGTGCCGCCGACACACCCAGCAGCCGCAGCCCCCTCAGCGCCCGCCGGCACTCCGATCTCGCTCCCAACACGGCCACCAGCAACACCTCCCTCCCCAGCCTTAGCGGCCTGAGCTGCTGCTGAGTCCGACTGCCCAGCTGCCTCTACCTTGGCGCTCTGCTGAGCCCTCCCATCTTCCATCTGCTGCTGCGGCAGCAGCAGCTGCTGCTGTCCGGGGTCGAGCCGGGGAGCTACCGAGGGAGTTGTGGTTGTGGTTGTTTTTGTTGCAGCACCCAAAGCCCTAGGCACAGCTGGGCGCCCTAGGTCTACTGGGGGCACTACGGGCACCGCTGTTGTGGCGGGCGCTGCACCTGCCGCCGTGGCTGCAGCCGCCGCTAGCACAGCAGGCACGGGAACAGCAGCAGCAGCAGCAGCTGCCGCCACGGCAGCGGCGGCGGGGGCTGTATCTGGCAGCGGCGGCGCTGCCACGGCAGTGGTCGTTGCAGGGGCGGCTGCTGCTGCTGCTGCTGAGAGGAGCCTGATGGCTAGGGTGATGGTCCTGCGGGCGTCCTGCAGGGTGCTGTACGGCCCCAGATCCCGGAGCATTGCGCCGTCCCACAGCGCAGCCCCCACCTGCAGCGGCAACAAAGCAGCGGCGGCGGCAGCGGCAACAGCAGCGGGGCCATGGTGAGCAAAGTAAGACAGGCCAGGCGGCGGACACGCAGCGGCGCTCTCCACCGCACTCCTCACACGACTACACTTCTCAAAAGAGCACGATGCGCGGCTAAACACAAGATGACGAGGCTAAACACAAGACGATGCGAGGCTAAACACAAGAGCACGATGCGCGGCTGGAGCAACCCCCTCCCCAGCCACCATGCAGCCTACAGCAATGCACCCAGCTCCAACACATGCCCTTCACAGCCCGCACACATGGCACATGCGCGCGTGCGGCCGTACCTCACGACTGCCGTACAGTTTGTACAGCACACCCGAGAAGCCGTCCAGAGGCGGCAGGATGCTGTCAATCTCCGTGCCTGCAGTGCCATATAGTCAAAGCCAGCAGAGGAAACGTCATCAGGTCATATGCGTAGCAGCGGGATGACGCGCAATTCCGAGGCTTAGTTACTGCTAAGTGTCTTCTTCCTTTACGGGTATTGCAGCAGGCAGCACTACTGGGGGACTGACATGCGCGCGTCCTCCCTCCCAATCCACATACCGATCGGCAGTTGATCAGCGATTGCGGAGAACAATCGCCGGCCCAGTCCCAGCCTCTGTGCCGCCAATCCTTGCCCTCGACCCGACCACGGCGTCCCCCCGGCTGCCCCCACCACAGCCCCGGTCCCCGACAGACCACCTCCTCCTGCTCCTCCCCTTGCTGCTGCCGCCGCCGCCGCAGCACCTCCCGCCCCGTTGCCTCCAGGTCCCCCACCAGTGGTAGCCGCTCCTGCTCCTCCGCCGCCACCACCTCTGCTGCTCACCAAACCCCTGATCTGGGTCAAGCCCCCCTGGCCCGGACCGGCAGCGCCACACGCGACTGGGTTCGCGAACCGCACCCCAGCAGCAGCAGCAGCAGGGACAGCAGGGGGGGTACCAGCAGCAGCAGCAGCGGGACTGCTGGCGGCAGCCACGGCTGCATCACCCGCCGCCTTCTGTCGCCCTGCTGCTGCACCTGCTGGTACATTGGTACGGCTACCGCTACTGCCGCTACCACCATGCATCCCCTGCTGCTGTGCAGGCAGCTGCTGTGCTGCTGCTACTGATGCGGGTGGCAGCATCAGCGCGGGTGCCAAGCCACCCGCAGTGCTGCCCCGGAGGGCGGGTACAGTCCTGGGAGGAGCTGCCGCAGCCGCAGCCGCAGCGGGAGAGGCGGAGGTCAGGTCAAGGGTTGTGTCCAGCGCCTTGTCATGCTGCACCGCCTTGCCATGCGCCAGGGAGGCGAAGGCAGGCTGACCTGGCCGAGAGGGTGAGGCAGCGGCTGCTGCTGCGGTGCTTGTTGGTTGTGTTACGGGTGCAATTGGTTGGGGGCCGGAGGGTGAAAGTCGGGACCTTGGTTGAGTACTAGCAGCAGCAGCAGTCATGGTGGGGGCCACCGACTGGGGCTGCTGCCGCTGTTGATGTAGGACCGGTTCAGTTGGATGGGGTTGCACGGAGGCGCGCGGCTTGCCTCGGGCTGCTGCGGGGGCTTCAGTGGCAGTAGCAGTGGCGGCTACCCGTGTTGCGGCGGCTGAGCTGCTGACAGGCGTAACAGCAGCAGCAGCAGCAGCTTCGACTGGGGCTGCTGGGGGGTCCGGCAGCAGAGCCGCCTGTAGAGTAACCAGCGGGCGAGGACCACCGGGGGTTGTGAAGGCGTCACCAGGAGACGGATAAGGGTCGCAAAAAGGGCTAGACACTAGCTGAAACTTGGGTGCCTAACAAAATCACAGGTGCAGCCGAGATGTGCAGAATCGTGCAAACGCTCAACGCAGCAGCCCATATACTGGTATACAACAAGGATATAGGCCGTGCGCACCCACCTGCGCTGCTTGGTAGTGAGCGGGTGATACGGCCCCCAAAGCCACCAAGTGCAGGACGGCTTGCAGGAGCATGGCTGCCGGAAGGCCGTACAATTGCAATTGCCGTACTGTAGTCACGATTGGGGGCGGTTCTATGGCATCTGCCGTACACTGCTGATGTTCCCGCTCTTCTTGGTGCTGCTGTTGCGGTTGCTGTTGTCGTACAGCTTGTGACTCATGTGGGTCAGTTGCGGATCCATTCTGTCGTACATGACTAATAGAGTCTCCAGACTGATTGGGGCTTGGGTTGCTCTCATGCTCCTTACGTGGAACACGTTGCAAGTACAGGAGGAGCAGCTGGCATAAGGATGGCATCAGGCTTGGAGGTGCGCATGGGGGTTGTACGGCACTTGGCGGTACGGCCATGTACCGCATGGGCATGGGCCCCGACGCAGCACCCCCCTGTGATGCCCCGGGCTTAAGAGACTTGGCCGGTTGGGTGTCATGCGAGGAGAGCTGCGTTGGAGGTGAGGGTGTGGGCAGGGCGCCGTGTGGGGGAAGGCCTAGCTGCTTGTCGGGCCTTATCAGCTCGAAACCCCTTGGGATGCACTGGCTGCCAGGGCTGCCGCCGGAGCTAGGCTTCCCACTCCCTGAAGGGCTTAACTTGTGGCCTGCAGCGCCCTCTGATAGCTGCTCTGGTCCCGGCGCGCTCACCAGACGCGGTTGTTGTGTACATTGGCGCTTGCCGGCTCGCTCTTCGGCGGCCCCGGGGCCAGAGTCCGTAGTAAAGGTGTCGTGTTGTCCGCTGCCGCCCTGGAAATGCGGTAAGGTGAAACGGCAAGGTGCAGTACAGGACTGTGTAAGAATGCACCGAATCATGTACTTCTTTTGTTTGGATATTCAAGACCAGGTAATAGGCTAGTTCCTGGAGCAATACAGGGTCATGGCCTGCACGGCAATGACACGAATAATCACGTAACCCACTCCAACTTACTGAATGCATTGCGAATCTGTGAGGTAACGTGTTCACATGATAAGCCTGGGGAGAAGGCTTAGGCTCGTCCACGGTTCGAATCCCATTACAGCGGGCCGTAGTCGCCAGGCTGCGACAAGGCCACAGAGAAACTGGACATAGTGAGTCGTCCCCGTAGAACTGAAGTACCTTGATTCTTTCCAGACTTACAGCTAGGTAGTGGTATTAGCCTCCAACGTCCGCCGGTCCAGTCGCCGCCCTAAAGTTCCCTAAGCCAAGCATTAGCGTGATAAGCTGATGACCATATCAGCAATAGGCCCGGAAGTAACCAATATGGCTCTTGCAGTCCATGAACTCGAGGAAACGCTCAGCGCGACTAGGTGTGTTGTATGCGATTATGTCTGTGCATCAACAGAAGTAGGTCAATGAATCCGTTGTTCAGTAAAAAACGACATCTTCGGCAAAGAGATTTCGTGCTGGTAGGACCACCTGCTCAGGAAGAAGACATTCAAAGCGTGTTGTAGTGCCGTTGCATGATAACGCGCCCTCTGTACTTAGCATTTACCAGACATCCATAACGAAGGCCCTCACCTGCCGTACCCTTATGCCCAAATGTCTTACCTAATTTGGCTTCCTTTATCGTACGAACTCGTAGCTGGGTGACCTTAAGGCTGGCTTCTTCCTATTTTAGCTCTGCAGGAATGCCACCTAAGCGGTTTAAAAAGCGTGCTTGCTATAAGACCTAGATACGGTTACCTTATGAGCAAGTGACGTTCGGCTCAGAAATCTTGCTAGGACCTTGGCCTGAGCTGAGGATTGTCACCTAGTCCAAATTGCTTCCAAGCCTTGCCCGAAACTCTTTTCTTCGTGCTGTGCCTTGCTGTTTGAACCTTCTCAAGTGAAGCCACGCTGCATTACATTAGCTACCGGTATCGCGTACCTAGGCCAGCAACCCTGCTAAAATGGCAGTCCGTGCGTGTTTTACAAGGTCGTCGCTTAGCTTTTGCTTGCGTCGAGTTGGCGTCCAATTTAAAGCAATGTCGTCAACTGTAGGGAGTTCCCATGGGAGTCATGCATGACCCTTGCGTTTGCGGGCCGAGGATACAGTTTTGCTCCCGGAACTGCCCCAGTTCTAACGTATCCTTTTCATGGCTCATGGCGGAGCTGGGTTCCGGAGACCGAGTCTAAGGCTGGGGACTTGGGGTGACTCCAGTGGAGCTGGGGATCATGGGAACTATTAAACATGGGATCAGGGGGGGGGGTAAGAAATTTTCTTATAAACCCCAACCCGAAATTTCCAAAGAGAAGGCCTCGGAGCCACCCACCCACCGCCAAGCGTGTCATACGACCTGTAAACTATACCAAAACGCCCGGGAAAAAAGCGTCTAGGTTCCTCTGCGCAAGCTCTATTAAATGCAGCCGAAAAAACCCAAACCCCCTGGGAAGTTAATGTCACAGCGTTGCACTATGGACGGCTAAGGTAACCATGTTCTTGGCCCCAGCTTGACTGATGTTATGCATTTGGCGCCTAGGAAGCACCATGGCCCTTCCATTTGCGCTATACCACCGCCAGTTCTGTTTTCACCAACCGAGGCAACGGCGCCACCACGTTCCAGGTCCCTGCTCCTGCCTCTTCTTCCCCCTGTGGCGCTGGGCCTCGACCACAGCCCCTGGCATCAATTCCCACGCCCGCTTGTTTCTGTGCTCTGCATCCCCACCCCATTCGTGGTCACTGTGAGTGCTTTCTCACAGCTCAGTCTGTCTACTCCCATCCCGCCTCCTCAGTCGTGTTCCACATCCATGGGGACATGCGACATGCTGCTATGCTAGGCCTTTACAAAGGGCCGACTAGCCGCGTTCGCAATATATGCTTTCTACATAAGTTGTTTCTTGTCCGTTTGAGGATTGGGCAGTTCCGTTCGGCTACCGTGGTTCAGAGGTGAAGTGTCATTGGAACATCGGAAGCCGAGAAGTGACCATTTTGTTGATAGAACTAATTCTACGTATAAGAAACGAAGAAAGGTTGGCAATACAGCTTTCAAAACCCTAACATGAGGCCTGGAAAAATTATTCCGGAGGTTCATGTAAAAAAGTCGTTGGGGCCCTGAACCCACCCACCCACCCCTGCCGTACAACCAACTTTGCAAGCCCATAACTTTTTCCGTACAACTCCAAACAGAAATATGAAAGCAGATTCGGAGTCCCGACGCAAAGCGCCTTCAATTTGAGGGTTGGGGTCTATTTTTGCGCTTCCTACCCCCCCCCTAATGGGATGATGGGACTTATTTGCGAGGTCGTACACGAAGTGCATTGGGTGGAAGCCTGTGCGGTTGGGCTGCGTCAGGCTTCCATGCAAGCGAGGAATGGGGGCAGGTGGCACGGCTCCATGATGTGCCCGAGGGAGCGGAGCTGAATAGCGGTTGCGGATTCCTCCGGATCGATAGGGATGGGAGACATCAGTTCTTGCAATCCCTGCTTGTCATACTTCCCGTCCCCGTGCTCCCGGCGCCTCCCGACCCTTCCTTCCTGCTCTGCAGCTGCACGATGTACGTCAGGGGCTGCCCTTGATCATAACGTAAAACATTTTGCGACAAGTTAGCCTTTATTGAACCCAACCATTTGGGGGCTGCGCTAGCCCCTTAGAAAGCAAACGTGATTGGCATGGTTCCCGTTCAATCCCGCTCTTTTAGGACGATGCTCGTCATATACGGCATAAGGACGAGCGCTTTCTCCGCCCACCACCGATGTTTGCATGGCATCGCCCACCACCGATGTTCGCGGGCATCGCAACTGCAAGTGCTGGGCATTCCCATTGCTACGGAGGGGCCCAAAGTGGGATCGAGGCTCAGCGATCACTGCCCGGTGACACTCACTCTGGACGTCGGATTAGGAGGAACGCGTAGGGGTGGTATCAGGGATTCCTCTCGCATGGGGAAGCGTGAGTGGGAGCGGTTCACGCGCCTGTTTGAGGTAGAGGATGCTGCTGTCGTACAGAAGATCGACGAGGCTGTCAACCAACTGGGGCATGGTCTCAACAGCACGGAGGTTGTTACTGTGGTCTGTCGGGCTCTTAAGAAGGCTATTGACGCCGCGTTTCGCCTGGATAGGAGGCAGGGGGCCAGTTCTAGTGCAGGCAGGACGGACAAGGATGCGCCTTGGTGGTCACCTGAGTGTGCGGAGGCCCGGGAGGCTATGTTTGCTCAAAAGGCGCTCATGCGTGCTAACGGTCTGCTGGGGGATCAGGATGCCAAAGCTGAGTTCAGTCGGTTGCGCACGAAGTATCAACGTCTTCGCAGAGAGGCTAAGGACAAGTTCCGGGTCATGCATTTTGAAGGAGTTATCGAAGAATGTCGGGGGGATCCACGGGCGCTTTGGGGTCGGCTGAATAGTAGGCTTAGTCAGGGGTGCCCTATCACGGATGTCAATAGTTGGGGAGCCTATTTCAACGCGCTGTTTAATGGGGAAGTCAATGCGTTTAACGAAGTTTCCGCGGACACCATCCTTAGTACCATCAACGGTGTGCCACATGGGAGGGGGAGAGGATGGGCCAGGGCGACAGGCGATCGGGTAGCACGAGTCACTGCTGCTGCCGCACTTAACGTTCCGTTTACTTTGGCTGAAGTCATCGCTGCGCTGAAGTCCCTGCGTAATAACAAGTCTGGTGGTTTGGGCAGAGTGCCGGCTGAATGTTTCAAGTGTGCGACGAGAGAGGTTGAGGGTAGGAGGATGTACGTTTTAGCTCCTTACCTGCTCAAGCTACTAGAGCATATCCGCAGCACGGGGGATTACCCTGAGCAGTTTGAGATCTCTGCGCTTACGCCCATTCACAAGAAAGGCGATGTGATGGAGAAGGGTAACTATAGGGGATTAGCAGTGGGTGGTGTTTTGTCTAAGCTGTATGCGTTTATGTTGGAGCATAGGCTGTCTCGTTGGGGCGAGCTGGTGGGAGCTAGGTCGCCGTATCAGGGAGGTTTCCGACGCAAGCGGGGTACCTGCCACAATCTGTTTCTGTTACGTCACCTGACGGACAAACATAAGGGGGGGCGAGACGCAGTTGACCCCCTGTTCGTTTGTCAGATTGACTTTGAGAAAGCGTTTGACAAGGTGCCACGTGATCTTTTGTGGTTAAGGTTGGAGGAACGGGGTGTACATGGCGCTATGTTGGAGGCTCTCAAGACTTGTTACAACAAGGTCATGATGCGTGTCAGGGTAGACGGAGTGACGGGGGATCCTTTTGAATCTTCGCAGGGAGTCAAGCAAGGTTGCCCTCTCAGCCCTACGCTTTACGGGATTTTTGGCGAGGGGTTTGCTGACTATGTTGACGCTAAGGATAAGTGGCTCCCTGATGCTATGCGCGCCAAGCAGCAGACTCCTCATGCGGATGGCCGGCGTATCCCGTTGGAACTGTATGCCGACGACCTCAGCCTTTTCGCTACGACGCACAGGCGGCTGATTGTGTTGCTTGCTGATTTGAGAGAGTGGTGTGAGGCCTTTGGGATGCGGGTGAATGTTCGTAAATGTGAATTGATGGTTTTCCACCCTCGTGCCAATATCCGTGAGGCTTTTGCTTCCCTTTGCCCCGTGGTGTGGACGTCTATTGAGGGAAATGCGCGAGTACCTATGGTTATTCCCTGGGTACAACGAGCCCGTTACCTTGGTTTGCACTTTGGTCCTGGCACACCTTTTGTTTCCTGCACAGAGGAACTGTTGACCTCTGGCCGACGTGCTATGTTTTCTCTTCAGCGTAAATTAAAACGCCTAGGTCTCTTGGTCCCTGCTGTTGCAGTTAAGTGCTTCGACGTGCAAGTCCGCTCCATCTTGTCGTACGGTGTCCAGGTGTGGGGGCCTGATGTGGTGCTGAAGTTAATGACGGACTGCGAGAATGCCGCGAGGTACTTTGACAGATCCTTGCGGGACCCAATGGTGCAGTTACAAAGGGGATTTCTTCGGGAGATTGCGGGTGTTAAAGTCTCGCCGGATAAGTTGCTGTTTAAGGAGTTTAACCAGCGCCCCCTGCATGTCTTTTGGTTGGAACTGTTTCTGAGGTTTTGGAATGACCTGGTCAAGCAGAAGGACACGGTCTACCACCAGGCGTTGCGAGGTGAAATTCGTTCGGCCCTCAGTACTGAGCATTATGATGGCTGGGGTTCTAAGGTGTTGAAGATTCTGAAAATGTTAGGGACGGATTTGACGGCCTTGGGGGGTGAGTTGGACTTGAATGCGCGTGTGGAACGTATTGCTGGCACGGAGCTAAATGTGTCTACTCTCACTAAAAAGTTTGCTGATAGAATGGATGCGGATTGGGAGGATAGGAGTTTGGAAGATGACCCGCGGCTTTTCAACCCAGTAGACCCCGTACCTGGGGTTGGAGTTAAGATGTGCAGGTACAAAAATTGGATGGGTGACCCGGTTGACAGGGGGTACATTACTCAGCGGCAGCATGTGAACCTGATGCGTTTTCGGCTGTGTGTGTGGGGCATTGAAGCCAATCGCCCTAGGGGTAGGCAACGAGTAGCGCGTGTCTGTCCTATGTGTGCCGTGCAGGGGTCGCCGGGGAGAGTGGAAGATGAGAAGCACATCCTCATTGAATGTCCCGCTTACGATGATTTGCGTGACAAGATATGGGAAAGTGGTGTCTCACGGGATGCTGATATGATTGCTGTCATGGGCATGGAGAATCAGGCATTGCTTGCTAGTGTAATCACTAGCATGCGAAGTCGCAGGATTGCGCAGACAGGGTTCATCATATGATTAGCGTTCTGTTTGTTGTCTCTTTTGTTTGCTTTTTCTTCTTTTGATTGTTTTCGCGTTTTGTGCTCGCGATCCATGAGCCTTCTGGCTCGGACGGATCTTACGAGCTCGGTACGAAGCTTGTAACACATACATACATACATGTTTGCATCTGAGCAGGCATTGGACGGATGCGTTCAGACGTATACCGATAGCCAAGCCGTTAGTAGTGTTTGTTGCGGCAGCTTTACTGTGAAGTTGAATCCTCTCGAGACGGCTGACGTATATCTCCTTTATCCAAGGACTTTGTATTAACGGCACCCGACTATTCTATCCACCAAGCTGTATAGTGAAGCGAGTGGGGATTTCCTTTGTTGAAGACTTTATTCATAGCCTTTACCAAGACCCCCGTCGACTGACAAGAAGTTCATCAACAACTAGTATCTAAGCTTCTACTTTTTAATGCAACACGCCGTCGGTGTCGCGGCGGGAAATGGCTGCCGTCCGCTAACTTGCGAGCCTCGTCGCGGCGGAATGGCGTCGCTCCACAGGACCTGCAGGCAGCGCCTACATAGCTGCGTTGAGTACAGAAAGCATAATTGGATGCTGATACAGCTTAGTCGACCGAGACTGTGCACTGCTCTGGCCTCATTCGGGCCGGAACCCTACGATGTCGACGGCCCAAGAGGCAAGAGGACCCGCAAGCCTGAATGGGTGCGGTAAGTAGGCGCCTATTTTGGGCAACGCTGTCAGGTTGGTGAGGAAACTCTCGGCTCGTTCACGCAGCGGAGTTCTTCTGTTTGAGCAGGCATGGGCAACGCCCCGGCCTACCTTTCACCTGCCTGCTGGAGCCCCTATCCTGCATCGAATGCCTGCCACTACACTCACACGCTTTATCACCTTGCTCGCAACGTACGTGCTGTATCCTCCCTCAGAATCCTGGAGGAGGATGTGGACAAGGACCCAGATGTTGCGCGCCTCATGGAAGGAACGGGCGGAGACCCGGAGAAGATCCGTGAAAAGGTAAGCAAAGGTAACCAGTTTTCTCAACGACACTTCTGCAGGCCAAACATACGTATCCTTACGTCCTCGTCCTGCGCCCTGCACCCTGCCTCCACACGACGTGGACACATCCATGTCGCTACGTCAGGAACCAAGGGGCAGGCACCCGCCTGCCTTGCTGCCTTCCCGCACCACCCTCCTCACGACCTGCCCGCATCACACCCCCCTCCCTGCCTCCCCCCTCACCCAGATGCGCTATGCCCTCAAGGACAGCGATGTGCATCGAGAGGGCCAGGGCTCCGCCGTACCCCCGCGCATCACCTTCCGAGCCATCAGCCCCATGGGTCTGTGGGTGAGTGCCGGCGGCGGCGGCCAGTTATTTTAACACACACACACACATACACAAACACGTTCCTACTCGCGGCCAGTTTTCTCAACACACAAACACGCGCGGCAAGTTTTCGTAACATCACCTGCTCACATACTCCTTGCGCTGTTGCCAGCGGCCCATCCACCCTTATCCCGCACCGCTCTAGCTGCCGCAGCCCCCTTCCCGTACAGCCCGGCCCCCCTCCCCCTCCCCCTCCCTCCCTCCCTCCCTCCCTCCCGCCTTTCCTTATTTTTACCCCTCCCTCCCTCTCTCCCTCCCTCCCGCCTCCACCGCCCCCAGCTGTGGTTAGAGTTTCTGGAGCCGCCTCTGGGGTCGGAGCGCGAGCTGCTTGAGGGCGTGTTGAAGAGCTGGTTCGCGGTGGGCAAGTTGGGCGGATACAACAGCCAGAACTTGCAGGTGGGGGGGGAGGTGGAGGGGAAGGGGGGGAAGGTGGAGGGGGAGGTGGGTGGGGAGGTGGAGGGGGGGAGGTGGAGGGGGAGAGAGGAAGGGGGGCGAGCGGAAGGGGGGGAGGGGAAGGGGGAGAGAGGAAGGGGGGCGAGGGTAGCCGGCACTGGAACCCGGCGCAGCGACCATGGTCCATTGCTGCTCCCTGGATTATACTCCGGTAGTATGCTAACTGCCGACCCGGTGTGCTGCTCCCGTTCCTGGCCTCTTTTACGGCCATCTTAAAACTATGACCCCCCTCCCTACTCGCTCACTAATCCTCCTCCTTCTAGGGTAGTGGCTTCCGAATGCGCTCACTGCATGAGTCGGGATATGGGATTGGGACTCGTTGTTTCACTACCGGTAATGTTTCCCCCCGCTCCCCTCCCCTCCCTCAACCCCCCCACCCACAGGTCTACCACAACGCGGACGACGACCAGTCTTTCTTCGAGTACGACAACGGTCAGCTGGAGGCGGGTGGCGAGCGCATGACCGCCTATCTGCACGACATGCGGGAGGTGGAGTACCGAGAGTGCTGGGCGAGGACGTGGTGGGTGGGGTGGGGGGGGGATGGGAGGGGGGATGTGGTGGGGGGGGGATGTGGTGGGGGGGATGTGGTGGTGGGGGGGCCAACGAGGGAGAAACCTACGAGGGTTGCGCCATGGGGTGCATGGAGAAGGGTTGGGGGGGGGGTAAAAGCGAGGAAACTGACGAGCTGTATGAGAGTATGACACGGCTTCACCGGGGGGGCACATGAGGGGCTGGACTCCAGCGTGCCGCATTGGATGCTCCCGCCCTGTCCTCAACCGTAACACCCATCACATCTCCATGCCCCCCCCCCCCCCGCTTCCCCCCCCGCTCCCCCCTCCCCCCCCAGGATCGACATGGGCACCGCTGACGAGCTGTCACTGGACATCCTGCTCAACATGCTGGTGGGGTTCAGGTGAGGGGTGGGTGATTGGGTGGGTGGGTGGGTGGGTGGGTGGGTGGGTGGGTGGGGTTCAGGTGAGGGGTGGGCGGGGGGGGGCTTCATGTAGGGGTGGGTGGGTGGCCCGGGAGGGCTGCCTGGCTGGCTGCCTGCTGCTTGGTACCCCGCCCTTCCCCCCCCGCACGATGCTTACCCCTGCCCAGTACCCCTGCCTCCATGCGCCCATAATTATCTGCCCCCATGTTTATCTGCCCCCATGTTTGTCTGCCCCCCGCCCCCATTCCCTCCCCCCCCCGCCCCCATTTCCCCGCCCGTGCAGTACCCAGATGTGCGGGCTGCGCTCCATCCGGCTGGGCGGTGTGAACGCCGACTGGCCGGTTCCGAGTGACGAGGACATGGGTCTGCTGCCGGAGGATGATTACATGAGGGTGGGGGGCTGGGGGGGGGGGGAGAAGGAGGGGAAGGAATGGGTGTGAGGGAGGGGATAATGGAGATGGAATGTACGTGGGTGTGGGTGAGGGGCGGGGTGGAGGGGGGTATGTGCATGGGGGCTGCCCGGCATGGCTCGAGAGCTGGGTGGGGTGGTTGAGATGTGGCGGGGTTGCAGGCGTTGGGAGGATGCAGGGAGGTCTGGGTTGTCTGGCCGGGAATCGCATACCGGTGCACACAGGCGCCTGCGAGTGCTGGTCAGCTTTTCCATCGCAATCCTCCTGCACATCCCCCCCCCCTTGCTTCCTCTGAACCTCTATTCCCTCCCCCTCCCTGCCGCCCCCCCGCACCCCAGGTCGCCGCTGACCCCATGAGGCTGCCCCAGGGGCTAGACGAGGAGTTCCAATTCATGGACGAGGAGGGCATGTTGGAGGGCGGCAAGGGGGGCGGTGGGGGAGCTGCCGGCAGCGGGCGGCAGCAGCGGCAGCAAGGGGCAGGTGGCTACGGTGGTGTTGATGAAGAGGAGGAGGAGGTACAGGATTGGATGGGTGGGGTGGCGGGAGGAGCAGGGGGGCGGGGCAGGTCGCCGGATGTGCCGGATGTGTCTTCATCATTGGGGGGTGGCAGTGGTTACGGGGTGCGAGTGGGAAGGGCGGAGGCGACTGCGGAGGAGCGGGAGCTGCAGCGCATTGCGGAGAGGTTAAAACGGCGACCTGCATCGGCGTCTCCTTCCGGGGCGTCGGGGGCGTCATCCTCAGGAGCAGCAGGGGGGGCAGCAGGGGGAAGGGCAAAGGGCCGAGGGGCAGCTGCGTTAGCGGCGGGGCTACGCAGGGGCGGCGCGCGGGGTGGGGGCTCGGGGTATTACGGGGCTGGATGGGACTTTGACGAGGGGGCGGTGGGGGATGTGAACCCCGATGAGTTGGAGTTCACGGATGAGGAGGACGAGGTGGGGGCGGGGGCGGGGGGAGGGGAGCAGCGGCGGCCCTGGGGGCTGAGCTTCGTGCGGAGGAGGGCGACCGGGGCCGGGAGTGGGAGTGGGGGCAGCCAGGCTGGAGGGCGGTAGTAAAGGAGGATCCTAGACGGCATGAGAGGCTTGACGACACCGGAGCAGGGGTAGGGGAGGATTTGGACGGGAAGAGGGGGAGCCAGATGAGCATCCTGGGGGGCGAACAAGGACAGTTCCACACGTGGTGCTGATGGCGGTGAGGACGGAGGGACGGACGTTACTGTTTCGCTCTCGGGTGCTGTTTACCTGCCATGGAGCGGGTGGGGGATTGAGAGCTAGGGAGGCTGTGCAGAGGGAGGACTCGCGGCCAGTTTCCTTTAACACACACTTCGTCACGGCATCTTCCGGCATGCACAGTACGGCACGTTCCGGCTGGCGGCCAGTACTTTTTACCGTAATCCACACACCACCCGCGAGGACTCATGACTACACAGCTCGTCACGTACCGCTGTGACACACAGCGCCTGCTGCCGTACGACATCCCCTGGGACGCCATCCGTCCTCCTCAGTCAGTCGGTCAGTTAGTTGTTTCCTCTTTTCCTCCGGTAGGTCAGGGGCAGGGTCCGGGTGCTCCCCGCGGCTCTCAGTTTACCTCAGTATCCATCCTTGCGGCCCAACACAGGATGCGCTTAACGCGCTGTCACCCCGTCAGTCATACTGCCCCTGAGGCCCCCCGAGCCGCCCCGAGCTCTCTCTTCCACCGCCCTTTCTGTTGTCCAGGCACCACCAGCTCAGTTGGAAGGGTCATACCACCTTTCATCGCGTCGTCGTCGTCAGCTCGCCTCGTCAGCCCCCACCAGGCCTGTCACGGAACGCCATGAGGCACGCAACCCGCTGCAAACCTGGGGTGGCTGGGTCCCTCCCCGTCTTCCAAGGAATGTGTTTCCGGGCTCGATAAACCACCCCCCAGCTATAACCCAAAGTGACCCCCTTGTAATCGTGTAATGCCCCTCTCCACCCACCTGCTCGCATGCAATGCCACTCCTCTAGCACTCCTCCACCCTTCATATTTCTACCCACCCCAGCATCCTCCTGCTCTCCATCTCCTCCCCTTTTAGTACCCTCTACTTCCCGTCACAACAGACGCTTCAGGTCTGGGACCACCCTAACAGCCCTCCACTCTCACGCCTCACGATGCCGCCTTCCCTAAACGCAGCAGCAGCATCCAACCAACACCACCACCACCGTTACCGCTATATCACTTGCCGATGCAGAAGCGGCTAAATACCGCCTCCAGCACCTCCTCCCCCACCTCCTGCCCGCTCACCTCCCCCAGCGCCAGCACCGCAGAGCGCAGGTCTATGGTCCAGAAGTCGAGTGGCAGGTCCGCAGCCACACTCTCCGACAGCCGGGAGAGAGCCTGCAGCGGGCAGCCGCAGGTGGGGGGGGGGGAGGTGCATGAAGTGGGAAGCATTCCTGGAGTTTCAATCCCTCATCCCGACTCATGCGGGGAGGAGAGGGGAGGAGAAGGTAAGAAAGAAACACAGCCTAGTGAAACCGCATATCATCAGGGCAGCGCCGCGGGGCTCAGTCTGTCTGCCTGTTGCCCCACCTGCTCACCTCCCTGCCCCCGCCCGCTCCCCCAACCCTGACCTCCCTGTCCCACCCGCCCCCCCAATCGGTAGGTCTCTGAGCTGCGTGGTTCTAGAATAGGGTCTCCGAATGCGCTCACTGCATGAGTCGGGATTCGGGATTGGGACTCCGTTGATGCATTTATCTATATTTTGCCCCCCCAATCCTCACCTCCCTGCACCTCAGCAGCGCCTCCGCCTGCCGCTCGTTCACCGCCCACGCCACCCCCCCGGCGGCTAGCTGTGGGGCGCCCGCTAGCCGTAACAGCGCCGCGTCAAGATCCTGGGGTGGGGTGGGGTGGGGGAGGGGAGGGGAGGGTGGGAGGTGGGTAAAGAAGAAGGAAACGAAGTGGGAAGACGGGTGGGGCAATCCTAACTACATGCCAAACCAACCCGCCGAACCACGCCCCCAACGTTCCTCGGCCCCCCCCACCCACCCTCTCCCCCACCCCCCCCGCACCTGCAGCCCCCTCCGCTGCGCCGCACTAGTTCGCACCACACCTGCAAACGTGGAGCGCACCCCCGGGGGCAGCACCAGGCCCTCCGCCTCCGCCTCCTCAACCCCCTCCTCCTCCGCCACACTACCATTGCTGCTGCTGCTGCGAACATCCCTGCTGCTGCTCCTGAGGGTGCTGCTACCGCTGCTGCTGCTGCTGCTGCTGCCAGTACCGCTGCAGTGTTGGCTCCCGGCCCCCCGCAAGTCGTCCTTGTTCGCCACCAACAGCGCAGGGCCCCGCACCTTGCACCCCCCGCCGCCTCCCCCCTCACCCCCCCACAGTGCCGCATGTATCTCCCCGTCCTCCGCCGTCCACCCCGCCGCGCCGTCCACCACCATCACCACCACATCTGCGGCGGCTGCGGCGGCACGAGAGCGCTCCACCTGGTGGGAGGCGAGGGGGGTGGGCAGCAGCAGCAGCGGGTGGAGGGCAGGAGTGGAGAGGGAGGCAGGAGGGAGGTTGAATGGAACAACGACAACAGCAACAGCAACAACACCTGGAAAGCAAGCGAAACCCCACAGGGCGCATCTCCTCCTCACCCTTTCATAAGCCCACCCTCCCTGCACCTCCACCCCCGGGATACGGGATTGGGACTCTAGTTGTTTGCCCTTCTTACAATCCCCCCCCCGCCTCCATTGCTCACCCCAATCATCTCCGCCTCGTCCTCGCTGTGTCGTATTCCCGCCGTGTCCAGCAGTGTCACCGGCACGCCGCCCACAACCAGCGCCGCCTCCACCACGTCGCGGGTGGTGCCGGCGGTGGGGGTCACGATGGCGCGGTCGCTGCAGGGGGTGAAGGGGGGAGGGGGGGGAGTAGGGGGGGAATTAAATAAGTGAAACAACGAGTCCCAATCCCATATCCCGACTCATGCAGTGAGCGCATTCGGAGACACTATCCTAGAAGCACGCATCTCAAATTAGGAAGGAAAGGAGCGATATCCCCCCTCACCCTCACCCTCACCTGCCCCCTTCACCCCTCCCCCAAATACACAGTCAGTTAGTTGTTTCCTCGTTACCCCCCAATACACACACACCTGTCGGTCCAGGCGTTCAGCAGCGAGCTCTTACCCACGTTGGGCTGACCCACGATAGCCACCTGGGGGAGAGGGAGGGGAGGGGGGTTGCTAGGGGGGTTGCATGGGGAGGCATGCGGGGGACAGTGCTGAGTGCCGTGTGCAGCAGCTAGCCGGTGGCTGTGTCCCTGCTACTGTCCCCTGGGGGCTACAGCCGCGTAGGGCACTAAGAGGAGGTCACACGGGCCATCCATCACCCTATCGCTGCCCCGCAAACCTTGCCGCTGCGCTCCGTGTGTGGCCCCCCCCATTCCTACCCCCATTGCTTTGCCCTAACTTGTGGTCTCCTATGGTTTGGAACTACCGGTCTTTGACCCCCCACCTGCAGCCCCCTCCGCAGCAGGCTGCCGGCCCGCTGGGTGCGCAGCGCGGCGTCCACACGCGCCTGCAGGGGGAGGAGGGGGCGGTGGGAGGGGAGTCAAAGACCGGTAGTTCCAAACCATAGGAGACCACAAGTTAGGGCAAAGCAATGGGGGTAGGGGGGGACGTACATGGGGGGGGTTTAGGAAGGAGGGAGGGAGGGAGCAAGGGAGGGTGCGAGACCCTTGCCAGCAGCGGCAGCAGCAGTGCCAGCTAACCCCGCACGCACCCGTTCACACGCCTCTCCCAGGTCCCAGCCAGCCCGCACCTGCACCTCCCCTATCTTGCGCTTCACCCAGGGCAGGTCCAGGGGCGGCAGGTCCTCGTCGAAATCCAGCCTGTACGACATCGCGAGGTATTGCTATCACTGCTGTAGTAAAGTTCGGTGGTAAAGCTCGGTAGTAGCAGCGGTAGGCAGGAGGCAGTGCGGCACGCATGGTGGCCACGATAGGACGGCAGGGGGGCAATCCGGCAGGGGGACTCGTTGCTGCACTTATCCTTTATTTCTACCCCTCCCTCGACTTTACCTCGGTAAGCCCATAGTATTTGGTAAGTCCATTACACGTACTGACTTGGCTAATTCGGGCTGGGAGAGTGGAGCTGGCTCACATGTTGCAAACCATGATAACGCCTTATCACACGGTCAGTTAGTAGTTTTTTAATCCATGACCGGCGGCGCGGCATATGTCTCACTAGTGTTGTTACTATGCAAGGCGGCTGCTTCCTCGAGTCGTCTCGGTTTATGGTAAGCAAAGATTCGAATAAGTCTCTAAATTGCTTGCTTCTAGTGTCTCCGAATGCGCTCACTGCATTAGTCGGGATATGGGATTGGGACCCGTTGTTTCACTTATATTATTTTCCCCCTCCCCCCCACCTCGCCTCCAGCTCCCCCCCGCCTCGCCTCCCCCTCCCCCCCCCGCCTCGCCTCCCCCTCCCCCCCACCTCGCCTCCAGCTCCCCCCCACCTCGCCTCCAGCTCCCCCCCGCCTCGCCTCCCCCTCCCCCCCACCTCGCCTCCAGCTCCACCAGCAGGTCCAGCAGCGCCGCCCGCAGCCCCCCCACCGCCGCCCCCACCCCGCCCTGCAGCCCCGCCAGCGCGCTGTCGGCGGCGGCAGCGGAGCGGGCGGACAGCAGCTGAGACACCGCCTCGGCCTGGGTGGGGGTGGGGTAGGGTAGGGGAGGTGGGGCGGGAGGTGGGGAGGAAAGGGGAGGGAAACAGGAGAGGTGGGGAAGTCCCGCCAGTAGTACACCCCCGCCACCCCCCCACCTGCGCTAGGTCCAGTCGCCCGTTCAGGAAGGCCCGCATCGTGAACTCCCCCGCCCGCGCCGCCCTCGCCCCCGCCTCCTGCAGCGCCCCCAGCACCCGAGCTGCGCACACGCCGCCCCCGTGACAGTGAAGCTCGGCCACATCCTCCGCGGTGTAGGAGCGGGGGGAGCGCATCACGAGCAGGAGAACCTGCATGGGGGTGGATGGGGGGCACGGCAATGTGGTGTGTTTTGATGGGTTGGCCAACGGGATTGTTCGCAAGGGGCTGGGATGGTTGGTGTGAGTGAGGGGGGGATGTCGTCAAAGATATGAGAGCAATGGGAGCAAACCCAGGCTGAAGTACGGCAGCAAGGCACAATCCAGTCTGAAGTACGGCAGCAAGGGTATCGTACAGGAAGCGGTATACCGTACAGCAGCAGCCGTACATTGCCGTACCGTACCTCATCAAGTAATCGTCCTTCCGGATCCACTGCCGTACCGTAGTACACTCGGTGGCTTTCCGGCCGCCAGTCGGCGCGCACTCGGCCTCCCGGACGGAACACCTTGGAGGCGATTGCGACCGCGTCGCTGCCGGATATCCGAATGATCGCGACTGACCCGTGGGACATGCCTGGCGCGGGAGATGAGTGAGGGGTGAGGAGCGGATGTGCGAGGGGCAGGGCAGTGATGGACAGGGGGGCTATCCACAGAATCATACAACTACTGACGCCTTGAGCGCCCGTCAAGGCCAGGTGGTACGCATGTGCAAATGCGTGCGGCATGACCCGTGGGTCATAGCTTGCATTGGCCATCAGGCTCTCATTAATGGGCGCGGGCATCACCTGTTACTATGGACGCGATCGTGTCTTCATCGCGAGTAGCCAGGATAAAGTCCTTTTTCCTGCTACTGCTGTTACTGCTCGTACGAGAATCACAGCTGTTGCTGCTGCTGCCGTACTCAACATGTACGTTGCCACTGCCGTTAGCGATGCCACTGCCGGTTGCATTGCCGCTACTGCTGCAGCAGCCGTTCCTGTCCCCGTCATCATCCACAACATGACCCCTCCTCTCCGCTGGCTGTTGCAGTGGCTCCGGTTGTTGCAGGGTAATAGCCGCATCAGCTGCCCAGCCAACGCCAGTTGTGAGGCTTCTGGGGCGATGTTGTTTCAGGGGCAGCACCTGCGGCCGTACAATTGCCGTACTAGTTGATGTTGGTTGTCGTACGGGATTGTATTTATCCGGCCAAGCTTAGCCAAAGATGTTTGGATGGCAGTCACGGTTGGCTTACCGTAGGTTGCAACTGTGGTGTTCTTGGAGAGAAATGGGACTTAAATGGGCTCCGTAAGGAATCCTTAAAGCTGGTTCGTGAATTGTACTGTACGGCAGTCCAGGCCATGGCCGCAGGTAACTGCGGGTTTGAGGCGCGGAAGGTAGGGGCGTGCCCTTGGACACCATAGCCCGCAACACCTCTACCAAGCCGATGAGAGAGACATGGAGAGGAACAACCGGCGTCGGTGCTTCCGCGAGTGGTAGTGTTGAGGTTGGTCCGGCTTGCAGATGCTGTAGGCGTGGGGACAGCGGACTTAACTAGGGAAACTAAGCAAAGGTAACGTTGGCATGCCCGTGCAAGTCGTGATGCAAGGGTAGGGCTTTACACGACAGCAGGTCGCACCTGTAAATTGGAACATCAGCCCCGATGTATGCAAGGTAGTTTGACGGTCTGGTCCCCTGAGAAGCGGGGACGTAGAGCTTAACGACGGAGGACGGACGAGTAAACCAGACGACGGGTTAGAGATTATAACACAGCGGTTCAACTGTACGTTACGCGTTGCAATAAATACTTTTAACTGCGGTGTACAGGTTCGACTAAAAAAGGACATCCAGTTGGAATGACACTGTTGACGGTAGCCACTAACGTCAGGATTCAAGGCAGCGACTACCTAAGTATAATTGTCAAAGCCATACATGATCCCCCAGCGGATAACCGATTATCCCGATTCAGAAGTTGTCCCTTTCTGATGCATCATGTACGGCATACCCTCGCGGCATGTGAGGAAGCGCCGCCGGGACTTGCGTTCCCGCAATGCAAGCTGTGTAAGGGGTGACTGGAAACACGATAGTAGAAGGTTTCTCTCTCTATTTGGAGGCGCAACACGGCGCTGTATATTACTGACACGCTGGATTGGCCGCGTCATTTGTAAATTCACGCCGACATGGCGTCGGCTTATGGCCAACGTAACTGGCTGGAGCCGTCTTGGGATGATGACCAAGTAGGCACGCTTTCCTCGCTAGAGAGGCGGCAGCGCAAGGCCGCGGAGAAGCAGGACGTTCTAGCATTTTATAGCTCGCTAGGTTTCCTCTTCTTCATTATCACTGGACTTTTGTTATGGAGCGAAATTTATGCATGCGCGACAGCGCCCGCGCGTGCTCTTACTGGTGCCTTCTTGCTTGAACTATGGAAGAGTGGCGGAATTGCTTACGCCCAGCTTCGGAGTCTCTACACACACGTTGGGCACCTAGCATGGACGATAGCAGCGGTGGTCTACGGGCCTGACTTTCCAAAGAGAGGTAGGTGAATACCAAGCAACACATCCATGTTCATTGGGACATAGTTACAGACAGTCGCTAGTTGTCTACAGCATATAGTTTCAACTCGCTAGGCCGGCTTAGGCCTTTGCTCTCGTTCGCAACCATGGGTGGTCATTGGGGACTCATGACTCTTTGTGCGCTTTAGGGTTATACGTGGTGCAATGCCGTTTACAATAAATGTTAAATCGCTCGTTGCACACCATAATCGGATGAGCTAGGCTGTAAACGCCAATGAAGTGGTTGTTGACGCCCGAACAAGATGCCCTAGTTGCCTTCATTTCTGTTCGGTCTGAAGGCTTCGACCTCAACGCCTCTTTTCCCAACCATATTTCATCCCCATGTAGGCGTCACCGTGACCGCCGTTGTAGCAAAGCTCCTCGAAAAGGGCCTATACTATCTTGCCTTTTTTCTGTCGGGTGAGTACTGAGGTCGCGTTGAAAATTTGGAACCGCAAGAAACTTACCTGCGCGCTGGTTTCTGCGTCAGGCAGGGCAGCACTGTCCGCTGCTGTCCGCGCTGAATGGGTGTCTGGAACTGCAGTCCCACCTTCCGCCTTGCACACATAACACATAAGGCATGCCTCTCCCACTTGCTTGCTCTTGTTTCCACTCAACTGTACACATAAGAATTACCCACTACGCACAACCCCTCCAACCCTTGCCTATATACCTTTCCCCTTGGCAGGTATGCTCTTGTACTCCACACTCCCACGCGTGGCCCACGCACCCTTCCGCGTGGCCACCTTTAGCACCGTGGCAGCCGGCGTGCTCTTCGGCGCGCCACCGCTGTACGCGCTGGTGACGTCACACCTCTGCCGTACCTGCGGCCCGGAGCCTGTCGTACTCCTAGCCCTGCTCTTTGGCGCAGTCATGTGTTGGGCATCCTTGCACATGACGAGCAGCATCTGCGGCATGCTGGCGGCAGGGGCATCGCCGCACTCGTCGGCAAGGCACCGACAGGCGGCGGCACGTCGGGCCGGTGCAGCAGCGGCGCCAGCCGCTCTGGCCGGACCCGCTGCCGCCGCCGCCGCTGCTGCAGCCTCCGCTGTCGGAGGCGGGTCGGGTGGCTTTAAGCGCGGATCTGTTGGCGCCCAACAGCCGGGTAGCAGCCGAACGTCGTCGTCCGGTCGCGGTAGCGGCAGTAGCGGCACGGCGGGAGCAGCCAGCGGCTGTGACGGCGGTGGGCCGCTGCCCGCCGGTCGGGCGCGGTCCTTTTCCAGCATGTCTGGCACGTCCATCTCGGGAGGTGTGTTGGGACAGTGCTTTTTGGGCGTGTTCGGGGCGGCTGGTGGGGACGCCATCGGTGTGCAGGCCTCCGCTCGCAGCCTCAGTGGCATAGCAGCAGCAGGAACAGCAGCAGCAGCTGGCTCCGGCGGCGGTAGCAGCAGCAATACCTTAGACCCCTCCTCCGCGGCATATCCGTATACAAGACCCGGGACGCCAGGAGGGGGCATGGCAGCAGCAGCAGCAGGACAATCTCTGGGCTCGCAGCTACCATTATCTAGCACAATGGATTCCTTGGGCGGCTCCGCTGCTGCCGTTTCTGGCCTTGTACGAAGCGGATCGAGCGGAGTCAGCCTCCCCCCTGGCGCTTATGGCGGAGGCGGCAACGCGCCTGCAGGAGCAGCAGCAGCAGCAGCGGCGACGACCAAGGGTCATACTAACACGAATAGCAAGCAGCAGCAGCAGCGCCAACCGTGTCCTGGGGGGACGGGAGGGACGGGCGAGGGGCTTGGGGCATCCGGCAAGGCTAGCAAGCAGTCCTCTGCAGTGCCTTCCACGCCGCCGACTAGCAGCACTAGCGGCGTCGGCGGCGTGGGGGCGGGTAGCGGCAGTAGCAGCAGCAAACAAGGAGCCAAATCAGCTGATCCTTCTGTAACGTCCGCTGCTGCAGCGGCGGCGGCGGCTCCTGTCTTTAAGAAGAAGAGCGGCGGTGCCACAACCGCTCCTGCCGTCGTCGCTGCTGCACCCAGCGGCACCTCCCGTTACCCCTCAACCTCTGCGCCCGCCAGCGCTTCAGCAGCTGCAGCCGCTGCGGCTGCTGCCAAGCCTAGGAACCCCGATGCAGGTGGGGTCAAGGCAGGCGCCGCCACCGCTGCCACCACATGCTCCTCAGCTGCCGGTGGCAAACCTGCAGGCGCTTCCAGTGCGGCGGCTGCTAGCGGCGGCGGAGGCCTCTTTGCCCGCCTCACCGCCACCGTCACCTCCGCCGCCAGTGTCGCTCCGGTGCTCTCGGGTCGCGCTGGTAAGAAGCCTGCGACGGCCGCAGCGACAACCGCCGCAGCGGCCGCAGCAGCCGCAGCAGCAGTTCGGAAACCGCCACCGCCGCCGCCACCACCGCCCCAGCAGCCGCCACCGCATTACATCATAGTTCCACCGCCCCCGCCTCCGCCGCCACGAAAGTCTCCGCCGCCGCCTCCGCCGCCACCGGCTGCAGCGGCCACAGCAGCAGCGATGGAGCCTCCCTCGCTTCCTGCCGCCACCACCACCACCGCAGCATCTGGGGCCCCAGCCTCGGCCTCGGCTCCCGCCTCCGCACACGCGGGTCAGCAGCCGGTTCGTAACGCCTGGTTAAACCCCAATCCCGTTATCAAGCAAGCCACGGGTGTGGCCAAGGGCCCAAAAGGCGCTGCCGCCAACGCGAGGCCGACCACCCCAGCCACCGCCCCCGGCTCCCGCGGGGGCTCCAGCGGCGGCGCACCCGCCGCCTCGTCCAGCCCGCCGCTGCACCATCCGCCGCCGCCACCCCCGCCGCCGCCGCGGGGCTCCCCCGCCGGCATCTCCGCCGGCAGTCTCACGTCCGCCGACCCGCCCATACTGACGCCGCGAAGCTCGGGTGCTGCGACTGCTTCTCCAGTGTTTGCGGATCCGGTGGCATCCCCGCCGCCGCTGAGCGGCGCCGCCGCCGTCGGCGACCCCTTTGGCGCCTTCCTGCCTCCTCCGTTGCCGTTGCACCAGCAGCATCAACCACCGCAGCAGCATGCGTCGCAGTTCCCGATCAGCGGCGGCGTCGGTTCCGAGCATGTAGTGACGGTTGTAGCGGGCAGTAATGCGGGTCTGATGGGTCCGCTGATCGCACACAAGCACGCGTCAGGGGATCTGGATATCTCCTCCGTCGCCGCCAACTACCGTCCGTACAATTGCACCTCCTCCGCAACCGTCACCGCCTTCACCGCTGACCCAGATTCCGAGTCCTTTTCCTTCTTCTCCACCCCGCCGCCGGTCATCTCCGATGCCGGCCCAGATGCCCTTGCCACCGGCACCGCCAACCCCGCCGCCGTTGCCAATTCCGTTGACACAACCGACGCTGCCGTACACACCGCACAGATGCTGTACAACGCCTACGGCGCCAGCGCCTTTGCAACCCTGCCGTCCCTCGTGGGCGACCCAGTCTGGAGCCCCGACGTCCCCACCATGTTTGGCTGTACGGCAGGAGGCCCCGGCGCCCTGGCAGCGACCCGCGGGCCCCGAGTGCCGCCCCCAGGCTTCCCGAGCCATGCTTACGGTGGCGCCTTCGCCACCGGGCCCCTCCCGGGCTCCGCTTGGACGCACCACCACCCGCATCCCGCCTCCGCCGTGCCAACCGCGGCAGCAGCAGCCGCCGCGGATGAAGTCCCCGGCGCCGACTCGTTGCCGCTGCCGACGGACAGCGGCGTGCTGGCGGCACTCGGCTTCGTGGACGACCTTAACACCCCCGGCAACAGCAACAGCACCCCCGGCGACAACAACAGCAGCAGCGGCGGGGGGGAGGACGGCGCGGGGTCCTGTGCCATTTGCTGGTCGGCGCCTCGGCAGGTGGGGTTCCTACATGGCAAGACCAGCCACCTGTGCGTGTGCCGGCGCTGCGCCTCGCAGTTGCGGGAGGGCGTGCACCGCTGCCCCATGTGTCGTCAGCTCATCGAACGCATCATTGACATCTTCTAGGGTGGCAGCGCTTCTGCCCCCCTAGAAGAGGCAGTGCAGGCGGTGCTGGGCTGGCTAGGTGGGTGGCAGCAGCAGGGCGGCAGCGCCTGTGTTGTAAGCTAGTGTGCAGCTGGCGGCGGCGGCGGAGGAGGAGAAGGAGGGCTTGGAAGCAGCGGAGGACATAGGGCTTTGGGCTTTGGGACTGGTGGTGTCGGTTTGTGCGGGGAGAGGGAACAGGCTGAAGTCAGCTGGCGGTGTAGCGTGCAAACAGCGGGAAATGGACTCACGAATGGGGTACGACACATCACGTGTGACTGTGGGATGCCGTACACCCGAAGTGGCGCGTTTTTCCATATGCTGGGGTAAGGCAGAGGAGCTGTTTGGGATCCGCGCAGGGCGAATATAGTGGGCAGGCAGGCAGACATAGCCGCGAAGTGCACGACGAGGGCACGACGAGGCTGGCGGCGGAGTTGGGGGTCGAGGGGCAGCGATTGACAGCGGGTGCGTTTTTGGTCCTGCTTAGGCTAATGGCTGAGGCATTGGTGGTGACGCCGAGAGGCATAAGGCCCTGGAAGGCGCGGGGCGGGGTTGCATGTGGTTTAGGATTTAAGTCGGAAGGCAAGCGGAGTGGCGACATGGGGAGGGGTTGGAAACCGGGGGGGGGTCCCAGGGGTTGCGTCGTTGTCATGGCTTCCCAAGCGGCGGTGCCCGGGACTGAAGCGGCGCTGTAAGATCCGGCCACTTTGGTGGTATGTCTGAAGGTGTGCAGAGCAACGGTGTAACCCCCCCAAGGTTAAGCCAACCCAGAGAGCAGACGTGCTTCCATGCTCACTCTCGCGCACATGCACGTAACATTGTCGTACTCTTCACATGTCGCTGTGTTTGCCCCCGTTGTCCGCTGTTGCTTGTCCCCCCGCTGTGCTAGTGTCGCGGGTGGTGGTGGTGGTGGTGGGTGCGAACCAGCGGCATGGGCATGGGGTGCAGGGATGAGGAGGTGCCGTATGGAGGGGGGAGGGGGCAAACGATTGCATGCGACGTTGCGAGTTGTTAAACGTGGGTGCACTGGTGGCACGGTGGACTGCGGGTGCTGGGCGGGTGCTTCCCGGGCCTTTCCTGATCTTTGATGTCGACCTGCACGTGCCGTGTTCCCGCCTCGGCAACGCATGGTCGGTAGATTCGCTCCAGTAGCGGCAGCAGCTGGCGCCGCCTGGCGTCGCTGAACGCCGAGGCTGGCTAGGGCGGTGGTAATGTACGGCGGTAGTGGTGGTAAGCACTAGAGTGATGGTAAAACCGGGCAAGAGGACTTCAAATGTGACTCATATGTCTCTCATGGCACAGGTACCGTACCCTTATGCAGTTGCCGTTATATAACTATAACTGACGTACGCGCGTTCGCTGCTGTCATCGTTCGCTGGTGAGCGGGCAGGCTTGCATGTTCGCTCCGCGCGCCTGTGTGCGGCTGGTCGCCCGCCGGTAACCGGCAATGTGCTTTGTGTTGGGTTGCCGCTGTCATACGGAGGAGGAGCTGTGTGCGTCTGTTTCCTTATTCGGAGTATTCTGGCGGTTGCGATGCAGGTGCTACGTGGCGCGACACGCCGGGAAGGGGGCTTGGCAGAAGGAAGGACGTGCAAACGTTTGCAGAAACATAGACGCGTGTGTGTGTATTGTTGCAAGTAAAACACAAAACCTCCCACCGGCGTCGTCCCGTGTTTTGAAGCCGCCGGCACATACTCTTCATATTCTTTTCCGATGCTTTCCGCGCTTCTCACAAACGCGTGGGAAGCATCGCTTGTTCGCTACACATGTTCGTAGGCAAGGTTGGGTATCGCAGGTAGATGTCGGTACAGCACGACACTCGGTTATGCTCTGTTGTTGTGAGTCGTGGGTGGACGGAGGGCAAACCGTGACAGGCTGGGTGGGTATTTCATGAGGGGAAGCGGGTATGGAGTGGTGGTGGATTGAGGAATGGTGTTGGATTGCCGTTCCTGTGTATTGATATGTGGGAGAGGAGGGACCCTCATGCACCAAGGCAACCCTCTCTCCTGAACAATTGGTATTCCTTAGCAGCGTTTCCAAACATAGGGAAACCGAGTACACCCTAACTCCTTTGTTACTAATAGCTAACGGATTTGGCTACACGTAAGTATACAAAATGCGGTAGTGTGTGTGGTTTAGCCGGTTGTTGCTTGGGGTGTGTGGGCCGCTTGCGCAAGGCAAGGGACGACCCCAATGTCGCGGGATTGAGTTAGGTTTGAAGGAGTTATGAAGAAGTTATGACAGACAGAAAGGCACGAGGGAAGACAAGGGAGGGATGTGCAAGGACTTGCCGGGCCGTATTGGTTGGGTAGGCAGGTGGTAGTGCGCACGTGTTAGAAATGTGTTCATAAGATCATATATCATGTTGAGCCTTCCCACGAACAAGGGTGACAAAGATGTACGTTCGTTGCTGCATGCCAGCCTAGAAAGGGAGAAAGTCCAGAGGAGGGGCATGACAAGGGAGGGTCTCCTTGTCACCCTGGTTGTCACGCATTCACGCACGTCGACCGACGCCCTGTCTTCGCATCCTGCTGCTGGGGGAACCAGGAATTACGATTGCGTATTCCTCGCATCCAATAATACGACGTGCGTTAGGCTTAGTCAAGCATGCGCAGTATCAACGGCGAACAGCCAACAGCAGCAATCGTCACCATCAGCAGCAGCAGCGCCGCTCATGGTCAGCGTTGACAGAGCGGCTCAACGCACCAACCTCGACTGCATCATACCTAAGAACCTAACAGTGATGCGATGTAATTCCATTCCTTGACAGCCTCGTGCTTTTATCACAGCCGGACAGGCACTGAGGGGTAAAAAAGGGTACTTGGTCTGAAATGCCGTCTGACCCAAGGACCGAAGTCAACCTCTTCCTTGGATGCCCCGGGCCCCCGGCCTCTCCTCATGCCTATCTCCATCACCGCAAAAGCAGCACCGGCTTCTCACCGGAATTCATCTACAGCACGCCGATGTGCGGCCGCATGCGGTCTGTATGCATGCTGCCATCACACGGCGTTGAGGGGTTACGTAACGCTCGAGTCAAGCCAAGGCAATCACGCACCACTTGTTGTATGCGCCGCAGTTCAATCGGCCTTCACCATCAATACAACTACCACGCTACCACCTGTCCTAGGGTATCGAAAGTGACCTGCACACGCTCGCGACAGTTGGCAGCTTTTCTTGACCCACGCTGCTTTCGCTTCTAACACGCTGCTAGCTACCTAGATAGGTACAGGTATTATCGGTTCATGGCTCCACTGTACTACCCTGCTCCAGCCTGCCAACCAGCCTCTGCCTCACAGCACCAATCCCGCAGCGCACACGTGCACAATGGCAGCCGGAGCAGCGGAGGGGGCGGCCGGCACATAGGTCCGTCCGTCGCTGACAGGGAGCAGGAGAGCTGAGAACCCTAGCGGTGGAACTAGGGGGACTTCACCAATAGTTGGGGAGCGGGGGGCGGGGAGCAAACAGAGACCCAGCAACCATAGGAAGTCACACGCACTGGGGGAGCAGGCAGTAATCCAAACAGTTGTGGAAGGGGGAGTAAGGGGGTTAGCATGCATGCCGTCCAGCGTGAGCTAACATAACCTCACACTGGCTGCAGCTGACCAGCAGACGACAAGCACTGGGTTTGTTAGGTGCAACCGCTCAGCTTTGCCCCCGATGGATGTGACATGTAGGGGCTGTGTTGTTGTGGAGGGTGACAGTAGGAGTGTTCACGGCAGCAGTTGCACGTTCCATCGTAGTCCGCTGTTCCCGGTATATATGTGTTTAGGTACGCAGAAGGTCACTTGATACACTCTTTGCCCTGCAACTCATGCCGTACTACTACCGTAATCCCCAGCAGGGACCATGCTGGTGCTGGGCCTGGGTCTGCTGTGCTCTGTAGCCGTGTTGCTACGGCGCTACCCGCCGCGACCCACGGGTCGTTATCCGCCCCATAGTTATCACGAGCGGCCATTACCACTAGCAGTGATGCGGAGTGTTGACGGGGCGGCGGCGCACGGCGAGGCGGGGCAGCAAGCCAACGTTGCCGAGCCAGCCCAAGATCCAAAGTCGCTCGTGTACGGCAGCCACTACCACCACAACTACCGCCGGGGTGGCATACCTCGCATCCTGCACCAGAACTACCTTTCCGGCCTCGCCTCGCTGCAGGAGGACTCCCGGGCTAACCGCACACACTTCAGGTGCGCCTTGTTATTTGGTGCGCCTTACCGGTGCTTGGTGTGCTGCAGCAGTAGGGGGCGATCCTTGTTTGGCGCTGCATTCATGCAGCGGTGTATGCTATTAGGACGAATGCGTGGAGGAGGATAGGTCCGTTACTCGTAGTCTTCCGTAAGCCACCCGCAGACATGCGTTAATGTCTTGTTGAGACCGTTAGCGTGCTGAAAAAGCCTGTTTGAAGGGGCACATCAACACGATCATCTCCTTGCCGCTTTGCTGCCGTACCCGGCTCCGCTTTTCTGCCGTACCCGACTCCGCTTTGCTGCCGTACCCGGCTCCGCTTTTCTGCCGTACCCGCCTCCGCTTTTCTGCCGTACCCGGCTCCGCTTTTCTGCCGTACCCGCCTCCGCTTTGCTGCCGTCCCATGCTGCATCCTGTGGGAACACCGCGCTGCACGGCTTGCACGTGGCTCCCGTGCTGGGGGCTGTCGGTGGTCGCATTCGCATGCATGCATGCATGCCAGCAGGCGAGAATGGCGGCTGTCTTGTCAGGTACACACGAGTGGCTGGCTTGGATTACTTGGCTCCTTTGACCGACCTGAACGGAGGCTTGGATTGCGAGTTTGGATAGCATGCTGGGGTGCCAGGGTGCTGTACCAAATCTATAACGGAGCCACCCGGTAATAAATCTCCTGAACCTGCAGACGCACAATCCAGGCTGGCGCTACATTCTATGGGACCGAGAGGCTGCCGTACAGCTGCTCACCACACGGTGGGCTTGCGTGCGTGCGGTGCGCTATGCGGGTTGTGACTTGCAAAGGGAACTAGCAAGGGGCAGTAGTTACCGGTACATAAGCGCACCTCGCGACGATGGTGATGACAATGAGCCATTGATGTCGCTGCCGCTGCAGCCCCGCTTCTTATGTCTGCCCTGCTGCTGCTGTTGCTGTTGCTGCAGGTACCCCTGGTTCCTGCCCACCTGGCTCAGCTACTCCTCCCTGGTCATGCAGTCTGATGCGCTGCGACCCTTCATACTGCATGCTTATGGTGGGGCGGGTGTGGGCGGGGCCGGATTGCATGCTAGGCTGGATCCTGGATGCTGCATGCTGGGTGCGGCTAGGCGGCTGTTTGGGTACTGACTGTGAGGCACATCTGCTTGTTAAGAAGCCAGTGTATTAAGAAAACTGGCCGCGACTATGCGTGAAATGTAGGCTACATGGCGATTGCGAGGCATTGTTTCCCCCTCCCGCGCCCAGCTGCCATGCTTGCAGTACACCGGAAGGTTCGTCCCCCGTGTCTCTTCCCACCCCCCACCTGCCGCCCCCCACCTGCCGCCCCCCACCTGCCGCCCCCTACCTGCCAGGTGGGGTGTACCTGGACTTGGACACCGAGTGCTACCGGCCGCTGGAGGGCAGCTTGCAAGGTGTGTGGCAGCAGCGCGCCCGGGTTAGGACGTTCAGGGGCTTGCACCGGCAGAGGTGACAACGCATTGCAGGCGCCTGGATTGGCAGGGGCGACAACGCATGATCAACGCAACACGCCAACAGAGAGTAAACCTTCTCCCATAACCCCAGCCGTCGCCCCTCGTGTCTCCTTCCCACATCCCACATTGCGCATTCACCGCCTCCGCCTCCGCCTCCACTCTCCCTCCCCTCGTCACCTTCAACCGCCGGCCCGCCCAATCAACCACCGGTGCACACGATTCACACGGTTCGTTCGCTGTTTCCTCTTTACCCCTCGCTACACCTCTTTACCGTTCGACACCCACACAGGTTACGACCTGGTTCTAATGGCGGAGGAGCCGACATTGATAAACAACGCACAGATGGCCTCCGTCCCGCAGCACCCGCTGTGGCTGGCCGTCATGCGCGCACTGCAGCGCAACGCGGCTGCGGGGCTGAGTGACCCGCTGTACGCAACCGGCCCACGGGTCATCACAGCGGCGTTTCGGGTGGGGTGGGTGGTGGTGTGGCTGCATGGGGTTTACTGGGGTTATCTGGCACAGGGTGCGTCGGGAGGTATGGGTAGCTACGCATATCGTGCCGGGTTAGCGTGCGTGAATGTGCAGGGGGAAGGAACGGACGAGTGGAGGGGGTGAGAGCAAAGGAATGAGGACTTGAGGAAAAGTGTCATACACCCATGTACTTGGTGGCCGATTGCCCGACCCCTCCCTCAGGAGCTCGCAAGCCACCCGAGCGGTCCGCTGCCCGGCCGCTACCAGCTGCCGGCAGCAGCAGCAGCGGCAGCGGCAGCCGCAACCGACTCCTCACCTGCCCCACCACTCTCCTCCACAACCGGCAGCAGCAGCGGCAGCAGCAGCAGCAGCGACAGTAGCACCTCTGCTCGCGTGTACGGCCCTCGCCAGTGGTTCCACCCATGCGCATGGAACGATGAGTCCTGCCACCGAGCCGTCTCGCGACTCACACCGCTGCTGCGGCTAGACCGGGTAGAGTCCCGCCGCCGAGCCGCGGATGCGTTGCACGGCGGTAGCGCGTTTACCTCCGCAGCAGCTGATGATGGCGTCACCTCCGCCCTGCTGACAACCGACAACGAACTCGGCGTCTGCAGCAGCGGACAGGGCCTCGGCGGCAGCAGGGGCGAGGGCGAGGGCGAGGGCGAGGGCGAGGGCGAGGGAGGGGGTAATGTTGTGAAGGCTGCATGGGGCATCACCGATGGTCAAGGGGGCGGCGGTGGCCGCGGTAGCAGTGGCAATGCAGGCGGCGGCGGCGGCGGCAGGGACGCCGCTTTGTTACCTGGTTCAGCAGCGGAGCAGCATGCGCTGCTGCTTTCGGAGTTGGATGTGGTGGGGGTTCACCACTTCTCGGGCAGCTGGTTGGGGTATGACGGCAGCAAAGCAGAGCGCTCCAGAGAGTGGGTGAGCAGGTGTGGGGAAAGGAGGTGTGGGGAAAGGAGGGGTGGGGAAAGGAGGGGCGAGGGAACGCATGCAGGGTAAAGCGAGGAGGCGGGGAGCTTGAAGTATGGGTACGAGACAGAGACAGCGAAGAACATGGCCTCTCAATTTTGACACCGTAACCAACCAACCAAGCAAGCAAGCAAGCAAAGAAGGAGAATGACCAATTCGAAGGGGAGTCGTTCTGCTTCTGATTTGCAAGGGCTAGCTACCTGCGCAAGTGTGCAGACACCCTCACACCACAGACGTGTGCATGCATGCATGCATGGATGCCCAATCAGTCATGCCCAACCAATTATGCACGCAGGTCACGCAGGGTCTCACGCGTTTCTTCAGCGACCCACGGGTCTTCCTTGAGCTGCCTTGCCACGTCAGCAGCAGCAGCCGCGGCTCCTCGCTGCTCCTCCCCAGTCAGGAACAGCAGCCCGGCATGACCACTAACAACCGCGACGGGGCTTTCGGGGGATCGGGTGAGCAGGGCCCGAAGGGCGCGGAGGCAGCAGCCACCGGCAGCGGAGGCTCCCTTCTGTCAGAGGAACATGCGGGAGGTCTGCATGTAGGGGTTGCGACTGCTGAGGAGACGCGAGCGCAGGTGCAGCCAGCGCAGGCGCAGGCAGCACAGGCGCAGGCAGCACAGGCGCAGGCAGCGCAGGCGCAGGCGGAGCCGATGTGGAAGAGTGAGCAGGGCGGGGGAGAAGATGTAGCATGCTTTGCCGCGGGATGGCTGGAGTTGAGACGGCGGCGGCAGGGAGCGAGCCCGCAGCAGGGCGCATCAGTGTCACTAGCATCAAAAGCAGGAACGACGACAACGGAAGCTAAACGGCAGAAGGGGCAGGGTCAGCAGAAGGAGCAGCAGCAGAAGGGGCAGCAGCAAACGGAACGTAGTCGTGCTGATGCATTCGTTAATAGTGATGAGATCAAGAGCAGGGGGCAAAGCCAGGCAAGAGGCAGCTGCTCAGTGCTGTCAGTCCGGCAGCGCAGGCCGCCATCACCGCCGCCGCAGACAACACCTCAACCATCCGTACAGGTGTCATCGCTAATGCAGGCAGTCGACGACTCGTTTTCGGGTATTCCGAATACTCTGGGTTCAGAAACTAACGTGCAGCAGAAGCCTTATTCGCGAGAGGATGACCCCACAGGCTTTGCAGCCGTTTGGGCTTGGTTGCTTGGCATGGGCAAAGGGGGCAGCGGCAGGGCTGCTGCTGGCCTTGATGAAGGCAGCAGCCACGGCATAATCGCCCGGCCAAGGAAGTTTGGTGGTCCGCCTGCGAATACGGCAGCTGCAAACCATCGACATGAAAGGAAGCCGCCGCCGCTGCAGCAAACCAGGGTACCGTTGTACGACAATATGGGGCTCCACCTGGATTTGGATTTGGATCTTGAGTTGGCAATGGCTCGAGTGTTCGGATGTGTCGTACATGTTGCCCTTGTTACTAATGCTAGTGGCAGTGCAGCCGGCGTTGAACACAACGCCTCTGCCACAGAAGTGCCCGCCAGCAACAGCAGAAACTATGCTGCCGTAGGTTTTGGCCTTAAGGACATTACCAAGGTGCGTCGCAACGAAGGGGGCACGGACACGGAGGGCAATGCGGGTCCCGATAGGTCCAGATGGGCTCAGAACGCAAAGCCGCCACTGCGGCAGTTGTTGCCGCTGCCACACATGGTGTGCCGCATGTATACATATGCCCGTACCAATCACTCACCACCCCCATCCCAACACCACATGCAGGCAGCCCGTGCCGAACCCGGACGTGTCGTACTGTACGAAAGCCCCCTCCGTACGCACGGCATCCGTACGGCAGTACCCACTGACCATGATGGACCCTTTGATGACCAGGATGCCGGCTCAGTGGGGCCCCATGCAGCCGCGGGGCCTCGTTCGGGGCCTCATGCAGACGAAGGAACCCGTTCAGGGCCCTATGTGTTGCTCTTGGCGACAGTGAAGGGCGGGAAGGAGAGAGCAGGAGGGCACCAGGAAGAGGGAAGGGAAAAGGTTGCATGGAGGTCTCAGCAGGCAGCCGGAGGAGGAGGTGTTGGAGGACGAGCAGCGGGAAGAGAGGCGACCGGAGGCGCAAGTGACCCGCGGGTCATCCGGGCTGTTGCTGCTGACAACGATGAAGGCAGGACCGATAAAGGAGCAATGGATCCCGCTGCCATTGATTTGTTGGTTGTGGATTGCGGCGGCTGCGCATGGGAAATCGTACACGAACTGTACGACAGCGGATCTCGGATCCTGGATGCTGCACAATCTGTACTGTTCGTGGATCTGCCTCCTCTGACGTGGAGAAAACGAAACGTTCTGTACGAAGCGTACGAGCTGCTGTACCAGATCCATGGATTCGTTGGATATGCGCACCAACTTATGATAAACCGCAAAACAAGAAACACCAATGAGGCTGATGCCGTGACGATCGGTGCGACGGAGGTTAGTCCCGGCCTTGGTGGCTACCGTTCTGCTTCACATGGTGCTGCTGGTGGTGAGATGGCTGGCGGCGGAGGCGGTTCGTACGGAAAGCGTATGGCATCCCCAGGCAGCAGTGGTAGCCCAAAGAATTCAGCTACTGAAGGGGAGATGGAGGGAGGTGGGGGAGCAAGGCAAGGTACCGACACGCGGTTTGGGACCGATGCTGGCGGTACGGTGAGGCGTACGGAGGACTGTTGGGTGCTGCCAGCGGGGGGCTTCAGCATGCTGGGGTTCAGGAAGCAGAAGAGGGCTGTGTTGGATGGGTAGGCGCGATACCGGTATTCTATCATAGCCGGTAATCACAGACGGCAAAGCACTAAGCATGTTCCTTCGCATGTGAGGAACGCCAGCGAATGGAACGGGGGCGCAGTAGAATGGATTTCGTTGCGTAGGCTGCCAGCTGAACTTGTGCTGCCTGCCGGACCTCAATAGTGGGGGCTGTCGGTTGATAGGGCCTTTAAAGGGCTGGTAGGCGAAGGCTGATAACAATGATGGCCCTGCTGTCGCTTTTCGACGACTATGATTAGTACATGTGCGCAGGGTCGCGCATGCAGGGTACACGCGCGCGTGCATGGGGGTTTGATGCGGGCCGTATAGCTGCTTGTAAGGGCTTTACACGACACCCCCTATGTTCCGTCTCCCCAACTGCGAGGGATAAAGAAGGCCTAAACAAATGTGTAGTCCATCTATTCACCATACTGGACATCAGCCGAGTGCAGGCACAAATCAAGCTTTCCATTACGGAAGGATAATGTACGACAGGAGCATGTGGGGCAGCATACCAGAACATTAGCCCCGCTAAGGCATTGCGTTGCAAGTCAAGAAACGTCCAATGGACATTCGTCTCATGGACGCATCTCGTGCCTTTCTATAAATTAACGACAATTAGACAACAGACCAAGACAAGGCAAGCAAACTAATGACGCAAAGCATCTCAGTAAAGGCGAAAGAGAGGAATTGTGACATAGAAGCGTTATTGAAGCGCCCCCCCCCCACGGCTCACTGCGCTCACTGCATGAGTCGGGATTCGGGATTGGGACTGTGTTGTTGCACTTATTTATAATTTCCCCCCCACGGCTCTGGGCGTATTGAAATGTCAAACGTCATAATCCGGTCAAACGTCATAACCCACATCGTCAAATACCTCCCATGCGTATCCAACGTGCTCTGCACAACTCGCCCGAGCAACATCGCCGCATGTATTTGTCAGAGCCCGCACGGCATCATACACAACAGCTTCACAGCTGCAGTCTAGGCAGGCTTTGCAACGCAATCTACACTCCTAGGTAGGGCTGGAAGAGCAAGCAAAGCACACACGGGGAAACCAGTAGTGTCCCACACGGTTCTCACATTAACAGCACCTTCAACAGACGGCACCTTCAACAAGGATCAGACGGCACCTTCGGCATCTCCTTGCAACACGGCATACCCAAACAGTCCCATCACAGAGCCTCGTATACCAGCAATCTGCGCTCATTCGTCGTACTCCGCTCGTACATTAACTTCGGACGTCAGTTCGTTCGGGCGACCCATGGGTCACGTAGGCATGGAGAACACCTGGTAATAGACCGTTGCAACAGAGTAAGATCGCACGCACATGCTTTCTCGTAACCGCGCTTCCTCAGTAACGGGCTTTCGAGAACCATGACGATGACATCCTCAATAACCCCCGTGCCCACCTTGTCGATGCAACCCATTCAAACTCGACACTTCAAGTGACCCAATGCAACTGGCTTCCCAACAAACAACACTGCTCCAGCAAACGGCTACGGTGCATGCTGATGTCTTGTGCCATCTAAATTGCCGCTTTTACGTCGGGCTGTCAGCCTCACAGCTTCAAGCACCACTAACTGCATGTTCCAAACAAGCTAGCACACAGGTAGCATCACAACCACCCCTCCTGCTTAAAGCCTCCTGCTCCTCCCCTTCCCTCATGCTGCTCCTCTCCCTCGTTCCCCTTCCCCACCCGCAGGTGCCACAATCGGCATTAGCAGCAACGGCAGCCCCCCTGATGCTACTGCGACTGCCTCGTCACCATCCTCCACACCCGCTTCCCCCATCCCAGATCCCGCCACAACAACTGCAGTTGACTCCGCAGCAGCTACACCCCTCATGCATCCCCGCTTCTTGCAAGACATCGCAGCCACATTGCGATGACTGAACTGAGAAGGCTCCGAAACCCCAGGCGACGAGAATATGATGGAGGAACGACCACAAGGGAGGCTCAGTGCCCTTGCAATGGTGGTTGCATGTACGGCAGTTGCATAGCTGTCGTACAGAGTTGCTACAGGGGCGGATTCCGACAGTACGACAACGACCTTGGCGCCGGTGGTTGGCGGGTCGTTGAGCTGACAGTTGGGGCCGAATGCCGGTGTAACGCCCGCCGGTAGGGACTGTACGGCAAGTGCTTCCAGCTTCTCGCAATGCCGGCTTGTGAGGGGCTTCGCGAATTCAGAGTCAACGTTCATGACTAATAAACGTTGACCGGTGGTCGCCACCTGCAGCGTCCCGTCTCCATCCGCACTGCCACTACTGCCTGCATTGCCGCCAGTGCTGCTGCTACTATCAATTGGCACGAGCGCTACAGCATCCTCAGCCGCCGCATTCGCAATGCCGAGCGAAGCCGGGCCTGCCGAGCCAACTGTCAACGACCGTCGAGCGACCGGCGGCGGAGAGGCCGTTGAAGCGCACACTAGCGCGGGGACGTTACGTTGGTCAAACACACGGGCTTCCGACAGGCCCGGAGCCGCAAAGATAACCGAAGAGCGGTTGCATGGGAGGTTAAGGACACGGACAATTGTGTCCGCGCGTGTTGACGTGGCGTAGGCGTTATAGAAGGTAAGCGCCTGGGCCGATGTTTCAAGTACGATAACCACCTTTGCACCGGTCGTTGCAGGGTCGTTAAGTTGGCAGGTCGGGCCAGAGGTGATGGTGACGCCAGGCGGTACGGATTGAGATGTGATGACGGTTAGGGCCGTACAATGCGCGTTGGTTAGAGCCTTTGTGAGCAACGAATCGACGCTCATTGCAACGGTGCGGTTGTTGACGGTGCTGTTGCTGGGAGGCGGCGGAGGCAGCGGCGTCGACGGCGCCGGCGGCGGCGGTGGTTGCGACTTCGGAGGAGGTGGTGAGGGAGGAGGAGACGGAGGCGGCGGCCTTGGGCGCGGCGGTGGCGGCGCAGGAGGGGGCGACGGCGGCGGCGGCGGCCGAGGAGGTGGCGGCCGAGGCGAAGGTGGCGGCGGCGGCGGTGGCGGCCGAGGTGGCGGCGGCGGCGGCGACCGAGGCGAAGGAGGTGGCGGCGAGAGCGACGGCGGCGGCGGTGATGCTATTGGCGGCGGCGGCGGCGACTTCTTCCTTGGCGGTGGCCTCGGTGACGGCGGCAAGGGAACCGGCGGAGGCGGAGGCTTCTTCTTTTTCGGCGGCGGCGCATCAGGTACTTCGTTTGGTGGCGCTGCCACAGGTACGGCAGGCGGCAGTGGGCTTGGCGGCCTCCGTACAGGACTCGGCGACGGCGGCAGCGGGAGGGTGCCAGACGCTGGCGACGGAGGCGGCTGTTTATTGGCTTCTAGTGGCGGGGGAGGGCTTTGGGTTGACGGCGACGGCGACGGCGGCGGAGGTGACGGCGTCATCGGCGGTGGGCTGAAAACAGGCGGCGGAGGCGTTGGGGGTGGCGTCGGCGTTGGCGGTGCTGGCGGCGGCCTCTTAACAACAGGTGCGTCGGGATAGTACGGCAGGTTTGGGCCGTCGGGAGGGAACGGCGTCCGCGGTGACGGTGGGGCCGGAGGTGACGGCGGCGTCGGCGGCCGCAGCGGCGGCGGCGGCGAGGGAGCCGGCGGAGGGCTCGGCGGGGTCGGCGGCATGGGTGGACTACGGCATACCAGCTGCGGTACGTTGCCGTACGTGAAGGTCTTAAAACCTGCCGTACCTCCCGTACCGTCATCGTACGACAGCCAAATGACGGAATTGCACGGAATGCTGTACTGTGTGACAAACTCGCCGACTCCAGCCTCATTGAACACGCCAACCAGGGACTTGGCGCCTCGATCCTGGCTGTAAAACATGAGCGCCGCTTCCAGCTTCGTCGAAGACGACAAAGTGCAATTCGGCTCCGACAAGGCTGGCACCAAACCCGCAATCTTGTAACTAAACCGGATGATAAAGTTAACAGCTGAGCAATCGCTAGTCCGGCCGATGGCAGCGGGGTAGAAGAGCTGCCACCTAAAGTAAACGCCGGGCGGCGGCGGCGGCACCGGCGGCGGCGGAGGGGGACTGGGCGGCGGCGGAGGCGGTGGGCTGGGCGGTGCTGGCGACGGCGGCGGCGGCGGCGGAGGCCGTGGCGGCGGTGATGGCGGCGGTCTGGGGTTTGGCGGACTGGGCGGGGTCGGCGGCGGGGGAGGCTGCGGCGCGCAGTACAATTCCGGCCAGCCCGGATCCTGGTTGGGAGCTGCTGAGGTGTCGGGAACCTGTCGTTTGATGCCGTTGCCCTGAACTGTGACGGTTGAGTTGCATGGCAGTTGCAACAGCCCGTCAATCAGGTACTTCAGTTGTACGGATGGCGACGTCGGCATTTGTGGAAAGATGGCGTTGATGAAGGTAACTGCCGGCGAGGGCTGTAGCGAGTACGTTATGAAGATGGTGGAACCGCCGTTGGATGTTCCGACAGCGCAATCCGGGTAGCTGTACGGACCCGGGATCACAAACATCCAGCCGTACAACGTCTGCATGATGTTCGTACACGTGGTGGTTGGATCCAACGACTTGGGCGTTACGATGACAACGTACACCCCAACGGCTGGCGGCCGCGGAGGCTGAGGAGGTGACGGCGGCGATGGCGGCGGCGGCCGCGGCGGGCTGGGTGGTAGTGGCGGCGGCCGCGGCGGAAGCGGCGGCGACGGTGGCGGAGGGCTTGGCGGTGACGGCGGTGGCGACGGCGGGGCGATACAGTTGGGGACAAAGATGGGCGACAATGAGGGCCCAGGACTGCTCGTCGTCCCCAATGTGTAATTGTACGCCGCATTCGCGACACACGTGTCGTCGTACGTTGTAACGTAATCACCGAGTCGTACTTTAACGTCGACGTACAACGGCATGCCGGGCGTGAAGAGGTTCACTGGGTTGCCCGTACAGCCCGGCTGTGCCGTACCTGAGCTGCACAAGCAGGAGCTGCCGGCGTTCGGGCTGGGGTTGAAGGTCGCCCCTTCCCGGGGATCACAGACGTTCCGCAAATCCACGGAAAGCGTGTAACACGAGTAAAACCCCGTGGAGTACAGCACATCTACGTACTGCGGTGACGACAGACTGTTGGCCGAATTAAACAGCGCCACGCTAACCACCCTCGGTTGGTCCGGGCTGGTCGTGAACATGTAGTTGCAGTTGAAGACCAACGTAATGTACAACCGCCCAGAGTAACTGACAAACATGTATGCCGTACCGGCTGACGTATTGGTGGCGGCGGAACCCGCTTGACCGCGAATGTCGTACGATGCAACGCCGCCATTGCCGCTGCAAATGCCGGTTACGGGGAACAGCGTCGCTCCGGTGACATTGCGGAACGCGGCGATGTCTGGTAAGGAGCAGATGGCTGCGTTTCGGTAGTAGTTGTCAGCCGTGGTAACCGCCTGGTGAAAGGGAAGGGGGAAAGAGGGAGAAAGAAGAATGCGCAATTTATTGAGTGTTGGGAAGGAAGGAAGGAAGGAAGGAGGAAGCAAGAGGGGACGGCTGAGGAGAGGTGAGATACAGCGGGCGACATTGCTAACAACTTCCCATATCCATCTTAACATCCTCTGCCTGCCTAAACAGTTAGCAAGGAAATAAGCATTAGCGCTGCACTTAGGGCGTTGCAATATGAAATATTGCTAGTTGCAATGCGGAATGCGGAACCTTGCCTTAGCGGGGCAGTGTCAGACTGTCAGACATGTCCATTTGACCTACCGAGCAGGCCGCACCAGTTGCGCATATGGGGCAAACCCCTCCGGGCTTGTAGGTGTTGCAGTAGTAGGACGGCGGCATCGATGCTGCTAGCGATGCAAATAGCGACAGCAGGAGGGCGACCAGTGTAGGTTGGCAGCGCATGCTGATGTGACACAGCTCGCCCCGCCGTCGCCATGGTTGCCGAACTAACGAGCTATGGTAAGAACCAGCCATTTGCTTCACAGCGGCCAAAACGGCGCAAAATCGCCGCCTGGCCCTGCGAGACTGTTACGCAGCGGTTTGTTCAGGCAGCGCCATCGATGCTGGTGGGAAGCTAGTCGCAGGGCAGTACACGGCGATTTGAAGGCGCGTCGCCTATATGAAAAGCTATCGTATTTATATTATATCCCTGGTATATTAGCAGCTGCCAGCCCAAAAGCGTGCAAGGCTGCAAGGATGTCGTCCGTAAGCGGAGGTGCCAAGCCAAAGCCTACAATGGAATATGGAACAGCGGTGTAAATGTTTCAGATGTGGAATATTGCTCAAAAGGAACGCATTAATACATGTCCAAACACGCCGCAGGCTTGCCGACTGTCAAGAAAGCATAAAGGACCGATACAAGGAAACCCAGTAGTGCATCAAAAGCATCTTTGCTACTTACCTTATAGCGGCTTACTCCAGCCCCTGGGCCTGCGATATTTGGATGGCTACTGGCCAAAGCGGTTACAGCCCGCACCCGTAAATACTAGGGTAACCAGTATGAATGTGATAAACACAAGCGCCTATTGAGTTTTTGATAGAGACAGAAAGCAATTGCAGCGAAATAGCAGGATGGGTTAATTAGTATGGTTTTCCTATGACAGATAGATGAAGCAGCCCGCAGTTGTAGGCAACAATAATCTTTCAGTATCTTTCTCTCTAGCGCATGCATGTATGGATGTGATCTCTACTAGCTACTGGGTGTCCATCTGACGTACTACACCACTGCTCCGGAACCTCGGCGGGTAAAGCGAAGCCAGGATACACTGGGAAGCGTTCCAGCGTCCATTCAATTCATACGGAAGTTGACGGAGGATTATGCGCAGTTGTTTCTTTTGAAATGCATGCGCCAAGCCATAATTGCATCGCGCAACACTCTCTTTATAGGCGTATGATGCCTTTCTTAATGAAATTTTGTTTACAGCTTCTGTAAGTCTAGCTCTTGAATGCCAACACGTACTGCCAACGGTGCTCTACTGCTGCTTTTCTCCTGCAACACAACCTTTAGCAGGCACCTAGATTGCATAGTTTGCAGAACACAAGTGTAGTCGAGGTAACGCAACTGCGATCATGGTACCAGAGCACCCTGGCGCGACAGTCCCGGCCCCCGCCACTGCAGCGGACATTGCAGCGGAGCTGACACAAGCTGTTCATGACTTGAACGCAAGAGGCCTTTTTCAAGCAGCCCAGTGGGCAGCTGAGCAACTGGTCGGGCTGGAGCTGCACCTTGCGCCACCATCCGGTCCGGCATGGCAACAGCATCATTACCAGCCTGGCAGAGAATCCGCATCAAACGGGGCTGCCCCGGCACCTCGTACGGATCCCGACGAGCACCACCCGCAGTACCTGCTAGCGCGTGCGTACTTCCAAGCCAGGGTAGGACTAGAGTCCCTGACACCATGCGTGCGCCATTTTCATATGTGCGGCTGTCAGGCACGCACACGCCCAAACCTGGCCCCCCTCCGCGCCACTCCACACAGCGCAAGAGCTTGCAAGCCGAAGCAGCCCCCTGTACGGCCCCTGCTGTCGGTGTGGCCTGCAGGGCAGTGGTGGCAGTGCCAGAGTGGCGCCTTGGTGCTGTCCCTCCCTCTCCCCTCTCTCCCGCCTCCCTTAACCCTCCCTTCCACTCCCCTCCCCACCGCCTCACTTACCCCTCCTCCGCACGCTCCCCTCCTCTGCTCCCCCACCTCCTCTGCTCCCCCACCTCCTCTGCTCCCCCACCTCCTCCCCCGCTCCCCTCCCCCTCCCCCTCCCCCCACAGGAGTTCCGCCGCGCCGCGCACTGCCTGTCCGGCCTGCCGGGGTCGCTGCCGGCCTTCCTGCGCCTGCACGCCACCTACCTGGCGGGAGAGAAGCGCAGGGAGTGAGTGGCGGGAGAGGGGAGGGGAGGGAGAGGAAGGGTGGAGTGCGATGAGGAGAGGGAGGGAGGGAGGGAGCGCGCGATGACCGATGCCAGAAGAGTGGAGGATGGGGGAGGAAAACATTAACGAGAAGGGCACAGCAACTGGAGGAGGAGGGAGGGAGGGCATCTGGCACCATCCACAGCGTGGCGCTTCACCTCCCTCCCCTTCCTATCCCTCCTGCTTTGCCCCAACATGTGGTTGGGTACCTCTCTGACCCCCCGCCCCTCTCCCGCCCTCCCTCCTCCCACTCCAGGGAGGAGCGTGTGGAGAAGGGTGGACCCCTGGGTCGGGGCTCCGAAACCCTCAACCCGGAACTGGAGGCCCTAGAAACCGCCCTGGAAGCACACCTGGGCCTTACCACCGCCACCACCACCACCACCACCACAACAGGAACCGCTGAGGCAACCGCTGACGTCAGCGGAGGAGGCGGAGGTGGAGGAGGAGGCGGAGGCGGCAATACACAGCCCCCGGATCCCTTCATGCTGTACTTGTACGGTGTCGTACTCACGGGTCGCGGCCGTACTGCTGAGGCCCTGGATGCGCTGGTGGCCTCGTTGCGAGCCTACCCCTGCAACTGGAGCGCGTGGATGGTGGGGTGGGAGGGGTGGGGGGGGTGGGGGGTGGTTAGCGTGGTTGTACGGCAGGTTTGGGAGGGGGTTGGGGTTCGAGGCAGGAGGCACCTCGTTCATGCACCCCATGCAACCCCTTCCGTGTTCCGTCCCTCCTCCCCACCCCTGCAGGCCGTCCAATCCATCTGCACAGGCAGCGCCGGCGCCGCCTCCGCACCTCCCCTGCCGCCCCTCGCCTCCCCCCTCGCCTCCTCCTCCTCCGCCCCGCTTCCCCCTCCCTCCGCCTCCGCCTCCCCCTTCCCCAGCCCCCCTCCCGCGGGCCTGCCGGTTCACTGGTCCCGCGAGTTCTTCCTCGCCTCCGCCGCCCTGGCCGCGCAGCAAAACCAGGAGGCGCTGTCTCGCATGCAGGGACTGGCGCAGGTATGTGTGTGTTGGGGGTGGGGTGGGGTGTTGAACATAAGGAAACTGACGAACGGGGGGGGGGGCAGTATGGGGGCAGTATTAGGGCCTCCACCATTTGGTTTGCATGGGGAGGGGGGTGGTGGAGGAGAAGGGGGCGTGTAGACGTGTTGCAGCGGGGGAAGGGAGGTGGGGGCGGTCGGGCGCGAGCAGAGGAAGACCCTGGAGGGGGTGGCAGGTGGGAAGCAGGGGGAGAGGGCCAGGTTCCTCCAGACTAACCAAGCTTCTCCCCCTCCCCGCTTTTCCCCTCCTGTGGTACCCTACAGCTAGGTATGGGCTTTGCCCCCCGCCCCCCCCCCCCCCCCCCTCCCATCCCCTCCCCCCCCTTTCCCCCCTCCCCCTCCCCTTTTCGGCTTGACTCACGGTTGTTTCCACCAGGGATTGTCAGCAACTTGTATCATTATCACACCACACCAATTCCTTTTTCCCCACCCCCCTGCCAGGTGTTCCGCGGCTCGCTGGCGGTGGAGGCGGGTGTGGCGCAGGCGCACTACAATCTGCAGAACTTCGAGCAGGCGCAGGCGCTGTACGAGGACCTGCTGCACAGGGACCCGTTCAGGCTGGAGGTGGGGGCGGGGGAGGGAGGGAGGGAGGGTGACCCATGGGTCATTGATGAGGGGGCCAAGGCGTTCGGGCGATCCCCACCCCACGCGCCTGCCCTCTCGCACTGTGTTCTTTCATCCATACACAGGCGCGTTCCTTCTCGCGGTCAGTTTTATCTTAACAAACACTCCCCTTCCCCCCTCCCCCTCCCCCCCCAGGGCCGCACACTGCTGCCATCCCTGTCTTCCTGTCACACTCCCTCTCACCTATCTTGTACCCTTACGCCCATTCCTGCCCCCATGCGCCCCATGCCTTGTCGTATTTCGCATCCCGCACCCCTACTAAATTTGACCCTCCCCACTTGTTCTTCCTTCCCATTGCCGCGCCGCCGTGTCCATAGGAACCCCTACCACGCCATATTCGCATGCTTTTTGTTTCCTGTCTCGCCTCCTGACTGCTACTTAACACCTCATTAACGCACCCTGCCTCTCTTTCTTCCCTATTTCTTCCGCATATTGACAACCTCTTCCTCCGGGACCCTGGACACGACCCTGGTGCGGCTCTGTTGGTCTGCGCCTCCAATCCCTCGGACCCTGGCAATCGGCTTTCCCTTTCCAGGTAAGTTTCCCGTAACGCGTCTCGATAACATGTGTGCTCGTATACCCCATATGCGTGTTGCTTTGCTTTTCGTGACCGGCGGCGCGGCGCATGTCTCCCTAGTGTTACCACGCAAGGCGGCTTCTTCCTCAAGTCGTCTCGGTTTACGGTAAGCAACGATTCGGTAAGTAATTTGAGATGCGTGTTATTAGTGCTTCCGAATGCGCTCACTGCATGAGTCGGGATATGGGATTGGGATTTGTTGTTTCACTTTTATATAATTTTTCCCCCCCCAGGGCACCGACACCTACTCCAACATCCTGTTTGTTAAGGAGGCTGCCCCGCAGCTGTCCGTGCTGGCGCACCGTCTGGCAGCCACCGACAAGTACCGCCCGGAGACATGCTGCGTGCTGGGTAACTACTACTCGCTGCAGGTGGGGGGAAATTATATAATAAATGCAAAGAACTAGATTTCCAATCCCAGAGCCCGACGTGTGTGTATGTGCGGAAGCTCCAAAATCCCTGCGGAATGAACCCCACATCTCTCTCCCTCCTTCCCACCTCACCCCCTCCCCCCCTCAAACACTTGTATCATTATCACACCACACATTGGAATTTCTTTTTCCCCCCCTCCCCCCCAAAGGGTGCCCACGAGAAGGCTGTGGAGTACTTTCGCCGTGCGCTGCGTCTGGACCCGCGCTACCTGGCCGCCTGGACCCTCATGGGCCACGAGTACATGGAGGTCAAGAACACTCCCGCGGCAATCGGTGGGGGCGGGGAGGGAGGGGGGGCAGTGTGTGGGGCGCGCGGATGGGAGGACAAGGGAGAGTCGCTGTGAGTTCCACGGCTTCCCCTCCTCACCATGCCCCGTTGCCAGGGGGCCCCCATGCGCCGACGCTGGAGCCTCGTCAGTCCGGAGTCCCCAACACGATCGGGTGCAGCAACCCCTCTCCTGAAGTGTAAGTGCAGCAACCCCTCTGTCAACTCTTTTCACCTCCTGCTGCCTCCCCCCGCCCATGCCCCTCCATATGCTCCCACCCAGACGCCTACCGCCGCGCCCTGGATGTGAGTCCGCTGGACTTCCGAGCCTGGTACGGGCTGGTGAGTGGGGGGGCAGTGGTTGGGGCTTGGGGGGTTGTGTGAGTGCTTTCCCACAACACCGTTCCTAGCTTTCATGCACGGCACCTCGCCCTGCTCCCCACCCTTCGGTTCGCGGTTCTGTGGGGGGACTTCATCTTCCGGTAATCGCACCGTACGTTCCGACTCGCGGCGGTGTTCGTAACACACCTCCGGCTCCCACGGGTGCACCTCCGGTTCCTTATTCCCTCCCTCGTCCTCCCCCCCACCCCACCCACCCACCCACCCACCCACCCCCCAGGGTCAGGCCTACGAGCTGCTCAAGATGCCCTTCTACGCGCTCTACTACTACCGCCGTGCATCGCAGCTGAGGCCCACGGATGCACGCATGTGGTGCGCGCTTGCACAGGTGTGTGTGGGGGGAGAAGAAGAATACCCAATGTGGAGAGGGGGAGGGGGGGTGAGGAAGGTTTGGGGAGGGGAGCGGGTAGGGTAGGGGTTGTGCGAATTACTTTATCTCTCGTCGCTCTCGCTCTCTGGACCCCGCTGGTTGCCCCTATCCTCTGTTCCCGCTCCTACCTCCCCTCCTCTCCCCTCTCCCCGGTCCCCCCACCGACCCGTGGGTCACCCCCCTCCCCCCCAGTGCTACGTGCACGAGCAGGTGGGGCTGCAGGACGCCGCCATCCGGGCCTACCAGAGGGCGGTGGCGCACAACGACCCGGACGGGATTGCCGTACACAAACTGGTGAGAGGGAAAGGGAAAGCGAGCTGTGTCGTACACTATACCGGTATATGTAGCCGTACAAGTTTTTGCCAACGTGACATAACGTTCGGCCCGACTGCCCCTGTCCTCGAATACCGGGGGCTTGCTCCCTACTCAACATGCAGCTTCACACGTAGCTTGTGAAACGGAATACGGTACAGGGGAGAGGGACCTCAGCGCGTGTCACAGGTGTAAATATTGGTGGGACCTGTCTTACTTGCGCTCCATTAACCCTTCCCCCCTCTCCCTCCCCTCCCTCCCCCTCGCCCCCCCAGGCCAAGCTGTACGAGAGCCGCGGCGAGGGCTGTGCGGCGGAGCGGCTCTTCAGACACAGCCTGCAGCGGCTGGAGGTATGGGGGAGGGGAAGAGAGGAGAGCCGCATGAAGCGCTGCGCCAGTGGGTGTGCTTGTGCTTGTGCTTATACCGCTAGTCTTCATCACCCATCCTTTTCGCAGCTCCCCTTCTTCTAAATCTCCCGTTCTCTCTCTCTCTTCCGCCCTCCCCTCCCCCCCCCCAGTCCCAGTCCCCGGCCGCCCTGCAGAGCCAGGACGCCATCGAGGCGCTCAGCTTCCTGGCGGCTCACTGCAAGGTGGGGGTGGGGGTGGGGTTGGGTTGGGGGGGGTTGGGGAGGAGTGGAGTGGCGTGGAGTGGTGTGGATTTGGGTGACTGGCAGCCTACAACAGCAGCCTATTGGACACTTGAGTCCAGCGCGGATGGTGTTCAATGATCCGGTATACGTACCTGACCCCATCATCATCAGCAGCAGCATCCTCGTTCCCTAACTCCCACTGCAACTACACACAACCTCCCCAACCATGCAGCACCCCTCCCATCCCATCCCCATGGTGAAGCCTACATGTCATACAGCTCGTCAGTTGCTTCGTCAGTGTCTCATCATACATTCTTTTATCCCATCCCCTTCATCTGGGTTGCCTGTTCAGGACACGGGTCGCCTGGCTGAGGCGGAGCAGCTGTGCTCCCGACTGATGGACGTGGGCGGACCCGCCAAGGAGAGGGCCAAGGCACTGGCGCGGGAAATACGAGGGCTGCAGCAGTTTGCGACAGGGGGGGCAGCCGCAGGGGGAATGGGGGGAGTGCTGGCAGGCATGGGGTTTGGTAGCGGCGGTGGTGGTGGCGGTGTAACATCTTCGGGAGGAGGAGGAGGAGGAGGAGGAGGGTTGCTGGCTCCGTTTGGCAGTGTGATGATGACGGCTTCCGGGGGTGTGGGCGGGGGTGTTAGCAGCAGTCAGGGGGCGGCAGCAGCTGCCGGCAGGCCGGCAGCAGGCGCAGGGGGCGGGGGTGGCAGTAGCAGGCAGCAGCAGCAGCAGCAGCAGCAGCCAGGCGGCACCGCATCGGGGGGAGCAGCCGCATGGGGTCCTAGGCTGGGGTGGCTGGGGAGGGGTCGGGGCAGCATCTTTGGAGGAGGAGGAGCTGCAGTGCATGGGGGCGGAGGTGTGGGGGAGGGATGGCAAGGAGGGAGCGAGGGGGGTGGAGGCGAGGGGGGCGGAGGCGGTGGCTGGGGTTTGGGCGCTGGGTTGAGTCGTGAGGTATTGGAGCTGGGGTTGGGGCTGGGAGAGGAGGCGGGGGGTGAGGGTGATGAGGAGGGGGGAGGCGGAGGGGGTGGGGAGGGAGGAGGAGGAGGTGAGGAGGTGTTGGGGGGGTGCGACCCGCTAGCGGTGTTGGCGCTCATGCAGCAGCTGCAGGTGGAGCGAGGTACGGCGGTGGCGGCGCTGCGGCGGTGCGGGGGGGACCCCGTGGCGGTGGTGCGGGCGTGCTGGTACCCTGGAGCGGGAGGAGGAGGGGGCGGGGAGGGGGACACGGGGGGGGAGGTGGCATGAGGGGGCAGGTGTGGGGGGAGACGCAGGGGGGGGAGGCAACACAGGGAGCTAGGGGGTGAGAATGGTGAAGGGATTGGGGGAGGGTGGTACCGGTGGTCCCTGCCATGCGAGATGGGTGTACGTGCATGATAGGCGGCAAGATGAGATGCGGGGAGGCAGGCTGTTTGTTCTGTTAGGTTCATCATTGCGTGGGGAGAGTGTGGGTGATTCCCATCGTTTGCAAGGCTGAAGGGGAATGCGAAGGAGAGGAAGACGGGCCATGCTCCAGTAAATAATCGGAAAGTATGTTGGCAGGCGGTTTTGAGGGCCGCAGGGTGAGGGAAAGAGGAAGAAACTAACGCACCATATGACAAGGCTTTACCATGGGTTGCAACATGCCAGCCGGCCCATCCTGAATGGGTTAAGCCAAATGGTAAGGTTACATGCCGGAAAGATGAGACTTGCCGATGTGGGTTATGCATGCAGGCGCCTATTTACCAGTTTCTCAAAACACGGGTGGCTCCCAACCTTGCTAACGGCCTTCATTCCATCCACTGTCAGCGCCAGTGTCAGCGCCTCCCCTCCTCCTTGGCGCGTGTCTGACACCTGCCACACACAGCTTGGCTCGTTGGAATGATAGCAGCACAGCAGGCAGCTTGACAGCGGGCAGCAGCACAGCACAGCAGGCAGCTTGACAGCGGGCAGCAGCACAGCACAGCAGGCAGCTTGACAGCGGGCAGCAGCACAGCACAGCAGGCAGCTTGACAGCGGGCAGCAGCACAGCACAGCAGGCAGCTTGACAGCAGGCAGCAGCACAGCACGGCAGGCAGCTTGACAGCGGGCAGCAGCACAGCACAGCAGGCAGCTTGACAGCAGGCAGCAGCACAGCACAGCAGGCAGCTTGACAGCAGGCAGCAGCACAGCACGGCAGGCAGCTTGACAGCGGGCAGCAGCACAGCACAGCAGGCAGCTTGACAGCAGGCAGCAGCACAGCACAGCAGGCAGCTTGACAGCGGGCAGCAGCACAGCACAGCAGGCAGCTTGACAGCAGGCAGCAGCACAGCACGGCAGGCAGCTTGACAGCGGGCAGCAGCACAGCACAGCAGGCAGCTTGACAGCAGGCAGCAGCACAGCACAGCAGGCAGCTTGACAGCGGGCAGCAGCACAGCACAGCAGGCAGCTTGACAGCAGGCAGCAGCACAGCACGGCAGGCAGCTTGACAGCGGGCAGCAGCACAGCACAGCAGGCAGCTTGACAGCAGGCAGCAGCACAGCACGGCAGGCAGCAGGGTGTGATGCTTGTATGCCAGCAGATCGCCAGCAAGATCTTTGTGCAACACTTACACGGATATCTGACCCCATCACCAGCAGCAGCATATTGGTGGTGCCACCGACTGCATGCTGGTAACACAGATAGTTTTTGCGTTGTACTGCAAACCAGTCATGGGTAAACAATAACCTAATCCGCACCACTACCCCCCTTGCCCTCTCTACTGGTCTAGTCATTACATGGCGGTGAAAGCCATGACAGAAAGAGAGCGTGCGCTGGCCTTGATCATCATGACCAAACAATAAGTAGGGACGACTTTAGTTCTAAGTAGTGTTGAGGTACACACCGGTGGAGTGCATGGTCATGTAAACAGCTCAACACACGTACCGGCCTGTAGTATAACACTGTAATCAAAAGCTCATTCACGAAATCGATAGCTTCACACCTACACACAAGCCTAGTACAGGTACTTCAGCTAAGCAAGGGCTCAGTTCCATGCAACAGGGAATCAATCCCGCCCGCCAGATCACGGCATCATACCTGCTCATCAACCTGGACACACTCCCTGCTGCAGCTTGACTACATACGATACGGTAGAGATAGAGCTTGCTTGCACTGCTGCTGCCTAAGCCAGCAGCTACAACCCTTGCTAGCTATCCTAGCACTGTCCCTTGTCTTCCTGCTCTGCCTTGCATACTGCCACCTTCGCTCTCACCTAGCTCCTTATTCCTGGCCCTGCACCTCCTCCTCCTTTCCCAGCCCGCCCTGCTTCCCCTCCTGCACCCCCGCCTCCCCCCCAAGCGCCAATGCCAGCGGAGGCAGCAAGAGCGGCAACACGGGCAGCGCACTCAGAGGCAGCAGCATGCCATCGAATGCCGGGACCGGGCGGCGCTGCAGCGGGGTGACCCATGGGTCAATGCCGGCGGGCACTCGGGGGTACCGCTGACTGAAGTGGGTGAGCACGGTGCTGCGGGAGGTGTTGCGGGGTGGGAGGTGGCGGTGCGGAGGTGGCGGTGCGGAGGAGGAAGCGGGTCAGAGAGGAGGAAAGGAAGAACGTGGGAGATTGAGGCCGTGGCCGGACGGTTTGACAAGTAAACACCCTGAACAATGCCGGACAACCCCATCATACCCCGCATCCCTCCTCCTCCCCTTCCTCATTCCTCACCGGTATGCCCCCATGGTCGCCGCCACCTCCGCCGCCTCCGCGGATGTGGAGTGCCGCTTGCTGCGCGCCTGGGGCAGCAGGCAGGGCTCGAAGGTGGCCTCATGCACCAGCAGGGTGGCGCCGCGGCCCGCGGAGATGAGCGCGGGGCAGGGGCGCGTGTCGCCTGGGGGGCAGACGTACGGCGGTAGACGTCAAGTGCATGGGGAGCGATTGCATGGGGAGCGATTGCATGGGGAGCGAGTGCATGGGGAGCGAGTGCACGGGGAGTGCATGGGGGTTACCGGTATTCTCAGCGGGCTGGGGGTTGGCACCGGTAGTGCAGCTGCGTTAAGAAGTAGGCCTGTCCCAACCCAATCAACAGTTCTCGGAGCAGGGGAGCAAGGGAAGCACACGCATGCAACGTTACTGGCCGCGTCAACTGCTGGCGTCAACGTCCTAGTGTCGACTACTCTGCACCTCTCATTGCTCCTCCTCCTCCTCCTCCTCCCTCCGCCACCCCGCTCCCACCCACCCACTTCCCCCACTCCCCCTTCGCCCTCCCTCACCCGAATACACCTCCTCCTCCCACCCACCCACTCTACCCCCACTCCCCCCCCACGCCTCCCTCACCCGAATACACCAGCTTCCACCCCGCCTCATGCTCCAGCACCAGCCCCCACGCATCCCGGCAGTGGTGCACACCCACCGACTGCCAACCAACCAACCCCAACGAACCGCACACCGCAGCGGCGGCTGCACGGTCTGCTGCTGCTGCTGGTGCGGCTGCCCGGGTGTTCGAGGGGTGTTGCGGTCGTGGTGGCTGACGTTGCTGGTAGCGCGGTTGTTGCTGCTGCGATTGCTGCTGATCTTGCCAGCAAGGCCAGGGCTGCTGCTGCTGCTGCTGCGCATGAGGAGAGGCAGGAGGAGGAACCGCTGCAGCTGCCCGCATGAGTGCCTTCCGCTGTTGGTGGTACCTCAGCCGTGCGGAGGCACTGGGCTGATGCGGGCGCTGCGAGGGGGCAGGCGGTGGCCCGGGGCGATCGGCAGGAGGCCAGGAGGAGGGAGACTGCTGGGTTGCTGCTGCTGCCGGTTGCGGCCACTGAGACGTGTTGCCGCCAAGTAGCAGGGGAGGACAGCAAGCACAGCTCGGAACGGCGGGGGTCGACGCCGCTGCCACCGCCGCCGTGGTTGCATTTGTCGCCGCAACAGCAGCTGTTGGTTGGGGTGCCGCTTGCACATATGCACCGCTGCTGCTGCTTCCCCCACTGCCGCCGCCCCGACCCACAAACTCCGCGCAGTGTAGGAAGGTGAAGCGCCAGGTGGGGTGCAAGGGGGCCACCCGGGCCAGCCAGTCAGCCACCTCCTGCGGCCCCACCACCAGCAGCGGTGGTGGCTGCTGCGGCTGCGGCGAATGCACATGCACATCGCCATCTCTGCCAGCCGCCGCCCCTCCTGCCGCTGCTGTTGTCCGCATCCTGCCCGCTGCGGCCTGCTGCTGCTGCTGGTGCCTGGCTCGTGCCTCCAGCAGCGCCGGCAGCCCCAGGATGTGGTCCGGGTGCTTGTGGGAGAGCCAGACCAGGGAGAGGGAGGCGGCCTGGAGGGGGAGGGATGGGCAGAGGGGGTAACCATGTAGGGCAGGGCTATAGGCAGGCGGGGCATTGTGGGCCCCCTGAAGAAACACAGCGACAACCCTTACAGCACCGCCCTGTCCGCCCTGCATGGCTTGCAGACACGACCCCTTCCATCCTTCAAGTCTTTTCCCTCCCACTTTCCTTCAGCTACGGGTATCATCCTTGACCACCTCTTCCTTGCCAATTACCCTCACCCAACCAACACCTACCTCCGCCGCCGCTGCTTGCGGCCCCAGCCAGCGCACCATGGCCCCAAAGGTGCCCTCCCCCGCGTCAATGAGCAGCGACCCGCGGGTCGGACCCACGCCCCGCACCAGCACCGCACTCGCCCCGCGGTACTTTGACGGCTCGGCGCTGCCAGTGCCGAGAAAGAGGAGCGACACATCTCCCGCGGGACACGAGGGAACAGGTTGTGGAGCGGTTTGGGGAGAGGCCGAGGCCAAGGGAGATGAGGGTGAAGAGGGTGGTACGACAGGAGAAGAAGAGTCGGGAGATGTTCGTACGGGACGAAGGCACGCTGGCGGCGGCGGTTCGAGTTCGTTGCTGCCTCCGTTGGGCCTTGCATTCGCTGCATTGCCAGCTGTGGCAACGGCAACGGCGGCGGCGGCGCTGTCGTACTGTTGTAGTTCGGCAAGGTAGGTATCAACAGCGGCGGCGGCCGCCGCCGGCAGTTGTGGAGGACTTCCGTTGCCCGGCTCAACACCAGTTCCAAGAGCAGCAGTGGGAAGGGTGGATGGGCAGGATGGGGGCGAGGGCTCGGGCGCAGAGGCCTCTGCCGCTGCCCCTGCTCCTGGTGCCGCAGTAGAGGCTGTAGCAGCTGCTGCCGTACAGTCCACCATTTCACCGGCTTGCGTGGAAGGTTTTAGCTTGGCTTTCTTCAAGCTCTGTCGTACCCGTCCTGCCACGTCCCTGTTACCCGCCTCTTGCTTCCCCCGCTCTTCTCCGCCGTCCTCCTCCTCCCCAGCCGCATCAGCGGAGGCAGCAGCGGAGGCAGCAGCAGCTGGTGGGGTTGCTGCTACTGCAGGTTCCCCTGGTGCGACCTGCTCCCCAGTGCTCTTTGGCCGAGATTCCCGCAACCGCTGCCGTACCTGTTGAGCTACATCCCTATTACTAATAAACAGATCGTCGGCTGCAGCAGCAACAACAACAGCAGGAACAGCGGTATCATTCTCTGCCTCAGCCGCTCCTTCGCATTCCTCTGCCCCTGCCACTGCTACTGCCGCTGCACCAGCAGCAGCTGCTGTAGCTGTAGTGGCTGCGGGCTCTTCCCGCGTCATGCTACCCGGATGGAGCGCCGAACGAAGCCTGGCGGCTACATTTCGGTTACCGTTGTCGGTTGTGATCGGTGCCCTGGTGCCGTACTGGGTTGAGTGGAGCCCCGCACCCAGCCCATCCCAACGCGGGTGCTGCTGCTGCTGTTGCCACGGGTAGTCTTGCGGTTGGTACGGCGGCGGCGGTTGATAGTGGGGGTGTGGTGTGTACGACACGTGATGCGGATCCGGCGGCGGCGGTTGGTAAGGAGGAGGCTGTTGATAGGCCTGCGGCTGGGTCTGGGGCTGCGGTTGGTACGGCACTCCAGCGTCATGATAGCCTCGACCGTCGTACAAGCTTCCCTCAGGGACTCCGCCGTATCCGCCGTACCAACTCCCGCCGCCATTCCCGTACGGTGGATCGCCGTAACCGTTAGTAGCCCTTAATGAGGTCGTTGGCGACGGTTGGTGGGCATACAACGGCCGCATGAGGCGTCCCGCACGCTCCACTGGACCGTACGGCGCTGCTGCCGCAGCCAACTCCGCAGCCGCCAGGGCGTCGGCATCTCCGCCGCTTCCTTCGCCTCCGCCGTTACCCCAGTAGACCTGGTTACCGGCAGCTGCATTGCGGTTCCAGCCCTGTTGCGGTTCCAGCCCTGCATGGGATCTCATGGGTGGTTGCCCCTCACCGGGCCATGCTGGTGCCAGCGGCTGCTGCTGCTGCGGGTGCTGCTGCGGGTGCTGCTGCAGCCAGCCCTGTTGTGGCTGCTGGTGCTGTTGTGGCTGCTGGTGCTGGGGTGGTGGTAGCGACGGAGGAGCGCGGTAAAGGGGCGGCTCCTGCAGCCGGCGAGTGGGCGGCGGCTGCAGCAGTCGCTCGGCCGCCGAGCTGCGAGTGAGCTGCGGGCAGTGGCGACGTAACGCCTGCAGGGAGAGAGGGGGCAAGGAGGAGAAGGAATGAAAAGGGCGTGTTAGGTGTAAGGGTGCGTGGAGGGCAAGCCTGGTAAACATCAGCCCCCAGCAACTCTCCCCCCAAGCAACTTTGCCCCCAGCAGCGGCAGTGGCCCCGACCACCCACCTGCAGCATCTGAGGCAACCCCAGGCTCCGTCGCTCCTCCAACAAGGTCCTCTGCAGGTCGACAACTGATACCAGGGCGCCCTTCGAAACAGCGCCCTCCTCGCCATCCGCTAGGCTACCTCCTTTCTCGCCGCCGCCACCGCCGCCGCCACCGCCGGCAGTAGTACCACCACCACCACTGGCATGGTTCCCGACTTGCCAGACCGACTGCGACGGCGGTCGTTGGCCGCACGCTGGGGCCTCTGGGCCGCCGCCGCTACCGCCGCCGGAATAGCTGATTGTGGAGGTGAGAGTCGACATCAGGGAAGCGTGCATGTGTTTACGCAGAAGGCTGCTGCCTCCTCCGCTGCCTCCTCCGCCACCGCCACCAGCGCCGGTTGTCATCATCACCGCCGTCTCGTTAACTGTCTGACCCATGGGTCTGCTGCTGCCGTTACCGCTTCCACTGCCGCTGCAGCCGTTAGTGCTGCTTTCAACCTCCACGGGGCCAACTGCGGAAGAAGATGGAGGAGGTGCGGCAGCCGCCTCAATCAACGCCGCAAGCTCTTCATCGCGCAAATAGAAACCACCACCACCACCACCGCTGGCTGCTGCTGCCACCCGCTTACCATCGCCGTTGCCCTGAACCGTGTGCTGGCGGTGGCGGAGGCGGCAGCGGAGGCCGTACGGCAGCGGGAAGATGGCGGGCGCTACGGCGTTTAGTCGTGCAGTCACCCGGTAGGACCCCAGGTGGCCTAGTCCTGACAGATATTCCGAATCTGCGTTGGGAGCTGAAGGCGCGGCTGCTGTTGGGTGCTGCTGCTGCTGCCCCTGCCGAGGCTGCTGAGGTTGCTGCTGCTTCGGGCCGTCTTCAGCAGCCTTCTCCGCTGGCCCCGCGTTTGAATTAGCCGCTGCTACTTCTCCTTGCATGACACCAGCAGTTACGGGCGCAGCAGCCGTCCCTACAGCTGCTGCCGCTTCCGCAGGCGCTTCCGAGCCCCCAGCTACGGTTGCTGCTGCGGCGGCGGCGGCAACAGCGGCAGCCTCCTGTCGCCGGTCTTCCTCAGGAAGGGAAGAGGGAGCAGGAGGAGCAGGGGAGGATTCCGGAATCCCTCCATCCTCCTCCATGGACGCCGCTGCCGGCTCGCCTTCCGACCCAAACGCGCCAGCACCCTCCTCCACCGCCTCCTCCTCAACCTCTACCTTCCCCTCTGCCTCCACTTCCTCCGTCTCCACCATCGTACCAGCAACACCCTCCTCCGCACCGCCCGCATCGCATTTGCCCCCGCTACCACCGCCGCTCTTCCTCCCCTTGCCGCCGCCAGGAAGATCCCCCCCAGTCCCCTGGCCCCGCCACCACCACACATGCGGACCGGCCAGCCGCCGTACTACACCACGGTACGACGGCCGCCGTACCACCGCTGCTGACGTCACCATGTGTGCAACCGCCAGCAACAGCCCCGGCGGCGCCGATTGCAACAGCTGTACGGCCGGATGTACGGCGAGTGCGTCTGCGGCGGCGGCGTCCGCACAACTGGGCACCAGAAGGGCCTGATGCGTGGCTTTGCAGTACAACAGGTAACCCAGCGGCGACTCAACGCCAGGACGAGCTGCTGTCGTACTTGCCGTCATACGGGTTGGGGCCGCTGTTGCAGCAGCGGCCGCTGCCTTCTTCACTCCCAAGCTTGATTGCTTGGACCGCTGCTGTTGGTGCTGCTGTTGGTATTGCTGCTGTTGCGACGACGCCCACACCGGCGCTGTCGGCTTCACCCGCTGCTGCCCCTGCCCCTGCTGCTGCTCCCCTCCCGCCCGCCCCTGCCCCTCCACCGGGTGAGGTGCAGCGCTCCGCAGCTGAGCCAGCACACGAGCTCGCAGCGCCGCATCTACTTTGGGTGCACCTCCAGCAGCTGCTGGAGTTGCCGCCGACAACAGCTGCGGGGCTGGCAGCATGCTACCGACCCCGCCGGCGGGCTTCCCGCGACCGCCCAGCGACCGCTTGCCCCTGCCATGGCCGCCTGGTGTCTTGCCACCGCCGCCGGTGCCGGTGCTGCTGGCGTTTGCGCCCGCTGCCGTCATGAAGAGCCGATCGAGCTCGGAGAAGATATCGGCCTGGGTTGTTGCCTGGCGGGCAGGGGCAGCAGCGCCGCCCTTGGCTGCTGCGGCCTTGGCTGCTGCGGGCCGCGAGGGAAGTCCGGGAGGGGGATGCGTGCGACGCTTCGCTGCGGGTTTCGGGGCCCCCTGCTGTTCCGCACCCCCGCTGCTGGCATCGTCGCTCTCACTGCTGCTCTCACTGCTACTGCTGGACTCTTCCGAGCTGCTACTATTGCTGCTGCTGTCTCCACTGCTGCTGCTGCTCGCCGTACCAACAGCCGCATTCTGTACGACATCACCGCCCCCATCCTCAGTACTGCCGTCAGCGTCATCAGATGTCGTACAAGATCCAGATTCCCAGGCGTCGGCACCTGACGAGCTGCTACTGCTGCTGCCGCTGTCAGTATCCTGAGCGCCCTCCCCACCGCTGCTGCCGTCACCATCGCCCTTCCCTGCCGCCGCTGACGTCACCGCACCGCCCTCACCCCCAGCGGCACCCGCAGCTGCTGTGGACTTGGCAGGCTTGCCGCTGCGGCGGCGACGACCACCGCTGCCACCAGGGGGGCCGCCACCAGCAGCGGCGGCAGCAGCAGGGTGAGGAGCCGCAGCCCCAGGGGCTAGGCCGCGGGCCGTCACGGCCGCCGCCGCCGCTGCCGTCGTACGACGAATGGATTTCAGAATCTCCGCCAGGGGCCCTCCGTCGCCTCCGTCGGCCGCCTCTGCTGTGTCGCCCGCCTGCGCACCGCCTAGCAGCCTAAGCCCCTCTCGGGCGCCTCCGGCAGCTGTGGAACGCTTCTGTCGCTTCCTGCTCTTACCGCTGACCTTGGCGCTGCTCGGCGGACCTCCGCCCTCCTCCTCCTCCTCAGTACTGTCGTACAGCTCGCCAACAGGGCAGCTGCCCGCAGCAGCTCCTGCTCCTGCTTCTTTAGCCGCCGCCGTCTCGCCCTTCGCAGCAACCCTCCGGCGTTGGCGTCGCCGCCGCCGACCATTACCATCTGGACTGCTCATCCTCGCCTCCGCTGCTGCTGCCGATGCTGCTTGCTTGCCGCTGCCTCCGCCAGCGGCAGCCCCCGCCGCCGCCGCTGGCGTCGTCGCCTCCGCCAGCCACGTTGGCACCTCCCACAGCAAGCAGCTCCGCCACAGCGGCCGTACTTCCAACCACTCGTCGTCGTACACACAACCCTGCTGCGCCGCCGTCAGCGTGGTGAGCTCCAGGGTGGGGTGGCTCCAGCGGACAAAGTGCGACAAGCCGTCCACCACGTCACGTAAGCCTGTGTGCCGTACACAGCAGTGTTACTGCCTCTTCAGAATTCTGTAGCATTTCATGCCAAAGTTTCGTGCCACTTCCGTTTCCCAATCCAATCGGCCTTAAAGTTCCGCTACGCGCCACCGGCTTTCCTTGCTGTGCCCCTTTGCCCCCCATTGCAGCTGCGCCCACCTGCCGGCCCCACCACCCGCAGACTGGAGTGTCCGTCCTGCCGCAGCCGCAGCATCAGCCCAGCCAGGCCGCCCTGAGCCATCTGCGACAGGTCTGTCAGCAGCAGCGCCCGCAGACCTGGGCCCGGGCGGCATTTGTGCTCCAGAACCAGCCGTGAGAAACCTTCGGGCGCGTTAAGGAGGTACTGTAGGGCGGTTGAGGGTTAGGGTTGGCGCATTGCAGGAAGGGATGAGGAGGAGGAGCAATCGTAGGTAGGGGCGGCAGAGGCAACAGGCTGGTGGGGCTAAGGCTTCACATGGACAAATGATGGCTGTTGCAGGATGTGTGAACAACGACACTACAGCAACCGCCACTTTTATATTGAAGCAATTGATAACGCATGAGACGTGTAACGTTGTGCAGGAACGGACTGCGCGCCTGCTCAGCAAACAATTTACCATCGCCGCCGGATGTTTGTAAGCCAATGGCCAAAATGCTGTTCCGATAATCGCCTTCTGGTCTGGACACTTACGCAAACCCTTACCTGAACAGGTGTAGTATGCGGCTTCCCTCGCCGAATTGTAAGCAACAACGCGGGCCCAATTCCATCGTTAGGCGCCGCCAACCACTTGACTTCCACAGATGGAGGGCGCTCCATCTATAAGTTTAGCAGACAGTCATCATCAATGGAAATGCGGTGTATCACGAATGCGGTGTTTAATGAGTTTGAAGGGTGTTCTACCAATGCTTCCTAGTAATGATTTGCTATTAGACAAAAGAAGCAAACTAAAACGTGCTTGAGCGAGTTCGTAGGGGGTCCGATGATTGCAGTGACGAAGGTATAGGACGAGCATCGTACAGACGAACCAGGGAAAATCTTGTTCAACTGGCAGCATTGACTAGGTCGGTTAGCCGTTCGCACACATGTGTTAGTCGCGTTCAGATAGTACCCTTTCAGAGTTACGTTGGTCTTCTGACGCTCGTTTGTGGGAAAGCCTGGTGGACAGCCCTACCCAGCAGCCCAGACTAATTTCTTGTGCTTGATATGCTGGGACTTGCACCGTGTGCACCAACACAAAAGCAGCTTCTGACTCCTAGGCTCTCGAACGCTCGGAAACTCTAACTGTCGGCACCCCCCATAATGCCGTCCTCGCTTATGGCGGGCAGCTCTGCCTGCGCGCTTAGCATGCAATTGGCTCCTAATCAGTTGCGTTTAGCACTCCACAGGCGTGGAAGGGGTAAGCTTGTTGCAAATAGGCTTATCCCGGTTCGGTACGCTCTGGTTCACAAACGCTATCCGCTGCGTCGCGCAGGGCCTCAATCGCCCCCCTGCTCTGTTGTCGCTTCGGCACAAACCACCGTATCTGCAAATGGTAAACGGACGTCAACGCGACCGCTTCCTCGGACTCAAGAGGTCCGTTGGCTTCTCCAACAGCTTGTCGTGCCCCTCCGCGCAGGCCATATACTGACAAAATTTCATTCTTTATGCTAACAGGAATTACAGCTAGCTGCGGGCATTCTCGGAACTGTGCGGAAAAGCATCAAGGGCTCGACGACGATGCCATGCGACTTGCTCTTGGTTACCAGTTGGGAAGAAAGCTCCATCGAGCAAACGATAGAAGATGAAACATGCATAGAAGATTGGATTCAAGGTGCCGGCGTCTCTCCAACCTCAATATCGCAGGGCTTTGCAACGGTGAGTTCCAAGAATTCAACCACAAAAGCGCCGCTACCTCGGCAGCCGTAGCCCTACCATTCCCAACCCGTTTTCCTTCCCTTTCCTTTCCCTTCCTTTCCTTTTCCATTTCCCCAGTCCAAGGGCCCGCTCAAGCCCACCATGCAAGACTACTTTGTCGCCGTGTCAGATTCCCTGGGGGCGCTCTGGGCTCTCAGCCCCGCCACCTGGCGCACCTCCTCCGCCTCCTCCACCTCCTCCGTTCACTCACACCCACATCGTCAGCACCATCATCATCCTCACCTCCCCCACCACGCCAGCTCCGCGCCCTTCTGCCTTACGGCGGTGTTTGACGGCCACGGCGCGGGCGACCATGCGGCTCGCAGCGCGCAGGAGGGCGTGTTGGCGGCGGTGGCGGGTGATGGGGAGCTGCTGGACTACCTGGGTGGGTTTGGGGGGTCAAAGACCATACCAGACCATAGGAGACCACAAGTTAGGGCAAAGCAATGGGGAGATGGGGGGGGAGATGGGTGGAGGTATAGAATACCCAATGTGGAGAAGGGTGGAAGGAAGGAAGGAGGGGAGAGGGGTTTAGAGAAGGAGGCGGGGTTCTATTGCGGGAATGGGTGCTGGCTACAGATGGATTGCCGCAGGGGTCTGAAGCTTTCCTCCCTTCCCGTCTGGTTTGCACTCTCATTCACTTTCCCCGCCTCCTCCTCCCCCCCTCCACCTCCTCCTCCCCCCCGCAGCTGACAGCCTGCAGCAGCCCGGTGTGAGTCCCGGCCCGCTGGCTGCTGTCACCGCCGCCCTGCGCCGCACCTTCCGTGACATGGACGAGAGGATTTGCGCGGAGGCGGAGGCGCGGAAGCTGCCGGTAAGAATGGGGGGGAGGAGGGGGCAGGCAGGGAGGCAGAGATGAGGGAAAGTAGGGCGGCATGCCGTATCATACCATATAAGTTCAGCTGCATAGACCTCCTATGGAGATATAAAAAGTGAGGAGGAGCAGGAGGACAGGCCCCTACCCTCACTCATATGACCCGCCCCTCCCTCCCTCCCCTCCCCCCCTCTCGCTCTTCCCACCCCGCCCCTCCCTCCCCGCCCCCAACCCCCACCCCCCCCCCCCAGCACGACGGCACCACTGCGCTGCTCAGCCTCCAAGTGGGCCCCAAGCTCTTCACAGCCAACGCGGGCGACTGCCGCGCGCTGCTGTGCCGCGACGGCGCCGCGACGCGACTCAGTCGCGACCACAGCCCCGACCTGCCGACCGAGCGGCGGCGCATTGAGGCGGCGAGCGGGCGAGTGGCGTGCGTGCGGGGCACGTGGCGGGTGGTGCTGCCGGTGGGGGACGGGAGCAGCGCCAAGGTGTGCGCGGTGTCAAGGTAGGTGGGGGGGATGGGGATGGGGGGGTGGGGGATGATGGGGCAGTGAAGAGGGGTTTGTGGGGCCTGCGGGGTGTGCATGGCTGCGGTAGCTGTTTCGTTGGTCTTTCACCTACATCGGCCTTACCACACATCTGCCGCGCCACCCGCCCCGCAGTCCCTCTCACTCTCGCGCACCACACCGCCCTGCCACTTCCACTCACACGCCCCCCCACACACGCACCCTGCCGCCTCCTACCCCCATTGTTTTGCCCTAACCTGTGGTCTCCTATGGTTTGGTCTTTGACCCCGCACACGCACACAGGGGTTTCGGTGACCGGGACTTCAAGTCCCCCGCGCGCCTCATCTCCCCCGACCCGGAGGTGTCAGCCGTGCAGCTGGCGCCCCGCCGGGACACCTTCCTGCTGCACGCCAGCGACGGGCTGTGGTGCTGCGTGGGCGACCAGGAGGCGGTGGAGCGGGTGCAGCGGGTGGTGGACAAGGTGGGGGGGAGGGGTGCAACGGGTGGTGGAAAAGGTGGGGGGGGGAGGGGTGCAGCGGGTGGTGGAAAAGGTGGGGGGGGAGGGGGGAAATGCGGGTGGTGGAAACGGTGGGGCGGGGGCGGGAGGGGGGGGGGACATGGGCATGGCGGGGCCTGGTGCGCATGCAGCGCCACTCGGGTGGTCATCATGCGTTCCTGTCCACGTCAGGGGGCTCCGCCCTTTTCCAGCTTTGAGGAAGCTGAACCCCGTTGTCCTCCCGCCGCCGCAGTTCTCCGTCATGACCTCGCTCGCCACCCGCAAGCAGCACGCGGCTGCCGCCAAGGCCGCCGCGCAGGAGCTGGTGCAGCTGGCTCGCGACCGGGGCAGCTTGGACGACATCACAGTCATTGTCACGCTGTTCGACTGGGAGTGAGCTGGGAGGGGAGGGAGGAGGAGAGGGGGGGGGAGGAGGGCTGGGGGTGAGAGGAGGTGGAAAGAGATGATATTGGAGCATGGGGGGGAGAGCAGGGGTGCGGAGGTGGGCTGGAAAGGGGGGTGTACGGTACGGCAGTGGTTGTACGGCAGGCGTGTGGATAGTTCACAGCAGGCTGGGCTTTTGGTGTTAGGAGTAGCAGGAGCAGCTTGGCATGTGTTGCGCCAAGAAGGGACTATGGTGGGCGGCTTTGCATGTCACTGGGTGACCCGTGGGTCGCAGGGGTGGAGCGCTGAAAGCAGTTGTGCCGGCGGGTTCTGTGTTCACGCATGCACGGCATGCCGGTCAGCTGGTGGTCTGTGCCCTCGGCGCTACCATGTACCGGAGCTTGCGAGGGGAGGAGGGAGGTTGAGGGGAGGACGTCGGGGGCTTGCAAGGGAGGGTATAGTTGCTGCTCGACTGGCGGAGGCATTCTCTGTTGTTGTTGTTCGGCAAGTGGTCACTATCATCGGTCACTGACGCCGCCGGTCTGTCGTCGTTGTCTTGCCTTGGTGTTGACGTAATGTCACACTGGATGGAAGCGCATTGCATGTTGTTGCATGCTACATTGCTGTTGCAGTTGTTGGTTTTCACCGCACATTTGATGCTGGCCTGACCCCCTGCGTTTCAGAAGAGCCAGTCCTTAGTTGCTCTGCCTGCCTGCATCCTAGGGACCCGCATGCTAGGCACTTATGTTGTTGTTTTGGACTCTTGAGCTAGGTCAAGATACAAACCTCTTCCTAGCGGCAGCATTTGCCTGGGCTGGGTGGGAGATGCTGTGAGCGTGGAGAGATTGTTAAGAGGGCGGTTGGTACGGCCCGTGTCATGTCGGCACCAGGACGTGGAGGACTTGGTACGTCGGTCGGTGGTCCTACTTTGGTGCCTGTGTGTTGTGCAGTAGTGTGCTGCTGCTGCTCCTGTTGCCCTCCCCGGTCTGCACAGCTTCTTCGGGTGTCGTAGGGTGGCTTACTCTTCAAACGGGACACGTGTCCTTTTTTGTGAATAAGAGCGATGGTGTGGTGCAAATGAAGCAGCAGGTACCTTTTGGTAGGTACGTAGGTACGATTTCGTTTTTGAATATATAACCGTATACCTATACGATATGCGCAGTCGCAGCGCAGGCAGTAAATCCCTGTGTTTCCCTGCCCTGTACCCCGGGGTAACGCTACCCGCTGCCCCCGATTGGTGAATAAGGGTCGTTGCGAGGGGCCGGCCTAGCTGGGAAGGGATGGAGGGAGCGGAGTATGGGGATGCCTGTGGTTTTTTTTTCCGTGAGGGCGCTTGGGCTGTGTCGTTTTTGCTGTATTGCGGTTTTGACCGGCCACACCCTTCACACACTGGCGCAGAATACAAGGCTTAATAACAACGAGATCGTGTTAATTGCTGCTGAAGCACATTTCACATGACGTATGGATGGTTACTTTGGTTAACGTATCCCTGGTTTGACAAGCATGTGGCTCGATGTGTTGGTATGGGTATAGCGCGGAATTGTTTACAGAATTGTGTCCTCCTCCTGGCTTTCATTGATACTGTGTGTTTTGCTACCCCCAGCAGCAGCAGACCGCCTTCCGTATTACGCAGCTAGATGTCGCTTGGGTGTGCGGATGTTTGTGGAGGTCATCCCCAGACTGGCATCATCCTTTTCCCAGCCCTGTCCGCATTGTTGGTGGGTGGCGAGGGGCGGCAGCGCCCAACTGTTTTGGAAGCACACACCTAGGTACCTGCGAACTACGACATGGTGCTCCCACCTGTGTACCTCCTACAGTGTATAAAGTACTCCTATGCAGACTGTTTCCTGCTGCTGCACGACGGGGAGAGCTCCAATTTGGGCTCCTTTTCCCCCATTTGCCGAGTGTTTTAGTAGTTCCGTGGCGTGTGTGCAGAGTGGTGGCTGAGTCTGTCGGGTGTACCTTTGTTAAAAAACGGCTGTGTCATCAGCAGCATGTATGCGACCATGTTGCTCCCGTGGAAGTGGAGGTGTGTGACGACGTGTACCGGCGTATGTATTTAGACGTCCAGCAGCCCCTTTGTGAGCTGGCGTCATTTGTTTGGGTATGTAGCCCAGCCCATGCCAATTTCATGTCAACCTGGATTCGGATTTCTTTGCGGGGAATTAATTTTTTTCGAGACCCGCTTTCCAGAACGGATGGCTTTCCAGAAAATGTAATGAGTGTTGGGAATGGTGTATGAAGCTGCTGCTGCTGTTGTTGTTGTTGTTGCAGCATGTGTCCGTGTTTGGGTCCTGATCACCACCATCCCCGGCCTCACAGCGTAACGGTACCGTTACCGGTATGCATATGCCCTGATTCCGATACCGGCATGTTCCCAGGGTCCAGTCACGGAGCCAAGGGGTTGCATCCCAGCATTGTGCACCTTCTTGACCCACATCGGGCAATGTGGGCCTCACCCACACCGCCTTTTGCATGCCGCTACATGCGAGTCGGTTTACCGGTCCAGTTGACCCATGGGTCGCAAGCTCTGGAGAACCGTAAGCGGTTTCGTCCCGGTTCCCACCCAACCAGCGTTTGCCTGCGATACCTTGTTGGACTATGGCGCTGTCAGCAACATAGGACGTTTCCACGCACTTCGTCGTTGACACGCTCCCGTAGCTAATCTTTGCCTGCGCGGCCCAGAACCGCGCGAAAGATCATCATTTAGGACATGGCGCACCCGGGGCGCTAAGACCGGGAACACAACCGTCAAAACACCGGCACGGGACACGCACGGGTTGATGGCTGTGTTTAACTAACTGTGAACCGCAAAGCCCCGGCACCGACCCGGGATGTCTTGTCACGTTAGCAGGCTCTGTTACGGTGTGCAGTCATGACGGCTGTCATGACGGCTGCATGAGTGTGCATGTGAGTGTACATGACGCAGTCTTTTACGCGCGCATTCAAGTCACGCGCTAACGGTCAACGACAAATAATCTTCCGGATTTCCCGCGTCCTAGTGATATGCTTTTGCTTTCACCACCAGAGGTTTCTTCTTATAACAACACCCCGAAGTGCTTATTACTAGCAGGAATCAGGCACAGACTCGAAATGCAGCTGGTTACCTGCTGCTCCGCGGCTCCGACACACTGCCGTTCCGGAAGGCGGCAGCGCCTCCCGCAAGGGCTGCCTGCAACCTTTCGGCGTTTCCAGGCTGCTGGTTTCGGTGGTTCCGGTGACCGCCCCTGCTGCTATGGAGCTGCAGCCGGGCAAGGAAAAGTGCAAACCAGCCGGCGCGGAGTCAGGACAACGGCAACACCCGAACGCGGCGGACGAGGGCCGCAGGTAAGCACCAAGCGATTGCTATCCACTTAATACATGTTACTACCCGATAGCAATGAGCAGACATTATCAGCCTTTTACGCCATTCACATCTGTTCACATGCATGCTCAAATTCATAAATCAGGCATCTGGCGGCGACCGTAAGCCGGAAACGGCGGTGGCTTCCATGATCGGCGAGCTCAGGGGCATCAAGATGGTGAGCAGTACGGAGCAGAACGTAGGGGTGGTGTTACTGGGCTCTCTGGGCAAAGATACGGCCCAGCAGCCTGCCTGCTTGAGTGATACTTACTGAGGAGGTAATAACTGTAAATGAGCACTGTTGCAAACAACTTCATCGTGGCGGCAATGCATGAGCCTCGAGCCCCATGCAGGCTGCCATGGGTGTGGCGGCTGCGGTGGCGGTCGCGGCGGTCGCGGACTACGTCCATGAGGTGTGTCGGCGGGCGCGACCCATGGGTCACATGCTACTGGGTTAGGATTTCTCAAACCATTGAGGGTTCCCTTCAACGATGCCTAAGGTTGCTGGCTTGCAATTTCCTCGATGTGCATCCGTATTCGCTCTCGGCCACCATCCATGGTATGCCGGACTCCCTTGATGTCGCACGGCCGTACATGACGTACGACCCCACCCGCACCTTATCCCATATGTACGACAGCTGCATGGGCAGTAGCAAAACAGGATTCCGTACCGTTCCTTCCCATTCCTCACGCATGCAGGCAGGGACCTCCAAGCGTCTAGATGTCGCAGAAACCTCCCTTTCCCTGGTCAGCAACCGAGTGGCACGTCTGGAGTCCGGGGCCATGTTGCGCCAGCAGCAGCAGCGGGCTCCCCCCAACACCCCCACCACCACCGCAATAGACCCCAAGCTGCGAAAGGGTCAGCCGGCAGCGGCGGCCGCGGCAGCAGCGAAGGCCAAGCCCGGCGCCGACGGCGCCGACGGCGGCAGAGGCGGCGGCTCGGTCACCGCTGCAGCGTCCTCCACACCGGCGACGCTGCAGTCGCCGCAGCAGCAGCGGCGGCAGCTTCCATGCTCCTCCTCGGCGGCGCCGGCGGAGGTGGGGGTGGAGACGGCGGCGGTGAAGGCGCGCGACGGGAACGGGGGCGGCAGACAGGCTGAAGAGGCAAGTGGTGCGCTGCCGATGGAAATGCGAGCGTCACGGGACCGTCACTGCGACGGCCAATGGTCTCCATGCACCTCTCGGGAATCGGCAAAGGGGATCTTGGCGAGGGGTGTTTCTGAACGTGGTAGCTGGTTGTTGATGGCTTCTGCACAGCGCCGTCCAGTCTCCCATGTCGTGTGCCCAACACGCCCCGACACAAACCCTGACGCCTCCGCCTGGCAACCCCACCAGCTGCCTCCCCTCTCGCACCCTCCCTACCCGCATGCTTCTCACTCTTCACTTCCCTGATCCCCCCCCTGCCCCTCCTTCTTCCCCCTCCTTCTTCCCCGGCCTCTCAGCAGCTCCCCGGGCTTCAGCGCCGCTCCGCCGCCCTCCTGCTGCTCACCACTGCCGCCACCACCGCAGCCTGGTGCCTCAGCATGCGGATCTCACTTGCCGTACTGTCTATCATCGATAGCGATGTTTCGCGCTTTGTGGAGAGCTGCAAGCAGCGTGACTTGCTGCTCGAGCAGTGGATGGCTGAGCTGGTGGGGTTAATGTCGTACTGGATTGCCACGGGCGTGTTGTTGGGGCTTGTGTCCTGGCTGGATGAGTCATTGCGAGCTATGTAGGAGGGAGGGGGGAAGTTGGTGAGTTGGCGGTTGAGGGTTGCGTGGGAGGAGTGGAGGAGAGGTGTCGACTCCCATGCCTATCCATGCACAGGTAGCTGTATAACACTGGGTAAACATGGATGGACATGCATACATGGGACATGGTATACACCTCCGTACGATGGTATGCCCGGTTGTGAAACGGCGGTTGTTGCATTCGTTGCATCTCCTTTAGTAACCTGGTGGGGGGGATAATAATGTGCATGATGGGGTCAGACCGCTTTGGTGTTTACCTTGCAGCGCAATTCCTGAAGAACGGCCGCTTGGTGATTCAATTTCCGGGCCAGAAGCAGCTCAGCTGCTTTGCGCCATTGAGGTGCCTTGCGCTGGGGAATGGTCAGCTACCTGCTGCCACATGTTTAGCTGGTGTATCGCACAGTGTACAGATTGGCATCGTCTTTTGCGCCACACGGTCGGTGCATCGCATATGATAGCAGAGGCGTGCTTTCACCTGCTTGGGGCGGGCCTTACAAACGTGTCAAGTGTACACGGCCCGCTCACCACTGTTGTTCTTATGGAGGGCTGGGAAATGCATGTACGCGTGCAGTGTCTGCGGGGTACTTCATTCTGCGGTGCCATTCCAGTGCTGGCGCGTGAGGCGGCTACGAGGACACCATGACATCTAGAGAGATGCCGGTGCACCAAATTGTTATTCCAGGCTGCTTGGTGAAAAAGAGAGCGCTGTAACTGTCTGCGAACAAGTTACCTCGTGTGCTTTGCGGGCCCGTGCGGTGCAGCCGCGATCCCCGTGTTCATCCCGCCAAGCATGCCAGAGCGCGTATCCAGCCATACTGAACTTCCATCAGCTTAATCAAAAAGGCGGCAAGTTCTATGGAGGCCTGCTCTGACTTGAAGTACACAAGAAGGCTCGACGGACGAACTGTCGAGGCCTGTCGGATTCCAATTCCGTACACGACGCCGAAGTGCTTTGCCGTTGGTAGGCTCAGCGCATAGCAGCAAACAGATGTACTACTATGCCACTGCTGATGTCAGTTACAATTACTTCACACCCGCGTCTCTGAGCGCTGCATCGTAGACTTGACAATACAATTTACCTGAAGCTGACGGAACCAATGCAGAGACGGTGATCTGTGACAAGCTTAGTCACTCTAAATTTTAGATGTAGAATATATATTTAAAACAGTCTTGCACTCCTCGATACATCTATAGGGATGTCGCCTTTCGCTGGTTACACGGCAGAACCAGGCGCCAAATGTTGCCCATGTGCAAATGCATTCACCCTAAAATGCACTAGCCACGCGCGGGCGCTTCCAGCTGGGCTTCGGGGCCGATGGTTCGTCAATTGCGGAGCCGCAATGGCAGCCTTTTACTCAGTCCTCCTGGCATGTCTCCTCCTATTAGTCTCTGGGGCGGAGCCGGACTATTACAGCAAGCTGGTAACCCTTTCTAGCAATGTGCATGGCGTAGTGACCAAGCAAGGACCCCTCCCTGCCGAGCGCTACGATGATGCGCTGTTCAATCACACCGCGTTTCGGGAGTGGCTGCTCCAGAAGGTCATCCTAAAGCAGGATCCGCCGGGTCCAGCTCCCATGTCGTACAAATGCGGCGTCTTCGTCAACCACAACTACAAACTCATTTTCATCCGCAACCGCAAGGCCGCGTCCACGACCGTCCTGGACACCTTCAAAGTCGCGTGCAAGTCGCAAAGCAAGCTGCTCTGCATGAAGCCTTTCGACGCGGCGGAGCTCAAGCAGCACAAACTCACGCACGACGAAATGTGGCGCACCTACTACGTCGTATCCTCCACCCGCAACCCCTGGGCGCGTGCAGCCAGCGGCTACGATTACACGCAGGACAGGTACGGCACCCGCCCTCACCATGAAAGCACCGCCACCGTGCCCCGTCCTCACCCCATCTCAACCACAGCCTGACCATCCCTTCCTCTTGTGCTCTCTCCCCCTTACCTCCGCTCCCTTATCTCGCACCCCGCCCGCCCTCCCCCTCCCCCTTCCCCCTCCCCCACAGGTGGCCCTCCCCCAAGAAGGGTGTGTGCCAGCAAATTCCCTTCCGCCAGTTCTGCGCCGACCCCTACCTCATGGGCAAGATGGCGAACCTCTTCAGATGCGGCACGCAGGTGTGTTTTAAAGGAAAGTGGCACGCGGGTGCGTGCGTGCGTGCTGCTGGTGCTGCAGGGGGAGGAGGGAGTTCGGGGAAACATGCGTTCTGCCCCTGCCATACTGTCCTCCACTCCTCCATTCCACCCCTCCTCACCCACCCCCTTGCCATGCGCTGCCCCTTCCCCCCCCCAAACAGAGCTCCTTCCGCGGTGACGACGCATGGGCCTACGACTTCTACCACATAGAGCCCGCCCACCACTGCATGACGGACGCCAGCGGGACCGGCCTGTCCGTGGACTTCCTCATACGGTGGGCGGGCGGGGGGGGGCAGAGGGGGGGGGGCGGTTGGGGGGGACTGAGGTGGGCGGAGTGGGGCAGAGGTAGCTCGGGGGACGTCGGCTCCCTCTTGCGGTCGGTCCTGCACGGCTGCGCGCGGCTGAGAAGTGCGGGTAGCGGGACGACTTGGCTTGCTTGCCCTGCCGCCACACGTCCCTTTCTCCCTTACATGCCTGTTTCCTCTCCCTCCTCCTGCTCCCTCCTTATCCCTCATCCTTGCTTATATACGCAATCCTGCAATCCAGCCTAATATGCGATTCCCAACCTGGCCATCCCTCCTCCCGCTCCCCACCCACCCCCACCGCCCGCACGCAGCTACGAGCACCTGCACCAAGACTTTGCGCAGCTGGTGGAGCTGCTCAACCGGCGCCGCGACCCCGCGCTGCCGGAGATCCGCGGTGGCCGCATGCGCTGGATGAAGCAGGGTGTGCATGTGCAGGCAGCCCGCAACAACGCCTCGCTGACAGCAGCAACTGGTGGGGGTGGGGGTGACGATAGCGGCAGCAGCGGGGATGGTGGGGAGGGAGGAGGAGGAGGTGAGGGCGGAGGAGGGGGCATGTGGAAGGAGGATGCGGCGGCGCTGGTGTCCGCGGACCGTCATGCGGTGAAGTACCGGGGTTGCGGCATGGGGTGTGTGCGCGACATTGCGGGCTTCTTTGCGAGGGACTTGGAGGTCATGAAGCTGCAGATGCCGCCGCCTGCAGAGCCGGGGACACGTTAGGATAGTGGAATGAGGTAAAGTGGGGGTGTTCAGTTGGGGCGTGAATATTGAAATTATAATCACCCTGATGCTGTTGGGGGGTGGTAAATAAACCGCAAGTACAGTAACCGTATAAACGACTTGGGCGGAAACAGCATCAACCGGGCAGCGCAGACAGCGCAATGCTTCAGCAGTCGCAGGAGCGTACTTGCTGGGAGGAGGGCTTTACGGTCGGCTGGGGGGGGGAGCGGGGGTCGGAGGCCCCGCAAGCTCCGGTGCCCCCTTCATGTGCTCCCGGGTGGCGAGGTCAAAGACGATACCGGCACCAGACCATGGGAGTGGGGTCAGCATGTGGTGCACCGGAGCACAACCAACCTCTGCGTGCGTGCATACATGCATGGCAACGAAGTGTAAGGTTACTGCCGGTGCCCTAAATACTGGCGTAGGTGGGGCAGTAGCTGTCCCTGGCAGGATCCACAAGCGGCATCCCGAGCTCCTTAACCCCCTCCCGCATCGGCTTACTAATGCAAAACTCACAGCAGCTCATATAATGTTGGAAAAAGAAAGGGCCTTACCGGGCCATTGCGTTTCCTTCCACTTTCTGTACATACTTCAGTTCACTGTGTTTAAAGCGACCTGCACCACCAGCCAAGTTTCCATCTGCCTACATTAATCAAGGTAAAAAGTGATCGCCGCAAAGAGCAAGTAGAAAATTGTTACTGTTCAAACGCCAGCCTCACCGGACGTTTGAGTCGCGGAGCGTTAGCAGTCCCGCCAGCAGCTGCCAGCAGACGCTCCCCTCAGTACGACCACATCCACACACTCTTCCGCACCTTTGCCTGCCCCCTTACCTCCTCTCTCCACTCCGCGCGCTCTCTCGCTTCCCTCTCTCTCCCCTCCTTTCCCTTTAAACAGCCAACCCGCTTCCCTCTCCTCCTCCTCCCTATCCCTCTCTCCCTCCCCATCTCTCCTCCCCCTTCTGCTCCCCTCCCCTCCGCTTCTCACACGGTCAGTTACTTGCTCCCTCTTCACCCCCCTACGTCCCCAGCGCGTCCAGCAGCCGCCGCAGCCCCCCCGCCACCTCCGCCAGCTCCACTCGGTCGCCGTCGCTCTCCACCGCCACGTACTGGTGACCCAGCAGGGCAGCCTGAGGGGGGCCGGGAGGGCAGGGGTGCGGTAGCATGGTGGGGTGAGGGGGGTGCGGGGAGAGGGGTAAGCGGTGGGGGCATGCGGCAGCACGGCGGTGGCATGTAGGGGGGCGGAGCAGGGGCAGGGGTGCCGCAGAGTGAAGCGACTACTAGGGTAGATTCAGCCTGTTTCGTTTCATGGCTAGTCAGTTGAGTTGGTCACACAAAGCATGATGCATTGTTGCCGCTGCCTGCCTAACAACACGCCCGGGGTGGTGTCGCAATCCGGCTCATTGCATTCCGACTGCTGCTGCTGCCACGCACCATGTTGTGATAGTGCTGGTTGCCCGCGGAGTTGTGTTGCAGCTGGGGGGGGGGAGCAGCGGGGGCAACAGAAGAGGAAGCAGCGGAACAGCAGAAGAGGAAAGGGAATCAATGGAGCAGTGAGAACGAGCGCCCAGTGCCTCTCATACGGTATAAGACACATACACACGGACGCTACTCGCCGCCAGTTTTATAAACACACAGAACCTTCGAGTCGGCAACTCAAAACAGTTAATTGCCGTTATGCAGGTTCAACCCTTACCCCTCCCACATACCCCTGCCAACAAACCGTTTACAAGACTACAACCAATCCCCCTTCTCCAGCCCCCCCCCGCACCTCCAGCCCCCCCCCGCACCTCCAGCCCCCCCCCGCACATCCAGCCCCCCCCCGCACATCCCCCCCCCCCCCCGCACCTCCAGCCCCCCCCCCGCACCTCCAGCCCCCCCCCGCACCTCCAGCCCCCCCCCGCACCTCCAGCCCCCCCCCGCACCTCCAGCCCCCCCCCGCACCTCCAGCCCCCCCCCGCACCTCCAGCCCCCCCCGCACCTCCAGCCCCCCCCCCCCCGCACCTCCAGCCCCCCCCCCCGCACCTCCAGCCCCCCCCCCCCCGCACCTCCAGCCCCCCCCCGCACCTCCAGCCCCCCCCGCACCTCCAGCCCCCCCCCGCACCTCCAGCACGCCCCCCCGCCCCGGGGGCAGCCACATAATGTTGGCCAGACCCGCCCCGTGCGCCCCCGCCAGGATGGACGCGGTACCCAGCACCTGCGCGGGGGGGGGTCAAAAGACCATACCAAACCTTAGGAGACCACAGGTTAGGGCAAAGCAATGGGGGTAGGAGGCGGCAGGTGGGGGGGCGGTGTGCAGGGGTGCAGCACAGCGACACATCACCGACACAAGCAGGCAGTCATCAGGTGCAGTATCGTGCGGTGCAGACAAGAGTGCCAAGAGTGCGCGCACTACCAGGCGCCCCCCGCCAATCCTCGTATCACACACGCCTCGGCCAGTGGCCCAAAATTCCCTAACTGGTTCCTACTCGCGGCCAGTTTCGCTAACACCCACCCGCACACGCACGCACCTGCAGCTGGTCCGGGTAGAGCGGCAAGCTGCTCAGATCCACCACCCGCAACTCGAAGAACACGTTGGCAGGGCGGCAGCGGGGGGAGCTACTTCCCCCCTGCAGCCGCCGCCCCCGCTGCTGCTGCAACTGCTGCTGCTGCTGCTCCGCCGCCCCCAACACCACGCCCAACTGCTTCCCCTCCCCGCTGTCCACCCCGCGTAGCAGCGCGCTTCTCAGCTGCCGCCGCCGCTGCCGCCCGCTGTCCCCGAATGACTTGGGCATGCCGCTGCGCAGACAGGCCTCATCGTTCCAGCGCCAGACCTCCCGCTGCAACTCCAACACCACCTCGCCTAGGCGGGGAGGGAGGGGCAGGCAGGCAGCAGGGTGGGAGGGGCAGGCAGCAGGGTGGGAGGGGCAGGCAGGGTGGGCACAGGGCCACACGGGTTACAATGAAACGCCGCCCTGCATGTGAGGTGCGACAAGGCTGCGACAGAGAGAGGCACACGTAAGACACGCTGACGACGCACCCCACCCACCCACCCACCTTCGTTTGAGAACCTGCGCTGCTCCTGCCAGGGGCTCAGGGAGTCCCGGGACGCCGCCTCGAAGTTACGGCGGCTGATCCACACCACCGTCTACAGGTGCACATGCATGCATGCAGGCAGGCAGGGACACATGAGGCGTGGATGAGGCGTGGCAGTGTCATTGTTCGAGACAGCGAGTGGGTTTGACACACGTGAGGACGGCAGTGTATGTTGCCACTCGACACATCGCACATGAGCGCACATGACCAGTAACGGGGGTGAGGTGCGCCCCTCCCTCCCTCACCTTGTGTGTGACGCCCGGCGTCTGCAGGTTCGCCTTGAAGGGGCTGTGCAGCAGCGGCTGGAGGGCGGGGGCCAGCATGTAGCGCAACCACAGAGCCGCACCCACGGCCACCGGGGATCTGGGGCGGGGGCGGGGCGGGGCAGGGGTGGGGGGTCAGGAATACACACACCACAGGAATACCATCCCGCCCCCTGTCATCACCTTCCCCTCCCACCACCACACCACCACCACCGCCGCCCCGCCGCCGCCGCACCTGCAGTTCGTCCGCTGCACCACCCCCATGGAGGTCAGGATGGAGGGGCCGCCGGAGGCGCTGTGGAGGGAACGGCTGCGGGGGGGACAATGGGGGGGGCATCAGCGAAGGAGGGGATGACATTGCAGGGTGGGGGACCTGGTGCAATCACGGAGGCTCGGGCGCCCGGGCAATAAGACAGCACCCAGCACACGTTCATACCGTAACGTGCATACCCTGCCCTCCCTGCCCCCCTCTCACTGCCCCCCTCCCACTGCCCCCCTCCCACGTGAGGCAGGTGTCCGCCGGCCAGGGTTGCCGCGCAAGCAGCCGCAGCGGGTAGGGCCGCGACAGGGCCGCCCACACGTCCAGAAAGAAGCCGTCGGGCTTGCCGTCCGCAACCACAACCTGCAGGGTGCGGGTGCGGGCATGCACATGAGCGCGTGCGGGCGTGGAGCAGGCGTGGCGGCAAGGGGTCTCTGCAAGCGAGCGCTGTGCTGTGCTGTGCTGTGCTGTGCTGTGCTGTGCTGTGCTGTGCTGTGCTGTGCTGTGCTGTGCTGTGCTGCGCTGTGCTGCGCTGTGCTGCGCTGTGCTGCGCTGTGCTGCGCTGTGCTGTGCTGTGCTGTGCTGTGCTGTGCTGCGCTGTGCTGCGCACTGCCTGTCTCAGGGGGAAGCTGCGGTCTGCACACCGAGTCACTCTCCGTTGCGCTGCTGGCACCTCGTGCGGCTGGCGTGCGCACCGAGTGGCGACACACAGCACACCCACAGCACGTTTGCACCCGCCGCATGTAACACCCCCCAACCCCTCTGTTTTCATATGGTCTCACTTGGTCCATATAAAAAGACCCCCCAACCCCTCACTCCCCCCCACCTGCAGCCCCTGTGTGCGCAGGTCGGGGTCGTCCAGCACCGCCAGAGTCACGAAGGCGGTCACCGCCTCCTGCGCGGCGGGGGCAGGACATGCGGGGCGAGGCACACAAGGTGACATGCGCACAAGTTGACATGCATGCACGGGGGTGCACACACAAGGTCTCGCGGCCAGTTATTTTAACACAAGGTCAAGCGCTGCGGACACATCCGCGCCGCACGTCTGTACAACAACAAAGGCGTCCTTGCACCACAGCCCTCCACAGCAGCCCGCCAGCCAACCAGCTCGCAAGAAGAATCAAACGAGGGACACGAGGCGTTAGCACGCGGCACTAAACCATCGAATGCACGCCCAAAGTCTCAAACCACAGGGGCCGGCACAGGGGCGCCGTCGGTTGGGCCGCCGATGTGGCTCTCGCACCTCTAGGCTGTGTAGCGCGTTGGTGGGGTCCCAGCGCGTCAGCAGCAGCACCGGGTGCAACACCGGGGGGGGCCCCCTGCTGCTGCTGCTGCTGCTCCCGCCGGTGTGAGATGCTGGGGCAGCGCGGCTGGTCTTACTGCTGCTGTTGACGGCGGTGGTGCCGGGCAGGGCGCATGCTGCGGTGATGCTGGCGTAGGCGTCGGTCTGGGATGGCGGGCAGGCAGGGCAGGGGGTCAGCAGCAGCAGCAGGCGGGTTGGCGGGGGGGGAGCGGAATAAGGGAGGTAACGGACTTGACCCCGGTAATGAGGAGGAGGAGAATTGTGGCGCATGCAGCTTAACCTAGGGGGGCGCGTGTGGGGTCTACGCTCGCTGCACAGGAAAGAGCGGAGCCCGGGTGAGCCCTTCATGCATGCATGAGCCCCCCGCCACACACACACACATTCGTACATTCGTACACCACCCCTCCCCTCCCCGCACCTTGAGCGCGCTCCCCACCCACCGCCGCACGCCCTCCACCCCCGCGTGCTGCGCCCCCGGCCCCGCCCCGCTGCCCACGTGGCATGCGGCCCGGTAGGAACCAGCGGGGGCAGCGGGCAGGCCGCCCGGCAGGGTGCCCAGGAAGGCACTGCAGGCGGGGCCGGGATGGGCAGGTAGGGAGGGGCGGGAGGGGCAGGGGGTAGGTAGCTGGGCTTGGAGAGAGAGAGTCGGGGAGCAGGCAGCTGGGAAGAACGCTGTGTGCTCCACGGGCGCCGCGTGCTTCCACCTCCCCCCCCACCACCCACGGAGCCTAGGTTTCCCCTCCCTTCCCCCCCGGTTCGTGGTTTCCTATAGGTTGGGTTTTCTGTGACCCCCGGTTGGTCGCCCCTGCGGTCCCCCTCCCACCTGCTGTCCAGCGCGGTGTTCGTGGAGGCTGCGAACATGGCGGCGGCGCCTCTGTCCGTGAAGGGATACAGCTGGATGCTGGAGGTGGTGATCAGCGGGGATGCAGGTACCTCGCTGCCGCTGCTGCCGCTGCTGCTGCTGCCGGTGGTGGTGGTGGCTCCTGCCCCCGCCCCCGCGGACATATCCGCGACGCACCAGCTGAGTCGTGCCTTGCGCCAGCGCTCAATGTACGGCAAGCCGTACTGCGCCTCACAGTCCTTGGACTGCGAGCCCACCAGCTTGGCACCCTGGGACAACCAGTGACGGAAGTCGAACTGGAGTTGGGAGGGAGGGAGGGAGGGCAGGGAGGGAGGGAGGGCGGGCAGGGAGGGAGGGCGGGTGGGCGGGAGGCCGGGCGGGGAGGGAGGGAGGCAGGGAGGGAGGGTGGGTGGGCGGGAGGGCGGGCGGGGAGGGAGGGAGGCAGGGAGGGAGGGTGGGTGGGCGGGAGGGCGGGCGGGTGGGAGGCAGGGCAGCGAGCAGGAGGTGCCGGAGGTGCAGGAGTAGCTGTACTGCTGCAAGGCTCAGGAGTGAGTACAGTGGAGTACAGGCGCGCGCATGCGCTGCTTGTGAGTGCAGGTTGGTTGGTTGGCTGTCGAGCACAACAGAGTGGTCATTGCCAGGGGCAGCGGCAGTGGCAGCGCAAGATGGGCACCGCCAACCAGTCATCATGAACCGCACACCCCATCTCTCTCCCTCCCTAGCAGGGCGAGCAGGCAGGCAGGCAGGTTGGGGGTGCCTGTTGGGTGCTCGCACGTACCTTCAACCTGTCCTCCTCCGACAGCGGCAGCAAGCCCGTGTCTCCCCGGGGCCCTCCACCGCTGCTGCTGCTGCCGCCACCCGCGGCGGACGCAAACCGCGACAGGTCTAACCGCATGAGCTGCAGTACAAAGGGAGGGAGGGAGGGAGGTCGGCAACTCCTCAACGTTCTGGCCGTCCGACCTTATGCGGCCCATGCAAAGAGAGCCGAGCGCACTACTACATGCAGTCCAGCAGGTACACAGCGCTAACATCCCAAACAGCTGGTCCCAAACCGAAGTGCCCCAAACGCGGAGCCACCCAGTGCGGCGCGCTCCCCCACACACCGCCTACACATGCGGCCATGTGTGTGCCCTCTCTCCCACTCTCCCTCTCGCCCTCCCTGCGCTTCGCACTTACTTCTGAAAAGCCCTGCAAAGCGCCCTGCAGCCCACCGCTGCCCCCGCCCGCTCCGCTGCTGCTGCTGCCGCCACCATCGCCGCCCCCGCCCCCCACCACGATATCCCCGTCGATGTCCATGGCCGCCACCCCCCCGCCACACCCCGCGGCGCCGCCCCCGCTGCAGCGCGCCACGGCATCCGAGGAGAGCCAGTTGTGTACGGCTGCCAGTCGTACGCCCTGCCTGCACGGCGGCAGCAGGGTGGGAGTAGGAGGCAGGGAGGAGGAGGCAGGAAGGAGGAGGCAAGGGGGCAGCAAGGGGTGAGAGGGGTTGGGCCTGGCCCGCTGCAGCTTCGGCCCTGCCGCCTGACCGGCTTACTTGGCGCCCAGGAAGAGCACGAAGCAGAAGGCGAAGGCCACGAGGAGGGGCAGGAGGATGCAGTAAAGGGGTCCGTCGGATACGTCATCCCATTGGCGAGGAAGCCTGGGGCAGGACGCGGGGCAGGGGGGTGGAGGTTGGAAGCGGCGTACAGGGATACGCGTTCGAGGCCGTTGGAAACGCCTCGCTGGGCACTGCGAGATGGTAATACTATGGAATTGAGCGTGGCGTTCTGAAGGTATCCCAGAATTCCCCGCGCAAGCACAATTTGCTTTTCGGCCACAGGAGCGTGAGCTCACCGAGTATTACTTCTTCGGTTAGGGCTGCTGGACGTCATGCTGCCCGAACAGCTCCAAACGACAGGCTATCGCGTTGTAAGGACAATTGCACTCAGACTCAGTCTGTAAGAAGGACGTGCATGCTGCGCGAACTCTTATGCAACCAGCGCGCCCTGCTGAAATTAGAACCTTTGGGTTGAGCACCACGTACTCTAAGCCAAGCTTTTATTACAGAAGCAACATGCAAGCCATAAAGCGACCGCGCAGATAACACAGGTAAACGGCCTAGATGCGCGAGCTTTGATATCGTGCAAACCAATTTGGTCGGCAAAAAGAGTCGCGATGCTAACAGAGTAAATAAGACGCACATAAGAATAACTGGTCTATGCAAACAACGGTTTGTTAACTGGAGACGCTTCTGGGATATTGTTTGTACGACCGAACGAAGACGACATGACAGATACCGGTAGTATAAACGCTAACACTGTATGATTAAGTATTGCGCCTACGTGACAGCACAACCAGTACCGTAAACTAAATCCAAGTGGTCTGTAAAGCTGATGCTTGTGCAACCCCAACGGCTAGCAAAGTATTTGGCCAACTTTTCAGGCCAGCATAACTATATTACTCTGAAGGCTCTAACTCAATTTTATACGTCACACAATAAGATATCATTTACGGCGAACAGAGAGTGAATATCGCCTATAGCGACGACCCTAGGGTCGTTTTGTGACCGAACATCGGCGTAGCCTTCTTATGGTGCCAAGCTATTATCCCCTGTCAAAGCTTCACGGGTCGATAGTTTGAACCTTGATGACTCTCGAGCACGGGAAGGGCCACTTCTACATGAAACAGGTGCGGTTCCATTTATGACAGAGTTATGATTGGATGTAAACATGACGCCCTAGGCTGCACGAGGCATTGCGTTTATAAGACAAGGTGAGACGTTCTAGGTTTATGCTTGCTAGGTCCCATTGCATTGAGGCAACCGTTAACGAGCTAACGACCCTATTCAAAACGGAATTCCATCAGTGTAGCCTGCCCTTGTACTTGATGTTAGCTTTACTAACACATGATGACTTAATTTCAAACAGGGTTCACTGTAGGTCGAAAGCATGGGTTAAAATTCGAAAGGAAGCAAAGGCCTGATTTCCAACGGTTCGCTGTGACATCCTGGATGAAAATTTACGGAAATGTATTTAACCCGTTAATCTCGTTAGGGAGTTCCTCTACATACGCCTAGGTTTGACGGGGGTTGCCTCACCATGGCCCGGAACGGCTCAGGGCCGGCTTCCAAGGAGGACTTCCTTGCGTTATTGAGCATGGAAGCAGCGAGGGCGCAGCTTAAGACTGAGCCAAACGCATCCCGCGAAGCCGGTAAGACTGTATCCATAGATTGACGCTGGTTGTCACTGATGTTGCTTCGCGTGCAAGTGCATATAGTTACCTAGCATGGATTGGTCTAAGCACTAGAACCGGATTTTAGGAAGGTGCCATCCCGTCATATCCTAACCGCGCTCCACCATCGCAGTCGTGGACGCCCTGTCACTAAGAGCAGAGCAAGTTTGCAAGTCAATCCACCTTCCAGGGACTGACACAGCTGCCACCAAGGGTCAAGGCGGCTCGGAAACACATGCGGGTCTACTTCAGAAGGCCTCCGCAGCTTCTTGCACCGACAATAGCACAGCCCATGCTCCCGCCGCTCATGTCAAGCTCGAGGTTATGACAACTGACATCGACTCAGCGGCAAACGCTGCAACCCTTGCCGACGCTGCTCCTAGCACTGCTTCTCCCGGTAACACTGCTTTAGGGACTGTAGCGGCAGCTAACGCTAGCGTCCCCACTTCGGCCCCCGAAGGAGCTAACCAGGCCGGTTCTGCGTCCCCTTGGAGCCTCCCGGAGGAGTCCTGCGAGGCGGCTGAGGGGCCCGCAGAGCAGCCCCCGCCAGCTGAACCCCAGGGCCCGACAGCTCACACCGCTGACAGCGGCGCTGCTGCTGCTGCTGCCGACCCCGCAGCAGCAGCAACAACAGCAGCCACAGATCCAGCGCAGCCGGGCCGGGACACCCAGTCCCCGCCGGCTACCCAGGCGGAGCAGGAAGGGCAGGAGGGCCCGCAGGCGGCCCAGGGAGCGCAACCCACGAAGGAGGCTGCAGGAGCAGCAGCACAGCCGGAGGGGAGGAGCGAGGAGGAAGGGGAAGGAAAGCCGGCAACGGGTCGGGAGGAGCAGCAACAGCAAGCGAATGCGGCACCTCATGCTGCTTCCACTGCCGTACGGCATCACCAGGTGCATCTGCCCAACCTACAGCAGATGGCTTGGAGGCGCCCTGAGGAGCAACAGCAGCAGGATCATCAGCAGCAGCAGCAGCAGGACCACCCTCGCCCTGAGGATCAGCAGCAGCAGCAGGACCACCCTCGCCCTGAGCAGCAGGAGCAGCAGCAGCAGGAGCAGCATGCGGCCGGTGTACTGCCTCAGCAGCTACGCAGGGTCGGGTCCGTGGGGCCGTCTGCCGATGCGGGCGCAGGTGGCGTGCAGGTGGTAACGGCAGCAGAGGCGGCCGCTGCTGGGCCGCGGCTGCAAGGGGAGGAAGGCGGGGTTGCTGTAATGCAGGCGGAGGCAGCCGCCGCTGGTGAGCCGGGCACGTTTGGGAGCGGCGAGGAGGGCGCTGCTGGCGGCAGCAGCGGGGGACCTGCGGCTGCGCAGGAAGCGGAGGGTGGAGAGGAAGGCGCCCCAGAGGGGCAGGGAGAGCAGCAGGAGGAGCAGAAGGCATTCGTAACCATCGTTCGGGTGCACAATCGCATGCTCTTAATCACACAGCCCGCGCTGCGCACCTTTTGGCCGCAGCACGAGAGTATCGCCAGCCAACAGGGTGCCGGTGTGCCGGCCGTCACTGTCAAGGTCTTCCTCGCAGTTCCCGAGGACCGCGAAGCTGCTGCTGCTGCTGCTGCTGCTGCTGCTGCTGCTGCTGCTGCTGCTGCTGCTGGCACTGCTGCTGCGGATGCGGATGCTGCTGATCCTGCTGAGGATGCTGCCGCCGGCATGGGGAGTTCGTCCCGCATGCAGGAGGCGGATGCGGTCCTCGTCGTCTACAACGGGGGCAGGTCCTGGAGACTGAAGCGGGTTAGCGAGTGGCTGTCCTTGGTGGGTATTTCCAACTCCGGGAAGGTGGAGATTTGGCTTGACAGCGGGGGTCGCGTGTGCCTTGCAAGGCACTGGGAACCACGCGACTCAATAGGCGCGGGAGAGGGCAACGCCAAAGAGGGGGGCGAGATGTCCGACGCACCGCCGCCGGCCGGCACGCACCGGGGGTTAAAGCGGCGACGGTGGACCCGCTCTCTGGCGCGTATTGACGAGCAGCCCGTAGTAGCCAAAGCCGCAGCGGCGTGCGGAGACGACGGCAGCAGGGACGACGAGGAAGCGCCGGAAAGGGACGACGAGGAAGACGCGGCCGCCGGGGTTCCCGAAGTTGGCGACGATGGGGAGCCTGACGCTGACGTCGGCGGTCATGATGACGTGGCAGCGGAGGGGCGCGAGGGTGGCGGCGGAGGCAACGGCAGGCGCAGCACTGCCGGCAACCCGGCGGCGGCGGCGGAGGGGCGTGATGGTGGCGGAGGCAGCGGGAGTCAGCAGCGGCTGGCTGGCGCTGAGGGCAGGTTGCGCTGGAGTGTGCTGAATGGTAAGGCTCTGACCAAATCTGATGTGGACCTGAGGCGGTTGGACGCCTTGGCGTTCATGGTGGGTCCCGGCGGGGTGTTCCAGGAGCTCGCCAGCTCGGATTACACGGGGAAGCTGACGCTGCTGGAGGATGCGCCGAATGGGGAAGTGTGGAAGGTAGGTGGGGCACGCTGGAGGGGTCGGGCTGGGGCTGTGCGGGACAGGGTTTTTCGTACGGGAGGGCTGTTGTCGGGAGGGGTGTGTTCACGAGGGGCGTTCCCTTGTCGTGCGTGTGTAAGGAAGGTGTGGATCGGACAGGGGTCGCAAAGCACAGTGGGTGCAGTGGGACGTGCATGCGGTGCACGCATGCGGGCACTTCTGCGGGGAGGGGCGCGGCTGTGGGATGTCACCGTGTGTCTCTGGGCCTTCCGGGGTGCTCATGCCGCTCCCGGGTCGCTCATGCCGCTCTCATCTCTTTCGTGTCGCCGCAGGTGGCGTTTAACAATCGTCGCATCCTCATCATTTACGGCCTGAGGAAGGTCCTGCAGCGGTATAACGGGGGCGAGAAAGACGTCATGGTGTTCAGCAAAGTGAACCTGGTGCGATGGCGGTCCGCTGGTGCGGCTGATGCTGAGGGGGGAGGTACACCATCTTGCCAATATATAGACACACCGCCCAAGCCCAATTTGCAGCGCTGAGCTAGGCAACAATGGCAGCCATGGGCGTGGTTACCTTGCGTCGCCATCCACTGCTGCTGGCCGGAACCCCACGTTGCTTTGCCCGCAACTCTCGCCTCGCCCCCTGCTGCCCCATGCACCCTCGCCCCCTGCTGCCCCACGCACCCTCGCCACCCTGCCCCGCAGACGACCTACAAAGTCACCATCCTCAAGGACGCACCCCAGGCAGAGGACGCCGCCCGCTACACCAAACGGGCCAGGTCAAATCCCGCTGGCGACTCCGGCCCAGCCCACACCCCAGCCGCCTACAACCGCCGCTCGGGGGCAGCTGACGGCGCCGGCGGCAGCGGCGCCGTTGCCATGAGAGGTGGTGCTACTGCTAGTGGTGCTGCTGGTGGCGGTGCTGCGCGAGGAGGTCTCATGCGTAGCAGCGGCAGGCGGGTTATGCACACGGTTCCGTTGGAGGACCTGCAGCCCGACAGCAGCCTGGAGCCAGCAGGCGGGAAGACGGCTGCTGGTGCTGGTGCTGCTGGTAGTGCTGGTGGCGCTGCTGGTGCTGGTGCTGCTGGTGGTGCGGCTCCCGGCAAGGCTCGGCCCTGTGATAAAGATGATGACGGTGATGGTGGTAGTGGTGACGACGACGAGGGCAGCAGTGAAGGGGAGGACGGCGATGCTGCGGTGATGAAGACCCTGACGGTGGTGGACTACATGTATCGGAAGAACGAGGTGCATCTCAAGATGGACTTGGTCCGGGCGCTGTTTGCATGGCACACGGGGCGCGGTCCGGGTGTGGACATTCCATTAGATGCAGTGGACGAACAGCAGCGAGACGGCGGCGGCGGCGGCGGTACGGCAGCTGTGGATTTGGTGCTGCGGGGTTACGGCAAGGGGCAGTGGCGGTTGAAGAACCTGCCCAGGTGGTTGAAGCAGCGTGGGGCCCAAGTGGGTGACGAGGTGAGGCTGCGGCTGCTGGGGGCGGGCGAGGGCGGCAGGCCGCGGTTGGGACTGTCGCTTGTCACGCGGCGGAGGCGCAGGTCCGGAGCGCGCTGCAGTGAGTCGGACGGGGATGACGATGACGCGATGTCTGTGGACGAAGAGGAGGAGGAGGAGGGAAGCGGCAGCGGCAGCGATGACGGGGAGGAGGAGAGTGAGGAGAGCAGCGGCTCGGAAGGAGGCAGCGGCAGTGGAGGGGAGGAAGACGAAGAGGAGGATGGTGACAGCGGCGCTGCATTGGAGGAGGACGGCGGGAAGCAGCGAGCTGCTTCAGCAGGGAGAGGACGACGACAGCAGCACAGGAGGGGTGTGGGCGCTGGGCGGCAGCAGCCCGCAGCAGCTGGAGCCGCAGCAGCCGCACCGGCCGCTTGCATGCTGCCCGCCGCGTCGCTGAGCTCCGCCCACCTGCGCGGCTGCATCCCGCCTGATGTGTGTCTGCCGCCGCTGCAGCCGGGCGAGCTGCGGCTGTGCGGCCTCACCTTCCACCCGGACGTGGCGCAGCGCGTGCGGAGGCGCATGGCGGAGTGGGAGAACCAGGTCTGCGCGCGCGAGCTGAAGCCGCTGCGGGATCTGCTGCCAGCAAAGTACCAGATACACATCCCGGGTATCGACGACCACACACCGCCCCAAACCCTGGCACCACAACCCCAATCAGCCGCTGCTGGTGATGCTGCTACCGCTGCACCCACAACGGCGACATGCCCTTCCTGGCGCGACGTCTTCCTCCGTCAGGACCTCCGCAGCCGCGTCATTTGCTGGCGCCTCGCCGAGCACCTCGACCTCACCACCGACAAGGGCTGCGACTCGCCGCTGCCCGCTGACCCCGTCCACCCTGCGGACGTGGAACCCCGGCGTGACCCAGATCGAGGCGGCTTGGGGCTGTACGCGACGCAGGCCATCCGCCGTAACTCTGTGGTATGCGTGCTGGCGGGCTACGTCATGGCTCGGGAGCAGGCGGGGAAGAGCTTCGTGGAAAGCGGTTTTGTGGGGCTGCAGCGAGGTGCGCGGGAGGAGCTCAGAGCGCGGGCGGCGGGCGGGGGCGGCGGCATGGACGAGGCCCTGCCGTGGAACTTCCTGGCGGCGTCCTTCAGGGTGCCGTACACGGGGAGTGGTGCGCTGATTTCGGAGCCGTACCCAGGTGGGGATGGGTACAATGGGTTGGGTGGGTCATGTGGGAGAGGGCGCAACCCGCCGGTAAGGGGCTGTAGATGCCAAACACGGAGAAGTCATGTTAAGCAGAGCGTGCACAAGGGTGGAGGTCATCAATGAGTGGCGTGGGGTAGGGTGGTTGCCGCATGTGCTGTGACTCGCGCGTCCGAACGTCCCAATGTCGGCTCTGTCGTACCCGCTGCAGGCTTGCCGCAGCTGGAGCTGCACATGCTGGGGTACGGCAACTTGGGCGCGCTGGTGAACGACCCACGGGTCGACCCTTGGAAGCCGCAGCCCGACGCACACCATGCAGCGGCCGCGATGTTGGCCAACTGCCTTGTAGGTTGGGGCAGGGGGGAGCACGGATGCATGGGTGATGGAACACACAGCAAGGGCTAACCGCTTTGGGTGCTATACACACACACATACACTCGCAGCCAGCTTCCTGGACACTTCACTGTACCTTTCAGCGCCTTCCTACACGCGGTCAGCTTCCTTAATACACTCCCGAGACGCCCATCACCATGTCCCCTCGCGCTGCGTTCCCACACGCCCGTCTCTGTGCCACCACAGCTGGTCCCGGTATCTGTCCGCGGTCTGGTTCTGCCGGTGCTGGTCGCCACCCGCGACATCGCCCCCGGGGAGCAGCTGCTGCGCGACTACGGAGCCGACTGGTGGCGGGAGGTGCAACAGGACTGGGAGGTGCTGGACAGCTACGGTGTCAGCGCGGTGTCTGTGCTGCATGGCAGCGAGGAGGAGCTCATGCGGAGGTATCCCCCACCACCCGGACTGCCTCGAGCTGCTGCTGTGGGTGCAGCTCCTGCGGGCGTCAGAGCAGCAGGGCCACCGGATGCTGCAGCGGCAGCTCGGCAGCATCACCACCTGCACCCGCAACGACACCAGCAGCAGCAGCACCGCCAACAGCAACCGCACTACCATTCACAGCAGCAGCCCGCGAGACACGCAGAGGCAGGGGGTACGGCTGCTGCCGCTACCAGAATGGAGGGCGACGTCCCCAGCGGTCGCGGTCACGGCGGCAGCGGTGGCGGCGGCGGTGGAGGGGGTGACGGTCGGGGAGGGAACAGGGACCGCAGGGGGGGAGGTCGGCGGAGCCGCAGCCGGGATCCGCGCAGCCGCAGCCGTGACCGGGCCAGGAGCCGCGAGGGTCGCCGGAGCAGCCACAAGCGCCGTCGCCGCACCTACACCTCCAGCGCCGACAGCGGCAGCAGGAGCGAAAGCCCCGGCCGCGGCGCCAGCGATGACAGTGAGTCCAGGAGTCGGAAGCGCCGGCGCACACGTGACCGCCGCAGGAGCCGTCGAGAGGACCGTCCACGTCACCACCGCAGCAACCGCAGCCGCAGCGGCAGTCCTAGGCGGGAGTCCCGCCGGCATGGAGGGGGCAGCGGCCGAGCGGGGGAGCCCGCGGATGACGCCGCCGCAGGGCGGCAGGCGGCAGCTCCGGTCAATAGGCAGGTGCAAGTGCAGCCGAGGCCGCCGCTGCCGCCGCCGCCGCAGCAGCAGCACGCGCGGCAGGAGGAGGCGGGGAAGGAGCAGCGGGCGGCAGGCGGCAGTGGGAGGGTGTCATCGGCCAGCAAGGGAGCTGTGGCGGGCGGCAGGGGTTCGGGACGCGGGGTTGGGGAGGGCGGTTAGGGTTGGCGGGCTGCTGGCAGTGGGCATTGCTTGGGGTTGCTGTACATTTGTGAATAGGAGTCGCAGGGTGTATGGTAAAGAGGTGGCAGCGTCTGTGATGGGTGAGGATGGCTTAAGGACTGTTTGCAGTCTTGAGCTGTTGCGGGTGATGCATGTATGTGGATTGGTGGATGATGTTGGCGCAGGTGGGAATTACCAATCGCATTGCTTTCGACATCCGACTTCTGCATTTGGTCCGCTTGTATGTGCGGCTTGTAGGCACGTGCAAGAACGGCAAGGAAGGGTGCCTAGCTATGGGCGAACGGACTCTCCCTTCTATAGTGATGCATCGCGCGTGTGTACCGTCGAACACTCCTTAGTTGCATGTCACGGTGTTCGCCGGAACAGCTACTGATGCGGCTAGGTGAGGTGATACCTACGATAGGATGTCAACAAGGGACGATGCGTGCGCGTGCACGGCAAACTGCGGCAAAGTCTTCACACCAGGACCTGCGTTACGTATATAATAAACAGCTGTCTACCGGTACTATTAGTTGGCGCGGGCCTCCTCCCTTCCGCAAGCGTTGGGTGTTGCGTTTTACTGCGTGGTTGATCCTTCTCCCTTTGCTAATTGTAGTATTTTCCTACTTAACATTATAGGCATCTGGCAACACGTTGCCAGAAGCCCTTCTCATGCTGTCATTGTTATAGTCATGTTACCGTACCGTGCCTGGTGGCCGCCTCCGTTCCCTGTGGATAAGCGCTAAACAGGACATGCGATTTGCGTATGATGCGGAGTGGCTACGGCTGGCTTCGCTTCATACACGCGGCCTTTATGTAAGTCTAGCCTCTACCCGCAAACAACCGATTCCTTGGGACCATTCGAAGCATGACTATAACTGCTAAACTAGTATGGATAACTTTAGGACTTCACTATAGTTCAGTGCTAGGTACGTGTGGCTAGTGCGTTAATACCAGTCCACTTCTTGGCTTCCACCACGAGAGGAAGTTTGTTACCGTATGGGAGCAGGGCATCAACAGGATGGCATCCAAGACAGATGGAGCTACTGCGAACCGGACCGTCAGGGCTACAACAGACCGCTGCATCGCATTCAGACGCACGCTGACGGACAGGCTGGTTGAACGAGGGGCTATGGCGTTGAAATGTGCAACCGATTCCAACGCAAGGAAAATCGTTTCTACCATGCTCAGTCCGCACAATGCGGAGCATCTGCTGCAGCTTCTTCCAGCCGATTCCGCTGGAAGCATCCTGGAGAGCTATGCGGTGCAGCTATGTGACTCCCAAGGCCGAAGCTTTCCAGCAACACTTGAGGGTCAAGCGTTTAAGGGGCGCCACCGTGTATGGACGCTGCGAAACCTGCATAGTTGGATGGTGGGTAGGGAGGCCTTTCTAGGCAGTGGGGCCAAAGGGAGTACTCCTTTGCCCCCTTCTTAAGAGTTCACATAATTCTCCGCCTGTGCACCATCATTACTTCAACTAAACGCTGTGTACATGCAATGCCCCGCACACGATGCCCACACAGCCTAGGCCGCAACTGCACACCCTCACGCCCCTCTTCCACCCTCACCGTCTTCTTCTTTTCCCACGTCTGCTCCCCTGCAGCAAGAGCACGGCGCCCAAAGCGGCACTGTCACGGAGCTGCGGCAGGAGCCCGACGGCCGCTTCGTCCTGGAGGTGGTGCAACAGCTGGGGGACTTGCTGGCGCCCCGCGGCTCGGCAGGCAGCGGCGACAGGCTGCACCAGCCTGCAGCTGCCCGCGGCTCCACCCATGGAGACGGCCGTGGACTCCAGGCGGACAACGGCGACAGCAGGAGCGCCTACCCGAGCGATAGCGATGGCGAGGGGGATGATGAGGGCAGCAGTGAGGAGGGAGACGGCGAGGGAGCCAACCCCAACCAGCCGTCATACAACAAGCGCTTCGGACGGCACCTGGTAGCATCCGACACCACCGGGCTCACGCTTACAATCGACATGTACTGCAGGCAGGGCGTGTTCGCGGGTGTGGCGAAGCTGGGGGACAAAGTGCGGCTGGAGGTATCACATGGAGGCGTTTCCTGGCAGGTGCGTATCGGTAGTTGGCAGCTCCTGTTCCCGCGCTCAGCGCGCAGCTCCTTGTGTCTTGATCTCACCCCGCGTACCTTCTTGATCTTTATAATCTTCATGTTCCCATGGGCCGCCTTCTGCTGTTTGCTACCCCTCTGCTCCTGTCCTCTTACGTCTGTTTGGCCCTGGCCCTGGCTGCGCCCGCTTGGCCCTGACTGCGGCGGGGGCGCAGGTGGAGTTCGTGAGTCGCAAGGCGAGCAGGAGCGCGCCGCGACTCAACGGCATGGGCCCAGTCTACCGCGCGCTCAAAGCCAAAGCTGGCGACGTCATCCTCTTCGCACCTGTCGGGGGCAGCGGCACCTCTTTCAGCATAGACGTGCTGCGGGTCCCGGGCGGTGAGCCTGAGCCGCAAGGCAGCACACAGCCTGACAGCCAGCAGCGGCAGCAGCAGTCGCAGCAGCAGCAACGACGCCCGACGGCGGCGGAACTATCGGCAGCAGCAGCTTTAACAGCCAATCGCGGCCGTAGCAACAACCCAGGCGCAGAATCCAGACCGCAGCAGCCGCCGCCTTTGCAACAAGCAGCAGCTGCCGCAGCAGCAGCACCCGGGGCCAGGCAGTGCGGGTTGGCAATCGTCAAGGAAGAGCCGCGGGAGGACATCGCCGGCGGCGGTACGAGGATCAGCAGCGACGTTGCTAGCCTCCGCCGCCCAGAACCCACACCTGCCCATGCACATGCGCATGCACATGCCGGGCCGTCTGCGCCGGATCCAGGGGCTGGTGGTCTCGGAGGCTCGTCACCCCGACCCCGTACGGCCCGTGGGTCGTCGTACGGCGGATGGCGACCCGTGGGCAAGGGCCGAATACCCGCTGGGGAGACCACCACAACTGCCGCCTGCAGCACTGGGGTTGCAGGGGGAGGAGCAGGAGACGCGCCCGCCGCAGCCGTCGCCGGCGCTGCCTTTGTCGAAAGGATGGTGAAAATGGAGGTCTCGGAGCCCCCTCAGCCCGCCGCGGGCACCGCAGCAGCACAAGCAGCCGCGGCATCAACCGCGGCCGCCCCTTCAGCCGTCGCACCCGCCGCGCCCGCACCTCCCAGCTGCTCCCTGCGCCCCGCCGCCTGCATCACCCACCTGCATGGCCGCCTGCCGAGTGCAGCCGCTCGGCCGGCGGTGTGGCCGGACGAGCTGCAGCTGTGCGGGCTGGTGTTCCATCCGGAGTTGCGACCGGTGGTGGAGGCGCGCATGGAGGCCTGGCTGGCGGGTCTGGGCTGCTCGTTGTCCCGAGCGGATGCCGCCATGCGGCAGATGCACATCGTGGGCGTGGAGGATGCGCCCGCGGCTGCTGCTGGGGGTGCTGGGGGTGCAGCTGCGACAGCCTCGCAAGACGGTTCGTGGGCATCCTTCCCTTGGGCCGGGGTGTTTCGGCGCTTCCAGCTGAGTCGACACCTGGTGTGCACCCGCCTGGCACGACTGCTTGGTCTTGCGGGGGAGGCGGGCAGCTGCGACGCGCCGCTGCCCGCGGAGGCGCCCTGGCTGGACGGCTTGGAGGCGTGCGAGGAGCCGCTGCGGGGTGGCGCGGGGCTGCGGACCTGCAAGCAGATCAAGAAGAATGCGGTGCTGGGCGTGCTGGGCGGCTACGTGCTGCCCGCGGAGGGGCGAGTGGAGCACTTGTCGTACAATGGGTGTTGCGGGGCGGCGCGAGGTCAGCTGCTTCGGCGCATGGGCGCGTTGGAGAGGACGGAGGCGGCGCACTCGGCCTGGGACTTCCTGACGTACGCATTCCAGCTGCCGTACGTTTGGTCGCCCTCGTCAGGAGCAGCGGCGGCGGCAGCGGCAGCGGCGGGGGAGCAGCACCAGCTGGGGCAGGGGCAGGGGCAGCCGCCTGCGCTAATCTGCATGCTGGGTTATGGCGGCCTGGGGGCGTTGGTGAACGACCCACGGGTCGATCCGCGCGCATGGGTTCCCAACAACGACGTGGAGGACAGTCGCATTGAGGAGAAGATCAACTGCTTGGTGAGCTGCAGGGGGGCACCAGGTTGGGGAGGAGGGCGGTGCGGGGTTTGGGGCGGTGCTGTACGACAGATGGATGGGGCGGCGACGGATGGACAGCGGGGCAGGCAATGTGCTGCTGTGCGTGTGCGGCGCTGTGGCCCCGGTTGTCACGCTGAAGTGGAGAAGGTTAGGCTCGTCGCATAACCCGCACTGCAGCACATGGGACACCCCTTGGTCCGCTATTACGATTGTTGCAAAATGGTTGATGCCAACTGCTAGGCGGCATCGGTGTCAATGGATCATTGAAGACTGTGTGCCATACTTTGCGTCCCACCTTGTGGCCACCTCTCCTCCTCCTACATGGCGCCTTAGGCGCTGTCAGTCCTAGCTGCTTCCCTCCCACCCTCCTCGCCCCCCTCGCCATCCTCCCCTAACAGGTTCTTCCCATCTCGGTTCGCGGTCTGGTTCTGCCGGTGCTGGTCGCCACCCGCGACATCGCTCCCGGGGAGCAGCTGCTGCGCGACTACGGAGCCGACTGGTGGCGGGAGCTGGCGCCGGTGTGGGAGGTCCTGGAAGACGACGGCATCACGGCCGACCTGCTGCCCAAGCTTCTTCACGGAGGGGAGGAGGACAAAGACGGAGGCGGCGGTGCAGTGGGGCACTCCGCGGCGCCCTCCCTCGCGGACCCGCCCTCCTCCCAGGCAGCAGCGCCCGCGGCTTCTGAAGTGCACGCAGCCGTGCAAGGCGCCTCCAACCTTGCATGCGGCAATGGGGGAGCTGGCGGCGGTGGGGGTGGGGGTGAGGGGACCGGTGCTCGCATGGCAGGGGGTGCTGCCTCTCAGCGGGGTACTGGAGCTGTGCTTGAAGGTGGAGGTGGAGGTGGGGGTGTCGGTTCATCTTCCTGCACTGCGGGTGCTGTGCCTGGTAGCAGCGCCGGGGAGGGGTCGCGTGGGAAGCGCAGAAGAGACGGAGAGAAGGGTGAGGAGGAGGAGGCGGAGCGAGGGCGAGGAGGAGGGGAGCGGGGGCGAAAGCGAGATCGGGATCGCGGCAGGGAGGAGGAAGCGGAGCGGGAGCGGCGGCGGGAGCGCAGACATCAGCGTGACATGGGTGCAGATCCGCAGCGGGAGCGGGAACGGGAACGGGAGCGGGAACGGGAGCGGGAACGGGAGCGGGAACGGGAACGGGAATGGGATCGAGCAGCCCGGGGGCATCGAGATGTGGAGCGGGGAAGCCGACAGTGGGGGCATGAGGATCGCGACCGGGACCCAAGCCGCGACCTGCCTCCTGATTGGCAGCGGGAACAGGAACGCGGAGGGGGTGCTCGCGGCGGCCGAGGCGACTGGGATCGAGGAGACCGCAACCGCGATTGGGACCGGGACCCCCGACCCAGAGACTGGGACCGGGGCATACGAGATGCTGGGAGTTCGGGGGCTGCCGAGCGGGGCTGGGAGCGGGGCCCGCCACCGCGGGGTGGTTGGCTTCCTGGCTGGTCTCAGCAGCGGCAGCAGCCGCAGCAGCGGGGGGAGGAGGAGGAGCGGGAGCGGGAGGAGCAGCGACGACGGCGGAGAGAGGAGGAGGACTCGCAGCGATGGCAGGGCGGCGGGCCGCCCTATACCGCCACTGAGCCGCAGCGACCCCTCCTCTGCGACCCCTGGCGTGCTGGTGCTGGTGCTGGTGCTGGTGCTGGTGCTGGTGCTGGTGCTGGTGCTGGTGCTGGTGCTGGTGCTGGTGCTGGTGCTGGTGCTGGTGGGTTTGTGTCGCCCGGGCGCCTCATGCGTCCTCTGCGAGCTGACGACCGGGTTGCCGTCTCCGGGTCAAGCTCGGGCGCTGAAGCGGCAGCAGCAGCGGCGGCGGCAAGCAACGGTGGCGGTGGTCGGCTTGCAGACGTGCGGACTTGGGAGACGTTTGTGCCGTACAAGAGGACGACGCATGCGCATGCGCCGTACGGTTAGGGCCTGTTACCCACCCCCGCCGGACTGTGGCTTCGTTGCCCCGGGTTGTAATGTTGAAGGGCCACCATGTTGGCTGGTGATGGCTGTGGGGGGTGGGTTTCGGCTGGATGCCGTGTTGGAAGATTTGAAGATTGTAGTCATGCGGAATGTGAAAGATAATGCTGTGCAGTTTACCATCCCCTTGCCCTCGGCTGAGGTAGGGGCTGAAGATGCTGTCTGCATGGCTGCTTTGCATGTTGCAAGAAAAGTAATAAGAGTCACAACAACTTGAGTGTGTGAGCCCTCAACTCGTCTGTGGAAAACCTACATGGTTGTTTGTTGGTGTTGACGGTTGATACGCACCGGTAGTTAGTACGAGCGGCCGGCTGCCGGTAGTCCGATGCGTTACCATGGTATTACTAAGGCTGTGGGAGGTAGGCACCTCCTCTCTGGAACGTGTGACTGAATACAGATCACATGCATCGTTGCTGCGTTTGTTGGGTAACGGTTTTACATGGGTGCCTGCCGCGCTCCTACTGAACACCGTTGCTACGAAGAAGTTCGGTTGCCGGAGCGGTTTTGCATCAGGCATCATAAGCATTGGCTCCAACCAACGGCATTGACCTGTGACCAACGGCTGACTTTCTCATGTTGCATGCACACTTTGTATGATGTCATTAAAGTTACGATTTGGGCTGCGTTGCGCATTGGCTGTTTCTCACACCCCAGGCAAGTGACCCATGGTTCAGCTGGTGGCTCATTTCCACTGTCGGCGACGTTCTCCGCTGCTGGTGCGACGTTGCAAGCCTGCATGCTGATGTGACTAGTAAGGCCGGCCTGCATGCTGATGTGATGAAGATTGTTATCCGGTGTGGGCCAGCGCTGGGCTGCCAAGGCCTGCAATTATGACTTTGCGGCTTCGCCTGCTATGCGCGTTTGAACAGGCCGCACCCGCTTCGCTCCTACTGTGCCGGCTACCGGTCAAACCTTGGGCTTATACGCGCTGGCTTTGAATCATGTGCATCTCTCCAAGTCTGCATATCTGTACGCCTGGAACGCTCTCGGCAACTTTGCTGACGGCTGGCCAGCGGCGTTGGGCGCACGCGCCTTCCTAGGCAGGCCTTCCGCGTTGGCGCTTCTGTTGCTGTTATCTGGAACGCACACGCAAGCACCGCTCGTACAAAAAGCTATTATGTCAGGGAGCAGGTCAGTTAGTCATTCGAACGTTATGTATATGACTGGGGTGTCCATTGCAATTGCCAACCACAGCAGCTATCACTGTGCTCCTCTTCTTCAACTGCTGCTCTCAACACCGACACAAGTCGTGCTGTGGTAACTGTTAGAGGCTTACAGAGGAGGCATACTATTGCGATCCAAGGTGAGCGGCATCGTATTAAGAGGTGCAGAAGCCCTAAAGGGGCTGCGTTTGTGGACGTTTCTGAAGTGCGCGAGCCGAAATTACGAAACATCTCTAGCACCGATAGTTGCCGCAGCTAGAATGCGGCTGATCTTGCAGCGCCTTGCAAGGCCACGGTAACCTACCAGGTCAACACGCCGTTCGTCTCGTAGAGCCTCCTCAGCCAAACTAGCTGGGGAAACTTAGCCAAACTATCGACAGCTTCCCACCTCCCTGCACCCAACCGCAACACTCCGCCATCCATACATTCCCTCTCTTTTGCCGTTTCTCCACCTGCTGCAGATGGACGAACCGCGCCCTTCAACCAGCACCTCCTCGGCTCCTTCCGCAACTCCTTCTGACACTCCTGCTGCTGCTGCTGCTGCTGCATCCAGCGGCGGTGGGGGCGCCGGCCAGCTGCTGTCCTCCTGGCTGCGAGGCGGCTCAGCTCCGCCCGCCAACGCGCCCTCCCACCCGCACCACCACCGGGGCTATGCGGACGCAGTGGGGCTACGGGAGCTGAGGGAGGAGCAGCTGGGGCGGGGGGCGCCGCTGAGCGCCGACAACAGCGCGTTCGGTCTGTTGGAGAGCTATGTGGGGCCTGCGGGTGCGTGGGGGGTGTGCGGGTGCGGGGTAAAGAGGAAACAACTAACTAACCGTTTGATAAGGCATGGGATGCGGTTGTGTCGGTTCGTGTCATATGATGGCCACGCTGCTGCTTGGCTGTTGGCCCACACGCACACATACGCCAGTTTCCTTAACACACGCTCCTGCTGCTGCTGCTGCCGGCCTGCCTGGCGCACAGAGCCCGCCAACACCAGCCACCACTTCGAGCCGCCCCGACCGGCACCCGACCTGCGCGAGCGGCCGGAGGTGGGCGTGGACAGCCGCGCACACAACTCCGTGTTTGGGCTGCTGAAGAGCTGGGTGGGCGCGCCGGACACCGACCGACAGCAGCGGCAGCAGCAGCAGCAGCAGTAGAGCAGTAGAGCTGGCGGAGGCAGGGGGTGACCTGGGTTTCGTGTCGTCAAATAGCAGCAGAAATGCATTTCCGTAGTTACCGGTAGCTGTCCTACCGTCCTTTTAGCATGTTAAGGGAGCTGCCGTACGTCATGTACGACATGTAGTACGTTTGTACGGAGTCAACACTGAGCGAAGTATACCGTAGTATGTAGTACGTCAGCTCGCGGTGGCGGAGATCGGATGCTGGCCGCAGTGCTCTTGATGATGATGAGCCAGAACCTATTAGCTGTTGTTGTTGTTGCTGCGTAGGTACAGGCCTGGGTATGACAGGCCTGGTTGAGAGTGGGGCTATAGCATGGATATGTCTTGGGCTGCATTGGGAGGAGCAAGTCTGAAAACTCACAGGTTTGAAACAATGATTACTAAACACGCGTGTTTTTTGTCACGATTCGGGATAGGAAGCCAATACCGGCGCAATGATACATATTCCGCAGTTTAAGTTGTGCGTATCATGTACAAGATGTCTTCCACAGCGCCACCGTATCGCAGCCAGCACGCTACATCCCGCCCACACCTTTCCTCCACTACCTGTATTATTCATCCTCAAATCGCTTATCGGTAGTATCGTATCGGTAGACTACCCGTCTGCAGCACAGAGCTGTGAACAGGGTTCTGTAGAACCAACCCGAAACAGCCAATTTTGAAACGCCGAAAAGCTCACGATTTCCAATACACATACGATCAAGTTGACTGCATCGAAAGGTTTTGCATGCACATATCCCCCAGCATAGACATCCCCCCCAAGAATGACGTGCATACCAACCTTGTCATCACCCCTTATGCACTCGGCTTGCAATAGCTCACACACACGCACCATGCAATCACTCCCGACCCCTTCACGCCTCTCCCAGCTGCCTCTCCACCACCTCCTCCCCTCTTATAACCCCTTCCCGCAGTTCTCCCACCCCCCCTTCCCAGCCACTCCGTTGGAGCATTTATCTATATTTCCCCCCTTCCCAACCACGACACCACCTCCCTCCTCAGCAGCAGCGCCGGCGCATCACCGTCATCACCAACGCCGCTGCCGCGCCCGCCGTCAGCAACGTGTTGCACACCACAAAGCCAATCGACAACCGCCGAGCGATCTTCTGAACCTTGACAATGTTGCGCACGAACTCCTCGTTGTCGTTAATGCGCGGGAAGGGCTCCCCCTGCGGCACGGGTTTGCCCAGGAAGTCGCACAGCGGCCCCCAGCCCTCCTTCACGTGGAACTCCAGCAGCTGCGCCGGCGGTACGACACGCCGCACCTCCTCCAGGTGCGACTCGTACACCTGGGCGGGGGAGGAAGAGGAGGGAGGGGTGGCGGGTTAGGATTAAGGGTGGGGGCGCCGCATGTAAAGCCCCTCCTCTTGACCCATGCAACAACGCATGCAGTGCCCCCAACCCGCCCACCACCCCCACGCACGCCCAGTCTCCTCCTCTTGACCCATACACAGACACGCGCCCCCCCCACCACCCCACAACCGCATATACACACGCACGCACACACCTGTCGTACGAACTCCTTGTCCGTGAAGCGCCCCTGGAAGGTGCCTTGCCAGAAGAGCTCGTGGTGCATGCGGAAAAAGTCGGTGATACCGCGGAAAATCGGCGCGAGGTAGCAGGGCGGCCGGATGCTGTCGCCCACTTGGCCCATGCGATAGATGGTGGTCAGCGCGCTCTCATACCAGCTGTCAAAGTCGCGCAGAGTCAGGATGACCTTGGCATTTGGGTTGGCTGCAAGAAGCTCGCGGTAAACGGCCACGGAAGGCCAGTCCACAGCTGCGGTGTAGCCGCCCAACACGGACTCCCAGTCGATGGGAAGGCCGGCATTGCGGTCGCGAGCGAGCTTCAGCCAGGCGCTGCCTTTATTGATGTTGCAGAAGACCTGGACAGGTGGTTAAGGGCAGAGGCGGAAAGGAAAGGGTTGGGATGAGGAGGAGAAGGGTGCGAGGAGTCAACGGCAGTTGGATGTCAGGCCAGGAGGCCGGGGTCAGTCAAAACGACACGCTGTTACGTGCTCGTCCGCGAGGCCAGGGCCGCCAGGCAGCCCTATGATGTAAAATGTCCCTTGATACCATTGCTTGACCATATACATACATATGTATGAGATACTGGGGGCCGTGGCTATCAGAGAAAACACGAAAGGATACGTATGCGAACTCAATGGCTTCTTTTAAAAAAACCTAACCCTCATCGGCCTGTTAGGTTAGATCCTAAAGGCTTAACCGCAAACCATGCGCGGAAACCAATAGGGCGGATGCATGCCGCCGTTCTGAATAGCACAAGCAGATGTGCACCCCGATTCCCGTTTCCCGACCAATCATCACCTCCTTCATGTGATGCGTCTTGTAGCCCAGCTTGTTCAGTGCCACATACAGACTCGCCGTTCCAGTGCGGCCGAAGCCCGCACCGATGACCTCGATATCAACCATAGTTGCCGACTGCGCCTCGTGTGAACTATTTAAATAACTCTGTGCTTGTGCGTTTCGTTTAGGATGCCGCCATATATGTAGCTTTTTTGACTCCTGTAGGTACGCGCAGTTGCGCACGTGATTCTAATATTACGCACCTTACCCAGCTTCCAGTACCTCTTCTACACCCAGCACGCGTGCACGCTGCACAAACAGCCTTACGGAGGCCTTGTGAAATCACATACAGATCCTTAATTCATTGCCCTCTCCGCCCCTGCACTTCCAGCTAGACTCCCATAGCGAGCATCCCAACCGACGTAACAGCTGGCTCCGGAACACCATGCCATTGTTGAAAGACAGAAGACACCCCTCTCTTCTCGCACAGCATCCAGGATGGGGAAATCGAGCAAGCCCTGATAACTTCCTTGGTTACTGCCCTCGCGGGGGTTAGGCTAGGTTGCAGGTTTGGTGCATGGGGGCGACTGATCAGGAGCCGGGATATACCGTCCGTCAGCGTCCTTGCAGTAAAATGAAGCCAAATAAACAGGAAATAATATTAAATGCGGTGTCAGGGTTCGGGCAACCGACGGCTCGCTTTTGCAGGTGCTGCGTGCCACTTGCAATCCACGCCGCCCAGGTTAATGAGGGTTGCAGCAGCTGCAGACGATGGTGCAGGTCGCACCTGCCCTGCCTATGGCGTTTCAGGCTTCAAAATTATGAATGCACGAGGCAGAGCGCAGCGAAATGGGGTAGTTCTGCAGGGGTGAGTTGTCAGGCCTATCATGCCGGCGGAATACAAGAATGAGGAGCTAGGGTGTCGCACACATGCTTATAGAGGATGGGAAAAATTGGGGCCAAACAGCGTACAAGAGGCCGCTGACAGGCGGCCAACCACTTTACTGTAATCAGTCGACCGTCGGGCAGGTTAAACACAAGCGATGTCTTGACATGCACCGCTCTGTTGATGTCATAATACCTTACGCAACGGAACGTACATGGCGGTAGGAACGACCCTCCTTTGTGCGGGTACAATGCTGTGGATGTGATGACGTCGATTGGGTCAACCCCTATTGCGGCTGTTAGTCCAAACGCCTGGAGTCCGAAACGCCGGGACAACGTGTTGTATGACAGTGTACTGGCGCCTCGTTGTTCAGTAGACTGACGCATCCAATGAATGACAGCTGGCGGTTAGTTCCAGTACTTACCAATTTGCTTTTGACTTCAGCTAGGCGCATCGCTTAATGAGTGAACAAAGCAGCGATTAGGACATTAAACCTTACGCGTTACCAGTACCCTTTTAGGCCTTTGCCATCAATAGTGCGACTCGACTGTGGAGCACACGCGCACACAGTAACAGCATTTGCTTAATGTAGGGCTAAGCATTATATAGCATGCATACACAATATTGCAGGCTAAAATATAAAGGATAATGTTGCCAGCGGCGGTGTGAGAACCAAAAAGAGGTACGGGTTGCCGGGTTTATGCGTCCATGCGTCCTTTATGGGGTAATTTGGGGAATTCCCTTCGGATGATATTGCGTTGGGCCGCCTCTCTCCTTAGTCACCATTGGGGCTCGTCATCGGGGCTCGACAGGGCAGATGTATCCCGTCTGCCTGACGGGAAATACTATTTGTTACAACAGATCCACTATTTGTTTGGCAATGCCTGGCCGTTTTCACACGCGGCAAAGTTGTCGACTTAATATCCATGGCCCACGGGCTGTTACCAGTACCCTAAGTTGCTATCATCCTCGGTCTGGCTCGGTCATCCACCAAGTTCCCATCACCCAACCTCTGCTCGCAGGCTTGCAGCAGCGCACCCCCCCTCCCTCCTACATCCACATGGCCACCACCAGCACCAGCGGCCCCCCTTCCCATGACAGCCATCCACACCACGACGCCAGCCCCCGCATCGCTCCCTTCCGCGCGCGCATCCTGGTCTCCGCCCGCATGCTGCGCGAGGGCTTCCTGCCGCTGCAGCGCTCCTTCCCGCAGGAGGCCGGGCTGCTCCCGCCCGGTGACCTCACGTCGCACCTGCCGCTGCTGCTGCCGCTGCGGCTGCGGGACGTGGCGGGCGGCGGCACCGTCACAGCGGAGCTGCGCTGCGTGCTGGCAAGGGGCGGAGGCGGCGGGGCTGCTGCTGCTGCTGCTGCTGGTGCAGCGGAAGCGGGGGCGGCAGCCCGGCGGATGAAGTGCAAGCTGCATGGTATGGGCGGGTGGCTGGCGCAGCAGGGGTTGCGGGAGGGCGGCCGCATCTACGTGTCCTTCCAGCCGCCCGAGCACTTCACGGTGGGGGTCGAAGAGCGGGGGCCGGAGCAGCAGCCGCAGGGGCAGCAGCAGCCCCAGCCTCACCCGGGGGTGCCAGGAGCTGGCAGCGGCTGCGGTGGAGCAGCAGCGGAGGCGGCGGAAGGGCGGCAGCAGCAGCAGCCACATCAGCCACCCCAACACCAGCACCCCCCAGCACCCACCCAGCCGGCTGCTGCTTCGGAGCCTGCTGCGTCCTCCGCACTACTTCCCGGCTCCTCAGCTCCCCTCCCCTCGCTCATCGACAATCAGCAACCGCACCAACAGCAGCTGCCCAGGCTCCCTTCTGACAGCCCGCGCGCCGCTCGCTCCGCTGCCGCCGCCCCCGCTGCTGCTGCTATCTCGGCTGACAACAGCGGCGACAAAAACAGTGGCGGCGGCGGCGGCGGTCCCCCCGCCGGTGCCGAGGAGTTGGAGCGCTGGGTGCTCACAGAGCCGATGCTGCGCACGTCCATCACCGTCCACAAGGAGGCCGCCGGCCGCATGTTCGACGGCTGCAGCGGGGCGTGGCTGGAGCGGGGCAACCGGACACTGCCCCTGACGACCAGCCCGGCGCCCGGGGGGGTGGTCAACAGCAGTAGCGGCAGGGATGGTGCAGACGGTGGATGTGGATGTGGGGAGGAGGAGGCGGTGGCTGAGGAGGAGGCGGGCGCTACGGAGTGTTCACTAGCGCGTGTGGTGTATTATGACCGCAGCAGGCAGGCCAAGGTGATGGGGGCGGCGCGCTGGTTGAAGGAGGTGGGCGCGGACTGTGGGGACACCGTTGTGCTGAGCCGCTTGCCGGACGGGCGAGGGCACCTGCACCTGGTTAGGCGGCAGCCGCAACAGCAGCAGCTGCAACCCCCACAACAGACCCCACAGCCGTCATCCTCGCCGCCAACAACACGTCAGCCACATCAGGAGACTGTCCAGTCGCCGCAGCAGCGGGCGTTGTCGCCGGGGGAGCAATCGCAGCGGCTGAAGGGTCGAAAACGGCGAGAACAGAAGGAAGGAGGCGAGGGACAGCGAGCCCATGCGACACCAATCAAGCGCAGCTGCAGTGGTTGCGGCGGTGGCGGCGGTGGCGGCGGCGTTCCACCCTGGCAGGAGGCGGATAAGGATGAGGCTGCTGCTGCTGCTGGTGGTGGTGGTGGTGGTGGTGGTGGTGGTGGTGGTGGTGGTGGTGGTGGTGGTGGTGGTGGTGGTGGTGGTGGTGATGAGGAGTTACGTCTCCTGGAGGCCTTGTTCCCGCCGGAAATCGAGCCGGTAGCCAAACGCACGCGTGGTGGTGTTGGCGGTTCTGCAGGCACTGCGGCGGCTGCCGGGCCCAAGGGTGGTCCCAGGCCCCCAACTGCTACTTGCACAAGTCCGAGTCAGAGGGAGGGTGCGGGCGCTGCCGCTGCCGCTGCCGCTGCCAGCACCGCACCCGCTGCCATCGACCCGCGGTTCGGCAAGGTGCTGTCGCAGTTCGACGCCAGCAGTGGCTGGATAAATTTGCCGGTGGCCATGGTTCGCGGCGGGGGCGTGTTCGAGGGCATGCCGGACGGCCCCCAGGAGGTCAGCATTGTGGAGGTTGCTAGCGGCCGGCAGTGGACGGTGGGTCGTGGGAGCTGGGTAGCTGTGGATGGAGGGGGGTGGTAGCTGTGGATGGAGGGGGGTGGTAGCTGTGGATGGTGGAGGGGGGTGGTAGCCGTGCGGCTGTGGAAATGGTACGGGGTAGCGGGGTCGCGATGTCCTGACGTTACCCTGGGTTTGTCGCTCAACCGGTATCTTTTTGAGGCACTTCCGGAGCTGTCCATCCATTTGCAGTAACGCCCGCTGCCATGCGCTGCCTTGCCTTATCACACGGTCAGTTAGTTGTTTCCTCTTTACCACTATCACACCACACATTGGAATTTCCCCCCCTCCCCCCACCCGCTGCAGGCCCGCCTGGTTCACAAGAGGTCCAACGTTCGGCTGGGCAGTCTGGCGGGGCTGTCCGCAAAGGCTGGGGACGCGGTGGTCTTCACACGGGTGGGAGCTGGGGCTTTCCAGCTGCAGATCCTGTCCGGCAGGGGCGGCCGAAACCACGGCCGGGTGCAGCAGCTGGCGCCTGGTAGCGGTGAGGAGGACAACAGCCGCCTGCCATTGGCAGCAGCAGCAGCGGCACCTTCTGAGCAGCAGCAGCAGCAGCAGCCCCAGCAGCAGCAGCCCCAGCAGCAGCAGTCACAGCAGCCCCAGCAGCAGCAGCATGAGGGCCCGGGGGACACGGAGGATGCTGCGGGCACCTCGGACCCGGAGGCACACGGAGGCACACTGACAGCAGTAGCGGCAGCAGCGGCAGGACAGGGGCGATCGGCGCGGGTGGAGCAGCCGGAAGGACAGCAGCGGCAGGAGGAGCAGCAACTAGATCAGCAGCAAGCGGAGGAGCAGCTGGATCAGCAGCAGCGGCAGGAGCAGCAAGCGGAGGAGCAGGCGGAGGTAGACTTGCGGTGGGTGGGCGGCGAGACGGGCCCGGCCGCAACGGTGCTGGAAGCCGAGTCGAAGGCGAATGAGCAAAGCGAGGCGCGGTCCGCTGACGCAGCAAGGCCGGCACAGCTGCCGTTGTGTTCGCTGAGCTCCGCCCACTTGCGCGGCTGCATCCCGCCTGATGTGTGTCTGCCGCCGCTGCAGCCGGGCGAGCTGCGGCTGTGCGGCCTCACCTTCCACCCGGACGTGGCGCAGCGCGTGCGGAGGCGCATGGCGGAGTGGGCGGCCGCCATGAGCCGGGCTGCGGGCGGCGAGGGACCCGGGAGCTGGGAGCCCACCAGCCTGCAGGTGCACATCCCGGGGGTGGATCCGCCCACCGCACCGGGTGCACTGCCGACCGGAGGCGGTGCTGCGGCTGCGGTTGCGGCCGCGTTCCGTCGGCACGGGCTGCGTCGCCGCGTCCTGGCCTGCCACCTGGCTCGTTACCTGGGCATAGCGGCGGACTGGGGGGCGGCGCTGCCGGCGGGGGGGACTGTGCCGCTGCCGCTGGTGGGGGAGCTGGTGGCGCCGGGACCTGACCCGGGGCGGGGCGGGTGGGGGCTGTTTGCGCGGGCTCGCATCAGCAACAGCCGGGTGCTGGGGGTGGTGGGCGGCTACGTGATGACGGGGTCCGCCGCGCGGGCACTGCGGGATGCGTGCGTGTGGCAGCAGGGGCGGTTGCGGGGGGAGCTGGTGCGGCGCGCGGGGGGCTGTGCGGACAAGCTGGGTACGGCATGGGAGGTGCTGGTGAGGTCGTACGGCATGCCATTACCCTGGGGGGCGGGGGGAGCAGGGGGGGAGGAGGGGGAGGTGCTGGAGCTGAGCATGCTGGGGTACGGCAACGAGGCGGCGCTGGTGAACGACCCGCGGGTCATGTCGCCCGGCTGGACCTCGGCCGCAGCAGCGGTTCCGGAGCTGCCTGGGGAGGCTGGGAGCGGGGAGCCCAGCAGCGCAGTGGCGGAGGGCGGGCAGGCGGGCGGGCAGCTGGGCGGGGCGAATGTGGCGGTGAGTGGGTGGGTGGGATGGTGGGGGGGCGGTAGGGGGCAGGTTGGGGGGTCCTGGGTGCCTCTTGCATGGTACTGGGGGGGGCGCTCTGATGCGTGGCTGGGGCCTTTGTTGACGTGTGTTGCGGCTCGGTGTGCAGTGTGAGCAGTACGCTTCCGCCCCACCCGCCTCCTCGCCCTCCTCCCCTCAGGTGCTTCCCATCTCGGTTCGCGGTCTGGTTCTGCCGGTGCTGGTCGCCACCCGCGACATCGCCCCCGGGGAGCAGCTGCTGCGCGACTACGGAGCCGACTGGTGGCGGGAGCTGGCGCCGGTGTGGGAGATGCTGGAAGAGGACGAGCTGCCCGCTCAGCAGCTGCTGCATGGGGTGTTGCCGGGACCTCCGCCACCTCCGCTGCAACAACAACAACAACAACCGCTGCATCATGCCCCGCTTCAGCTGCTGCAGCCCCAACACGACTGCCCAGCCCACCACCACCAGCTGCTGCCGCCGCCGCCGCCAGCCGCCACACACGCGCCGGTTCAGCTGCCGCGGGCGGAGCTGCTGCCGCAGCCACAGCAGCCCCCAACTGTTGCGGACCTGGTGGTGGTGGTTCCCAAGCAGGAGCCCCCCAGGGGGCTCCTGCCCCCGCAGCTCCCCCAGCAGCCGACGACCCAAATGGAGCAACACCCGCCTTGCACCGCCACCGCTGCTCCTGCTGCTGCTGCTGCTGCTGCTGGCATTGCTCCTGCTGCTGCTGCCGCTGCCACTGCCACCGCTGCCGCTGCGAGCCTTGACGCAGCAAGGGCCGCACAGCCGGGAATCCAGCGCTGGAGCGACGACACCCACGTTGTCATCAAGAGCGAGCCGGATGAGGCGGCAGCAGTAATCCCGCCGGGTGCAGGCGGCTGCGTGCCCTCGTTAAGGTGCATGGGCTCTGGATGGGCGGCTGCGGAGGGGGCCTCAGATGCCCGAATGATGCGTGTGATGTCGTACGAGGCGTGCGAGGAAGCAACGGAAGCTGGGGACATGTCGCAGTCGCACCCAGCGGCCTCCTTGCCGTCCTCGCGCCCGCATGGGGTGCAGGACCAGCCGCCGCAGCCATCCGGGCTGGGGGTGCAGGAGGCCGGCGGAAGCGCGTTCGTCCCCCCCACGGTGCACGAACTGCCACCCCTACCGCCTACCGGCATGGTGGCAACGGACGCACAGCCCACAGCAGCTCTTCACGGTCGGACGGGTAGCAGCGGCGCTGGGGCCAACTGGGCTGCGAGGGGGGTGGCGCCCCCCTCATCATCACATGCCGCGGCCCCTCCGCCCTGCATGCCGCCGTCGCTGCCGCCGTCGTTGCCCCGTCACTTAGCCAGCCAGCGCTCACGTCAGCCAGCTGGAGAGGTCTCGGCCTCCATCTCCCGGGCACCGGACAATGATGACGACGGCGGCTGTGTCTGCGGCAGCAGCGGCGGTGGGGGCACCGGAGTGCAGCGGCCGGTTCCATCTGCCACCGCCGCGGCAGCAATCGCCAGTGCCAAACGCGAACCAGCCCGCAGCCGGAGCCGTAGTCACTCACGTGAGCGGCGGCGTGAGGGGAGACGCAGGGGCAAGAGCAGCTGCGGGAGCCGCAGCATCAGCCGCAGCCACAGCCCCCGCAGACGCAACCTCAGGCGCTCGGGCAGCCGGGCTTGTAGCCGCAGCCGCAGCCCCCGTCGCCGTGAGCGTCGCAAGAGCAGCCGGAGCCGCTCCAGATCTGCAGCCATACGGCGGCCTCGGAGGGGAGATTCGAGGGAAGCCCGAGGGGACAGCAGCGGCGGTCAGAGGCAGCGGCAGGGCGGCGGCGGCGGCAGGGGGGGCCTGAAGAGCAGCAGTAGGTCACCGCACGGGAGGGAGCAGCGCCGAGGGGAAGGCGGCGGCGGCGGTGGTGGTCCGGGGCGCAGTAGGTCACCGCACGGGAGGAGGGGGAAACGGCGGCGCGGGGGCGAGGAAAGCGGCGGCGGCGGCAGCAAGGGTCGCCGGCGGGAGGGCGGCCGCAGTCGCTCGGGCGAGAGGAAGCAGGCTGGCCTGGGCAGCCGGAGCAGGAGCAGGGGCAGGAGCAGGAGCAGGATTCGCCACCGCCGCCGGTCAGGAGCCGGCGGGATCAAGGGAGGCGAGGGAGGACGTCGCCGCCCCAGCTCCCGCAGTCCCGCGGGTCGGGAGGAGCCGCTGCGGCGCCCGCCCGCTCCTGATGTTCCTCCTCCTCTTCCTCCTTCGGACATTCCTCCTCCTCCTCCTGGTGTCTATCCTCCTCCTCTTCCTGCTTCTCCTCCTCCACCTCTTCCTGCTGCTCCTCCTCCTCTTCCTGCTGCTGCTGCTGGAGCGGAAGGAGCGGTAGCGGAGCAACCTGGGGCAGCGGCTGGGGTCAGCAACGGCGGGAACAGCGGCAGCAACGGCATGTTGGAAGCGGTGGCGGCGTTGCTCGCTGCGGGGGTCGCGCTGGGTGAAGCAGAAGCAGCTGGGCAGGAAGAGCGGGAGGAGGTGGATATGGATCTGGAAATGGAAGCAGAGCCGCCCGCTTGCGTAACACCAGCAACAACCGATGCCGGGGACGCTGCCGCTGCCGCTGGTGTTGGTGCTGCTGCTGCTGCTACCGATGGTGCAGCGCAGCAGCAAGTGCAGCCCGCACCGGCGGCGGCAGCAGCAGCTGAGGCACCGCAGCCCTCTAGCGGGCCCGCAGAGGCTCCTCAAGCAACACAAGACGCCCCGGCCGCCGAAGATAGCACTGTTCCTGCACCTGCACCCCTCACCGCCATCACCATTCCCGCCGCCGCTTCCACCAGTGACGCTGAGTTCTCGCTTCCCCCCGCCTCCAGCCGCCAAGTGCCGCTGCAACCCACCAGCATCATCGTGCCCCTGCCCGCTTCCTCCCTCCCGCCACGTGGCGCCGCCCACCCCGCCTGGTACGACAGGCACGGCAAGGCTCTGGGCGCAGCTGACGTGGCATGCGGCCGCTTCGTGCCCTCTACTGCCATGCTGGGCCCGGGTGGGGTGTTTGAGGGGCTTGCGGCGCGAGCAGGAGTAGGCGGAGTAGGCGGAGGCGGAGGAGGCGGAGGAGGGGAGGTTGAGTTGCTTGTGGTGAGGGAGGAGGGGGAGCTGCAGGGGGCATGGAGCTGGAAGGTGAGGGGCAGGGGGGCTGCGGGGGCAGGGGGGCTGCGGGGGCAGGGGGGCTGGGATCTGAGGTGGGCTGTGGGTGAGGCTGGGATGAGGAGGGGTTACGGACACACGGCTTCGTGAGGCGGAGAGGTGAGGGGGTCTGTGTTGTTGCGGCTTAGTGCCTTTTGACTAACGAGTACATACCTGTTGCGCCACCACCGCCTCCTGCCCCCCTCCATTGCTTTGCCCTCACCCGTGTTCTTGGTACATCTCCGACCCCCTCCCACCCCCAACCCCTCAGCACAGCCACCAGCTTATGGAGCTTTATCACGGTTTGTACTTTGTGTGCTGCTACTAACCCAACGAATATGATTATGCGCAATCCTTAATTCCAGCTTAATGCGGAATCTTCAACCATATTAATCCCCAACCCCCAACTCCACTACCCACACCCACCACCCGCAGGCTGAGGTGGTCACCCGGGGTCGCTTCCGGCTGCGCGGCCTCACCTCCCTCTTCAGCGAGCTGGGGGCGGAGGAGCGGGACATCCTGCTCTTCACCCCCGCCTGCGCGCCGCCTCCCGCCGCCGGAAGCGCTGTGCCAACCGCACCCGCCGGCGCTGCTCCCTCGGATGGCCCCACCGACCCGCTGCGCGGCAGCCAGCATGGCGGCGGCGGCGGCGGTGACGTCGGTAACACCACTGCGCCGGCCGGTGAAGACACGGACAAGGAGAAGGGCAAGGAGAAGAAGGAGAAGGACAAGGGCACGAACAGCACTGGGGACTCGGAAGGCCCTCCTGCCTTCATTGTCCGCTTGCTGCGACCCATGGGACCCCTGAGCAGCGCCGCATGTGGTCCCGCGTGCGGGTCATTGCAAGGCCCCAAGGCGGCGGCTGCAGCTTCGGAAGGCCCCACTGCCGCCTCTGTGGATGGCGCCCCCGCGGCTGAACAACAACCGAAGCAGCAGCAGACGTAGCAGCAGCAGACATAGCAGCCAGCTGTTGTTGATAGTGAGTTGCACGCGGGTTGCAAGAGGAGGGGCATGGTGCGAGGGTTTGTGCGCCGCTGAGGGGCAGGGTGGTCGAGGATTAGGTCGGCTCTTGCCGGGCATGGATGCATGGATGCGGGCTTTGTGTAAACCTGTTCGGGTGATCTGGAGATGCTTGGACACGCTTTAACTTCACATGTGAGTCGTCGACTTTGGTCACATTCCTGCATGTGACCGTACTTTGCAGCGTTTTGTTGCCACTGCAGGATAGTAGGGGTGTTGTGCGACCTGCATGTTGAATTCGTCTGCCTGTGGTATACGCTCTTTTAGGGTGCGTGTGACCCATGGGTCATCAAACTGTAGCAACTAGCAGACTCCCCGCCAGGATTAAGCATCGTTGGACCCCTACTAACTTGATGTGGTGTGGCATGCTTCGCTGCATGTGGGAATGTAGGAGGTATGTTGGGCAGTAGTTGTTGCATGCCAGTCAGTCCAAGTGGCGTGGGCGCGTGTCGGCATGTGCCGTGCATGCATGTCGTACGGGTTTAGACCCCCACCTCCCTGCCAACATGGTTGTTAATACAGTTGTTCCTTGCAATTTCTCTTTCATCTTCCTTTCGTTGCTTTTTAGTTGCCTAGGTCGCCGTGGGCCTCCTTGTAACGTTCAAGCAACAAGTAAAGATCCAGGCCCCGCCCCTCACGGGCTCCAGCAGCACCCCCATGAGGCGTGTGACGCCGGGAGGGCATCTCTGTGCTGCCGGACATGCATTCTCGCAGGGTTTACTGGGTTTACTGTAAGACTAGGGAGCTGTGCGGGCAGGCGGGCCGGTAGAGACCTGGGCCCTGTGCTCCCTGATGGCGGCTGCCTTGGGCGGTTGCTGTCCGGTTCCCTCTCTCTTTCTCTTTCACCCCGCCTCACCTGCACTGTAAGCTTACCCCGCCTCCACTGCGGGGGCTTCTCTTCTCGCCCCGCCTACCATTCAATCATAGCTGCGACAGCTGAAGCGACTACCCCTGCCTGCACCCCCCTCGTTACACGGCGCCCTTGCCAGGCAAGGAGGTGGTGGCGGCCGGTCTTCCCAAGCAGCATGTTCTAAACGGGCTTTGGTGAATTTACACATAAGACTCGTTTACGAAAGAAAGAATGGACGGATAAATTACGCAGTACAGTAAAGAAGGATGCCAGGTTGTCGATACGCGGTAAAGGAGGGCACCCGGTCGCCGCAGGTGCCGCGCTGCCGGGGTAAGGCGAAGTAAGGTTTGGGGGGGTGCGAACCATGCGAAATAAAACGAGGAACGTTTATAAAAAGAGGCCGCAAAGTTGGAAAATGGTTGTGTCGATATATACATGCACACGCGCCACCTTTTTTTCCGCATCCATGGAACGCATAAAGCTGTAGCTTGCTGCTTTCTCTCGAAATCCTGCACCTCTGAACGAGCTGCCAGAAAGCTTTTTTGCGAATTGCGGTTATGCATTTTTTTTGAAAGCCGGTTGCTTACGGGCGGTTGCGGTTGAGGGGCGAGTCGACGGCGAACACGTATCGTCCACTTCGTCACTTCTGCTCGACCCCAAAACTTTGCGAAACCTATACAGCAACATAGGCTATAAGGCGCTGTGTTGTCAGGAACCTCGCAGCACAGGCAATCGCTCTGCTCCAGGGTCCTAGGACGTGACGACCAATCATCCCGTTCGGACTGCCATTTTGTGTAGATCGCTGTCCCGCGGGTCTTTTTGCTGCTTCCAAATTCCCACCTGGTTCATAACTTCTTACTCCTTAATCCACCAAGACATGAACTCATTTGAATAGTAGCTTCCGGCGCAGAACCTCTTGATTGCTCAGAATCAACCTTGAAAAGCGTTTCCAGGTTTCCTAACCTTACAAGAAGCAAAATAGCAGCCACTATTAGCTCTACACGTTAGATTTGCTGTTTCCAATTCCTTTTCGGAAGCAGCAGGCGCCTGATACAACGCAGCGAAGATGATGCACTCGCCATTTCAACAGCAGACCCTTGCCCTCCCGCGCAACACCGTCCTCAATAATGGCCGCTACAGAATTGAAAGAGAGCTCAACCGTAAGTCCTTTCTTTGCATCTCGCGCGAATGTTTCACCGGTATAGTTGCTGCTGTGCCGGCCGCCGGCTCGATATCGAAAGTTGCCAACCGCAACGCCGCGACCCGGCTTCCAGCTCTTTGTTTACCCTTGCTTGCCGCTTGCGTTCAGAGCTTCTGTGTTTAAGCAAACTGAAATGTTTGCTTCCCGGGGTGCTGTTTTTTCCCGCAGGCGGGGGCACGGCGGTTGTATATGCCGCAGAAGATCGAGTCACCCAAGCGTACGTCGCGCTGAAGGTAAGAGATGCAAACAAAAACAAAACTTCTAAGGGTTCTCAGTCTTATGATTATTGCGAGGGGTCAAAAAGGAATCTCATGACGGGCTCCGACCGTCCCTTCATCCTCGCTCGCTGCTGCCTGTGGTTCGTCCATCAAGCGCCGCCTTTGCACGACTTGCCGACCAGCTCACCAGACCTCTTCCCCTCTGCCCCCCCTCCCACCCCCTCCTCCCCCCCCCCCCCCTCCCCCCCCTTCCTCCCCCCCTCCTCCCACCCCCTGCCACCCCCTCTTGCCCCCCGCCCCCAGGTGATGCACGGTCCGGATCAGGTCCCACTCAAGGTGGTGCGACGCGAGGTGGGCGGGGGGGGGGAGGGGGGAGGGGGGGCATGAGGGGGGAGGGGGGAAAAATTAAATAAGTGAAACAACGAGTGACGGTTGAGGGCACGAGGCCAAGGGGGCATGGAGAGGGTTAGGCGATGATGGGGGGTAAGAATGGAGGAGAGCGGGTTTTTGGGTTTGGAGGTCAAGAGTGGGTTGCGGGTAATGGATGGAAGGGCATTCGGACAGCCGTGTGCGGCACCGGTATTGCTGATGCCTGACCCGGTCCTCTCCTCCCGCGCACCCCCACCCCCACCCCCACCCCCCCAGATCACCTTCAGCAGCAGTGTGAGCCACGACAACATCGTGCGACTGCTGGATGTGTTTGCGGAGCGGCAGCAGCTGGTCATTGTGGTGAGGGTGGGGGAGGGGGGAGGCAGGGGGGAAGGGGGGGAGGGGGAAGGGGGCTGGGGGGAAATTATATAAGTGAAACAACGAGACCCTATCCCATATCCCGACTCATGCAGTGAGCGCGTTCGGAGACACGCAGGGGGGGATAAAGACCATACCGTACTATAAGGCCACTGGTGAGGGGGAGGCAGGGGGTGGAGGGAGGCTTCCCTGCCTATACCGCTGTGCCTGCTCTTCCTCGCCCGCCAGCATGCCCCTCTGCGCCACAACCTACCGCTACCGCTACCTTCCCCTGGTTTTCAATGTGACCTCCTCCTCTGCACCTCCCCCCCCTCACCCCCCCAGTGGGAGCTCATCAGCGGCCCCGACCTGCTGGACCTGCTTAACGAGTGCGGCGGCCGCATGCCGGAGGACATGGCGGCCTTCTACTTCACACAGGCGGTGAGATGGGGGGGAATAATGAATGAGAAGTGCAGCAACTGGAGAGTGGGGCCCCTCGAGGCATCCATGTGTATTGCCCGCTCCTCCTCGACCCACCCCCACCCCCACCATTCCTCCTCTCACCCCGCCCCCTCCTCTCTCACCCCCGTTTCCCCCCGCTCCCCCCTCCACCCCCAGCTGCGCGGTCTGGTGTTCATGCACGCCAACGGCTTCTGCCACCGGGACATCAAGCCCGAGAACTGCATGGTGCAGCGGTCCAACCACCAGCTCAAGGTGTGTGTGGGGGGGGGGCGGGTGTTAGAATAGCTGGCCGCGAGGCGAAACGTACTGTGATTGCGAGTACTGTGATTGTGGTAAAGAAACTGACTGCACGTGTGGCAAGGTAACTGTAGCGCGAATTCAATGATGTTAAGAAAACTGGCCATTCACGTAGCGGTATGGTGG